GTTGCTGGTTGAGTAGGTGCTGGAGTTGCTGGTTGAGTAACCGACGAACTTGTATTATCAGTGGGATCCGTTTTATCAATGGGATCTGTCTTATCAACGGGATCAGTTACATCAACAGGATCTGTTTTATCAGTGGAATCTGTTATAGGAGGAGTTGTTGATGTACTTGCTGGTGGAGCAACTGGGCCACCTCCAAAGCCGTATGTTACTATTCTGTCATTGTCGTTAGCTCGATCTGCATTTACAGATGTACTATCCATATTAGAATCGTTGTGATTATCCCCCTGGTCATGGCTAACAGAACGAGAATCAATTGAAATGGGGTCCTCATTATGATTTTCATTCAACGAAGGGTTACTTGAAGATCTTGCCATTAATATTGGATCTTCTGCATGTTCTTCATCACCTAAAATATGAAAGTCTAACATTTTTTCATTATCACTATCTTCAAAATCAACGGATCTATGACTATCTAAACCCAAATTGGACCCACCAACACTAGTGTCACCAGAATTGGATCCACCAATACTATTATCATCAATATTAGATCCGCCAAAACTAGTTTCACCAGCATTGGATCCTAAAATACTAGCACCATCAATATTAGACCCACCAGCACTCATACCATCAATATTAGACCCACCAACACTCATACCATCAATATTAGATCCTCCAATACTGGTATGATCAGTATTATATCCACCAAGACTCATACTATCAATATTGGACTCACCAATAACTTTATCTATATCTGCCCCGTCATTCATGTCAATTTCACCCATATTACCAAAGCTCATATCTGGTAAATTGATGCTTTTGCTATCAATATCTTCTCCATTTATCGAGTATAAAAAATTTAATGAAATGAAAAATAAGGAAAACAATTTAATATTCATCTTATCTGTATTATCACAAATATTATTTTTATATGTTTCTTTAATCAGTATAATACTGTAACTTAAATAAAAATATATTTTTGTGTTAACTGGATGATTATTTTATATAATAATTATTACTGATAAAATAAATTTTCTAATTTTTTGAGTAATCTGGTTTAAACTATAATTAATACGATCTTATTTTAAGATATGATTACATATCCATCACTATTATATCCAAAGATACATAATTCTATCAAATGTCATTTTATTTATTTATTAACCCCACATTAATCATATATGCAAATTTATATGTATCAAATAATTATCTTTTTATGTATCTACCATTATGCCGAGCGATAACTATATGTAATAATTACCACTAGTTTTTTCTTAATGTTTTTTTTTTACAGAATTATTCATATTAAAGTTTAAGAAAAAAAATTTGATATATGAGGTTTAAATTATACAAATACTTAGCTAAAAATTAATTATAGAACATTTAATTCTTGCAGTTATTAATAAATATATATATATATTTTTTTTTTTTTTTCAAGTTATTTTTGCATTAACTCATCTTTCCCACATTCCCGCCTTTGCATTTTTAAATACCGGTATTTTGCATATCAATTTAAAAATAGTGGAAAATCATAACTCTTTTTCCTTGAAATATATATTTTAATACTTGATAATTTAAATTTATGGTATTATATCTACATTTTCCAGTATTTCGTTCAGAGTTGCTTTTGATATATATTTATCATATTTTTCTTCTATTATTGAATTACTTTCATTAAATTTACTTGGATTTAATTCATGTTCATCTTTAACCTCTAATAATAATTGATACTTTTCTTCCGTTTTTTTATTAATTATAGATTCAAAATAATTTCCTTTTTCAATAAAATCAACCTTAAACTTTTTCTCTGTTACTTGATTACCCTTGGCTTGACCTGAATTTCTGAAGATCTTTTTACTTGTTCTTGCCTCACATTCTTGTATTATATTATCCATTTTTTCATGACAATGATTTTTCATCATATTACCAACTGTTAATCCTAAAGCACCGCCAATAGCAGCACCAAAACTTACACCGAAAGGACCCAATATTAGCCCAGCAGCACCTCCACAAACTAAACCAGCAGTAGAGCCATGAAATGGCCACCAATTAGCCTTTGACTTACTTCCTTTTGCTACAAATGATGCACCCTGTGCTGTGTTAATTTGAGCTAAAGCTGATTGTTCTTCTAAATAATCTATTTCTCCAGTACTTTCTATAATTAATTTATATATTTCAGCCTGTACTTCCCTAATTTTTATCATAGAATGTTTAATATTTGCAACCTTGTTTTTACATTCATTTAGTGATTCAATATCAATATTCTCCATGATAATAGAAGCTCTACGTATTTTATTTCTTAAATCAAATTGAATTTCTGAATAATGAAAACCATTACTATTGCCATTATTTATTTCCAATACAGAATTATTTGAATTCAAATCATTTATTGATGATGAGCCTACTATCATTTTTGGTAAAAGAATATAGTTAATATTATTGCTTAAATTATCATTAATTTCCTCATCATAATCTTCTTCGACTTCAATTACATTTTTGTCAATAGAAACTTGATTAACAATTTGATTTTGCAGAATATTTCTATTAACTTTATAATTGTCATTAAAATTTGTAATAATTAATTTATTATCAGGTATGATTTGATTACAATCTTGATTTTCACTGTAATATATGTTATCTTCCAAATTAGATTGTATATTGTTAATACTGAAATATTCAATTTCAATAAAATTATCATTTTTTGTATTCCAAATACTCATCATAAATGCTTGATTAAATAGATTATTTGCTACTTTACTTAACATTTTAAAGTCACTAACAAATTTTTCATATTTTACACAATTTATAGTGCATATATGATATTCTTCATTATTAATACTTTTATTTTGAAATATCATATTATTAAATTTTATTTCATTAAATTCTTGTATATCATTTGAAATACCATTATTTTTTGGAAAATTATCATTCCAATATGTGAACCAGTTATAACTTAATGAATAATTAGTTAAAACAAAACATTTTTCCTCTAAATCTGTACATTTTTCTTCCAATATTACGCCTACTCTTAATCCAACTGAAATACATACTCTAACCAAATCTATTGCATTTTTCTTATTATTATTAAAATTGTATTTTTCTAATTGCAAATCTTCCAAACTATTCCTTAGTTTTACTAATAAAGAAGATAAATCAACCATTAATTCTTCTATTAATTCTTCTTGATTCATATTTTTTACCATATTATTCAATGAAAAACTCTCATATTTTAACTTTCTTTCATTCTTAGGTAAACTAATAATTTCACTATTATTTGCTAACTCTTTTTTAGTATATTTCATTAAAGTTGACTCCAATTCAGTGTTTTTAAATTTAACATTTTTTTTGTTTTTTTCTTCACTTATGTTATTTAAGATATTATTGTCCATTTAATTTATTTATAATTAATTATTTCTTTTTTTTAGTAAGTAAAAATGGTCTTTTTGCTAATTTTTCACACTTACATCGACATATACTAATTTTTTAATTCATTAAATTCACAAAATCTTTTATTTTGGTTGTTTATACTAAAAAATCTGGATTTAAAAAATTAAATTAATCTATTTATTTTCAATCATTTGATTTCCTTTTAAAACAATTCTAATACTAATGTGGACAATATTACGTGTCAATTTTTTACAGAAATAATTTCATGCATGCAATAATTATGGCACACTACTGCTATATAAAAATAAGTAATATATATATATATGAATACATTTATATTTATTTACTAAAAAAAGTTGATATAATATAAAATTTCACGAATTTTGTCAGGATATTGATCATGAGAAGTAATCATTCCCGTAACATCATAATTTTCAATGCTAGCAATATTTACAGGTGAAATACCTGCAACATGGAACCCCCATTGCATGTATCTGTAAAAAAATGCAAGAACCCAATCAGACCTTGAAAATACATTAATCAAGCGATTTGAAACTACACACCTGGCTTTAATCCAATTTTTAGTATTTAAAGATGATGGTAATCCTAATAATACAACATCTTGAATTTTATTAAATTGTTTACGATCATACATGATTTGTAATGCTAAGTATATAAGTCTAGCACCCATACTATAGCCGACAAGCTTAATAGGTCTATTTCCTGTAATTTCTATTGAACATAAAACATCTGCAAGAATAATTGCAGCTTTTTCAGTTTTTTGTCTTGATACTGACCAAGTATTATCAAGAGTTGCTGCATATTGCATAATGGTTATGGGCCAAGATAAAGCAGCTGTTAAAGTACCGACAACAGTTTGAAGTAAAATAGCTTTACCAGCAAAGATTGCAAGATCTTGTGACATGGTTACGGCTATTGAATTACCTAACTTAGATAATACTTCAGGTTCAAATTCTATAGCATAAGTTTCCATCCACTCAACACCATTAAAAGCAATCTCCCACGGTACAAATATATCGTTACTATTCCTAAGCCAACCACTAATACCAATTAAAATTGGAAGAAGGCCGCATTTATCATGATTTTTTCCAATTTGATGAAAACTAAAAACTTGTAATGGAGATTCCCTTCTACTCATTTTCCATCCTGAAAGTCCTGCTCCACCTACTCCAGCTACTGCTGATATTGTAGCAGCACTTGTTCCAGCAGTAACAGCTGTTCCAAAAATACCAGGAAATACTAATCCTAATGTGCCCAAACCAGCAATAATACCTGGAGCTGCAATTGTTGTAGCTGCTGCCAATACAGCACCACCTACAATTGTTGCACCTGCTACTTTTAAATATCTCATTGATTTATTCCAACCTTTTTCAAGACTTTTGGTATCACATTTAAGCTCAGTCTTCTTAATATCATTAAATGTTAACATTTGAAGTGAATCAAATATTAATAATGATGATTTATAATACTCGTTATTATTGTTTAATACAAGATATATTTCTTGAAGAATTGACAAGGTACGTGAATTCAATATTCCATCTATTGCATGAAGTCTTAAAAATGATAATATAATTATTAAAAAGGAGTTTGGTGCTTGTTCATCTAATATATATTCCAGCTTACTAATACCTGAGTGCCAAGTTTTTCTTCTACGGTCATTTACTTTCGTATTAATATTATTCTTGTAATTGATGTTATTACTATTAAATAATTTTAAGTTATTATAGAAATCATTTGGGGAATTTAATGGTAAATCTGTCATTCCCAAGGATAATCTATTATTTAATGAACAAGTTCTTGAATTTTTATTAATACTCCACTCACTACCTTTATATAAAACTTCAAATGCACTATTATTTCTTAGAAATAAAAATGATTCAGCATTTAAATCTTTATTCTGCTTTATTATCATTTTTGACCTAACATTATTATTGATATTATTATATTCATTAAATAAAATATTGACTTTTGGTTGTAATTCATTATTACAATATTCAATCAAACAGTCTTTTAATGGCTTTAAATCTGAAAAATTCTCTGAATTTTGGTCATCTACATTTAAATAGTATATTTTAATCATTTTTTCTATTATTATCTCTGGTATTGATAAATAATCACCTATTTGATTTAAATAATTACAACCCCATAAAATAAAGTAATCTTTTTGTTTCGTGTCTATATTGGACCAAATTCTAATACGATTTGTTAAAATTATTAAAAAAGTATTGAATAATACTTGTTTGATCTCCATTGGTGTGCTTTTCCAAAGCTCATATATCCTTATTGGAGGAAGAGTGTTCAATTTTCGAATACATTCAAAAGCAAAATTACTAGAAATTAAAAATTTAATCTTTTCAAAATGGTTAATATTTTCAAAGTGATCTTGAAGTTTATGGTTAATAAATTCAGTTATTGATTCATTATTATTTTTTTTTTTAGAATTACTCGAATTTTTATTGCTTTCTTTATTATGGAAATTATCTTTATTAATATCACTACTAAAACTGAATTTTCTCGATTTCAAAAAATCTGATGATTTATAATCATCCAAAGAATTATATCCATGAATTAATTCATTGCTTTCATTATCATCCATTTTTAAAAATGATTCTGGAGATATTGATTTATTATTTGCTAAGTTAATTTTTAAATCCAAGTTTTTATCTTTATTATTGAATGGTCCATTCCTTGAACTGTTCATTTAAAAGAGAAATTACTGTATTTAATTTGTTAAAGGTAAAAAATAATAATATTTTTCAGATATAAAACCATTCATTTAATTTCAAGTAAAAAAGTGAATAACTTTAAAAAACATTATTTTTCCATGCTAATTTTTTCGCGCCAAATGGAATATTATAATTAATTGTCAGATAGAGTAAGAAATACTTTCTGAAACAGAAATATTCATATAATTGTAATTCTAATATATATTATTATTACTAATTCGTATTTAACTGTTTAATTATAACTATATTTTTTAAGGATTCAAGATCTTGTCACACATATATAATTTCTATTAAATTTGAATTATTTGACTTGGATGATTATAAATTCAATCAAATCCTAAAAATCAAAAATTTTATCAACATTTATTGAAATTGTAAATTTATTTTTGGGAATTTAATTTATACAAAATTTTTTAATTGAATTTTCAAATATTAATTCAAATTATAAATATATAATGGATTATTCTGATAGTCATATCTGGAAATATAATCATAAAATTATTTAATTTTTAATCATTTTCAAGATTAATTTTTAAAAAATAATCAGCAAGTAATTTAAAAGTTTTAACTTAAAAATGGAATGTCCAGAAAGAGTTTGGATAGTATATGCATCACAAACTGGTAAATCAGAGAGGTTATCTTATGATGTTAGAGATGAGTTATGGAAAGTAGGAGTGATTGGATATCCAACATCTATTAGTGAATTTGAAGATATATTTTTTGATTATTTTGAGGAAGAATCCCAGGAAAATATTAATAAGAAATTGGAAATTGAATTCCCCATGACAATATTTATATTATCAACAACAGGACAAGGAGAAGTACCTGATACTATGACTTCATTTTGGAATCGAATTTTAATGAATAATTTAAATACTATCTTAATAAAAAAGTTGAATTTCGCAATATTTGGAATGGGTGATAGATGTTTTGGTAATCAAAGATTTAATATAACTGCAAGGAAACTACGTCATTTATTATTAAATTGTGGAGCTGTAGAAAAAGTACCCTGGGGACTAGGTGATGAATCACATGATTTTGGTATATTGGGAGAATATGATCCTTGGATTGAAAATATAATTAAAATGTTTAAACACAATACCGAAATTGATGAATATTTTAAAAATAATCTTCCAATCAATCAATATAAGTGTGAAATAAAAAGTTATAATCCAGAAAAAGTTATTCAAGATATTAATTATGAATTTGATATAGAATTAGAGAATGAATTAAAAAATTCACTATTTATTCAAAAGAAACACATAAGTGATATCAATAAAAAGAATATATCATTTCCTAGTATTTCTAATGTATTATATAATCAAGAATGTGATAAAGAATCTAAAAATAAAAAAATTAAAAAGATAAGATTTGGTTTGTCTCATGAGGATCAAATTAATTATAAATCTGGTACTCATCTTGCAATTTGGCCAGTCAATCCTATAGAAAAAGTAATACATTTTATTGATTTATTTAATCAGGAAATTAATCCAAAAACAATTATAGAAATTCAATTTAATCATGATTATTATACTTGTTTATGTAATAAACAATATGGATGTAAATATAATTCTACTGATGATTATTTAGATTTAATCAAGTATAAAAAATGTTATATAGAATGTAAAAAACATCAATTTTGTAGTCAATTTCCATTAGGTGAGAAGATGACAGTATTTACATTAATATATCGTTATTTAGATATAATGAGTGTACCAGAAAGAAGGTTTGTGAATAAATGCTATAATAATACAAATAATCATATGCATAAAGAACGTTTGAAGGAAATGATACAAAGAAGTGTAGACTCAAAAAAGGATTATTGTGATTATATTAAAGATGAGCATCGTAATTATCTTGAATTATTATGGGATTTTAATTCAATTGAATTGCAAATTGATGACATTATCAATTTTATACCAGTAATCATTCCTAGATATTACTCTATATGCAATACATTGGATTGGTATAAGTTAAATTTATGGAGATATATTGATTATGAGAATTATATTAGAAGAATGACTGTTGGAATATTTAATCATTGTTTTGAATATGATGATGATAATGATAATGGTGATGTTAATCATCATCATTTTAAAATGTTATTACCTGAAATATTATCAAATACATTAGGATTATTTTTACCAAAAATAAAAGTTAATAATAATAATAATAATAATAATCAATTACTCATAATTAATAATTATAATACATTTAAAAAATTAAAAACAAAAGTTATTCAAAATTATATTGTTAAACTTAAAGAAAAATATTTATATAATATGATGCAAGAATTTAAAAGTATCTATTGTGATCAAGAATATGCTCATTTTAATAATAGTAATATTATAGAAATCTGTGTTGATGTAATTGAATGGAACACAACATTTAATAGAAAAATACGTGGATTATGTTCTGGCTATTTGGATGATATTATATATAATAACAAAACATTAATAGCATTTGAAAATAAAATTAGTGATGAAATAATTAAAGAATTAGTTGATCCAAAAATACCTCTATTATTAATATCATGTGGATTGGGTATAACAGGAATTATATCAATACTACAAGAAAGAGTTATTAATATTTTAAGACAAAGAAATGTTAATCATGATCATAAAAATGAAATAACTAATAACACTTTAGTATATATTGGATTAAGATATAGTAATGTAATGTATCCATATATTGATCAAATTTACGAATTTTCAAAAAGAAAAGAATTAATTGGTCAAATTCAGTTTAATATATCATATTCTAGAAAAAATCCTGGAATAAAGGAATCTATATTTAAAACTGAAAAAACTCATAAATTAGTTAATTTAAATCATTTAAGATCTGGCTGTTATATACAATCATTATTATTAAATGAAGATAATGAAATTGATAATATGAGAGAATATATAGTTAATTGCATATTAAATGGTTATATTTTAATTTGTGGAAATGCATTATCAATGCCTATAGAAATAAGAGAAACTCTTGCAAAAATACTTGTATTATCAGGTAAATTTGATACAATAGAAGATTCTTTAATATATATAAAAAAATTAATAAGATATGGTAGATATATAGAGGAAACATGGGTTTAATACACATTCTTTATATTCATTTATCTATTTTTTTTTCTATAAATAAAATAAAGTAATTAAAGTATATCACCAAAATAAACTTGAATAATTGAGTTTAAATCATCTTTAACAATATCATTAATAATAATATTAACATTTAAAATGGATATATTATTAATATAATATTCTTTAATCATTGGAATAATAAAATCATTTATTGATTTTGGAATTTTAATTTTTAATTCAATATATTTATTAATTAATTCATCATTATTAGTATAAGCAAAATAATTATAATTTGAGATAGAATTAACATAATTATGATTATTAATACCTTCAAAATTTTCTTTGAAGCAATATATATATATTTTTGAATTATTAATTAATTTAATAATCATTTTATGGTTACTCAAACTTGTATTATTAATAATATTATGATTATATTTAATAAAATTAGAATCGTAAACTTTTAATGGGAAAATGTATTCAGTATTTTCATGATTTAAAGTTAATTCTATATTATTATTTGAATTAAAAATTATATTATTAATTTGATGAATTTGTAAATCATAATTAGTAGAAATATCTGACATATCTTCATTACTTGAACTAAAATCAAATAATTCTTTAATATGATTACATTTATAATTTAAAATTTTACTGTTTGGGTTAATTTTAAACAAGATTTTATTAATGGTATTATTTTTATTTGATCTTGAAGTTTTTCTAGTATTGGTATTGGTATTGGTATTGGTATTGGTATTGATATTGGTACCGTTATTGATATTGGTGTCGGTATTGGTATCTACATCAATGTCGGTATTTATAGTTTGTAAAGATCTGGAATTATTATTATTTTTATTGAGAATAAATTGTCTCCAAATTATAGAGTAATTATTCCATTGAGTAATAATTTTATTAAATGAAGAAATCATATTTCTAGAGCTTGTATTTAATTTATTTTTAATTAAGTTATTCTGATTAGAAGATTGGTTAATAAAATTAGGTCGAGACAGATTATTATTATTATTATTAGTTGTTGTAGCAATACTAAATCCGATACTAGTATCACTTTGATTATCTTTAATATCAATGTAATTTTGTGTTGAAAGACAAGAGTTAGAATAAAGAAGAAATACATTAGATTTATTCCATAAATTATTGAATTTATTAAGTGATTGTTTAGCAGAATCATAAATCCACTTACATTCTCCAGAGTTGGGGTTAAAAATCATACAATTTGAAAAAATTAATTTGATTAGTCTTTCAAATTCATGTGGATTATCAATAGTTTGAATTGTTTTTAAATATTTACTAGAGTTTGAAGATGATAAAGATGAGCTTTTTCTTTTTTGATTAGAGGGGTGCCTTTTTAAGGGAGTATTGTTATTATTATTATTATTATTACTACAAACAGTACTTTGAGTATTATTAGTAAGCCTTTTTTCAATAGTGATATAATCACAGGCTTCCGGAATAACTTCCCTGTATCTTTTTTTCGTTTCTTCTGTGAGATCATTACTTTCAAGAACGGGATTTTCAAAAAGAAAAGAATTATGTTCTTTTCTAAGTAAATTAAGTATTCTTAAACATTCACTTTTCCAATCAGGATCAGAATATGTACTATTTGAAACATTTAAGTTAGAATTACTATTACAAGTATTATTTTCAATTTGTTTATTTGAAGCAATAAGTGTATTGTTAATAAAGCTAGAAGATTCAGAATAATCATTATCTTTTCTTTTTTTAAGAGGGATAATATTATTATTACTACTAGCAAATTTTTTACTAGCTTCGCTTTTGTGTCTTTTGTTGCCATTATTAATTTCGGTCGTATTAGAAGAAATATTATCTTTATCAATTTTTAAGATAACTCTATTAGCATTGGCTTTAGAGGAAGAGGAGGAGGAGGAGGAAGAAGAAGAAGAAGAAGAAGAAGAAGAAGAAGAAGATGAGGATGATGAGGATGGCCGTGGCTTTGCATTTTTTGTGCTTGTTTTAATATGGCTGTTATTACTATTAGTAGTATTACTATTACTATTAACATTATTAGAATTATATTGATTATGATGATTATTAGAACCATCTCCATTATTACAATGATTGTTATTACTGTTTGAAGAAGAGGGGCTAATATTTGATTTTGAACTTTTACTGGTTTCTCTAGATAATTCTTCTAGTCTCTTTTTAGTAGATTTATCAGAAAATCCCAATTTAGTCCATTCAAGTAGAAACCTTTTTTCTGATTTATTACATAAATCAATAATATTTGCGCATAAAGGAGAAGTGTTGTATTCTCTGCAATTAGAAAATATTAATATAATGTCCTGATATATTTCATTAATATTTTTGTATTGATCATCCAAAAGTTTGTTGGAAACTGTGATTAGATCCATTGGAATTTGAATAACTTCAAAGTAATCTAAACATCCATCTTTAGCAGGATCAATAGGGTAAATAAATAATTCAAAATTAGGATCTTTTCTCAAAGTTTCGAGTAAAATAGAAAGTTTTCTTCTAATACTTGAGCTGATTCCTCTAGATGTCCCAACATCCATATTGATCTAGTAATTAAGGGAAGAAGAAGAAAAAAGTATCAGGCAGTTTGATTCCCTTTCACATAAAGTAATGATTGCAACAAATCTTTATTGACCTTGTGTCAAATTAATAATTTATATAAATATATGTATAAATATATATATTTATATATGTATAATATATAATTGCAAATAGCGGGCTCTTGTCACTAGTATTTTATTTGAGTATTATAATAAGGGAAATAAAAAAAAAAAAAAAAATCATTTATTGGAATAATGGAATAGGAGTATTGAGAGAAATTAATCATTTAAAAGGTATTATTTAAACTAATTCCTTTCTTTTTCTCTCCTTCCTTTCATTATACCTTTCATTTTTCTGTTTATTATCTTTAAAAATATCTTTAATTTTAATAAAGGACACACAAAAAAAAAGAAGATGGCGCCACTTTCTGAATAAATTAATTAATATTTAAAAAAATTAGTAATAATTATTAATAAAAGATTATAGAATTAACTAATAAGAGGAGGAATAAGAAGAAAGAAGAATAATCACTCATATTAATAATAAAGATATCTATAGTTGCAATAATAGTACTAGATAGTATATTGAAAATCCAAAGTCTTTTTATTCGATAAATAATAATAATTTGATTAAAGGAAATTGAATTAATATAAAAATATCTATAAAAGGGAGATCAAAATTTTGAATTAAAAAAATTAATCTAAGAGTTGAAAGACGAGATTAATTGAGTAGATTGAATTTTCTTAAGAAAATAATAATTTATTTATAATTTAAAAAGACAGTTTAATATTACAATGGGTTGGAGATGTACAGTGTGTTTGGTAACAAATGATGAGGATGCAGAAGTATGTGTATGTTGTGAGTATGCCAGGGAAAAAGATGATAAAAAAGAGGGTCAATCTTCTGGTCCAATTTTTAACTCAAGCATACTTTCATCCTCAGCAAATTCTTCTTGTCCAGTATTTACATTTGGAAATCCAGTGAATATTTCAAATACTGTAAATGATAATCCTCCGTCTTTTGGAAATGAGAATAATCTTAACAGTCAAATTTCTGGATTTGTCCCAAGTTTTGGTAATGTTGAAAAGTCTCCAACAACTTCAATAGAGACTCCAATTATCCAAAGTGTAGATATTCACCAAGAAAGAAACAAGGAACAAAAACAGTATTTTGATAAGTTTAATTCTGATTTTGTTGATTATAAATCATTTATTAAAAAAGTACCAAATAGTGATAATAATAAGATACCTATAGGTACTGTTTGGGTATGGGGTTCAGGAGAATGTGATCAATTGGGAATCAAAGAATCTTTATTGGACGAAGATTTGTGTTTAAAAAAGCCAAAGAGGATTGAAAGTATTTCCAGGGATCTTAAAATTATTGATATTACGTCTGGAGCTCTACACAATCTTATTTTAACAGATCAAGGAGAAGTGCTTTCTTGGGGTTGTAATGATGATGGAGCACTGGGACGTCTCTCATCAAGGCTTAAAGCAAAGCTGGAGAAGCTTGATAAGAAAGGAGGTAATGATAAGGATGAAGATGAGGAAGATGATGATGATGATGATGATGAGGAAAAAGATGATGATGAAGAGGAGCCAGAGGACAGCGAAAAATATCCAAATAAAATAGAATTTCCAGAAGCTTCAGAAGACTGTCAATTAAAAGTGAAATCTATTATTAGTGGAGATTGTTATAGCTGTTGTTTGATGGAGAATGGAGAGGTATATTTGTGGGGATCATACAAAGATAGTGGTGGGTATATAGGGTTCCCAAATTTCCAATTAATGAGTGGGAGTTTGGTAGGGTATAAGCAATACAGTCCAGTAAGAATTCCTATTTTTGGTAGGAAAAAAGAATCTTCTAATTCTGAAATTCGTGGAAGAAAGAAAATTAAGTTGGAGAAAGAGACAATGAAAGTTGTGGGTAAGGCTAAAAAGATACTTGGAGGAGAGAATCACACAATTGTGATAACTCAAGATATGAGAATATTTGCATGGGGGAGTACTGAATTTGGACAATTTGGTATAGAACCTGTTGAAGATAAGATGGAGAAGACAAAATATTTGTATCCTGTAGAGATAGATAATGATACATTAGGATTACCAAGTAATTTGGTGATACAAGATATATATTGTGGGAGAGCTTCCACATTTTTTGTGGTAAAGGATGTTAAGAAGAATATTATTCAGGTATTTGCATGTGGTAGAAATGGAAGGAACGAATTGGGAATATATAATAAATTTTATAAAGATGTAGAGAATAGAGAGGATAATGAAGATCCTATAGTTTTTAGGCCAAAGAAAGTGAATATTACTGATTTTGAAACAGAATGCAGTAAATGTAAGAGTGACCAACCAATCAAACAAATAGGAGGAGGACAATATTACTCAGCTTTACTTACCTGTTGTGGGGAAGTATTTATATGGGGAATGAAGGATTGCTGTGGTTTGGAGAATCAACTAATTAAAAATGGGAATGAAAGTATTATAAAAGATAGGGATATTAAAATACCTACCAAAATTGAACATCTAAAAAGCATTACAAAATTGGGATTTGGAGCAGATAGTTGTTTTGCTATTGATGTAAACGGAGTATTATTTGTCTGGGGTATGAATTTAACAGGTCAGATTGGGATTACAAAACTAATAGATTCTGAAGTTATATTAAATCCTCAAATTATGAATCCAAAGACTTTTCTATCAGAAAATGATGGTTCTGATTCCAACTTTGTTCTCAAGGTGGTTGGAGGATCACAGCATTCTATGGGTTTGATATGGAATGGGTCTTTTTCTGATAGATTTATGCTTGAAGAGACAGAAGAGGAAGAACAGAAACAAGAACAAGAATGGGAAAACGAGAGAGAGGATGAAAGAGTCTTGAAAAGAATGAATGCAAAGAGGTTTGATAGAGAAGAAGAACAGGAGGAAAACAACCAAAAGTTGTCCAAAGAAGGAAAAGCTTTTAAAAAGGATAATAAGACAGTAATAAAGAAGATTGTTAAGACTAAAGCTGAGGTTAAGGCCAAACCAAAAGCAACATCTAAGATCACTAATAAAGCTATCATATCCAAACCAACCTCCAGAGCCAAATCCAAAAGTAACACCAAATCTTTATCCGAACCTACTTCTAAAGTCAAGCCAAAAACTACCACTCAAGCTACAATATCTAAATCCAACTCCAAGACCATTTCTAAACCCACCTCCAAGGCCACATCTAAGACCACCTCTAAACCCACCTCCAAGACCTCATCCAAGACCTCATCCAAAAGCAGCACCAAATCTGCATCAGAAACCACTTCTAAACTCTCATCAAAAGCTACTAGTAAAGATAAAATACCTAAATCCACCTCCAAAGCCAAATCTAATCCTACCTCCAACTCCACATCTAAAAGTACTACCAAGTCTCCATCCAAAAGTACCACCAAGTCTCCATCCAAAAGTACCGCCAAGTCCTCATCCAAGACTAAGACTGAAGCCAAGGCAATTTCCGTAGCTACTACCAAAAAAATAAATAAAGCCAAATCCGAAAATATCACCAAGTCTAAAGACAAAATTATGAAAACTGAGCTCAATACAGAAGAAAAATCTAACAAGAGCAAAGCTTCTTCCAAATGTAAAACTAAAGAGTCAAATAAAAAAACAGAACCCAATTCTAAAACAAAAACTAGGACTAGTTCAAAATCATCATAATCTTTTAATGCTACTATTAAAGCTTTATCTAAAACAAAAACTACTACAAAAAACACTTTATCCAGAAAGGAAATCGGAAATACATAAGATAATCAAAAATTGACTACTCTGAATATTCTATACCAATACTAATTAATTAGAAAATATTAGATTATATAATCTTAAAATTACAATAACTAATAAATATCTCTATTAACATTCTTTTATGTGTCTTTTTATTTTTTATTATTAATGGCCTTAATAGATCTTAAAATTTGTTAACTTCAAAAAGTATAGAAATACATAAATAAAAGTAATCAGGAATTCTTAATTGGTAAAACAACAAAACCAGAAAATTTTGTTCTACACAATGGACATTTATCCTGTCTTAAAGACCTTAAACAAGATTCACAAGAAATGCAGTGTCTGCATGGTAATAGTATTACATCTTTTGGATTTGACATACATATCAAGCAATCAGACTCATCATCTTCCAATCCAAAAGTATCATATGGCTCAATTAAAATACCATGGGAATTTGACATTACTTGCTTTAATATTAATGGTTTATACATTAAATATGGCATATTATAGTGATCTTGAATCAAATCAAAATGTACCACAACTATATTATTACTTAATACTGACTCATCCTTTATTATTCCCATATTAGCACGAATTAATATTAATAATGGTATTCTTGCTATTTTCTTGACATTTTTGTTTTCTTTTTCTCCGTTTATCCCTTCTTTTTTTGTTAAAACAGTGTCATTGTTATTAAATTCAAACAACTTATTATTCCAAAAGATTTCTTTATTATTGTAATTATCTTGAATCTCATAATAATCTCCATTAAAATAATAATGATCATTATTCCTATCATGAACTTGATTTAGACATTTAGTTTGATCTTGATCTTGTTTTCGTTCTTGTTTTTCTTGTTCTTGTTCTTGCTCTTGTTGTTGTTTTTGTTTTTTTTCTTCTTCCTGTTCTTCTTGGTTATCACAATATAAAGAATTTAAATTACATGAGCTTAAATATTCTGGTGTAAGCTTAATCCTCTCACAAAACTCTTGTGACAACCCTTTTTCATAAGATTTCTCTTCTGTAATATACATTGGGTCCAACTTTTCAATCAAAATTTGTTTTTTTATTTCCTTCATATTTATGTTTGGTTTATTTATTATCTTTGTTAAATTTATATTATATTTGTTATGAATACTTTTACTATTACTTGCGACTTTATCATAGTTAGATGCGTCTAATAATAACTCAGTTGTGGCTGATGCTGAAGATAGTAATGATGATTTTGTTAAATTAAGACCTCCAAGATTCATATTATTATTGATGTAATTATGATTATTAGTAGGTAATACTATATTATAAAAAAATACCCTTTCAAATACTCTTTTTATTGTCCTACTTAATATTAGTGCGTTATCACCAAGTAATGAACTGTTCCATCTAGAATAGTTTAAAGAATCACTAATAAAGTCTGTAACTATATTATCTCTTAATTTTTGCTTTATTTTTTGTATTATGCATGTAATTCTTGAACCTATAATTAATACTCCTCCACTTGATATATTTGTATGATGATCAAAATAATTCCTATCATGATTATTTTCATAGAAATCTCTTCTATTTTGAATTTCTGTTGTATATAATATTGGATTTAAATGTGCTATACTCTTCATTGACTCACTTGGTGAAAAGTCCAATGGTATATTTAAATCAACTCTTTCTTTTTCATCATTATCTACGACCATATTTTCAAACAATGCCCTAGACTTATTTAAACTATTATATTCATTGACTGATATATATCCCAAACCAATTTTTGTCTTGTTTCCTAACTTAGAATCTTCTTGACTATTTAGACCAACTTTTTCTTTATACTTTAACTGATCATACATTGCTATACTTGATCCTAATCCCATCCTTCTTAATTCTTTGTTATTAGCCACATATGAACCCTTTGATTCCTTTTCAGTTTCTTCTTTATTTTCTTCTATTAACAATTTCTTTGTTTCCAAATAATCAACTCCCCAAAATAACTGTACTGAATATGGAACCAAACTATCAATTTTAAATGATATCTCTAAACTATAACTTTCATCTGGACTTGAAGAAGATGAAGAATTAGGTATTAGTCTTGTCTTTAATGTTGATTCCTCTAATATACTCATTACTTGAACTTTTTTAACGGTTGTCGGAGATATTGAACATCTTTCTCTAATTATTTGAGAAATATGAGACTTTATCAACTTTTTTAAATCATTTGAATATGGACCCAGTGATGGAATATTTATTACTCTCCCCTCTTCTTGTATAATTTTTATCATTTCATAAAGCTCTATTATTTTTGATAATCTATTAACTAACCATACTGCTGAAATAATAACCAATAATCCTACATATACGTTATGAAAGCCTGGACCACCATACATATCAAAACATAATGCAGGATACAGCTTTGAACATTCTATTATTACTCTTTCTTCCATTTTTGTTTTTTCTTGTCATCTCAATTCGTACTTGCTCGAGTATTTATTTAATTCCTTGAAAAAGGAAAAAAAACCTTTCTCTCAAAATCACTTTCTTCACCTAGAGTTGTTTAATTAAATATTGAATAATATTATATTTTAACTTATTCTTTATTATTTTCCTTAATTCCTATTATAATTTTTGTTGTTTTTACCACATTTTTTTCATATGCACTAATGCAATATTTGCTCCCCCCATGTATACCGCCAAATACCGGTATTGAAACCCCACATGTTTCTTTTTACACGTAATAAAATATTACAAAAAAATTGCATGTGGATAATCAAAATTCGTTTATTTGCATGCAACTAGAAAAAGAAACTAGTTAATTCAAGTGATTAAAAAAAAGGAAAAGTAACAAAAAAAAAAAACTTTAAAATATAACGTAATACTATTAAGAGTAATAATCAAAAACTTTATAACTTTTTTATCGTTAGAGTTCCTTGATGTAAATACCAGAACTTTTTAATTCCATTCAAATTTCTGATGTCATGAGCGACTATAAACGTAGTTGAATGACTAAAATATTTGAAAATAATATTTGTAATCAAAGTTGATTTCTTGTTTGAAATAAAATTCAAATTCATATTATCACTGCAGTAAATTACTGGTGGTTCATCTATAAGTAAAATACTTATTTCGTTTCTCCTAAGGAAATAATGCGTAAACAATAACAATCTCTGTATTTGCATTGGCAATGATAATTCTCCTATATTCTTATTCAAATACTTATTAATTATAGTGAATTTATCATTCCCCATTAAAAGAAGTGCACTTTCATTACATATTTTGTCTCCTTCACAAGAATTTTTGCAATTTATACTATGGTCTAAATTATTCATTGTTTCCCTCTCTATTAAATAATTAGATACACCACATATATTCAATGCTGAAATTATATTATCAGTTGAATAATTATCAAATGGGTCAACTGATTGTCTAATTGTTGTGTTTTCATTGAAAAATACTTCAACTGGAAGCATTGCTACGTGTCTCATCATATAATAATCTTCTAAAAATATCTCCATTATCTGTTCGTCTACATTGCTTCTGCATAGTTTACAGTTTATAATATGATTATTATTTAATGAAATATTATTTGGGGAAATCGAATGGTTTATTATTCCTTTATAATCCAAAGATTTTGCTATTAAAAATAGTAGTGAAGTCTTTCCAGATCCAGATCTTCCTACTATTCCAATAATTTCACCTTTATTTGCCACAGCATTTATGTTATTTAAACAACAAACCTGCTTTACCAAGGTTCCCCTTACTTCTGAACGATCCAACTGAGATTTCTCATTCTCTGATGATAAATTTGAATGATACCCATATGCAGACTCCAATATTATGTTATTATTGTTATTAAAATTATGGGGTCTTAAATTATTGCCCACTTTTTGATTATTACATCCCTCATCTTTGTTACATAATAAGCCACTTTTCTTCATTATATGTTCATCCTTTATTAGTTCTAAGTATTTTCTCATTCTCTCTACGGAAACTAATTCCCTTTCTAATCGCATTAAATACCTTACAACCTCGTCAATTCTACTTAAAGAACTGAAAGCAGTAGCAAACACCAAAACTATCAATATTTTTGAGCTTCCATCTGAAAAATATGAAGAAAATACGTTCAAAAATGTAACTGGAATAACAATTCCAACTTGAAGTCTGATCTTAAGCCAAGCTTCCAATGAAGACTGAATATATATTGGCCTTATAATCTCTTGAAGCTGATCATATCCGTTTTCCAAATAAAATTGATCTAATTTCTGAGGCTTAATACATTCTTTTCCATCACATATATTTCTAACAGTGTCCACTAATAAAGAGATTTCTGAAATATAAGTATTATGTAATAATCGACATGAGTGTATAAAATACCTAAACACATATTTATATAACATATAGCAAAATATTGAAAACAGTAATAACTGTACTATTGGATATTCCGAAGCTATTATAGATAAGTATATAGCTGCCATTACTCTATTAATTGCTGTAACAAATTGTCCAATTCTCTTTGTTGTACAATAATCAATAGTAAGTTGATCTAAACTTATTCTATTTAAAACAAATGATACTGGTAGATACCTGATACAAGAAGATAATTTTGAGCCAATATATCCCAATAAAAATGAATTATGTATATTATTTGCAGCTCTTAATCCGACATAAACCTCTAAAATCCCACTTGCTATTACAGATAGTATTGCCAAAACAATACAAAGAAGATATGTAAAATACAGAAAATCAATACCTGAAATTCCTCCAACTACATTTTTTGTCTCGTTTACTTGTGATAAATTACCCAACAATACTTTTTCCCCAAATATCAAAATTAATTGAGGAAGTAATAGAAAAACTAGATACAAAATCATTTCCAACGATGATTCTTTAACCTTCTTAGTAATTGACCAATTTTTTGGATATTTGAATCTATTTGCAGCTTTCAATATATAAAAAAAAAGAGTTGGGTACGATTTCTCTGAATACCCTACTACTCCTTCCTTCTTTGGAAGAAGTTCTGTAATTTTTTCAGTCTGATTTTCTTCTTTAATACTATTGAATACAACTTCCTCCTGCCCCTCATAATACTTTGATTGAATTGGGGTTTCAGTGATTTCACTCTCATTACTATTGGAATTACTACTTAAATTAATGATTTCATCCTCTTCAGTGGAAAGCTCCCATAAATCTTTAGAGAAATCAGTCTCAAAGCAATAGTCATTAATTATAGAGTTAATACTCATAGATGTATTTATACTGGTATTCGACTTTGGAGTCTCATTATTGACACCAAAACTTCTAGTTTCATGTTCCTTCATTGGCGTTATATGTATTATAGATTCCAGAATATTATCTGGAAGAAAAGTAAGCATTTGAGTATCCAAAATCATCATAGAAAATACATTTTTCAGTAATCCATCTTCTTTATTAAACAGTTTTGATAGTATTGAGCAACACACTGGAGGGTCCAAACTATTAAATATTGAGTCTAAAATCAAAATTGGAATAACTTCTTTATGATCTTGAGACTCTTCACTCTTACAACCAATCCCATATAATGCTCTGGAAAGAGAAAGACGAACCTTTTGACCTCTACTGAACTGAATCTGTGAAAAAATGGTGCTCTTAGCTAAATCATAACTTGAAATCCCCCAAGATACAAAATCATTCTTCAGTTCACAAATATCTACAACCCTCTCCCATGAATCATAGTCATAATCTCTTCCATTCAAAATAATATCAGCCAGACTCATGCCTTCTGTAATCCAGGAATCCAAGGGGACATAACATACTGGGTTAGAAATATCCGCTAATACCTCCACTATTTTTTTGTCACCAATTAAATTGTTTCCACTATTACTACATTCGCTTACTTGACCATTAATTTCAAGAATATCTCTTCTTTCTAATTCTATTTTAACCCCATCTCTTCCATTAACTCCAAAAATCACTCTCCTAAATAAATCTGTCAATAAATAGTTATAAGATATATCATTTGATGAAAATATGACTGGTACTCCATATTTAATTTTTATTTTTTGTGGAGAAAAGGCGCCAAATTGTGCAGGGTCTGCATGCAAAATAATATTTTCATTTCTACTAATAATCTTTAAATGATTTGGAACTTCCAAAGTATTTTTGGCGGGAGTTTTGTTTCTTGTAATTTGCATAAGTTTGGCAAGTCTATTAAGTGCATTATTTCCTTCCGAAATATAGTATATAAGATAACAAAGTTCTTGGAGTGGAGTGTAAAAAGAGGGGACAAGTATTGCAGAGTCAATAATCATTTCAATACTTTTGTAAGTGTCAAAGTGGTTATACCATACATATAAAGAAATAATACCATAACAGAAATAACCCATAGACCTGGAGATAATTTCTTCAAGAGTAAAAAAATACTTTCTAAAGGATCCAAAATACATTTCGTCTCTTCTGGACCCGGATAAAAGGTTATGATAAGTAAAAATAATGTGGTCTTGAGTAAGATTTAAAGATCTTGAGTTTTCTATAATATTAGTAGTTTCAGCAATTCTCTTTTCTCTATGGGCAATAAAAGGCTTTTTGAAAAGAGTACTGATGAATAAAGACAAAACTGCACCTGCAAACAAAGATGATAAAGAAAAAATGAGTAAATTCATGGAATGGTCATCAAAAGTTTTAACAGCAATAGCAAAAGTTGAGGCCAACTTTATAGGAAAGATGAATATTCTAATGGAATATGAAATTGCATTTTCAGAAAAGTCTGAATCTACTGTAATGACATTTTGATATCTTGAAATTTTTGACTTTGGTAGTAGTTCTGAGTCTTGGTTTTGGTTTAAACAAGAGTTAGAATCACACTTTGAAAGTCTTAAAAGCGAAACTCCATTAATAGACCCAATAACCCTTGCTCTAACTAGCAAAATATAATACTTAAGATGAGTCTCAGATAAAAGAAATGTAGCCTTTAAAATAAAAATGATAACACCTGAAATGAACCCAATTTCCTTATCTCCGTTTTGTCTCGTACCTATTAAGGCTCCTATATAAATAATTCCTCTGTATTTAACGAAAGAATCCAAAATGATTAACAAAAACGTCAGAAATACATATCTCGAATAATCCTTTCTAAATGCTTTTAATATACTCAAATATATATCTAATCCTGACCAATTATTGTTTCCAAGCTGTTTTTCCTTTTCATTAATCACATTTTCCAGAATAATTGTGTCATCCTTAATTTTAGAAACGTTGTAGTCAAACGGGATACTTTTAGATTTAAGAGTGGTCAAATTACATTTGTAATCAGAACTATTCTTATTTTGCTTCTGGCTATTTAAGAGATTCTTCTCAAATAAATAATTAACAGTATTGTTAATTTTAAGTAAAAACAAATTATCAATCAATCTTAGGACGGAGTTCAATTTATTTAACATTTTTTCTTCTCAAATCAATTCTTATATATTATATCTAGATTTAATAATTAGGATATCTTCTAAAAATCACCAAATACCCAGAAAATATATACTATTCAAAAAATTTGATATTGTTACTCCTATTAATCCCAAACTTAGATAATCAAACAAGAAGAAGAAAGTAGCTTTTTAGTAAGTATTTAAAACGAAAATATTTAAATACTCTACTTTTCTCAGTCCTGTTATTTTAATCTTATTAATTCAATAACTTATATTGTAATTTGTTCTAATTGTTTCTGTATTCCGAGGAGTTAACAAACTAATTAACCAGATCAAATTCGTTTTTAAAAGTACATTAAAAATACTCAAACCTTTGATTCTTTTTTTTTTTTTCTGGTTCTTTCCATGACTTGTTTAAAATACCCACGAGACGAGAATGGCGCCAACTGCAATGCTGCATATATATCGGAATTGCATACCGGTATTAGGGTTGCTGATTTAAGGACGAACTGAGGAAAAATAAATAAAAATTTATTTACAAAAATAAAAAAATAATTACATACTAAATCAAATCAGACATTATAGCAAAAACATAAATCATTTTTCAATCAAATCGGTTCTCATAAAGCTAAATAATTCGGAGTTGGAGAATGAATTGCGGTCAAGTTGTGTGTCTTTGATTATCTTTCCACTACTCAAAACTAGAACGCGGCTGGCATATTGAAGACTTCGAATATCGTGGGAAGCTATGAAGGTAATGCAATGCTTGAAATACTTGTTAATAACAGAGGATAGAATACATTCAGAGTTATTACAACCAATTTTTTCATTTAATTTGTCTTTGTTCATTTTTCCATTAGAAACAATACTATTTTCCATCTGATTCCTTAAAACTACTGGAGGTTCATCCACCAGTATAATCCTTAATTTATCTTTTTTAAGGAAGAAGTTTACAAAAAGTAACATTCTCATTTGAAGAATCCCAAATTTTATTTCATCTAACTTGGTCTCAAGAAATTTTAAAACTGCATTGTTTTCACTTAAAAGAGCACTTTCTTGGTCACAGTCTATTGATTCTAACTCAGAATTAGAACTTTCATTTCTTTCCAAGTATGACTCAAACCCACAAATACTAAGAGCTGCTTTGATATTGTCCAAATCATATTCTTTAAGTGGGTCAACAATGTCCCAAATAATACCATTTTTATGGAAATAAACCTCCAAAGGTAAAAATGCTATGTGGCTAAGATTTTTCTGAGACATGATAATAGATTTAAGAATCATTGGATCAAAGTCTTTAAATGGGAATTTTAATGATTCCAACTTGTCAAACATCTTTTCACTGCTATTTTCTAACCCTAAAACTGTCATTTTGCCACTTTTACATGGCAATAAATTGGAAAGTACATCTAGTAAAGTTGTTTTTCCAGATCCAGTTCTTCCTATTATTCCAATAACTTCCCCTGCCTTAAAATTTGCTGTAATTCCTCTAATGTTTTTAATGTGAATAATTTTTGTACCTATTAGATGAGAATTGTCAAAGTTCGAATTTCCTTTAGAATCTAATCTAGAATGCTCTGCTTCAACATTCTTAAGCTCGATTTCCACTTTCCCTTTCTCTTGTTCACTATGATGCTTTTCTTTTTCATGTTCTAAATAATCTGACCCAGCCTCTCTGGAGGCAGCCAAATACAATCTTGATCTCTCAACTGATACTAGTTCAGTTTCCAACTTTGACCAGTATCCAACAAGTATAGATAAAAGAGGAGCTAAACCTGTTGCTGTAGCTATAGCCAATGCAATCACAGATCTAGTGGATGAACCTTGGTTATTTGATACGTAGGGTAAAATAATGTTAATAAAGGTAACTGGAATCGTTAATAGAATTTTAATTCTCATCTTAAACCAAGAATCCAAGCAAATTTGAGCAAACCTAGGTTTCAATACTGAGTTAATTCTATTTATAGTCGTTTCAAAGAAAAATTCTTTGACTTGATAAGAATTTATACACTTCTTTCCTTTACCAATAGTTTGTATCGTATCCACAAGAGGAGAGTATTCTGATATGTAACATGATCTCAAAGTTCTACAACCATTTGTAAAGTAACGTATAAAGAAGTGGTATATTGAAATTGCTACAAGGCCAATTGAAGTTAAAGTTAGGAATGAATTAACGGACCCAAAAATTAGAGGGATAGCAGAAATAAAGATGGAATTTAAAATAATAATAACAAATCTTATCCTTCTGGTAATACAGTAATCTATTTGTAGTTGATCGTTTGAGAGTCTATTTAAAATAAAACTCATAGGAAGCCATCTTAAAATTGAATTTGAAGTTGCTCCTAAATAACCCAATAATACTGAATTATGGAAATACCTCGCAGCTCTAAATCCAATCCTGATTTCCAGCAGAAGAGCAATACAAGTAGAAATCATTGAAATGACCAAAGCTGTGTTATAGAATAAGCTCCAAAAAGAAAGTACATTGTATCCAAGTAATGAGGGTATTTTGAACAAAAGAGTTTTAAATCCTGTTAACTTGTCTGATTCAAAAAATTCTATTGAGTTCCAATTTAAATTGGTAATACTATTCTCCTCTAAAATAATCAAAAATAAGGATTCACCAAGTTTAACCATAATTTGTGGTAGTACCAACATAAATATCATCATAAAAGACTCAAAACTGGATCCTTTAAAGTCACTATGAAAAGAATGAAGATTTTTAACAATTTTTTTGGATCCAGTAACAAACATGTAAAAGTAGCTGGTAGGGTAATAGTGACTGTATTTGTTCTTTTGAATGTCAATTTCTGAAGTATTCTCAATTCCTTCATTACACACTATTTTAAGGTCCTGAGGATTTTCCTGAAGATCGCATTTGGTTACATTAGGTTTTTTCTCTGCAATAAAACCAGGAGATACCAAAGCTCCAGAAGAGTTTCTAACACAGTTCACAGTTACTTCCTCAGTACTAGTAATCATTTTGTCACTCATATTTACTATCTTGTAAGAAAAGCCGTTATTATTTGAAGCCTGCTTTATAAATTCCAATATTGGAGGTTCTATCACTATTACAGACATACTGTCAGAAAGAAGTCCATTTTTGGAAAAAAGTCTCTCTATTATAATCTTGCATACAAAAGGATCTAAGGAGTTCAACACACAATCAATTAAAAAGATTCTCGGTTTGTTCTCATTGTTTGATAAAGTGGAATAAATAGCTCTTGCTAAGGACAATCTCACTTTTTGTCCTGTACTAAACTGTTTATCCGTAACAACCATTTTTTGTGTTTCCTCAAAAGATCTTATACCCCAATTCAAAAAGTCCATTTCTAAATCACATTGATATATAACTTCTTGCCATAGCTTTTGATTATATGCACTTCCACAGAGAATTAGGTCCGATAGTGGAAGACCAGTGGGAACCCATAACAACTGTGGTACATATCCAACTAAGGCTCTAGAAGAAATATCAGAAATATTTTCCAACTGACCATTTTCTAGTTTAAAAGAAATTGACCCGCCCGCGCCAAATCCACTTATCTGCCCATTTTGACATGTACTGGAACTGAAAAGAAGGCCAGCAATTCCTTCAAGAAGAGCAGACTTTCCACTAGAAAACTTTCCAAGAACAAAGCAAGGCACTCCTGGAGAAATATTTAGGTTAACGTTGATTACACTGGGAGCAACGTTTTTACCACGGAAGAAAGAAACATTATTAAGCACAATTCCAGAAATGTTAGAATTGGATAAAGAAGGTTCTTCTAAACCAATGTCTTGACTGGGGTCATTTTGGGTAAAGAAAAGGAATTGTGCAATTCTTTCTATAGAAATGGTACCTTCAATGATGAAATAAACGAAGAATAATATGTCATTAAGAGGATGATAGAATGTAGGAATGAGCCAGGCACTTTGGATAATCATTATAGAAGCTTGAGAAACTGGAATCTTGTTGTAAAAGATATAGGACCCAATGACTAGAGTGCAAGATAAAGTAATCCAGTTATCGAACACTTCTGTGATCATACAAATGTATTTTCTTAGAGAGTTGTAATGAAGTTCAATATTTCTATTTCTGGAAATTAAAAGGTGAATAGAGGAAAATAGTTGTTGGGTAACTGACAGGTATTTTGATTGTTCAAGGAGTCTACTAGTTTCCTCAACTCTTTCTTCTCTTGCTTTGAGAAAAGGTTTCTTGTACATGGCGCTTAAAACTTGAGTTACTGCTGAAATTAAAAAGCATGTAAATAAGGAAAGAAGACAAAGGATAAGAGGAGTACCACCAAATACTGAATGGGCCACTAAAGCTGAAGTGAATATGTGCAGGGGATAAAGTATGATATTAATGGAATTTGAAATAGCAAATTCTGTGAAATCAGAATCAACTAGAATAATGTTTTGATATAAAGACAGTATTTCTGTTGAGCTATTATTATCCAAGATGCAAAGTCCCTGTTTATTTTTAAGTCTCTTGCATTCTAAAAACCTTAAAAGAGATGACCCAGAAATAGCAGATTGTACTTTAAAGTGAACCCATGAATTGTAATATTCACAATGTGTTGTAAATACAATGCTAAATATTTGGAGTATTATTAAAAACAATCCTGGAAGTAAATTTGCTAATATTGGTTTCGATGAATTTTCTGATACAAAAAAATTAAAGAATTCTTTTGCTTGAACCTTCACAAAATATGAAATAATCAGATTAATGAAAAAAAGTAAAGAGTAAATACCATAGAATTTTTTAAATGTTTTTAGTATAATCAAATAAACTGAAAAACAGGTCCATACATTTTTTCCATCCTTACTATTTAGCTTATCATAATCTCTAAAGGCTTGTTCTAATGTTTTAATATCTTCAATGTAGTCCTTATTGTCGTATTCATCAGGTATTTCTGAAGATCGAATACTGCCTTGTTTCTTTTCCCTATTTTCGCGCTCTTTAATAAAAAGTGACTCTGCTGTTCTACCTGCATTGAAAAGCAAGATATCGTCAAGGAATGACTTGAACATTTTATTTGAAGTAATATTTTGAAAATTTATACTATATTTTCATGCCTATTCAAATCTGACTTTTTTATCAGCAATTTAATGGAGGTCTCTATATTATATTGAACTGATTGCGATTTAAGGTATAACAAGAATAATTAAAGAGCAGAAAAAGTGTACTAAGAATTTCTGAATTAATTGATTAGTCTTGTCTGAGTGTTATTTTCTTTAATTTGATCAAAACTAATTACAGGTATAATTTTAGTCTATGAAAAAAAAGTTTCTCTGATATCAATAATATGTCTTTCGGCTTTTGTTTTATTCGATTAAATCAGATTTTTTGATTATTAAACTCAAATTCTTGAACTAAAATAGTAAAAATTAAACCAAATAATCCATAAATAAATTTTTATATTTAATTTTTTTTCACTGAGACAAAATATACTGAAATAATATTTAATTAAAAATTGATTTATTATTACGCACCGGGTATACCGTCTTGTTTTTTTTTACTTATACCGTTGTATCATAGAATGACATGTGGACAAAAAAAAATAATTTTTTTTTCGTAATTAGAATTTAAGTAGATAAATATTTCTAGAAAATATAATAGTCCTAAATAAATTAGTTTCTTTATAAGTGAACAAAATTCTTAGTTTTGCAAAAGATAAATTGTTGGTTGTACTCATTGATTTTATAATATAGGTCTTTGTAAATGTAAATCATTTTGGAAAAAAATAACGTATATAAAAACAATGAAATGTCTAACTAAAATATTTCAGAAACTCTACGATTATTATTAGTAACTAAAAGACGATTAATGCTGGAGATCTGGTCAAAGTGGTGCGTTGTAATAACTACGGAACAGTTGGAAAAGTACTTTTTAAGAATGAAATCAATAACTGAAATGTAGCCACCATCTTCTGTCGTTAACCTATAGTTTGGTAGTTCATCAAGTAGAAGTAATCTGTAGTTTTGACTGTTAAGGGCAAGACGAAGCAAAAGTAACATTCTCTTTTGATTTTGGTTGAAATTAAAATTGCTTATAGGTAAATCCAATATTTGCAGGTTTAATGGAGAAAGAAGTAGAGAGCAAGATTCGTAGGATTTGGATGACAAATCCTCATTTTGAGCTAGCTGATCGTATAATAGATTTTTTTTCTTGTCAACAAGTCCAAATAAATCCAATAAATCCAAGATTTCTAAGCTTGAGCGAATTTTCTCAGAATCTAAAACTTCTATCAGTTTTAAGTTTCCAGGAAAATCTACTTTAATTGGTACATAAGCTATAGTGGATAAGAACTCAAGCATTTTAACAGAGTTCAAAAGAATGTTTGGGTCAACTTCTGAAATCTCTGAAATAATTTTAATTCTCTCTAAAGACGACTCCTTCATCCTATAAAAATCATCCTGCTTTTCTTTATAGTTCTTTGTTTCAATATCCTCATCGCTAAACATATGATGGCAGTAGACTCTTCCATTTACGCTCCCCCCACAAAGAGATAAATACCTTCCACTATCTTGAACTTCTTTTCGTAATCCGTCTTCCAGACCTAGAAGACCTCCCTGAACTATATTCTCTAACCCCTTATCTTGCTCATCCTCATCTCCCATGACTAATAATCCTCTGTGGACAGTTTTCGTGCCTTTATAAGCCTCTATAATTCCACCAATTACCTTTAATAAAGTGGTTTTTCCAGAACCTGTTCTTCCAACAATTCCAATAACATCACCGACTCTAATCTCCAGATTCACCCTTTTCAAGCAAGAACACTCAATAAGATCACTGTAGTTGTTCATCACTGAGGAAAATGGATCATTCTTTAGTCTAAGGTGTCTGCAATCCACGTTTTTTAAAGTCATCAGTAAAGAAGAGTTCTCTGTGGAGTGATCGATCTCTAGATTACTCCCAAATCTGTCATCCTGTATTGCTTCCATTAGAAGCTTCATCCTTGTCACTGCCAGAAGTTCATTCTCCATCTTTACCCAGTATTTTACTGTGGATGATGTAATCTTTGGTATTGTTAAACCCACTCCTATTATAAAAATAACCATCTGTGAAATCTCCCTGTTCTTTGTTTCCAAACTCGAAAATAATACTGGAAATAAAATGTTTATTGATGTCAAAGTTACAGGTAATAAAAAGTCCAACCTTAGTCTTAACCATGCAAACATCATATTCTGACAATAAAGAGGCGCCACAAGTTCGCGCGCCCGTTGGTTGCATTTTTGCACCAAGTACGAAGATAAGTGATTTTGGTGGATGTCATCAATACCAAGATTAATAGAATGTGTGAGGTCTGAAATAGCTGTTTGGCAATTAAGGAAAAGTAGTCTGAGGGTTCTGCAAGAGTTAATAAAATAGGAGAGATAGTTCCAATATATAAAGAATATGTAAATGAAACCAATAGGAATGTAGGTCATAGGTTCTTTAAAGTTTATAGTAAAAGAGATAATAACAAAGGCAGCAATCTTATTGATATGGTGAAGAATTTGGCCAATCCTTTTTGTGATACAGTAATCAATTACTAGTTGGTCGTTAGAAAGATGGTTAATAATACTAGATACTGGAATAATTTTAATTATAGAGTAACTTGTCAAGTACCCATATAAAATTGTATTATGAATATAATTGGCAGATTTTAACCCAATGTAGATTTCCAAAAAAATTGTGATTACAAAGTTCACTAATATGAATAAGGAATAGTGTAGGTATTTGAGTAAGTCTTTAAACATGTTTGTAGTTTTGTTCAAGTTGTTTATAATGTTGTACTCAGTTATTTTGAATATCAACAAAGGAGCTATTGAGAACAATAAATACACAAAGATTAAAGACTTGTTTCTTTTAATACTCGAGATCTTATTCATTTTGGTGTCAAATTTATATCTGATTTTATCATTAGTTTGAAATAAATAGTATTTTAAAGAACTTGAGACCCATCTTCCATTTTTTAAAGATATTAAGTTTTTTACATCTTTCTCTATGTCTATTTTGTTCTCCCTTTTTAAGCCGTTACATGTATTAGAGTTTGGTGTTAAATGCGTTTCAGTTTGAATATTATTTAAAAGAAACAAAGGCTCTTTAATATTATTATTAACAAAGTAATTAATGTAGTTTAGGAGGTCCTCATTTTCAGCTGGATCCTCACTAATCAAATCCTTCATTCCAATATAACGGTGACTAACTATTCTCAAGTCCTCAGTAATACCAGTTACATTAATTAAACATTTTTGATTGTACTCTAATAAAGTTTTGTACCCATCCTCAAAAATGAGACTTTTACAGGATCTAAAGTAAACTGTGAAGAAAAACATGTTCAGTAAATCTGGGCTTATTGAGATTATTCCAAAGCTAGAGTTTAGGATTCCAGTTAGCTTCTCATCTTTGTTAAAGAGAGAGTAAATCATTCTACAGCTTGTCTCTCTATCTAATGAGTCAAAAATATTCTCTATTAAATAAAAAATACAGTAATTCCTTCCTAAAGGACCAGTTGAAGCTGTTGGTGAGATTGGAGATGAACTATCTGATTTTTCAGGGTTTCCAATATGATACCTTGAGCTTTGTACCAGTTTATTATAAAGAGATCTAGCAAAGGAAATTCGAATTCTTTGGCCGGTACTTATTTGTTTACTGTTAATGGTATCATTAATGTTAATACTTTTATTATATATATCAGTATCTAGTTGACAAATGTTGACTACCAAGTTCCACAGATGATAGTCAAAGGTTTTATCACAAATTATCAATTCTTCAAGCTTAGCATTATCTAAAATCCAAGACTTTTTACTGATATAACAGGTTAACCTGGCTATTTCTCTGTTACCATTTAGTGAAACAAGATCTTTTGAGCCTTTTAATTTACATCTAACCAAGAATTTTGAGCTACAAGCATCTTCATCCACAGAAAATTTTGCAATCTCCTTAAGGAAATTAAGGGTTTGCCGACTTGGGTTATCTTTTTCACAATCAAAAACTATATTCAAACATCCTTTCCTTAATACTATATTCTCTCCAGAACATAAATCTTGTATCTCAATTTGTTCAATATCATCCATTCTAGTTTGACTCAAGTTATGTAAACCTATTTCACTAATACAAGAATGAGAGTCAAAATCACAAAGAAAATCTTTGATTCTATTAATAGCATTTGTGGCCTCTGAAATATAGTAAGTCATATAGGCAATAGAAGAAATTGGTTTTACTAAAATTGGTATGATGAAACTGCAGTTAGTGAGTATTGACATAACTTCTGGTCCTGTGTAATTTTTGTAATAACAATAGATACAAATTGCCATAGAACAGAGGATTTCCATCCAGTGTGATACTATTTCACCAACACAATACCATAACTTCCTGTATTTATTAAATTTCATTTCCTTGCTTCTATATCTTTCAACCAGATTCATAAAGAGAGTATCATTGATGTGTGTAAGTATAAAGTCATCATTTTGTGAGATTGATTTAGTCAAACATGATATCCTTTCTTCCCTAGCTTCCATAAAGTTTTTCTTGTAGCTACTACTAATCCACTGAGATGCTATGCTTACTGCACCGGTTATTAATAATATTAGAGCACAAATAGATATAGATTTAGCATCTATGAACATATTTGTGATTCCAAATAAAAGGAGTAAACTAAATGGAAAAGTGATTAGTTCCATCCCATAAGAAACAATATATTCTGCAAACTCTCCATCTACTGATACAATATTTTGAATCTTGGAGAAGTCTTGGGTATCATTAAATAGAGATTCACGACGTTTATTATTTAATCTCTTATTCTTTAACATTAAATTCATCAGAAACAAGGTTAAGCTTCCTCTTACACGAATATGAAGTACTTCTGTATAGTAATCCACATATATATTAAACAAAATTTCAATAATGTGGTTAATAATCAGGCTCACTCCTTTTACATATTCAGATCCTACTCCAATGCTCTCTTTAAACTTCTTCAAAAAATATGCCAGGAAGAACGTTGCAAGCATTAGTGAGAACTTTAAAAGTAATAAAATTGTGTAACTACTTTTAAAAGCAGAAAATATCATCCAGATAACATTCCAAGTTGAAATTTTTGAGCCAGATTGGTTTTGCTGGGTAGTTTGAGCATGGTGATTAGTTTTACAATATAGTTTAAATTTGTCATTAATCCTTTTGGAGTCTACTTCCACTTTATATTGTTTACCTACATAGTTCTTTAGTTTATCAAGATCAAACTCCACGTTTTCCCATATCTTTATATTTAATTTATTGATTCTAAAGAAGAAAGGATCTCCTAATAATGTGTACATCTCAGAAATTTTGGAATTAACTCTATTTGCAATTGTTTTTAATGCATATTTTTATAAAATAGAATATAAAAATTTTGTTTATTTTTTTTTATCTACTCTTTATTCATTATTTACTCTATAAGTAGCTCAAAAAAATGTTTTTGAACTTAATTTGCTTGTTAAAACTCTTGTGCACTAAATAGTCTCCCAAAATATCACAAGTAATAAAACTAATAGTATTTATGGTAATAATAATAATAATAATGTTAATATTATTAATAATAATAATAATATTTGTTGTTATTATATTATTTAATCTCTACCAAATTTTTGTAATACGACAAGTGCAATTTTAAAGATACGTATATTCATCTTTTAAATTTGTTCCGTTCTCCCCTAATACAATTTTTTAAAGTCTAAAATAAGTTTAAAAAAAACGCAGAAGAGAGAATTTTTTGTCTAGAAAAAGAAAGAAATTGCTTTATAAAAGTAGTAATTCATAAGAAAAGAATTGAAAAATACTAAAACTAAAATCCTGTAAATCCCGATTCGCCTAAAATTTATTTATTTATTTATTTAAAACCCATCTTTTATTTACGACTATTTCCAATTTGTATTCATTAGACAATTAATTAAGTTCAATTTATTTATTATTAAATTGAATTTTTCCCCACAGTTAATTTATGCCTTAATTCAATTCAATTTAGGGTAACGGAATTTCCCGCTTTCCCCGCCGAAAATCAAAATAAAAAGAGACGAGTATTATAAGGCATAAAAAATAAATAGATAAAAAATTAAAAATTATGAGGGTATTTGGCGCCAAAATAAAAATAAGTATTAATAAAACAAAAGAGCTAATGAATGATAATGGAAATAATAATTAAAAGTAATATATAATACTAAAATGTAAGATAATTAAAATAATTATTTAGAGTAAAAAAGAGAGAAAAATAAAAATATCTATAGTAAACTTAAATTTGGAGGGTAAATTTGAAAATAGCGGGTAGTGAAATACTAGTGATATTGACATCAGACTAAAATAGTAATGAATGGAAAAAAGGGAAAATAGTGAAAAATATATTAGCATCGATAAATTAAGATAAAATTTTGATCTAGACCTTTAGATTAATTTATTTCATTTTTTTCAGGATTCCTTTAAGAAAAAAAAAATCAGGTTTAAAAATTAATATTTATTTAAAGGTTAAAGTGTGAATAAAAAATTTGGCTTTAATTTTTTTTTTTTCTTCAATTTTTGACTTGATAAAATATAAGATATTAGATTGTTAATATAGTTGAAGTTTTTTAATAGAATATTTAAAAACTTCGAGTAAGAATGAGTACTGGGTTCAAGGTGGATTTTGCCTCGAAGGAGGATATTATAAAGTGTAATTATGAAGAATGCGAAGATAGAGGAAATAACTTGAGTTTTAATAGTGATGTGAACAGTGTCACTTATGATGATGTTTCTTCAATAAGTGAAGAATTTTCAGAATATAATTTATCACGCACCCAGAGTTCATTGGCTCCACCAATAGAAGCTTCTGCAATTAGGGACGTAGAAGAAGCATGGAGAGCCTTATCTAAAGAATTAGAAGAAAATCACTCAAAACCAATAATTCGTACTCTTGGGACTGTTTTTGTAACAAGAGAGGAAGTTGGAACAAAGGATTCAATTGAATATAGAGTATTTTATAAAAATGAAGAAGGTAAAAAAATCTCACCATGGCATGATGTGCCGTTGTGGTTTTCAGAAACACCTCTGTTATATAATATGATCATTGAGATTCCAAAATTGACCAATAAGAAATTTGAGATCAACACAAAAGAAGAATATACTCCCTTATATCAGGATAGAAAGTTGGAAAGGCTTAGAACTTATCCAGGTCCAATTCCTTGGAATTATGGTGCTTTTCCACAAACGTGGGAAGATCCAAATAAGAAGGGAGACGAGAATGTTGATTTTAGTCACGGTGACAATGATCCTCTTGATGCTGTTGAAATTGGAGTAGGACCTCTTCCACGTGGAACAGTTATACCAGTAAAAATTCTAGGTTGTCTTGCTTTAATTGATGATGATGAATTGGATTGGAAAGTCGTATGTATTCGTGTTTGTGATCCTAATGCATCACAACTTAATGACATTACAGATGTGGAAAAGTTTTTCCCTGGCACTATAGATAGGATTAGGAGATGGTTTGGGCTTTACAAAGCAGTTGAGAACAAAGATATTGCAAAGGTTAATATGTATGGACATTTTGGAGAACCTCAATCTGCGGAATTTGCTCATACAGTAATTACAGAAACTCACCATTCATATTTACGCCTTATTAAGGGAGAAGCAGCGAATTCGTGTTCATTATGGATACCTAGAAGTCTTTCTAATAGTAATGAATCAGAATTATGTCACACAGTATGCTCTACAAACAGCACTGCTACTGTATCTAGCAATGATATTGAAGGATTTCCTGTTAATGAAGCGATTAAATGATATAGTTCATTCAATCAATTTACATTTCAGAATTTTAAATTTCTGAAATATTTTTTTTACATAAAACATTCTCCTCATCTTCGGATACATTATCTACCTTCATTATATCTAATTATCACTAGCAACCTTATCATTACTAATCAATTAAAAACTATTTGCTATTACTATCAATTTACTAAGGTGATTCGCATCCTTATATTCAAATTATTGAAAATTAACAACTTATCAACAAGAAGTTGTATATATATTAATTATTTTTTAAAGATTTCCGTCATTTCATAATCTACTTGTATTTAGATTCTCCACTCAGCATCGTTTTACGTTATAAAATTAAACTTTAGACTTATTAATAAATAATATTTGTACATGTTTTGGCGCCAGAATGCATACAATTTATTTGTATATATTTTGGAAGGCATGTTAAAAAAATAAGGTAGAGGGAAAAATGACAAAAATTTTGATATTGATTATTGAGTGAAAGGAATATTTAAAAAATAAATAGTTTATATTAGATTAGCTTTAAATATTTTAAATAATTATTTTCAATTTGATTGACAATATTTAGAAATCTTCCTTAATTATTGTTTTTATATGCAAATAATTGTGGGTAAAGGTGAGAAAAAAAGGGGGGGGGAGGGAGAAGGAAGGATAGAAACAGGATATATTTATTTTTATAAAAGAATTTTTCTATTTTATAGCCAATTTTCTTTTAAATTAATAATGACTAAAGTGACGGACTGTGGTACAAAAGAGGAATTCCAAGGTTTGAAGAAAGTGGGAAAGGAGAAGTCATCTGGATCTGGTATCTTAAAACACCTTATATTAGGATCTCTGATTGCGGTAATCTTGGGGTGTATATCTAAATATTACTTTTTTGATAAGATTGTTTTAACTGACGAGAAGATACAAAATAAATCATCATTTAATCAAGATGACATAAATACTAAAAATAAAGACGAAACTTCAACAAAAGGAACTTTTGGAGAAGAAGAAGAAGATATGGAATTACTTCAAAATGACAACAAAATTCATTTGGAACAAATCCCACAAGAAGATTCTTTGGAAGACAATGATGAATTAATGTTCAACAATGAAGATGCAATTTTAGATGACGAAGCAGAATACGATTATCATGATGATATTGATGAGGATGAAAGCGAAGATGGTGAGAATGAGTCTCAAATGGACTCTGAGACTTTAAAGAGAATCTTAAAAGAAGATGTACAATTGGAATTGGATGAAGGTTTTGCCACAAAAGAGTCTGAGAATGAAGATAGTGTTGATATTAATGATGATGCAGAAATTGACGAATATGAACATGAAGTTGATGACGATATAACTGATAATAACTGGTCTGATGATGAGTCTGAACTCAAAAGGATGGAAAGTCAGCAAGAGCAAGAGCAACAACAACAACAGCAAGAGCAACAACAACAGCAACAAGAACAACATCAACAACAATAAAATCGATATTATTCATAGTAATAGTAGTAGAAATTAATATAAACATTTTGTCAGTTAAAATCTAAGGATTTATTATTATTTTTTTCCTCCACATGTAAATGTTATTGAACTTTTATGCCGGTACTAATTAATGCTTGCGTTGCCGCCATACGTGTAAAAAAAAAAATGAGTAAAAATATGGATTAGGTACCTACTCAAATTTTACTTGATTTCTAATTGCAACAAAGAAAATACATCTATAGACAATTTTGAACATACTAGTGTTGTTTCTAGTATATGTGGCATCTCTCCATTCTTCTTTAACAATTTTGAAATATTTGGAAATTACGAACTTAATCTCTTCCCAAGAAGGTTCAATCGAAACAACGTCACTTAATCCCGAATAATGATAAAGTAGTGGCCCCAAATTAATCCATAAACCATCTGGGGGTAACAGATTAGTAATAGTTCGAATATAAGTGATAATGTTTTTGGCTGTATCTAAAAAGAAACAAGTTAAAATGGCGTCCCAAGCTTGAATTTGTTTCGAGTAAATCTCAACAAAATCTCCTGCACACATACTTAAGTCATGTCCTTGTTTTATATGTTCATTTACACATACATCTGGAATAAGTATAGACCGCAAATTATCATCTTTACTTGGTCTGTTAGAAAGAGAGAGAACGTATGGATGAATAATTATGGAATTAACTTTGAACATATAATTTAAAGCAAAATTGCTTCCTAAAAGCATTGCGTAACTTATTTCATTACCTTGACAAGAGTAACCAAGTCTAGCAACTTCGAATAATAATCTCCCTAATCCTGCTCCTGGAATAAGGACCTTTAATTTCTCGGATGATGATAAATTGTTTTTTATTGGAAGATAATCTTTTAAGGCTTGTATCATTGGACCATATGATTCTTCTCTTTCTAATCTTCCTTCCTCACTCCAGTCCCTAACAAACTGTCTTAGAGTTGCTTTAACTTTACACAAATTATTTAAAGTTGTATTTGGGATACAATTTGGATTTTTTCCGGAATAAATCTTTAAATTCTTATTTTCATTAAGTTTGTTATTATTATTGTTATTATCAACAATATTATTTATATCAATGTTATTCAAGTTGTTACATTTATCATTATAGTTTAATTCAACCTGATCATAATAGAGATCAGGAGAAAGCATTAATTTTAAGAAATTCTGATTTGTGCTTATGCAATTTCTTAATTTATCAATTTCATTTTCAATGTCCGTGATCCCTAATAATTTTCTATCTTCTGGTGACAAGCTGTAAAAATTCCTTTCTATTCTAATTAAATCTTTAATAGAATCCCATTCGTACATTAAAAATGATGTAACAACGCTAATAAAGTGATTGTAGTCACTCTCTATATGCTCTTTTGCTTCTTCATTATTATCTATTTCTTTTGAACATAGTGGGAAATTATCTTTAAAATAATCAAGATATCTGAATACATCCTCATCATTCCCATTATAGTAAACTACTTCATTCATTTTTTCATTATCTGAAGAATTATCAATGTCACTCATTTTTGTATTTCTTCATCAAATAATCTTTATATCCTTCTAATTAATGATTAATCTGTTAATTACTCACAAATTTAGAGTAAATTCTATTTCTCATAAAGCATGATATGCAAAAGTAATATCATTATAAATGCTTATTATAACAAAAGAAGAAAAGATTGAATTAATAATCAATTTCATTCTTTTCCTTCGTTTATTCAATAATTTCCTATTTGAGCACGGATTTCAACTAATAAAACTCAGCAATCCTTATTTAGTTATTATATATATACATATATATACATATATATATATACATATAAATATATATATATATATGTATATATATATATATATATTGTTTAAAATATTTTAATATTTGATCACTTCTCCCAAATTTTTCTTTAAAAGAAATCTGTCCAATTTCGAGGCTATTTATTATATTAAATAATTTAAAGGTTAATTTTAATAATTATTAATTATATTTATATTTTATTATTATTTATTTTTTGAAACTTAATTCGGTACCCTTTTTGGCGCCGTATTTTGTTAATTTGTGATCATGAAATTAATTCTGTGAAAAAAAAACAAAGGATATAATGAAATTATTACAATGAAAGAACAGCAAATATCTGAGAGATTTTTAAGTTTTTTGACAAGATATTATAAGGAGATTTATGATGATTTTTCAGAACCAGATTTGGATGTAATAAAAAAGTTGAAAGATGAAATTTTAGATTTTGAGAATCAAGTAAATCTTTCTGATATAATCTCAAAGAACGAAGAGATTGAAGATTTGAATACAACTGATATAAAATATTTATTGTATTCTTACATAAAAGCAGAAACAGTAAGGTATTTAAAAGATCACAATGTACCAAAAGAACGAGTAAAAAGAAAAGACGATTTGGAGGAAATCAATGAATTATATTTACAATTTTTTAACGATACCCTTGAAATTAAAAATACAATTTTTAAAGATACTTTAAATTTGGTAGATAATTTGCAGATTAAGAAATATATTGAAGAAAAGGAGAAAGATTTTGCTAAGGATACTAGGCAATCAAAGATAATGAGATCCAAAAAAATTAAAGAATTAAAATCTACATTATCTTTGTTCTTTAAATCTGGATTTAATTTATCAGATGATGGTGAAAACAGAGATATGTTTTTGAAGGCGATTAACTTATTCTTTTTAGAATCAATAGAAAAAGTTTCTATGATAAATAATGAAATTAATTTATTAAATTATGTGATAAAAGAAGAATTTGCAAAGATTTATGAAAATAAAAATAAAGATATTAATGTAAAGAATACAGAATTTCAGACTCAAGAACATCAACCTGCAATGAATGTACATCATATTGCACCAAATGTTCGTTGTTTAACATCTAAAGAAAATAACAATGCGTGCTTTATGTTTAAAGATATTAACACTGGGAAGGGAATTACAATAAATCATAGAGAACAGTTTTATTCCAAAGTGTTTGGGCCAAGCCACACTCTTCCCACAATTTCTATAGCAGAAGCTGCTGATATGGAACTTAAAGAAGCTTTAGAACAGGAGAAATCTTCAAGTATTGCTAGACAAAAAAAAGAAGAGAGAGATCAGATTCTACATGATAAAGAGTATAGCAAAGAAGAAGAAGAAGACGAAATTAAGGCCAGATCATGGGATGATTGGAAAGATCTAAATCCTAAAGGTCATGGTAATACTATAGGAAATCGTGGTTAAGCCAATTTTATTTTTGGGCGGGAAATGCTACAAATTTATTTAAGTTTTGTTTATGTATTATATATAACTTAAATGTATATAATATTATATTCAATATATTAATATTAATTTATTAATATATAATGCTGAAATACTCTTAGTAAAGAAAACATTTATGATATAAATTGTTATTCAACACAATTATGTGAATTTTACCACTAAAGATTACAATATAATTATTAAGAAAGAAAAGTGAAGTATTTACTAATTTGGAGATTCCAATATGCCAACCATGAACTAAATATACGGCTTTTTTAAATTAACAATTAATTATCTATGTTTGAATCTATGATTTTATAATAAGCATAAATAATGAACAAAAGAGATCGTTCCGAAATTGAAACTTTAATTGAAGACAATTCAAAGGGAGAACAAACACCAAATGAGGAACCAGAACATGAAAATAAAACAAGTGCCATAATTGATACTTTTTCTAACTCTGATCCCAACTTAAATCACACAATTTCTGAAGGAAATCTGGGTTTGGAATTTAATTCTGATTCTATACCCAAGTCAGTAGATAAAAATGATGATATGATGGAATCAGGATCTGAACCCGAGAATGGAAGCAAAAGTGAAGATGATGAGGATGGATATGAACCTTATATTAAGTATTTGCAAGCTTTAAGCTTGTCTTGGAGTAGTTGGGAAGCTTCATCAATGCTAACAAAGGACTTGGTTGAATATATGGTACCAAGATTTCAAGACTGCAGTACACCTATAAAGGTGAGAATCATTATGAGCATATTATATATAAGTGATTATCTTCGTGAATCCTGTAAACAAGAATTTATGAGTATTTTAAATTTTGGGGAATTGGATAGAGATGACTGGGTAAGAAAATTATCCAGATTAATGATACCTTATGTTCAAAAAGGTGTTCTTGATTTGGGAGAAACTGATACAGAAACAGCCTTCAAAATTTTACGGTATCTTGATGAGTTAAGAATGAGGGAAAACATTGATTTTAGGTTAAAACCTCCTTTAGAATCTATTCATATGTGTGATCCTTTAACTGATGAATCGATTCATAATGAGATCCCCTGCTATAATGTCGATTATGACAACTTTGCTCCTCAAAAAGACTTTGAGCTATTGCTTGCTGAAGTTGAAAAAGATGGTCTACATAAAATGAGAATGGCAAGTAATTCCTTCACTAACACAAAGTAAATCAACACATATCAAGCAATTTTTGCCTTATTAATTATAAAAAATACACCTCTACTCATTCTTACTTAAAATGCTCAATTATTATTTTAATCCAACAAATTAAGAACAAAAAACACAACAAACAATTTATTGATTAATATTTTTTTCTATACTCAAACTATTGTCATTCCTTAATGCATTTTTGGCGCCAAACACATTTTCACAACTTCATAACTGCAATACCGGTAATGTGGGGGCGCCAAATATCGAGACGTTTTTCCTTAATTCGAAATTATTAAAGAGTTTTTTAACAAAATAAAAATTTACATATTTTTTTTCATTTAATTAATTATATTAATTTAATTATTTTTTACTCTTATCTATTTTATCTATTTGTGCCTTTCCCACTTTTCTTGTTTCACCTTTTTTATCCATTTCTTTTTCTAATCTTTAGAACTACCTTTTAACTCTCGGAATCCCTTTCGTGTCGGCCACGTCCTGTCTCTTGTCATCGCTCGACAACATATAAAGGCTGCAATGTAAGGCAATACGTAACAACATGAAATGAAATCGTAATCTCGATCTTTGCAACGATATAGTAAAGAAAAGAGTTAATTCAATGATGGGGAATTAAAGTTTAGGAATAACAATTTATTTAAAAAATAATAAATATCTTTTTATATTAAATCAGTGAATGGATTAATTGATTATTAATTTTTTTAAGTTTTAACAGAATATTACGTTAAATAAGAGTAATTGGTCATTAGGTATAATACATTTCAAAAATAGGTTTTTTTCAAAAATTATTGATGAAATTAAACCTAAAACAAGAATAATAGAGTAATAATATTTTAAAGTTGAATTAGGAAAATTAGAAAAATTATATATATATAAATATATTTATATATACATATATTAAGTAAATAAATGATAAAATCTAATAATGGCAGGAAATGCTCTATTGGTACCTCCAAGATCAGCTTTTGGATCTAGAGAAGAATTATGTGCATTTGTGTCATATAAAATGAGAAGAGCAACTGAATTATTTACATTTAAATGTTCATTATATCAAAGAGAGCTTAAGTTATATTTACCAGAACCTGTTCCAAAACATAGAAGATGGATTGATACTTTTGATTCGGAAAGTATTGTTACGATACCAATTAGTAAAATAGAAAAAGATGAAATTGAATTATTCAGGAAATATTTTCCAGATGATATGGATTTGGATTCTATATTTCCAGGAGATTTATTACAAAGGTCCTTTAAAAAGAGAATATCTATCTTATTAACATCTTTAGTTAATAAGATTGTCTTTTTATTAGTTTTAAGACATGATACATGGTATGTACATCAGGAAGCTAGAGATGGACTTAGGGAATATCTAGTTGAAAAAATTTGGCCAAGACAACCAAAATTGAGGTTGTTATATAGAGATCATGTTACTACTTTTGTAGATACAAGAATCCGTCATTTTAGAGACTCTGTGGGAAGATATTTCAGGGATCTCCATGCAAATAGCAAAAATGGGGAGGTTATTGCAAATTTAATAGTAACTTGTGATTATAAACAGTCAGAGTTGGATGATATGATAAAAAAAGCTTTAGAAGAACAAAAGACTATGTTTGAGAATGAAAAGAAAATGGAATATATTGAGTCTCCAAATAGAAACAATTATGAAAAATCAAATACCAAATCTTCTTTATTTTCTTCTCAAACAGAAAAGGTCCAAAACAAAACCCAGAAATACTGTAAAAATGATAGATCTTCAAACAGTCATAATACTTCAAGCTTTAAGGTTGAACTTGAAGAAAACCATGAAGATTTTTATATAGAAGACGATTTGGAATACCACGAACAGGACCTAGAAAAAGAGTTGGAATCATATCATGGTCTAGAACATCAAGTAGAACAGGAACTAGAACAGGAAGTAGAGCAAAATCCGGACCATGATATAGATGACCAAAATATAGATCAAGACCGGGAGCAAAGGCTTAGAAAACAAAGGCTAAAGCTAAGAATGAAGCAGAAACTAATACAGAAACAGAGACTGAAATTGAAATTAAACAATGAGCAGGAACAAGAACAAGAGCAAGGACCAGAAAAAGAGCAAGAACAAAAACGAGAATGTGAACGTGAACATGTAAATGAGCGTGAATTAGAGATTGAATGTGATAACTTGAAAGGACTTGATGAGGAAAAAAAAGAAGGGCTTTTGGAAGATCAAGCCACATATAACAGTGAATTTGAGATGAATGAAAAGCTAATTAAAGGATGTGATGAAAAACAAAAAAGTAAGAGAACCTTATTCTTAACAAAAAGATTTGAGCAAGAGTCTGAGTTAGAAAAGTCATCAAATAGTAGCTTTAATGATGAAAAGAATGCAATATATCCTCCACTTAAGAAAAAGAACAAAAGTGATAATAACTTAATATATCCTTCTCTTAATAATATGGGCATCTCCAATAGTAATAGCTCTCCACCTGTAGTTTCAATACCATCAATACCGTCCATCCAATCAATCTCTTCCAATTTTACATCAACAATGTCATCATCATCATCTTCTTTATTGTCACCCTCATCATCTTTACCCTCAGATTTAGTTTCGAGACTAAATATAATCCCAAATATAGGAGGTTATCCAGGACAAATTCAAATAAACTCTCCAATAGATAAATCTTCAATCTATGCCTCATTTCTTAACCCTCACTCAAACTCAGTATTCACAAAAGAAACGAGTACAAATCAAGAAAACTTGTCTAATTCTAATTCATCATTGGAAAGTAACTCAAGTTCAAATATTGTTTATAGAAACATTCAAACTGATATAAATAACGTCTCTTCCACAAGCTCCCTATCAAATTTTTCTATTTCAAATTACTCTCCTAAATCAAAATCATACTCTAGTCCCGATATTTTGAATGGATCCATAATAGGTGGATCAATGTTAAACCATTATTCAAACCCCATTTCTGATTCTGGATTAACTGTAAGCCAAAGCCCAGGGTTAGGTTATGGTATAGGATCAGGACTTGGACCAGGACCAGGAGCAAGATTGGGTTTGGGACTTGGATCGGGATCAGATTTAGTATTAAGGGAAAAAAAGATTTCAGTTTTAAATCCATACCCAGGTTCTGTCTTGGATTTAGGGCCAGTGGCAAGTTCAGGCTCAAACTCAGGCTCAGAGGTTGGAGCTGAAATTGGTTTAGATTCAGACTCAAAGTCAAATCCAGTATCAGTAGGGTTCCATGGATACCATCTAACTCCAATGATGAATTATCCATATTTTTTTGGATCTATTAAAGACAGTAATTTAGTTTTTGGTAACCCATTTATTTTTTCTCAACTGAATTCTGGGCTTCAACCAGCTTGTAATATTCAAGCTCCTCCAGCTTACTTTTTAGTTCCAAATTATAGCTATGGCTTTCAGTCCTTATATCCCACACAAAGTGGATTATCACAGTTGAATCCATACTGGTTTTCATCTAGTGATATAAATCATTTTTGTCCTATTAATATGAGCAAAATAAGTACTCAATCTGAGATAGATCAAATAAACCCTAATGGCACAATCCAAGCATATAACTCTTAGTTTAATAAACAAAAAGAACAATAGTAAGAGAATACTTTAATATAACTACATAAAATATCTATATCAAGAACATCGGCTCTAGGGTTTTAATAGTAGATCTATTGTCCGCAACATTTCTTACATGGGTATCTTTTAGATACTGATGGTTTGTATGTTGATAAATAGCTAAAGTGTGGATTTAAATGGGTATTAGTATTAGCGCTCATCCAACTTAATTTATTAGTCTTCTTTTTTTGTTTATCTACATTTTCTCGTTCCTCTTCAAAACTACTATTATCCTTGGAACTGCTTACATATTCACTTCTTTCCTTCTCCCAAACCTTCATTTGGTTTTCACGTATTTCTCTCATTCTTTTGTCATTCAGCTTTTTAGTTCTATCTTGCTCTCTTTTTCTAAAATAGTAATATACAATGCCCACAAACAGCATTGATTTGAGAAGAAACAGAATGTAGAAAACTCTAGCTAATGATTCAGAGCCTAATTTCTCCGTAATTGTAGTGTGTAATTCTTGTATTCTCTGCCTCATTTTTATAACATCATTTCTTTAGTTTTTTTATTTAATTGATTTTAAGTATTAGAAGAGCCCGCGCAATTTTCTCAATATAGTTAATTACTTATTAATAGATAATGATATACTCAAATTACACATTTAACTAATTATCAATAAAGGAAATAAAATATTATTCAGTTAAACATGAGTTTAGATATTTCACTTCCTTCATCTACTTTTTTTTGCAAATTGCCTACAATCACCACATTACTACCATTTTTCGATACCTGTGTGGCTCCCCTCTTGCAATATTAAATTTTTTATGGCTAATTCCTAAAATGATGAAAATAATTTGCATGCAAATTGTGCACTATATAATAAATTCAGATGGTTTCTGAATTTATTCACATTAACTACAAATCTATTTACAATGAATTTACATGTAGTATTAAGCTTTATATATAAATTTCTTAGTAAAAATCGTATTAAGAATTTTTTTAACTCGTACTTGGCTGATTTGTATAATTTTTACAAATCATTTTTATTATATATATAATTTCCATGATCTCACCGTTGGCGCCAAATGTGAGACTGCGCCACTATATCTTATGGATAGTGGCCGCCTGAAGTTTAGGCGGTAACATGTAAACAAATAATAATAACATAATTGAGGCCATAATAATAAAGCAGCTATTAAATATTAATGATTAAAAAGAAATTTTTTTTTTTTCTAAATAATTATTAATATTGTTATTGAATGGAAATAATAATATATAATAAAAATATTAAAATTAATGGTTTTCTGGTAAATACATTTTTGGAGGTTCGTTTTAAATAATTCCCGAAAGGAAAAAAATAATAAATAATTATTAAGGGAAGAAAAGCAAGGAAGAGAAAAATTTAGGGGAAAATTACTCAATTATTAATTTATATTAGTAATAATATAAGGAAGCTCTCCTTTTAATGTAATGTGATTACAATTGAGAAGAAAGTTTATTAATATAAGTCTTAGATAAAGATTGATTACATAATAAACATTTTTTCTCTTAATTACACATTTTTGTAATTATTTCAGAAAGAAATAACAACTAAATAGGAGGAAAGTAAAAATACGCTGAAAAAAAGAAAATTAAAAGGATTTAAATAAACAAAGAAAACAGGCTGGTATTTTTTTAAGATCCTTTTTTACCAAAATGGGTATTTTAAGGTCAGAATCCATGTCCCATGGGACTCTCGTCCTTCCAAATGACCGAGCAAGAGAATATATTGATGTACTTGGGAGAGAAGTAAATTTGCAGTTTGTAGATATGAACTCGATTACAATGAATCGTCAATATAAGAAGTATATTCAAAGAATTGATGAGATGGAACGTATTCTTCGTGTGTTATATTCTGAGATTGAAAAACTTCCAGATGTTAAGGTATTTAAGGGAAATTATGAGAATTTTTTGGACCATGATCATGTTTACCAACTTGATAAAGTAGAGGAATCCCTTCAAAGTTTATATGGCCAATTTATCAGTTTTAGGGATAATAATGCGGATTTAATCAATCAAAAAAGTTCGGCAATTGAAGAATGTGCAGTAGCAAAGGCAGCAAGTCTTTCGTTTGCTCCAATTTCAATGTACAATGGCAGATCAAATGGAGACTTTTATATGACAAATGCGGTAGAAAGAGGAGAGGGTGGAATACAAGGAGGAAATCCTACTCCATCATCACCTCTAATGAACCCAAGTATTATGGATGGAATGAACAGTGTTTCTGGATTTGGAGACATGATGTTCAGTAGTATTGCTGGAGTAGTGAAGCATGAAGATCAGGAAAAATTTGCCAGAGCTCTTTTCAGAGCCACAAGAGGTAACACATTTACCCACTTTCAATCGATTGCTGAAAATATCATAGACCCAAAAACAAGCAAGGATGTTCAAAAAGTAGTTTTTGTTATTTACTTCCAAGGTGCAACAACTTCGGCAGTTTATGATAAGATTAGCAGAATTTGCGATGCGTTTAATGTATCAATTTATCCCTGGCCATCAAGCTATGAGCACGCTGTTCAGAGAATTAACGAACTTAATACTTTAATCCAAGATAAGGAGAAGGCACTGCAAGCTTATGAACAATACATTACTCTTGAGATCGAGACTCTAATTCAGCCTGTAAACTCGAATAATGGAAACTCATTAATAGAGGAGTGGAGGCTATTTTGTATAAAGGAAAAATCCATCTACGCAACATTGAATTTATTTGAAGGATCAGATATTACGTTGAGAGCTGACTGTTGGTATCCTTTAGAAGAGGAGGAAAAGATTAGGAAGATTCTGATTGCAGAAAGTAGCACTCAGCATGTTGGAGCGTTTTTACTTACTAATACGTCAAGCGGAGGCCATGGAGCAGCTGGAATTCATATTTCTGAGGGTGGCTCTCATGATGATGAGGCAAATATATCCAATACGCCTCCAACATATATTAAAACCAACGATTTTACAGTTGCATTCCAAGATTTTGTTAATTCTTATGGTATTCCCAGATACCAAGAGGTTAATCCAGCCTTATTTACTTTAGTCTCTTTCCCATTCCTTTTTGGTATTATGTATGGTGATGTAGGGCATGGTTTCATAGTCTTCTTAATTGGTTTGGTTTTGGTTTTCAATTACGGAAAGCTTAAAAAGATCAACGATGAAAATTTGAAAATTCTTGTTTCTGGTAGATATATGATTACAATGATGGGATTTTTCGCAACTTATTGCGGATTGATTTACAATGATTTCTTTGCTGCTGGTTTAGATATCTTTGGGTCCAGATATACTCTTTCTCATGATAAATTACCTGATGGAAGTCATGTATTTTTGCCAAATAACAACTCCACTTCAGTTTCTTTTCCATATCCTTTTGGGTTTGACCCAGTTTGGAAAGGAGCGGTCAATGAAATGTCATTTTTGAACAGTTTCAAGATGAAATTCTCTGTTATTATTGCCTTCTTTCAAATGACTCTTGGTGTTATACTTAAAGGTTTTAATAACTTGTATTTTAGAAATTATGTTGACTTTTTCATGGAGTTCATTCCTCAATTAATCTTTATGGTCGGATTTATTGGATACCTTAACTTTTTGATCTTCTTTAAATGGTTAACTCCAATTGAAGGATACAACAAACCTTCAATTTTGAATGCACTGATTGGTTTGCAGAGCTCTTTATTTGGAGCTGATATTCCACTCAACGATAGATTTTACTTATCGCAGCCAACCGTTCAAAGATATATCACATTGGCCTTATTGATTTCAGTACCTTGGATGTTCTTCCCTAAACCACTCTATCTTATCTACAAGAGTAGAAAACAAAAGAAAGCTAGCATGGAAGAGTCCAGGCTCAAACAACAGCATCTCTCATCATACTCCTCTGTTTCAAGCAGATTCACCTCCCTCACCGATGGCTCCAAGAAAATTAGTAGGTCAAAGAGCAACCTTCTTTCTGAAGATGATCACCATCTCATTGCTCACGAGGAAGAAGAATCATCTGGGCATTCTGATCCAACCGAAATCTTCATTCATCAGCTTATTGAAACTGTCGAATTTCTTATTGGTTCAATTTCTAACACTGCTTCATACCTTCGTCTTTGGGCACTTTCTCTTGCACACAATATGCTTGCATTGGTCGCTCTCCAGTTTACTATTATGAAGGCTTTAAATTCAAAACTTCTTATCGTAAAAGTTGTCCAATTATTTAATTTATTCTTCATGTTCTTTGCATTCACTTCATTTATCATGATTGTTATGGACTCACTGGAATGTTTCTTGCATGGTCTCCGTCTACAATGGGTTGAGTTCCAAAACAAATTTTATAAGGGAGATGGTATTCTTTTTGCCCCTCTTAACCACATGAGGATTATTTTGGAAACTGAAGAGTTGTTAAACTCATCTTAATAATTTATCCTTTTAGGAGAAACAATTCCAATTTATTATTAAATTGCTGAAATCTTATGAGTTCTTTTGAATCTACTCACTTTTTTTTAACAGTAAAGATATATGAAGAACATGTATTAATATTTAGTATATAACCCAAAATAGTACGTAATTTTTTTTTTCTTAATTAAAAAAAAAATCACCGAAAATTATAAGCTTTTATTATTTATTGTTATTGTTCCTAAGTTTTTTTAGTTCCTTTTCATATGAACTCTGCATGTATTTTTCCACATTAAGTTGTGTAAATTAGTGCGGACACCGGTATCAATGTTCTTATATTTGCATGTAATTCAAGCATTTATGTATTAAAAGAAAATTAAAGGCGCCTGCATTTGTTAATAAATGACGTGGCGAGCGCCAAGTAGGGCTTGGTGTTTTTATTTGACATTCAGAAAAAAGATTAGAAAGGAAAATTTTGAGTGGAAAAAGGAATAAACTGAACAAGGATAAATAAGGAGTAGCATTTAAATGAAAATATAGTCTAGCTTTTATTCTCATCAAAATGGAGGAAATAGATAGGAAAAAGTCTCATCGAACTCACCTATCTAAGAGAAAGGTATTAAAAAAGAAATTAAAAAAGGAAGGACTGGATAAGAAAGAAAGACATAATCCAAAGGTAAGCTTCAACAAATTTTTTTTGTTAATGAGATTTAATTCTTACTTTTTTTATTTTAGGCTTTCACATTTTCTGGAGGAGTTAAAAGTGTACAAAGAAGGGTGCAAAGAACCCTTGATATAGCATCGAAAAGAGAGAAAGCACCAGGGATAGATAAAAGTAATGTTGAAGATGAATCTACACCTCCATATATTGTTGCAGTACAAGGTCCTCCTGGTGTAGGAAAAACAACTTTAATACGTTCCCTAGTAAAAAATTATACAAAATATAATTTAAATGTAATTGATGGAACTGTAACACTTGTATCATCAAAGAATCGTCGTTTAACATTTATTGAGTGCCCAAACGATATGCATGGTATGATAGATGTTGCAAAGGTTGCAGATTTGGTACTACTATTAATAGATGCTAGTTTTTCATTCGAAATGGAGACTTTTGAATTCTTAAATATATTACAAGTACATGGTTTCCCAAGAGTTCTGGGTGTTTTAACTCATCTGGATAAAATTGAAGATAACAAGACTTTAAGAAAGACGAAAAAAAAGCTTAAAAATAGATTCTGGACTGAAATTTATAATGGAGCTAAATTATTTTATTTAAGTGGAATTAATAATGGTTTCTACAACAAAACTGAAATACGTAATTTATCAAGGTTTATTGCAGTTCAAAAATTTGAGAATTTGTCCTGGAGAAGCTCTCATCCATATATTGTTTCTTTAAGAATTGAAGAAATTAATGATGACGATGAGTATGTTCAAAACAATCAAACAAACCATAGAAAATCATCTAAATACAATAAACCAGAAACTAGTGTTTACTTTTATGGATTTGTTAGGGGTGGAATGATTAGAAAAAATCAAAATGTTCATATTCCAGGTCTTGGAGATTATTTCATTAATGATATAGATGAGTTTAATGATCCTTGTCCTTTACCAGAAACTACTGTAAAAAAAAATGGAACTAATGCAGGTTTAAGAGTTTTAAAGAGTAAAGAAAGGAATATCTATGCTCCTTATTGTGACGTAGGAAATGTTCAGATTGATTCTAACTCTATGTATATTCATATTCCAGATAATACTGTCAATTTTACAAGAAGAAAAGTTCTTTTCAATGATGGGAATTCCGATTCAGACTCTGGTTCTGATTCAGAGACAGAAAGCCGTACTCAGAGTGAGGAGGAAGAGGAGAGTATGGATGAGGATGAGGATATTCAAGACATTGATAAGTCTCTTCAGGAAGGGGAAGAGGAAGAAGATGACGAATATTACAACGATAACATACAAAAGCAAAGTTTTGATTCAAACCCATGTTCTGAATCTGATTCTGAGGATGAAAAAGACCTTCCGGAGGCTGTGAAATATGTGAGAAAGTTACAAAAGTCACAGTCTATTTTAAACAAAAGGGTCAGTGATTTATCGTTAAAACTACTTCCATCATCAGAAGTTAGCCTGGAGAATTCTATATTAACTGAGAGAGATCACGAAGCAGGTAAAAATGAAGAGTCTAATAATTATTCTATGGAAGCTGATTATGAAGCAATGAATAATCAAAGTTCTTACTCTGAGATAAAAGGCAAGAATAGTGATAACTTCCTATTCAGCAAAAATGTTAATTGTTCATTAAAAGACTTGGTTTATGGTCAGAACGCCAAGGCTAGACAATTATTTAATAAAATGATCACTCAAAATAAGGAAAGTAGTACCAACTCTAAAAAGAAACTTTTTGAGGATGATTTGGAGGATGAAAACGATGAATTTGGTTCAGAGATGGATTGTAATGATGAAATTCTTGACTCATATAGGATAAATGATGTTTATATATACCCTACAAAGCCAAAGTGTATTCGAGAATTAGTTAATTATTGGACTGAAGACAAGTTCTACACTTTGAAACAGGAAAAGTTTATTACTGGTGGAATAGATAATAGTGATAATGAAGAAGAAGAAGAAACACAAAATGGAGGGTCTAATAATTTTGAAAAAATAGCTTCTGGCGATGATAAAGGTGAAAATGAAGATTTTAATAATTACCAGAACAGTGATTTAGAGAATGAAAATGAAGACTCAATGAATGATCAAGGAAGTAAAGTTTTCAAAATAGGAAAGTATGTTCGTATTAGAATTGACAATATAGATAAGGAATGGATTAGAAATCGTCAAGGAATTACTATTTTAGGTACATTGTTACCAGGAGAATCAGTTTTTGGTAATATAAACATTAGAATCAAGAAACACCGTTGGTATCCAAAAATCTTAAAATCTGATGATGTATTAACATTTAGTATTGGTTGGAGAAGATTCCAATCAATACCACTATATTCAATAGAGGATAGAAATGAAACTAGGTACAGAATGTTAAAGTACACTCCAGAACATATGCACTGTTACTGTACAACTTATGGTCCTATAATACCATGTAATTTTGGTATATTAGCAATTAGAAGTTCTGAAAGAACCAGTAACTTTAGAATTGCAGCGACTGGAGTATCTGTAGAAATGCAAGCAAAAAGTAATATTGTTAAGAAACTAAAACTGGTTGGAGAGCCTAAAAAGATACATAAAAATACAGCATTTATCCATAAAATGTTCAGTAGTGATTTAGAAGTTTCAAAGTTTATTGGAGCAAAGATACAAACAGTTAGTGGTATTAGAGGACAAGTTAAAAAAGCTATAAGTACGCACGGATTGTTTAGAGCAACTTTTGAAGATAAAATACTTTTATCAGATATTGTATTTTGTAAAACATGGGTTTCTATGACTCCTAGAGAATTCTATAATCCAGTAATAGATTTACCAACATGGAGAAGAATGAAAACTCAGGCAGAGCTTAGAAAAGAGTCAAACATTCCTTTGGCAATTAAAGCAGATTCTGAGTATATAGCCAAGCAGGATAGGCCAGATAAGAAGAGATTTAATAGTGTACCAGTTCCAAGTAAGTTAGAGAAAGAATTACCATTTGCTTCAAAGACAAAGAATGAGTCCAAGAAGATCAAAGATAAGAACCAGGTAGCTGTAATAAAGAGTACATTTGAAAAGAGAGTGGCTAATTTATTCCAAAGGTTATCAACAATTCAAAAAGAAAGGACAGCTCAAAGAATTGAAAAGAAGAGAATTAAGAAAGAAATTAAAATGAAGAGAAGAGAGCCAATAGAAAGAATTAGGGAGGCTAAGAATGCCGAGAGAAAGAAGAGAAGATATGCATTACAGGGTGTAAAGATGGATAAACAAAGAAGAAAATTGATGATGAAGGATTAATATTAGAAACAATAAAGGTTCGATCTATTCAGTATTAAAATATTAATATTCTTTTTTGAAAAGTTAGCAGATCTTTAACTACTTATTAATTAATTGTAGCATAGTGTTATATTCTTCTTGTTCCTTCTTGATATCTTCAATAAGATTATCAACAAAATTGTCCATATATTTTATGTATTTATTAATACTTGAAGGTATCATAGATACATTATTAGAATTATTGTCCTTTTGGTTAATGTTATCATACTCATTTCTAATTTTAGTTAGTGTAGGGACAGTTTTTGGATTAAAATTAAAGTTTTGACTTATATCAATGGGAATACATAGTCTACCAGTAGAGTGATGAATGCAAAAAGGGGCTTTTAAAAGGTGTCCAAGATCTTTACTGACATTAATATCCAATCTTGGATAGCTGTAAGCAAATACAATTTCTTTAAAAAGAGTATGATGTGATCTATCAGAGGAATTTTGCAAAGTATTTGAAAGAAAGTCCCAGAATTCAAGACAAGTGAAATCTGGTGTTTTTTGGATCCAATTTTGAATTGTTTGATGTACTTTAGTATCTTCAGAAAGATGGTTTAAGACTTTGTTAATATGGATAGATTTGTGATCAAACAATTGTTGATTTTCCAGTATTTGGAGGAAGTATTGCATACATATGTTGAAGCACCTGTCTATAAATGGATGTGACTTTGCCCCATTTTGATTACTTGGAGTCTTTAAATTCACCTTCTTCTTTCTATTTTCATTACCTGTGATCAGAGTTAAGTAGTCAATTATAGCAGTTCTTGCTTCAGAGGGTAAAAGTCTGGCTTTAGTATCACAAACCCAGCAATGAACCCCTCTTCTTCCAGAATATAGCCAAAGTATATGTTTGAAACCAAAGTCTTGTCTTAAAGACGTATCTATAAGACGAATTGCTACAGTTACATAAAGCCAGCACTTCTCACAGACAGTTTTTTCTTGGCAGCACGTTCGAATATCATCATAGTCATTCATATCAATGTCAAACACTAACTCTCTTTGGACAGGCTTAAATTTAATAGGTGTGATTTCTTTCTCAGATATGGGAATATTGTAAATTGCTCCAATATCAAATTTATGTGGAGTTCTTGCTACAATCTCTTGCTTTAGTTGGTCAATTGTCTTAAAGTTTTGCCATCTGAGGTATATTTCATCCTGATCTATCTCAGATTTAATGGTCATAGAAAACTCCCTATTTTGAATTAAGTTATTCCTTGCAGTATCTACTTAAGGAAAAAATAAGAATAAGGTTATTTGTTACAGTTTTTTCTTTAAAGGATGCAAAACCAACTTAGAAGCTGCTTAATACACCTCTTGACTCTGTAAGCTTACCTCCTTGAGCTCCAGTGCAGTATGAAAGCCATTTTCCTAATATACCAAAAGGGTATATTTTATCTAGATAATGTAAATTATAGTCATTTTAATGGTAAAGTAGCCTTTTTTTCTCTTCTTGAATTTTTTCCTTTAATTTGAACTCCTTGCTATTATTTAAAGGCTACTAATTTAAGAATATAAACTTACTGTAAAAAAATTTCAAGTCAGCTTTGTCAATAAAGCTGTCATCAGTAAATAATAAAGCTTCATCTTTATCAGAGGTATTCTCAAGTATCATTTTAATTAAGAATGTATCTATGAGTTTTTAACAAATTTATTTATACAAATATATACTGTTGTGTTATTTCTTCTGTTTAACAACTATAAAAGTACACTTTAAACAAGTATTCTCACAAATATTTACACTTTAGTATGTTAAATGAATAGAGAGAAGGTATAATACTATTATTTATTTGTTCAGTCTATAATACCTCACAAATTTGTGATCTTAACTATATGTGTAGTTATGGCGCCAAAACGGGTACCGAATATTAAAATACACAATTGTATTTTTCTTTTTTCAGGAATAAATCTGTAATTTTTTTTGATATTGTTTTTTTTTGAGTTATTCTAATTGGTTTTCCTTTAGTTGAAACTTCAAACTGAGCAGGTAATCATAAAATAAGGAGGTATATTACGGATTATAATATAGACTTAGAAATATAGATAGTAGCTGTGTGAAGAAATGGTAGAGATATATGCATCTACGAATTCAGAAGTTGGGAAAAAAGTGAATTGGAATCATATTAATAAGGATGGACTTTCAAATATAGGTGAATTAGACGCTACAGTTTTGAAGGAAATATATAGCGAGATTATTGACTTTGCAAATAAGCTAGCAGAATCCAATAGAATAATGGAAGAATATAAGGATGATGAGGATATATTGGATGCAATTGACGAGAACGAAAGAATAATTAAACGTAAGAAAGAGATCATTGAATTAATTGAGAATAGATTTAAACAATTAAATAGAGAAGACTTAATAAATGAATCAAAACTACAGATAGATGACGAAGAGTATAAAAAGAATAAAAGTGATCAAATAGAATACTTATAAAAAAGAAAAATGAGTTTCTTTTCAACTTTGAACTTATTACTAATAGACCAAATTAGATGTTTTTAAAATAATAATCACAATCACTATAGTTCTTGAACAAATATAAGATATATTACTATAGCTAATTTGAGATATATATATATATATATGTCTATAAGTAGAAAATAACATAGTGCAAAATAATTATAAGTATCTTTAAATTGTTTATCTGGGGCCAAAGGGTTTTAACAAAATATATTCTAGTATTGTGGCAAAGCTGGTAAATTAAGAAATCAGAAAGTCTTGTTTCACCTGAAGTTCTTATTAGTATATTGGGAAATGGGATCTCAGAATTATATATAAATGATTTAAATTTTTCATCCGTAAGAGTTAAATCTTGAATTTGGTTTTCAGAGTTAGCATTAGTATTTACAAGACAATCTTTTTGAATAGTTGTAAAGCTTTCAAGGTATTTTTTAGATGCCATTTCTAATTCTGAAGTCCAAGAATAAGCACAACAAATATTAAGAACAATCCCCGTATTTTTTCTTGTCTTAAATTCTAAATCCTTTAAAACATCCATTAGGTCTTTTGGAAGCATTTCAATTTTTCCGGAAATCACAACTTTGGAATTTTCTTCATTTAACCAATTTCCCTCACTTAAAATATAATCTTTAATTACACTAAACGTATTGTTAACATTTTCTTGATCTCTAGAAAAATTCTCTATTGAAAAAACAAACATTGAAAGATATTTTACTCTTAGCTTTATAAATAAAGGTAATATTTTCTTAATCAAAAATGCACCTTGTCTATGTCCTTCCAATTGTGATATTCCCATTACTTTTGCAAACCTCCTATTCCCATCCAATATGATTGCCACATGATCTATTGGAAATATACTCAAGAAACTAGTTAGTATTATTTCTGATGCTCTTCTAAAGATTGATATCATTCGAATCAATTATCAATCAAATTATCAAGAAATGATCTCTTCTCTTTATCAATACATAATACTTTATAAAAAAGAGGAAAAAGACAAAATGAGATATTAGATTATTGCTTCGATTTTCCCCCTCTTAATCCCGTTTTTTTATACCTCTTAGTATCTAAACTAAAATAGCACATATTGACATTAATACTGCCATTAGGGATGTCCCGCGCGCGGCACAATACATGCACTTAATATAACGAGAATGTAGATTTTCCACCAGGAGGATTATGCACTCTAACATTAGTTTTAAAGTTCTCAGAAGAAGCTTTAATTACAAAGTTATTGGTAGTATTGTTTACTTCACTACTTTCCAAATTTTTTTGGTTTGCATTGACACTGTCATTTTCAACATTAAAATTATCATTGTTTACATTTGAAAGTGTATTCTGCTTATTACTTGTTTCTTTGTTACATGTATCTGAAGAACTGTACGAATCTGAAAAAGAGCCTAAATTTTTGTTTGAGTAAATTTTACGGAATATTATTAATAATTGTTAGAAAAATATAAATTTAAACTCACTGAATCCAAGTCCTAAGGAGGATGCACCACCTGGTGGGTGGTGGACTTTTGTGCTCGGTTTACTCCTAAAGAATTGATTATCTTGAGCGTCTTTTTAGAATTATTAAATTTTTTTTTTGTGATAGTTAACGATTATTTTAAACAAATTAGATTATTTTCTATTAAATAATAGTATTATATTCAACTAACCCATTATTTAGTTTTATTTAAATTTTTTTAAATCTTTATATTCGCTTCTTAAGTGAAAAATAAAATGAGCCTGCTCAAATTTTAAACAAGATAATTAAAAAAAAATAATTACATAAAATGACGCTTGGAAAATCTGTATTTATCTCACCTGTTTGAGGTGTTAATTTTATCGTTAAAATTAATAAAAATAAAATCTCAATTCCAATTTTTTATTTTTTTATATTTCCATGTAATTTTTTTTTTTTCTAGTACAATTTATTTCCAAATTAAAAATATATATTATAAAATATAATAATCCCCACGATATTGGCGCCTGAAATAAAAACCCGCCTTCCCCGGAAAACGATAATTACATATATATTAGTAACGACAAATAACAAATATAACTGAATACCTGCCAGTATTTTATTTCTTTTATTTTAATTAACTTTTGCCAAGGCTTTATAATTGATTAATAGAAATATAATTAGAATATTAAGAAATACGTATAGATATTACTTTTAAATTAATTAAATAACTGATTCAGAAATAATTTGGACAGACAGAAATATCATTATTGGGTTAGTCTCAAAGGGGTGCCAAACATTTAAAAGAAATCAATTCTAGTAAATGTACTGATTTAAATCTTTGATTCTTTTAATTTTATCAAGTTGACTTTTTTTAAAGAGGATTTAAGGTCAAAGGTTTTTTTTTTAAGGAAAGGTACTTTTATGTCAATTTACTGGTAAAATTTATTATTGAAGAAAAAAACAGGTAGAGAAAGCTTATAAAGGTAAACAATTGGACTCAAAGCTTTTCACAGGGTAAAATTGACCCTTTACAATTACATATATGTACCTAAGATTTGATACTTAATCAAATTGTAATGGAAATTTAAACTAAACATTTTTAATATAATATATATATTATATATATTGCATTGAAATGCGTTCTAGAGATAAGAATACCACCACTACCAAGCCATCACCAACAAAAATGTCAATTACTACAGAACATGAAGATAATGAAGTAAAGATGGATATAGAGGGAAGTAATACACTTGGTAATAGTGACCCATATATGATGAAGGGTGCAGAGTACCTTAACAAAGAATCTAGATGGAAAAATAAACAGAGAGTATTAGTATTGTCCACCAGAGGAATTAACTTTAGACATCGTCATTTGATGGAAGACATTAAAAAATTACTACCTCATCATAAATCTGAAGTTAAATGGGAGAAAAAACAACCCTTTTCTGAGATTTCTGAAATGAGTGAATTACGCTCATGTAATAATATAATATTATTAGAGGCAAGAAGACACGAGGAGCTATATATGTGGGTAGCAAAATGTCCAAACGGTCCTAGCATAAAGTTCCAAATCTTAAATATACATACATTAGGTGAACTAAGACTTGCGGGAAATTCACTCTTAGGTTCAAGGCCTTTATTATCTTTTGATTCTGCCTTTGAATCTGACAATTATGTTTATAATATTAATTTTGGTGATGAACAGAAACATATGAAGCTACCATTAAAGTTAATTAAAGATTTGTTTATACAGGTGTTTGGTACTCCGAGATATCATCCAAAAAGTAAGCCATTCCATGACCATGTTATTAGTTTTAATTTTTTAGATGGTAAGATTTGGTTCAGACACTATCAAATTACTCCCACAACAGAAAAAGACCATAACAATGTTGATAAGCAGGTATTAGTTGAGATTGGTCCTAGATTTGTATTAGAACCCATACTTATATTAGATGGTACATTTTCTGGTCAGGTTTTATATAGGAATCCCGATTATAAATCTCCCACTTTACTTAGAAATATTATTAAACAGGGATACTCTTCAACATATTTGCAAAGAGTACAAAGTAAACAGAAGAGATCTGATTATGAGGATGAATTGGATTCAAGCTTAATGAATGTTCCCGAGAAGAAGATGCAGATTTTAAGGAGTGATAATGTTGATGATTTTCTTGATTAATGATTAGATTTTTATTAAAAGAGAATAATCATTTAATGGAGCAAATATACAAGCTAATGTAATGTTTTTCAATTCAAAATAGTTACTATTTCATTATTAATATGTTTAATAACTGGAATAATTTTCTCAATAGACAGACACACATAATTGGAAAAACCTTCATTGTCACTATCAGTATTATTACATATTACCAAAATCATATATAACTTATATTCAATGATAGCAATTAAACTTCGGAAGAAGTCTTTTAAAAATTGATTAAATAATAAGCAGTAACAAAGATCATATTTTATATACTAAGTTTATAATATTACTATTTAATAGATCTTAGTGTAAATAAAAACAAAACAATCCAGGCTGTCAATGAGTCGCAGTGTAGTAGACATACACGACTAACTTTAAGTTGGTTGTCTATTAGAATTTATATTCTAATACATATAAACTATAGGGAAAGTCCCCATGTGAGAGTAGGGAATTGTATGGTTTTCACCATTATTTCTTTACTTATCTAGAGGAAAGTCATTAATTTGGAGTATCTTTACTTATTTGGATTCTTTGATATGAAGTACCTTTTTTCCCAACCTTTATGGATGGATGAAGAAAGTGATACTGATGTTATAGTGAGGGGTCTCTTTCACTATGGGATCTGATGTAATTGATACTGACAGTCTCATTATTTTATGAGTGTAAATTGTGATCATTAAGTTAATAGCGACTGGTATCTTCTCAAGTAGGATACAACAGAATGGGGCTTACACTTGATTTGCTTGGTAATTTTACTTTTGTTTCATTCTTTGTTCTCTTTTTTTTACTTAAGTTTGAGCCTTTTTATTGTGAATAGTATATAATGATAAATGTTAAGATAGAGAAACATAGTAGATAAATTAGAATAAGAAAAAAGAATAACATAAATAATTACTTAAAAAAATAAATATGAATGAAACTAGAATAAAATATTTCTGTAAAATGTCTAAATTATATAAATATATATATTGAATCAAAATCCAAAAACCTGAATTAAGTTTCAAGGTTTCTAACCATTACTGTTGTTTCTAAATAAACTAGAATTATCTTCATAAATAGATACACCATATATAACATGGTTAGGGAGTTGGTAATTATTTCCAAGATTATGAGAACTACCACTTGATGTTTGAGTGAAGTATTTATTAGAATGAGATAAAGTGTTTGGTTGTGAGATATTTGAGTGAACTATGACTTTCTCTTTTTGAGAAGTTTGATTGTTAAAATACTTACTAGAAGATTTGGTGGTATTATTATGGTCTAAATAGTTTCTGGTATGGCTTTCTGGTATAAAACATGATTCCTCTTGAGGATAATAATTTTTTTGATTATAATCGTAATCTTGATTTGCAATATCACATTCAGCGTAATCATAATGAATATCTTCATCTTGATCCTCATCCTCATCCTCATCCTCATCTTCTATATCATGGCATAAATTCTCAAATCCTTGACTAGATAAAGTAGAAATTCTAGATATTGAGACAATATGGTGATTAGGGCAAGACTTAGAGGAGATAATTTTTGGTTTTGGAGAAATGTAATCAATAAATTGTTTAACTTTTGAAATAAGTTCGCCTCTCCAGTTAAGTTCAATATTACAGTGATTAGCTCCATTTACATACCAAGGTGTATATTTATTAGGAGAAAGTTTGTAAAGCATTTCACCATGATTAAATGGAATAATAGTATCAGCAGTACCATGAATTACAAATACAGGACATTTAACTTTTTGTATTTTCTCTAAATTTTTGAATGCATCATACCATGGCAACGACTTACTATTAGTATTATTACATATTACAGAAACTGCACTTTTAATACCAGAATGGATGATTATACCTCCAATATTAATAGAATTATAAGTAGAAGCAAAATGTACAGTAGGAGCAGAACCAATAGACTGTCCATAAAGTATTAAACTAGATGCAGGTAACTTTAGATTATTAACAGAATAGTTGACAATAGTTTTAATATTGTCGTAGAGAGATTCTTCAGAAGTTTTTTGTTTAGATTGACCATATCCATTATATTCATAACTAATTATATTAACCTGAGCTTTATGAGAAAAATCAAATAAATGTCCAAATAAATATCCTATATCCGTTGCATTTGAATGAGAATATATGATTGTAAGTTTTGCTGCAGGATTTTTATAGTAAAACATATCAATAGAATTCACTGAAGTAAACTTTACTTGAATGCGGCATCTTCCTGGATCAATATTAATAAGATTCTTTTTCATCTCATTCAAACTGATATATTTTTTTCTATGATAATCAAATAACACAATTGAGTCACCACTTTTAGTGTATTTATAACCCTTAATAATTGGCGGATGAAACGACATACTATTAACCAATTGGCTTTTCATACCAGGTATTACTGAAATACATCCCAAACAGAACAACATTCCTTTATTTTCTGATGACATAGTTTTTTGGATAACCAAAACCTTAAATTACCGAAGTTTTGTTAATAAATAAATAAATAATTTACCAAGATTTTCAATATTTTAAAAGTTATAATTATACTTTTAAGCTTTAAAAAATACCGTGAATATTAATATTTAGGTGATTTTTGTTTTTATTTCACTTTTGACTGATTAAAAACTCTTTATTGAATTAAACAATCTCTTAAATTAAAATTAAAACCAAATTAAAATAAATTAAAAATGATTTGATTAAAACTTAAAAATTTTAACATTAAAAATGACTTTTTTGCAAAAATTTATTTTTACTTAATTCTCAATATTTTTTTCTTTAAAATAAGTAAATATTGTGTTAAAAAATACATATATGTATATATATATATGTGTAAAATAACAAATTTTTTTTTTTTCCTCTACTTTTAAAGTATTCAGTCTATTTTTGACACTTTCATGCATTATTTTATATTAGTATTATTTTTTACTTATTTTCAAATGTTTTAAAATATATTACTTATTAGCTTCCCGCCTTTATCTACCTATCTCATTTTCTGTACCATTAGTTATGCGGTTATTAGGTTATCATTTTAGGCGGCAATTAAATATTCTAATTTAATTATTTTAATTCTTTAACAGAAGATTACAAAAACATGAGTGATCGTAAATTAATCTATTTATTCTTTCTTAGTCATCTCATTAAATTTTAAAAATAATTGATAGTGGTTGTTAGTTAAACACAAAAAATTATTGTTTTTAATATTCTTGTTACTTTGTATTTTTTTCTTAAATAGTTTTTTTTTTTAATTGAAATTTTGTATAGTATTGATTAAATTACGTAGTTACATGTATTTACATGCACTCTAATTCATAATTAAATACCGGTACATGTCCACATACATACATGCATAAAATAAATGCAATGATAAATTTTACAGTGGGTGAGAGGGGTAAGAGAGGGAAAAAGAAGAATAGCTGCATGTATAAAGCAATAGAATAAAAAGTTTATAAAACGGAGTAATTTAATTTAAATAATGCAATTCAAATAATTTGGTGAGAGTGAATAGGTAATTCATCTTAAAAAGATTTATAATACAAAATTTGTTAAAATTAACAAATCATATAAATACGAGGTGAAAAAAAATTTTAACATTTGAAAAAAAAAGCGAAAAAAATTCTTGTCATATAAGATTGGATATTAATCAACTGATTTTTAACAGAAATAATCAAATATAGAGGAAAAAACTTATTGTCTAATATTTCATACATTAACACAGTTAATATTGTCCATCATAGACAAGAGTGAAAAAAAAGAGGTAATTACACAACTACAAAACACACAATAAAAGACATCTTTTCACAAACAAATCTCACTGTGCAACTATCAACAAAGTCTCTGGTAAAGTGATCAATTTAATTTAAAAAAGAAGTCGAATAAATAATATCTATTCATTTCAATTATTTTTCTCCAAAAGAAAATCATTTCGTTTCTTTTTACTATTATTTCGTTTAAAATATTAATATAAAAGATTACAGGCGGCGAGACAAGACGGGGCTACGTTGTGCGGGTTAATAATTTGGTGGTGAAATAGAAAATATAAATAATTACATGATAATATGAAAGTAATATAAGAGCAAATAAATGAGTATATGGTATAAAAAAATTTGTTAATAAAAAAAAACGACAAATATATATATATATATTCATTATAAATGTAATACATATTATTTGCATATAAACTATATGTATTTACGAATAATAAAACTGGCAATATATCAGTAAATTTAGTACGAAAATCGGACAAATAGTATAATATATGTAACTAATAAAATATATAATATAATATATAATTTATATATATATATATTAAAAATTGTACTTTAAAATATATATATGTAAATAGTATATATTATATTATATTTAATAAAACTGAAATATACAATATAAAGTTCAAATTGAATGGTAAAATTTAATACAAAGCAATAATTGATAAAATAATATCAATATTAAATATTATTATTACTTAATAATACATGAACCAAGATAAAGTTTAATAAAAAACCAAAGGTAAAGTACATATGAAATAGGTTGAAAATAATTAAATAAACGAATAAATAAATAAATATAAATATATATATATATATATATTTATAATTACATTATTTATGAAAATTCCTTTGAAAAAAAAAAATTTGTGATTAAGAAATAGTTACAGTTAAACGACGGAAGAAAAGCAAATCAAAGCATCATCTTCAAATTAAAATTGATGAAAAAATAAATTAATACTGGAGCCACTTATTGTAATTTGTATATAAATGTAAACAATTTAAGGATTGGTTTAAAAAGGAAAAAAACAAGATTCTTTTTTTTTGTAGACTTAAAGACTTTTGGACAAAAATTTTGCTTACATATTTGTATGGAAAAAAATAAATATATAAATATATATATATAAAATATATATTTATATGTACACATTTTAAATAGAAAGCATTCAGAAAATTCAAGTTTATTAAAATAAATGTATATATAAATGTAAAGATACACTGCATATATGCATATTATATATGTATAATATATACATATATATATATATATTTATGTATATATGTATATATGAGATAAACCCGAGTTCAAACTAAATAATAAGCAGAGTTTTATTACAAAAAAAGGAATCAAATTGTGAATAACCGTTAAATTAATGTAAACGATCAAGATTTTTTTTTTTTTTGATTTAAATCGAGAGTTACTAATAATAAAACAGTAAAAAAAAATTTATATACATTGAATTTATGCAATTATACTAAAAAAAATAAGTCATAAAAGGTGATAATTGTGTATGGTTTTAAATAAAATCAAGAGATTTACATCAATAATTTTATATTAAAAATTAATATATTATCAGGTTAATAAAAAAAAAAAAACTAATTCTAAGAAACAGCTATTAATAAGGAGATCTCTTATGTAGATATATTTTCATTTATATATTTAAATATAAGTAAACAAATAAATATAAATATATACAGTTGGAATCTATACATGAGTTTGAAGATACAATTAATTAAAACAAAGTAGTACTGGTATTATGACCGAATAATAATAAAAAGAAATAGAAGAAAATAAGTCAGATAATTCGCCGTAAATAATCCTGAATTCTCCTCTATTATTTTAAACAATAGAGGAAGCCAAAAAAGTGGATAATTTGTTTTCTAAACATTTATATATATTTGAAAAATCAAATCCAAACTCAAACTAAAAACACTTGAGATTATACCAAATTATTATCGATAAAATCTTTATATCCCGAAAATATTGCAAAGAATCATCTCAAATCTACTTTCTGATGCAAAATAGTTAAATATATATAAGAATGCAATGAAATAATTACTGGTTTTTTTTTCGGGAGCAAGATTGTTTATATTCAATAAAAAGTGATAATAATAATAATCTCAGGGCTGTTGAAGCAAAATCACACTGAGTGATTAACCATATTTGTTTGACAAAAATCAAATATTAAAAATAAAGACGAGAGATAAGAGCAACAAAAGAAAAAAGTACCGAGATTAAATATAGATATATTGTATAACTTATTTAATCAGGTTTACTAAGAAGTAACAAAATTTATCTTACAAATACATATATAAATCAACGGTTTTTTACTTCCTCTTAAGAATTCAAACATAAATAAAAAGAAATAATATTGAATAAAGTTACCAAGTGGTTAATTTGGTTTACAATACAATTTTTTTCTACTATTGTCTTGGCTCAACTTTAACTTATTTAACTCAACTCGGACTAAACCAGCTAAGTATAATCTGCATCTAGAAGCCTTGATCTATTTTTATATATAAAATCATAAAAAAGATGATAGATCCTGCATCTGCTTTTTGCATTGGAGTGTATTTTTTGGGGGTTGGAGTGGTTGGATCTGTTTTGTACATTCCTATTAGTTTGATGAGAGCCATTGAATATTATCATTTAAGTAGAGATGGAAAGAACAGAAGAAACAGTCTATTGGATGGAGATTCATTGCTACAAGGTTATGCAAGCAACACTAATAATGGTGGTATGAGTAATGGAAATAATAACTGCAATAATCACTCACTACATGATGATAATTCTAGTTTATTCTTTGAGAGGCCAGAGCTTTTATTAATACACAAAAAAAAGGTACTCAGAGATATATTAAATGATAATAATTACCTAAATAATTTGGTTGAGTTTGATGATAAGAGTGACTATAGTTTTGGATTGTATGAAAGACTTACAACTTATCAGACTTTAACTCATAACAATGTAAGTAATAGGAGTGACTTTGGAGTCTCACGGAAATCTCAAACAAAAAATCGTAATTCTGTTATAAATGGTCAAGGAGGTGGCATTGGTTTTGAGTTTATTAGAGATGTCTTATCTACAACAACCCCTTCAGATAAAGATGAAAATGATGATCAACCAGAGATTGTTATTGATGATGAAAGTGCAATCTTTTCTCTTGAATACTTTAAACATATTGGAATTAAGAAAGAACATGATAATCAGACTAATTATGGTTTGTACGTGTGTTCTTCAACCAACTCTACTTCTTCAATCATTTCTTCTTATGAAACTGGGTGTAGTAGTAATAGTAATTTTACTAATGTAAGAAGGCGCAACTGTATTAGTGATTATCAAACCAAAGAACGTGATTTTTCTGAGTCTAATCTGCTGATGTATGGCCATCAGGGTTTGAAACAAGAAAAGTTCTTATTAGCATCTTTAAATGATGGTAATAATGATAAAATTGAAAAATCTATGATTATTGAAGAGATTTCAGCTGTTCATGACATTTTAACTCTATAAAGGGTATATTACATATTGATGTGTTTAAGATCCAATTATAATGACAAATAAAGGTTAAAAGATTTATTTAATATATCATAAGAAGTGACTTAACAGATTGAGTATACATATATTTTTAGAAGTATTTTTTTCATTAAAAAAAGTACTTTGATAAAAAGTTTGTATACCACTTGCATTCAAAGCGACTTAAATGACCATTATTGACACTGTAATATTACTTATAATGGCTATTACATGATGTCTCTTTTTTTTTAGCAATGTTTATTATCATTGCCATAAATAGTGCTGGTCATAAGTAATACCAGAAGAGATAGGAGAAAGTATAAACTAGAATTAGATGGAAATAATGGTGATAAAACAAAGGGACCTTTATATGGATAAAATAATTGCTTCAGATGTTATGATGTTTTTTAAGCTTTGTCCCTATATTAATATTCATTCATCTAACTATTTAGTTTATATTATTGGTGGGGCAGCTTAATAAATTATGTTTTTTTAATTACAAATTTTTGGAGGTAATGATTTGGATCTAATGAAACTGAAGATAGAAGGGGAAGTAATTGTTACTTAATAAAAGGAGGAATTTGATGGATGGGGGTGATGTTCAATCATAGAATTGCATCATAGTGGTTTTTCCTTTTTAACTTCAGCTAAAATAAAGTATGAGATTTCTCGCGTCATTAAGTATGTCTTCAATGGATGTTTAATAATCTTTCTTTACCTTAAACAACTGACACCGAGGAAATGTATATTATATATATATATATTCTTAATTTGTGTTAGTGATATAGATAATTACTTGGAAGATATTACAAACATACATGTATAAACAAAGAATAAAAACAAAATAATAAACGGATAAAACAACAGATGTATTGTCTTATTTATTATAGAGGAGAAATAAGGGAAATTTTATTGTTAAATTTTGCATCCATACAAAGTGACGTGTATAATATGTATTTGTATTCATGTATTATATATATATATAGAGATATATATATATATAGTTCATGTTTACACATATTATGTGAAATTTGGCTACGAAATTGTGATAACATTTTCTTTTCGTTTCATTTCTTTTGGAATTGGTGTAATACAAAATAATAAAGAATAGATTTGATCGACTTATTATTAAGGTTTTTTTTTTCCACCAGTATATTTCAGAAGCTTTGATATAATCCTAATCTCGCCTATTAGATTATATACACATATATATTTATAAGAATCATTAACTTCTTTTTTTCTTTCTTTACTTAAAAGGAAAAAAAGACATTTTTCATCTGTTAAATATTAATACGAAGAAAGAACTGACGGAAGGATGTGCATTATAAAAAAAGAAATAATAATAAATTTAAAGGATTAAATAGAAATAAGAAATGTTTAAAGAGTGGTCTTATTATTCCGGTTTCGATCACTAGATTAGTGAATAACTAACTAAACTGTATAGATTATCGTCATTAATCACTTATTCCTCTGTATTTGATATTAAATTTTCTATTTAAAAATTTTGTATTTACTCTTATTGTGTGAAAGAATTTCCCGCCATTTTTGGTACCGAAAAGGGGTAAATAGTTTTGGCGGGAGGTTAGATCACAAAAAGAAAATTTTGTGAAAAGCAAACAATATTTTTTTTTCTGTTAATGAAAAAAAAATTGACTTTGGTATAAAGAATTAAATAATAAAAATTTCCTCTAGATTGAATGAATAGCTTTGTTTTGCATTTATATATGTTTGCATGTATGCATGTTTAGACTGGTTTTTTTGGAGGTAATTAAGTGAATCAAGATCTTTTTAGAAAATACAGGAAAAACATAAAAGAAAAAGGAATTAGTAATTAATTTGGGATATCCTGTGTGTATGTATGTATTTATTTATGTATTTATGCATTTATGTATGTATTTATCTATGCATGCATGCATATTTAGATACATAATAAAGGTAAATAAATAAATAGTCAAAAAGAGTGCATCAGAAGGTAATGATCAGAAAAAGAAAAAAAACTCAGACTCCCATAAACAGTGAGAAGTTATTTTTGGCAGAATTGGAGTTAAATATAAAGGAAAATGAATTGAATGATTTAAAAAAAGAAATAAAACAAGATAATGGATATAATGGAGGTATTAATCAACTGGAGGATGGATTTATAAGAAAGTTATTAATAAAACATAATAATAGGTAAGTAACAAAAGGTAAATTAAGGAGTATATTAATTAAATATTTAAAATATGAAGTAAAAGTTGTAGATCGATTTTAAATACTGGTTTATTCGGATTTTTAAAGGAAGAAGAGATAAAAGAGGCATCTTTAGTATGTAAATTATGGTTTGCAGAAGCAAATTCTATTAAAACTTTGCAAGAAAGGTACCCGATTCAGTTAAATAAATTTAGTAAAAGTCAAAGAAAATGGATATGGAAATGTATACTTATTGGAGAAGACAAATATAAATTATGCATAGAAGATGAGAAAAAAATAGAGGAAATTAGAATAAAAAAGAAAAGTAAAGATATTTTCATATCTTTTGAAAGTGAGTTAGATTGCATTCTAAGTAACCATGATGAAATATTAAGAGATATATCCAGAACTTTCCCAAAATTAAAAGAATTCCAAATATATGAAAATCAGAATAAAATGATAGAAATACTTTTTAAGATATCATATGCATTACCAAATGTTGGATACTGTCAAGGAATGAACTATTTAGTAGGAATTTTCTTATATGCATTGGATTTTAATGTTGATCAAGTTTATTCATCAGTGATGTCTATATTAATAAATTGGGAATATCAGGAAATATATAACAAAGGATTAATTAAACTAAAAGAAATGTGTTTTGTATTTAATGAACTTATTAAAGAATATCTTCCAGAAATTTATGATAATATCTTTAGTAAAAAAGAGAATGAAATAGAAATAACACCCGAATTTTTTGCTATACAATGGTTTCTTACATTATTTACTTATGATATAGCTGACACAGAGTATGCTATAAATTCAATATTCATATTAGATAATATAATCATTCATGATCCAAGCAAAAATTTTAATATTACAGTATATAAAATAGCTCTATCTTTACTTTGTATCATATTTAAAGATTACAACTTTAAAAAACTTGATTTAAATACTCATATTCTTGAATATGTAAGAATCAGATCAAAAGAAATTTTAATGAATATTAATGAAATCGATACTTTATTAGATATGTCTCGTGATCTAAAGGTATCGGAATTTATTATACAAAAAATATATATAAAATATAAGAAAAATACGGAATTAAATGATAATTTGAATAAAATTGTTGGTGAATCTGGAGATGATTATAATATCGAGAAAAAAATAATTGAGGGAAACCAAAATGATAATTCAAGTATTAGTAATTATTTAAAATTCTCTGAGTCTTCTTCTCTTTTAAAGAGATATACAGTAATAAATAGATTTGAGGATTTGGATGAGTTCCCTTCTTCATTTCACCCATATTTTAATATTTGATGGAAATTAGATAAATTGGTGCCACCATTTAGTCATTTTATCTAGTATTAATGATGAATCCTGTATATTTTTTGAAATACTTTTAATTTTATTGTCGGTACCCATTAATTGTTCTTTTTGTGTATTTAAATTTAAAAGTACTTGTTGGCTGTATTGGTTAGTTTCTTCTAGTAGCCTTTTACTTTGAAGTAAATAGTAATCTTGGCTTTTTTCTTCCATGATTTGGTGATGATATAGTTTGTTATCTTTTATATTTACTTCTAATGATGAATGAGAAATAACATCTTTAAAAGGTAAATTTGAGGTTTCTTCGGTTTTATCCTCATTTTTAGAATCTTTATTAGGGTCAAAAAAAACTGTAAATTTCGAAAAATCTTCATTAATTTGAGAAAGATTTTCTTTATACTTGAGATAATTTTGGAAATCCTGGTAATTTCTTGTATTTGATTCACTAAAATGGATTTCAAAGTATATAATTTCCAACATTCTCTGTGATGATAATATTAGGGCATAACACTTTGCTTTTTCTTGTTCTGTGTATTTGTTCATCCCTTCTTGAATCCTATTTTTTTCTTTCTTTAACTCCTCAATTAAAGATGACAGTTCTTCGAAATATTTGTTGAGTAATTCATCTTGTAATGAAATCCCCACACACTCCTCTAAGTTTTCTTCTTCTTCTTCTTTTCTTATACTTGGAATAAATGATGGCATTTTTTATTCATTAAATTTAATAGTTATCTTCTTTTTCTCTTTTTATCTACAATACTATTTACAAGGATAAATCCTGTGTGATAGATAGATCTAAGAGAAATAGTAGCGTGGGATTATTTTATATCTTAAATTTAGCTTTATTCAATTTATCCAAGTATTAAACTTATACTATTATTAATTTAATTCCAATTTATATTCAATTCAAAGTAATTTTTTTGCTATTTTTCTCAATACTAATTTATGATAATAAATATAATGCTTGATAATTTTCACACCATAAAATTAGTTTATATTATAAAATACTAAATTATGCAAAAATTAGTTTTCTTTTTTTTTAAAATAAAATTATTAGATTTAAATATTTCTGTAATTTATTAAAAAAAAAAAAAAAGGAATTTATTTTTTAACTTGAAATATAATATTACGTGTTACCGGTATAGAAAAAGTAATAATACTTTTATTGAAAAAAAATTGTGGCGCCATAAGCCATAAATATTAACACGTGGATTGAGTCAAAATTCTAAAGTTGAAAAGTAAAAATCTTAAAGATAAAAAGAAATTGAAAGATTCTTATTACTCTTAGATATCGAATTTTTAAATTTTACACATTATAAACTTAGATTTAATTAAAAAAAAAATGGGAATTTTAATAAAGTATTCAAAGACCACTAATATAGGCAAAGCAATAGCTTTAGTAATAAACTATTTACTTAAACAGAATACTGAGTTAAAAATTGAAGAATCAATTATTGATGGAGATATTAATGAAAGTAATAGTAAAATTGTTTTAATTAAAGACAAAGAAAATTGTAATGATCAATTAGAAAATATTGTAGATATATTAATTCATCTTGGATCTCTTGGAAAAAATCTTCTCGGAAAAGATTCGAGTCTGGTTAATGAATCCAAAGAAATTCTTCAAAAACTTGTTGAAATTAACTTTAAGTTTTCTAAAGGACCAGAAATGTCAGAATTTAATGAAAAGATCAAAGGGAAAAGTTTCTTTTTAGGAAGAAGTTTAACAATTGTAGATCTTGTCATCTATATATCCTTATACTCTTATTTTGAATCGCTCAAAAATGAAGGCCAAGATTATGTACCAGAATATCCTAACTTATCTACGTTTTTTGAACAAATACAAATAGTTACTCAAATTAGGCAATCATGCCCAGAAAATATTATCTATTTAGATTTACCATTCTTTAAGAAGAAACTTGTAAAGAAAGAAAAGAAGAATACTGGAGATAATGGAAATAATAATAATAATAATAATAAGCAAGAAGAAAGACCATTAGATGATCCAACCAGAATTGCTCTTAGAGTTGGTAGAATCCTTTCTGTTGAAAGACATCCAACTGCTGATAAGCTTTATCTTGAAAAGATTGATGTTGGAGAAGAGGAACCACGTACTATTTTATCAGGACTTGTTGGAATTTATGATTTAACTCAAAAAATTAATCAACTTGTTGTAATTGTTTCAAACTTAAAACCAAGAGCAATGAGAGGTATTACTTCTAACGGAATGCTTTTGTGTGCTAGTAGTGCTCTTTCAGAAGAAAGTTCAAATAATAACCAAGAAGAATCACCAAAAAGATTTTGTGAGCCAGTTTCAGTCCCAAAAGACGCTAAAGTTGGAGAACTTATATTCTATAATGATTTTAAAGGAGAACCTGATACTGTTTTAAACACAAAAACTGGCAAAGATCCATTTGTTGCTGTTCAACCACACTATAATGTTAGTGGAGAACTTATTTGCAGATTTAAAGAATCTACAATGATGACTTCTGCAGGTCCTATTTTTGTTGAAAACAAAAGTCTGGCACATGGTAGCCTTAGTTAATATAAAAACTACAAATACCACATGATTAATTGTAATAATGGAAGAATATTTTGATTTAATCTCAAATTAAGTTCTTTTTTTTTTTCTTTTCTTTTTTAATTATCTTTTTTCATCATCTTCAATCTTTAATTCTGTATCATTTCTCAAATATGAAATAAATAAATCCATAATATTCTGATTATCTTCTTTTATTTTTTTACTTATCTCAAGATCATAATATAACTCAAAATAAGCTTTTTTTAAATAATTTCCAATTCTTTTGTATTTATTCATTATTATTAAACCCATTTTTGTACTAAATGATTCATCTTTACCATCTTTTTTAGGGAATATAATAGCAGATTCTCCAATTCTTAATTGTTTACTATTATCAATATTACTATTATTGTTTATATTTAATAATTCAAAATAGTTATTTAAATCAGAATTAACATCTAATAAAAATGGATCCAATATTAATAACTTCTCAATTTTTGGTGATATCCAATGTTCTAATGTCAATAAAATATCCATTATTGAATTATTATTTTGTATAGATAATTTGGGTATCCATTTTGGTCTTGTAATTTCCAAATACTCTATATTAATATAATACTTCCAAAATAGTTTATAGCTGTAATAATCTCTGATAGTCTGACTTATAACTTTGCTATCAAAATAAATAATAAATTTGTTATAATATTTAACTTGTCCTGCAAACCCTTTATCAATTAAATCTATTAACTTGTCTATTATTCCTCCTTCCATCTCTCTCTTTAATAAATTTGTTGATAAACAGAAAATATGTAATATTTTTAATAATCCTTTTGGCTTTACTTCTGGATTAATATAACTAATACTTCCTTTAAGAGTTTTTGATAACTTTGAAAGATGTATAACAAAGTGATTTGTTTCAAATAATCTCTGATTAAATATCTGTAATGGAAAATTCAATAATAAGCTTTCTTTCTCATTATTATTATTTACTCCTTTCTTATCTTGAACTTTATTAGTATCTAAATATTCGTTTAAAGTGAGTAATAAATCATTAATTCCTATTCCAAGATAACCAAAGAAACTATTATATTCAGTTATTGAGTAAATCTTTTGTTTTGGAATTATTTTTTTAGATTCAATCTCAAATTTTGAATTACGAGAAGGTATTATTTGAATCTCTCTTATTTTATTTTTCAAATTCACGCTTTCTGTTTCCATTATATCTATTAATGTAGCCTCAAACTCTCTACCTTTAAGCTCATAAACTAGTAATTCCCCTTTTGCCTTAAAAACATTACCAGGTAATATAAATTGATCATTACCTTGGATATTTCTTGGTTGACGTAATATAGTTTTTAAGTAACTTATACTCCAATCATTATTTCTTTCTATATTAATTTGTAATCTCTTTTCTGTTTGTATATCAAATTTTGCAATTAATTGAGAGTTTAAATAATACAAATCATCTTTACCAACCTTAAATTCACTTGGTTCTCCTTTTGAATACATTAGTTCTTTTAAACTGGTCATTACTTGCGATTTAGATTTATTTTTCTCTATTTTGAGTTTTGGATAATTAAAAACATATCTTCTCCATGTATCAACCAGTACTATTTGATTAATATTCTGATAATTTACCACAGGATTATATACCAGTTTTATATCAACCTCCAGTAACTGATGTAATATATCGAATAACCTCAATATACTATTACTAAAAGTAGTCATTGGATTAACAACAGCTACTACTCCAATCAAAGTATTTGTTTGTGGTTTAGAACTTCCTTTTGTATTAACAGTTGGTAAATGAAGTTTAATCAGTGAATTTGAAGAGCTGAATATATCATCTAATTGTATCAAAGATTCAGACTTGAATAAATTTGAAACATGTAAATGCTCATTAATTAAAATAAACATTTTATTTGGATCCAACTTTGACCACAACATTCTGTATAAAAGATCTTCTTTTTTTCCTGTTCTTTTAAACTCTCCAAGTAAGACCAGCTGCCTCATTCTACTAGTTACTGCAGTTTCCAATAGCTTAAAGTGAACAGAATGAATTGGAGAAGACCAGTAATTTACTTTAACATCTTTTCTCAAATAAACAGGATATGTGTTTGGACAAATTCTCAAATATACTCCATTTAAAACGATTCCCATTGTGAAGGTTTCAAAACAATCCTTTTTTGATAATTGACTATCTTCAAAACTCCCTTTTCCATATCTTTGATCAGACTTTTCTTGATTCAAGTTGTAAGTTGCATATTTTGGAAAACCCTTTAACTTTCCATTACCAACAGAAGAATATGGAAATGAAATGACTTCCTTTTCCTTCCTAGATGAGAACTTACTTATCAATTTCTTTTTTACTCTTTTCCGTGATTCAATTAAATCTATATCTTCAAAATAATCTGTATCCAATTTTCCATTCCCACTTTTTCCAAAAAAGCTCCTTGAAAGTGACTCATAAATATCAATAATTTTTCCTACTAAAGAGTCATTTAAATTTAGATCCTGATTATTAACATTTGTAAAAGTGTCTATATCCAAATATTCATCCATAGTCTCCAAAACTACTCTGACAAACCACTTTATAAATCTCAGCTTATCTAAAATTGGGACAAATTGTGAAAGTTTGTCTTTCTCTTTCTGGGTTTTATTCAAATACAATACATCATCAATACACTTTTCTAAAATGAGTGAGATTTCAGAATTTTCTTCGACTCCATTAGGTGGAATAAACATCAATTTAAACCTCCTATTAAATAATAATTCATTATACTGATTCAAATACATAGATGCTTGGTAAGATAATGTTGAAATCCAATAATCGATCAAATTAGAAAGTCCCAACAACCCCGTTCTAGATGATCTTATTAGTACAATAAATGTAATCCAAGGAGTTGATTGGCTTTTCTTTTCGACATTCTCCATATTATGTTTTAATTCAGGATTTTGATCCCATAATTTGGAATAATCCAAAGCAGATAGATCTTCTAAATCTAATAAAACCCTATCATAATCTTCTTCCAGAATATTAATTTGATAATCACCTGTTTTTGCTTGTTGAAAGTAAGGTTTTGAAGTTTTCTCATTATTTTTTGAATCCTCTTCCATACTTACTACGTCATACTTTTGATGAAGCTTGAAATTAATCTCTTTCTCAATATTTATCCATTCATTTTGTATTCCAATAAATGGCCAGTTTTCAAATTTGATAGACTTGGTAAATGGTGGGAAAACAATTGGTACAGAACTTATTCCAGTGAGTGTGCTATTAAATATATATTGATAAATGTCATCACTACTAGTGATTTGGCCTTCCTTAATACCTTTCATAATCATTCTCTGCTCTTTTTTAGCTATTCCATAAATAACTTCTTCTAATATCAAATCTGTAATTTCCACAAAGTAACCATTAATCAAAGCTCCAGGAGTTGTGAATCCTTTGAGTCTACAATATGATACCACCTTATTGACATAAGAATCATCATTTGGATTGTTAGAATAGATTATCTCCCAAACTTTGCTCAACTCTGCATTAATACTAAAATGAGTAAAGAATTTACTCAAAAACTCTTGAAACTGACTTAGTGTGTAATTCTCTTCTAATAATAATGGTAAATTTTTTGCAATCATTTCAATAAATGCTCTTGCAAGAAACATTCCTTGAATTGTTGAAGAAGAAACTAGGAATCCAAAAACCTCAGAAATTGCCAACTTTATGGCGTATTCTCCTTTTGAACCTTGATCATATTTATCATAGTATTCAAAAATTTTACTTCTGCTATCTTTTAGTTTTCCTTTCTCATTTATCCATTCTGGACAATTTTGAATATTTTCTTCCCCATAATACCTTTTACAAAGTGTTTGATTTCTTTCCTGATTATTTTCCCTTTCTCTTTTATCTTCATATATTTCCCTAAATTTAGCTTGAAAATCTTCATCAGATGTCACATTTTTATACGAAAAGGGTCTTGAATAATCAGGTTTTCTCTCATTTACCCATTCTGGATCTATTAATAACAAATTTAACCTTATTGGCCACTTCTTATTAATAATCTCTATCGTTACTGTAATACATTCTATATCAAATGGATCACATAATATTATTATATCCAATATTGCAGCCTTTACTGGATAAATCCCTACGTTATTTGGGTATTTTTCAAATAATTCTGGTAAACTCCCCAATGGATATAAATACTGCCCAAGAGTGGCTTCTGGTTCTTTCATAATATCGTATATTGCATAATCCTGAACTATTCTTGAATTTCTAATTTGATTTGAAAAGTAAATTCTGTACATTATCCAGGGTGAATACTCGACTTCTTGAAAAACATTTGCTTCAGTGGAGTTATTTGTTTCAACTTCATTCACAATCTCCTTTTGATATAAATTATTTTCAGTTATATTTCTATTAAACCAGACTTTTTCAAAAATACTAGGAGTTTCTCCCCATTGAGAATCTCCAATATTAGTAATATCCTTATAAAAATGACGTGATTTTAATGGAAGAATATTTGCTACTTTCCAGTCGGTTCTTGGAGAACTTCTAACCCATGGAGATGAACTTGACAAAACGTATTCTTTTTTCCCTAACCAATCCATATCATCCATTAAAGTTGGATCCTGCTCTAATTCTTTCTCAAACTCAAGTACTGAATTAAAATCAAGTATTTCTCCTTTCTCTATTAGATTTTTTAAACTCTCATCCCTTATAACATTTTTAAACTTGCTAGAAATTCTCGAATCATTTAAATTTCCATTTATACTTTCCATAAAGAGATTTAGCTCTTCCTTCTCATTTATTCCTGTTATAGACAAAGAATCTATAATAACTGTTTCGTCTAATTTATTTCTCAATAACCTGATTTTTGAAAATATTATACTTTTTAATATTGTAGCTAAATTGAAAAAATTTGTTTCACTTGGAGAGAACAATCTCCCGTTCAATGTAAAGAATGTAGAACCTTCTGAAACACGTTGATGCAATTGACTGTACCCAGATAATGTAGTGTTTTCCCTTACTCCATTGCATAATGCTAACTGATATGTTCCAAAATTCTCTAAATAATGTATTATAGCACCCAATTGATCCTCAAATCTTTTAGATAATGATACTAAATAGGCTCCAATATCTCTCATACACTCAATCGATAATTCTCCATCAGAGTCTAGCACATTCTCCATGTTTATAGCTTTATCACATATTGTTGCCAAATTCTCATACTCTTCATCCTTGTGAGATTTTTCTAATTCCCTATTACACTGAAATAATTGGTACTGATTTTGAAAATCACTATTCACGTTTGAACTCATATCTACTGTCGAATTAGATTCTAATGACATTTTACTTACTGAAACTCCAAATCCTGATAAATACTCATAACTTTCTGTAAAATCCATATGATCACAATGCCTTATTTTTATTTTTACAGTATCTTGATCTTTTAATATATCCCAAACATTCCATAAATTATTAAGTATTTCTCTAGAATTATCGTCTGAAAAATCAATATAGGCATAAATCTCTATTTTTCTCAGTCTATTAACAATTTGATTGTTATTTTCTTCTATATTGATACCAGTATTTTCAAGTATATGTTCTCTCCCTATATCATATCTTGAGAAACTCAAATCATACTTACTAAGACTCTCAAATCCTTTGGATTTCCCTTTTATTACACTATTATATAAATCTTTGGAATCACAAAATGTGTCAATAGTCTCTTCTTGATATACAACAATAAACCAAGTTGCTTTCTTACATATTATTCCAAAAACATTTCTTTGGCTTCTTTCCAATACTCTTATTGACTCAATTCTAGGGGAATAGTATTTATTTATTATCATAGTTTCCATTAACTTAATTCCTAAATTATCATTAACCAATTCACTTGCCAACTTTGTTGTAATCATTCTTTTTTCATCTTGAGGGTTATTTAAATTGACTAAATCCCTAATTAATTCTTCAAATGTTTTTCCTATACCTTGGTAAAACTCTGAAAGAAATTCTACTAAGGACGCTTCTAATGGAATTTGTGGCCATTTACTTTGTAATATCACACCTAAATCATTCCAAGTACTAACTTTATTTTTCTCTCTTATATTAAGCTTTGGACGAAGTATTGGAAATTTCTTATAGTCACATTCTTTATTTCTTGAAAATCCTAATAACTTTCTTAATTTTGATAATTTATTATTATTCCCCAAAATTTCACTCCAAAGTTTCAGTAATTTGTTGTTTCTTTGAAATGAATTGTTATCAAAAATATTTATGGAAATAGATATTAAACAGATTATTATTGGAACCAAAATCCAAAATAACTTAGCTTTAAAAATTTCACTCTTGTTCATTTTTTCTATGCCTTTATCAAAAATTCACTTCCACATTAATTAATTATTTGAATTGAACTAACTTAATTATTTCTTGAATTATTTATTAAAACCTTTATACATTAAAAGTTTTGATGAGTTTTATTAATAAATTATATTAACTAATAAATCCAACTTGATTTTATTTTGATTATTTATTTATTGAAGATTTTATACTATTTATTAATTGATTTCAGGTAAATTAGCTTCAATTTTTTTTCATGTTATCTTCGTGGGGCAACCAGTCAGTATACAATTTGGCTCCTATTTAATTTTTTGTTTTTTTGTATGCATGTGTATTATCTTTATACCGGCATTACTAACATACACGTATTACTAAAATTTCGAATCATTTTACCGCCTTGTCAATTTTACTAATTTTTACATACCGGTATTTACATGCAAAACTAATCAATGTGAAGAAGCAATATTAAGGGTTAGTAACAATAAAATAAGAGCTTCAAGTATAAGAAGAATCTGGAGGATAGTAAAGAAGAATTAATTATAATGAGAAAAATTGTAGTAATAGTAATAACATAATGAATGTAATTTGGCATGATTGATAGCATCTAATAACAATTAGAAGTTAACAAATGAGGAAATAATAGTAATAATAGTGATAGCACTTTTAGTTAGAGGGGAGGTTTTTCCTACCCATTCTCTTCTAGTTCTTTATCACCTTACTCCACCCATCATACCTGGGGGGATACCACCCATTCCTGGCAGAGGACCTTGCATTCTGTCTTCTTCGCTAGACTTGTTTTTAACAGTCTCATCAATGGAAAGAATAGAACATGCAGCTTCTGTCGCACTAGAATAAGCACTGAGCTTATTTACAGCAGGCTCCCAAATAAATGAGTTAAAAGTATCGCAGATTCCTCCATTACTGCAATCTACTCCATAATTTTTGCAATCCTCGGTGTTTTGCGAGTGTTTTTGTCTAAGTCTGTTTAAGATATCGATTGAATCAAACCCAGAGTTAGTAGCTAAAGATCTAGGAATGGCTTCCAAAGCTCTAGCATAAGAATTCATAACTAACTGTTCTTTTCCCAAAACTGTTCTGGCATAATCCCTAATAGTTTTGGAAACTGCCATTTCTATGGCTCCACCACCAGGAACAATGTAAGATGACTTCATTGCTCTTCTTACAATCATTATTGCATCATTTAAGGATCTCTCAGCCTCATCAATAAATTGTTGGGCACCACCACGTAAGATCATTGTGGATGATTTAGTCTTTGCACAATCTCTAAAAATATTGTATCTCTCAGCCCCGATCTGGACCTCTTCAAATTCAGAACATGTACCGAATACACCACTATCTTTGTTTAAGCCATAAACAGTTGTCTGCACAATAGCACCTGTTGCTAAAGCAGTTCTCTTAAGGTCCTGTTCCTCGACTCTTCCAGCACAAAAGATATTTCTGTCAGCAAAATATTGGGTCGCTAAATCTCCTATAGCAAGTCTGCTTAAGACTACATTTACTCCTGAATTAGCAATTAGGTCAAGTTTCTCAAATATAATTTTCCACTCCGCGTCTACAATGCTTTGGTATGCAGAGGGGTCAGAAATCCTTACTTCAGCATTATCTTTCTCAGCCTTTAGTTCAAGTTCAAGATTCAATAGAATGATTTTAGGATTCATAAAGTGTTTTGGTTGTTGTTCAAATCCTGCATAGGAAAATGTTTTCTTGAAAGCTACTCCTTTAACTAAAAAGCTATCTAAAACAGAACCTCCATTAATCTTCTTAATTCCAATAAGGTCCTTATCCATTTCGTTGTCTAAATATGAAACAGCATCCACTACAACTTCAGCGAAGTGAGTCTTATAATTAGCCAACAACTTAGAGTTTAAACTGGTTTCAGCACATCTAATTAACATACTACGTCTCTTTTCTGGAGTCTCTTCATAAAGGCTGATTTTCATGCTATTTACCTTATCTATTGCAATCTGACTTGCTTTTCTAAAACCTGATATTATTACTTGAGGAGACATTCCATCTTCAATAAAGTTCTTTGCTTCCTTTAAAAACTCCCCCGCTAAAATTACCACACTTGTGGTACCATCTCCAACCTCATCATCTTGTGCCTTTGCTATTTCCACCAACAACTTTGCTGCAGGATGTACGATTCCGAGTAAATTCAAGACAGTTGCTCCATCGTTGGTAATTGTAACATCATCTGGAGAATTACTATTATGAATAAGTTTGTCCATTCCATATGGACCCAAAGTTGTCTTGACAATATCAACAATTGCCTGACATGCAGTGATGTTACTTAATATCTGCCCCTTACCTTGTGATGTATCTGAACCTTCTTTTAGAAGAATAATTGGAGCTCTCAACATTTCTTATTCTCAATATTACTTCTCTTACTAATTATTTACTATATACAATACTATTAGAGTTTTATATATTTATATTGTCTTTAATATTAAAACTCAAACTAGCTTTTTCCTTGTAATTTATTGACTTCAATATTAGACTCTAAATATATACTTATATGTACTAATTAGTTTATCAGTATTCTTAATTTTCCCTTAATATAAAAAAAAAAAATAATCAAAAGTAGTATTTTCTAAAAGGTTTAATCTTCCAGAATCTTCCTCGTAAAAGTCTAACTCCGAGAAATCTCCTCTTAAAATCTGGTTCTTGGTAATGATGGCGATTTCTGTATATTTCAGATTTGCAACCTATTGATTATTTAACCAAGGCTTTTTACTTTTATTTTCCCCTCTTCAGTTTTTATTCACTTTTATAACCATAATTTAACTCTTATTTTCGTGGGGTCAAATTATTTTTATATTGATTACATTTTACGTCTCGACATTACTATTTTAATTTCTTCAATTAAAACTTACTTTAGTTAAATAACTAGAGCTGTTTATTTTTATTTAATCAATAGCCCGCCAAAACCAAATAACTACTTGAAATAATATTTAAATTACAGTAATTTAAATTTTTTAAGCGGGTTAATACAATTATTAATAATTTTGATTAGTACCAAATAACATTAAGAAAAAAAAAGTCGAACAGGTTAAAAAAACAGTGTGAAGAATAAAAAAGTTAATTATATGTACATTTATTCGAAATTTAGATATTTAATTCATTGAAGTATTTTTTTTTTTGGTGCTTATTTTAAGTTAAACTAATTATTCCTGGTTATTTGGCAATAATAAGTTTAACATAACTGGCGCCAAATTGTGATATTAATTATTTATTAATGTGAATTATTTTATAAGTAAAAAATAAATGATTTAGAAAAATTGTCTTAATAGTAAAATTAAATATAACTAGTAAATTACGTATGTAATTTATTAATATAATAATAATTTGTCTATTTATTCCGGGTAAAAAGTCTATATAGACAGTTAGTATAGATAGGAAATTAGTAAAATAACAAGAGGGAAAAAGGTGGGGAAAAGAAGTTTAAGAATTGAAATAAGCTTTTATATGGTAGAATATTAATTAAGAAACTTTTCTTTCCAATAATTTAAATTAATATTCATCATTTTGTTCAATTTGAAGGAAAGCCAAACTACTAATCATTAATATTGCTAAGTGGGGAAGAAGTCTTATTAAGAGAAGGTGATAACTTGGATTAATTAAAGATGATGCCAAATCAAGTTTTGGTTGTACAACAACCTTCTCAAAGAGATCAAGGAAGAAAAGCTCAGTTAAGAAATATCCAGGCAGGAAAGACTGTTGCAGATGTTGTCAGAACCACATTGGGTCCGAAAGCTATGTTAAAGATGCTTTTGGATCCTTTGGGTGGAATAGTACTCACAAATGATGGAAACAGCATTTTGAGAGAGGTTGATGTTGCTCATCCCGGAGCAAAGTCTATAATTGAACTATCAAGGGCGATAGATGAAGAAGTAGGAGATGGAACAACAAGTGTTGTTGTTTTAGCAGGAGAGTTTTTGGCATGCGCAGAACCTCTCTTACAAAAGAACATACATCCAACTGTTATAGCAAAGGGTTATTTAAGAGCATTAGATGATTCCATAAAATATATGGAAGAGATGAGCGTCAAATTGGACGTAAACAACAGAGAGTCTCTTGTCAGTGTAGTTGATTCTTGTTTAAAGACTAAATTCTCAGGAAGATGGGGAAATTTAATTAGTTCTATGGCATTAAAGGCGGCAGAGATTGTCTCAATTGTCAATAAAGACTCACCAAAGGAAATTGATATTAAGAGATATGTAAGGATTGAAAAAATTCCAGGAGGTGAAATCGAAGACAGTTATGTTTTAGATGGTGTGATCGTAAACAAAGATGTAGTTCATCCTCGTATGAAAAGATTGATCATTAATCCAAAGGTTTTATTATTAGACTGTACACTTGAGTACAAAAAAGGGGAAAGTCAGACAAATGTAGAAATCACTAAGGAGTCTGACTGGGAAGCTCTATTAAGACAAGAAGAAGAAGAAGTTGAAGCTATGTGTAACGATATCATTGCAACTGGTTGTGATGTTGTGTTTACAGAAAAAGGTGTTTCTGACCTTGCTCAACATTTCCTTGTTAAAGCTGGGATTTCTGTAATTAGAAGGGTTCGAAAGAGCGATAATAATAGGATTGCTAGAGTTACTGGAGCTACTATTGCTAGCAGAACTGAAGAGCTCACACAGAATGACGTTGGTACTTGCTGTGGAAGATTTGAGGTAAAGAAGATTGGAGATGAATATTTCTGTTTCCTAACTGAGTCAAAGAATCCAAAAGCATGCTCAATCCTTTTAAGAGGAGGATCCAAGGACGTCCTAAATGAGCTTGAAAGAAATCTACACGATGCTCTTGCAGTTGCTAGAAATATCCTTCTTGATCCAGCTTTACTCCCCGGAGGAGGTGGCACTGAAATGGCCATTTCTTGTTATTTAAATGAAAAATCGTTTTCTATTGATGATACCCAAGTATGGGCCTACAAAGCTTTCGCCCAAGCTCTGGAAATTATACCAAAAACTCTAGCTCAAAATTGCGGAGCAAATGTAATGAAAACCCTGACCTTATTAAGATCTCACTATCTACCTTCATCACCATCCAAGGGACAAAAGCCAGTTCATGGTATTAATGGATGCACTGGCGCCATTACAGATGTTACTGAACTCGGTATTTGGGATACACTTGCCGTTAAACAACAAGTCTATAAGACTGCTGTAGAAGCCACTCTTATGCTCCTTAGAATAGACGATGTTCTCAGCTCTGTGTCTAAGAAAAGAGATCCAGTCCAAAACAATGTTGAACAAAATCCAAACATGGAGTCATTTGGTGACTCTAGGGACGGTTAATCTTTTATGCCTCTTCTGACACGTACATCCAACTCTCTGAAAACCCGCCATTTCCTGATAAATAAAGAACTAGAAAAGAAAATTTATCTATAATTATTTTGAGTTATTCTGTTTTACATTAACAATTATTATTAAAATTACTATTAATCATGCTATTTTTGTTTCTTCTGTTTAAAAAATCCCTTTTTAAATTCAATATTTTAGCAAGTATTTTTTCTTTCCAATATATTCTCTCAACACGTCATCTTTGCATGCATTACCACTTATTTACCCACATTTTGAGACATGTTCCCGCCAAGCGGTACCCTAATCAATAATAATGAAAAATGTAAATTTTGGATGATTAACTAGGTAGAATTCGTAGAAAAAACTGAAGAATAAAGAAAAGACAGCTTCTACGTTTATAATCTAAATTTTTCAACTACTAAAGACTTTATTAACTTTTTCTTTTCTTCAAGTTATTCCGTTTCAAATGGAAACCCAAAGCACACCAAATTATGAAAAACACACAAAATAAAGCTAATTCTATCTTTTTCCAAGATAGTAAATTTAAAATACCTGAGATCAAAATCATTATTTTCCTCTTAATTACCCTCTGTTTCGGAATTCTAAAAAATTCCCAGTTTGCTGTATGTTCTGAAATAAGAGGACCTATAGCTAATTGCAAGAATGCCCACGATAATTACTATTATAAAAAAGCAGGACTAGAGCAATTGTCTGAGGATAAACTTTATAAAGATAACAAAATTTTTGGAGTTGGAAAAAATATCTTTCCTGAACTAATTAATGAACTTGCTGAACTTCCTGAAGTAACCAAAAATTTGCTATTAACAGGAAAATTTGATAATACTGAAGATTTCTTCGAAAGTTTGGTATATGTTGAAAATGATATTGAGGATAATTCTGATAATCAACTCTATTCTGCTATAAATCATGATGGATCTATGCTTTTTTCATTTAACGCCAGAGTTAGGAAAAATGCAATTGTTCCAATATATTATAAAAGACCAGTACAAAAGGTACCATTAGAAGAGAAACTTACCTATTATATTCATCCCTTATATTTAATTGCAGACTTCCTTGAGACTGATATGAGCTCAAAGGCTATCTTGGACATTATTGAACCTCTTATGCATAATATTACTATGTACAATCACGAATACAAAAAGAGAAATCTTATTTACTGTAAGAAACTTAATAGTATTAAAAGTAAAGTCTTGGATACTGAAGGAGGATACCATATACTACATAATCTTATTAAGCGTAAAAGGAGTGGATCTTTGCGTATTCTTAAGAAACTTATTCAATATGGTCTGGATATTCACATTTTTGAAAAGTTTCCTCAATTATTTACCCTTGCTGTAAGGAAATCCAATCATTCAATAGTCAGATTCATTTTGGAAGAAATTTCAAAAGTTACAAATTGTTCTAAAAGTGAGCAAACCACTCTGGAAAACTCAGGCCACAATTTTAATTTCACTATCAACTCTAATTCATCTTCTAGTTTTAATATTACCAATATTTCATCTAATCATACTAATATATATTCACCCCCTAACGAATACACTAGATCATCAGTTATTCCTTCTTCTCCTTCCTCTTCCTTAAACTACTTAAATTCATCACCTTCATCAATATATTCTACTTATTCCACTGAACAGAAGAATATTAACTTTGATTTTCTCAATAAATTTCAAAATGATGATTATTCTGCTTTATACATCCACAAGATCTATGATCATTCCAGACACAATCATTTCCATGATCATTATAATCAGTCTAATCATCACTCTACTGCTTCTGGAGGTAAAAATATGAAATGTGATCAGAGTAATCTGGTAAATATGGTTGACAATTACAATCATACTTCTCTATTTTATGCTGTTGAAAACAATGATCTCGAAATGGCTAAAATCTTGATTTCAAATGGGGCCTGTATTAATATGTGGGATCCTAGAACCGGTCAAAATCCTCTTATGGTAGCTTTGGAGAATCACAATGGAGCAATGCTTAGTTTAATTATGGACCATGGAGGTGATCCTTTAAGAATTTCACCTATTTCAGGTCTCGATGTAATGGACCTTGCAATTAAAGAAAATGATGGTAAAATGATTGAAAAGATTGTAAATCATAATAATTATGACATTAACACTTCTGATAATGATATTGGATCCATTATTTTGGAATATGCAACTTTTCAAGATAAGTCTGAACTTAAGCTTATAGGCAAGACTTTCAAGAAACATCTTAATCGTGATTACTTCTTTAAACAACTCAAAGATTATGAGAAAGAGGCAAGACATGTTCTTGATATTGTTAAAATCCGAATTTCAGATTCATTATTAAATAGATTGCTCAAGATGGAAAGCAAAAAGAAAGTTGCAATAATTTGTCAGATAACTGATGAAGATGGAAGAGGAGCTCTATGGTGGTCCGCTTACTATGGTAATATTAAGCAGATACAATATATACTTGATTTTTATAGTAAAGCAATACGTAATAAATGGGTTGGATATCAGAATTGTAATCCTCACAAGGATGATAAGTACGGTATTTATCCATTAAATTTAATAATTCGTAAGGTTTTAAAGATACCAAAGAAACTAATTATTGACATGCTTCAGTTTAGAGATCCACAAACTAACTCTACTCTAGTTTTACAGATTCTCACCAAATCAAAACAACCTTTAAGAGCATTAAAGAGTATAATCCATACTCTGAAAGAAAAGTTTAATATCTCATATTCTTTTATTAATATTTGGCCAAATGGTTCTAGTATAACTGACCCAATATACTATTCAATCAGGAAAAAATTACCCACAAAAGTTATTTACTATCTACTAGAAATAGCTGTCAAGTACTCTGAGGAGGCCATGGGAAGTACTTCAATTTGGAGAAGAAGAGTAATTAATTCTGTCCATATTTTGAAAAATGTTAAGAATGTGGATATATCATCCATGTTACAACTCCATGAGAGTCATTTTTTACATTTTGATCATCAAGATGGTAACATATTTAATAATGACTTTAATGATGATCTAATGCTTTCTCTTAAGAAAAAGCTGATTAGGAATATGCCTGACAAGAATGAACGGAAACTTCTCAAAGAGCCAAAATTATTCTTTACTAATAATGGGGTTGGGTCAAGGAATATATTTGATAACAAATGGAGAACTAACATCAACTTTCTCCTTCAAAACGAAGATTCCCAGGCAAAAACTCCGTCTAATACTATTCCTCCTGAGGATTTTCCTTTGGTTATTCTCCCTCCAAAAATTAGGTCAATATTTTCAACTAAATATGCAAAAGTTGATAATAGCCCTGAAAGCATTGCAAAGATTATTCTTGGAAGAGGTCCTTCACACAAATCAATTGAAAACATCAGAAAACTAATTGAGTATGCTATTGGACTTGGTTCTGATGACTTTCAAGATTCAAATGGATATAATTCTATTCATTCCTCTCCTTTAAATATGAGTTCTTTATTCAAAACAGGAAATCCAGGAAAAATATATACTAACAAAAATTCTTTTGGGAGTAACTCAAATATAGAAAAAAGTCAAATTATTAAAAATGGCAATGGCCAAATATTTAGGAAAAACAGTAATGACGATCTTGGAGGTCGCAAATCTAAAAATATGATAAAGCTGGAAAAAGCTATTGGGAAAGAAATGAACGACGGCTCTTATTCCAATTCTAACTTGCTTAAATCTAAATTCAAAAAGAAAAATCATTTGGATACCTATGATCAAGAAATTGGTGAATATGAGAGTACTGCATCTAGCTCAGAAGACTCAAAACTTTCTTTTTATGAATTGTCTAATCAAAAATCTTACTATTCCCATGAAACTTCTCAAAATACAGGAATGTCATCCCTCTCACATAAACGCCAATTTCCTTTTTCATCATCTTCCCAGTCAACATCTCCAGATATTTCTAGCCAAAGTTCTGGTTCAAGTTCCTCTTCCTCATTACCTCCTTCGTCTTATACTTATGCCAATTTCATCCCAAACCACTTTCTATATCCTTTTGGAGAAGCTAGCACTGATGCAATTTACTCTATTGTCAAACTCAGGCCTGAAACTATTGGTGAAATCCTTACTAGAGTCAGTTACAAATCTCCCTCAGATGCCATTCGTATTCTTTCTTTGTTGGATGCCCTTCCAAGCGATTTCCCGCCATTTAATGTGCATGCATATTCCCCTCTACAAAGGGCCGCCACAATTTTGTATAAATATAAAGGTCAAAGAGACACTTTACCGGTATTGCATGCATTATTGTCATCAAGATTTGTACAATTATTTTCTTCAGAACAGCTAATGGAGAGTTTGAATTTGCTTGCTTTAATTGATTACAAGCCTTCAAGTACATTGGAGCTATTTGGAGGAATACCAAATTATTGTTTGTATTATGGAAATAAAAGTGGGAATTTCAGGTATTATTATTCAAAAAGTGGTTACTGGGAAATGAATTCTTTTTCAAATGAAAAGGGGACAATAGATGACAATGATTTCGATTCTTCAATTGGAATTGATCATAAAAAAGATCATTTTGAATTTGGAGACCAAAGTTTTGATACTTTAGAAGAAGAAAATACTCAATATTGGAATTTTAAGACAAATTATGAGAAGAATATCAAGTTTAATATGAATGATAATGAAAATGAAAAAAACAATATAGGAAATAATGAAAGCCTTAGTGCAGATAAGATGAATAATAGTTGTCCAATCAAGTTGATTATAATAGAGAAATTGAAAGAAATATCAACTCTTCCTTGGGAAAAGAAGCTGACAGATTCTGATATAATGTTTCTTATACTTTGCTTCTTTACTTTATTAGTATTGTTTTCTGTATATTTTAATTCGAATTTAAGCTTTCATTCAATGTTTAATTCTATAAACAAGAAAATGATAAAGTATTCAAATCAATTAAATTCTGAAATACCTTTATCTGGCGTAGAATGCAATTTTGCTATGGATTTTGGTTTGGTTTTTATGCTAAATATTCCATTTCCTTCAAAGAATAATATAAAAACAGGGCTTTGGAATGCTATAAAAGCTTGCTTTTTAATTAATAAAGTTTCTGATTTTCCAGTAAAAAAGTATGGAAATACTCACGAAAATCATTATGAATCAATCCAATATTCATTTGTTTCACTAATAATAAAGTTTTCAAATTTCTTTAATTTAATTAAAATAATTTCAATTTTGATTTTTTTTATATGGATTGTAGTTTTCCAAATTTACGAAGAGATTGTATGTTTCATAATACTTACTTGTATTGCAATTATTATATATACTTTGCATGGATTTAGAATTGATGAGAATATGTATAACCAATTAAGTTCTTGTTTTAAGTACAACAATGCTTTATTATTACCAGAGATTATGATTCTTTATGAACAAACAAATAATCAAGTAATAAGAATAGCAAAAAAAGCAATCAACCTTCATAGTAACCTTAAAAATGCCAAACTCTCTCAGAATCATGATGCTAAGGAATTATCAACAAAGCAAATTCAAAAATTTGAACTTTCAAAAAATAACTTTTATCCAGAAAATACTTATACAGAGATTCCAGAAATTGGGTTATTGGAAATATCAAAATTTTGTTATAATAATGTAGAGAAAATTTTCAAATGTTACCGTTTACTATTCATTATCCAAGTTGTTTGTTTAATACTTTCTTTTTTAATCACCATAAAGTTACCTTTTAATTGCTATAATAACCCAGAATTTGTAATCTCTAAAGACTGGAAATATAGTTTGACAAATATTTCATTTATTTTCAATAATATAAACTCTTGCAGGAAACTTTACCAATTTCAATATCCTCATCTTTTTCAAATGACCAGATTTTACCCATTAACAGTATCAATTCTTCATTTTATAGCATTTATATATTATTGGCAATTACTTTCAATGATTTCATCCCCTATTTTATCAATAATACTTGCTTTATACCACTTTTATTCACTTGCAAGTGTATTTAGTTCTGCTATTTCAACTCCAATTAGTATTTTACTTCCAAATGCTAAAAATAGCAAACTTTTAATTTCTCAGTCTTATTCATCAAAAGAAATCAGCAGAACCAATTCAGTAAGTACTCCTTTGTTCTCTGGAGAGAAGCAACAATCCAAAGATAAACAGTCTAGTTATAATAAATCTTTGATAATTGATGAAAAGAACTCAATAATAAGCTCAAATGGATGTAATTCACCAAGCCATGTTAATTTAACGAAAAACTCTTCAATTAATTCTTTAAAAACTCAAAGTAATTCCAATATCAGGTTACAAAGTGTGGGAGAAATAGCAAACCCTGGATCTTTTGATATTTCCAATATGAGAAACCAGAGTGGAAATAACAGAGTATGTCATAACTCCGATAACTTATCTTTAACCCCACCACATAATACTTTAAATATACTTCAAAATTCAAATCCAATTACAACAAGAAGTTTTATTAATAATCAAAGTCCTGAAATCAGGCTAAGTAATTTCCTTAAATTAAACCATTACTCAACAGAAATACAGTACCAAGATTATGAACACTTTGAAATGAATTATTCCAAGATTTATCCTTATAAAATTGAGAATAATTCTGAAACTTCATACTACCAAGTTCTTGAAGCACAGATCTATCCATTTTTTATTTGGGCAGACTCAAGAAGAGCATCCCATAGAATATGCAAATATTTTTGGAAACCTATTGACTTTTTTAAAGACGTTCTGGCCATTGTAACTATTTCTTTTGCAATGATGTACTACTATGTCGAGCTTAAATCTTTGCCAATAAAAACTATAAGATTATGGAATTTAGTTCCAATCTTTACACTACTTCTTTCTGCATCATTAATATATATAATGTATATTATGATTAAAATTCACAATCTAACTGTTGAATTTTGGCAATGGGTACCTGATGTTTATGATATTCTTCCTATATGTTCAAATTTATTGAACTCAGTCGAAACAACCATGAGATTATTACCATTTCTTACATCACCATTTTATATTTTAAATACACCAGTAAAGTTACCTTTACTTTTTGGTTCAATTTTCATGATTGTAATATCAATCAATTTTAATTAATTAATTCAAGCAAATATCAATTAGTATATCGATATTTATATATAAATTGTACTTCAATTCTTTATTTATGTTTTTTTTATATTTATTCGGTACCTTTATTTTTTATTTTGCATGCATTTATGTCTCATTTTTGTGTGTATGACATTAAATTTTGGCGCGTGTCGGCTTTTAATAGTACCCACATTTTTTCTAATATTAAATCATTAAAATGATATATACAAATGTATAAATTTAAATAAATAAATATACATATAAATATACATTGATATTTATTTATTTATAATTATTTTTATTAACAGTATACACGTAATTACTTTTTTTTTTGTTTTGCAAATTCTTTAATTAAGGTAAGAAGTTGTATTTATTCATATAAATACATAATATATATATATATATATATATTGTTTTTATATAAATATTTATTTTCAATCATAATCTGCATTTCTCAAGTTGATTTCCATATTACTGGGTATATAATTCGTTTAACAATCTTATTTAGTACTTGTATTTTGGGAAAAGTAAATGAAACATTTTGGCTGAATTCTCATATTTCATAATAAGTATCTATTATAAGTCTTAACATGGGTCTTCAAATACTTCTGGTATATACATGATGTAAATATTAATATTTATTTGAATTAATTTGTCATTTTATAATATATTATATTCAATATTTAAACTACAGATGCATTTACGTGATAATTCAATTTTAATACCAACTTTATTAAATATATAATAATATCCAAATTATTAAATAACTTTTTCACCAACTTCCAATGATGAGTTTAATTCATCTTAATCACAAATTCTACAAAACCCTTCTTACTTTAAGTATTTTATTAGTATTATGTACCGGTGAAATAATTAGTTCAAAAACAAAAAGAAAATATGGATATAAGATTCATGAAAACACAAAAGTTGCAGAATCTGACTATTATTCAATAAATAGCCGGTCCAAATTTGAAGAAAGAATTGAAAATTCCAAATTTCCTCTTGCAAAATACTCTGGTGATCGTTTATCTGCTCCAGTTCAACTATTAGAATCGATTATAGCACGAGATATTGGTAGATTTATTAATATTTCCAGCTTTTTATCAAAGATTGGATATAAGTTTGGAAAAAGTAATCATTCTGAAACTCCATTGACTGCTGCATGCAAAATTTCTGGAGAAATTGGATATTTTTTTGTATCACATCTTCTTTCTTTAGGAGCTTCTGCTGATGTTTATAGTGATTATGGATTTACTCCACTTCTTTTGGCTTGTAAATATAAACATAAAGAGGTTGTTAGGTTATTAATTGAAAAAGGAAAATCTCAACTAGACTGTACTGATTCTGATGGAAGAACTCCCTTGTTCTATGCAATAAGCCAGCTTGATATAGGATTAGTAAATTATTTGCTTGAAAAAGGAGCTAATCCTAATTTTAGAGATATATTAGGAAATACTCCACTTATTCACGCATTAATGGTGAATTTTAAAGAAGCTGTTAGTTCTTTATTATCTTTTGGAGCATTTCCTTGGATTAGAAATTATGCTGGTTTTGATCCGGTTACCTTAGCAGTTCTTGAAAATAGAATTGGAATTCTTCCAATATTAATTAGTTCAAAAAGATACTCTCTTGAAGAGTTTAATATACGAAAAAATATTCCAGAATATCACCATTCGGCTGCAAGAAGACTTTTATTAGGAATTAAGTATTATATCAGAGAACAGATACTCTTGGAATTACTTGAAATTGAAATATCACTTGAAAATGTGGTTTTATGTTCTGCTTCTGATCAAAATGGTTTAACTATTCTTTGGTGGGCATGTAAACTGCATTATCCCAAATTTATCTTCAGATTATTGGAATTCTACCTACAGGCAAGAAACTTACCAGAAGGACATATATGCAATCCACATAAAACTGGGAATAATCAAATTATGCCAATTGAACTTTTAATTACACATTTATATAATGAAGAGCAGCCATATGGTTTTTCCTTTAGAAGAAGATTCATGGATCTGATATTTAAAGGAGCTTCTTTTAAGACAATGAATACTCCAAATATTGTTTTAATGAATATATTTGCTCTTTTATTTATGCTTGATCCATATTCAAATAGATCTTTTTTGATTCAAGCACTATATTCTAATAGAAGTATTGAAAGCCTTACAAAAGTACTCTTTGGGATCCCAATGTATAATTCAAAGCCTGATCTTCAAAGTATCACTCAAATGTTAATTTTGACCAAAAAAAGTGAATTAATGAATAGGTTTACCAATATGATTAAAACCATAATTTTTATCCTTGTTAATAGTCATAAAAACCAACTTCAAACTCTTCAAAATCAAAATAGGGATGAAAAAGACCAACAACAACAATCTGTTTTACTTTTAACCTCAAAAATTGTTTGCATTGTCTTCAAAAGAAATCTCGTCAAATATAAAGATGATGATACGGGAGAATTCTTCCAAAAAAATATTCTAAATCCTTTCATTTATCCTCTATTGGTTATTGGAGAAACCAATTCTTTAGAGGAATCTAATTCTCTCAGTATTAGTATTCTTCGAGGAAATAACTTGTTAACGAGATTTCTCACAAACTTATTCAACCAATGTATTGAGCAGACTGTGACTAAAATTCAATTCAAATACAAAAGACTTTGTATCAAAGCATATCAAGGAGCACTAAAACTTGCTTTAAAACAGTATCAACCAGCTGACTCCAATTCTATATTTCAGAAAAATGTAGATCTTGCTCTCTTCACGCTTTTACAGAATAGGCCAAAGGTATTTAATGATGTTTTGCTTGAACTTGACTACTGCAAGCAATCTGAAGAGGCTATTGCTGTTAAACTCTTGCAATATGTGGTCACAGTTTTTTTACCAAAATTGTCTTACTCTAATAAAAGACTTTTCAACTCTCAACTGAATTTGGATATTCGAAAATGTACTTCGGAATCCCAAACAGCTTTGAATAAGCGTTCTTATGAGTTTTGTAACCAATATTCAAAAAATAATTCCAAGGAGAATAGTAATTATGTTGAGTCGTCTGCTCTTCCCTTTCCTACTCACACATATCACTTAACAAACAATGATAAAATTTCATTACTTGAATTTTCCACAAAGTCTTTAATAAAATATAACTGTGATGTAAGCACTCCAAGATTTGTAGATTTGCTTTTGCTTTCAACCTGGGAAAATCTGGATTTGCTTTCAAATTGGTTTGTCACAGAAAACCATCTTAGAAGAACTATGGACTTTCTTTTAAGATCAGTTGTACCAGAGTCTGTTCAAATGCCTAAACCTTTGTCATTGTTTGCTCTTAAAATCTTAGGGTTCTCTCCTTTATTCTCAAGGTTTGTGCTTCGTAAGCATCAGATCAATGAAGGTACCAAACCATTTTACAACTTTGTGATTAAAAGAAACATAATTTCGGAAGCTATAATTAACCATCCTTCATTTAAATCAGACCGTTCAATTGATAATAAAATTACTGCCATCATCTTAATTAGTTTGGTTATAGCCATCCTGATCTTATTAACTGTCTTAATTGTAAGTGACAGTCCTTCATCTTATAAGAAAAGGTATCTTAGAAGCAACTTAAATAGAGCTAATACCGATACTTCCATCAAATCTGGCTATAAATCATCAAATAAATCCATTATTGGCTCTGAACAAGACGTAGTTGTTGAGACATTATATAATACTTATCATGATGAAGGATCCATTAGTTCCCTTAATTCCTACTTAGAAGAAACGACGAACTCATACAAAGTAGAAAGAGGTGTGAACTGCAATACAAATGATAATTCCAATCATAGTAGCATTAGTAATACCAGTAATAGTGGCATAAATGTTATTAATGATTCTAAGCACGACCAAAGTTGTGATTTCCATTACAGAGATGATGATATAAATTATTCTGGTCAAAGCTGTCAGCAGAATCAGAGTGTAGTAGAAAGGAGCAAAGTCTCGTTTATATTGGTTACATTTAAAGCTCTGTTTGGCTGGGTCATGTCAAAGTATGTTATATTTGCGATGAATCTTTCATCCTTTTTGAGTGCAAAAAAACAGATATCTCCAACTTTTATTCTTGCTAATAACCTGCCTATAAAGTCCAGATCATGTTTGAAAGCATTATTATTTGGATTGAAGTGTACCTTTATTGGATATGATGCCTTTGAAGATATCTTCTTTCGAATTAGAAAATTCTTCAATTACAAAACCACAGGAATACAGAGAAAAACCAATACTTTTCTTTTTCTTGGATTACTACGTTTTTTAATTTTAACCCTATCAATGTACTGGATTATTTCTTGTAAGAGTATTGATTTATTGATAGTTTCAATTTACCTTTCTTTACTTTCAGCCATTTCAAATGCTTCTTTATCTCTAGCAAGCATTTCAATTCACGAAAGAGATAGACTTTTTCATCTTTTTGTTCCATCTACAGTTGATCTTGTTGATTCAGTAAATTTGGATTATGGTTATCAAAAAGAAGTATTCGAATCATATCCTGAGCTTAGCCCTGAGAATCAGATAGACTTTTCAACATTGAATGCTAATCAGCCTTCATCAAATGTCTCACCTATATATGATGATAAGATTGTACATATCCTGGATAAGTATGCAGACTCTCTGCTTACTCCTTCTCCTCGACTAATTTCTTCTCAAATTGGTGGGCAGTCGCCACTCCAGTCTTATAGTCCAGTTAATCAAAATACAGATAATGGAGGCTCTGGTAGTAAAAATTTTGAGATAATTAATCAAAGTTTCTGGAACAAAAAGCTTCCTACACACAAGTACTGGGCTTTAAAAGATGTTTTCCATGAGTATTACTCAATTTGGATTAGTTCAAAATATTCGGGATTGCTTCAGGCTCAGAACTTTTCTCAAAACAATAATAGTGGTATGATTTATGATATGGATCTCGCTTCAAACAGCCATTCTCCAAATAGTAATAAATTAATTTCTCAAAATCCATTCGAAGCAATTAATTCTTGCATATTTTTCTCAGATGAGTACTTTTTTTTCAACTCAAACAATGTGAGAATTGCATCTAGTAGTAATATTTGTGGAAATTTGGGAATAAATAATAAAAATAATAGCAAAGTTAACTCCTTTTCACAGATCACAAACTCAAATAATAGCCCTGTAAGTTACCAGAATAACGTAAGTTCAGCAGAATATTCCCCTGTTTTAAGTAACAATAGTCCAAGCCAGATTAATAGTCTTTATTTACAGAATGCCACAATTGAGCATCATATCCTTTCAATTTGTCAGACTGAGTTTATAAAACCAAATGACTGCAGAATTTGGTATATAATCCAATGGTTAATTTGTATGTTTATTACTCTTTCATTTTACTTACTTTCTTACTTTGATCAGAGAAATCTATACTATAATTTTCTTCAATACCCAGATAAATGGAAAAGATTTTCTGAATCAACTATTATTACAGTATTCTTTGAAATTATATTAATTTCACACTTTGCTCTTATTTTATGGACATTTTTGAATCCTCTGGGATTTTTGTGGGTATTAATTATCCAAAGATTTCGTGTTTTCTTATACATTATTAATAATCTTTTAAAACGAAGAAAGAAGCGTAAACTTACAAATATTAATGAGATTTTAATATTAAGAGAGTTAACATTCTTTATAACAATTTGGAATTACATCATTTCAAGAAACAATGGATTTCTTCAACTCACTCTTTACAATAAATACTTTAAATCTGCGTATTTCTTCTTTTTGGTTTTCTTTACTCTTCACTTCTTTATTTTGAAAGGACAATTCCAACTAATAATTCGGTCACAACTATTCTTTACTTTATTTACATTTGTTATATCACTTATGGTCTTAATTGCTTTAATATTTGTTTTTATTCTACTGACAAATGTTGTTACAAAGAGCATTTCTTCTTCAATCAACTCAATTCTTCACACCTATTACCATAACAAGCTCTTCCACTTATTCCTCAGAAGAGAGATTTCCATTTTAACAGCAAAAAGGCATGATGCTTTTCTACATTTTGACTATTACTAATTAATTAACTCATTCTGTTAAAAAAAAAATAATGAAATTTTTTTAAAAACATTTAATTTTTAATATTCACCTAAAATGGGAAATTCCACAAATATGTTTTGCATGCAACATTGCATACTACAATTTAATAATGCAAACATGAATTTTGACACGTAATGTAAAAAAAATTAACAATATATATAGTTTAAAAAAAAATATTTTTTTTAAAAGAGATTCTGTTAATGAAAATCAGTTACAAAAATGAATTGATTTGACTGTTGAAGTTTCAATATTGGGGAGAGATTATTTTATTAATTTTATCTAGTTTTATAATTAATGATTATTTCTACAATTCACTTTATTTTTCTCATTTGATTTTATTGATTTAATCATCGTTTATCATTTAAGTATCACAATTTGACCATTTTACTGTATCCCACATCCCCCTCCATATTTTAGATGCTAATTTTTTTTGAGATTTCGTTCGGCGCCACACCTGAAATTATTATTCACTTTTCATGCATAAATTTGCCACTTACTACAAAAATTTGCATGCATTTAGGCGGCATTCCGTGGCGCCTAGTGCATGTAAAATAAAGTTTTGCATGTGGTCAGTATACCGGTGGCATTAGTTTAAAAGCAAAAGTTGTTTTTAAGGGGAAAAAACATCAGAGCATTTAAAGTTTAACTTGATGAAGGAGGAAAGGAGGAGAAATCAATAAATAATTTTTAAAAAAAGTTAATAAACTTGTGTTACTTTTCTTAGGATTAAATTCCCAGAGATAAAGGCAAGAAATAAAAATAATTGTGGATAATTTCAAAAAAAAGTATAATATTTATTATTGCAAGGTATTCATATAAATAGAGGAATATTAAGACAGTTTCAGAATTTTTTTAAGATATTTGAGGTGTAAAATTGTTTAAAATAGAATTTGAATACAAATAAAAAGAAATATATACAAGTGAATAAATCTATTTAAAAAATATTTTCTGCTTAGCAAAGTTCAACCTAAAGTAATCAGTTAATTAAGTACAGTTTTTTCACAAATAATAATAAACAGGACAGAATACCTTTGTTTTAATTGGGTTTCAACTATTAAGTTTTTTATAGTTAAATTATTATGGAAAATTAAAGTTGACAAAAAATTTGAATTTTACTGCATTATTATTAATTATAAAAATAGTGGTAATAGCAATAATAAAAAATAATATTTAAAGTTTTGGTAATAAATTAATCATACCAAAATTAGTTCCTTAAGTCAGTAAGTAATAAGTAAAATCACAAGAAAATGATTGAAGAGTCAAAAATTGACGGGGAATTGGTATCCAAAGAACCCAAAATAGAATTGGAATGTTACATTTCTCCAGAAAACTCCCAAGTAATTGGGACTGAATCGGAAATTGATGATTGTTCTAATAATGAGCAGGTTTTCAATAAGTTAGGAGATCATAATGAGAACATTATACACAATTTTGATCAAATTAAGGTATTTTCTCGGTCTAATATGGAACAGGTAAATTCTCAGTACCTTTACTTAACAACTACAGCTAGCAGTAGCGATCAGGTAATTGATCACTGTAATCCAGCCTTTCCTATCAAAGAGCTTGAAGAATGTAAAAAGTCCAAGAATGAGTCAAATCCAAATCTAAATGATGTAAAAACATATGAAAATGCCAAAAATTTAATCAAATTTAAAATAGAAAAGTTTAATTCAGTAATTAAGGAAGACAAAGAAAAACGTAAAGTAATTGTAGAATGGTTGAATAATAACGAATGGTCTTGTAAACAATGGAGTTGTAAGAAGTTTGGTAAAGAAGGAGCTGCAAAAAGAGCAATTCAGTTTTTAGAGAAGATACACGGAACCACAATCAATTGTTTACCTGAAGGTTTCTATTCTACCCTTTTGAAAATTGGATCTTTAGAAGGTAGTAAGTCTTCCTATTCTAGAAGGAAGTCAGCGGATTACTCTGAGAAAAATGCAAACAAAAGGTCAAAGGTTAACCAATATACGGGAATCCAGGAATTGGATTCATCCCTGACTTCCTCCTCACCCTTTAAATGTCACCAAAATCAAAATTTTCACGAACCTCAGATGGTCAATTTAATTCAAAAGATTATGTTATTGTTTTCATCTCTTGATACTAATTCTTTTGAACTCAAAGAAAAATTTATATGTGGCCAAACTAAAATCCAAGAAAGTAGAGAACTTCAATGGGAGAAATTAAATTTAAATTGTAGAAGACAACTTAGAAAGTTGATACTGGAGAATACTATAAACAAAAAGTTTTCATTCAAAGAGTATGGTTTGTTATTGGATCAGGCTTCCCAAATGCTTGGGATTAATCAGACTGAAAACGATGAATATCATTCAGAGGATAGGACTATATTTGATTCTATTCTTGGTGTAAAGACTGTGAAAGAGGTCTTAAATAAGACAGTGAAAAGTGACCTGCAGCTTTTTTATGCAATAAAAGATATCCTTCAGATTATAAAGATGAGTGAAGAAGGAGTTGTTGAAAACAAAAATAGTGAAATCAGCTCTAGTTATTGGAACAATTTAATAGAAAATGGGTCAAGAATTAATGATGATTTACAGTACTTATTAGAAGGAGGTCTTGCTGGGTATTCTTCTGTAACTTGTTCAAACTATGGAAATGGATTCTTTCAATTTAATTGTAAACATAACTCAAGCTTTAATGAAAGAATCAACTTTAATAAAATGATAAACCACAAAAATTCATGTATGAATTTGCTGCATACAAATATCCAGGAAAATGGTTATAGATCTGTATATCCAACTTATAATGAAAGGAGGATTGCCACTAGGTTACAAGGAAAAGTTCAAAACTTGGATAACTGTGAATTTACTGGCGTTTCATCTCAGAAATTACTGGAAACTAATTCAATCCTTAGTGACAGTATTCCAGTGAATGAATATCAAATTGAGGCTTCTGAAGCTGAACACCAATCTGTAAAAATGTCAAATGGTATTTATACTTTATTAGACATGAAATATAGGGTCAAAGGAGGACAAAGCAGAGAGATTCTCTGTGATATGTTGGGAAATAACAAAGTTTATCATGATGAAAACGTTAACAATAATGTTAATAGTGAAAATGAAAACCAGTTTTCAGAAAAAAAGATAAGAAAAAGGAGATCTAATTATTATCCTGAAAATAACAGAAAAGTTCAAAGGTTAAATCCAGAAAAACAAGAGTTAAAAAAAAGCACAATAGAGTGGTGGAAGAAGCCAAGAGGTTGGAAGGTGACTTACTACAAGGAAGGCCAGAAATATTCTCAGATCTTTAGGGTTTCATTAAATTCGACAAATATAGAAAGAGAATCGCAGTATAAACTTGCTTATAATTTTTACCTATCAACTCGGGAAGAGGGAAAAGAAGAGGTTCAAACAAATAACGAGAATGATAATGTAATTAATAATGGTAATGGGATAAATACTATTTTTTGTGAGAATATGATGAATAATGTTACTGAGAAATTAGCATCTTCTAATTTCTTATATAATATTCCAAACATCATTAATACTTCAAATTTGATACAAATGTTGAATACAAACATTAATCCAAGAAATATAATATCAAGCAACGCCCCATTGATCGGAAACATTCTGCCTTTGAACTACTGTTTAACTTCTTTATTTAGAAGTTTTAATCCTCCATTATATGGTATTGGGATAAATGGTGGTTCTAATATACAAAGTGATGAAGGCTATAATCATTTAAGCATGGAAAATCATGCTAGAGCATACCCTTCTACACAAATATCTTGTCAACCCTATACACCTTTTATTTCATCAATAAATCCATTTATAATACCAGTATTTCCATCTCTAATACAAAATCTAAATTTAATTCAACAGAATAATAATAATGTAAATACTGAATGGAATGAATTTCCAGTTGGTTCTACAGAATTACCACCAAATAGCAATATAATTAATAATAAAATTGAATAATCAGGTAATAAAGTCAAAAACATAATGAATTAGTTTGGACGGATATACCTAAATATATATATTAATGCATGATCATGTATTAATTAATCCAAGTGTTTGATACTGCTGAAGCAGCTCATCGTACTTTAAGTATTCAGTATCAGTCATTAGGTTAATAATTTCATCATCAATTTCAGTAATCTTAAAGATTTTGTCCTTAATAGCAGATACTGAAAAAGTTGGTTCTTCAATCTTAGTAGGAGATTTTGCAGAAGAACTGGCTGTGATAGATATCTGGCTGTGGGATTCCAGACCAGTACCCTGTATATTATTGGAATTATTATTATTATCATTATTATTATTATTACTACTACTACTAGTAGTAGCAGTAGTTTCAGTATTATTATTACTTGGGTAATTACTGGAAACATTTGAAGAAGAAAGACCATTTAAGGACTCTCTTTTGATAGCAATCTTATTTCCACCAGTAAGCTTGGAATGATGATTATTGGAGGTTCCAATAAGAGAGCTTGTGGTTTTGGTCGATAATTTGATTCCAAACTTTACTTTAGAAATTGTATGCTGAGGAAGTGTTTGTGTAAGAGAGGATGATGATAGGGATGGAGATGAGTTAAGGTTTCTTATACCAGGTGATTGTTGATTAATGTTAAAGTTACTTTGGTTGCTATGGGGAGAAGAGGTATTTCCTATTGAAATTGGGGTTAAAGTATCATTAGACAAAGAATTCTGAATACTTCGGTCATCAGAGATTTTACTGTTATTATTTCCATTACTATTACCATCATCTATGGCGTTAGTAAGTTTCATCTTATTAATACTGTTATCATTTTTGCTTTGATATGGAGGAAAGATGGGAATATGCATATTTTTAACAAGTTCTAAAGAGTTGGAGAGAATTTGAAGTTGTGATCTGACTCTTTCGGCTTTATCTTTGGCAGCATTTCTAAAAGAAGCAGAATCAACAGATTTGAGTTTTTCATTACAAAATCTGCATAAGAATAACCCATCATCTGGATTTAAATCTAGTGATAGAGCCTCAAGTGAGGAATACTTTGCATTGCATCTATTACAAATTAATTCATCAAGATTTACAGCATCCTTAATTTCTTGATCAATCTCGTGAATAATAGTAGTGTATTGCCATTCAACCACAGCTGGTAAATATGGATTAATCCTATAAAAAGATGGACCAATCCTATTAGAAGGTAGTCCAGTACTACTATTGTTATATGTAGAATTGGACCCAGTTCCTCCTTGACTTGAAGAGTATTTACTCTCTAAATCTGTAGAAAAGTTTAAAGTACCAGTATTACTAATGTTATTCTTATTTAAAGATTGTTCAGAAGTATTGCTTTGAGATCCATCGTTAGATTTCTGATCCTTAACAACAATTAAATCTTCTTCTAGTTGTCTTAAAGCTTCTCTTACTTGCCTATCAGATAAGTTTAGTTTGTTAGCAAGATCTCTATCTGTGAAGGACTTTTGTTCTCTGATTAAGCAATCTCCAACTATAATAGCTGGGGAATCATAAAATAATCTTAGTAGAATTTGCACAAATGTTTTAAAGTTCTCTGGGTTATAGGGAAATTGTTGGATATCACAATTGCTTCTATTTGAATGTAAGTTTTGTTTATTCATATACAAATAAAATGACGTCTTTATAAGTTTAATTTGAATATATCGTAATTAATTAAAGATATTTATATATTGCTACTAAGTGGTATTGTAAATAAGTAAAGCCAGTAAAAATCAATACAGAGCTAATATTATTATTGAAACATTAATGAAATTAAAATAAATTGGGCAGTTAATCCTTAATATAATTCTTTTAATTAATACCTTATTAATATTATAATAGTTATACAAATTTTAGCTTAAACTTATTGGTAAACCAAAAAAAAATTACTAAGAGTAAAATTTATACTTCTCTAAAAAATCACCTGCTCTTAAAAATTTTTCCTTCTTTTAATCCCTTCTTTAAAATAATAGTCTTCTCTATATACTAAATTATTTTTTTTTCTTGTTACGATCTTGAATATGAACATCATGGCGCCAACTTTTTGGCGCCAAAATACTAGAAAACTTTTTGAGAGGAAAAATGACATGTAGATGGAAAAGTATAAAAGGCAAGTATTTAAAATAAGTAGAAAAGAGAAATATAAATTAAGTTATCTTTTCTTATAAACACAAGGTTTAAGTAGATTATGGTCAATGTAAAACTGATTTCCACAATATAAATCATGATTCGACATATTTGCAAGTTTTAAAGATTTAAAGTTTTTGGAAATTCTGTAAATCCATCTAAGCCTGAGTCCATATTTGTATTTAAGGTTAGAAAAGTAGTATTTATTTTTTTTCGAAAAATTTTTAAAAGTTGGACTTTGTAGATGATTAGGAAAATTTGAGGGTTGGTAAATGGGGAACGGTTTCTTTTTAAATATAAACTGAGTAAAGTAGTTAGTAAGGTTGATAGGATCTTGAATAAGCTCAAGATTGAGCTGCTTTTGTAGATTTAGAGCAAAAGATTTGGAGTCCTCAATTCTTGAAGATACCTCTGCAATGATGAGAATTCCATTATCTTTGAGAGTTCTGCATGCTTCTTTAATGAATAAAGGCCAATCAGTACCCATAAGACTAAGGCAGAAAACTGCTAGATCTAAGACTTTACCGCTTAAAGGTATATTTTTCATATTACAAATAGTGATATTATATTTTTCAGAGATTTCTTTGGGACAATTTAGGTCAAAAGAATAAACTTTATATCCTTTAATATGTCCAAAAGTTTGGCCTATCTTGCCTGTCCCACATCCAAAATCTCCGATAATCCTAAGATGCTTATTTTTTGAAATGTAGTTAATTATACTATCTAGAGGGTCTACAGGCCAAGATTTTTTTTGAATTTCATAACCTTTGTGGTAGTTCTCGAACATATTGTTATCTTTCATATATTCACTAAATGCTTTTTCACTATCACTAGTATACAAGAACTCATTAATCTTTCTAAATAAGCTTCCTTGAAGTCTGTTTGAAATTTTGTTGTTTCCATTCTTATTTATAACAGGAAAACTATTTAGGTTCATTATATTATTTTCTCTAATTTCACTATTTATGCTGTCATTATTTATTAATTTATTACTTTCATATTTACTAGCCTGAATACAATTAGGTTCAATAGCAGCTTTTGAACTATCTTGCTTCTTAGTTCCAATATTTCTAGTACCAAGTCCTGTTTTAGAAAGTCCTGTCCCTTTTGTTGTCTTCCTATTTTTGCCTCTTATGCTTAACATAGTTTTAATAAAGCAAATTTTGTTTGTTAATTAATTTTTGAAACAATACCACTTTCTTCTCTGACTTCTATTGAGGTTGAAAGTTTTGTGAATAATTGTATTCTTTCAAATATTATATTAAATGTTCAAATCGTAAGGATACCATTTAACTAGAACGTTCCACCTGTCACAATAAATACTCAAAATAATTCAACTAATTTATATTTTGTTCTACAAATATTTCAAATTTCACAAGAAATAAGTACCCAACTTAACCCTTACTCGCAAAAAATACTCCCTTTTCCTTTAATGACCTTTTATACCGTCAACTCAAAAGGCGGGCAATGCCCCCGCCTTTTGGAGTATGCATGTTAAAAAATATTGCAAAAAAAACACTAAACAATTTTTCTTTTTTTATGAATAGAAGAAAATAAGTCATTATCTGAGCTTGAGGAAGAAGACATTTTTGAGTCGTTTTCGTTTTGTTTCAGATCGTTTCGTAAGCATTTGAAGAAGTTACAATTTGAAAAGTCTCTCAAGTTTATTAAAGAGCCAAAAATTTCAGGGTTTAGTTTAATAGTAGATATGTAACGTGATTCAGAGATTCCCCAGAATTTCCTGGAGTTTTCTAACTCTGAAAATTTGTGACAAGAACATTTTGTTTTAAAATTATCAGAATGGGAAATTTTCTTTGAAGATAATTCCCAATGAGCCAACATATTCATTTCCTTAATAAGTATATTATAGGCGGGAATAGGAAAGAATTGAATGTGCTCATCCAGAATAGTAATTAATTTTGAGTTATTCTTCTTTTTATTATTTCCATTATCGTAGTTCCACTTAAATGCATGAATAAAAATTCGTCCAATTGAGAGGCGAATAAGCTTTTCAGATATAACATAGGGGAGTCTTCTTTTACAAAATATCATTCGAATTGCTCTTTCATTATCATCTACAAGCTCAATTACTGCTCCTAGAACAGGCTTAAAGTTAATGGGCTTTTTTAGATCCTCTTCATAAACTGGTTTTGCTATAATAAAAATAAAACCACAAATATTTGGATCACTTAGAAGTTCTATAATATCTTCAACTATCTTGCTATCTTTGTCACTAAAAGTTAGGTCCTGAGAAAAGCTTCTCACAAGACCTTCATCCAAACTCTCAAGATTGTCAAATATTAAGTTAAAGACATTATTTTCATCTTTGAAAACATTTAGTTCTTTTCTGTACTCTTCAATTTTGTAAGAAAAGCTTCTATAGACTTTTTTCTTTATTCCATTCCTGGTGTTATCATTATTGTTTAAAGGTAAGTTAAGTAGAAATGGTCTCAATTCTAATTCGGGAAACAAATGATCTCCAATACTAAATACTTTCTTATAGCTAATATCAAGCATTATTTTTCGTTAGATAAACTTTTCTAATTATATCAAATGATTATAGTATTATTGTGGGCCTTTCATATACCCATAAAAACTCATACATGCTTTTACACGTAAATATTTATGTTATAAATAAACGTACATTTAAATATAATTATATACATCAATTGTATTTATTTATTTACAATTATTTTTTTTGGATTAATTACTCATCAAGTTGTGGGATTTTATGGTTTTTATGGTTTATTCTAAATAATTAAAATTTTTGCTTCTCATTCGCATTAGTTTTTTGGTGTTTTATAATTTTTCTTATTAAAAGTTAATCTTTACTTTTATTTTAATACGTGTTATTTATTCTAGAAGGTAATCACGGCAGAAATGGCTAATTAAGGCTGAAATTACTTGAAAATTTCCTGAGAAAAAAAAACAGAAATAACCGTCTTTGTTACGAAATCCAGCTTCTAGTTGATTTGGCTTAACTATACTCAGCTACTCTGATAAATTATTTTCCCACTAATCCCTTTACAACTTTTTTTTCACTTTCAAATAAATATATTAAATTATTTTTATTGTATATTTATTTATTATATATATTAAGTATATACACATATTTATTATATATAATAAATAAATATAAATTTTCCCGCCAATGGCGCCAACATGCAATTAATAGTAATTTAGAAAAGTAATAATTGAATTTTGAGTATTATGCAATTAAGGAGAAAATAGATTAAAAAAAAAAATCAGTTAAATAAGGTTCCTTATTTTTAAGTTTTTAAACAATATTCTGGCCGGGATCTCAAGAGAAAGTTGATTTTCTTTTAAAAAACATTAAACTAGAAAATAAAGATGTAATTTTTTACCAAGAAGCATTACCTAAAATTACGTTTGGAGTAGAAATTGTAAAATAGACTGAAATATGGAGATCTGTGATTGGATTAAAAACATTGAAATGGGTGTTTTGGCTGCAATTGAGATCACAAGAAATAATATATTGGAAAATACCACTAATAGCATCAATAATACTGACTTTAACATTATTGATGAATACGACAAGCTATATAATAAAATTGAATCTTTATGTAGAGACCAAAAAGAATTCTATGAGTATATATTGGAAAATTCAGATAAAGATAATAATTATTTAGAGGGAGTTAAGGAATACCAGGAAAGAGTCAAGTTAGAAAAGATCACTCAAAAACTGGAGAATAGTAAAGAATACTTAAGAGAATGTATAAAAAGTGAATTACAGAATATCAACTATATAGAAACGTTAATTATAATGTGGAAGCATTCATCATAACTTCGGAAAAGAATGTCAATCATTCAAATTCGTTTGTAGTTAATATTTAGGATTCATTGGGCTTGAATTCATTAAAATAAAAGGATAATTAAGCACTCTTTTGTACCTAATAACTGCCTTTTCTTTATATTCGAACCATTTTAGTTGGCCTACAATATTTCACACCCTGTTGTAAATTTTGTAGAGTATTAATCTTCATACACGGATTGGTCTAACATTCATAGATGATGCAGAGGGTACCGATGATGACGATGATGATGTATTCTTATGTTTATTATACTGCCCAGAGACGGTTTTTCTAGAATAGTAATTAGAAGCGAATGACTGGTTAACGTTACTGGAAGTATTCGGATTGTTTGAGGTATTTAGTCCACCTCCTTGTACAGAACTGGACCCTCCTCCTTGATTGTTAGGATTTCCCGCGCCTGCAGAGTTTCTGTTGTTGGTAGCACTGGGATTTTTACCGCCACTTGCATTACCTTTAGAAGAAATCATAGATTCATTACAATCTACGAACTGTAAAAGCTTATCAGCAACAATGAGAGAGTCATTTTGAATCTTGCTTGCTTGTTTGTGATTTAACAATACAAACTCTCCTGTCTGATCCCATAGAGCTTGTAGCTCATTCTTAAGCATCATCTTAGAAAGAAGTGAGTGGATTTTCTCGCGTGGAAGCTGGAACATTTCAATTAAATTCCCAACAGAGTATGAGCTGTATAGGTGCCCATATGTAAATAAATAGGTCCTTAATGCCTCTTGTTTGATGTTCAACTCTAGTCTTTCTTGGGTTTGTTGTAAGTCTTCCTGATTATAGTCCCAAATAGATAAGGAAAAGACATAGTCTCTGCATTCTCTCCATTTACCCAACTGTAGAGATCTAGTTGCAGCAATTATTGTGTCTCTCAAACTTTCAGGGGGACCAGTAATGGCTTGACGTTCATATTGTTCCAGTAATCTTCTGAATTGCTTGGAAATAGGTCTCAATTTAATGTGGCTATTCGCTGCTTCATTCTGCATAATCAAAGATTTGTGGTAAGCTAAATAAGGTACCTCAAGCAACATTGAGCAAATAAGGTAAATGCAGTCAATTACTTCAAGTGAGAGGTGCATGTGATATGGCAAAAGTCTTCTCTTCTCAGCTCGTTCCTGTTCTGGAGTTCTTTCCTGAGATTTCATATTGCTCATCCCCTGAGCAAGTAATTCTCTGTTTCTATTTGGCATACAAATCTCGCTTAGTAACTGTTGGGCCTCGGAAATTTGACCAAGTCTAAATGCAGAAAGACCAAGCTGTACCAGGGATCTATTATACAAGATCTGAATGTTCACGTCCGATCCTAGTGCCATGTCATATACTCCAATAGATTGGAATAAGTTCACCGCCTCATTATAATTATCATGGAGTGCCATATTATATACATGCTGAATTAAAACCCTAAGCTTGTCCTTTGAGTCACCATATTTGTAAACATTTCCTACCAACTCTGTGATAAGCTCACTAGGTCTGAATTTCTTTGGTACTGGTATGTCCGGAGTTTTACCCGCGCAATTCATGCTTTGTGCATCAGAGTTGGCGCTTAATTCCTCAGGACTAAGAGATGAGTTGACTGTTTTTTCAAGAATTTGTCTAACAAACTCCCAAACTTTTACAGCAAGAGAGTCATTTTTAAAGTGGAGTTGATTAATTAAATGAACTGAGAGACTAGAAACAAGGTCATAGTAGCCTCTCTCTTCACAGATTTTATAGCATCTCCATAAAAGTGCCAAAAGATGCAGTGACTGGACAAGTCTATCTTTATATTCGCTTGAATGTACATCTGTAAGCTGTAGAGCTTTAAGAGATTCACCATCAAGTCTTTCAATAAATGAAACCAAGAAAGTGACAGTGCTTTTGTCCTGCTCTTTGAGATCCACAACATCTCCTATTGAAGAGTTTTCATCATTTATATTTTCAGTGTCTATATTGCTACCTTGGCCATCAATTCCAGAATTTGCTCCAGATCCAGAGTTCTCTACAGATGCCTTTCTTTTCTTATCCTTGGAAGAAATGAAGCTTTGGAAACCTGAAATGTATACCCTTTTGTCCTTATTATTAAGTAAGACTAAATCCAGCAATATGTTGATATTATCACAGATTTCTGACCATATCCCAGATGTGATACAGTGAAAAGCTCCAGTGATTGTATCAAATTGTGCAGATATTAAGTGAGTAAGTACATCTGCATATGCCTGAAGGGAGAGTGGTCTGGAGATTTCTGCAGCCTTCTTTAACAGACGAATTTGTTCTTGTCTATCAGTTCCCTTCTTTCCTCTTGCTGCCACAATCTCACCTACCTTCTCTACAATCATATCTACAGTTACCTCACCTTCAAATGATAAAAGATCTCCAGAAGGTAGATTATTACCTGTTCCCCCACTAGTCGCAGTCTCTTGGAAGTCCTTCTTAACATGCTTTTGGCGATGAGCCTTTTTTACACTTTCCTTCTCCTTTTTCACGCTCTTTGTCCTGGTTCCCCACTTGGCCAATGCAGATGCGTGACGATCTTCATATTCATCTTCATAAGATGACCATTCTGATGATGATGATGAAGAGGATGAGGAGGAGTCAGATGAATCCTCATCAGAACTACCGTCACTTCCATTTGAATCAGAATCTGAACCAGAGTCAGAGTCAGAATCTGAACTGGATGAGGATGAAGAACCAGAAGAGTTAGAATTTGATTTCGAAGAATCAGAGTATGAATCTGAAGCAGAATCACTGTCGCTTAAATCATCATCCTGATAAGCAAGAGGATTAATCTTGCAATCATCCATTTGATGGCGGTAATCCTCTACAGATTTCCTGAATTTAGCCCTCAATGTATTAAAACTCGTAGCTTTCGCCTTGGAAAGTTTCTTAATAGCTTCCTTGTCTCTGAATTTTTCGTCAAGAAATGTTTCCAGCTCAACCAAAATCGAAATGAAGAACTTTGGAATTCCATAATCCTTAATAACATTATGGGATTTTTGTATACACTTAAGCAACTTATCGTACTCATCACTTAAAGAACTGAAATCCGATACTTTTACGTGGTTATTAATCCTTCTAATAATCATTCTCAATTCATCATAAAACTTCTCTTTAGCTCCTCGTACAACTCTACGATCATCTTCACTGCTATCCGAATCAGAATCTATTGCCCATCTTGAATTGTTCACCTCTCTTTGACGACGACGAGCTGCCTGCATCTCCATCTCGGAGTCAGAGGAGCTCTCGCTCTCACTATTGGAGGAGTCAATTGAAGAAGATTCTGAGCCTTCTGCCCAAAATTTACCCTGCATGATTATTTACTATTTATATATCACAAATTATATTTTGTAAATAACTTTATTCAACCTAAGTTAATATCCAATCTTCAATCTTAAGGTAATAATAGTATGATTTATTAAACTATAAAACTTATCAGGCCTTGCTTCTTTTATAAGTTTTACTATATTACTGTTGTTACTCTGTATTTTAGCCAATCAGTACTTACTTTGAAACCCTAAGAATTAGATATATAATTATCTAATAGTCTTCAGTCAAACCTATCAAATTATAGTGCCTAGTTCTTTATTTTCTTGATCTTTTCTACGCAACAAATCTTTCACAGAACCTCCCAGCTACAGGGTTCCACTTTATTCTGCGTGTTCTCTGTTGTTTTTCTTCTTATATAAATATATAAAAAAAAAAAAGAGAAAATAAAGTTTTTTCAAGTTTTTCTCAATTTTTTCATTACACCGGCATCTCAATTAATGTCAATACCATTAACTATTTAATTCTATTTATTTAATACTGTTTATTATTCCGTCTCTAATTAATTTTATATTATTTGTCCCAAACTGGCATTTGGGCGGGCTTTTCTACTAAAAAAAAATATTAGTACCGGTATTTTTTTATTAATTTTTTAAAATAAAATTTCACCGGTATAGAGTTTTCAGGGGGAAAACAAAAATGATCTCGTGTATGTAATAAAATAATTCTTCATATTAAAATCAAATAGAGCAAGAATTAGGAATATTTTATTAATTAATAATTAGAGAGGTTGTTTGTGATTATTTATTTCAGGCTAATAATATAAGTATAATAATAGACATAAAATTACTGTAACCACGCATAATTACTAAAGGGATAAATTTCAAAGCATATTGCAATAAATATTAATAAATTTACAGAATTGAATTCAAGCTTTCTGTACAATTAAAAAAGATTGTAAAACTAAGCAAACTTTATCTCACACAAAATACTAGTTGGTTCAAGGATTAATATATAAATATAGAACGTTTGATTTCTTCGAAATCCATTCATTTACTAAGTAAAAAGAAACAAAAAAGTTTAAATGAAATACAATGTTAGCCACAGCCATACATATCAAGAATTGTTTAGAGGAGAATGTTCATGTAAGTTTTGAAAAGAAAAAAAATGTTTACACAGCTTAAAACATTTACACGTGATTAAACAGGATTTTACTGGTCAGGATCTAGCATATAAGATTCAAGAACGGCTAGTTATATTCACAGGAATCATATCCTTTATTATTGGATTTTACTACCAAAAGTTTTACTATACAGTTATGACAACTCTAATTGGATTGGCAATTACTCTTTTAGTAAGTTCCCAAAAATCTACCTTTTTAAACACTTTAATTTTCAATCACAGATTTGTGTTCCTTCCTGGCCAATATTTTGTAGAAATAAAGTTAACTGGCTTCCTTCTGAAAATAGAGAGGAAGAGAAAAAGAAACGTGAATCAGAAAAAAAAGAATAACTGAATTCAAAAGAATGCTGACAAGGAGACTACTTGCACTAAATCATGTCAAGCTCCCGTTTCTCTCGGAAATCTAAGTCCCCTTTTAGCTCTACATTTTAAGCTAAGAAATTACTTAGTGTGAACTGAGAATGGAGATTCTTATAGACTACTCCATGGTCTCACTTTCACTGATTTTAGACACAAACCTCGACCTGATTACCTTCAAAACCTAAATATTTATTTGCCTCCACCTTCTCCACCTTCTCCACCTTCTCCTCCTTCTCCTCCTTCTCCTCCTTCTCCTCCTTCTCCTCCTTCTCCACCTTCTCCACCTTCTCCACCTTCTTTGTATCCACCTTCTACACACTACTCAAAATCAGAAAAAAAACTAGTTCACAAATTCCCAAGTAAATGTAATATTAATGTCAGCAGACGCGACCTCAAACATCCTATGAGAATACTTCAATATATGTGAAAAGATATTTTACATAGCTCTAAATTAAGTTCGAGTAATTCTTAATAGAAAAAAGAAAAAAACACATCTTTATTCCTCTCACTTTATTTACACACTGCTCATATATTATCAATACCTCACAGCTTTTTTTCCCTGAAAAAAAGACCTCTCTATAATGAAGCAAACAAACCTCTGCAAATTTGCTATTTAACCATCTGTGTATTTTACTCTTAAAACCCAATTACCTCCAATCATATTATTAGTCGTGATTTTGCCTGGATATGTATAAATTATCAAATAAAAAAGTATCAACACAGACAAATCTTTGTTGCTAACCATAGTTTTCTTATTTCAATGATCTTTTTCGGACTTCCCACTTTATGTCAATATCTGCCAAACAAAATGCATACAAAAACAGCAGTAAATGTGGGGCGGTATGTGGCGCCGGCGCTCATTTTTAAAATTTACTTCCTCCTACTTCTTCTTCTTTTAGTTAAGCGAGTTCGCCGAGAATGCGTGTCTATGGTTTCAGATGTCCTTGAAATACCAACATTAGCTGATGGAATGTTTCTTTTGTTCTCACAATTTCCAATATTACGACGAACAACTGAGTTTGAAAACTCTGTATTATGGCTATTGCTGGTAGTGTCTATAGGTGTATCTGGATCATTCTCTGACTCAGACTCTGAATCCGAGAAGCCATAAGATGGAGAATAGACTTTTGACCTGCTTGCCTCGTTGGCATGCCTCCAATCTTCTCCAGAAGTGATTCTTTTGGAGTCACGGCTCTGTTGTATATCCAAGGAAGTGTTTAACTTAGAATTAGAATTTATGTCATCATTAACTGAAGTTGAAGCTGAGTAATCATTGCTTTTAGAACCTGTAATTTGTGTTTCATTATTTTGGGGGCAATTTGTCCCGTTACTACTTTCTTTATTATCATTCTTGGACAGTGGATCAGCCTCAAGACTTTTAAGTTTCCAACTCATGTTCGTTCTCCTTGATTTAATACCCCTTCTTTTTGAAGTTCTAGATGTTCTGTGATGAGAAGATCTTCTTTTGTATCTTTTTATATCTGAATGTTTACTAGTTGGATTTATTTGAGTGAAAGTTCCTAATGATTCTTCACTACCTTCTAAGCCATCTTCATAAGTATTAGAAGTTAATGTCATTTCTTCTTGAGAATTATCCTGTTCATCACATTCATAACTAAATATGGATTCCCCAGACTCATCTAAAATTTCACTTGAACTTAAATCTGAACTTTCTTCACTCTTAAACATAGCATCGGGTGGAGCATTAACACCACCATTCCGTTGAATTGAGTCAATACAAAGTTTCAAATCTCTATCTAATCTAATTAAGTCCGCTTGAATATCGTTAAATGCCCATTCAATCAAGGATAAACAGACCTTTTTAATTTCACAAAATGTGCATCCGGTAACTTCATGATTTCTGCAGGGTCCATCACGAATCCTAACCGATAACTCTCTATTTTCATCCTGAACTTTCTTGAAAAAAGCAATCTCTTTTGAAATTTGCCTATATATATCTTCATTACAGTTTTCGCCAACATTCAAATAAGAAGGAGGAGATCTTGGATAAGGTAAGTCAACATCATTAGGCAAATCAGTATTTAACGTCAAAGCTAAAGAATCTCTTGTTTTTATTAACCTTTCTCTCATGTTCTTAAATAATCTAAGTCTTGACCTGACAGTCCTATCAAAATTTTTGGTATGTCTGTAAATAGAACCAATTATATGGATATAATTATATACCATTGAAAATCTATATAATTGTGCAAGATCTATCAATTTTGGTATAGATTCTTGTATTCTATCTTCAGAGTCTGTAGCTCCGATAAGTTTACCTCCACAATTTGATCCACTCCATAAACTTTTATCTCCTAAACCAAGCATATCAAGAAATCCCCGCTCTACTTCAACCTTTGATGAAATATCCACCCCAAAATTAAAGTTTGGATTCCAAAATATGATCATTCTTCTTAAAAACATGTTTGTGAACTTAGTCTGCTCATCTAATAAAGAGATAACAACTTCAGTAAGTTTACGTTCAAGTTCATCATTACCACTAATATTAACATCATCACTTCCTTTACTAGAATTAATATCACTATCACAAAGTTTATCTAAAGTTTTATTAGTTTTGGAATTTGAGTTAATATTAAATCCGGATTGGGCATTATCTTTCTGAGTCTGTATTATCTTGGATATTAGTTTTTTTAATCTAAATATCTTTCTATTGTATTCTTCAATTCTTCTCTTATAACTTGTTAATGCAGATAATCTTTGTTGATTTTGTTGTACATAAGAAACTGGAGAAAATGAATTAAAGCCAACATTTGTAGCAAAACATGCACTATTTACTATTAAAAGTATAAAAATTGAAAAGATAAATAAGCTTTCCAGTCTCATTTAAACGTCCAAAGTAAACATTTTTCATCAAATTATCACAATAAATGGCAATTTCCCACTACATAACAATACTTACACAATCTGATTGAAATTTTACTGGTAACTTTATCCAAATAATGGATAGAGTATAGAACACCAATAATTTATTATTTAGTACTTCAGTTAACACAATTTAAAAAAAATATACATATATATATGCATATATATATGTATATATATATATATATATACATATATTCTTCTCTTTTTTTATTCTCTTTTTTCCTCTTGGAAATTTCCCCTGTAATTCAATAATGACTTACACTATATTTACAAGGTAATTTTAATTGTATAATTATATTAGTATTATTAAATAGGTATTAACTTTCTAACATCAATACCGCCATTAGTTGATTATTCCTCTTTATTAGGTACTTTAATAATTACATTTATTGTAAGGACGAGAGACGTCTTGTCTCTCAGTATAGTTGAAGGAGGTAGTGATATAAGGTGGGAAAAGATTTTTATATAATTGAGATTATATAGAGATAATTAATAGAAATATTTGAAAATTGTAGTTTGAAGAATAAATTAGAAAAGTAGAAAAAATGGTTAGGCGAGCTAGGTTATTTAATAGTTCCTTACTAAACAATTACTTCTTTTTTGTCTTTCCTCCTAGAGTTCAAGACCGGGATAAATTTAGGACTAATAACTAAAAAAACTTTGATAATTCCAACTAAAAATTATGATATAGGTTATTTATTTTAAAAGTAGGTTTTTTTCGGATATTTTTAGTAACATTTGGTTTTTTTTTAGTTGCATGATTAGTACTTGTGCAAACGCAGTTGGCGCCGGCGGTAATTGTGATGTGATTACTAAAATTTGAATTCCAAGTACAATGGCTTGAAATAAGTATGATTCTGTTTCATACCTTTTTTTTGAGAACATAATTGAAACAGAAACTTGCAAGAGCAAGGTAAAAACAATAAGCATAAGTTTTATGAATTAGGAAATAAGGAAGTAAAATACTGTTCAACTAATAAATGAACTAGTATTGCAAAAAGGCTGTAAGTCAATAGTATGTTAATTTGATTACGGAGAAATGATCAATTTGTCATTTACGAAGAAAAGTGATTGGGAAAGTGTTTATGAGCCTTCGGACGATTCTTTCTTAATGGAAGATGCATTAATTGTGGAGAAGAGTGAGATTATGAAGCTAAATCCTAAATTTATCTGTGAAATAGGATGTGGAAGTGGGTACTTGACGGCATGCCTATTGAAAATAATGAAAGAATTAGAAGCAGAGTTTCCTCTACCAATTGCTTATTTAGTGGATGTGAATTTAAAGGCATTAGAAATGTCTGAAAAAGTTATATCAAACAATGAAATAAACTGCCCAATAGAAACGATAAAAATGAACCTCTTTACTTGTTTTACAAAGAACCGAGGACTATTTGAAATAATAATTTTTAATCCACCTTATGTCCCTAGCACAAATAAAGAGCTTAATAAATCTATTTTAAACTGCGGAATTGATTCAGCATGGTCTGGGGGGACCAATGGCCTATTTTTTGTAAGTTATTTTCTATTTGGTGACAACAGACTTATTTTATCTGGAGCAAACTACCAACCTCAAGAAGAAGAGATCATTCGAATTGAGGATCAATTCTATGATTTTCCGTGTTTAATAGATGTTTTAGCTCCAAAGGGAGCTTGTTACCTGCTTTTGGAAAAAAATAACCGTCCCGAATTCACTCTTGAGCAAATCCTAAAAGACTCAAGATATTCAGGCTGGAATGCTAAGTTTATTATTGATAGAAATGTTCAGCTGGAACACTTATATATTCTTAAAATATCCTCAAACTAATCATTTTAATTTTTAATCAAGAATATATAAGAATTTTGTATATTTTTTCATAATAAAAATAATTTTGCCGCCAAACTTCAATTCAAATTTGTCTGAAATATTTAACCAATTAATTACACAAATAACAATAAATTCAAGTGCTTGCATGCAAAAGAAAAATATGCAAATAATTAATTTCATCTCTTTATTAATATTTAAATATAAATCTAATTTAAAAATTGCGTTTCACCTAGTCCAATATATTTGTTTCTACTATCTTATGGTAATCTACTATATCACCATTTTTTTCAACTTTTTCAAACAAAATAATGATTTGAAAAGTTATCTCTGAAACTGGAGTGTAAATCAACATTTATTTTTCCTAATTGCCGCCTACACCATTTGTACTACTGCTATTACCATAATTATTATTAACTCCACTTCTCCTCTTAATTTCAAGCTCTTTTTCATGTAATTTCCAATCTGCCTTTTGTAGAAATGCCGCCTTTGAAATATAGCCATGCTTTCTTTGGCGCTCAAGTTGTGACTCAAGGCCTGCCATCTGTCTGAATTCAGTCCAATCAGAATGTGATTTTTGGATTGAGTTAATGCTAATTTCCTTATTAAGACTTTCAACCATTTCATCGAGAGCTTGCATTCCTGTGGAAGATACTCGTGCTTTTTTCTTTAAGAATGTTTCTGGGTCAACCTTTTCTTTAATAGTATATGTTTCCCCTGCATATTTAACTTTCTTATCAATGTATTGTACACCTTTTTCCTCTAAGCTTCCTAGGGCTTGCTCAATCATCCTGCGAGTTTCTTCTTCTGATTCTTTGCTTAGGTTTCGGCTTGAAGCCTTAAATTTTAAAATGTCAAAGTTTCTTGGATTTTCAAATACTTTTGAAACCTAAGAATTGCAGTATTTGGGAAGAAATTAATAAATTGTAATTCAACATAAAATGGAGACTGCCTAGATCAGAATAATCAAAATTCCTTTGTTTCATAGTTTTTTTCAATTATTCTTAGAATTCATTTTTTATTCTCTCCGGCTTCCCCATTGACATAAATAAATATTAAACTTACACCAAGATCTACATAATGCTTTAATTCATGCAAAGAAGAATTCTTTTTTCTAGAAGAATCGAAGCATTTCTTTTGGAACTCCAACATGAAATGGTCTTTTCTAATTGTTGGCACTCTTTTTTTGAGTTCTTTCCTTGTTTCCTCCAAAATTTCATTATATATTTTGTCTACTTTCCTGTCATTAATTAAATCTTTTAGAGACGATTTTTTTGATCTTTTAACTATTGAATTGGACTCCTCTTCTTCAGAACTTTTTTATTTTTAACATTAAAGTAGTGCAATTAATTATTCACAAATTTATGTGCTTTTATAAAGTACTTACCTTTCGTCCTCTATTATAGATGAGGCATCAGATCCATGAAAAGATTCATCCTCATCATCATCTGATAGAAATACTGCATTATTGATAGTTGCCATACTTTAAGCACACAATCAAACTTATAACAAGCTCGTTGAATAATTATTAATATATGGAATCTCCCCTATGTATAAATATAAATACAAATAAATAAATAAATATATATATATATATATATATAATTTTTTATTTCCAAACATATATTTTCTAGAGAATATAAAGGTAGATTATTAATTAATAGATTTATCCTTATTTATATTAATCAATTTATTTTATTTGTTTCTTCTTAAAAATAGAATCTTCCACATATAAAACACTATTCAACACAATACTAAATATATAATGGAATAATATCCAATTTCATTAAATTCTACCATATAATGCTAATATATATACATTATAGAAATATTTATTAAATAAATATTTTTATTACTCTCCAACTATTACCATTACTTTTCTTGTATTTCCCCAAATTTCCTTTTTCCCTCAAAATATAATTAGTCATAACAATTAAATGGAAGCATTTTCCCGCCCACTACCAATAATTTAAAAATTAATATAAAGATATTAAAAAAAATAAAATAATCAAAAAAAGCTTGAATATAGCCTTGTAAAGTAAAGAACAGGAGACTCAGAAATCATTGTTCAGTATTTGAGAAAATATGGCTCCTCCTTATGATAATGCGATTTTTGGTTCGATAATTTTCGGAGTACTGGGATTCATTGCTGCTGTTTCTTCAACTATATATTTTGGTATTAAGGGAAGCAAGAATCTCTCCAGATCCGATACTGCCAAGTAAGTTTATTTATATATTTGTATCTTTTGGTTTTCTAAAAGATGCGTTTTTTTCTCCCCAGTTTGTTTGTTTTGTTTGTTTTTCTCAGAAGTAATCCAAAACAAACAATTTGGTGTTAAAATTATGGCTGGGCATTCTTACTAACTACTATTAACTTCTTTAATTTTACAGAACTTCTCTCGTTGTAGTAGTAATGATGACTTTCTGTTTATGGATTATGTGGTTTTGTGTTTACCTTTCCCAGATGTTCCCATTAATTAACCCAATCCACAAAGCTGAAGAACATTAAGTTTATTTCCACCAAAGTGATGGGCACTTTTATAAAAAAAGAATTTTTCTAGTTTCAAGCTTTCCACAGATTCTTTTAAATTACACAAAATTCACTTATATTTCGCAAACTACAAATATCATTATTCTAATAAATCTAGAATATAAATTTTTTCTTTATCCCACTACTTTTCTTTTCATTCTTACTTCCTACAATTTACCTCTATACTCTAATTACTCCACCCTTTGATTTTTGTTGCCTTCATACATACAAAAAATAAATTAATTGAATGGAAAAGTGAATGTAAATCAAGCTACTTTTTTCAAGTATACGACAGAAATGGTAATTATTATTAACATTATTACTAATAATTCTATAGTTATAGTTTAACTAAAAAAAAAATTATTTTTGCAAATTATTCTTGTGATATGTATTTTCCTGTATATTAAATACCGGTGTGCGATTTAAGAACTTATTCTTACTATGTAATGCCCAGCCAGAAAATATTTGTGCATGCATAGAGTATAATTATTACATGTAATGACGTAATAAAAATTCAAATGTGAGAAAGAAGTAAAATTTAAAGTAAACAATAGTTCAACTTTAAGGTTAGGAATCGAAGAAGTTATTCTTGTGGAAATAAAATAGAAAAAGAAATTCGGATAGATTTATTAAGTTAAATACCAAAGTAAATTCACACCATACTTTAAAAGAAAAAAAGGTCATAAATACCCAATTTTTTTTTCATTTTCTATTACAATAACCTGGGCAGAACCCGCCAGTTGTGTGAGACTATTCACAAATAATTATAATAATAAATGGCCCACGTCTACTAATAATAATAATAATATTATTATATTAATTAAATAATAATTTTGTGATAAATAATAAAATAAATATGAGTCTCCCCACCCTTTTAACCCTCACAATAAATATTTGAAATGAAAAGAATACGAAATGAACCTAAATAGCCGGTAACTTAAAATAATGCATAACTGCAATACAAATTAGTTTGAAAAAAAAAAAAAAAACTTTTTTGTTTTTCCTTAAAATTACTAAAAACTTTAATTAAATTAATTTTCTTGCATTCTTTGTTCTACTCTTATAGATCATTTTTTTTTAAAAAAGACAGAAAATGCAACCAAATATTGAGGATACAGTTTGCAAATTAATGAGTGAGCTTGGCGATGGTAATTTATCAGCAATACAGTCCACATTAAAGGGAATAGATCCCGGGATAGTAAAATATTCATTAAGCAGATTTACAGACCAAGGAAAAATAGAGTTTGGACATGGAAAATATTTGGATGCAATTCATTCATTTTCACAAGCGATTTCTGGATATAAATTAGATTTGAAAGACGAGAACAAAGTAGAACTTTCAAAATTATTATCAAATAGAAGTCAATGCTATTTAAAACTGGGAAAAGAAGAAAATTATAATAAAGCTTTTCAAGATGCAAAGGAATGTATTTTGCTCAATCCGAGCTGGTCTAAAGGATGGTACAGAGCTGGAAAAGCATTATACCATCTTAATATATTTGATAAAGCTGTAACCGTATTTAAAGCGGCTTTAAAGAGAGAAAGTGAAAGTAATAATGAGAAATCAATTAAAGAAATTGAAAGTCTAATAAAGATTTGCGAAAAGAAAGCTGATCATGATAATGCAATAAAACGAGTTACTGTAGATTATTCTAGATTTGAAGAAGCTTTGAAGGAATTAGAAATTGAAGAACTTACAGAAAATGCAAATAATAATTCCCAGGGAGAAGGTTTACCAAATTCTCAGAATATTATTAATTTACCATCAAACTTTGGAAACATGTTATCTGGAAATGGTGAACTTGCTTCTTCTATTGGAAACAACGAGAATTTTCAATTGGAACTTTCTCCTGATCTTTCCCAAGAAGAAATTGAGAATTTAAAGCTTTCATTGGGAGGATCTATTTCAATGGATAATAATTCTGATAACCAAAATAAGAAGAAAAAGGTTAAATCCAAATTTAGCGATAAATTAATTTTTAACCCATCTATGAAATTTATCAAATCAGATCCAAAAGATTCTGAAAGCGATAATATTAAGGGAATTTCCAGGTTTCTTCAGATTTCTTCAGAAATTCAATGGTTTAAAAGAATAATTGAGAATTTCGTTGATCAGTATTATTTATATGCGGATAATTGGATTAACGTTTTAAATAAATTAAATGCTAAAAATATTGTCTTTATTGGTACTGGATCTTTAATTTTGCCAATCCATTATTATAAAAAATTTGGAAAGACTAGTTATATTATTACAATAACTCAAGCAAAATCAAATTCTTCAATCATTCACCGTCTTTATTCAAATATTGCATTATCCAACAATGTTAAGTTTACAAACTTTAACTTATTTGATTCAGAATTCTTGAAAGATTTTGAATCAGCTCAAGAAAACTGCTCTGGTGAATTAGATTCTGAGTATAATGAAAATAGGTCTTTAAAAATAATTCATGGAAATATTCAAAAATTGAAAACTGAGTTTTGGGAATTATTTACTCCAAATTCTATAGTAATTGATCCAAGTATTTTTGAGCCAGGAATTTTAGGTTATGGTTTAATCCAAAACTTAAAAAATATACCAGTCAATATTAATAGTAATATGATGGAAAATGAAAAAAAAATTAAGATTTCAGTTACTCCAAGTTTAATTAAAGTATATGTTCAATTTTTGAATATAAATATTCCATCATTAAAATTAGAAAGTCAAAGCATTTCTGAAATTAATATGAATAAACTTAATGAAGGACTTTGGTCTCCTTATTGGGAAAAATTTAAAGTTAGTAGTGCATATCCGCATATAAATTATATTTCAAAACCAATTTTATTGGGCCACTTACCATTGGAAGAAATGGTTAATAAAAATGGAATGGATTATTTTACATTGAACTCAATTTCCAGCAAAGAGTTGACCATTTCAAAAATTGAAAATGTAAATGAGAAAGATACTGAAAATATCTATAAAGGAACGATAGATTATTTGCTTGAACCAAATACTCAAATCAATTCAATATTGCTTACTTTTAAAGCCATTAAAGAATTTGATGATGAGGAAGTTTTATTATTAGATTCGTCTCGTGAAATTAATAAAGTTGGAATGGAGTCAGTTATTCCTCCAGCAATAAGTTGGATTGGTAGTGACATTAAAAACAATGATCAGGTTAATCCAGTGAAAATTAGGTTTGATTTCCAAATTGAAGAAACTAGAATAGTAATTAATCCCAATACTGAATCTTTTAGTATGTTGAAAAAAGAGCAACAAAATAAATTAAAATTACCAAATAAGTTTACGACTTCATTACCAAGAAGTGTTATAGAAAATTTATGGGATACAAATTCCATAGAAATTTGGTCAAATGGTTTAATAAATAATTATAAATCTTCAATAATACATAATACTGGTGGCAAAATCTTTGAGGGATTAATATCTTCAACATCTCCTGGAGCGATCTTACCAATTATATTACTTTTTATAAGCTCAAAAATGAATAAATCTACAAAAAATAATTTATATAGTAATTGGAAGAAGAATGATTTCCATTTTACTTGTATTGAAAATCTTCCAAATGTTCAAGATTTGTATATGAAAATAATTAAAGAAAATCTTCATCTTTTACTTCCTGATGTTGTTGAAAATGATATAAAAAAATTATATAATCATGATATGGTTTTGAATGATAATTTGGAAACTAATCAATCCAAATACTGGAAACCAATGAGTGAGGTTTCAGAAAATGGCCATGTTATAAATCATCCTAATATAGAAAAGGAACACCAAGAGAAATTAAAATATTATGAATGGATTTCAAACAATTCCTCAGCAAAGCATATTTTAAATAGAAAGCTATCTGAAAGATTAACTTTTGTTAATTGTGATGTCAGGCAAATATTACCAAAGACTGCAAATATTGGTGCAAACCCAAATAATATTAAATATTATTTTGTTGAAGAAAAAGTTAGATTATTTACTGGTATGAATTTTGACCACGATGGTTTAAGTGAAGGAATAATTCCACTTTGGGGAGCTGCATTCAATAATGGAGTAGTAAGAAAATATAATAACAATAAAGTACCAAATATTCCAGTACCAAATAAAATCTCATTTTATGGATTTGTTGCCAGAATTGGTCCAAATATGTGTGACGAGCATAATATTGATATAAGCTTTTGGGATACTTACAGATTTGAAGGGAATTCACAATGGATTCCTATTAATAATAACAACAAGTATTTTATGTCTGAAATGAGCCAAGTTTTCCACATTTTAACTTTAGATTTGAATTCTGAAGAATTTTCAAAGCTTTCTGAGTGGAAGAAGGATATTAACTCAAGAATAATCAAGCAAGGAAGAGCCAATTCAGTTGTAATTTTCTATGACCTTTGGATTGATGATGGCAATATACTCACAACAAATCCATTACATAATGATAATGTTGAGAGGATAAGCTCTTTTAGTTATTTAGAAGAAAATACTCCAACAACAACATCTTCATCAAACTCTCTAAATTCCACTCTTAATGAGTTAACTGAAGCGATTCCAATAGAAAGTATTCAAAATGACATTAATAAAAGAATCAATTGCCATAGAACTACATTTTGGAAACCAGTATTCCATATGATACCACAGCAAATGTTTGAAATTCAAGATAGCATTGAATTTGAGTTCAGATTAAAGGATAATTTTACCAAATTAGCGTTCAAAATTAATGCAATAAATTCAAATAACGGCGAAAACACTCCTTCTACTATTACTTCTGATGATGCAGAAAATAGTCCATCAGTTCTTCCTCCATTGGGAGATATTGCATATCTGCAACTCAGAGAAAGATATAATTCAATTGTTAAAGAAATTAGTCCAACAATTTATTCAAATAATTCAATGATTTCTGTTCAAGCTTTTAATGCATCATTGAGTATTGCACTAAATCCAAGTTATTATCAGGGTCAAAATGCAATTCTTGAGGATGATATTCCTTACGATATTGATTCTTTAAATTGGCTTTGCCAGTCTTTCCTATTGTAATTAAATGTTGTACTAGCTCTTATTTATAACTTCTAATTTCCAAGTATTTTAAGTCTGTTTAAAAATTAACCTTAATTAACATTACTGAGGTTTAGAAATTTAAATTTTATTTAATATTTATTTTTTTATTTTTAATAAATTAAATTTATTTAGTAAATAATCCCTGCATGTTTTTTTGTGGCTTAATTACATGCAATTATTGCATACGATTGCAAAAAAAACTCTATACCGGCCTTCCAGATGAAATATTTTTTTTAATATTTACGCATGCATTCAATTTAATTACGTGGAAACAGATAACAATAATTTAGTTTATTTTGCATTAAAGAAATTAAATTCAACAAAAACCAGGATAGTAAAAATAATAATATTCATTATCATTTTTTATTATTTTAATGAAGATTTTGTATTTATAAGGAAATTCAGACATAGCTTTCAAAAAAATATGAATAAGCTGAAAGTTAAAAATTCCATTTAAAAAAAAAATAATAATTTCGCGTTATTATGAGAAGAAATTCAGAAAATTGTGTGTAATCACATAAAAACTAAATTAGAAATAACTACTACACAGGATTTTGCATGTTTGCCAAATAGATTGAAGAAAAAAAGAGTAATTAACGATCATTTTTCAAAAATAATATAAATCAGAAATACGTAAGTAAATGTGCGGTAAAAAGGCGCGAACTTTAAGAAATGTGGGAATACAAGAACTTTATAAAGGCAAGAATAACAAGAATAGGATTAAAAAAAAACAAAGTTAAAGAAGAGGGATAATTCATGTAACCTTAATAGAAAATTAAGATTTTTTAACAAATTTCTTGAATAAGAGATATTAACAAACAGTTGGTATTTGGGAGCTTAAATATAATAGGATAAAAGAAAAGTAACTGTGGGGTGGCAAAGATAAAATAAAAAGAAGTTACAAATAAAACAAATAAAAGCTGTAATTTTAGGCACAGTGTTGAAATCGCTCTATATTTATTATTTATCCATTTTTTAATTGTTTTTGATCAAAATATTGGTGAAACAAATTTTAGTTAATTCATGGATATAATAATAAGTGAATGATGGATTGGACGAGCGTCATCGAGAGAGATTTGCGCCGACTCTCTGAATTATCAAAAGGAGATATAACGAGTATATTGGGATTTTTGCACCACGATGCTTGTGATGGAAAGTTATACAGACTGGTTAGGAGTTCATTTCCATTCAATTTATCATCAGGGCCTCCTAATTGGGGTCTATGTAGACCAAGTGAAATTCCTTCAACAATTTCATTAAGCTTATCATATGTCTATCGTAATGCAGTGGAAGCAGCAAATGCAAAGTTGCCAATCAAATGGACAGAAGAACATGTAGAGTTGTATTTAGAAGCAACAATAGTAAGTTGTTGGAGTTCTTTATCAGAAAATGAAAGTGAAAATGCAGATCCAGATCTTGGAGAACTAGAAATAGGCACAGACTTGTTGAACGAGATTTCATTGCAGCCGGTTGGTCAAAAAGATTCAAGAATATGGGGTTTATGGGCTGTTTTAGACTTTCTAAACCATTCTAGAAAGCAAAATGAAACTTTTTCGAATGGGAGTTTGATATATAATGCAGCAATGGAAGCAATGAAAAGGATTGAACAAGGTAGATCGTATAACTCTGAGCCTGAAGCTTTGTTAACAGCTGTTACTACGCAGTTTACATCAATAATGCAAAAAAGTAAATCTGGTGGGTCAATTAAATCGCCTAGAGATGCAAATGTGGAGCAAATAGTAACATTAACTCAGAATCAAAACATAAGTCACCATCATAATAATAGTGGAAACTCTTCATCTGTAATGGAAATTACATCGAATATTGAGGATTCATCCTCGAGTAGCACTTCAGTAAAACCAGTTGAATCTCATCGAGCTGCAATAAGATACGTTCCATCAAAGAGATTAGGAGGAAGGGCGCATGTATTTTCATTAAGCTCAACAACATCCTCAACAATGGCTGCAACTCCAGCTGTAAACAAGATCAACGACGCTACACAATATGGCTATTCATCTTCTTATATTGGAAACTCTCACTTAAATATTACTGGCTCGAATGATAATATATATGGTTCAATGAATTGTGATCCAAAAACTCCAATTCCCATTAGAAGGCAAAAGATTGACGAGCCAAACATAAAGCTGACTGATAATACAAAGGCTATACGTGAGAATATGAATATTGATGTTAGCAATGTTCAACAGCAAGTGAATAGACACAGAGAATACGGAAGGAGGATTGGCTTTAATATTGAAGAAAATGGTAAGAATGTAGTAAACAGTAATACTGGCACTAACATTCATATTAACCATACAAATATTAGTGGTGGTAATGGTAGCAATGCAAGCAATTCAGTTATGAGAATGGATACAGAGAGTGAAGTGGATATGATGAATGGAAGTGGCAAAAATGAATTGAGCCAAAATCCTTTTGTTTGCAAATATTCACTCGAACCTGCCGTTAAATACCCAGGATACAAGTTGGAGGTAAATGGTAAGTACTATGAAATAATATCATCCATACAAAAAGGTGGATCTTCCCAGGTTTACAAAGTAAAAGAGTCCAAAACTGGTGAAATGTATGCCCTTAAATGCGTAAGAGTATTCACTAAGAACCATGATCACAGCAACAGCCATAAAGATCCTGAGGAAAAGAGCATACAAAAGGAAGTATGTCCAACAAGCGGAAGTAGATCAAGAAAAAGTATTCGTAAGAGTATTGCAAATAATAGTAGCAACGGAGTAAATGAAGATGAAGAGGATGAGGATGAAGATGAGGACGATGACAATGAGGAACAGCAGCTACTACTAATGTTTACAGAAGAGGTAAATCTATTAAAGAAACTTAGGGGTTGTCCCCATGTAATACAACTAATAGATTCGGAAATTGCACTTAGTTGTGGTGCCATTGACATTATTATGGAATTGGGAGTGAAAGATTTAAATGGAATCTTACAAGGAAGCACGCCATTACCGAGTATAAATGTTTTGAGATCTATTTGGACGGAAATGGTACTTGCACTAAAAAATGTACACGATTTGAGAATAGTACATGGAGACATTAAACCAGCAAACTTTGTATTTGTGGAGAAGAAGGGGACGGTCATGGGTAATGGGATGGATACTCTGGTAAATCTTAATATTGAGAATATTAATAACACAAATAATTGCACATCCGTTCCTTCAGAACTACTTGATGAAAGCTCATCCTCAGTGTCGAATAGTAGTATAGAAAAATCAAAACTCCAGAACAAAACTGTAAAGATTATAGATTTTGGTATTTCTAGACCAATTGCTGATGATACAACACACATATTTAGAGACAAGGCTGTTGGATCTTTACCATTTATGGCTCCAGAGACCGTTCGTCCAGTGGCAATACCAGAGAGCAAATTTGCAGCTGCAGCTGTTGCATCAAAGTTAAGAATGCCACACCAGGTAATGTCAAGGACTGCAGATATTTGGTCATTAGGTGCTATACTGTATAGAATAACATACAAGAGGCATCTGTTTCAACAACCAATAGTAAATGCTAACAAAAGCTCAAATACTGGAACTGCTGGAGGTAAGAAAAGTGGGTCATCTGGGAAGTCAAATATAGCTCCTCACGAGATATTAATGTTTTTGCAAAATGACCAAAGCAAGATTTCGTTTCCAAGAGAAATGGGAATCATGTTTTCAGAGCAAGCGGAGAATGAATCATTGTGGTTTGATGCATTAAGGCATCTGTTAAAATGGACGTTACAATGGGATCCATCTAATAGGCCTAATGTAAATCAACTTTTAACGCATCCTTTTATAGATACTGCCATTGTTTCTAGATATGTAATGCAACAGATACCAAAGAGTATACCAAATAAGCATCCATCAATATCAGATGATTATTTGATATATAATGTAAAACACAACTCTCAGACTGATGAGGATAGGGCGGCTCTGTTGGAGTTATTATTCAAGTCAACAATACCACTTAGTGATTTATACAAATCAAAACCAAAGAACATATACCTTTCATCTATGAGGTGGAACATTGTAACAAATGGGAATTTCCTCTTTTATAGCCTATTTGAGGCACTAAAGGCGAATTTGAACGCAGATCAAGGTCAGCCTCAACAAGGATCTTGTGAACAGAGTATGATAAATAATTTGGCTATTTCACAGTATATTTCACTAGTAAAAGAGGTTTCTATCCCATCACCTCCTTCTGTTAATACTTTGAATACTACAACAAGGAATGGGAATATTTAATTGTTTAGTATATTATATTGATCATTTATTAGGTATATTTCTGGAAATGGGTTAGCCTAAGGAGAAGAGGAATGATATAGTATACATATTTATCGCATTCTTTGAGTAACAAGGAGAACAGAACCTTTTGGAAAAACTAGTAAGAAAATTGATGATTATCTTTACTACAAAATATTGACGATTATTATGGTCTTTAAATCTACTTATTAGTGAGGTTTTTTTGTATTTTCTCATTAATAAGTATTCTAGTAAATAGAGCAAGAATTATTTGAGTACCCTATGATATTTTGTGGCGTGGATTGGCACAGTCATTATTATTGAAGCATGGAGGGAGGATTATTATCGCTCTCTCCCTCTTGTTCAAATTCCAAATCGTATAGAAGCTCATACTCGCTCTGTTCAAGTCTGTCTTCCTGGGTTTGCTGAATGTATTCAAAGTTTGTGGAATAACTTCCTGGGGCGCTCATATCTAGTATCATTGACTCATTGTCTTGGTCGTCTTCACTATAATTCTCAAAGCTGTCAAAACTACTACTAGAATGTGCATTCTGCTCTATTTCATTAATCATACTCCAGTCTGAACAGGAGTTTGGAGATTTTTGAGATATATTAGATGCAAAAGAGTCTGGAAACTGTGGATAAAGGAACGGTTTCTTAGCCTCTTGTATATGTTCTGATGGATTATGTAGCTGTTTATTTATAAAGTCTAGATATAACAATTCAAGCTCGTTCTTTAAATTCACTTTCTTATTCAAAGTTTCATATATAAGGGTTCTCTTAATTTCGTATTCTTTAGCCAGAGAATCCAACTCAGAAACCGATTGTATTGAAAAGCAAAGATTATTTGAAGATGAGAAAGCTGAGATTTTTGAGTACAAAACAGCAAGAATACGGTCAATTTCCTCTAAAAGTTCTTGCCCTTGTTGACACTCTTTCCAAACTTTGGAAATACTTTCTTGGATACCTTCTATAGAAAGATCAAGTGTTGGAAATGTTTCTTTATTAATATATTCATTTTCCCTTTCTTTTCTTTTTGGATCGTTATAGAAATCACAGACTTCTGTATTGTTATTGTTATTATTAGCAATCATCATAAGACAATTTTGTTTATTATCTCTTTTTTCTTACTATCACTATTATTTATTCAACTAGATATTAATGATAATTAGTCATGACAATTTTTTGAGGTAAAACAAGATTGATAATTACATATTTTGTTAATGTTTTTTTCTAATTCAATCTATATAATAAAGTTCTCTCTAATTTGAGTCTTCAAAAATTAAGAAATTTATCAAAATAAGCCTTTTTTCAGTCTTCACTGCAAAAGATATTAAATATGTGCATGCATGCATACAGAAATGTGGGGAAATGCAAGCAATTATCTGTAAACATTTTTTTTTAATTATAACAACTTCACCCTGTAGTTCTTTATTTTTGGTAAACTAAAGGCTTATTTTAAGAGATTTTCTTATATCCAATACTATTATTTGGCTTCCATTATTCTGGGTCTATTTCATCCTTAGTTTTTATTACTTTATAGAATAATACATGTTTGGCGCCAACATTTTTTCAATAAATATATTTTTTTCTATTACATAATAAGCTTTGCAATTTATTAAAAAACAAAATTTTATTGATTAGATAAGAGTATGAATTTATAAATCTCATCACTTAATTCGAGCGGTTTGTTTTGTTGCAATACTATTGTAAAATAACTTCACATTCCCATATGTATCACTCTCCCACGTTTTTTTTACTACTATTTGCTAAGCATTTACCTATATTATCGTTTAAACTAGCTTTGAGTCTGGTTTGTATAATATTAATTGAGAAAATATAAAGTTTGGCGGTAAAACTGAGGTATAATAATATTTTAAGTAAATTAAAGAGAAGAGTGAGAATATAATCATAAAGAAAGATATTAGCAGAATACAAGTGTAATTTTTGAGTTTACAATTATTAAAAATTATTTTAAGTTAAACATACATAACAGTATTTCAATCCATTACAATGCATACATAAATCTTGAAAATATCCTTAAAGATAACACACATAATAGAACTTTTTTATTCAATGCTTTTTTGGCATCGAACTTTGATTTTCACTTTTTTGAATCATCTTATTTTTAGAAGCCAAAGTTTGTTTCATGAATGACAGAGTTTTGTTTTTTTTAGTGAAAGTTTTGCCACGTTTTGTCATAGTTGTAGATTTAACTGAACCGCAGGTTTTCTCACCTTCTTCGAAGTTATTGAGAGATTTACTGGTATGAGAAGTGTTTGCTTCGAATAAAAGTAGACTTTTCTTCATTTCAATTAAAGCTTGCGGATCACAATAAACTTTGTTAATTCTCTGGACGTAATTAATGAAACCATGTAATTTTGACATTCTTTCTGAATGCAAACTTACAAAATCAACTCTGTCTTCAAAGTGCTTTGCTCTAAAAACAATATATTCATTACAGTTAGCATAATATTTTTGAAGGCTATGAAATAATTGCAGTGCTCCTTTCAGAAATTCATCCAATTTTTCAAGGTACGCATAATAATTTGATACAGCCGATCCAACTTTACGTAAGTGTAAATTGATCATTTTACACTTTTTGAATTTTACATTTTCAGTTTTAAGGCATTCACGACCAATAGATTCTAAAAAAATTAAGCACTTTGGATTTATTACAGAAGTTTGTAAGTCCCCGTAATAATTTTGAAAAGTCTCAATACTAATTTTCATTGTTTCCAGTAAAACTCGAATTGAATTACAACTGACAACTGCATATTCTGAGTTTTTTACAATACAACTACTATCTATTTCGTTTAATCTCTGAAATTCGCACAATATAGCTTTTGAGGATTCACTCTGATTTATCATCGTATTCCTCTTTTTAAGCTTAAATCTAGGTTTTCTGTTTATATTATTTGATAAAGATACTTTGAGTAAAGATATAGAATCTGAAACATCTTCCATAAATGGATATAATGAATTATAATTCGGTGCAAATCTTAAAATAATCGAATTTAAAGCGTAGAGAGTCAACAAAAACAATACTTGCAATACTTTCATGTTGACTTTTCTTCGGAATTTTTACTAATGTATTATATTACAAACCAATCATCTAATTGCTTACAATATTCAACAAACCCTTTATTTTAAACTAATCAAACATCAAATATTCCTGAAAACGGTGATTAAAACCAGCAATAATTTCATCGGGCCATTATTATTCCTATACAAATCTTACAACTTAATTAAAAGAATTATTTTTGGTATATTTTAGTCTCATTAATATTGATTTTGGCGGGAAAATACCTTATTATAACTTAAGATTTTTATTGCAGGTATAAATAAATAATTATATCATTTAACAGAGAAATCATCACTTTTTACGAATTATTTAGAATTTTAATGTTTTATATGTATTATTCAATTTAATTTTGCTTTATTCGCTACTACTATTTTCATGTAGTGATTTTTTTTTTTACTCAAATTCTTGGCCTCAGTTTTTTTTATATTTTCAAATACATAACTATTTTTGGCGGGAATTGCATGCAGCCATATTTAATATGAAATTGAATAATTTAATAGCAAAGCCAAATTACATGCAACTGGTCAAACAGCAAATTATATAAATTTTTTTATGCATTAAAAATTTCTATTCATTTATATACTCTGTTTTATTTAATTATTTCTTGTATGGATAGGAACTTAATAGAATTCAATTTAATAATCATTAAGTAAATATAGATTATTTATCTTATATACTTTTTTATTCAAATTACAAATTTTAAAGAAAAGCAAGGACCTCTCTTTTTGATTTTTTTTTCTTTTTTTTTTAATTTTCTTAAATAATCAGAACCTAATTTCTAAAAATAATTATTAATTTATATTTTATTCATTTTTAATATAATTTAGTTGTATTTTATTCAAAACTTTGTGAAAAAAAAAAAATCGTTTACTTGCTGCCATACTAACAATTAACATCACTGCAAATGTTTTCTTAATATTATCACAAAATAACTTATATTTATTTTTACCATTGTTTTATTTACATTGACTACACTCATAACTATTAGCTTCCATATTATTCTCAAACAATATTTTTTTTTTTTTTTTGACTTCTAATCAATAATTATTTAAAATCCTACAGGAAGCTAAAAAAGTAATTTTGCATGCAATTTAATTAGTGGTTTGGCGCCCATATTTATGTAGTAAATGTAGACCAGAATAATTATTTAACTAGTAAACAATGAATAAATAATGGAAATGAGAGAAAGTATTCACATATGTAACATTAATAGATATTTTCAACTATCTTCAAAACTATTTATGACACTAAACAATGGATGATTCAATAGTCATGTTAAATCACTATTAAATCTTTTTTAGAAAACTATTCACCGAGAAATAATCCTCCATCCACAATTTTAAAAAACGATTTGTTACATTATTTTCGTTCTGCTTTTACACTTTTACATTTAACAACAAAAATTCCTTGAGTATTTTTACTTTTTTCACTCAAAATAAATTTATTTTTTTTTTTGAAGTGATACAAATGTATTTTTTATTGGAAAATTTGTCAAAACTTGTGGATATTAGTAATAACTAGGAATTTGGCTTTGGTTTCATAAATTATCTCAAAATTAAAAACTCAAAGTGTGTTATGAATGGGTACGAGTATTAGTTTATTTTTGAGTTAGAACCAGACCTTCAACTGATCAAGTAATTCTTTTAAATGTTCATTAAGCTGGAGCATCGTGGTATTTCCTTCCAAAACTTTTAATTTTAACATAATTCCAAGGTCTTTGTAACCCTGTTTAGAAAAGTTACTTCAGTTTGGATTCAATTCATTATATATTGCTCCAATAACAAAAACCCGTTTCACAAAATTATATCCAAATGCCTAGTAAATGTTATAATTTCCCCTGATATAGTATTTGCCTATCAAACTTTTAAATCACCCAATTATTCTTTATATTTGATTATAACTTTACCAAATATATACAGATTACTAATTGAGTTGTCTATTTTTTTTTTTTTTTTACTAACAAGAACTCAATGTTTGTTTGTAATTGAAATGTCTCGTTAGTATAATTGTTCCGGCAATTACCAGAAATTAATTAAATAAGTATTCTTAATGTTTTTGATAGGTTCATGTAATTTTCAAAATCTTTAATAGTTTATTATTTCAAACTATGTTTGTTTGATTACCTTAAAACATTAATTACTAATCTTTAATAACATTGTATAAATTTAAATTATTAAAAGTTTTGAATTTTCCCAATATTCACCTAAATAAAGTGTCATTTATTTCACTTTTTCCCATAATAAAACACTATCAATATTATTATCTCAAATAATATCTTTTATTATTAACCTTTACTTGTGTGATTAAAAGAAATCCTCTTAAGATTTACTTATTAAATGTAATTGTGTATTGCTTATTTTTCGAATAAATTCCTATACATAATAATATATTCTGGCATTCGAAACTTCACAAATTACAAATTTACCATTTAGAGAATTCTAATCATTCATAACAATACTTTAGTTATTATTATGTTGAAAATAGATTTCTTGTACATGTTGATTTTTTTTTAATAATTGAATATATTTTCAAACTTAATCAGGAACCATAAATTTTCATAAGTACATTTTCTCTACTCCAAAATTAATAGAAACTATCATAATTTGTATTTAGCCTTAGGATCCCAAAATTTGAATGTATTTATTTCCATTTAATATAAATATCACCCTTTAAATCCTGTTTAATTAAATACAAAAATAGCCTAGAGTCATTTAGTAATTATGAGACCTGAAAATTAACCATGCTATGTAATTAAGTGTAAGTAAAAGATGAATCATTATTTTAATAATTATCCTTAGAAGTGGTTTTAGAAATACTTTTATTCATTGTTAAAACCATTAAATAAAAATGTTATTTTCAATCGATTTTATTTGTATTTGCATCCCATTGGTTTTTTTGGTTATCCAAAACCAATAATTCGATTAATACAGGCAATATCAACTGTATTTAGGCAAACTTGTGTACAAATTACAGAATACTAAATATTTCGATTCCATCAAGTAGTAATAATCCACTAAATTGTTTGTTCCAATGATTTATCAGTAATAGACAAATACAAAACTAATTTCAAGCAAGAAATCAAATATGTATCGATTGAAAAGTCCATACTAGAAATATCATATTATAACCATAACTCTTAATATAAAATATCCTATTTCTCAACAAATTTGTATAAACTTATCAAGTATTTGTTCATATATAGTCTCAACTTGTTTTATATAACCATCCTTAAAAACATGATAAATTATATGTAAATTTCGTAAATACGAAATGAATGTATTTTAATCATGTAAATATTGACAAATAATTTTGCATGTAAATTTACTGAATAAAAGGCGGGCTCCCCTACTAAAGTAAATATTTTTTACTTGGAATAAATAAATCATATAGGATAACAAATAACTATGTACTTCAAGAAAAAAAAATCAGTAGTGAGACTGTTGTAGTTTGTCTTGTTATTTAATTTTATCTTTATAAGTTGAATTCATAATAAGAATTGGGGAAAATTCTCATGAATATTTTTTAGAATCGTGAAAAAGATTCTGATGAGTCGAAGCCCATTTGCTACTATTTTGTATCCATAGATTCTTCAGTATGACTATATTGCGAACCCGAAATTGCTACCTCCATCTCACTGAAGAATTGTTCGTTGCAAAACTTTGAATATGCTTCTCCAGATTGTAAAATGAATGATTTAACTTTATTATCCATTTTGTTAACTTTTTCAGATAAACCAAACAAAGATTTATATCGCAAAGAACCCATTGTTAATGTCTGAGAAGTGCTCAGAATGCACTTTTCGATAAGAGAACGAATCAATTCTTCCAGAGAAACATATTTTGCTAACATTTTTGCCAATTTTGACTCTAGTCTTTTTTGAGATTCTAAAAACTTGCTGACTTGACCAATAGCATCAAGTAGAGCTTGTGGTACTACTTCTGCGTTCACTCTCCTCAAATCCAACTGTTCTAAACAACTAGTAAGTGGGTTAAAGTTTCCGACTGAAGAATGCAGCTCTGCTAAACTAACCAAAAGTGGCCCATAACTTTCAGCCAAAGTCAACAAATCTAAACACACGACTTCAAAAATGTAAAGACCACCACTGCTAATAGTCATTTGTTCAAACATATTAGCTAAACTTTCAACTGCCTGATTGCTACTATCTCCATTGCTACTTTTAGATTTTGATTTTGTGGAACCTTTTTTTCTAGATTTTTTTCCAGGTGTATTGCTACTAAGAGATAGATTTAAAAAGCTTTGTGGAAGAATTGAGTTATTTTGGGAGTAGTTTTCCAGGCCAAGAAAACTGGAGCTATTTGGTGAAATATTTCCATTTGTCTTATAATTATTATCGAAAGCTAAGTTATTGAGTAATATTACTAATAAAGTTAACAAATAAAGTTTAATTATGTAGCTAATTTTTAGTGAATAAGAAATCCCCATTTTATTAAATAGTTTATATACCCAAAATAATATTGATAAAAAATATATCTATTTTCAGATTTCGGTTATTTACTGCTATTTATTGAGTAGTAATTAATTCAACATAAGAAAAGAACCCTAATTCTTATGGACCAAAGAATCTATATTACAAACCAACTTATGACAAAGCTATATCTTCGTTCAGTTCCTTATCTATTTTGTACTAAGCTTAACTTAAATTTAATTTCCTGAGATAATCTAATATTTTACCCCCTGTTTCAAATCCTGACTGTATGGTACTAATCACTATATATCGTCTATCTAATAATAGTAAAACTACCTCAGGCGGTAATCCTAATATTAATTGGAACATACGTATTAAAAAATAGTACATCCCGCCAAAAGTGTTAAAAATAGTAGTTAAATTATTAATAGATCGACAAGTAAAATGAGTTGTACCAAGATCAATTTACTCAACATTTATGAAGAGAACAATTATATTACACTGTTCAAATCAATAATTAGATAGTAATTGCGTTTTTATTTTAGGAATTTATCAATGATGTACATCCGTTGGTGTAATCAATGCAAATAATTCAAACATATATATTGAAATGCCCATTCTAGTAATATTACTAGGCAAACTATAGTACTCCATATAAGTTATTTAGCTACTTTTGCAACCATATAATACCTTTGTTCGAATGTATTGTTGCAAGTAACATCATGACTGAAGAAATAGCCATTTTGGAAATAATGGGAGAAGCAATCATAAATAATCCATTAACCCCGTTTATACATAATTAAACAAATATTGACACAATTGTTTGCATGTAAACTTAACTTATCTTTAAAAGGCGGGTTTCCACTGAAGTGAAAATTTTTTTTCTTCGGATATATTAATTATGTAGAATAACAAATAATTATATAACTTCAAAAAGAAAGAAAATCGCCGGTGATAATTAATATTTGCTTTGATATTTTTTCTTGATTTTTGCGTTTGAACTCAGTGTGTGGTCCATATATGATCTACCTTCAGTTGTTTTTCTGTAACTTGTTTTACTAGAGTCTCTTTTAGTTTTCGAGACAGATGAGTCACTTTTGAAAGTTACTGTTCTTTGCATATTGGAAATTAGATATTCGATGTTCGAAGTGAAAGTTACATCACAATAATTTTTAATTACGGACTTCATGTAAGAAATAAATGAAGTGACAGCATTAATTTTAGATTCAAGTTCTTTAGGTAAAGCAATTAAAGCTGAATACTGAGAGGCAGGAATTGAAATGGACTGAGCGCTTCCTTGATTACATTGAGAAATAAGAGTAGAGAGAATGTCTTGTTGTGAAATTGTGTTTAAAAGGGTATATTGTAATTTAAATTCCAAGGAGCTTCGAGACTTTAATGCAGTTGAAACTTTATTAATTGCCTTAAGTAATTGTGATATACCGAAATTCATTTGGTACTTTTTGAGATTTTTAATTTTTTGTATTTCAAGCAATTTATCCAGACATTTTTTAAGCAGGTCTGGATCATTGAAACCATCAAATATTTCTATAAACATTTCAAATAACAATAATAATAAATCCTGTAATTCTCGCAACTCCTCACATGTTACTAAGACCATAAGCATTTTACCATCGCTTATATCTATATTCTGTAGCCCTTTAACCTCTTCCTCATAATCTTTAGAAAGGGAGGGTTTTTGAATAGTAGTTTTTGGCCCACCTTTAGTTGTACTTCTAGAAGATGTTCCCTTAAAACCTACTGGCCCTGCAGGTCCTGTTGAGTGCGCTTGCCCCACCGTTCTGGGCCTTGGAATAGAGCTTGGCCTTGGGCTTGGCCTTGGACTTGGCCTCGAGCTTGGCCTTGAACTCGGCCTTGAACTCGGCCCTGAACTTGGCCCTGAACTTGGCCTTGAACTTGGCCTTGAACTTGGCCCTGAACTTGGCCTCGAACTTGGCCTCGAACTTGGCCTTGAACTTGACCCTGAACTCGGCCTTGAACCTGTATTTGAGCTCGATCTAGAGCTCCCATCATTAGATCTTTCACCAGGTACATTGCTTTTAAGAGAAAGATTCAAAAAACATTGCGAAAAGAGTATTCTTCCTTGGAAATAGTTTTGCATGCCAGGGAAATTAGAATTAAATAGTAAAATACTTCCATTCGCATAATCATTATTAAAAATTAAATCAAAACATATCACAAGTAAAGTTAACAAATAAAATTTCTTAATACAAATCATTTTCAACAAATAAGAAGTACCCATTTTATTCAACACTTTATTTATTTTCACTTTATTGCATAAATAACAAAATTAGATGATGAGCTTGAGCAAAAAAACTCTTGAGAATTACAAAAAAAAAGGAAAAAATACAACGAAACCTTAATTTTGTTAACTTGAGTCACTAAATTATTCCAAATACATACAGTATATACTTACTATACTGTGTTTCCTTAATTTAAATTACGTATAATAATATCGGAATATCTAATACATTTCAATTTTCCCTCCTATCATTTGTATTTGTGTCCTATTAATTTTTATTATTGTATACCTAATATATTTAATACAATATAAATTTGGCGCCACTGTCTAATTTTGACAGATAAATATAATAAAACCTAATGGCGAAAAAGTAATGATATTAATGGAGATAATTATAGAAATTGTAGTGGCAATGATTTCAATATGGTAAAATGGTGAATAGTAGAAGAAATTATGGAGGAAAAAAGTGAAAGGTATTTTGAATTTTTACATCTTTCTCCCCCCATAAATTTCTATATAGTACTACATAGAAAGAACCCGCCTAAACATCTTTCCTAATCACATTTTTTAATTTAATTTGTAATATCTTTTATAATAGAAGACAAAATACATTCTTATTCTTGTTTTCTTAGAGATTCTGGGGTCTCAATCAGAATTCGCTCTTTCTTTTATTTACTCCATTTCTTCCAATTTCAACACAGATGATACATTAAACTAAGTTTGTTCTGTCCCGCAAGCCATTCTTATTCTCTTGTTTTGCTAGCTATCTTTGCTATAAATTCTTCCTTTCCATTCTCTAACATTCCATTCTCCCCCACTTTAATTTTTATACTATCGATAGCAATCCAACCAAATTTGCAAAATAATTAAAGTAGTAACTCTTATATTCAAATAAACAGTTATACAAAACCCCTAATTTAATCTTCGAATTACATTAGAATAAATTCTAATCGCTCCTGAAAATTGATTTTCTTATTAACCTGAAATTTTATCTCGAGCTAGAAAAAAAATCGGATACTTAGCCAAGTATGATTAAAAAGACTATTCAAATCTATTATTATATATGGAAAAAAAAATTACTTGCCTATAACTAATCTCCTCATTTGCCTTTTTCAAAACACAATTGTGCTTTTCTATATTTATTTCGTAATTTCTGCACCTTCCACAATATTTGTAACTTTTTCTTTTACCCATGCAATATCCACATTAATACCGGTATATAAATGCATGCATTCATGTTGATAAATTATTACTATTGTAAATAATATTTTGAATAATTCGATGCTAAAAGACAATATTACCTATCTTATTGGAATTACCTATTTTTCCTATTACCCAAAGCTTTCAATTTTAAATACCTAACACATATATGTTTTTAATAGTTAATTCAGTAACATATTCACTTATTTGTTAAATAGATACAATTTTTCCGAACAATTAATGGAAGCTATAGTGCAGGAAAAAAATCTAAAAATAGTGAATAGTTTAATTCAATGGAAGTTAGTGATAAAGTGTTATTCAAAATAAAAAGTGATAAATAATTTGTGAAAAAAAAAGAAATTCTAATAAGTGAAAGAAACAAAATGAATAAACTTTTCTAATTAGAAAAAAAAAAATCCATGAAACAAAAAATTAGAAAATTTTATCGTTTTTTCCGCATCTGCTACTCAGATTTTTTGCTTTTAATTTTGTTAATATAGCTAATTGTAGGTTTCAAGTAACCCTTTGTTTCTGGCGATGAAGAAGATGTTCTAGACTTTGAAGACTTCCGCCTATTACTTCTTTGTTTTAGAGGAAAGGCCTCATTTCTTACTGAAATCGACCTTTTTCTTGAAAACCGCCTACTACTACTAGTGTGCTTAGTTCTGCCTTTAAAAGAAACTGAAGGTTTATAAGTAATTAGTTTGTCCTTTACCATATACAAAGTTAAAGTATTACAATAAAGTGAATTGTATCTTTCAAATAAATTGTATAAACCATCTATATCAAAAGCAAAGTACCTACGGACATATTCACACAATTTTAAAGCCACGTCTTTATCTTCTTTTTGAACCGTTACATATTCATGTTCTGCTTTTATATAAGATTGTGTTTTAGCGCGTATGCCCAACAGCCTAATATTTAAATGATCCAACTTCTCCATAAATTTATCATAGTCCCTACTAATCTTCTTTACTTTCGAATAATTCGTCATAATATTTCTGCAAAGAGGACAATTTTTGTATCTTTTCCCTTGGCATATTCTAATCATATCTCGGATGAAATCTAAACAACTACGGCCCAGATGTAAACGCTCAAATTTTGTAGTCCAATCACTGAGAACGGATCTAGCCATATCTATGGTGTAAAGAAGCTCTACTATGGAATCTCGACTCATTATTATTGAAATTTCTGTATATTCTTCATCCTGATCTATGCTAATTGTGCTTAACCTTTGGTACTCCTCAAGCAAGCCAGATAACTGCGGGTCATCCGTTTCAAGTTGAGGGCTTTCGTTTAAATTAAAATTGCTTGCCTTTAAATGTAGGATTGAAACATTATTTAAGTACACACATCTCAAAGATATGGTTGAAAAAAAGTAATGAAAAAGTATTAACTGGCCAAAAAACAATAACAATGTTTTGGTCAGACTATTAAACATCGCAAAAATTCCTCGCATCACGTCATTATTTGCGACCAGAACACATGTAATTATTATAACCTTGAAAAATCCAATGCAATTTTCTTCTGTAGACAATACTTTAATAACTTTATGATTTAACTTTTACGTAAATCGGTTCATCTTAAACATGTTTCAGTAAACAAATGCGTTGTCTTACAAAAAAAAATAAATAAATATATCTAGGTCAATTATATTATATAAAAATTAAATTTTATTAACATGTTGACTGGTCAGTATTACATGATATCATATTTGTTTTAATTAAGTTTTTGAATTAAATTATTTATTAAATATATCAATAAAAATACGCGGGAACCTTTTAGTTTTTTTTCGATTATTAATTCTTCAGCCCAATTTATTTTCATTTTTTCTACTTATTTATTTTTTAGTAGGTTTATCTTTTTTCCGGTTGCCCCTATAATTACTTAACGCTTTGAGCTTGATCACTCTATAAATGAGCAGATTGTTTGTAATATAATATTGATATCTTGTACTTGGATAGCTTGGACATTACAACAGTTTCTTTTTTTTAATATAATGATTCACCAAAATTTGTATATTATTAAAAAAAAATTTTGTTTTATAGAGAAACTTTAAATAAACATTGCCATTCACAATATCAATCATTGAATCTTGGTTTGTATGGTTTTAATATATCAATTGTTTTGTTTTCATTTTCAAAATATTGATTTCAAATTACCTACTACAAACTTAATATTTTGATAAACTTTGGCCATTCTTTTGTTTTTACTAAATCTAATATACATGTGCCAGCTATATAGTTTACAAATTTAAATAAAAAATTTGAGTAAGCATTATTCAACCTCATATACATAAAGTTCTAGGTTAAATTCTCAAAAGGTACCTTAAAATTATTCAATTTATGGATTAAACTGTGAGATGTTGGAGAGAAATATAATAATTAAAACTTACATTGACATTACTGTATTAAAAACATATTTATCAATTCTCTTTATTCCAAATCCAATGAAATTGTTTTAAATTTTGTTTTATTAAATAGAGGAAATGCAATGTTTATTATGTTTATTCGAAAGAATCATATTTGCAAACTTTGTAGAATCTTTATTTCTATCCTCACTTAACTTTATCAACTGAATTTAAGAAAATTCAACCTGGTTAACTAATCATCTACAATAGACCCCTTCCCCCCCCCCTTTTACTTCTAATACCGATTACAAATGCTATGCAATTTAGTAATCATAACACTACTTTTAATCAATTCTGACTTCCCCCCATGGCGGTAAAGTAAAAATAACTACTTTCAATATAATTTTTTTTTTTTAACTTCAATATTCAACTAAAATAAGAAACAAAAATCAATTTTTCAAATTTGCACTAATCATCAAAACTAGTTTTTTCTTTTCATCCTCCTAATATATATACAAATACATACATTTTGAACAATATTTCTTATTCATGTAAAACTTTGGCATACAAGCATAAACAACAAAACACTATTCATACAAAATCAGAAAAATTTGCAAATATAAAAAATTACTTTGTATCTTTTTTACCTTCCCACCCGTAAATATCCTACAAATTAACACCATATTAAATGCAAATTGAATTTTTCTGCCTATACCTTCTATTTTGTTTTTAATCTGTTAAACATTAGAAATAAATTAAATTTGCATGAGAAGAGCCTTGGCGCCTTTTATTACATGTGTTTATAGTATTCTACAAGTAAATAATCTGATTTTATCATCATAAAAAAAATGACTATAATAATTCCTAATAGTATGTAAATAATTGGTAAGATTAAATATTATATTAATAGATTGAAATATGAAAAGCAAGATAGAGTGAAGTATTTTCAAGTACAATCTGAAAATACATATAACCAACTTAAATATTTAAATAAACACAATTTGAAGTAATTTTCTGAAACAATACTTTTGCCCAAAGTTGTTTTAATTTAGTTTTAATAATACAATAAAAGCAACAAATAATGGGTATTTTTCATGCATTTTCCCTAATACATGCCTAAATATGTGTATGAATAAATATTATTAAAAATTTGTTTAAACCTTGCTTAAAAGCTTTTTAAAATTTTTTAGTAGAAAATTAAATCTTTCAAATAAAATTAATTTACTTTTATAGAAAATTAAAAAAACCAAGTAATTTTATGAGGAAAAAAATTTTGGTTCTCAATATAATCAGTTTAAATTCATTGGAAAAATAACTTATAAACTTGAAATCATTTTCCGATATTCCAAATATTGATTATAACCTATTTTTATAGTATTTTCTAAAGTTAATATATAACTCCAAAAACGATCCTAAAACATCCATTCTTGGTTTTAACCAAATTAGAAAAAAATCATTTTTCCTAACTTCTTTTACAGTACTTATACTGTATTAAAATAGAGATTATCATAAATTTATTCACAATATTACAATCACTATTATTGGAAATGTTATATATCATGAGAAATGTATTAGATTATTTTCATTACGTTTAAATGAAACAAAATCAGTAACTATTTCTCGATTTATAACCAGTATAACTGTAGCAATTTGCAATATATTGCTAATTTTCATACATATATAAAATTTAATCAACACAAAAAAAAAATCAAATTCAAAAAATTAAAATTTTCTTTTCAAAAATTGCATGCAATTCTAAGAATTACATGCAATTTTTGGAAGCAATACATAATTCCTTTAAAAAAAAGAAACTTCAAACATAATAAATCACAATCAAGTCAGATCACTTCTGCATCTGAATCTTCATCCGAATCTTCATCTTAATCCGAACCCAAGCCCGAATCTCGATTTAAATCATAACTCTGCGTAAAAAAGCTAATTTACACAGTAATAATTAACACATTGTCCAAATTAATCTCAAAATAATTCCAAGATTAATTCAATTACTCATATTTAACCTGTTCCCTGCTAAATAATTTCCAATTGAGAATGCGAATTCAAATTGAAAATAAAGTCATCTTCTGGAATTAACTCTCTTGTTGGTTCCATGCTCGCTGTTAATTTCCAGATTTACTCATCTTCTTCTGAAATTGTTCATTTCATCCCTTCTCTATCCTTTTTTCCAAATCAAAAACTTTCTCTAAACTTTTTTATTTCTTTAGTTGTATTTCTTGATCGACCTTGTTAGTATAGTAAGTAATACCACCTACAGAACAGAATTGTGTATATATTGATATAATAAATGACGTAAAACCTTTATTGCCTTCAAAAAACAAAGAAACATCTCTTAATAATTTTTCAGTTGACACTAAATAACTTTTTTTCAATTCAACTCTTCGTGAGTATGTATTCATTAAGGAATTCAAGTCAAATAAGGCTGAAAGAATTTCTCTATTATAACCAGAGTACTTTCGAATCATCGCAGAATAATTTCTCTCAACCTTTTTAACTCTTCTTAGAATTTTTTTCAAAAGTTTACAAATACTATTATTTGCATCAAGTTCTAAAGCACATACTTCATAAATTAAAGTGACTGAACCAACACATTTTTCATCTATTGGATGATCAACCAAAGATAAATATGAAGTTTTTATTTCTCTAAGAGTGGTTAATGTTCTACTTCTTAAGCTCAATAATTCCTGAAAAGAGACAGTTACCAGATTTCCCTTATCACTTTCTGTAGTATCAATATCGTCAAGTTCCATTAAACTTAACCTTTGAAACTCAGAAGTGACCCCCACGTCTGGCCCTCCACCATCTTCTATATTTGTAGATAACTTAAGTAGTGAAGATGAGAATAGAGATAAAATAATACGTGAATCACCAGATGACTCAAACACATCATTTTGAATAAAAGATAATAAATAGATAAAAAATAAACAATAAAGTCTCATTTTATTAAGGTGAAAATACAATAATTCCCAAATATTATAACCTCAACTTCTTAAGATTCCAATACAGTGGCAGTCACTAAAGAATAACAAATAATAGAAAATAATTATTTTAAATATCAATTAACCTTAAAACTTTCAACTCCTCTTTTATCAAAAATTAAAGTATAAGGCCAGAGTAATTTTCACCAAAACGGGGAAATTAAAATTAAAAACAGAAGAAACTGTTCAGATCAGTTAATACAAATTAGTAAAAATAAACTGGTTATTTACGGCTCTGATTACAGTATTTTTACTATGATATTGGCGGTAACAATTATTATTTTAAAAAATATATATTTCACAATGTCAGCAAATTATTATTTATAAATAGTGGTTTTAAGATATGAACCGCTGTTCTAAACAGTAAAAACAAATAACTATGATCGTTTGAATAGACAAAAACATATACTAAATACATAATCAAATAGCAATATAAAAACATGAAAATAGTGGAACATAATGTAAAGAAAAAGCCCACATATTTGGCAAGAACTTTTTTTTTTAGTAAAATAAATACCTAAAATAAAATTAGTTATTAGAAAGAAATTGTTACAGAATTAAATATAACAAGAAATCAATGGGAAGATTGCTGAACAAAATTATTGAGTTTTAGGTATATTTTTTATGTCAAAATAGAGAAAAGCTGTAAATTTCCTTTTCAAGACATAATTGTATGTTCATAAGAACGTTACTAAATTTGTCCCAAAACAACTATTAGATAGTTCAAAATTGGATTTGAGTATTATGGCTCACTGGTAATTAGAAGATCTACCCATGTTTTTTATTTAAATAGCAAATTTCCAATGTATAGAAGCACAATGGTCCTCTCTTCTTCTTCCACCCCCCCCCCCCCTTTGTAAAAAACCGTTTTGCATGCATTTTTTTTTAGCTAAATACTCATTTTTCAAAAAAAAAAGAGTAAATTATGTAAGCCAACTTACACCTATTATCACTGTGTACATTTGAATCCGCTCTTTTTTCTATTAATTATTCTCTCCCTTAGCTCACAAAGCAAAGACTAAAGTGAAGTAAGGTCGAGAAGTATTATACTGCAAACTTACCGACACCCAAATTAGTGTAACTACCAACCAATGCTCTTCCATCACCAATTCTTCTCCCTCCTCCTTCGGCTAATTGTTTTTTGTAGACTCTCTATCATAAAAAGTCAAATAGTTTCTGGGCGATCCTTAGTATTCTTACCCAGGCATTTTCTTAAATTTTCAATATATACATATTTCGTAACCCCAAGCCTCTACAAGACCAAAATATAAAAAAGAAAAAAAAAGAAAAAAATAAAGGTAGGCATTTACAAAACTAATCCCCTGGAGTGGTCAAATCATCCCCAATAAAAGAAAATCGGGTACAACTAATAGAGGAGTGTCTCGTTACTTTAAAATACTTAACCATAGAATCACGATAAGGGGTGCTAAGCCATTACTCACAACATTAAACACAAGATTGATCCTAATTTGAAGATCTTTTTATACCCATTAATTGACAGTCCTCACAGCTCCTTACTTCCTCACTTTATCTAAGGTGAATAAAATAAAAAAAACTTCGGAACTTGAAAAAAAGAGAACGATATGTTGGCTACTTTCAATGAAAAAATTTAAACAAGAAAAAAGTTATTGGGATTCATTAAGTGTGGAATATTTAAATAAACAAGAATCAAAATGTCGCTAAATGTGCATAATCCCAGTTTTTAACCATCAACTCAAAAATATATTTTTACTCAAAAACTAAAACTTCTAAAAAGCGCCAGAGGACTCTCCCCGACGAAAATCCGAGCATACACTTGTAACTTAACGTAATCATGCATAAGCTGTTGCATGTATTATGCATTAACAACCTTGCTGGCATTTGGCAGAAACACACTGTGTCCCAATGTTAAATTAGTCTTAAATCTCTAATTAAAACTAAGCAACTGATTACAGACGGATTTCGTTTAATCGGGAATATCGGTATAATTTTGAGTATTCAGGCAATTAAAACCCATTTCGGGAAAGAATTTAATGTGGAATCTATCGCGGAAATAGTATATTTGTCCTTTTAATCTCAAATTCAAATATTATCAGGAAATACAATTTCTGTGGTTATTAGCTTAGCTGCTCAATTGTTAAGATATAACTTCACCATATAACCATATGTAATCATCTTGCCTGTAATCCTTATTCTAAAAATGTTAAAAAAGTGAATCTATAGTTAAGAAATGCTCATTTTAGTAGCATAACCACATTATGATTCCAGCCTCCAGTGAAATAGTTACTAAAAATGCAAAATGGAAAAGCATGCAACCACCTAATGTGGATATGACTTAAATGTCATAATCTGAGTCTTCAACAAACTCAAATGTCCACCATCTCCACAATTTTTAGAATTTTCATCCTCCATACTATCCTTAAGTAATTTAATTCTTTGGTTTAGCTCTTTAATAGTATCAACTAGGTTATTAACAGATTCGATATATGTCGACTTTAAAAGTAAACCATTGGATTTCAGTGAAACTTCCATTAGCTTTGATAAACCCTCATCCATTTTCAATAGAGAGGTTGCAAATCTATTAGCTTCATCCCTCAATTTTCTGTAATCATCGTCGATACCCTTTAATTTGGAAATGAGACTTAAAAGACCTTTGCAAGTTTCTGAAGATCTCAAACTCTTTTTCTTGCACAAAGAGAGTAATTCCTCCATCATTTCCAAGCACTCGTACGAAAAACTGGAGTTAATGAGGCTTTCAAGTAATTCCATAAATGAACTAAACACAGTCGTAAATCCACTCTTTAACTCAGCCAACGATTCATACGACATGCTCTGGTAGCTTGGAGGTTTTTTCCCTCCGCCTCTTCCTCCTCCTCCTCCTCCTCCTCCTCCTCCTCCTCCTCCACCTCCTCCTCCACCTCCACCTCCACCTCTTCCTCCTCTCTTTACAGTTCCTCCACTTCCCCCACTTCCTCCAATTCCTGCACCACCTCCACTTCCTGCACCACCTCCACTTCCGCCTTCGCCTCTTTTTCCTTTGGACGAGTCAACCATCCCGACTACAGTGTTATCCAACTTTAATATTGAGAGGTTACTACTTGAACCACTTGGAGAAATGGTCAAAGTAACCTGAACTGGAAGTAATGAAACTGCTTCAGAGCTCGAGCGAGATGAAGAATGTAAAGACTTTGATCCCTCTGACACATGAGACGCGGGTCTAGATCTGGATCCAGATCTTGACCTGGATCTGGGCCTGGATCTGGACCTGGACCTGGACCTGGATCTGGACCTGGACCTGGACCTGGACCTGGATCTGGATCTGGATCTGGATCTGGATCTGGTCCTGGAACTAGATCTGGTCCTAGACCTAGACCTGGATCTAGACCTAGAGCCAGAAATTGGTTTAGAGACAGACCCAGAACTGGACTTTGAAGTAGAATGCATCTTAGATCCAGAGCTGGTTTCTGCAGCAGCTTTTCCATCTGGCTTTCCTCTCTCACCCTCGTGTTCTCCTCCACCTCCTCTACCACTTTTTCCTACTTCCTTCCCCCCTACTCCTTTTGTGCCAGTTCCCCTTCTTGTCCCTTCCACAGCACCACTCACTCCAGGTAAGGCCGAATCTTGTGGTCCAGGCTGAGGGCCAACTTGACCTCCTGAGCTGTCAGGTTGGAAATGTAATCCTTTATAAAATTTGGTCATCAAATCAGAAAAAGGCCAGTAATCTCGTGGATCGCCTACAGGTAATTCTAAATGAGTTATAGATCTTCCTGTACTCTGGCTCTTCTTTCTGCTTTCTTTAAGTTTTTCACTATTTTCTTTTGCATCCTTTGCCAAACCTTTGATTTTCTCGAGTTTAGATAAGATTTCACTTCTCCTAGATCCGCTTGAGCCTGATGATCCGCTTGAGCCTGATGATCCGCTTGAGCCTGATGATCCGCTTGAACTTGATGATCCACTTGAGCTTGATGATCCGCTTGAGCTTGATGATCCGCTTGAACTTGATGATCCACTTGAACTTGATGATCCACTTGAACTTGATGATCCGCTTGAACTTGATGATCCACCTGAACTTGTTGATCCCCTTGAACCTGTTGAACCGCTTGAACCTGATGATCCGCTTGAACCTGATGATCCCCTTGAACCCGATGATCTACTAGAGCCAGTAGACCCATCGGAATCTTCTCCATCCTTACGGTTATCCTCCTCTTCCTCTTCTTCATCTTCTTCAAATATAGTATCTTCACGTCCTCTCATTCCTCCCGACCAACCTCCTCTTCTTCCTCCTCCCCCACCTGATCCACCTATTCCACCCGAACTAGCTCCCAATGAACCACCTGCTCTACCTCCTGTTCCTGATTTACCTGTTCCTGATCTGCTTAATCCGCCTGTTCCACCCGAACTGGTTCCTCCTGAGCCACCTCTACTTCCTCCTGCTTTACCTGTTCCTCTACTTACCCCGCTCGACCCACTTGAGCTGGCTCCTTTCGAACTACTCATTCCACCTCTTGTTCCAAGTTTACTTGTTCCACTTGATCCATGCCCTCCTTTTTTATCTTTTGAATGCCCCAATGTACCACCACTTCCAGAGCCAGAAGACTTAGAAGCTGCTGGTTTAGACAATGAATGAGTGTGCCTTCTAGAACTCGAACCAGAGCCCTTTCCTGTAGCTCCTGAACTATGGGATTTCTTTAAAGAACTATGTCTTTCCGAGGATAAAGTGGGTTTTTTTCGTCTTCCTGATCCATCATCACCCAACCACCATGATAAGCTCTTACTTGTGTCTGTATCCGACAGAGTACCTGTACCTGCACTTGCACCTGCACCTGCACCTGCACCTGCTCCGTGATCACCTTGATTCTCAGAAGCTTTACTAGATGATTTATCCTCAGTATAAATTCCTCCTTGATCTTTATCAGAGTCTAAGTCTGAGCTTGAACCTGATATCAGTAGAAGCGCTGATTCCAATTCTCTTTCCTTATCAGAAGGAGTGGGCCTATCTTCAACAATTAAATCCAGTTCCCCAAAATATGGATCTAGTGGTGAAGCTGCACTCCACCTACTTCGTTGAGTACTGCTTGCCTGACTGACAAAACTTAAGACACTTCCATTATCACTTTCATCTCCAGATCCACCGTCTTTTGATTCAAGATCTTCTGAGTCATCCTCACCATCATCTTTATAAACCTCACTTTTTAAATTCAGAAGTGATGTTACGTGTTGTGGAGCTCTTTCCAAATATTGGAAATCATACAAAAATAAAAACAAACATATTAGTAAAAACAAATATATCAAATTATTTAAAGTCATATTAAAACATTAAATTGCATATAAAAAACTGTAATGTACAAAAATTGATATACTTGTTTTTCCTAGAAAAATTAGAGTACCAACGTCAGTTTTCTGATAATTGATTGTTAATTTTTCTTAAATAGTCTCTTGTATTAAAATAGTAGTAATATGTTATACCTAACTTTGTCTCACGAGAAAATCTTCATACAAAGAAAAATACAAAACTTTACAATACTTAAAATATTTACATATCCAAGGTTATATTAATTTCCGTAGATTATTATTACTGAAACCATTAGTTTCCCTCGTTACCACTATAATTGCGCCACAGTATCATAACATTTTATTTTATTCACAAAAACTAATTAGAAATTTCAAAAGCGCGCACGCGCCTAAATATTATTACTGAAACAATCATATTTATATAAATATTTAAGATGGATAAAATAAGAGAATTTAAAAAAAAAAAAAAAAAAGACAACTGAGTAAAAGATATATTATTTAATTTTTGTTAATTTTGAGAATAAACCCAGCATTAACGAATTTAAATAAAATTAACTGTCTCGGTGTTTTTCTTATTTTTTTCCTCCCCCCCCCCTTTTTTTTTTTCTCATGCATTATTACCTTCCTTAGTATTATCTTCAAAATGACTTAATAAGACACATGCGCATGTACGCATTTTTGGCGCCTTTACATGTAGGAAGAAAATATAGGTATGGGAAGGGTTCAAAAACACATATAGACAGTATAGAAAGTAAAGAAGGTGACTACTCAATAAATTGTATTTGAAAGGTTAGTGTAGAAAAGACCAGACATTAATTTTTGTGTGCATAATTTGTGAAAAAAAAGGAATAAAGAAAGACATTTTGTATAATACATTCAAAAGACAGTGTAACTATTTTTTCAAAAAAAAAAGAAAGTCAAAGGAAAAATAGACGGCAAATTTTGAAATCATTGACAGGACATAAGATACAAAACGTTTAAAAAAAAAATCAAATTCATGCATTAAGGATTTGATTGGATTCCTAGACACAATATACAGTAAACTGAGAAAAAGTAAATAACATTTTAAGTCACTATTCGTTTACTTTGAAAAAAAAAAATCATTGTACGCGTTTCTCCCACTTAAAAGAAAAAGAAATATATTTTTAGTCATCCAATATTGAAAATGGGTTGCTCATCATCAAAGCCAGAAACCAAAGTTGCCGATAACAAATCTGCAGCCGACGCAAACAAGCAAAGAGAATTAGCCGAGAAGAAAGCCCAATTAGCTAAGGCTGTTAAGAACCCAGCTCCAATCAGTAATCAACCTCAGGCAAAGCCAGAAGAACCAAAGAAAGCAGAGCCTGCTCCTGTTCCTGCTCCTGCTCCTGTTCCTGCTCCTGCTCCTGCCCCTGTTCCTACTCCAGCTCCTGTTCCAGAAGCACCTGCTGCTGAGGCACCATCCAATCAAGCTCCTGCACCTGTTCCAGCTGAAGCTCCAGCTGCAGAAGCACCAGTTGACCAAAATGGTGTTCCACAGGAAAAGCCAGCTGATGCCTAAATTGTTCTTTGACAAATAAGGCCTTAACAGTTGTGCACTCAGAGTACTTAACATGGGGCTGAATTTTCCATAGTTGAAAAATTAATCTGAGAGTTTCCTTGAATACTTTAATAACAACAATAGAGTGTTATTTATTAAGGTTGTTAATCTATATTCTTCATTTCTCTCCATAAAACTGACTGACTGACTGAATTGCTAGTGTTAGAATGATACCAGAGGCTATTAATTGTATTATATGGTTTGAAATAGATACAATAGAAAGTATATTCCAACAAGATGGGATTTGTATGGGATCCAATACATCAAGGATTGAACCTCGATAATAGAACTACAACTTTTGACTAAAAATACAAGGTAGCCCGAGAAAAGCCAAGGAAAAATCAGAGAAAAAGAAGCAAGAAAGAAGAGGAATAAAAGAAAAAAAATGAAAAGATACTTAATAGTGTGCTATTTTTTTCAAAGTTCTTATGTGATATTGGCAACAATTTGCTTATTCACGAACTCCTTAGAAAGCAAATATAAAAATTATATAAATATTTGATTTGTTACATAAATATATTGTTTTCTTCATCATTTACTTTTTTTTCGTGTACTAATATACTTTTTAAAAACCTATCCATTAATACTTCTAAATTTTCGGATATCCCGCCTAAATTGAGATTTGGTGGAAAATCTGTTATATTAGTAAAAATTGTATAGTTATATTTTGTTTCAAAATTTGGAAACTTTTTGAATTCTTCTGAACTTCTTGCTGAGCTTGCAATCTCGGAACTGTTGAACATAAAGGCTATCATTTCATTAGTAATGGTGATATTCAATCTGTTCAAATCATAAGGGTGATCAGGATTTTTAGTCTCAAAAGAGTCTAATTTAGGCATGTTAATGGTGGAAAAACCTTTCTCTTTAGGATTGTTTTTTAAGTTATAAAAAATATTAAAAAATTTATCAAAGGATTGCTTTAAGTAGTAGTTAACAATTCCAAAATAGCAAGGAATATTGAAGTAGTGATAAGTTTTTATGCTTTGTTCTAATGTGTGGGCAAATTCCGAAATTGTGTTAAGCTGGCTCACTTGATAGGTTAATTGGCTGAATACACTCTTTTTGATATGAGGTTTTCCTGAGAAAAAGAAATCGTTTATGTTTGTTGTGTTCACTCTAAGCTCACTATCGATGAAGGTTTTAAATTCTGAAAGAATTCCGTGATTCCTTTGAAATTCTGAACATTTTATTTCAAGCTCCCCTATTAGAAACTTTACCATATGGATTACATTGAAAAGCTCTATATTAATTATCCCTTCAGTTTTCCCAAATGAATCTAAAGGAGTCATTAATCCCAAATCTTCAGCATCCAAACACTTTGTGAAAAACTCTTGTTGCAGTTGAATAGAAACTTCAGGATTTATACTATACTCAGACTTTTTAGATGGAATTAGTTTAGTAGAGTTTGCTCTCAAATTTTCAGATCTGGTTCGATTCAAGTTATCAAAAAGGTTATAATTGCACTTTGAACAGTTAAAAAACTCAGAATACTGCTTTGTCAAAACTCTATACCTCTTTAATAGGAATTCTAGCAATATTTTGTTTTGATATATCAAAAGAGAAATCGATCTTGAAAGAAAAACTACCTTCTCTTTCAAGTTAGGTAGTCTATGGTGTTCATAAAATATCCATAAGTCATACAAACTATTCTCATTTGACATGTCAATAACTTCATCATTCCGAGCTGTTTTTAACTGATTAGCTCCACTATCTAATTTTACAATATACAATGAACTTGAAGTAATTAACTTTTGTTGGTAGTTTACCAGCTTTTTAATCTCCAAGTTTAATGTTTCAAGTTCTTTGTATAAATTCTCTATTTCCTTCTTATATTTCGCCTTTGCAATCTTTTCTCCAAAAGGACGTTTTGAAGAATTATTTGAAAATATGGAATCAATAAAAAGATCAACATCATTACTAAATTTGTTGAATCTTAATTTGAGAATATCAAACTCCGAGCTTATTGATGTTATTAAAGTAAGGATTTCCTTATTCTTAAAAGTATTTCCATGGTACTCTCTTGAAAACCTCTTAATCCAATTTTCAAATGATAAAATAAAGTCCAGCAAAACACCATATCTTGAACTTATATCTATTATCTTATCCACTATAACATTGTTAATTCTTCTGCTCTTGGAAAATATATTAGAGTCCAAGCTCAAACTATTTACACATTTCTTAAAGTTATCAACCTGATACTTACTAATATAAATTTCAAGCGTTGACAATACCAAACCCATCCAACAAAATGTCAGAAACAACACCCCACTATAGCTAAAACAACTCCTCATAAAATATAAAAATGCTTTTTTTTCCAAGTTTTAGCTCTTCGAACTTATATTTATTGATTTTTTCTATTATCTAGCAATAACTTCGAAAAATAATATCTTCAGCCTTATCAAATTATAAATTCCACCTTCCTACTTCTCAAAAACACCTTTAAATCCTTAATTATTACTTTACTTTGTTCCTTTTTTCCCCTTGTTTTTTTTTTCAATTTTTGACTTTTATTGTTTTTTCGCCTATTTTTATTATCATTCCCTGACCTATTTTCTAGAATATTGGCGCCTTAAATTTAATACCGGTATTGAATCCAAGCACTCTTTGACAATAAAGACTTAAAACAGAAAGTCTGTATGAAAACAAAGTGACAGGATTTATTTTAGGAGGATCGATTGGTTTTTGTACATTGTAAGAATAGTGTTGAAGACATCTCCAAACATCTGGTGAGACTTTAGCTTTGGAACTCAAATGGAAAATTAAAGAGGTCAATAGCATGAAATCGTTAAGGCTAATGTTAACTCAATGCAAATGGAGAACTTGCTTCTTTACTACTTTTATTGCTATTTTCTTTTGCTTTTGTCCTGGAAACCTTGCCGAGTCAAATATCCAGAATGAGCAAGATTTACAGGGCACTTACAAAACAGCATTATCAGGGTATTCTAACTATCCACAGCAGCACCAAATCAAAAAGTACAAATTCGATAGCCATGCTAAAGATCCAGTTTGTGGTTTACCTGAAGACCGAGAGGAGTACTTGGAACTTCTTTCTATTACTAGACAATTCGAGTCTACTCTTTTACATAAAGTACCTAAAGGAAAGCAACTAGCTCAACTTATCCCGGTTGAGCTTTTTTGTGCACAAATGCAGCCAATATTCAAATGTTTACTACGAAAAAACTCTTCATCAAGCTCTAAGGATCCCCTAAATCTTGTCTTCAAGACTGCTACAGGACATACTTGGCTGGTTTTTAAAGGTTCTCATGCTAAAGTGGTTGCAGGATATATGACAACTCCATCGCATGGGTATCACATTGAAGATGACTTCCAGTTTATTTCTGATAAGTACAATCAAGATGAACGCAAATTTTTGTATGTAAATAAGGATGAATCTTTACATTTTGATGCAAATTCTGAATTTTACAAATTTTTCAGACCTAGATCAACTCCTATGTCTAATCTAAGAGTATTTTTTCACGGAAATGGAATATACGACCCTGGTTGGCTTAAAGATGGAGTTACAATTCAAGTGGCTATTAAAGGTCAGATCATTAAGAACTTTCAAAGATGTGAAACTTTTTGGAATAGAGAAAAAGAGTATACTTTGTTTCTTTCCTCCTCTGAAGTTTGGAAAACCTACCAGGGATATGTTAACTTTGTCCCAGGAGTATTTTCATTATACTCAATCTCTGTCTCTATGACTGAAACTTCTAATACTAATTACTTAAAGGGTACTCATCAACATAATAAGGCCTTAAATAAACAAAATTTAGTTTCAACAAAGGTGGATTCTAGTCAGATTATTTCTGATTTGAAAAATAAAGACAGCCAATTTTCTGAGTTTTTAATCATGGAGTACTCTCATGGCATGAAGTTTGATGGGTTTAAAAAGAGACTTAAATCTTTAGCTGCAGTTTATTACTACAATCTTACTGATGACTGGCAGGGATGGTTCAATAATAGCTTATTCTTATTATATATGGGTTTTTCCATCATTTCTACATTCTCCACAACTGGTAGATATCTTTATATGCATTGTGATTTACATGGAGACAATATAATAATCCAAAATGTCCCAACTATGACTCTTTCCAGAATTTTATTTACTAATATGCAAAAACTTGTTAAACTTGAAAATGTTAAGATTATTGACCATATGTTTGTTTGGACACCAAAAAATATTGGAGATAGAAATCGATCAATTCCATGTACTGATTTACAAGAAATTTCTGTAACTGATACTGAATGTCTCACAGCTCTTTTAATTGGACCCTTATTCAGATGGGACTATTATCCGTTTGAGATTGCTCCAGAAAGCACTGAAAACTTTAAGATGATTAATAAAAAGGCCATGAACTTTTTTGAGAAAATCATGAACATTCCTGAATGGAGACGTATATCAAGTTATTATGTTGGGAAGGCCCCAGAATGGTATCGCCAATGGAAGAGATTTGGTTCCAAATCTAGTGATGTTTCTATTAACACTTTTAATGAACAATTTGAGGGTATTATGATGGTTTGTGATTATCTCCAGGATTTCATGGCTGAAAATGGAGTTTTACAAAGTTCACCTTGTGTCCAGTTCCATTCATATTTGAGAGGATATGCCATGTTTAACTATAGAGCAATGCGTATTGGATATTGTGTAAAGCAACACATTTCAGAGATTTTATCAAACTTAATAAATACTGAGACTAAAACAATCTCTGATCTTAGAATCTCTTATTGGGATTTGTCTAGACTTTCTCTTTTGTTTTATTGGAATTTGTTGGCAAGCAATATGGAGACATGTTTACCATCTCATAATGAAAAACAAGGTTTTGTATTCGAATTTGGAGGAGTGCAAGCTGTTTTAAAGAACGAAAAATGCTCTGTTATAAAGCAGTGTATACTAGAGGAAAATCGGATAAACAAAGCCAAGTTACAGAAATTGGATATTGTAAATGATAAAATAAATGGTTATAGTATTTATAATAAAGGTCCCAGCAAATCTTTAAAAAATAGTTACGATAGTTTTATGAAACATATAAGGAGCCAAGAATTTAAAAGTCAGAAGATTAACTCTTCGAACAGAGACCTCCAAAATCTTACTCTGGAAACAATTTCTGTATTGAATGGTGATTTAGGAAAAGGGATTTCAAATAAGGCTACTAATATTATTGAGACAAAAAATGCCTTTGATTATGAAGAATTTTTACTTGACAGATGGATTTTTAATCTTTATTATCAGTCTAATCTTTCTCTTTCTCTGACTCTTGTTGGTCTCAGATTCTCTTTTAGAGTTGAATCATCTTTTACTGGAAAAAGAGGACAGCTAAATACTATTTTAAAGTTTTTGAAGGGAAGCGCTTCTATTTTGGATATAACTTCGAACGGAACAAGAGATATGTCAGAGAATGAGATCCTACTTTCATGTGAGATGTTTTATAAAACTTACTATGAGATTGCAATTAAAAAATACATTGATGACAGTAAGAACAGAGAAAATTGCAGAAAGGTCGTAGAAGGAATAGAATCTGACCGAAATTATAAACGCTTTAAATCCAGTCCTAAATTTAATTACTATTCTGAAGATATTAAAAATTCTCTCTTTGAGTCTAATGGTCAACAGAAACTAAAGATAATTCATCCGAACTACATTTGTAAATACGACTTTCTTAATTTTAACACCAAAGCTTCGCCGAATAACGAGATAATTAGACAAGGCTTTTGCAATATTCTCATAAAGCCACTGAATTACATTGATATCAAAGTTTATTAGTTGATTTAAATAAATTTTACATGTAATTACTTTTTTTTTTGGTATTTTTAGTTTAAGTTGATCTTATCATCTTTCATTTATTTAATTATTGTAATTTATCTAAGTTTTTTTAGTTTTGGTTTTCAGTTATTTTCCTACAAATTAATTATTACGTGTAAAATTTCTTGCATGTACATGCAGATTATGTGGAATGCATGCAGAGTGGAGTTGAATTAGTTGAGAGATTTAGTAAAGAAAAAGAAAAGGAACAAAGAGAATTGGTAGAATATCAATAATTTAAGTTTCTTCCTTAAAAAAAAAAAAAAAGTAAATATAATCACAATTAACTATTGGTATATTTGATGAAAATAGCCTTGTGAATTTTTGAACAAAGTTTCTCACCGAAATTGAAATTTGAGAGATTAATGAATAAAAGTAAATGTTTGTAGTATTCTGCCAAACAAAACGATAAAAAGAGATGAATATCTTGGACAGATTTCTCTTGGTGAATTACATTAATTAAATAATTTGAAATGGAACTTGAGAAGTCCACTGAGATTTGAATCAGTTTTTTAGGAGAATTCATTAAATAATCCTTAACATTGAATTTAATTTGGTTCAAAACAAGAATAGATAAGGCAAAGTTGATTTTATTGGTAGAAAACAAGATAAGTTTTTCGGAAGAATTAAAAAAGAAGTCTCTGTCCTGACTGTCTTCTTGAATCCAGGTTTTGATCTTCTTTGAAAAGAACTTCTTTGAAACACAGGATTCTGTGAAACATGGTTCATAATAAAACTCTTTTAGTGAGTTTTCAGAAATAGACTTTGAAAATAAAGGATTTGATTTTATGCATTTGTTCCAAAGAAGTTTTGAACCAAATTGATCTTTGTGGGCCCAAGAAGGAAGTTTATCTGGTTCATTTTGGAATAAAATTAAAAAGTAATGACTTAGTGTTTCTGCAGCAGTTAAAAAATAAGTTTGGTTATGAATCATTTCATGCTGGTGAATACAAGTTCCAAAAGATAAGATAGAATATGGTACATAAAATAATTGTTTAAAGTAAACTTCAAAAATAATTGGGTTAGTCAAGACTTTAGAATAAGAAGATTTTAATGGAGGAAAAAATGGAATGTTTTCATTTTCAAATATTAAGGATTCCACCTGATTTATGGCTTCTTTGAAGAAATTTCCAACTCCCAAAACGGAGTCATACAAATCATCAAATTTATTTTGATTAAAAGTCCAATTCTTCCACCAAAGTTCTGAGCCTCCAACGTACTTTGGCTTGGTTGAATTAAAGTTTATGTCACGTTCAAATAACTTGATCAAAATGGAAAGTGGGTTAATATTTTTGGGAATATCTTGATGTTTGGAAAAAATATTATCAACATCATTCTTTAAGTTGTAGAGAAAGATTATCCAATTTTCAATGTCTCTAATTGATACTTCACCAAAAGTTTCACATACTAAGTTTGAAGAACGTCTTTTGTCATTTAAATAAGTAATGTATGTAAGATCAATGATCTTGACGTTTTTAATACTAGATGAGAGAATCTCAGAAATTGTTTCTTTAAATGAAACTTGGAATTTTGCTGTCGAAAATAAGTCATTTTCAGCAATCTTCCAATTTTCAATTAAGAGAATCAAATTATTCGCATGTAAATCGCAGTGTTGATATAACAGGCTTCCGGTAAATGTAAAGGAAATTAGAGCAGAAAAGAATAAATAAACAACATGAATCAGTGAAGCACTCCAAAGGTAGAAATTATCTTTTGAAAGCTTTGTCCAATTAATGACAGAATCTAGAACAAGAAAATTGGAAACATCAGAAAAGCTTGGACCGATAAATCGTTCCATAATTAAGTAAGAAGACCAAAATCTTCCTGATGGAATATTCCAGGGATAGTGAGATTCATAAACTGAAGGATAGAAAATGGAGTTTTCACAGTTTTTTATGCATACATGTGAAGATTTTTCATTTAATTGTGTAACCAAAATATTTCCACTAGAGCGATTTGTGTTTTTTAATATCCTTGGAGCTATAAAAATTTGATTTGGAGTAAATCTAATATACATTTCATTTTCAAGACCTGAAAGCCAAGTGTCCCTCTCCAGCCATTTCAGATTAAAATTCTCATCATTCCAGATCGTAAAGTATTCAGGATGAGTAGCCGACCTGAATGATTTAATGCAAATATGAATATCTTTTCCTGTCTCAAGTTGTTTGTATTTAAGATTTGTCTCAGATACTTCAGAGGACGATAGAAATACAACATATTCCTTGGATTTAAAGTTTTTATATGTACTAAAGAAGAATGAAGTTGAGTCTTGACTGTGAGAAAGTATGTTCTTATTTCCACCAACAATTTTCCCACATATAACATCACCATATGCACCACTAATAACGTTCCATTTATAAGAGTATTTTGAAGATACCCAAGGAAAGTTGACAACGGAAGAATTTGGCCTCCGATTGTATAAGAGATTGGGATTAGTAATATTATTAGAAACATCGGATAAAATCGAAGTACCATTTGACAAATTCTCCAAATTATCGGAAATCTTCTTAATTTCACATGATAACATTGGGGAAAAATATGAACAGAATGTATAAAGTTGGATATATTTTTCAACAATCTCTATTCTTTTTGGAAATGCCTTTAGGTGATTATAAAGCTTTAATTCATTTTCGATGGTTTTTACAACAAGATCAAATCTCTCTTTTCCCAAAAGTAGAGGAAGCAAAGAGATATAATTATTTCCAAATCCAATTTTTGCTTCAAATATTTCTGAAGTGGATATATTAGCCTTCAAGGCAGTCTCATTATTTAATTCAGTATCTCTTTTAATATTACTGCTAATGCTACATTCTGGAGAAATAAATGGTACTTCCAATTTCTTCAAAGATTTCTTTTTTGAATTATTAAGATTTGAGCTTACACTGCGCAATCTAAACTTCCCAAAAAATTTCAAAAAGCTGAGCTCAACACCTGATGGCCATTTTAACCCATATAATACTTTTCCAGTAAAGTCAGTCAGAGCCAGTATAGTAAGAAATAATGCAAACCAAAGTTTCCTATAATTAGGACGAATTCTAAGTGACATTTGCCATCTAAATTGCAGAAATTACTCTTAGAAATCTTTAAAATATTACTAATTTTAAATTAAGTTTTTTAAGCAAATGGTCCTTATATTCCCAAAGTTATACTTTTTTACATGAGGTAACGAATTTATCCAACTTAATAAAAAACATAATTTGGCGCCAAAAGTGCATTTTTTGTTCAAGATAGAAATAAAAGCAAATGAATAAATAAGATTAGAAAATATTTTAATGAAAATAAAGCCTAACAAATTGGATTTCAAATGAACATGAAAAGAAGAGATAGTTTTTGAAAGATTGAATAATTGGATTTTTTTTTTTTTTTAATAATAAATGACTAAAGTTTTGAGCAATAGTTTGCATGCAAAGTATGAATATAATAATAGGTATTGGATGAAGGATGACTCAAATAAGAAGAGTTTACTTTTTCTTTGGGTAGTTAAAATAAATGAAGTAAGAAAAATTTAATCTATTGAACACGATAAATGGTAATGTGAAACAAAGGGGGAAAAGCTGCGGGATAATTTAAGTCCAGATGATCTAAAAATTCGAAGTCTAGAATAAAAATTGCTGAGAAAAAAGAAAATTGATAGATAGGGAAAATAAAAATAATAAAACAAAAAAACTAGGGAATCTGGTTTAATTACCGGTTATTCAAGGTATCTAAGATAAATAGGATCATATAAATGAAATAAAAAAGTTGGAGAGTATTTTGTATAAAGAGATTCGCAAAAAAAAAAAAAAATTGTAAGAAGTGTGGGAGTGGTTTTAATTTTTTGAGTCTTGGTAGAACTTATGGAAAATGAAGTTACCCCAGTTGGTGCTTTTGCTACTGGGTATTTTTGGTGAGTATATAGGAAGAAATAATGGATTAAAAGTTAAAGGAGGCGTTACAGTAAATAGAGGTAGGATGTTGAGTAGAGGTAGAAGACCTACTTCGCCATCATTAAATACGAATAGAAGATCTTTACCATCAAGAAAGGCTTATCAACAACATTTATTGGAAGATTCAATGCTGGGAGGTGATGGATCTGACTTTATAAGTGATACAACTATAGGAGGAGTAATTAATGACAAAGGAATAATGTCCAAAGCTCCATCTAAGCTAATTACTAAGCCAATTTTTGCTCGTATCCAGCCAGAGGAAGCGGTATCAAAAGTCCAAGTAATTCAAAAGACCGTTCAGAGACGAGGAGGGAAAGTATCTTCAGTTGTACGTTCAATTTCTCCAAGGAGAATTAGTGTAATAGATTTAAATATGGGCCCACAGGAGATGGTGGATGTACTATCTCGAGAAGCGAGACAGATGGAGCAGGATAAAACTGGAATTAACAAAGGTTCTGCAGAGTTAGCATGTGCTAGATACAGCTTTATGTTTCATTGTGAAGTAGTAGAGATACCGAAAGAGGTACTGGAAAGAAGAAAGGATAAATACTTATATACTGTTAGAGATTTAAAAGATAAGAGATATGCTTGGAATACAGCTCAGGGAACCTATGGGAGAGTAGTTTTTGGTTATATTGAAGTTCCATCTGTAGATCAAAGATTTAAAACAGGAAATACGAAGTTTTCTGAATTTTACAAATTACCAGAAACTTTAACAGGAGTTAAAGTATTATTCCATGGTGGAGGAAAATATCCTGCAAAGTATCTTCTACCAGGAATGAAAGTTAGTGTGGTTATTAAATCTTATTTTAGAGGTATATACAAAATTGGAAGGATTGTTTGGAATAGAGAAAGAGAAATTCTTTATTCACTATCCAAAGAATTTTGGACAGATGGATATGGAGGTCCATTAACTCATACTCCAACGGTATTTAGTGTCCATTATCAGGACCCACAATCTGGTAAACAACAAGTATTATTTGAAGATAAAGAAAATAAAAGAGCATTAGTTTCAGAGTTACTTATTATGGAAAGGATTACTGGTCAAACATTTTTTGAAGTTTCAGTTTATCTTCAAGATTCCAAAATATTTAAATGGTTAGAACAAACAAATGCTTGGGAGCTCTGGAATAAAGCAGTTTACAAGTTACAATGGACTTTTAATCATATACTACAAAGTTTCATGGCTACTGGTTATTTATTATATATGCATTGTGATTTGAATAGAAGTAATATCTTACTTTCAATTCCACCACTAACTTTTGATCACAAACGAAATTTATTAAATATTATTTCTATGGAACCATGGGATGTCAGGGTTATTGATCTTTCTTTTGTGTGGGTACCAAATACATTAAAATCAAGAAACACTAGAAGTATTTGCAGTCAAGTTAACAAAATGGCCATCTTTTCTGATGCAAATTATCTTCATGTATGTATCATGGAACTTTTCAAAGTTCCCCAAAAAGATCTTCCAATTTCCAGGCCAACTCCGTTATATAAGGCTGTGCGAGCTAAAGCACTTGAGTTATGGGAAAAACTTGATTCTGTTAATGAATGGTGGGCTGTCGGAATTAATTTCATTGGACGAAATTCTTCAACTCACAAAAAATATAAGATTAGAAAACCTGAGTTGGGTGGAAATACATTCAATGAATGCCTTGAAGGTATTATGATGATGTCTGATATCTTTGACGCTGAAGCTAGAAAATTGGGAATTAAATTGCCATTCCATTCATTTTCACCCGAAGCTTATTTAAGGGGCTATCTCCATCTTTCATTCAGAATTACAAAACTCGGATTATGTTTAAGAACAAAGATTACAGAGAATTGGGAATCTATTAAGAATATCTTAACTGCCGTTACTTATTTTGATTTTTCTGTCATGGTACTTTCTTTGGATGCAAGTTTATCATCAAACAGGGACTCTAATGTATGCAAAATAAACATTCCAAAATCAGAAAAGCAACCAGGAAGCCATTATACAACAATTACTCTTTCAAACAAAATATGTCAGGAAATTAAGTCATGTATGGCAAGTGTTGAGGCAATGAAATCAATTCCAGGAGATGAGGTTATCAAACCAGCTATCTCTGTTGTAACAGCTGAAAATCACGAATCTGATCGTATATTAAATGAACTACGTTTTGAGAAAAAGTTTCCAGAATCAATACAAGCTTTAGGAGTCCGTTTATTTGGAAGATTTCAAGGAATTAACAATAATGTTGATTTAAATAAGAACCAGATTCTCAATTTTCTAACACAACTGGATTTAAATGCAAAAATTGGTACAATAAGATCCACTAATCCTTCTGAAAGTTCTTTATTGAGTGTATGTAATGATCTTGAAAGTAATGGTACTTTAAAGTCTACATTTGGAGCTCAAATATATTCATCTATAATATCTTATGCAAAGAATTACAGATTAAATACTTTTTGTCAACTCTTGTTTAAGCAATTACGTAATACTATGCTTTTTTCAAATCATTTAGATCCTGATTTTAGATCAGGTCAATCTTTAACAACACCAGAAACAGCAATTGTACGTAAATAACTTAAAGATTATTACTTTACGTGGGATTTATTTCTCAGGTAAGAACAAAAAATATTTTTATCTTAGGGGATTAAAACTCTAAGTATTAAGAAAAGTATAATTTCTAACTATTAATTTTTTCTATTTATTCATTGTAGAAACTACCAAGCAGAATGAAAAGCTATTTAAACGAAACAAGTCATTATAATCATCATACTATTAATATTCAGACTGAGAAACAACTTCCAAAATTTGATGAGCTTCAAATAAATACTCCTCAACTTAGAAAAGAAATTATTCAATCTCAAACAAAATTCGATCTAGGTAGACTTATTTCAAAAATTCAAGAAAAAGGTAAGTTTAACATTATGTCTTGGGTGGGAAACAAAGACTCTCAAAAATTATATATTCATAACTGATTTATATTCTTTATTTTGTTATTTAGGAGCTTTAGACAAAAAATTGGATGAAAAAGTTTACTTGTTTTCTTCAAATAAAAAGGAATGTATTAAGGTGGAAAATTTTAAACAATTAATTGGTTCAAGTAAAATTGAGGTTGGAGATTATTTAAAGAAAAGATTTATCAAGAAAATTAATGGCTTAATTGATTCTGTAGGAGAACAAATTTTAAAATATAATAGTATTCAGCTCTTGTGTTCATCATTTACTCAACTTTTTGAATGTAATATGAGGTCTAAAGCAATGATTGATAATTCAAAAGATAATTATAGAGAAGAATCAATATTGGAAGTAAATGAACCTGGAAATACACAAATTATTCTTTGGGATGAAATTCAAGATCAAAATATTCAACTTCAATGGAAAGTATTAAGTGGTAAATATGGTTCAGTAACTTTTTTAGTGGCTTTAATTCCTAAAGTAAGTAGTGAATATTTGATTAAGTCTCAAGTAATGGCAAATTCATGTAATATGCCATTAAAAATTAAGAATATAAGAGCCTGGTTCCATGGGAGTTTATATGTAAAACCGGGATGGGTTCCAGAAGACATAAAACTATATTTAGCTGTAAAAAGTCCATTCAAAGGAGTACATTCAATAGAAAAAGAAATTTGGGAGAGGGAAAATTTTCTGAGTTTATTATTAAGTCGAGAAATATTTTCAATGGTTTTGAAAGATGGAGTAATAGAACAATATCAATTATCACCTAGTATTGTAACTTTCCACCATAATGTAAAAGATTCAAATAAATGTCCATCACACTTTTTTATAACAAACTCAAAAAAGAGCTTAATTAAAATAAATGATTTATATAGGCCATTATTTTCTAATTACATGTTCATGGAGTATATTAATGGGTTTCCTTTGGAAACTATATTATATTATTTAAGAAGTGAGGATATATTTTTATGGTTAAATCAAGAAAATAGTCAAAAAAGGTGGGTATTTTGGCTTGAAGCAATTTTAAACTTGTCTAAATTGGTACTACTATCAATTCAATCATTTTCATCCACAGGATTCTTTCAATACTTTCATTGTGATTTAAATTTTGGGAATATTATTATTTTAAAAGAAAACATTAGTGAGAGATTATTTGGAATAAATAAACTTTTTCAAGATAAAAATAATCATTTTGATAATCTGAAATTTATTGCAAATATAGGACAGGAATCAATTCGAATTATTGATTATGCCTTTACTTATGTACTTTATCATAGGGAAAAAGAAGATGAAATTTCAGATTTTAATGATTTTTTAAAACAAAAAGGAATTTACAAAGCAACTGGAGAGAGAAATTTTGAGAATATTTGTAAGAAAATGATCAAAGCAGCACTTTTTAATGATCCAAATTATATTTCAATTTTGATTTCAGAGTTACTTATTGGGCATTCTTCACTTTTAAATAAATCTCTATTATACCAAAATCAACAGGATGATAATAAAATTTCATATAGTATAACAGAAATAAATGATCCTTCATTGAAATGGAAAGATCAATCAAATCAATTTATTAATTTATTATATAAATTTGATTCAATTTTAAATTCTGAAAAAGAATGGGAGATAATAGCTCAGGAATTTGTTGAAGATGAAAGTCCTATTAAACGTTGGATCAGTAAGAAAAGTAAATATAGAAACCAAAGAAATATTCTTTCAAGTTTTAATCAAGGTTCTGAAGCATATATAATAGCTTGTGATAAATTAAATCAAATAATTCAAGTTGCAAAAAAAACTGGTTTAATAATTCACCAAGACTTATTAAATAATTGTTTATCATTTGAATTCTATTTAAGATCTTACTTATTTATTCCTTTTAATATTGCTAAGATTGGTTCATGTTTATATTCAAAAGCTAAGAAGAGTCAAAAATTTGCTTCTTATATAAGCTCAGAAAAATCGAATACTATAAAAAGTTTCTTTCAAATGGCTTCAATTACTATAAGTTATTATATTTGGATTACAAATAGAACAAATAAAAATAACAATATATCATCTATTTTGTTTGATTTTTTTCATGAAATTAAGAATGAATGTAATGATGAACAATTAAACTTGGAAAGTTCTGAAATTCTAAGTAATCTTAAAAATATCGATCCCATGTACGAGAAAACCAAAAATATTTACAATCTAATTTACAAAGATCAGATGGAATTCTTAAATAAAAATATTGTTCAAAATAATTTAAGTATTCCTTTTGTTTTATTATTACAAAGAGCATGGTATAGAATTCAAGATTCTACTGAAATCCTTCAAAATCAGATTCCTCTTAATGTCAACGAAAACTTACTGAACTCTTTAATTGAATTCTTTAGTGATATTCAATTGGCCTTCTCTAATTCTATTGATCCCTACCAAAAAGGTAACAATTTACATATCAATGATTCAACCATCCTAAATATTTGTATGAATAACATCAACCATTTAAAATACACTATTTTCAAAGATTCAGCTATAGGTGATTCAGACTTGTGTAATTTGATCATCAAACCCCTTATTTACACCTCCCCATTTAAATCTTAACTGTAATTCAAATGGAGATATGTAAATACTATTATATTATTAATCTATTTAGAAGTAAAATTAACCTTGAAATAAGTAACCAAATACTTATTCCCATTCCCCCCCCCCGCCTTTTTATGTATGCATGCACTGTAATATATTATTAGTTTTATAAATATTAAATTTACTTTATACTGCAATTTACTCTATATTTCTACTTTTTACTGTTTTGATTAATCGCTTAAGAAACTACAGAGAAACACATGTTTATATTTTCACATTCAGATAAATGAATTAATACTACTTAAATTTTCTTTATTTTTCTTATTTTTAACCTTGAATGTTTTTATTTTAATTATTTATTTACCTTTTAATGTCAAAATCAAGCGGTTTACCACACATACCCCCAACCTATTTTAAACTTTTGTTGCATGTAAAACCCCGCTCGAATTTAATTTCTGAATCGCATTAATAATAAGATGTTTAATATGTTCATTATCACTAGATTTAACTTTAAGCTCAGATTCTGAGTATGAGTTTTTGATATTCTCATAGTATTGTAGGGTTTGCCTCAAAAGTGTTAATAATAAATCGTATTGTGGTTGTTTTTGTTTAGTGATTGTATGACTACTATTTAAACTTTCATCATTTATTTCTTCATAACTATCATTTGTTTTGAGAGTTTCTTTTTCATCTTTGTATGTATTTAAATTCGCTACAATTTCCTTCATTGAATCGAAGATTTCCATATCTTCTTTTTCAAATTTAAGAGGATTTGTATGGTTTTTGTTTTTTAATTGAATAATTTCCTGGTACAATGACTCCATCCGTTCCATGGCTTTTCCTATACTCGGAATCACAGGAAATGAATTGTTTGAATTTGTATCATTATGAATGGTTGTGCAAGTTGAGTCCATTGAGCTTAGTCTAAGAAAAGAGTCAATAGTTGTAGTAGGGGTGGTTTCATCAACTTCGTTATTACTTTCAAGTCCAGAAAATTCATTTTTTATCAAATCTATCTCAATTTGATGATTATCATTATTTGGGGAGTTATTGCTAATATTATCAGAATGAGAGTCATTAATTGAGGACTTCTCACTACTAACTTCTTTTTCAGCATTATAATTTTGATTATTTACTGATATATCTTTTCCTTCTGACTCTTCAATGTTTAAATTGGATTGAATATCATTAGTAACTATGTGAATTTCTTCAATATCATCAGCATTTCTACTTATGTACTCAATCGAATCGTAGATTAATTCATTACTCTGATAATGGTTGCAATTCATCATCTTTTTCTCAACGTCTTCCGAGCTCTTTTTGAAAGATAAAACAAACTTAGAACTTCTTCTTGGGAATTTATCTCCAATCATATTACGTAATTTATAACAATTATATACAATCTTTGATTTAATAGAACTTGAAGCAGAGACAAATCTTTTTGAAATATATGAACATTTTGTATTTAACTTATAAGAAGCTTTATTTGAAACTTGACTAACTTTTCTTTGTATTTTAGCTTTTCTAGATGTAGACAATATTTGAGTTTTGTTGAATAATCTTATTTTTGATAAACTTAAAGATGCTTTTGTTTTTCCAACATTACTACAGTTTGAGGTAAGTCTAGAAATACTTTTATGGTAAACATCATCATTACTTTTACTATCCTTTGTTTTTTCTGATCCCATTTTCATCTTTATTTTCATTCCAATCTTTGAAATCGACTTTCTTAAACTGGAATATCCTTTTTTAGATTTATCTTTGATTTTTTCAAACAATTGTTTAATTTTTTTTCTTTTCTGTGTACTTTCAAATGGATTTTCATATTCATCTTCAATTTCAGAAATTTCTTCCATTAATGACATCCCACATTCAATACTTGTTGTACCTGCTCTAAACAATGGAAAATCCAATTTTGTTAGCTGATTTCTATTTATAACTTTATATTGTTCTTTAGTAGATAAACATAAACTCCCACCACAACTTATTTCTGACATATTTGAGGCTGTCAAATCAGTATTATCAAATAATGGTTCAGAATTCATTATTCCCTAATTATTCCAAAACTTGTTTGATAGAAGAAAAAAAAATTTCAGTATTTATGTATAATAGGTGTGTGTTTTTGACTATAATATATATATTTTTAATATATTTTCTTTATCTTTTCAGAAGTGGTTGTGAGGGAGAAAATATACTTTAGATATTCCTTAACTTGTCTTTATTTTTCAATTTCTCCCTAATTACCTTTTTTTTATTATATATATATGTATTACACTTATTTTTCCTAGATCTTATTTTTTACTTTTTTTCTTCCTCCTCACACTCTTTCTCTTGAAGATACTTTTGTGTTTAATAATAATATTAAAATCTATTATGTAGATTTGTTGATCATAAATGATATCTTTTTTTCCTCTATATTTGAAAAAAAAAAAAAAAAAAAATTGTAAAAAAAAATTGTTTTTTTTTATTATTTATCTTTGTAACTTATATGTTATTTTTCCTTTCCTCTTTTATTTTATTTATTTTTTTACATTTGTGTGGATACCTAGGATGGCGCCAAACCTATGGCGCCACAGTTCTACGTAATTTTGCATGTAAAATGATGCATTAATAAAAATTTTCAAAAATGATGGAATTAGAGTGGCTACAAGTGGAGAAATGTAACATAATTAATAAAATAGAAAATGATTAGTGATTATAATTATTTTAGTCAATGAATAAGATGAAAAAAGAATTGGCAGAATATACCACTAGTAGTCTTGTAAAAATGATGTGTTTAAAAAGTAGTATTAGTGCTAGTACTCTTGTAGTAATATTATGTTGCAGAATTACAAATAGTAATTGCAACTGTTATCGTTTCGTTGTTTTAAAAACTATAGAAATTGTGTGGTCACAGCTCAAACGTTACTTCTCCAATTCCTATTGTTTGTCTCATCTATACATTACATGCAAAAAAAGAAACAAAAAAAAAGTTTAAGACCAAAAAAAAATATCTTTCTAATAATGATTTTAGTAGATGACTTGTAGGAGTAAGTCGGATATCTAAATTCCAATGTCTCACTACTCTACAAGTCGGAAAAAAGTTATTCTCAAACAAACTTTAGAAGAGGAAGGAAACTTAACACGCAATAGCAAATCTTCCTTTGTATTTTTATTAGTAATTCTAGTTTATTATGACAAGAAGTGGAGAAATCTACGGAAGTAGGTATATGTGCGAATTAGTCAAAACGCCAACTAGACACCATTTCCTTCTCTATTCCTCTCTCCCTATATTTTTCCTTCCACTTAAATACCCCAAGAATAAACTAATTCAAACCTAAAAAGTCTTTTACTTGGGTGGATTAATGTCACTTTGTTTTGGGTCTGGAGTCTTCCACCCATCTGGAATTGGAGAGAATGGGTCAAGTCCACATGGTCTCGGCAACCAACTTGTACCAACACAACGTCGAAGATCATCATTACAGTTCTTTTCAAAGCATCTCTGACATTTAGTGTTACAAGTGGATGTGAGACAGGCTGATTTACACTTCTTACTACCGCAAGTTGCTGATTCCTTGTAGCAGCTAACGCATTTCTCTGAAATTTCAAGATTTCTCTCACCGAAGGTTTTACTTTGTATGCACCTAGAAGTCTTTCCTCCATTACCAAGGGATGATCTTGCACATACAATTACAACATTTTGGAATAAAGTACTTGTTTCACCGAACAAAATGTCCAAGTCTGTTGGATTCAAGCAATTACCAGTGCTTTGTCTCGTTATTGTTGGTTCTGGAGTGTTGAATGAGGTTACAGAGATAACTTCCATTAGGCTCATAAACAAACCCTCATCCATACCTTCTTCTGTATCTGGAGAGTTCTCTGAAATTGTCTTAGTGGTAGTGCTAGTTGGTAAAAACTCCTTTTCATTATTTTCATTTTCATCTGTTTTCAGACTTCTTAAATTACCTCTATTAGTTTCAGATATAGTAGGCTTTGTTGAACAAACTGTTTGTGGGGTTGTAGTAGAAGCAGTAGTGGTAGTAGTTGTGGTAGTGGTAGTGGTAGTAGTACTAGTACTTGTAGTACTCTTGGAAGCATTTTTATCAGCACATACTTCCCAGCTTGATTCAGTCAATCCTTCATTCTCACATTTACCGTTCATGAATTCACATGAATTTCCATAAATTTGTCCATCACTACCACAAATCGGAGCATATCTTTTGTTACATACTTTATTGCAATCCTCATTTCTTTTACGTTTCAAAGAACCTGGGGAAGATATACCATGAACCTTGTGAGGAGATTCCATATTATCTTCAGTGGTAAGGCACTTACCCCAATGAACGAATTCAAGATCCTCATTTTCACATTGAGCATTTCTAAAGTGAGAAATATTTGTGTATGTTACTCCATCTGATCCACAAATATATCTTAAATCCATAGTTATGAAAGGAGTTACACAGTCTGGGCCTCTAACTCTGTCAAATGGTCCCAAAGGAAGTGTCTCAAAAGGTCCAGATTCTTCAGTGAAGATAATAGCCATAATCTTATCAGCATCATTACTATTGCAAACACCCCAATGGAGGAAAGTTAGATTTTCATCATCACATTGAGCATTTCTGAAATAGCACTCATTTGCATAAACGGCACCAGTACTTGAACAGATTGGGTCATAGTATTTATTGCAACTTTGTTTGCAATTTGAACCTCTTTTTCTGTCAAAAGGCCCTAGGTCTGGTTTAGTGATTTTGGGAGGATTTTCCTTAGATTCTTCGTTATCAAATACTCTGGCCATATAATGTTTTATTGAAGGATCATCACACATTGCATTTAACAAATGGCAAACATTTTTGTACTCCTTTCCATTACTTCCATACACTGGTGAGTCCAAATCACTACATAATTTTTTGCAATTATCCCCTCTAACTCTATAAAGGTAATAGTTGTATCTATAAAACTCGGAAGTTACCTCCTGAACTGGGCTCTGAGTTTTCCTTTCCTCTGGTTTTTCATTACATATTCCATAATGAGCGAAACCAAGATTCTCATCATCACACTGAGCATTTCTAAATTCACATGGATTTGGGTATGTATTACCATCTGTACCACAAACCGGGTTATACTCTCTTGTACATGGAGTTTTGCATCCTGGACCTCTCTTTCTATTAAAAGGACCTAATGGAATCATTGTCCCAAAGTATTGCTCATAATTCTCAAAACATACTCCCCAGTATACAAATTCAAGATTTTCATCTTCACATTGAGCATTTCTAAATTGGGAAATATTATTATAAGTCTTTCCGTCAGAACCACAAATTGGATAGTAGTTAAAGTCAACATAAGCAGTTACACAGTCTGGACCTCTGACTCTATCAAATGGACCAAGTGGTTTTAATTCAAAAGGACCAGATTCTTGGGTAAAAATGATTCCAGTGATCTTATCAGCATCATTACTATTACAAACACCCCAATGGAGGAAAGTTAGATTTTCATCATCACATTGAGCATTTCTGAAGTAGCACTCATTTGCATAAATGGTACCAGTACTTGAGCAAACTGGGTCGTAGAACTTGGGACAATTCTGCTTACATTTTGAATCTCTGGGTCTATCCAAGCTTCCCAAAGGTTCTCTCTTTTCTGAATTATTGACTTGAGTTTCATCCACAGTGCATTCACCCCAATGTGCAAACTCTAAGTTTTTGTTATCACATTGAGCATTTCTGAATGATGAGACATTCTTGTAGGTCTTTCCATCCGAACCACAAATCAAGTTCAACTCATAATCTACGTAGGGAGCAATACAATCTGGACCTCTAACTCTATTAAATGGACCTAATGGAGGTCTTTCCTCTGGTTCTTGGGGCTTAGTTTGTGTTACACATTCTCCCCAGTATTTGAACACCAAGTTCTCGTTGTCACACTGAGCATTCCTAAAGACTGCAACATTTGAGTAAGTTTTTCCGTCAGAACCACAAATTGGTCTGTAGTCTGCTGTTACGAATGGAGTTTTGCAATCTGGACCTCTTTTTCTATTTAAAGGACCTAGAGGTGGCTCCTGGTAGTCATTTGTTGGTTTCGTGGTAGTTGTAGTGGTAGTGGTAGTGGTAGTGGTAGTGGTAGTGGTAGTGGTAGTGGTAGTAGTAGTAATAGTAGTGGTAGTAGTAATGACAGGTGGGATAACACCTTTTGGTAAGTATGGACGCTTGTAAACAATCTGTTCACGGCCCATAATAGTAGATGAAGATCCTTTACATCTTCCCCAGTGTTTGAACTCCAAGTTCTCGTCGTCACACTGAGCATTTCTAAAGATAGAAACATTTGAGTAAGTATTTCCATCTGTACCACAAATTGGATTTAAATCAAAAGTAACAAATGGTGTCTTGCAATCTGGACCTCTTTTCCTATCAAAAGCACCCAATGGAGGAATCTTGGGATCAGGAGTTGTCTCAGTTGGAACAGAAATTGTAGTATTTCGGAGAGAATATGGTGGGAAAATATATACTGGAGATGAAGAATTAACAGTAATATTACCTACCGTGTAATCGTATCTGAATTTTTCAGCACATGTCGACCAGTTAATAAAGTGACCAGCCAAAATGGTCAAAATTAAATTCAAGGAAACAATCTTCCCCATAATATATACTTATATAAAAAAAAAATTACTTTACTGATAATTCATTACCTTGGAAAATTTATTGTATCTGCGTTTCTCCTCTAACCGGGTTAATTTTTATTACTTACTTTATTTATTTATGGTTTCTTTGGCCTTTCCCTTAATTAAATACTTATTTCTTTAAATATATACCTATTAGTACCGGAGATTGAGCGCCAACAAGTGAGCGCCTAAAGTCGAGTATACGAGTATTTAAAATACGAGCGAAAAAAAATAAAAAGTGATTATGAAGATAAATATTTTACCTATTATGAACTTTTTTTCTTTTCAGACAAATTATGGTGTCAATATACAACCCTTTTTGAAAGGGAAATAACTTATAGGAAAATCTAAGATGGCTTAGATATAGGATGAATAACTCCGTAATAAGCACTAGTGATAAATACACAAAAAACTTAACTCAAACTTTGCATAGGAAAAGAATTAAGTAAAATGATTAGAAAAACATTTTAGCTAGACCATCACCTTTTTCCTTAAAAAACGGTTATAATATTAAACTAAAAAATTAAGGTTTTTTTTGGAAAGAACAAATTTAAGAAAATTGAGTGAATGGTGTATAGTTCAGCTCCCGTTGCCATTTTTTGAGTCAAATGATAATTTACTTGGGGTCGCTCACTTTGAAGTTGTCAGGAATTGGATCATGGGGGCTCAAACCACAAGGTAAGGGCATCCAAACAGTTCCTGCACATTCGTTAAGCACCTTAGAACATTCCCTAGTTGAACATCTCTGACATTTGGTAACACATGTGCTGAACAAACATTGAGAAGCACAATGTTTAACTCCACAATGGGCAGTTTTTGCCCAGCAATCATTACACTCATCAGATAATTTTTGACCATTAAAACTAAGTTTTGAGATGCACCTAAAAGTGTTTTTGTGGCTCCCAAGAGATTTCCTGGAGCATTTTGCAACTGCATCCTGGAACTGACTTCTGAAGGATCCAAAAATGATTTCTACATCTGAAGCAAGTTTTATACATGCTCCAGTGGAAGAACTGTTAAAGGGAGGGGCTGGTGTTGTTACAGTAGTATTTTTCATAGCAGCTTCAATTAACTCCCAAGGATCTGATTTCAGAGTCTTATTAATAACTAAATTATTAGAGAGGAATCTCTCTTCATTAGAATTTTGAAATTGCTGAATCAAGTTAGTCAGATTCCTTCCTTCCTTGTACTCCTTTTTAATGACTTCCAAATTTCCAAGAATAGATTCTGTCTCAGAAACATTTAAGTAATTCTCATTCAAAATTATATCTGATGACTTAACATCCTGAATTAAAATAATAAAAGCTGCAAAGAATAATAGACTAAAGTGAACCTTCATTTTTTTTTCTTTTTTTTTCTCTCAGTAAATTAATTAAGTTTCTTAACTTTGTTTTAATACGAAAAGGTTGTGAATAATTTACATAAAGTATTTTACTAACCACTGAATAAACTATTTTCAGCCACTAACCCTTTTAATTAATATCTATACTTAGAAGCTTTTTTCTCCTAGAATAGAATATCAAACTTAATAACTAAAAAATTCTGGATATGAAATCAAATGGATCAGATCATGTCACTGATTAATGGCAAATATCTTTACATGTATTGTCCATATGTCTATCTCTGTTATGTCTATTGGATATTTCTGGGTGTAATACTTTGTGGGGAATTTGCATGTAAAAAGAAAATTGCCAAAAAATGGCGGGAATTTAAATGTCCCTTAGTTGAATAAGTGCAGATAATAATTCCAACTAAAAAAATATATATGCATGTAGAAACACATATTTATCTCTTTACTATTAGGAATAAACACTATGAAATACAACGAATTTCTCATGATAAGGTTAAAAGGAAATCTAATAAAAAATGAGTGTTCTGATAAATCATTTTAATCTTTTTTTTTAAAAAATAAAAGAAAAAAATTAGGTGAATTAAATCAATTTCTTTTAAAATTCTCTATAAGCACTACTCACAAAAAACTCTGTTGTCTTCAATACTAACCGGTATTAAATCTTAAAATAATTTCGAGATAGAGCGACCCCCAACATGGCGCGCAAACCAATAGGCGCCACTTGATCTAATGAATTAATAGATTCAGTATAGGAAATAGATCGGAAAATGAGGGAAGGCTCATTCAGTGAAGGAGATTGATTGATTAATTTTACAAGGGAATTATAAAATCAGTTTGTTAGGAAGAAAAGGAAGGTAGAGTTTAAGAGAGTGAGTAATAGGTTCTACCAGGAAAATTGTTAAGGGAAACTAGAAAGATATAATAGGAAGAGAAAAAACGAATAATATATCTATAAATATATACAAAGTAGAGAATGAAGGCAATTTTTGCTAGCAGAGCCAAGTTGGCATGGCTTTGTGTTTTTTTGGTACTCATATTTTTGGGTGTTACTCAAACTTTGGGATCAAGCCATGGTAAGACCACAACAGATAAAGGCATTCAGACTGGTTCTGATGCCTCAGAAAATAGTGCAACTGAGGAGGCAGATTCAAGTGAACCAGATGTTGCTGAAAGTTCTCCAGATGTTTCCATCAATTTGATGGACCCACATGGAGACTTCCTTCCACCAAAGGATATTAACCTGAAAGAACAAGCTATTGGCACTGATGATGGTCATAAAGTGAAGATTCCAAAGGCACCAAAATTCCAGGGCAATATAGAAGAGGTTTCTGAAGGGGAGGGTGTAATATCTCCATTTGATAAACAAACAAGCACTGATGATTTAGATCTTGTTCAATTTGAGAAGATAAGTGAAGGACCATTCGTCTACACGATGCCAATTGACTCCGATAAAGCAAAACTCAGAGATATCAAGCAATTACAATACACTGTCGAACCGGAAGTAAGCCTTGATGAATATGAGGTTGGAAAAGATGTAGCTAAGGATAGTGAGTTCTACTACGCACTTAAGGAGAAGGTTGCTGGTGAGAAAAAGGTGCTTTCTGAAGTACTCAAGGTAGTTTCCGATGCGGAACAGTATCGTAAATCTATTGACTCTAACATTAAATCTTTAATTTTGTCGGTAAATCAAATTAAAGATGCTATTCATCAGCACGAGGAACAACTTCTTAACATGCAAAAATCTGGATCTGTTCCAAATGTCTCCATCGTCGCTCAGGAGGATGAAATTGCAAGGCTTAAGTTAAGATACCAAGAAGCTTATGGACATTTTATGTCAGAAAAGAGGAAAAGAGATAGTGCCATAGATCTTTCTTTCAAGGCCAAAAAGCAACAGCTTAACATTGAGGAAAGAATTAAGCGTACTGAAGAAAAGATCAAGCTTCTAGAATCTCAGTTAGATATTCATGAAGATCCTAGTGTTCCAATAGAACCACTGGAGATACTTAAAGAACCAGAAGTTGAGGTTAAACAGAAATACATTCAGGACGAATTATCACTCGCACCAAGACGTTCTGATATTGATCTTTCTCCAGCTAGTTATGATGTTTCTCATGGTTTGGAAGCAGAAGAATCCACTGGTGCTCCTGATGAGTCTCCTCCTCCTCCAGAAGTTTCTGTAGAGAGACCAGTTAAATCTCCATCTATGCCTCCACCTATTTCTGAGATTTCTCCTATTAGTCCAAAGGAAATCTCATCCATTCCAATTACTATTGATACTAATATTATTTCACCTAAATCCAAGTTTCAGGTATTTGATATTACCAAGTTCCTCAAGTCTGCTCTTTCTAGTTTTATTTCAGATCAGAATCAACTTAATCAAAGTGCTTCAGCTCTTGCGTCAAAGATTAACATAATTAACTTTGCAATGAGTTGTATCTATGAGGTTGATTTCTTATTTAAACAAATTAATCTTAGAAATGCTTCAGTTTACAATTCATCTGATGCAATTAAGCTATGTAGACAAGTATGGAGAGAATCATTTACTGAAATGGTCAGATTCTATAAGACATTTACTCCATCTACTTTAAGAGCAATCTTCAAGTCAGCAATTCAAGCAGATCAAGAAGCAGTATCAGTTCTTACAAATTACTATGTTGAGGAGCAATTTGTTGCTATTGTAAAACATGTTGATGTCTCATCATTAGCATCCTGTAAATCTGTTGTAACTCAGCTCTTTAAGTCTGCTGATTTCCAACAGTCCCTTATTAATTCAATCTGTCAAAAGTATTTATACTATATTCAAGAGTATTCCAACCTTATTTCTGACGGAGAACAATTAAAGCTTTTTGCTGCAAAACTTGCTGTATATGGATCAGCTCCATATTCTTATGATTCTGCTCCTTTTTCAAACACCAATGATTTGGATCAGATGATCTCCGAGTTTGATTTTAGTTCTCTTACTTCATCTTCGTCATTCTATGCTCAATGTCTCAAGATATTCTCTTCTAGTTATGGCCCAGAAAGTATCTATGGTCTTAGTAATAATGCAGTGCAAAGTGTCTGTACTTCTGCTCAAAATGCATTCAATAAGGCAATGCCACATGGAGTTGAGGTAGTCATCTTCTCATCTAAGCAGTTCCCATTGGAATTAATTCCATTATTATCAGGTTCCACAACAATCTCATTCTATGGTTTGGCCCTAGCCGGTACTAGTGAGGTTCTTCTCCCAAAAGATGTTTCTGTGAGTTCTCATGGATCATTACCACCACAGAGTATCTCTGATCTTTCTCCAGCACTTCAAATTTCTCTTCAAGCTCTTGATGAGCAGTCAAAAACTCAAAGGTTTCTCCAGGAACAGCAGCAAAGTATCAGCAGAATCTTGGAGAATCCACTTTCCTCATCTGATATGCACAAAATTGTTAATGTTATTCAACAACTTAACGAGAAACAAAAGGCTGTTGAGAGTGGAATTATAGCAGCTTCTCCAATTCCACAGATTCAAAGTGTTTTGATTACTATTCCTGAGTCAAAACCAACCTTGGAAGTTTCAGCAGGTGCTTCCATTGAGGTTTCTGTTGCAGGTGTCTTTATTGAAAAGATTTCAAATCAACAAAATGTACTCTCTTCTCAGATTGCTCAGTTGGAGAGTATTCTCAGAAGTCCTTCTCTTTCCCAGGAAGATAGATCTCTCACAAAAGAGATCCTCAAGGACACTGAAAGCAGAAGATCTGAGTTGGCTTCACAGCTTGAAGATGCAATTTCTTCAATTCCAGCTTCAGTACCAGCTTCAGTTCCAGGAATTTCAGATTCACCATCAATCTCTATTTCTTCAATTTCAATTTCACCTTCAGCCTCTGACAAGACAGTCTTTGATTTATCAATTTCTGAACTTAAAACTCTCTACATGGATATCTCAAATTCCAACAAGGAATCCCAGAAATTGGTTAAGAGTATCAGCTTGTTTCCAATTAGTGATTCTTCTCTCAAGAATGATTATGAATCTCTTGCAAAAAAAACTCAGAAAGTGTCATCCAAACTTTCCAAGGTAGAAAAGAAGCTCCAACAGCCAAACGTTTCATTCAAATCAAAGGATGAAATAGAAGAATTCAAGAAGCTTCTTCAGAAGCTTCTTCATGTTTCTCGTCAATTGAATGAGAAGCTTAAATCAGTTGATAGGAATATATCCGGAAATACTCAATCAATGAATGCTACTCCATCTCTTTCTCTCTCCCCTATTCTCACAAAGCCAGCTCTTTCTCAGACACCACTTCCAAGCAGTACCTCAAAAATATCATCTCTTCTTGTTAAGATTCAACATATCCAGAGTCAGATTGAGAAGTTTTTATCTATTCTTAAAGAAAGAAGACTTCAAAAGAATGAGAGGAGAACTTTAAAGAAATTTTTTGCTGATGTTGATCCAAAGCTCACTCTTCTCTATAAGCTTTTGGTCAAGATTGCCTCTTCTCATAACCGTGCTCAATTGGGAGATTTTGCCTCAAGATACCTTGAACAAATCATAGATGTATACAGTACACAAAAGATTCTTCTGAAGAACTATTTGATTTTCTCAAAAAGACCAGAAAATTCAGCTGATGGTGTTAAGATCAACGGTATGATATCTGATATTGCTGATAAGCAATCTCATATTGATAGAATGTTTTCTGAGGGTTCTCCAAGAAAGTCGTCTACTCCACAAAAAGAAAGTTCTGTCTCCGAATTCCATTCCGTATCCACCCCTACCTCCAGAATTGTTGAACCTGAGCTTCTTAGCAAACCAGCTCCAGGATATCAGAAGCCAAAGAAGCTTGTTCTCCCAGCCATTCCATATTTCAGAAGACCAGCAGTTCCAAAAACAAGAATAAACTACTCCAACGTAAGAAGAGATGAAAGAGGAGTTCCAATAACCTCTGGTCCAGTTGTTGGTTCAAAGGTTGGAGAAAAGGCTCTAGATTATGTTGAGAAAGCTTTAGTTAGACAGAAGACTTTAGGTTTATATCCAGAAGGATACGTAATTCCAGGAAGTGCTGCAAAAAAACCAGTAAGACCTTCCAGAACTCAAAAGACTGAGGTTTCAAGTTCAATTAAGCCTCAAAACAGAGATACATTTTGTAATAAATTGGGATATGCTTCAATGACTACTAGAGGTAACCAAATTGCTTACAGACTTTACCTAAAAGCATCGAAGATTCTTCCAAGAAGTTCAGTTTGTACAATGGATAGAAGAAATGCATGTGATATTTCATCTTCGATTCAGGATACAAAAACAGCAAAAGAATGTGGTAGAATTCTTTACCCAACTTTACTTAGACTTGGTTACTCAGTTTCACAAAGTAGAGTAGAAAAGGTCTGTGCTGCTATAGGTGTTGATGGAAAGGTAGAAGGATGCTCTTCTTTGAACAGTTACAGAACCTCTTCTTCTTATAATTTTTCTCAACTAGAAGAAGATAGAGCCAGCAAATTATATTCATTGTTACATAAGCTCCAAATCTCTGGTACTCTTCCACAACCAGGAATCTCGTTCCACTTAGTTTGCCATGTTTTTGAATCAATGAAGGCTTCTCTTTTAAAGACTGAGTCTTTCTCATCCTTCTTTGCGTTTGAATGCTCATCAGCATTTGAACAACAAGCTTCTCATGATGGTAATCCATTCAACTCAATCCAAAGTGCAGCAATTCTTAAAGCCTGCGAAGAGTCGGGCTTTCCTTCTTCTAGTTAAGCAATGACATTCAAGTTAGATCGAGCATGATTATAGTTTGCTGCTCTTTAAACATGTTTTAATATTCTCAGATTTTGGAGAAGTGAACTTGTGATTGTTTGGTTTTTTTCCAGATTATACTTTAACTGATGGTATCAAAAGCAGAGTAAAAAAATACAAAAGTAAATCCGGGTTTGATCATTGGAGTTTTTGTTCAGATATTACTATTGAGACCAGAGAATCAATTTAATCCTACCTATATCTTAATATAGCAGCTTTTGTCAGTCACTCTAAAAGGTATACATTAAAACAGACAAGGGCAAGTAATTCAGAGTTTCTTTGAATTCCAATAAACACTTATTTTAGAGTAAACAATTTCTAAAGATGCAAACTGGATGAATCTCTTAGTTTTTCCTGGCTTTGAAATTTAACTTATAAGTTCCAAAGTCTCGGTTCCTTTTTTTATTCTTATTTGGGCCTCATACATATGAATGAATATATGCAATATATATATGTTATATATATATATATGTATTGGTTTTGCAAAGATACTGGGGTTTTCCAATTGATTAAAATCTCAAAGAAAGTTATATTTTGAGATTTATAATGACTTTTTATTCATAGAGGTACAAAGAAATAATGTGGATCAAGGAATTTAGCTTTGGTTTCAGTCTCAATTCTGACTGTATTACTGGTTCTTCAAGATAATAACGGAACTAATGGGAGTTCAGATAGTCCAGGATTTTGTTGAATTTTTGTTGTTTTGTCAGTTTCAGATTTATAGTGTAGTTTTATGGAGATTTAATGCTATCTATTTTTTCAACATTAGAGAAGCATGACACAAAGATAAACGTTGCATTTTTTTTCAAGTTAAAAGGATATCTTTAGAGAAGAATATTAAAAAAGCAAATAATATAACATAATTCTCTATATATTTGTTATAATTAATTTCCTTTTCTAATAAGTAACAGGAAGCATTTTTGGAAGATGATATCTCACGATAATTGGATACTTATTTATATCAAGTGTTTATTTTCTGGGCAAAAGAAACGATGATACTTAGATTCTCGGTTTTGAGTTAATAATAATAGAAACTCAGTGATTAATGAGAGGAAATATTAAATAAAACAGCACTTTAATTATTATTTAGCTTTTTTTTTTTTTCTTTGATTTCACTTTTCATGATTAGTCTATACATGAATATGTTTGCATGCAAAAGTATTCCCAGATTTCGCGCCATTACATGCATTTTTATTTTAGTCATATTTTTAGATTGGTTTGTGTATATTTATTTATGGATACGGATTATGAGCAAATATAGAGGCTGAGCTATGAACTGGAAGTTTAGGTGTTTTTTTTTTGTAGTAAAAACCTATATTTTTGAGGAAATAGGAATTTTAGATAGAATTAATGTTTTTTTAAAGAAAGAATGGTGTGGGGATTGTTAGATCATGTTGTATCAGATACATTTAAGCATTAAAAATTTTTTTTTTTTTTATAAATGGTTACATGCCTTGGTGTTTTTTAAAATAACATAGGAAGAATGTGAGTAGAAACTGGTTAAATTATTAATATCTAAAACATTTTTCCTTTCCGTCTTTTTTATTTTGTGAGTTTACTACAATTATTTTAAATTCATTGAAATATTCGACTTTGAAGTTTACATTTCCGATACCATGACAAATGATTTTACATACCGGTGTTGGGCGGGAACTTGAGTAATTAATTTTTTCATTTAAAAAAAAAGATCTTAATATAAATTGGAGTAAAAAAGAGAAAAAAAAGAATAGGGATTAAAACTACTAGAAAAACAAATTAAAAACAGGTGTGATGCAAGGTAGAGAAAACAAAAAGAGGGAATTTGAAGGTATAATACTATCTAGTTGTAATAATAAAAAAAAAAAACTAATATATTGTGGGAAAATAGGGTTAAAGGAAGAAAGTAATAAATGAGAGGATAATTAGTAAAAGATATACATTGAAAATGAGTATTGTAGAGATAATAAAAGATTAATGATGAAATTAACATTTGAAAATCTTTCGTTAAAATTGGTATTGATATTATTTATAGTAATAAAAAATGTGGTTGGAAATAATATTAAAATTGGGGGTAATTCAGTTTTTCCATATTCGGAACAAAGAAACATATTTACAGAAAGATTAATGTTATTTATTGTAGATAATATTGAATGTATAGAAAAAGCAAGGAAAGATATTGTAGAGAAGTTCGAGGATGATAAAAAGTTGGCAAGTGTAGGATTATATAGAAGAGTAAGGGTAGAGTTAAGAAAGAGGGATGAAGTAAAATTTATTAAAGAAGTAAACACAATGCGTCCATTAAGTGGCTTATTTCCAGTTTTAGTTGGAGAGATTATTGATAACTCATTAAATTATTGTATATTTAGATATGTTGATATAAATAAGTGGTCAGGTTTTAGTTATGGGAGGAAACTTCCACAAGATTTAGTCAAAGAATTGGAGAAGGAACTATTGGAGAAGAATACAATAAGTATTCTTTTATTTAAAGGGATTTGGTATATATATGAAGGAAATGGGTATTATTCTTTAATAAGAATAGGGGAGAATACACAACATATGGGTATTTTTTCATATTCAGGCATAATAAGTAGTTTACATTATATATTTGTAAAAATAGAGTATAGAGAAAAGTCAATAATAGATAATTTAGGATCTCATAGAAAGAAAAAGGTTGAGATAAATGAAAATAGAATGGAGATGCTTAGACAAGAATTTATATTTAGAAGATCACTCATGAGCTTAGTAGATAAAGAACAAGATGAAAGGATGGATATGGATGCTAGACAAATTGTAATTCTTAGAGATAAGATCGAGAAAGATTTAAAAATGGAGGCAGCCAGGAACAATAGAAGATCATTAGGTTTACAAGAAAGTTGTAGTAATTGTAATGATATATTCAAATGCCCAAATTGTGATTTAGAAATTTTTCCCTCAGAAAATGAAATAGCATTTAATTCTTTAGCAATTTTACAAAGTAGGGGATTTTGGTATGAAGATACAATAAACAGTGATACTAAATTTCAGATTAATACACCATTTTATGAAAAAATGAATCTTGAGAATTACAATATTCACTGTTTAGGGATTTCTTATCTAAATAATGAAAAAGAGAAAAATATTAAATCTAAAAATATTTCTTCAACAATGGAAGATATATCTCAAATTTTTGAGTTAGAAAACCCATCTTATAGTTTAATGCCTATAAAAAATTCAGAAAATGATCAAAAAGGTTCTTATAATTCATTGGATGTTAAATCTCAAGATCCAAAAGTCTCATTTTTGGGATCTACAAATTCTCAGAGTTTGACAAAAGCCGAAGGTTCTCGTAGCTTTTCAAAATTGAACTCACAATATTCTTCTATTTTAGAGCCATCTGAGTCTTTGAATCAAAAATTGGAGATTTCTGATAAAAGTTTCAAAAGTGGGTCAAAGCCTTTAAAGCGTCTTCCAAGGTCATTTAAAGCTAATTTAGGTGGAGTGGAACCATCCAGAGATTTAAGTCAGTCTCAAAGTATGTCTCTGTTTCCTGCTCCAGTTTCAGCTCCAGTTTCAGCTCCAGCTACAGCTCAAATGGAGTCGTCCAAAGATCCTAGCTTATTCCAAACTTTGGTTCCAGCTTCAGCTCCAGCTACAGCTCCAGCTACAGCTCAAATGGAGTCATCCAGAGATCCTAGCTTGTCCCAAACTTTGGCTCCAGCTTCAGCTCCAGCTCCAGCTCCAGGCCAAATGGAGCCATCCAGAGATTTTAGCTTGTCCAAGACTATGGCTCCAGCTCTAGTTCCAGCTGCAGCTCAAATGGAGTCATCCAGAGATCCTAGCCTATTCCAAACTTTGGTTCCAGCTTCAGCTCCAGCTACAACTCAAATTGAGTCATCCAGAGATCTTAGCTTGTCCCAGACTGTGGCTCCAGCTCTAGTTCCAGCTACAACTCAAATGGAGTCATCCAGAGATCCTAGCTTGTCCCAAACTTTGGCTCCAGCTTCAGCTCCAGCTCCAGCTCCAGCTCCAGCTCCAGCCGCAGTTCAAGCTCCCTCTGCAGTTCCAGCTGCAGTTTCAGCTCCCCCTCCAGCTCAAATGGAACCACCCAAAGATCCTAGATTATCCCAAACTATCTCTGCAGTTCCATATCAACCTTCAGCCCCATATCCAGCTCCACACCCTGGCCCAACTCCATATCCAACTCCATATCCAGCTCCATTTCCAGCTCAATTTCCCGTATCACACCCAGCCTCATACCCAGCCACATACCAAACCCCATATCCATATCCTTACCCGTACCCTTTAGCTCCTTTTTCATACCCTCCTCCTTTTTCATATCCTCCTCCTTTTTCATATCCAGCAATAACTTCATATCCTACACCAACTTTATCTCCAACTCAAATAGAATCTTCACCAAATGGTACTGCCACAAAACCTCCAGAACCAAAATCCAGTAAAAGGATTAGTAAAAAACTCAAATCACATTACCAAAATCATAATTCAAAAAGTCATTCAAAAAGACAAGATTTCTCTCCAAGTTATAGGGATTCAACTATTCCAATTTCAAAACAAGAAAAAAAAAGGTCAAGATCACAAAATAAGAGAGAAATACAACAAATAAAGGCTAAAAAAACTAGAACAAACCAATATTCATCTAATTCAAAACCATCTTCTAAAAAGAGAGATATGAAAAGAAAGAAATATAAGAGTAAATACAACCAAAATAGTTCAAATGATTCTTCAGATCAATCATTATTTGAACCTAGCTCAAGTAAAATGACGGTTATTTCTGATGTTGAAACTAACTCAAGCTCAATGTTTGAGCCAGCTTCAAGAAAAAAACCAAGATCAAAATTAAGATCAGATATACTAGAAAACACTGATAAAAATAGTCATGATCTTGAAATTCAAGTCCCTACAATCAAAGTTAAATACATAAAAGAGGAGAAAATAATACAAGATCTAATTGAAACCAAACAAAAGGAAAGCTTTTCTTTTGTTTATCCTTCTTTTAATATTCAACAAATTAAAGAATTAATAGAATTAGAGTCTTTTTGGACTAATAAAAAACATAGTATAATTCATTTAGGAAACAATACACAGTTACCTTTTGAGTTTACCTACAAATTAATGGATACAGAAAAAAAGTTGAAATAGATAATACAGAAAAAAACAAAATGAAAGGAATACTTTTAACAATCTTCATATGCTTCAATCAAAGTATCCTTAATAGCTTGATCTGGATTTGCCAATCTCTTTTCTAATTGATTCTCAGGAATTGAAAGACATTCTATTAAATTAAATGGTGTTTTTTGACTCACTTTGAAGGAACCATAAATAGAGTCAGGATTACTGGATTGGAAACTTGAAATACCATTGCAAAGTGCTCTAATAACTTCTCTAACTATTTGTATCTTCTGGTCTTTACTCTTCATTTTGCAAACTATAACACCAATAATAGAAAATTCCACTACTTGAAAACTTTTTCCATGAAATAATCGATTCAAAACACATTCAATTATTTTAGATTGCTTTTTTACTCTATATATCATCTTTGAGTGTTTATTCTCTAACCTTAAGTGATTTACTTCAAATAATGTGTTATTAAATGACATGCTTTGATTTAATGGAATTATTGGAAACTTATATGGGATTCCATTAAAATCTGGAAACTTTCTCGCACATAATTGAGCCAAAAAAATATCTTCTTCTCTCAAAAAAATAATTGGAAGTGGTAGAAATGGATAGACAAGCTGGACCTGTCCATAGCAATATGATAGTATTGGTAGCTCTTGAGATAATTTACCTGAAATTAGTTTGTCTTCACAAACTAAAGTTCCTAATAACTTTCATAATTATTTTTCATATAGTTAGTTAACTGAGTAGTATTTAAATGATTATAAACTCACCTCTCCCCTTTTAACAAGTATTGGGAAAACTGTATTATTAAATCTGTATTTGAAACCACATGATGAGATTTTTGCATCTTTATTATGTATCTTCAAGTAGTAGGATATTTGAAATATATTATTATCTAAATTGCTTATTTCAACAGAATAGTTATTTTTTGTTTCCCTATTATAATTAATATTTCTTAGACTAGGCAATCTAATTTCTCCGAATGCTTTCATTCTTAGAGGATTCCCAAGTTCTTTTAATAAAATTTGTTTCTCATCATTTAAATCTATCGCTTGAATTCCTATAACTATTGAAAACACATAAACCAAAAAAAAGTAATGAAACCATGCTAAACACAAACAATTATTTGAATTTGTATTTAACATGGCATAATTCCACCAAATTCTAAACAAAAAATAATAATTTGAAGTTTTTTTTTTTTTCATTTGGAATTTCCACATGGAGGGGGTGTGAGAAAGAAAATGCAAATGCACCGGTATAGGACACAAATTAAAGGTAAATATTTGCATGAGGTAAAAATAAGTTGCAAAAAAAAAAAAATTTAAAAATATGCTATTTCTTATGATATCTAAAAAAAAAAATCTCATATACTAGGAAAATGATTATAAACAGGTATTTAATTATGGTTTTAGTAGTTTTCCTTGGAGTATTTTTTAGCTTAACAGAAAAACTAACATGTTCAGTAGTAATGAAACTTTTTGGAATTATAAAAAGACAAAAAGAAAAGTTTAAGCCTTATGAAGAAAGAACTCCAAAAATTTCGAAACAGTCAGAGCTTTCTGAATTTGAAAAAAGGCAACTTTATTGGTACTACAAAGACTTTATTGGTAGAAGAGAAGTTAACAAAATATGGAAAGATGAGCATAAAGGTAAATACGAAAGTAATGATGTTACAGATGAGGAGATTTTCTCAGGTAAATCATTTATTCCTATCAGAAATGGATTTTCGAGACTTGGAAAGCAAATTCCGAACAACTTGAAAAATGTGACTCCAGCTGTATTCAATACTCAACTTGGAGGTGGAATGATTGAGAAGTCAAATGTAATATTTTACAGAGGAGATAATATGCTTAATTTAGATAGCTTTGGAAATCTTAAAAGAGAAGATAAAAACGTAAATAAGACTAAAATAGATACTGAGGTAGGTATTAAATCTTTTAAAAATAGAAAAACTTTACAAGGAGGAAACTATATATTTGAAAATAAGTATGTCTGGGCCTCAATAGTTTCACCTTGTGACGGAGAATTGCAGTTTGATATGGAACTCGAAGAGAGTTTAAACTTTCGAGAAAATAGATCTCTTTATATTATCTATTGTATAAACGGAAGTGTTAGGGAGAGATATAGTCGATTTAAAGGCAGAGTTATAGAGTTTTTGAATGGAAGGCTCAACTCTGAGAATTTGAGCAGGAATTCAAAATTAGATTTAAACCAGAAATTCTCAGTTAGAAAGGGAGAAATAATCCTTAGGATCTTAGAAAACTATTACCCACCCATATTTGAAAGTGACTTAATTGCTATTCCTATATTCATGCCTTGTAATGGAAGAGTGGCATGGGGAAAGGAACATAGAAAAGTTTTTGTAAAAGGAGAACAAATTATTGAATTCATATGCATAGAAAATGACAAAATAATTGCCAAACATTTAGTTTCACCATCTAGAGGATATACAGAATCACTTCAACAACACAAATCAGGTGAAAAAACTCAGAGTCTTCTTGATCAAAGCTTTAATTCGTCCTTGATTCAAACAGGAGATCCATTAGGTGTTATGTGGCTTGAACTTAACACAATTGCTCTAGCTGGAAATAGATTTTCAGGTTTACTAAAAGAGACCCTAATTAGGATGCCGTGTAATGGGAGACTTGAGTATCCTATTTCAGAAAGCAGTTTTGTACTTAAAAATGAGGTAAGTCAAACATTTTCCTCTCCTCTCTCAAATCCAACTGCATTTCTTGAGTGTTATACAGAACAATAGAGAAGGAGGAGTAGAAAGAATAAAAAAAAAGTAACACAGAAATTTTTCTATTTGTAGATTTTATACATAGTAATTTGTAATGACAATAAGGAGGTTATTATGGAGCAGAGCCCAATACAAGGAGTAGCCCAATTGCTTGTTTTAGACAATATTGATTTAATAAAAAAAAATGTCTATTTTCTGAGATTAGATCCACTTGATATTTCAGAAATGCCTCCTTTAAATAGGAACCCAAAGATTGCTAAACATAAATTTGACCTAAGCTTAATAAAAGAAGCAGACCCAATGTCTCCATTATACATTGAAAGAATTGAGATACCAGAAGAAATTTAGTAACCTTAATATTAATAACAGTATTAATATTATTAAATGTTTTAATAGTAATAAAAAAGGTATATTAGAAATCTAAACTTGTATAAGAATAACATTAGACCTATCTAAAAGTGAACTAATATATATTTGGAAGATCTTAGGAATGCTTTTGAATTCCTCTAAGGTACCAAGTTATTAGAATGTAAAATAATATAATAAAAGAGGTGAACATTGTAAACATTAAAAATGTGATAATCACAACTTTTTTTGAATTGGAGTCTCCATCTTTAGAAGGTAGCTCTGGCTCGTCATCTGCCTCCTGGTGAGTCTGAATTGCTTTAATGTGTATTTTTGGAAGTAAAAATCGTTGGTTTCCGTCCATTGAAAAGTATAGTTGAGTCTCATTATGCGGCAAATATAGAAAAGATAACTTATGCTGATCTACATTGATTTTGCCTTGTGAAAAAAAGTCATTGTGGGCGGCTAAGGTACTTCCTTTATCTATTACAGCTGTTAGTCTATCCTTGAAAGTAGTTATCCCATATTTAGCATAGTACTGATTTACATTTTGTCTGGACAAAGTAATGTTATCCTTGAATACTGGGACAAAATCACTTAGTGAATAATCATTTCTAGCTCGATTATTCCCGTTTTTAAAGTAACCTGCTACAAACAGAAAGCTTATGCTCTGAAACTCGATGGGAGTAAGTTTCTCATGATTGTGCTCCTGGAAAGTGTTTGAATCAGATTTGATACTCAAATAACCCATACCATCCCTCTCTCTTCTCCTAATTGACGATTTTCTGTCATTTACCTCCTTAAAAGTTAAGTGCATCTCCAATTCCATCTCGACAATCCTGGATATAAATTTAGAAAAGCTGGTCAGATTATAATCTACATAAACCCCTTCGTAGGGTTTAATCAACTCAATTCCGTTATTTTGATTACTCAAAATTGAGTGAGCACGATTTCTTGAAGAGTCAAAAGATTGATGACCTCGAATCGGAAGTTGCTTCAGCGAGCTCAATTCTTGTCCTATTATATACAGATGATCGTTTCTAATTGCTCCAAATTCACTTGGCTCAAAAATACCTTCTCTTAATCTTTTTGAACGATCCAAGTTAGATTCAGGCTCTAACTCTGGATTGTCAATTTTGTATTTGGGTTTCCTTTTAGCAATAACACTCTTAATTCCATCATCTAAGCTCCATAACAGTATTAAGGCTAAGAAAAACGATGCAATTGAACGGTTTCCGACCATACTTATGCTCTGTTGACTCTAAAGCCTTCCTATTCCTCTAGCATTACCCACAATTTTGAAAAATTGGCCGCTCCTTCAGTTTCCAATACACGTTTTTCGCTTTTTTTTTCTGCCTCTTCCTTAAGACTAAGAATTTCCCTATTTATCCTCGAATTTTTACTTGGCGCCACTAACAGATTTGGATTACATACTTGCAAATAATTTTGCATGTTACTTTGGAAAACCCGCCATTTTGGATTCGATAAGTAGGGGGAAAAAGGAAACTAGTAGAAAAGAGGAAATTTGTGATTTGGAAAATCAACTTTGTAAGGATTTGGGATTTTTTTCGGCTTTTGTTCAAAAGAGCTTTTGTTATTTAAGTTAACAAAAAACTTCTTACTTAAAAAACGTCAGTACTAGAAAATTGAGTAGCATTTTGCCTTCTATTCTCTGTCCTATTTTACCTTTTATTTTCAACCTTTTTCGATTTTCTTCAATTTTAAAATTAAATATTGATGTCAAAAATGGAGAAAAAGAGATTCTGAATATACAAATATAATAGGAAAACAAGCTGTTGTTGAATAAAATTTCATTAGAATTGAGAGGTAATAATAGTTAAATAGTAGCAATAAAAATGATAGTCAAAATTAAACCTTATTGTTTAAAAGAGGCATATTTTCAATCCTCTTAGATTCCTTGTTCTTGTTTTGGAAGTATAATGCAATAGAAACCCCAATAATGACAAAAATGATTGCAACTCCAGTAATGGTATACATCCAAGTTGAGTTTGATTCAACTGTAGGTTTCAGTTCAAGTATTACAGTAGGCCCCACTCCTTCCATATTTGAAAGTATACCAAATTGTGTCTGTGAATCTACTGCCTCTAATAGGAATCTGAGAGTCGTTGTGTTGTGTTGTTGAAGTATAACAGGAATTTGGTTTGAAATTTCACTCAAAGAGATTATATCAGCTTTCCCTGGAACCTTTTTATTCAGTTCAAACTGCATTGATTCATACTTAGATAACTCAGAAAGTCTTGTTTGTGAGGAGCCCAATTGTACGGTTGGGTCCACTATGGTAATCTTTACCTTTTGGGGATTCATACCAACATACCTTGTTATTGTCAATTTTGAATCAGAAATAAGGGAAATCTTATTAACAAGATCCTCAGATGACAGGTCAAAAGTTAAGATTACAGATTTAGTTTGTTTACTGTCATCCATACCACTTTCTGGCTCAAAGTCATCCTTCATTTCAATAAGTAGTTGTTTTTCGTCAGTTGAAGGTTGAATAATCTTATTTACTACCTGATTCACTATTGGGTGATCGATTGTAAACTCATTTTCATCCGTCATAGTAACATCGGAAGTATTTATAGTTGTCTTCGAAATAATCTCGCTCTCTACTTCGTATTTGTTCTCTTTTTCACTTTTTTCAATATTTTCTGATTTTTCTTTCTCCTCATAATTGGGTTTATTCTCTAATGTTTCACTTTTTTTAAACTCTTCCAGCTTCTTTAACTCATTCTTCTCATCTTCTTCTTTCACTGTATCTTTACTTTGAGTATCCGTAGTATCATCTTCCATTTTTTCTCTTTCTAACAAGAATCCTCCCTGATCATCCTTGGTATCATTTTTTTCATCTTTTCCCTCAAATGGTTCAAATGTTTCATTTTTACTATCATCATCTTTTTCACTGCTTTCTAACTCGGATTTCTCTTTGATTCCTGCAGGACCACCGTTACTATCCTGGCCTGATTGATCTTCCTCACTCACATCTTTAATATCCTCTTTAGCATCTCCATTTGGTTGGTTAATTTTCTCAATCGAGCCTTTTTGGAGTTGAAGACCATCTACATGATTCAATCTCTGTAGAGTAAAACATGACAAATAAAATATGATCAATATTAAATATGAATGTAGTTTCATTATTTGATGGGACTACTACAGCTTTAGTAAAAATCAATTTTCCTCGTTTATTTGTCTTTGATTGATTTTACATTAACCCTAGTTTAGATCTTGCTTTTTTTTTAAATTTTAATTTTCCCTTGTAAAAAAACTTAATTGATTTTCGAATTTTCTTGCTTATTTTTTCTACCTACGTACTATTGGGTAATTTTGTGTGTATGAATATATTCACTTACACACCTAACGAAAAACAAATTATTTCAACAATTTCAATATTAAACTACCATATTTACATCTCAAGATGATAAAATTGCCAAGCAAATTACATCCGGTTAAAACTTTAAAGCAGAAATAGTTATCCTTAATTCTTTTAATTTATTTACTAATTTTTTTAACTTTAATGAAAATTATTCCCGCCAAAAATACAGTAATGTAAAGTTACATGCCGATTAAAAATAACACAAAAAATTTGAGGAAAAAATTCAAAGAGAACCTAAAATAAGATGGAGAATAGATTAAAAAATTACTTATTTATAAGCTTTGACCTCATTAGAGTATCTAATTGAGCATTCATACTTTTCTTGAAATAACCCTTTTTTCTGTTTGTCCTCTAACCTTCTGCACTCTTACAATAGGGGGAGCAACACCTTCAGAAAGTGGATTTCTAGCCATGTTCCAAGACATTGAGGCCATCATGCCCCTTTTAAATCCATTAGGTCTATTTCTAGGCGGCGTCTTGTCCCCCAAAAAGTAGGTCTCCTTCATATTTGGTTTTGAAAGATCAGAAGGAACAAACTCTGGAATAATCAAGGGATTTCTTAATTGATTTTCCATTTGGAGTCTTGCATTCTGGTCTTCCATAGCTAATTTAGATGATTTAAGATTAAAAACTGCTGCAGCAGTTTCATAATCATAGACAGAAGTATCATCTTCTATAACAGGTCTCATTTTATCGATCAGGGTTGGTCTTGTGGGTGATTTGAGCCTTCCAACAGTTACAAAAGGCTTAGAAACGGATTTGTTTTCTGGAGAATGTGTTTCAGCCTGCTTACTTTCTCTAGTTTTTCTGATTCTTCCAACTGAAACTTTTCCCCTTGTTAAGAAGTTATTTTCTGGGCTTGATGTTTTGACCAAATATTCGCCATCGGAGTGGAAAGACTTCGGCTTTATTCGTCCAAAATTATTTAAGTTAGTGGGCTTTTTAATGTTAAGGCTCACCATATCTTGTAATTTCATTAACTCTGATTCAAGCATTGCTATAGGATTTCCAGAGCTTCTTTTTTTGAGTTCGTCGTTTTGCTCACCTGATTCTTGCTCTTCTTGAGCTTGATCATCCCAAGGATGGGGCGAGTTTTCTGAATTTTCTTCGTGATCTGTAGATTGTATCTGAGTTGGAACTGTGCTCAAGCTTTCTTCAGAACTTTGATCATTTTCAATATTATCTGACTTTGATGAGCCCTGACTCTCTTTAAAAGACTCTTCAAGTTTGAAATCATCGCCTTGATTGCTTTGAAACTTATCGGAGCCATCAGGGGATTTTTGACTTGTAAATACAGAGGTAGATTTTGCAGAGAAACTAATGGGGGATCTTACACGAGTGCCTTCAGGAGAAATAATTGGTTCCTCAGCGGACTGAAAAGTTAATTTATTTTGTCTTGATATTTGGTTTTTATTTGTTTTAAGACCTGCACCACTCTTTTTTTGACTGGAGCCCGATAAGGGTGAATATACAAGAAGTTCTGAAGCAAGGGCACTGCTTGGCTTTGAGTAAAATTTCCTTGCCATAGATGCAGTTTTCAGCTCATTTTGTGTTTTCTTTTCTCCAAAAATTCTTGATTTTTTTATTTCATCTTCTTTTTCATTTATCATAATGTCATTGTAACCGTAATTTTGGAGGTTCTTTTGTTCAATCAAATCATTTATGTTGTAATCCCTTACTGCACCATAAACATAATCCTTTTTTAAGTTTGATTTTTTTTGCATAGAATCTATTACGGACCTTAACTTATCCATAACCATCTCTTGGTTTTCCAATTTCTCTTTCTTTAAATCCTTCTTTTTTTTAACTTCTCTCATTGCCTCCAAGTTTGATTGGTTATGCAATAGTTGAATCACTTGATCCAATGAATTTTTTGATTTCATCTCCTCAATTGGAATGATTGGCATGGGAGATAAACTTTCTTCAAATACAGTTTCATTATCACTATCATTGGAATCTTTAGACTGAAAGGACTTTGCTGAATTGACAGATTTTTCACTTTCTGAGTCTGAATCTATACTTGCCTCATAACCCGAACTTCCTTCTTTTTCATCTTCTTTTATGTGATCTACGGATTTTTTATGAAAATCGGGTTTTGAATTTACATAATTGTTTAATTTTTTTTCTCCAAATCTGAACTTAAAACGCCTTTCTCTGCTTCTCCCTCTGCTCATTCCTGTAAGTCTTCCATCACTGTCTGACTCTGTTGGAAGACTATAATCACCATCTGTAAAATCTATTTCAGACTCAACCATCTCATTGGTACTTTTCTTTTCATTTCCTGGTATTTCCTCAAGTAAATTCTTCAAATCAATTACTTGAACTTGACCTTCCTTAACATTGGCTCCTGGCAAAGTCACAGTATCTGCATTCTCAAAATTCTCTTCATTAATATGAAATTCTTGGCTTATTTTTTTCTTTGCGAAATTGCAGCCAATCTGTCCAAATTGGCTCTGCAAAACCACTAGCATCAATAAATTGACTAAAACCAAAAATTTCACGTACTCAGAAATCATATTTAATAATTACGTAATCAGGGCCATTTAACTTAAAGATTCATATCTGAATATTGGAACCTCAGGCTTGAATGACTGGCGTAAACCAAAATCTTTGTTTGGATAAATTATTAGATCAGATCTTCGACTTAATTGCTTTCAAACTCGTTTGGATTATATTGAGTGAAATATTGAGCCTTAATATACGTCTATGTAAATATTTGACTCAATAAGTTTAACTATTTTTTTCTTCCTAATTCAAATCTTTAAATTTTTAACTTTGCATGTAAAAATAAAAATTTTGTTTTGGCGGGCTCTGCCACTTAACATTGTTAAATTATAAATCAACTACATATTGTAAAATTTGATTTATTTAATTAAAATGCAAAAATTGGGTAATTGAAAAAACTATGGATTTCAAAACTATTATTTCCCACATTCTAGATAAATTTGGTTTCCACCATTAATATTATGCTAGCCCCAAGATTGAACGTAAAGTTTGAATATATAAGAATTATAATGAGCATACACGAAGTTTTTGGATGAAATTCAAGAGGGAAATTCATTGCATGCAAGTGCATGAATACCGGTAGAGTAATCATTCAAAAATATTGTCAAAATTAGAAACTTAAACAGTTTGAAAACCTTTTTAAAATAAATTACATGCAAAAAAATATGAATGTAATTAAAGCCTGGAGATGGTTTAATATAGAATTCCGTGAAAACAAGTATATAAATAAACATACAGAAGCTTGTAGATTAAGACAATAATCTACAGATCAATTTACAAATTCATTTTTATTTGAATGGTAACAATTTTTTAAAAAAAAGGAGCAAAATGTAGTGTGTAAATAGTCCGTGAACACACAAAGTACACAACACACACTAAAAATTTGAAAAGCTATAACAGTGATAAGCCATTGAGCAAAGACGCATAGGGCCATAATAATAGAGAAAAGAAGGTATAAGATATAAATTCAGCTGAAAGTTGACTATAGCTTATTATCGGGACAAGAAAGAATTAGATGAAGTGATATTATGTATTTGAATTTATACCAAAAGATAATCAATTTAAGATTAATTTATATTGATCACTAATTAGAATAAAAGCCAAATTGGCTAAATTTTGAGTTTTAAGTATTTTATTAATATAGCAAAATTGGCGAGTATAATGAAGGCAGTAAGAAGGCACATCTATTCTCGTTTAAGTTTAATTTTAATTTTAATATCATTACTTTTAAAGATAACGAAGTGTACTAATGGACCGAATAAGAGTAGTGGGAACCCCATAGTAACAAGGCCAGGAATAACAACAAGAAGTTCATCAGAGGGTCTTGGTAGAACTTATGATAAAGGTGTTAAAGACACTTTAAGTTTGTTAGAACAATATTATGATGGCACCGACGATTGGAGACGATACAATGTGGTCAATCCAAGTATGAAGAATAGTCATGAAAATGGCCCAACTTCTGAAAATGATGATAATACTGATTTGAACCCCGATTCTGAATCGATAATACCTAAGGAGTCAGGAAAAGCTCCTGAGGTGTCAGCAGTTGCTCAGACTCCAGCTGACTATAAACTCCCAGATGCGGTAATACCATTAACAAAGAACAAAGAAAGTCTAGTTCAGAGTAAAAAGCCAAACCTGACAGATACAGTTGATCAAGATCCTTCCTTAGATAAAGGGCCTTTGAGTGACGGTATGTCTGAGGATCAGACCGAGGTTTTAAGCGTCTCAGAAGGGCCAAGTGAAGGTGCAGATTATGAATATACGGGAGGTTCTGAAGGATTTGGGCCACCAGATATGGGATATGAAGCTATAAGTGAGCAATATGATCCAAACGGAGAAAGTTACAGTTACCGTGATGCAGGCGATGAGCCTGATGGGCAATACCCATATAGTTATAAGTTGGAAAGTGAGTTAGAGAATGTTGATCCAGGAATGAGCTACATAATGATGGATGAGAACGCAGACGAAAATGCTCCAAACTACATTTATAAAGATGGAAGTGAGAATTTCCAAGAGCACCCTGGAACAGAGTATGATTACGTAGGTGAACATGAGAATAACGACGAAGGAAGCATTAGATACATTAGTGAGCATGGAAACGACTCAGATTTTGAAGAGAGGCACATTAATGAGGCAGGAGATGAAGGGTTTTCTGGAACGGAAAATGTATACATCGATGATGTGGATCCAAACGAAACAGAATATGAATATATTGGTGAGGGAGATAGAAGTGAGACAAGCATCGGAGGTGAAGAAGCTGAAGGAAGTGAGGGTAAAAATGGGAAAAGGAGGAAGAGGAAGCATTCGAAACGCCACCAAAAAAAGCCCAAACTTCCAAAAAAGTGGGACACCTTTACCGAAAATGAAAAACAGGAATGGCTCGATAGACATCCAAGAACAAGGCAAATTTTTAATGAGCAATTTGAAGAGAATAACTTGTCGGGAAGGCGTCCAAGGAGATCTAGAAATGGTGATGGCTTTGATCCTCTTGAAGATAATAAATTGTCTGGAAGGCGTCCAAGGAGATCTAGAAATGGTGATGGCTTTGAACCTCTTGAAGATAATAAATTGTCTGGAAGGCGTCCGAGGAGATCTAGAAATGGTAATAGCTTCGAACCTCTGGACAAAAGGTCAAATTTGGCAAATCGTGGAGGAAGGCAAAGAGCTGGTGGGTATGAGGATGAAGAGCCAGTATTGAATAGACGAAGAAGAAGAGGCAGGAGGTCTAAAGGCGGAGATATTCTTGATGATGATTTAGGATTTTCTAGATCAGGTCGCAGGAGGAGAAGGGGTAGACAAGAACTTATTGATTCGCCCAGAATGAAGAACAGAAGAGGGAGGAGAAGAGGGGGGTATGATTTAATTCAGGATATCAAAGGAGATCCTTACCTCACTACTGTTGGCGAAAGAGTCCTTTCAAAGTACCCGGTAAACAAGAGAGATAATATTTTAAAGCTGAGAGATAGTGCTCTGAGAGATATTAAAAAAGGTCGAAGACCAAAAGGTGACTTTGAAGAAATTATAGATCCTGTAGACCTGATGCTTATATACAGAGATGCGAATAAGATGCCTCTTTTAGTTGTGAAAAATGAGGGAAATATTCCGCTAGAATACATGTTAAAACTACCAAAAGGTTTGTATCTCTGGGAGGAAATTGACCCTGAAGAGAGAGCAAGACTAAAGAGTAAATGGAAAGAGGAAATTGAAAAGGGCACGTTTTGGGATGATGATAAACTTCATGGAGACTGGAGTGACGAAGTTAAACTTCTTGGAGAGTGGGGTGAGGAGGAAACCATTAGGGGAATTATGGGTAGGGAAATAAGCCCAGGGAATCAAATGGGAGAAGAGTACTCTTACTACAGCTTTGTGCCCAAATTTACCGACTTAAGAAATAAGGGTGTCTTCAGTGGAGAATACCCAGAAGATATTGAGCATCTTATCTTGGTTGGGGATATGCTTCCTGAGGATAAGTTTCAGGGTGAGTTCAAAGTGCCAGAATTACAGCTCCTAAGATTCCATCCTAGGTTTGAACATTTAGACGATCTTGATGACTTTGTTCTTGAAAATATACAATCCAGACGCAATGAAGGGCCGATTTATTTGCCAACGCACAGGCCCTCCTGGATGGAATATCGTACTACTGGGGCTTTTGGCAAAGGAATTCCAGTGGACAAATACTCTTGGCTTGAGTCTTTAGATAGAGATGATGCACTTAGATTAATTGAAGAGGCTAATTACGGAGATCCAGATTTCAATGAAAAACTTCTAATTAAGTATCCATGGATTAGAGATAGACTGGGGGAAGCTATTTATTCAGACGATGGATTAGTTTTACCAATTCAGGTATTGAATGAATTCATCCCTAGATCAGTTTATAATCTTGCTAAGGAAGATGAAAAATATCCAGGTAGTAAATGGTATTTCTCAGAAGTCCCGTCAGATATAAATTTGGGAAAGTTTATTACTGACATATATGAACGCGCAGGGCCAAATATTGGATACAGATCTCATAAAAGAAACCCTTACTTGGAAGCTGGTCTGGAAAACTTATTTGAAGAAAGAATTAACCTTGATGGTTGGGATAGAGAAACTATTAATTATTTAAGAGAGCTATTCAGGGATGCGGAAAATAGAGAGATTGAGTTGCAGGAAGAACTTGATGGGTACAACAGCATGAATAAAAATGGTTCAATGTTTCCTGGAAGTGGTAGGAGAAGAAGGCATAGGCTCAGATCATCTAGACCGGATATGCCTATATGGTATTTTGGTACTGAAGAGCAAAGAGACCGCGAAAGAAGGCTCGAGTTTGCGATTGAATCAGATTCAGCTGGTGGCATTATTGAAGAAAAGCCTTCTTCCACCAGAAAAATATTTTTAGATCCTACAGGAAGAAGGCCAGAAGGAATTCTTAGTCTTGAACTTCAGGACATTAGTGATAACCCTGAATATGATGTAGAGTCACTAGGGATTTCTGAGGCCGATTACTTTGATGATGATGATGATCTCAATTTGGAGATGATGGGTTCCTATCCATCTTCTAGAACTTCACCAACACGTATAAAAAATATCTACTTTAATAATATACCAGGAGGCAAGTACTCTGATATTGATTCAGGAATTTACCCTATTAACTATCCTGGAAGAATGCACAAAGGTTTGAAAGGCCAACATCCAGGTTTTAATCCAATAAGGAGGTATGTATTTAATGATGATGATATCGACACTCATTCACCATTGAGTATTTCCCAGAGTGATTTCTTACAAGAATCATCAGGATTCAATGAAAGAAATCCATTTTTGATTGGAAGGGCCTTTAAAGTAAATAGGGATGATTGGAATAGGCCTTGGAAACCAGGAAAAATGAAAAGAAATGGTAAATTAGGTATTAAAAAAAGTCATCCTAGGTCTCACAAAGTGAATGAGTTTGGTCAAGAAGATCCCATGGAAATTATTAGAGATTATTATGATTTGAATGAAAGCTCCATTTTGGATGTTTTAGATGGAAAAGGTATCTATAGGCCTAAAAAGAAGAAAGTTGGGTATGGTGTTAGTGACTTGGATTACTTAAGAAGATCAAATGATGACGATTGGAACTATATGAAAAAACTTAGGGAAACAAATTCTTCCAAACCAAGATCAAAGAAAGACAATAAGCCATTATGGTACTATTATGATACTATTGGAAGGCGTTGGGATGATTCCCTTGCAGATGAAGATGAATCAATGGATTCTTATATTGACTTAGTTCTTAAAGAATTGCAAACTAAGAAGAGAGATAATAAGAAAGGTGGCAATGCTAAAAATAAAAAGCACAAAAATGGCAGATTTGTAGACATTAAAGGAAGGCCTAAACATCAAGATGAATACGAAGAAGACTACAGTGTAATAGAGATTGAAGATAAGAAAGGAAGAGGTAAGAAAAAAAGCAAGAGGAGAGGTTCAAAGAAACGAAGAGGTAAAGATAAATCCATGAAGGGAAAAAGCAAAAAAGGTAAGAGAGTAAGTTTCAAATTACATCCTGAAGATCAAGAAAGTGATACATCTGACAGTCTGTCTGAAACTTCAACTATAGAAACAGATTTCAGCCAGAGTAGAAGCAAAAACTTAAGTGAAGAATCAGAATTATCTGACGTATCTAAGTCTGGATCTGAGGAGGAAAGTGAGGATTTTGAGGAATTAGGTCCTTTAGCTAAGCGAATATTGATGGCAGCAGGATATGATGACGACTTGGATCCAACAGTTCCATTAAGTATTGAGACTGAAATACTGGAACTAGTAGATACTGGAAAAAAAGGAAGAAAAATACGTAGAAAACAGAAAAAAGGCAATAAGTCTAAAAAGGATGAGGCTGATGATTTATTGAGCTTAGAAAATATGCTTGAAGCAAACAAGAAAATCAAGGTGGACATGCACGATCTTTCTGAAATCAGAAGGATGAGAAGAGACTTGAACGACGATTCTGGAGATTTGGAAGCACTGAAAACTCTAATCAAAAAGCTTCATTTAGATGAATTGATTGACTTGAGTGATGATTCCAGCTCAGAAGTGTCTCAGGATTCAGAGCCAATATCTAGTGAGTTGGAAAGGAGCGAAACCGAAGGAGAAAGTGAAACTGAAGCTTCATTATCAAAAGATAGTGAAGAAAAGTCTGAAGATGACCAAACTATAGAAGACAATGTTAAGAAGCCAAATGTTAAGCCTCTAAAAATTTTAAAAATAAAGAGAAACAAAAAAGGTTCCAAAATTGACTTAGGTAAGGATAGTAGTTCGGAAGAAGCTTCAACTTCTACTTCTGTTGATAATCTTGAAAGTATGGAGCCTTCTCAGACTGATGAGGAATTTACTTTGAGTGAATGGGATAGTTTTATTCATGAGAAATTAAAAGAAGTGGAGTCAAAACCAGAAAAATCAAAGTCAGATGGAAAAAAGAATAAATCTAAAAAGAAAGGAAAGAATTCACGTAGAAAGAAGGGCTTAAAGAAGAGTAGAGAGGAGAAAAAAGCTTTGTTAAACTTAGGGATTGATCCAAAAACTATCCAGAGGATAAATATGTTACTAAAAGACAAGGATGATGGTATAAAGAATGCCTTGGAATATCTATTAGACGAACTGGAAAACAACCTTGAAGACAGTCAAGAACCAAGATCAGGAGGCAAAAGATCAAGAGGTAAGAAGAGAAAGAATAGTAAGAGAAGGCGAAGAGAAAATGCCACTCGCCGCCCTTATGACTTGGAACCCGTGACACCACCATTCTCCAGGTATATTTTAAAGTTAAAGGATGTATTAGGTCCAAAGGAAGCCTTAGAGGAGCTTTTAGATAACTTGGGTGTTGAGTTATCTGGAGAAGAACCAGTTCCAAAAGAGTTAAGAAGGTATATTACACCAAATGTAGTTAACGAGGTTAGAGTTCTAAGAGACAAAAAGAACGGAGACGAAAGGGCTTTGAACAAACTTTTGAAAGTATTGAGAATTCCAAACAAACGTGTATCCAGACCAGAAAGGTCAAATCATAAAAGAGGTCAAATTGGTAAAGAAGGTAGAAGATTGCCAGCACTGTTAAATGAGGAAGATATTAAGGCAGTTAATAGGCTCTTAAAAAGAAATAAAGCTCCTCAAGCTTTGGAATACTTCTTGAAGAGCACTGACTTGGATAAAGATTTGGAAGATAATAGTCAAGGAATCTATAGGCCAAACAGGTCTTACTCGGGACTGAACCTATCACCAGAAAGGCTTTCAAAAGTCAGATACTTAATTGATCAGGGCCCTCAAGGCTGCAGAGATGCTTTGTCAGAAATTTTCGATGATTTGGGTATTCCAAAACAAAAGAATTTGTTTGATGGAAGTAGGAATGGTTTGGAGCTTATGGATCCCCAGAGCAGAAGACCCTTAAAGAGAAATCGTCAAAGAAGGATGGCAATGCCTCCATACTTGAGAGATCCGGAATTAGATTACTCAGAAGATGGTTATATCAACGGTGATGATTATTCAGAGTTTGATGATTTTTCAACCTTTGTTCCAAGAGAATACTATAGATTTAATGATGGAAGGAAAGTTTACACGGAGGATCCAATGAAAATGCTTCCATTTGGAAAGGCCAATGTTGCTCCAAACACTTATGAAGTTTTACCCACCCCAAAATCACCGTTCCCGTTAGAAGATCAGTACTATAAAACACTAATCGACCACCCAATAATGAGAAATGATATGTCTCTTTCTCCGAGATATTATAAGGCTCCAGAAATGTCACAATATGATAGAGATTTGAGAGATTTTGTGAACAAAAGGAGAAAAGGATTTGGAATGCCAAATATTCCAGATTATCAATATTGGAATTACGATCCAGAAATAACAGGAAGGTCAGTGTATGAAGGACTGGATACCCCTACTAATAGAAGAAGAAGGCAAATCTTAGAAAGAAAGCGTAAACTTGGCAACTATTTAGATGAAGAGCATGAAGTTTCTGTACCACTAGAAGATGGAGAGAATGATATGGGCAGAGAAAATTCATCAAAGACTATAATGGTCAAATCTTTTGTTGATGATGATTTACCCGAGAACAGTGAAGAAGTAATGTTAGTTCATAAACCAGAGTATTCAGAAGAGGAGCTTTATGATATGGGCCAATGTTTAGTAAATAATGAAGATTCAAATAAATTAAAAATTTCGAACGGAGCAGAAATAAGTAACAATTTAAATGCAGAATTTGAAGGTTTAAAAAATATTGAAGATGGGTTTGAAGTAGAAAGAGAAGCAACCAGAGAAGAAATTCTTTCAACATTGGTAACTGATCCAAAAATGGAGGTTTCAACGAAACTAATTCTAAGAGAAATTTCGGATGATGATGATTCCGTTATAAATAAGTTTAGAAACATCTTAATGGAAAATCCAATGATGGAGAGAAGCAATATTCCAAAACCTGTGGAATCTGCGGAAAAATTGAAAGAGATGCAAAAGCAAACACCAGAAAGTAAAGAGATTCAAAGTTTTGGGTACTTGGATCCATCATTAAGTAGTTATGATAAGAAGCTATACTCTGATAGTTTTGTGGAAAGCCTGGAAAAGGAAAATTTAGAAACTACTCCAATTTCAATTTCTTCTCAAATGCTTGAAGAATGTAAAGATATAGCAAGTCAACTAAAAATGAAAGAATTGGGTTGCGAGAAAATCTCTGGAGACGCTTCAGAATCAAGAAAGCGTCCTTTAGATATAAGGAGACTTTCAAAAAGAGTGACAAAAGTTAAAAATCTATATGTAAAATCATTCCTAAAGCAAATATGCTTTCCAGGTGAGGTTGCCAAATTATATATTGAAAGGTTCTCAGATTTAAAGGGTTGGAATAAAGCTATGGATAGACATCGTTGGGTAGCACTTCCATTGGTTTCACCGCAAAGTTATATTCCTAATTTGGGAGGATTAAACTTATTTCAAAGAATGATATTGCATCAAACAGTTAAGAAACAAAAACTTCATTCACCAAGAAGAGTGATTATTTTGGCATTTTCAACTAGATCTGTTGCAGAAAAGAAACTACCCAATAATTTAGCAAGCTTAGGTGAATACTCTGGTAAGAAAAACAGTGTTTCTTCTTTAGAATATTCTATGAATGTGGAATATAACCAGGGGATGCTCATTGTTCCGTTGATTGAATTGGCTTTATGTGTGAAAGGAGCTCTTCAGTTAAACAATATAGTAAGTTCAAACAAATCAAAAAAAATAAAATTGGGAACTTGTATTATTGGTGGAGTTAGAAGCCACTCTGTAGCTCAGAAAATTTATAGAACAGCATTAAAGTATCTAGAAATGAGTCCAGATTTGTCAATGGCGAAATTTTTAATTATTCCAGTCAAAGTAGGTAAAGAAAACTTAAGTGAACAGCTTAAACTCTCAGAATCAGGAAATACTGATAAGAATTTTGGTCTCCAAATTCCAGAAGATGCAATTTCACCGGCAGTTTCTGATTTAGAATATAGCAAACTTCAGTTTGAAATGAAATTAGAGAACTCAAAACAAGTTAAGGAAAGATATAATAATAAACTAGCTAATTTAAGCGAAGCTATTTTCAAACTTTATTTAATGAATTCTAGAGAGCTGGATATTAGATCACTTAAGGCAAATGGCCCAAGGTCTATCGTAATTCCAATGTCATTCCCTCAGCTGTACATAAAAGGATACTCTAGAGCTCAGAAACTAGTAAAAAAAATTCAGAATAAATATAAACCATCTTTGAAAAATAGATCATATAGGAATAAACTCAAGCCAGGGTTTATTTTATTAATCAACGACCAAACAGTCAATTCTGGCTCTAATTCTAAGTCATTCTTGAATGAGCAAATTAAGAGAATCCAAAGCTTCTTTACTAATCCTTATAGTTTTAAGAATTTCAAATCGCGTAAACATGAAGGACCAGTACTCGAAATTAAGGGTGTAAATACACTTCAAATAAGAAAATTCTTATTAGATGCAATTTCTAGAGCCTCTAGACAACCATCTGTTGTTCCAATGGTTATTCTTCCAATATTTGTTGATAATAACTTAAAAACCAACAAGTCTGATAGAAAAGCAATGAATAAGGTTTCGAAGAAAAATATCAAACATTCTAATAACATTTAAAATAGCGAACTTGCCCATTATAAGAATTCATTAGGGCTTCTCTGTTCGCCTAAAGAGGATTTTAGTGAAATAATAAAATAATATAAATCTATTCAACTATATATATATTTATACTAAATTTCCATTAAGTTGACAACCAAAATACGCTTTATTTAAAAAATGACAAAGATTATTCTAGTAATTCACTGAATATTCTTTTAATCAATCTAATATAGAATATTTTACTATTTTAATTTATTTTTAATTTTATCGTTTTACTTTAAGTTAATCTCCCCACTCCCACATAACGGTCCTCATGCCATGCAAACTCCATGCATGCATGCATGCAAATGCGCAATCTTTCACCGGTATTTAATCTATACAAATTAATGTGGACAAAAACACGTAATATTATCAATACATAATTTGTATTAGTAAAATGAGAAGTTTTTCATGTCATGTGAATATTTCTTTATTTATCAAATAATTTTTGTTTAGTCTACAAAAATAGAAATTAGTTAAAAAAGAAGATAATAAAAAAGATATATGATGGAATTATAATCCAGAAAAATGTCCAATATACTTAAATAATCATTTATTTTTTTCTTTAAATATGGAATTATTATGGAATTTAATTCAGAAAAAAATATTAATTTAAAAGTACAAATATAAGATGATTTGTGTGCATGCAAAAATATTGGGAATAAAACCAAATTAAAAAAAAAATGAAAACTATGTAAAAATAAATGATTTTTCAAAACCGAATGATTAATAATTTGGCCTGGAATAACAATGGTTTCTTAAATTGCAAAATTCAATTTTTTTGCAAATAAAATGAAATATTTTATGTAATAAATGATTATTTGTATGTGCACCTCTTACCAAAAAGCATTATTGATACCAAAATTATTATATGAATATATAAAAATCAATTCAATATTCTCATCTATTTTTGTATCTAAAGAAGACCCAGGGAATAAATAATTAAGTTTTTTTTTAAATATTAAAGGGAAAAAAATTAGAAAGTGAGATTATGTGTAAATTATGTACTTTAATCAAATAATAGTCTGTGAGAATACAATACACACAATTTTTTTAAAAAAGTGAATTAATACATAATTGGTCATTTTTAAGATTGAAATTATATAATTAATCATAATATTAAATTGAATTGGGTATAAATCCATCATTATTATAGTTTGAAAGAAAATAGTTTTGAAGTTAAAGAAAGACTTGAATCTTTTTTTTCTTTTTAAAAAAAATATTTATGCAGTCTTAAATGTGAAGAAAGAAAACTAAAAAGATAGAATGAAGTCAATATTAGTATTAATATTATTTAATATAATATTAACAATAAGAAGAGTCGAATTGTCAAATAGCCATCTTCAGCACGAAAACAACAAAAAGCTCCAAGAATTCAATAATTTAGTAAATATTCAGAGAGAAAATAACCAAATTGGCTCGGGAAGTCGCAAGAACTCAGTGGAATATGTTGATATGAATTCTGATGACGAATCTGAAGTTTCAACTATTGAAACGGATAACAATTTGAAGGGCCGGAAATCCATACCAGCTGCTTTAAATGATGAAAAAACTAAGGAAGGTGCTAAATTTGTTATGAACTCTGACGATAAAACTAATGAGAGTCAAACTCAGGCTGCGGAAGAGTATAAAGGAGATGGCTTCACATATTATGAGGAATCACCTAAAGAATTGATGTCATATGAATACAATAACTATTCTAAGACACCAATAAGTGTTTTAGTTAAGGAAAAAAATACAGTATATGATAAAGATAATTATGAACAACTGAATTCTCCAGCAACAAAAAAAGAAGAGAATTTGAGATATGAATATCACAAAAAAATGCCAAAATTCGATCAGGATCAAAAAAACATGGCAGCAGACGTCATGAATTATGTTCCAAGATCACTGGTTCATTTTGATTCATTCGATCAAATACCTGCCAAAGAAAGAAATACATTTCTTCAAATCAGAGAAAGACCTGCAGCTACTATATCACCAAATGGCCTTTATTTAATGATGACAGGTAAAGCAGAAGAAGAATGCCCAGAGAATAAGTATGATATTTTTATCAGAAAAAATAAAAATAAAAGTTTGAATAAGTTGGTTAAGCAAAAAAGAGCAAAATTATTAAAAAGGTTTAAAAAATTAGATCTAGAAAACAAGAAACATGGATTAAAGGTTGATGCAAATGATCAATCCAAATTGGATAGATATCAACTATTAACAATGAGTGAATTCTTTTCGAAACGTCAATGGAAGAAATATGATCACAAGCTTAAAGATGTTGTCCTTCATATTGATAGTATGAATAAGGTATTGGAATTGTGCTATATGAATTATATCACGTATTCAAAATATGCATCCACTTCTAAATATTATGAAAGGCTTCCACGTAGAATTAAGAAAGAAACTAATGCAATACAACAAAAGTTCAATACTATACCATTCACAGCTTTGGGAAGTTACTTACCAACTGAGCAAGATTTTGAAATTCTCACTAAATCTGTTAGTAAAAGTATTAAAAAGGTGAGAAGAAGGTTAAAGCTTACTAGAGGTAAAAGGGTATTGTTTATTGCATATCAAAAATCTCCAGTAACTTCAATTAACTTACCTTTGGATGATGCAGCAATTGAACAAATGATTAAAGGCCAAGTCTCACAAAAGAAACAGTATAAGTATAAAAGTTTTAAAAAGATATTTAAGCAGATGAAAAAAACACAATATAAAAAAAACCCAAGATTCAATTTGGTTTATGTTGAAACTATTCATGTATATTTAACAGTATTAAAGAATTTCTGGATGTGTTTGGTTTCTGGAATATTTAAGATATTAAAACATAAGCAAATTACATCTACATGTATTGTAGGTAATGTTCCTAATTATTCTGTTGCAAATATCTTAAATAGAGTAGCAATTGCAATGCTAAAGTCTTCTCCTATCACAAATGTTTCTAAATTCATTCTATTTCCTGTTACTATTGGAAATGAAAAATATGGATGTGATCAAAAACATAGTGATCAGTTATTTGGTCACATGATTGAAAGATGGGACCAACCAATATTTACTTTGAATGGATATCGTATATTAAAGAGTATATGGTATGGATCAAGACTTTATAAATACAATCTGTCTATCGTAAATAACTATGCAAGATCTTTTGATGCATTGAGATACCGTTTTCAAAAAACATTTAATAATACTTCACCTGTTCTTATACTACAACAAGCTTTTCCTTTTGGTTTCTTAACAAGAGTAAGTGATTGTAATCGTTTATTGAGAGATTTAAAGAAGATCAAGTTGATTAGAATTACCTTGGTTTGTTTAAAAAAAAACGGTGGTACAGAAAGTATTAATCAAAATGATTTATTATTAAAAGAAAGTGAATTATTAGGTTTTACTACAACTAAAAAGCAAAGGAAAGAGGGACAAAAAAGGTTGGTTACTATTAATAATGTTAATTCTCCAAAAGATATGGATATAGTAAATGAATGGTTAAATGGTTTAAGAACTAAGATTCTTAATAATAATATTCAAATGATGATCATTCCGATGATGGTGATTGAAAAGAAATCCTTTAGAAAGAATTATAAAAGACTAAAAAAAGTTTTAAGGTTACAGAGAAAAAAGAAGTCATAATTTTTTAATAAGAGACCCCGTTATACTAATAATAAAAACATCATATTCTTTGAATTCTAAGGCTTTCTATTAATTAACCCCAAAATTTAAATTATTATATTTAATTTTAATTTTAATAAATATCAATAGAACATTTTTGGCTAAATATTAATTAATTATATAAAAATAACTTTATTCATTGTTTATCTAATAATTTAAATTAAAAAAAAAAGTGTAAATCTTAATTATATTATCATTCCTCTGCATTTTTACTTTTAATTGTTTCAATCATATAAGGAGATTCGTCTGGTTTCAGTGATAATAATAAAGGATTAATAATAGTATTAGGAGGGATTTGATCACTTGTTCTTAAAATTAATATAACTCCAGGAATAGTTTTAAACCTCTTATCATTTACAGTATTTCCATTAGCTTTTGCTGATATTGTATCTTGAATATTATTAAATATCCTATTTAATACTCCCTCATCTGATCCTGATGCTGATCCTCCATTTACTGTGCCTGGTCCTGTTCCTCCTATACCCCATCCATGTTGCATCAAAATTTCTTTACTTGAATCATCTTTTAAACTGATAGTGTCAAGTAATTTAATAATCAGAGTTTTAGCCAATTCATTGGATAAAAATCCAGAATTTTTTGTTATTCTTTTATTAGTTAAATATTCTACTAGAGAGTTTCCCATCCATTCATTTGTTATTGATGAATCAAAAGCAAGTCTTAATGCTTCTTTTTTCCATTCATTTAAGTTAATTTGATTCTCATCTTGGATACTGGTCTTTAAAGGGTCAGAAGATGTTGGAATTGTAATTAACCTAACCAAAGAATTATTCCTTGGCTTTGCTCTCCACTCCATATTATTCATTTTAATGAATAGCTCAGATAAATATTTTTCACAATACTGAGAAGTACCTGGACTTGATAAATTATATGGTAAAGTATCTTCAAAAGTAAATATAAAGAGCTTTTCTTGAGCATCTTTAATCTTTAATTTTTCTTGTAATTCTCTTTTTCTTATTAATAATCCATTAACTTCCGATATCCTCTGTTTAATTCTTTTAATAATTCGAATACAAGGTTCTTTATCTGGTCTTGGTGATACCTCAATATTTGCCAAAAATATAGGTGGTAAATTCTTTAATCCCTCGTAATTATGACTCATGTTTAATGAAGATGATGATCTCATAGGTGAAAATATATTCGGACTTGAAATACTTCTAGATTTTGTGATTGCATCCAAACTTTTTCCTGATAAAACTTCTTTACAAGTTCTCATATGTTCATGTATCCACTCTGAAGGGAAATTATTAATGACAGTTTCAATTGTTTCTGGTGTTTGACCATTTTGTGTTTTTTCGTTACTTCCACTACTAATTGTATTTCCTAATACCCTATATATCACAGGTGGTATATTACTCATTATATATCCAGTTCTACTAGTATCACCAATCATTAAAGTATCCATAAAGTCTGTTAGTAAAACAAAAACACGTATAAAAACTCCATTTTCTGTCATCTTTTCTTGGAAATTTTCGAAAGTTATCATTGTGGAATTATAACATTCATCATACTGCATTCCTGGTAATACTGTTCTTGTCATTACTTCATTTTGACTTTGTAACTTTCCAGAATCAAAAGACCGAGAAAATATATCTAAATTTCTTTTAATTGTATTAATAATATTATCACAAGTTATTCCAGATGATGGAGGTCTTTCATTCTGAACATCATGCAGCATATACAAACTCTCTGAAAAACCATTTTCAGTTTTTTCCAGGGGATGGTTGTGCTGGTTTACATTCTTTTCATATTCAGTATTTCCAACCAATGTATTCTTCAAATCAACTTCAGGAAAATCACTTGTAATCTTTTGAACCGATATTGGAGTATTTAAACGTTCCTTTCTACCCAAATTAGATGATAACGAGTCACTTCTTTTCCTTGAAAAATCCTGATTAGGCTGCTCCTCTTCTTCCTTGATCTTATTCTTTTCCTGGTCAAGTATTTTTTCTTGTACTGATTCCTCAGAAGACTGTTCAACAGTGCTTTCTTTATTTGATGAGTTACTTTTCTCACTCATTTCCTTAATTTTATTTTCTAATTCTTTCTTAAACTTTAATGCACTCAAATCTTCATCCCCCACCTCATTCTCATCCTCTTCCTCCTGAGCATAGAAATCAACTTTTTCTTTATAATCACTTGCATCTAAGCCTTGTCCCGGCAATGGAGGAGAACTAATTTCACTTGAATAGCCCTTTAAGTTTTTAGTTTTCATTTCTTTTCCAATATCTTCCGTTTTTTCTGCACCAGGTATAATAATATCGTTACTAACCTCTTCGAATACCTTATTTGAACTCTCTTCATTGTCATCCTGATGTTTATATCTATCAGATTTTTCTTCTCTGGCTTCATTGATATTGTTGCTATTATCATATATATGAAAATCAGAAGAAATTCCGGTACTTGCGTCCCCTTTACCCTTATTATCTTTCCCATGTTGATTTGCCTCACCAGATAATTCTCTCTGAAGAATTAGCTGCTTATTTAACTCAGAAATCGTATTTTGAGTTTCTTCCAATAAATTCTTCATATTATTCAAAGACTGCTCCTGGCCCTCAATTTTCTCTAACAAAATTTCTCCAAGTGAATTTTCAACATCCATTCTATTTACAGATGAATCCGATACCTGATTCCATAGTACTTTACTTTTCTCAATTTCTTCATTGTCCATTACTTTAGATATCTGATTGTTTAATTCACCAAATGTAGAAACTACGGATAATTCCATAGTAGCTAATTGTCTTTGACCCAAAATCAGTAATTTCTTCTTTTCATCATCAGAGAGCTCATCTAGGCCCAAGTTTCTTAATCTATTCAACTCTTCAAGCTCTTTTTTATTTAATGGTTTTATTTCACTGCTTAGTAAATAATCTTCTTGTTCAGCTTCTCCTTGGCCAAACATTACCAAAGCATTTTTATTGGAATTCAAACGTTTTTCTATTTCTGCCTTTAATTCTTTCTCAAACTCCTTCTGAGTACCAGCTTTCGCCTTAATCTTATCAAGTTTTTCCATTGCTATTTTTACATTATTCTCACAATTACCATAATTTAATTCTGCATTTTTAACAATTTCAGATGCTAACATTCTTTCCTTTTCAGCAACATCTAAAGATTTTTGCAAATGTTTTATTATTTCATCAGATGGAGCTCCTGACCTTTTAATCTCTTCCAACTGATCTTTCAGACGTTTTTCAACCTGGGTAATATCATTATACTTTTCTCTTGCAATATTTAATTCATCTTGAGCTTTTTCCTTTTGGATTTTCAAATCTTCTACCTTCTTCATCAATTCTCTCAAACTTTTGTTCTGTTCCTCAACTGTTTGAATCAAGTCGTTATTAATCATCTCTAATTCTTCCCTTGTATGTTGTAATTCTTCTTGCTTTTCTTCTAATTCAAGAATTCTTTCCTTAAGTTCTTTAATAACTTTCTTTGCCTCTTCTGACTCTTTTGACTCAAGAATCTGTAATACATAGTTCAAATAGTCAGTATCTCTCTGTTTTTGTTTTTGGTATGCCAATTCTAATTGTTTCTCCCTATCCTTTAGCCTTTGCTCAATTGCTTGTTTAATCTTCTCATCACTCAAAGTATTTTCCTCAATCTTCTCTAAATTCTTTTTTGCTTCATATTCCAAGTTACTAACCATATTACTCAATCCAGATATTGTATCATCTTTGCTCAAATTTTTCTTCAGTTCACTCAACTGTCTTTCATAAGATTCCCTCATCTCCTTCATCTCAATCTCCTGTTTTGTCTCTAGCTCTATCCTATTTTTCTCCATCTTTTTTATATAATTATCCTTCATGTTGATCAGTGTTCTAATATGTTTATTATCTGTCTCCAAACCTTTCAACCTTTCATCCAAAAATTTTTTCTCTTTTTCAATTTCTTGTATTGCTCCAGATGCTGTATCCAATGCTGCTTCCAGTTGATTCACAGAATCTCTCATATCTCTCCTTAACTCTTCCTGCTTCTTCTTATGTTCTTCTTCCATTTTTTGACGTAATTTTTCTTGGTTCTTCTTTAAAAGATCCAGTATTTTTGCATGCTCCTCCAAATTCTTCTTGTACTCGTTTTCTAGCTGATCCCTATTTTTCTGTTCATTTATTACTGAGTATTTTAATATCTCCACATTTTTTGTTGGAACAAGCGTTTTTCCCTTCTTCTCAATCTTATTCACTCTCGCTGCCAATGCATCCTTTAATATTTTTTGAAACCTCTTTAGCCTCTCTTTTTTAAGTATATTTTGGAAATCGTACTTTTCATTCAATATATCTTGAATGAATATATCTTTGGGAATGTTTGCAATTACTTCTGAAGATTCTGACTCAGTCTCACTGATACTTGTACTTTCTTCTTTATTTCTTGAGGATCCTCTTCTTCTTCTCTTACCGTTTTTTCTATTCCTCTTACTTGATTTATTATCACGGCCCCTGTTTCTTCGTCTATTTTTAACTCTTTTACCCTTATTCTTAGATTTGAGTATTCCTTTTGGAATATGTTTCTCCCTATAAATACCATAGTAATTGTCGTCTATTCCCGACCTGTTCTTTCTCGTTGCTAAAATATTTTGAAAGTTATCATCCTTAGATTTTCCAATTCTGATGATTTGTCTAACCATGTAATCTTCTCCTCTACTCATCAACTCATTATAATTATCTGGATTTATTTCTTCTATATAAGAAAACAACTTCTTTATTGCTCTTCTGTCTTTACCTGTTAAATGATTGTCTCCTTCATTATCATCACCTATATACCATTTTACAATAGCAGTCCTTGCTGCATCTCTAAACTTGGAATATGAAACTGAATTATCATCATCTTGAGAAGAATCTTTATCTTGAAACGATTCATCTGCTTCAAAATTCAAAAATGGTTGCTTATTTACTCTCCTTCCCGTCATTCCTTGAAAATTTACCTTTAATAGAGGATCCTTATAAATATTCAAATTACCACCTTTCCTTTGAACTGGAAATGAAAAAAATTTATCTGGGCTTTCATCTATTGTACTTCTTTCATCTTCAGATAACTCATTATTATCAAAGTAAGCAAGTCTTTGAATTTGTGGGTCATTTTCAGGTGATCCATAGTCATATGAATCTGCCAATTCAGAGCTCTGGAATGGCTGAATTAATGGTTCTTCACCACCAATATACTGATTTTCCAAGTATCCCCCTAGTCTTGGGTTTATCATTAACTGAGAATCTGGTTCGATCTCATCATTTTCGATCCTATTTTGAATAAGTGGTCTAACAAACTTTTCATTTTCAAATTCCAAATAATTATTTGATGTTTCTGGCCAATATAGATTTGTTCTTTCAATCAAATAATCGTGTAGAGAATCTACATCTCTATATTTGTTTACATAATTGGGCCTTTTCCAAAAGTTTCTATACTCGAGCAAGTTTATACTAGCTCTATCATCCGGTTGTATTACCGTATATTCCGGTGTTTCTAATATTCTATTTGGAGGAACAATAATAGAAGAAAAACCATCAGTATTGAAATTTGATATCGGAAATTGTTTGTATTTTGATAACCCTGGAATTTCTTTTGTTCCAACTTCTATACATATCTCTGAAGTAACTGAATTAGGAATCTCATAAACCGGAAGTTTTTCTGGAGAATATACCACCCTATTACGATTTGGAGGTTTAATTACTTCAATATCAACTACATTCTGTGATGAATCAGGAGAATTTGCGTTGGTATTAATTTTTTCTGCATCTTCTGGAATATCAAAATCAATGACTTTACGTCCTTGTGTATTTTCACCTCCAATCACCGCAGGAGTTGGCTTTACAGTGTTTTTACCTTTATTATCCATATCAAGTATGATTTCTTCTTTATTCTTTTGGCCATACCTACCCTTCCAAGCATTCTGGTAATCTCCAAAAATACTATCGTCAACCATTTGCTCTGTTGAAACCAAAAGCATTATCATATATCCATTGGAAGATTGATATGTGTGTTGAGCACATGCTGATAATAATTCACTTACGCGATAAATCCAAACTTTTTGAAATCCTAAAATATTTGAAATATATGGGTGGTATCTTGCACCAGACAATGGCCATCTCATTCTTGGTTTTTGAGAAAGTAATTGTTTGCATGCTATTTCTAGAAATTCTGGAATTTCTGCTAAATCTCTCGGCTCTTTTTCAATCTGATTGGGAGACATCCCCAATAGTAATAACCTAACCGGAATGATATCTTCATAATTAAGTATACTTTTATTACTCTTAACTAACTCAACCTTCTCAAAGTGCCATAATATAATCCTTTTAAAACATGCTCCAGAATCATCTACAGGAACAGGCCTAAGAATTGTATACACTATTAAGTTTTCTTTTGCGTTTGAAGCCGATCTTTTTACATCGTTTTCCAATTTATCTATTATTAGCTGGCATCTTTTTTCTGGAGTAAAATTAACCCAATTTTCATCCGCTACTTTGTCATACTCATTTTCTTCTATCCCTATTTTATACAGCTTTTCTTGTTCAATAAGACTAGCCTGAGTGTCATTTGCCAGAGTAACTTGGAAATTAAGATATAAAAAAGTACAAATTAGACAAACTAATTCAATTGGCTTCATCACTGAGGAATTAATTTCCCAAAATCCTCAATGAACTTATTTTAAATCTTTTTTCAAGTATTTTAAACTTAAATTGATTACTTCTTTTTTCCCACGTAACTTTTCTTAATTCATTCCCAATTTATAATTTGAATTGGTTATTCTATTTTTCAAATGATAATTTTACTTTTAATTTTATAATATTAACTCCTTAGAAATGAATATCCTTTATTTATTTTCCCATATATATATCGTATCGTTAACCAATGACTTTAATTCTATTATTTTGTACGACATGACGTCATTCTGATATATACGTCAAAATGAGCCTCTAAATTATGTAGACCATACAGAATTACTAAATTATTTGATTGTCTAATATTCAGAAATTGAGAGTAAAATAATATATATCCACTGATTAGTAAATCATACTATGTTTTTATTTGTTTATTCAAGTATCTTTATCTCAAGTTCTGAATTAAAATAAATTTTTGACTTTTTTTTCCCACAATTTCCCATTTTTTTTAACATATGCACACAATTTTATTTTTTCATTTGAATTCACAATTTTTATTTTTGAAATAAACTAATCAATTTTCTCACACTCTTACGTTATCACTTGCAATATAAGCTTTGTTGTGCATGTAAAAACAGCAAAAAAATATCCACATGCAATTTTTGATAATAAAAAATGTGTGCATGTAACAATTCAAGTACCGGTGTAATAAAAAATGGCGGGGAGCATCAAAAAAATGATGAAAAAGGATAAAAAAACACAATTAAGAATTAATTAGCTAAAGAAAAAAATTTTTAAAATAACGGTGTGGGGATAATGAATAATAAGCTGTAGTTAGATCAAGAATTTGTAGCTGAGAACTCTGCAAATGTGTGAGCAGTTGAGTGAAACCGAAGATGAAAGGCGCATTTTTGCATTATTTGGGAACAAGTTAGATAATTTAGAGGATCCAGATTTTACTTTGGATGATTATATCAATAAGGAGTTTCCTAATGAACAAAGCTTGTCCTCATCACCTGAGAAAATTAAAGAGACAGCCAGTATTCTTGAGGAAATAGATTCATATATTGGAAAGGAATTAAGAAATTTAGCTTCAAGTAATTTAGTTGTTAAATTTGAAGAGCATTTAAAAGTATTTGAAAGTGAACTTGTTCCGAAGATCCGAGAAAAGGAAATGCAGGATAAACTGTTTAAGAGAGATGTTGAATATATTTTGGGGAATATTCGTGAATTAGATGAAATCCACAAGAACTTAACTTATAGTGTGAATTTCTTGGAAAGTCTACAAATTTTTAATATTATCAGAGCTGATATTGAAAGGCTTATGGGTTCCAGGACATATAGTGAATTGGTTCCAATACTCATTCTAAGCTATGATTTGTCAACTTTTTTAAAAGATCAGCAAGAATATAACAAAGCTGTAATTGAAATTAAAGACCAAAAAAAACAAGATAAGGTTTATCAAGAGATCCAAAATAGCTTGTCAGAAATGGAAAAACTTTTTGGCCTACTTAAGCAACAAATTGTTGAAGATTTCTTAGCATTAATAGATCCATATATATTATTTTTAGGAGGAATAGACGATCAAAACGTTCATTCTCAAATTACTCCTCCTCAGAACCTAGAAGCACCTGAAGAATTTAGAAAACAAATGAGGTCATGCTGCTATTGCGTGGAATTAATTGGAGACCATTTCCGTACTGAAATAGTGGACATGTTCATCACTAAATTGCTCGAGCCTTATTGTAGGTTATTTAGTTATAGCCAGGCTGAAAATTTTTTTGGTACCCAAAACAAAGTGATTGGACAAAACAAAGAAAAGGTTATGGTATCTGCCACTGGAGTTGAGTTTATTGAGAGAAGGTTTGGTTGGTATAGAAGATGTTTGAAAGAGTACGAACAACAATTTGGAGATATTTTTCTTACCAAATGGGAACTACAAACGGAGTTGACTGAAAAGTTTTTTGCATACACCAGAAAAGATTTACTTCAAACTTTGGGAGATATTGGACATTTATTGGATCACCAAGTCATTTTTGAATATAGCCTAAAATGCCATCAGTTTGAAGAATATATAACATCACGTTTTGCTCAATTATACGATCAGCAGCTACTTTTTTCAGAATTGGAAAAGGAAAATCTTCAAGATATTCTTAATAGTAATATCAGTAATCAATTAATCAGGGAATTTTTTGGAAAATTTAAAGCTGATGCTGAATCTTTTCCATACTTGAATCTTTTTAAACTCACAAACTCGGAATCCCATTTAAACAAACTAAAAAAGGAAATGCTTGAGTCTAGCTTTTCATCTCATGATATGAGAGTAAAATATCCACAAATTAAAGGCCTACTAACTGAGTGTTTTGTCCCATATTTAACATCGTTCTTAGAGTTGGAGAAGGAATCCATAATAAAGAAGGTAACTAAAGAACTAGCTCCTGATGATCAAATGACAGAAAATATTCAAATCAAACGTGAGACAGATGTCCTTGGCCATTATGAAACTATTCCTCTCATCTGGAGCTCCTCTAAAAGTCTTTCTCAGCTCATAAACACGGTATTCCAACAAATTGAACATCTACTCGATTACGACGATATTTATATACAGTTCAATGCTCTAATATTACATGCAGTACAAGCATATATAGATCAGAAAGTCATTTCATGCAACATACAACGAGCACTAGACAAAATTACAAATAATAACATCTATTCAGGAGGTTCTTCATTTGAAAACATTGTTGAAGCTGTGGTTACGACTGTCTCCACTCAAACCAGCAAAGTTGCCGCATCCACAGGAGGAATTCTTTTCACCTTAGCATCCCATGATCACATAAACTCCGAATTAAAATATAATGCTCGCAAGCTAGCTGCAACCCTCGGCTCGATTGATTACCTTGAATGGATAAATGCAAGACTGGAGTATATGATTAAAGGAAACCGGGTCAATGATATTTTTGAACTTGATAAGGTTAATATGGATGCTAGCAGTCGAGATCTAAGGCCTAGAGGCCAAAGCGTCATGTTCAGTAATTACATGTGGGTCTCGAGACGAAAAATTCTAGGTTGTGTAATCAGGGAACTATCACGGCCAGTAACACTGAGCATGTCAGAATGGTACACAAAAAAAACACAAAAACTTAACGAGACGATGATGGCAAAGGGCATTTCGGAGTCTGAGTCGCCGAATTTAGGTCATAGCTTTATGGGCAGCACTTCAAGTTTGGTCCAGGTTTTGGGCGAATCCTTGGTGAGACAATATGTCCAATACTCGCAGCACATGCCGACAATTTATAAATACAGCATAATAAGCCAGGTGATCATGCGAAGTTTGAGAGATAACTGGAAATTTTTGGTGTCTCTCAAAGGTCCACTACACTATGGCACACTAGAGGTGGTGGCCAATGAGCAACAGAAGCTATCCTCTCTTTTTCTGGAACTTCCGTCCTATTTTCCAGCAATGTACGTTCCTAGGGCATATGTTGAGAATGTGAAAATCATTATGAACAAAAGTATTGCCTTTCTTCGTATTGCACAAAAAAAAGCTGCTCAAATGGATAATTCTCAGTTTGACCAAACTTCTATACAACATTTTATGACACAGCTGTACAGAAATCTTGAAATCGAGCCTAAAAAAGACGAGCTCTCAGCTTTTCACGTGAATCTGGCTTTAAGACTTGGAAATAACACTGGTCAACACCAGTAGCTTCGCCCAAAATAATCAAGAAAAAGTAAAAAACAATAAAAACTTAAAACCAATATAACATTAATTATCATCAAATTCAATAAACAAAAAAAATAAGTATTGCAAACATTTGCATCTTGTACACTTCCAACAAAAGACTTTCCATTTTGTTTCATTTGGCACTTCTTCAAAGATTACACAATTGGAAATCAATCAAGACCGAGTGGATTTCTATTATGCCAGAGGATGTTCTGTTGACTTAATTGGGAATATTAACGGTTCTTCTTCTCAAATCAAAGCTTCAAAATTCTATTCGGTGTGATAAGGATACATAATTTCGGTAAATCATGAAAGTTTCTGGTGGAAGATGGCCTTTCAACTTTAGAATGTATATATAAATCTAAATTATCTTAGGGCGTTTGGATTATTGGGAAATAAAGTCTGGAATAAACTGGAAAAGTTAAGATAATACTCCTCTTTATAAAAATAAATAAAAATCAAAATAAACCAAACTATGTACCTTAATCATATGAGGCATCAACCAAATCGAATTTTAATTCCTTCTCAGGCAATTATAAATATATATTGCTAACGTTTGAAAAGAGGAGACAAACAATATTGGAGAGAGATATAGAGAGATGATGGGTGATTTTAATTAGATAAATATTGCAAGAACCCATGCAAGGGGGTTGCAAACTCCGGTATGTATTGCATGCAGATTGAGATATTTGACATGAATTTCCCGCAACACTTCCAGTAGAAAATTCCAAATAATTTCAATCCCAATCATTCTATCAGACTGGTTTATTTGATCTCGAAGTATTTCATTAAAATTTTCCCAGAATCAAGAAAACGATCCACAGGCCCTCTCTCAATGCGTTATCAGAAAGAAGTGGGTAATGTCCAAAGTGATAAATATATTTCCTTTCTCAAAATAAAGCAGAGAAAAAAGGTAAGTGTTGTACAAAAGAAGGGTGGCGTAGGATATAATATAAATACAATATTCACAACTTAAGGAGGGTCAGGTTGAGACTTCATAATTACATCATTAACATCACAGTGTTAAGATCTGGCAGCCATTTTTTTTTACCTTATAAAATCAGAGTTTTATGGGATCAGGATCAAGTCTTATCGTTGCTTGAGGTTTCTGTTTGTTCTTGCTTCTATAATGAATCATTTACAGAACATTCAGTTAGGGAGGTATTTCTTTAAGAGGATGGTCCAGAACTGGAGTTGTGGTTGCTATCATTGCTATTACTACTATTGTTACTATTAACATTAACATCATTATTATTATTATTATTATTATTAATATTATTATTATTATTAATATTATTATTATCATTATTATCATTATTACAATTTTGGGGAATGGTGTTGGTAATTGAATCATTCTGAATAATATTATTTTGAGAGCTCTCCATATAACCCATTTGGCCATATCCTCCCTGAGGCAAGTTATTTTTTAATAAATGCTGTACGAAGTGTTCTTGGCCTTGTTTTATGGAAACTTTGAGTTTTCTTCCTTGTTCTGTAATGAACCCATTCATATGGTTAACAGCCTCAGCCGCAGAGTGAACATTATCATAGGAGACAAATGCCACTCCCTTATTCCGGCCACTGGTCTTGTCTACCATAAGATGAGCGGATAAGATGTTGCCAAAACGGCAAAAAAGTCCAACAAGACTCTTCTTATCCCACTCATATGGAACATTAAAAATGAAGATGTTGGCTCCAGGTGGACCAACAACTTCTCTGGAAAAACTTGGACGAAAGCTCAAAAATTCTGGAGGAATCTCCCATTGCGTTACCTGCGTTAATTCATTATGGTAATATGGTTTACCATCAGAAGTAAAGTATTCTTTCCACATACCAATACATCTTGGCATTAAATTGGCAGTAATGGCAGCTGCAGCCGTGGCACTAGTAGTAGAGGTTGGCATTGAAAGTCCAACAGCACGTGAACGAGAGAACATTGCAGCTGTGGAAGTGGTTGTTGCTACGGCCACCCCATTATGATCAAAAAGTGTAATTGCTCTTCCGCACGAAGGATGGTGATGGCCTGTTTGTACGGTATTGGCTCCCCCAGTGAATGAGCCAATGTGCAACTGTTCAGCTAATGGATGATGACCTGAACTTTGCGATAAACCTTTTGAGTTACATCCAATAAAATGTTGCCCTGAATGATGGTTATGAAATTGGTAAGCTGATCCTCCGATTCCAACTGAAGGCTTTGAGCTGCTAGAGGCTTGTTGAGACATTGGTGAGGTTGAAGAAGCTAATGTGCTAGCATTACACAAAACATTATTGACGTTACTACCTGCTCCAACTATTCTGGGAGAATGGAGTTTTTGCATTGGGTGATGTGCAAAGTTAAAATGACCATTAAAGTTGAGAGCTGCTGCTCCAAAAGATAAATGAGCCCCATGAGCCATTAATGAGCTGTTTGAAGATTGGTGATTTTTAGATGCAAAACGGACTTCAATGGGCCTATTAACATCTGTAAGAGTTAAGGCCCCATGCAGAGACTTGATAGCAAATAGTCCCTGTTCTTTAAAAGCATATTTAACAAAGGCACAACCTTTTCCCATTCCGGAATGAGGCTCCCTCATGATGAAGATTTCATTGATTAAACCATATGGAGAAAACAATTCCTTAATCTCTTCTTCTGTAATATTTTTGGGGAGAGCTCCGACAAACAATTTAACTTGATCGACTCCTGGAATACAAGATTCACTTTCGAACCCCAACCTTTCAGGTTCACCAGTGGAGTATTGTACTTTTAGAGGTCCTCTTAGTTCGTCTAAAACTTTAATAGAATTGAGTTCGCGAATAGCAAAATCCGCCTGTGCAACTGATTCCATAGTAACTAAAGCTGCTCCTCTATGGATTCCAGTACTCTTTTCTCGGATCACGGACACATTTACAACTCGGCCATACAACTTAAATAGATCCCGGAGATCATCTTCCTCAATATTTCTTGGAACCCTACCCACAAACAGCTTTATCTCGACATTGGGGGCAGGATAAGCATTAGGAACTGTAAAATAACCAGTTCCAAAGTTATGTGGTGTGCAAAATACAATTGGATCAATATTGCCACTACTTCCAGCGTGGGATGCTGCATTTACAGCTTTACAAAGACGGTGGTTAAGTCTATCGGATTCTGATGTTCGGACTATTCCTTTAAGTGAAATTGAGTTATCGTCTTGGACAATGTCACGCCCAGACTCTTCATATGTCATTTTAGAGTTGCTTAAAGATCCATGGCCAACCAAGGCAGGGCCATCAACACCTCCTTTTATTAATGGTGATGACCCATCATCTTGATTCTTTGGATTTTCAAAAACTGTATTATTTTGGTCCTGCCTTTCAAGACTTTCTGGAACATGACAATTCCGGAGATTTTGCTGATCACATTGGAATTGATTTTGATTTTGATTAATCGTTTTACTAGAGTTATTAGTTGTGTTGGAAGGTTCCAAAGCTTCCTTTGCTGGGTCGGATAACCTGTTATTATATGTGTAATCATCATTAAAATCCTCTTTCTTTTTGCTTTTTTTATCTTCTTCTACAATATGCCGTTGATAATGATCTTCCAATTTGTCATTATTAGCTCTACTTTTGTTAGACTTAATAGACTTGTTATTGTTCTTAGAGCCACTAATGTTCTTTTCTCCAATATTATTTTGCTTTTCTGAGACAAAATTCCGAGTAACATTAACCTTGAGTCCATTTAGGCACATTGGCTCTTCAGATCTCTGCTCACTTATATGCTTAGATACTTCCTCATCATCTTCCTCCTCCCCCTCCTCCTCCTCCTCCTCCTCCTCTTCCTCTCCCTCCTCCCCTTCATCTTCCAAATTAATCTCTTTAACTGTTAAATTCTCTAGTTCTGGCCTAACCCCAGATTCACTATCCGGACTCAATTTGTGGTGTTCCATCTTTCCCCAGTTACTATTTAGTAATGAGATCCGAAAAAAATTGTGATTCTCTCTTCGGAAAAATGGCCGATTTCTCTTGTCCGTAAAATGCTCTGATATGGCAGCTATTCTCAATAATCTCTTTCCTTGTTCTAATCTTCAAGGAACATCTTACTTAGAGTTTGAGCTTATGTCCCAAATAAAAGCAGACGCTTTTTCAGCGGTCAATCTGGAACTTCCTATATTACCCCGTTACTCAGAGTACGAAGTGCCTCCTAACCTTAAAAGATCTACTTCCCCAGATCCACTCCTATTTTCGTTTTTTTCTATTTCTAAAGGAACAGGCCCACTCTATTACAACCTTTAGAGTTTCCTGAGCTATTCTATTCTAGCCTATTCCCCCTTTTTTCTAAGTATTATAAGCTCTTATATAGCTAGTCCTTCCTATTTTTTTTATTTTTTATTTTCTTAATAATACTTAGCCGCTCCCTATTTTGATTACTTTTTATTATTATTATTATTATTATTATTTATTATTATTATTATTATTTATTATAATATTATAATTATTATAATTATTAATTTATTAATTTATTAAATTTTGAATTATTATTTATTATAATTATAATTATTTTTTTTTAGTAATTAAAGACTAGGACCTTATATTAACGAAGGTTAAAGCTTGAATTATATTTATCATAAAAAAGAAAAAATTAAACCATATAAAAAAAAACTATCCCGCTGATTTCTTGTTAATCTTGGTCAACTTTTTTTAAATCCAACTCTTAAATTTGCCAAAAATATCTATTTATTAATCTATTTATTTCTTCTTTTTCCATTTATTTGTTATTTACTTTTTTACTCTTCTTTCTTATTATTTTTTATATTTGCGATACCCAGTTTCCCGCAAAGTAGACAACATGCACATACTTCCGCCGCCGTTAGACGTGGGCGTAACTGCTCGTAATAATAATAATAATATTAAATAGATAATAAATAGGGTAAATTAAATAATGTGAGTAAATAATTTATAGATGAAGATAGAAAAAAATAAATTTGAAAAAATGATATGGAATATAATTTGATAATAGTAATATAAGTTTATATAATAATATAAAGTATTGTTTTGCCCGCCTTTATTTGCTTATAAGTCTTTAAAGAATTATGTCCAGTCTGTGCGGGCCAGTATGAGTTTAAAGATGCATGTATTAATTATTTTTAATAACATTGCTTTAGATCTATATATATATTATATATATATATATATATATATATATATATATATATATATATACATATGCCTTCTCGTAGGGAAGTTTAAATAGGATATTGTGTTAAATTGGTATAATTGATTTACATAACTTATCAAGTATATAATTATATACTAATATAATCAGTGTTTTTTTTTTTCTCAGCAAACATTCCGGATAATTTTGCATAGGTTTTAATAATAAAATAATATTCACATAATAAACATGTTTTTACGGTAGTTAATAGGCTAGTTCGGTTTGCTACAAGGTGGGTGGGAGTTTTTCCCTTTCATAATAAATATTGAATATAAGAACTAATATGCCAGCAGAGGAAAGAGTGAGGAATACGATTCACATAAATAAATGTAATAAGATTTGGCACTCAGTATAATTACTATATGCTTTAAGATATCCGAATCCTCATTATAGAAGTATACATAATTACATGAAAAAATGTTCTGTTATAGGATGTGAAAAACTAGAGGAATTTGAGTTTGAAACCGTATCTATAGATATAGATAGGTAGAACCTTATTAAAATTCGTTATTGTTCTAAATGGAAGATTTGTCAAACAAGAGGACGGCCAGGACAAGTTGCAGAAGTTTTGTAATTAAATATACATTTTGTAAACAGTGCATTTTTTTTCGCGGTATTTTAATAAACTAAATCTACAGGTCCAACCGGTATAGCGTACAAGTATTTATATGTATATATATATAAATATACATATAATTATAATAATAATTATAATAATAATAGTAATAATGATAAATAAATAAATAAATAAATAAATAAATAAATATAATATATATATATATATATATATATATATATATAAATATATACTGCATAAAATGTATTAATAAATAAATAATGGATTTTAATTAGCAAATAAGGAATTATATTATCTTTTTAATTAGGTTATATTGAATCAGTGCGTAACATACAAATTTTTAATTATCTAATCTAAACAATTATAAAGTAAGATTTGATATAATAAGCTACTAGCACAAGCCATTATTATTATATTAATAAATTGCTAGTGTTGAAGTAGTTACACAATTTAACTGAAATTTGGAGATTTTAAAAAAAGTTATTAAGAACTGATTCTGAAGTCTAAAAAGTTATTATAATTCTTCTAGTGATTAAATACTTGAAGTTTATTTAATATTTAATATAATTAATAAACTGTGCATTTGGTATCCACATATTCAGACTATTATTAACTACAGTAATAGGTAGGTTAAAGAATAGATTTGTATTGAAGGCATAGATATGAAGATTCTAAGATTAGCACTATTGTTATTCACATTTATGATGTCAATAAATTTAATTGGAAGCATGAAGAGTAAGTACTACCTTGGGAGGTGGAAGAATGCAATCCACTCCGTGGCCGTTGAAGGTACCGATGATCATCCTATGATGAGTGCAATTTACAGACACAGAGAACACAAGGCTGAGATTATTGCCAACTTTGAGGAATCTGTGTCAAATTTGATTGATGTGATAAAACGTGGAATGGTAACAAGTATGGATGGATATATGTATGGTAGAAGGCAGGTTAAAAAGGCACAAGACTATGATCCAATTTCAAAATTGGCAGAGAGTGATGATGCAAAAATAGCAAAAAAGAAAAAGAAAAAGGGTATACCATTGATGGAATGGTTTAGATACTCATCAGTTTTGAGATTGGCTAGTGAATTTGGGTCAGGACTATTGTCATTAAAAGATTCAGTTCCATTTGTAGACCATTCACCTGACATTCTCAAACCTGTAAGAGTATTATCTATTTTAAGTAAGAACAGAATTGAGTGGAGTTTAACCGAAATTGCCTGTTCTACTTACGGAATAGTAATAAGTCCAATGTACGATGCTTTGGGCCCAGACGGAGTAGCACATAGCATTAATTTGGTGGGCTCTTCAACAGTAGTAGTTTCTATGGAAGCTTTAAATACGATTTTAAGCATTCTTTCAAAATTACCGAAAGTCCGATATGTTGTTTTACTTCGACCTGAAGATGGAGGTGATGTAAACTATCCATTAGATAGAGTAGAGCTTACAAAGGATACCCTCAAAGCTTATGGTGTCCAGGTTTCACTTTCTAAGTACGAAATTCCAAATGATGTGAATTTTGTAACATTTGAAGCAGTGATGAGGCTTGGTGAATTGAATTTGAAGGAACCAACTCCCTCTGGTTATGATGACATTAGTTCGATTTATTTTACATCAGGTACAACAGGAGTTCCAAAGGGTGCAATCCATACTAACGGGAATTGGATTGCAGGAGCATCAGCTTCTCTTAGATCATTTTTGAATAGATCTGACTGTACCCTTGAACCAAAAGACAGGTATCTAAGTTTCTTACCACTAGCTCACATTTTTGAACGTGAGGTGCACCACATAATGATTTATTCTGGAGGAACAATCTGCTTTTACGGAGGCGATATTCTAAAGCTGGGAGAAGATATGAAGGCTGCAAGACCCACCATCTTTGTGGCAGTTCCTAGACTATTTACAAGAATTTACAAAGGCAAGGTATTGCAAGAAGTGAGAAAGAAGAGTGATGGAGTACAGAAATTTTTCTTTAAGATTTTGAAAAAAAAGGTTGAGAGCAAACATCCAGTTAAACATTGGTTTTATGATGCACTATCATTTAGAAAAATCAGTAAAGTTCTTGGAGGGAGGATCAGGTTTACATTGAGTGGAGCAGCTCCCTTGGACGAACATACTCAGAGAGATATGAGAGCTTTGCTGAGAACCCATGTAGTGCAGGGATATGGTACAACAGAAGCTTTAGCTGCATTTTGCCCGGAGTTCACAGACTTAAGTGTAAATAACGTTGGAGGGCCAATTCCTTGTATTGAATTTAGATTCTTGAGTATTCCAGAAATGGAATATGACGCAAAAAGTTACCCAATACAAGGTGAACTTTTAATTAGAGGTAGTACAATTTTTAAAGGATACCTTAAACAACCAAAGGAAACTGCTGAGACAATTGACAAGGACGGATGGTTACACACTGGAGATATAGCCGAATTGACCGAAAATGGTGCAATTAGGATTATTGATCGAAGAAAGCATTTATTTAAACTTTCTCAAGGTGAATACATCTCACCAGAAGCTCTTGAGAACATCTACATTGCTCACTCTCCAATAGTTGGCCAAATGTTTATCACTGCAAAGACAACAGAGTCTGTGATTGTTGCAATAATTGCCCCTGACTCTGATTTCGTTAAAGATTGGTCTAGAAAGAATGGTATTCTTATCTCATCAGATTGGCAATCTCAGTTTAGACAAATCTGTAATGAAGCCAATACAAAATACCTACGGGAAGAGATTAACACTCCTCTTCGTGACGAAATTATTGCTTCTTTAAAGCAGGTGGAGGACCAGCAAGGAATAAAGGGATTCAAAAAGGTCAGTGACTTTTATCTTGAGTGCGATGGATTTACAGTTGAAAATGGCATTTTGACCCCAACTAACAAGCTCATGAGGCACAAGGCTAACAAGGCCTATCAAGAGCAAGTTGAACAGCTTTATGCAATAATAAACAAGAAGTTTGGAAACAAGCCATGAATGAGAACACTCATATCTGACTTGACCCCTTTGTATTTCTTTCTGTGTGAGAACCCTTTGCTTTTATGATTTATTACTATTCAAATCTCCTCCCAGTTCATTTTTCTCCAGAAGACCCCCCCTTCAATACTCAGTCTTAGCTTTACAGAATCGGGCTTTTTTGATTACTTTTCTTCCATTTAGGCGCCACTTTTACAATCACCCTTTATTAAATGCCGGTATACATCAATTCTTATGAATGAATTGCATGCAAGCCCGTATGACTGCATGCCAAACATTTTTTCTCGTATCTGGCGGGGTTGTGGTTTGAATTTATATTAGTTGTGAAAATACAAGGTCCAACTAGGTGGAAAGAGATAGACGAATATACAGAAGTGAAGCGAGAAGTTATGTAGGGAGATCATTTTATTATTTTGGTGTGCCTTGAGTAGCTTGCTCAAAATTCTCCGTGGGCTGGTTTTTCTTGGAGACTCTAAAGACGAGAAATGCTAGATATGAGCTCAGTATTATGAGCCTTTCCGTGCATAATATGGTGTGACGTTTGAAGTCTAGAGAATTATGGTTTAAAGAGGACGTTCTCCGTATATTCGTATTTAGCAATACCTCGAATGAACTTTTAAGTGTTAGTATTTGCATTACAATATTGTTCTTGGAATTCCAGTGCTTTTCTCGAAAAAAGTAGATGTTTTTTGAGATATTTTCTTCCTTTTTATTAGGGCTCAGAGTTGAGCTAGTTTTTATCTCGGATTGCCCTTGGGGCTTTAGTTCAGGTTCTTCGATTATTTGCCCTAGAATTAAAAGGCCTTTTCTGTATTTGTCCCAGCAAACAGAGTCAATGAACAGATTTGGGATGAAGATGACCTTGTGAACTTTGGCGTCTTTTTTTTTGTGAATATCCCAAAATACCATTACACTCAGATTTCCAACTTTATGGAATCCAACGTAGAGCAAAAGGCTCTTTTCTTTAAGGAAAACCCAGTCTACTTTTTGGGATTCTTCGATCTCTTTTAGCCCAAAACTATGCGCAATATTAGAGTTTCCTTCACTAGTAATGACATCATTGCCTAGATGGTTGTTCACACTCCCTCCGTTTTCTTTTCGATTACTTCCCTGAACTGAGAAGATGCTATTCAGCATTCCAATTAAGTCCAACGAGAGTAGTTTGTCCTGTCCGCCAAAACTCCAAAGTCTTTGCTTCTTACCATCCAAATCGGATAATATACAAGAGAAACAAAAACCACTTGAGTCAATATCTTTCGTAATCTTTCCGAACCTGGAAATGTTTTCATTAATATTTTTCTGGCTGTTCTGTTTTTTTGGTTGATCTTTGGGTAGATCTGTCAAATCAGGGTTTACCAAATCCATCTGAATGATGCAAGAAACCTTTTCATATCTAAGAGGGATATCCACAATGGGAAACCAGACGGATTTTCGAAAGTCCTGATGGTTATCAATGGAATGTCTGCTTACCAACATAATGCCTCCTTGTGAAACTGCTACAATATAGCAACTAAACTCATGGAATTCTATGCTTACAACCAAGTTAACGTTTCCCATATTGAATTGTTTCAAAATCTTTTCTTTTTGTGCCATTACAAACATATTGTGAAAATCAATATGTTCTGGTTGCGTCAAGTTAAGTAATGAAGCCTTGCTAGACAATTTAAATCTCAGATAAATCAAATCTCCTGACAGAGTACCAATTGTTACATAAGCAGAACCTTCATTACATACCAGTAAATCGATGCAAATTGGTTTGTTCCCAAAAAGATCCTGTTTGCTTGAATATACACACTTAAACCCAAGTTCCTCAAATCCATACATTGAAATATAAAATGATAATCTTTCTTCAAATTGATCTAGGAGTGCCAAAAGTACAAATTCTCTAGGCTTTTCATAAATGGATGTCAAAAAAGAGAATTGTATCCCTGTTCTGTCATTTGCTTCCAACTGACTAATTTTTGAAAAATCCAGCTTTTGAAAACCACCCCTGGAGTCACAGTAGTCCTCTGCAAAAATTAACATAAAACCATCCTTTTCATTCAAATTAAACTTCTCCTTGTTATTATCAAATTCATCTTTTCCTAGCTTATGGTTTGGTCTTAATATATTCTCCTGAGAAATCAAGTCTCTCTTAAACATATCTACTCTGTTTGTAGTATTAGAAAACTCGTTATTCAGAGTCTTTACTGGTTTTAAGTGATTTTGTAGGTCTACCATAAAGTTAAGGGTCTCAATGCTTCCTTCTAGGTAATTCTCCTCCTGCTTTGGTTGTTGTGCCTTCTGATTAAAGTCGTAATTAGCTTCCAAAAGCTGGGGATTAGTTTTGAATAAGACAAACCAAGGCATATTAGCACACTCATGATTTAAGTGTTGCATTATAGTGTATTCTTCTAGAGATATTAAATCTCTCTTAGGATGAGGATCATTAAAAAGCATTATAGGCACTTGCCCAAATTCTTCGACTTGGGCTTTCAGTGCAGTATCTTGGTTCTCATCAGATATTTTTCTTAAGTAGATTTCTTGATTTAGATTACTGGCTAATTCATTAGTGCATTCCTGAGCTGCGTATACCGGTGATTGGTCAGTCCTGATAGCTATAGAAGAGTTAATATATGTAATTGGATGAAAAAGATTGTCAGAGTTGTAAGCCTCAGATCCTCTTTGTTTGAATCCAAAAATCAAATCAATCCATTCGTGAATGTGTTGACTCACTATTTGTCCCTCAAGAGCATATCTCATAGTCTTTAGAAACATCTCAGCTTGGCTAAGATGAGTTGTATTTAGTGATGCAGTGTTTAACTGGTTATTGTCTGTTCCAAATTGCCAATTTGGGATTTGAACATTAAGTAAAGACCCAGAGTTTGTTCTGATATTGAGCTTATTGTTTAAAAGAAAGTCAGGATTCTGCTCGTAAAATTGAGGTATTAATTCCATATATGTAGTTTTTCCTTCAAGAATAGTTTTCCAAGTGTCACTCATTGAGTGAAACATTCTGTTCCATACATCAAAATCTCCCCCATGTAGTTTAAGTTGGTACTCTGGGAACTGTCTAACTAGAAAATAAGAAATATATCCTGGAGTTGAATAGTGAGACCCATAAAGAAATTGCTCTGAAGTTGGTAGGTCCTTCATCCTACTTTTAAGCATCTCTAAGTTACTTCTATTAATTGAACCCAAAGGTTTAGATAAGTCTCTATAATTGGACGGCTGAGAAAGATCCTGCTTGGAATTTAATACAGAATTAAAGCTCACTATAGTCCAGGGGTATATGGGATATTGAGTTAAATCTGCCTTTGACCTACCACCAATACTATTCAAATAATCCAAATAATGGTAGGTAGAGATTGATCCATGTATCCAGAGATTCTGGATGTGCTTTTTAAAACATGGGCTTTGACTAGCATAGAGTGGATCTACAAAAAGCATAGGCAGGCAAGAGGATGAATTAACGGATGAGCACTGACATGATGCATATTGGGGTACCTGACTATTCCATTGACATCCTTTGCTATTCAAGTTCATTAAGTAGGATTGGAGAAAGGCTACAATATGTTCCCTATCTTGAGTTGATTGAAACTCGAGAAAAAAGCTTCTCCAATGTGCTCGTCTTTTACTTGACATGATGTGAGGTTTAAGTTCTTTTCCATATATAATTTCCACAGAGTTTGTCTTCATGGAATATATCCTCTTAAATATAAACCATATGTTTTTTAATGGAATTCTTTTGTATGGTTTGTTTGAAAAGTTTGGAAGTGGTTTAAAACAAATACCAGATGAAACAATGTGTAGAATCCCTCTATGCTTTGTAAAGGGTTTGATTCTATTGACTATTAGAGGCTTAGAAATCAGAAATTGATCTCTGTGGTCCAACAAAAATTCATATTCAACATTCAATATTTCCTTATTATATAGAAAACTAATCCACTTGCCTACCAAATCTTCCAGTTTATTTATAGAGCCGTGTTTTTTGGAGTGTTCCATCCAAAGTTCATTAGAAAGATTCATTATATATTGTCCTATCTCATTTTTAATAGTGATTTCAAACTCAAACCCGCCCTTATTAGATGTACAACTTTCAGAATCTTTGGAAGATAAGACTTGATTCGGAGTAACACTTCTTGATTTACCATCAATTACTTGTACATCCACAAGACGAACAACTTTTGAAAAGACTATCATCTTAGAATGAGTGCTGTCCAATTTTATGTCAATTATTTGGCTAAATAGAATTTTTATCATACTGATGGTTGAGTCATCTGGTTCAATTATTATGCTTTTGCTCCCAATTCTTATTCTTCCTTTGAACGCATTCCCAAACAACCTATGAATACTTTTGCTTTTACAAATACATGATACATCAGTAATATACTCCTCATTTTCTTCCAATATTAAATGTGAAAACTGCCTCACTCCTTTTAGTGCCATTTCCAATTAAGTTTTTTTATTACCTTTTGATGAATTTTTGCTCTTGCTTTTACTTTTCTTCCTTCAACCTTTGAATTATCCTATCATTAACAACTTATATATACTATTCTTTGCCCCAAATACTCAAAATTTGAATGCCCAACTCCACTATATTACTTGTACATCCCAGTGAACTTTCTAATTTTTTCGAGGGTTCCCGCCAAAATCATTAATGGACTAAAAAGGTATCTGTGTGTATATGCACAATACACCCAGTTTTGGCGGCAAATGTGTAAATATATATTTTGCATGAAATAATGATAGATAGGAAAACGTCAAGAAACAGGACATATTGCAAATTATGAAGTAGAGAAAGATTAATAACTAGAGAATTAAGTTGTCAAACTTGTAGAGATGAACAACAAAGCTAGGGATAATGTTAATAACAGGCCAGTGAAGATTACAGTTCCAGATTCTAGTTTGAGAAGAACAGATGTAGAAGTGAGGGAGCTCGTAATTTCATTAAAGGAGAGAATATTTCTGGACCACGAGCTAGTAAGTAGACTTAGATATTTTTGGCCAACAAACGAGCTTCAGGAGCAATTACTATTTTCAATTTGCAAGGATATTCCAAGAAATGACAATCCAACAGAAGATGCATCCCACTTCAGGCTTCAGTTTATGATGGAACCTTCAAAGTATGGGGGTGCATTTAATGACTGTTGCGAGTGGCTGGGTCCAATTAATAAGTTCAACTATTGCCCAGCAATTAAAGTGCATTTACCTAATACCTATGAACCTTGGATAACTTATGCTTCTAATGTACTAGCATATTTATTCGGAAAGATTCCTGGGTGTGACTCTCCAAGCAGCTTTCTCAAGATGTCCGCAATTAAAGCAAATGAGCCTTTTCAGATGTCTTGTGGTAACAGAAAGTGCATCCGCATTTCTCATATAGTCTACAAGGAAGGAATGAAAGGATATTCAGTCTCAGAAAGAGTTAACCCATACCCTGATTATGTCGATATAGATGAGGCAATGAAACCAAGTATGGAAGCCATTGATATGAATGGAGTGAATGGTAGCTATATTCAAAACGACCAGAACACATACCAAGGAAGTTCCCCTCAGGACAGTGTAGTGGCTCAGCTTCACTACTAAGAAGTAATTCAATATTAAGCATCTATTAAAGTAGCTTAACATTGCAAGAATACTAAGCTTTTTTTTTTTAAACTATATAGGAAAAATCTAATTAAATAGAAAGTTAAAGTTTTTAATTGTTATATATAACCTATATATTCTAGCTTAAATTTAAGCCGTATTATTAGCTAAATAAAGCAAATAGTTCATCTTATTTGTGATGATACTTGTGCCATGTTTTAAAACCAAAGCAATCGTCAACTTTTTGGTCTTTGTGATAATTTTTAAATTGGAGCCCACCTTCATTATGTTTGTAGATATAAAGATGAGACATTAGAGAGTTAACTACAGGTTTACTTTCTGAAGGAATTTTTGCCAATAAAATCTCATCTCCCCTCGGTAACTGGAAGTCCAGGATTAAATATTCCTCTATACCAGTCTTTTTGTTTGTTACTTTAACTTTGGCAGGATACTCCAGATTAAAGTTACCGCTCGAAAATTCAGACCCTTTAAATACTTTATTTAAAACTTCCTCTACTACCTTTCTGTGCTCAGTCTGAATACTACTGTCAATCATGACTCTAATCCAGCGTGTTACCCCGTCAGATCCATCTACCTGAAATTCTCCATTATCCAAAGGTTTAATTCCACTTTTTTCATCTGCTATTAGCTTTAAACCAAAAACTTCCCTCGAATTATATATATACTCCTCGTCTTCTTCATCTTCCCAGCTTCCTTCAGAGTAATTTTCCTCATCTGACGTCAAACTTCTCTCTGAATCTTCAGAGTAATATGATGAACCATCTGAAACCATATCTACCAAATCCTCAAATATTACCCTAATTCAACAGCTTATTATTTCAATTATCTTGTTTTTTTTCCTAATAGTCATTTAATACTATTAATTGCTATTTTTTATAATAAAATAATTCATACTCAGGCTTCCCGCCCAAAATGCAATAATTTTGTTGCCATTTTGAACCCATTAAATATATGGGAAAATGCAATGCTTATGCATAATATTGAGGTGAAAACAATAGTAATAAAGGAGGGGGAGAAGAAAAGAAGAAATAGCAAAGAAGAAATAGGGGGTTTTGTTCGAAAAAATTAGTATATTGTAATTATAAATTGCTTGGAATAAATACGTTGAATGAATCTTGAGCAGTTGAAATTGTTAAGCTTGGGATTTGTTTGTGCCATTTCGCTTCCGCAATATGCTCTTGGCCCATATGCAAGAAGAGGAGTTTCTTTGGAATATTTGGTATACTGCTGAGAGTGGTGTTGGTCTTAGAATCAGAAGTATCCTCTTCAATACCCTCATCATCAATCGCAATATCCCAGAAACTAATGGAGTTATCTAAGGAAGCTGCAAGGAAAACATCTTGATCTTGGTGATGCCAGTCAACAGAAAGAATTGGTTCTCTGTGGAAGGTGAACGTCTCAAGTGGATCTTTTGTGGAACGGATATCCCATAATTTAATAGTAGCATCATCACTTCCACTGAGTAAAAGGTTTTCGCAAAAAGGATTCCAAGAAATACAATTAACATCACCGTTATGTGAGTTATAGATAGTAAGTTGATCAGACTCGCCTCTAATATCTACAATGCATATATTGGAATTAACAAGCCCAGCTGCAAAAATACTACTGCTATTATTGTCACGTTTCCATTGTATTGCTTCGACACTGGATTGGAAGTTTCCATGGATTGGATTTACACTCCAGGTACCTCCTTGCACAGGTTGCCAAAAGCATATATTCCCCTTCCTATCTCCAGAAGCAAACTGAGCAGTTTTGTTGGGATTCCAATCCATTGAAAATCCTTCATCAAGGTGACCATCATATGTATACCTCGGTTTAATTGTAGATTTCTTTGCAAGATTCGATGGTTTTAGCGCTTTGGAGTTTCCTTGATCAGTGTTTAAACTATTGATGGATTCCGATATATCCCACATACTAACTTTTCCAAGCTCAGACCATGTTGAAACCAAATTTGGAAGTTGAGGACAAACTCTAATACGGTTAATTGTTCCTTTGTGAGAAATTGCCTCAACGTTTACAATAGGATCTTCATCAGCAAAGTTTTCATCATCCGAATCATCAGAATCACTAAATTCAAAGTCACTGTTGTCATTATCGTCTCTGTCTCTTCTGGTTTTGTGCATTCTAGACCATTTCATTAAAAGTATATGATTATTATCCTCCATATTTGCTTGTGTTCCTGCAACAACATAACATGTATGTGGGAACTGGGTTCTGTTATCTCCAAGTTTATCAGGCAAAATATCCAGTGTTAAACAACTCCATTCAACTAAGCATTTGTGATACATTTTATATGCCTTTGGCTCATATACCAATTCTTGATTTTCGTCGCCTTGACCTGGAAGCCAGTAATGCTCTTCGATCTCAACATCTTCATCAATTCCATCCACAATTTCAGAACCATCTTCTGTTTCTCCTCTTATAACTTCTTCTTCGCTTTCAATTTCGTCATCAATATCTTCTGCAAATTCTCCCTCAACGTTAATCAGTGCTTCTTGTTTTTCATACATTTCAGATTTGGTCTTGCTGGGAGTGAATTTGCTAGGAAGCTCGTCTTCTCCAACTTCAACATGTTTTCTAACCTATAATATTAAAAATTGATAGTTAAAGTATTAAATTTTTCAAATCGAGAAATAATTTTTCATATAGATGATATGAATCCAAAATTTCTGCATTCAATTAAAATCATTTAGTGAACTTACCTTGGATTTGGTCGCCATTTTTTCTATCTGTACTTATAGGCTAAAATATCTTAATATTCCTATCCTTGGCAAATAATCCAAATATGTAAAAAAAGTAAAATCAGACAATTTCCGCCACTTGGTTTTACTTTTTTTTTCCTTAAGAAATGCCTTACTATTAATTCACTTAGTTAAGGTAACTAGCTGGCGGAACATTATGGCGCCATGCCCGTTAATTATTTTTTTTTTGCCAAATTTTTATAGTCAAAAAAATGACTTTATATTTGGAACGAGATATCATCCTTAATTGCATAGGATTTTACTTAGAATATGAAAATCTACCAGGTATTAATTTTTTTTAATACTCTTTCACTTTCGTTAAAACATATTTTACCCCCCTTTTTTTGATAATTCTCTTTTAGAAAGTTTACAATGTGGATGCAATGCATGCATGCAGTTAATACATGCAATATAATACAATTATTATACAGAATACAAAATTATATCATAGTTAAACAAAAAATAGGAAATTTGGGGAATTGAATTCTAGCTGAAATTTTACAAAAGAAAAAAATTAAAAAATGAACCACTAGGTGAAGATAATAATTAAGAATGCTTACAAATAACTGAGAAAAAAGAAAATATCTCAAATTAAAATATTTGATGACTATTTGAGATGATTAAAATTGATACTATATAAAAATTTACTCGGTTGAAAATAATTATTATGAAGAAAAGTCGCTTTACTTTTGAAATAATAATCTAGACAACAAAAATGGCCACAAATAACAGACAACCAATAGATACAACAATAAGAGCACCAATTTCCTGTGATGTTCTGAGCCAAGCTTTTGATACATCCATACTTTATGAAGCAGTTAAAGCTCCAGAGGGCATAAGCAAGGATGAATGGGCAGCACATAAAGGTATGTTTTGAAAACAAAATGAAGATAGATAGAAGCAAGAATACTTTTCTTGCTTTTCAAAATATCTTCAGTATTTTTTACATTCTTTACTTATTTTTAAATTCTCAGTCATGGATTTGTTTAAAGACGCTCAAATGGCATGGGGATTTGTTAGCAGTGTTTGCCATTGCCCACTTATGAGAGCTCATTTCATGGTATTTAAATGGCAAGAAGACCCAAAAAAGGCTGCAATGCCTTTGCCTGCAACTGTGTATATAAAGTCTCTGTTTCTATGGGTGGATTCACAAATATCAGACACCAAAATCTTCCCTTTAAAGCCTGGTAAGTTCAAATTCAATTTAGAAACTCTATTTTTATTAACTTTTTTATATCAAGGGGTGCCTTTTGCTGACGACTTTCAATTAATTGTCAAAAACTTGCTAAGAAGATTATTCAGAGTATATAGTCACATTTACTGTCATCATTGGCCTCATGTAGAATCAATTTCAGCAGCAGCTCACGTCAATTATTGTCTTAAACATTTTGTATATACTGTTCTCCTTAACAAATTGTTAGAATGTAATGAACTCAAACCTTTGGAAGAGCTGGCTAGTTATATTATGGAAGAAGGAGAAAGTTTTGGACGAAATTCTGTTGGTCTTGCCAATAAAATTCAAGAAAAAAATTCAAATGGGGAATGCCAAAAAAGTCAAGTAAATCCAATCCTTGTTAGAACTTACATTAGCTCTCCTGAGACTCATATTCCTTCAACTAACAGCTTAACCGCAGACTCACCCATTTCCGAAGATAGAATTGAAATTTCACACACTGTTCCAAACTCTGGAGAAGACCCTCCCATTACAAAGTCTATCAAGCCCAATATTCCATCCTATCAACAAGCTATTACAAAAGCTCAGGCTGTTGGGAGAGTCCAATCCACATGTAGTGATAGTATGCTAATTACTACAAGTAAATCCGATGCTGATAAAAAAGATAATTCTATACATTCCCGGAAGATCAAAACTTATCCTTGGACGGAGTTTGCAAAAAAGTTGATTCTATGCACAAAGAGAAAGAAGAAAGATGGCAAGTTGTTTAGTAGTGGCTTCTTAACACCAAAAGCTACTTCAGAAAACCTTTGATATAAGAAAAAAAAGCTATTTTCATTCTTCAATATAACTTTCCTGACGCTTTGATTTTAATTGTATTCAATTCAGGTAAATATCTTCTTTTTCCAAAAATATGGCCATTCACAATAATGAGGAAGGCTCCCAAGCAATTGGAATTTTCGCTCTAAATATTTTAATACTGACAGAATTTAGTTTCAATTCTGTAAATAACTTACAAGAAGATTAAATAAGGCAAACCTTAATTACTTCAGCAAGTTAGAGGGTATATATACTCCTAATAATTTACTCTAAATACATATATAATATTATCAATTCACCAGACTTTCCTAGCATTAGAACTAAAACCCCCAAATTTACACCTATATCAAAATAATTCCATCAAACTACACAAGCTTCATGTTCTTAAAAATTAAATTGATTGCATTTAATTAGATTTAGGCATTGTTTAAATAACCTGTGAATATGAACAATTATACCAGATCTATATTTACATGAAACAAAAGACATTTTGAATCATTTTCAAGACTTAAAATTGATTAAGGGAAACTAATATTTATTATAATATCTATTTCAATATCTTTCATTCTCTATTGAAAAATAAAATTAGAAATAAAGTAAATAGATTAGATAGAGTTACAAAAATGTATTAATTAAAACCTAAATCATAAGATATAATTCTGTTGATTATACCTTTGAGCAATCACTAATTATAATTTGGGAACTAATAATCTGATAAAATGCCAGTTATACTCACTTCATAATTACCTTTAAAAACCCCTAATAAATACGAAAGGCTGGCCTCTACACAATTAAATGGACATTCGTTTGAATACTACCATCTGTACCTCGAGTCCAAGCAATTCGAGCTTTATAGAATATCAATGAAATCGGCCGAGTAATAATAGGTATTTTTACTCATCTCTCCTTTAATAGCTTAAATAAAGCTTAAAATTTTAAAACTTTGTAAGCTAGTTTACTTATATATTCTCCTTGTAGGTGAAACATATAGCTTTAAAACTTGATCTCATAGATTCTACTAAGGTAAAAAAAACTTTTCTATTCATATTCAAACTTCTTTTGACCATTTTTCTTCTTTATATATATCTCAACCTAAGAACCTTTAATTAGCACAAACTCTAATGTATCTTCAAGCAAATCCTAGACCACTACATGACCTTAAAATCATCTATGCAGAGCAAAGTTGGATATATTTCTTCTGTAATTGGCCAAATGATAACCGTGACTAGTTCTAGCACTGCTACTGGCAGTGGTTGTTAATGTAGGACAGGAATCAAAACAATGGTAATTAGAAACCCTGGCAAATGCCTCATCCGCATGCATGCATTTACTCATTCCACATGTAATTACATTATCATGATAATTTTTGGTGGCGGTCTTTTTATGTGATTTGTCAGCCATTTTGGATTTTCTAGCAACTAAGAGCGAATATCTCCAAGCCTTGGCATCTCTCCAAGATCTAGTACAAATTTCAAGAGTAATTGGCCGCTTTTCGGTCGATTGTATATAGTCAGTGCCAATGGATGAAGGAATATCGGATGGAAAGTCAACATTGAACTCTAAGTCAGAAACAATATAATCTTCAATAACAGACGCTCCAAGATAAGAAACTGTGAAACTGAAGCCATGAATACTCTCCGAGATTGGACCAACAGAAAGTATGAGCCCAGGGTCAAGCATATGGACAGGGTTTTTTGACTCATTTCTTGGATAATAGAGATATAATGTGTCAAGAAGGAACCCATAAGGGTCTATTGCCTGGTTATTGATTCCAATATGTACGCCTCCACTTCCGATATTTAAAGTTAAGTTACTTAGAAAATTGTTACCTATTGGTGAAAATAAGGTATTGTCAATCTGAGTTTTATGATCAATAGATTTGACCTTATTCTTAATATCAGAGTCATTCATATCAATAATCCCATCCATAGAGCACTTTGATCTGTGAGATTTCTTTATGACTTCAAGTACGGGAATGGAATCTCTATTACTTTGGCTTTGAGATTGATTTTGAGTGCAACTATATTTGGAACAGGATGAGGTGCTGTTTTTAGAGGACATTCGAACTTCTCTATATAAATCAAGGCAATCCCCAAGAATAGTTTTTTCACTCAATAATGGAGATGGATAAATCTGGTGTGAGTCTGAAAGTGATCTTGAGCTGATCATAAGCGCCCAGAATATATCATTACTTTGTAAAGAGGGTATTATCGGATTACTTCTTTTAATATAAACAAGCCCAAAAACACAGTTATCGAGAAAAGCCTCTTTTGAAAGACTTGATAGTTGGTTAAGCATAAGTTCTGACAATTGCAAGCTATACTTATGCTGCTTATTCCTTACATACTCTTCATCCTCCTCAATAGTAGGAGGACAATCATGGTCATATATACACAAAGCACTATCAAAAGGTATAAGAATCTCGTCAGTCTCACATCCCATAGAAACATCCTCAATTTCTGTAAGAGAACAAAATACCTCAGAGTCTTGGCTATTCTCCGAACCCTCCATGCTTAAAGTTGGAGAAGCCGCACCAAATCTAGGGTGGCTTTGGCTAATATTTCCAAAAGGGGTATCCTCGCAGAGCTGTTGGATCTGATGGGAATCGTGATGGTGACTGTTTTCGAACTCCTTTTGCATTAATCTCTCATTAAATTGATACTCCTTATCAATTGATAGAGTGGAGATAGCCCTTGTTTCAAGTCCATCTCTGAGATAATTCAAGTTTCCTTTCCTCTTAGAACCGGCTCTATCCCCCTTTAATTCTCTGGAAACCATCCAAGCCTTACAGATCACAACATACAATCCACGATCCTTTAAGAATTTCTTTTTATTAGAATTAGATAAGGTTTCAGGACCAACTTCTATAGCTCTGGTCGCAGATTTCTTGAATGGCTTCAGAAAACTCTCCACTATATAATGTAGACATGACTGAGTTGCTTCTATTAGCATATTACTAAATCGGAAATTTTTTGAGTCTTCGGCTTTTGAACGGTACTTCCTACTCTTAAGGGTCCAAAGAATAATAGCGTCCATCCATTTGTCCTTTTCAGTTGGTGTAGAGGCTTTAAGTTGATAATCTCTATGTGGTGTACTTAGGGTTATTCCAAGTGGGCCATCAGCAAACACATTTTCTACTATCTTGAGATTAATTGATCCACGAGGCTGTTCATCTCTAAAACTTGGTTTCTTTGCCCAATATACCAATGTTCTGTCCTGTTCTAAAAGGGCAAAATACCTACTTTGCCAGCCTCTACCTATTACTGGGCTCCACTTCTTAAGATATCCAGAAACATATTCATGCTCAATTAATTCTTGAACCATTGAAGCCGATCTTTCTATATGATCCGCCTTTAAACTTGACGGATGGTACAATTTACCCATCTTGAAATAGATCAAGGTGAGCACAGGATTACTATATCTACATAAACCTTGATTTTATATTTCTGGAACAGAATTGAATTTGAACAGACAGATATTTGTTGAATACTTTCTAACCTTTAACTCTACGTCTCAAAAATTCCTTTCTTCGGCTGGATTTATGCCAATAAAGCTTAGACTCTGCCGTGTTATAAGGCGGACAGGAGCCTGTTTTAGCGGATAAATAGAGAAAACTGATCTCCAAGTTTTATGTTATTATTCTTACAAATTCTTCGATTTCTATTTCTCTGACTTGGAATTTCCTCTGCTCTGCATCCAGGCGCCACACATGGCGCCATTCGCCACGTCGAATACTTGAAAAAAGTTAAATAGCTGAATATGTATATTTATATATATACATATATATAAATATATATAACAGTAATAATAAAAAGGAGGGAAGTATTGAAAAATAACCTGAGGTTTTTGTTAAGTATAATTTATATTTTACAATTAAGTTAATGTATTGGCCTATCAACGTAAATGTAAATTTTATACGCAAATAGAATTATGTATTGGTATTTATTCTTGTATAAATTATATATTAAAATAATAGTGTAGTTAACAAGAGGTATACGTAAATGATTAAAATATGAATATTTAATCAGTACATCTGAGACTTAAAAAAGGGGTCGTTGTTTTCGAAGTTTCTATAAAAAGATTCTTAAATCATATATTTCAATTCATATTTTTTTTACTGTTCAACGTTTACTCTTCCTTACCTGATTTTTCCTTGTTATATCATCCTATTACCTAGACAAGCAAACTACATAGATTTAGTCTCTTAAAACAAACTCACTCAAAATAGAAATTCTAAAAACGGAAGGCAACGGTTTCGTAAGAAAAACCCACTCTCGAAAACGAGAATGCCCTCCGGACAACTATCCACCATTTCTCTTAATGCAGACTGACTCTTATTATTTAAGTCTGCATTGCTTGGCAGGTTAATACCCCCTGAATTCCATTGATTATGCGGACTTGAAATTTGCAGGTAAAAGTGTCAAAAGTTTGAGTACAAGCAATTGGGAATTTTCATTTTATTCGGATGATCTAATCGTTCCAAAATGGCAGATGAATAAAGCCACCAAACTTAAGTTAGACAAATTCTGCCTTGGCGAGTTAGGGGACATTCTGGTTTCATTAACCAAATATATCCCAACATTGGATGTGCTTTACTAATAAACTTAACCAAACTGATTCCCTCAGAATCAATGGGAAAAATCGATATATACAAAAAGATCCTTTATTTTTTAAAAACAACCTTCCCCTCTTGGTCTTTTTTTAGGCGGTAACATATATTTTCCGAAGGTTTGGCAGGGTTAGGCGGGAAGGTGTCGAAAAATAAGGAAAAATTGCATGTAATAAGTGCAAGCAAAAAAAAGTAAAAAATAGCAAGCCAAACAAAAAAAATAAAAGCTGTTATAAAAAAAAATAAAAAAATCATATATACATATATAATATATGTATATGTGATTAGAGGTTTAGATAAGTTTTTAATACCTAGAAATGCAGAGATAGAATTGTACGTATACTTCTGGTATTTGGCTCATGTTGCTTAGTCATTGACTCAAGAAACTCGAATAACATTACGGTTTGAAAGCGGAAATTATTACGTAATTGTTAAAAAAGGTGCTAAATTGCTCATTAATTAATTATTTATATATAAAAGACAAATTTCCGTATTTGGTTAAAACGGGCTTGGGTTAGAGGCAAGCTAGGAAAAGTCATATAAAGCCCATTTTCTATGTAAGAATATATATATATATTTAAATAAAGAAAATAGCTACGGAAATTGCAAATAATTAAAGTAGAGATAAGAAAATGAATAATGAATACACAGATGACGGATATATGGAAAATGAATATGATAAGTACGTAGAGTACGCTGATACAGAACAGTATGAAAGTCCTAACCAGTCACAGTACTATGATTATGGCACAGATTCCCAGTATCAGTACCAGGAGCAGGAACAAAGTAATTTAGAGGCCATTCGAACTCGTTTAGCAATGGCTTTGTCAAGCAAGAGTGCATTTCTACAGAGTGCCAAGTCTTCATTTGTTCAGTTTGATGAAGAAAAAAAAGGCAGACTTAATTATGCAGAAACAAGGCGTTTGCTTGAGAGATTAGCAATAAATTTAGAACTTCCTCCAATAGATGATAAAATGCTTAAAACCATATTTGGTAAGTATGATGTAGCGAAGAAAGGTTATTTAAATTTTGAGCAATTTGCAAAATTCTTTTGGCATTTATTAAATAGTATAAGAGAAAAGTACTACCCAGAGAAATCAATTCTGGTTACCCGTGACCAATTTGTTCGTAGGACTTCTTTGAAAAGAGCTGACGATATAGAAAGTATATTTAGCTTTGATAAGAAAATTGGAGAGGGATCTTTTGGAAAAGTTTTTTTGGTTAAAGAACGTTGTAGTGGATTAACAAGAGTATGCAAGATGATTAATAGGTCTCTCTCAAATATGACCCTGGAGCAAATAGAGGCAGAAGTCGCAGTTTTGAAAAGTTTAGATCATCCAAACATTATTAAAATTTTTGAGGTGTACGAAGACAATGAAAATATGTACATTATCATGGAGAATTGTGGAGGAGGAGAACTTTTTGAGCGTATACATGAAGCAGTATCTAAAGGTTTTAGACTTAGTGAAAGATATGTAGCACATGTAATGAGGCAGATAATGGGAGCTTTGGCATATTTTCACTCAAGGAACATTGTACACAAAGACTTAAAGCCAGAAAATATCTTAATGCAAGAGAAGTCACATCATTCTTCAATTAAAATTATTGATTTTGGATTAGCAGAAATTTTCAAATCGGTTGATGACCATAGTAGTCATGCAGCTGGTACCGTTTTGTATATGGCGCCAGAAGTCTTTTTACGTGATATTACAACCGAGTGTGATGTTTGGAGTGCAGGAGTTGTAATGTATTTTCTTTTAGCAGGAACTCTTCCATTCACAGGAAAGAGCATAAAAGAGGTGCGAAATAATGTTTTAAACACTGAGCCAAAGTATGATGAAGATTGTGTACATATTACTCCAGAAGGAATCAATTTACTGCAGTTAATGCTTCAAAAAGATCCTGCTCAAAGGCCAACAGCAAGAGAAGTACTTTCACATCCTTGGTTCAGATATTCAAAGTCCAATAATGAACCAATTTGTATTAACAATAGGCTACTTCATAACTTAAAGAGTTATATGAAACAAAATCAGCTAAAACATGCATTGGTGAATATGATGGCACATCAGTTAAACGTAACTGGCCCTCAAATTAAGCAGATCACAAAGACATTCAAACTACTAGACCAAGATGGAAACGGAGTTCTTACACCTGAAGAACTTGTTTCAGGTCTGCAGTCAGCTGGAGTTCCGCAGTGGGATATTAATCGAATTGTTCAGTCAATGGACGTTGATGATACTGGATTTATTAGTTATACTGAATTTTTGGCAGCCTGCTATGAGTGGAGAGATAGTGAACTTGGTGCTATTAAAGCGGCATTCAATAAGATGGACATTGATGGAGATGGAAAGCTGTCCGTGGATGAATTTGAAAAAGTGCTTTGTAGTGGCGATCAGAAACTTCTTGCTCACAAAGACTGGGATGGTATTATTAAGGCTGCTGATACAAATGGGGATGGGGTTGTGGATTGGAATGAGTTCTTGAATTACATGATTAACTAAGAAAGGACTATTTCGTCATTCAATAATTTATCTTTTTAGTTTGCAAAAAGATATTTACTGTAAATATTCCGAGTGAAAAACCCAAATACAGGATATTCAATCAAATATAGTTGGACGTATTATTTTCCATTGTTATTTATAATTCATGATTTTTAGAGTGATGTAAGAGAGTACTTGGGAGAGGAGTTCACTAAATTAGTCAAAATACTACGTAATGCTTTTGATTATTTTCTATTTTTGTTTGGTTTTATGATTTTACTTTGGTACGAGTTCTTAATTAACTTTGATTCAACAATTAATAGAATTTGGGTTTCCATTCTCATTGCAAAATTTTAAAAAGAAGACCCTAGTACTAAATATTAAGTTTGTAAAACTGCATGCATGCATGCATGCATGCATAAAAGTAGTTTTCTAAATTTTTATTTCCACAGTGGGAGCCATAAAGAACAAAAGGCATATCTTGTTGTTGGAAACAGTGGATTTAGTAGTAAAACCCCCCCTAGTCTTCTTGCCCAAGAAAGGTTACTCGAATGGCAGTACAATAATTCAAAAATCATGAAAATTCTATAATTTCATATTCTTAATTGTTATTTTGAAAACTTACGTTTTGAGTTATTTATTGCACATTTTTCAAAAGCAATAAAAAATATTGGCGCAAATTGTTTTTTAATAAGAAAATACCATATTATACTCTCTGAGTGGACGCGCCTTTTTAAGCAAATAAAAATAGTTAAGTGACATAAATTTAAATTTACTAGAAGAAAAAGGCTGAGCAAAAGTTTAATCAAATAGGTTTACACATTGATTTTCTAAAAAAATTAAATTTCTTCTAACTTTTTTTGTTCTGGCAAAACGTGATTTAATTGAGCTCTTGGTTAATAGTTGTGAGATTATTAATTTAAATTCACAAAGGGCCATATTAGGTTTCGAAAATAAGTCTTTTTTTGTTAGTTCTGAAGTTGGTAGTGCTAGGTAAGCATGGAGATTGAAGAGAAATATGAGAAAGCTAGAAGAATCACTCAGTTTGCAAAATGGTCGGACAATGCAGACAATCTGACAGGATTACCTGTTTTAGATAACAAGAGAAAGGGATGGCATATCCCTGCAAATGTTATAAAAAAGAAGGCCAGGCAAGATTTAGAGGGAGAAAATACAGACAAAAACGGGGAAAATAAACAAATTTTTTCAAAGACCGAATTGAGGCGTTTAAAAGAGATAAAAAAGAAGGAATCTATGAAGCTAAAGAAAAATAGGCAGAGTAACAAAGTTAATTACGAAGATAATAACTATAATGGGGAAATAAAGATTTCAATAAAGAGACCGAGGGATATTGCAAGAATTTGCGATATGGTAATGTCTGATCCAGAAAAAAACATAGAGCTGTTGGTATTACTTTTGGAATATTGTGAACGGAATTGGAATTCAAGTAAAAAGGAGATGAAAGGTAATAATTTGGATAATAATGCGATTAATTTCCCAATCGAACTCAGTGTTATTTCTCTTGTGTTAGTTGTGAAGGATCTTGTTCCTGGCTATAAGATTTCAAACCAAATAATAGACTTAGAAGGTACAGGTTCAGAATCGACTAGTGGTAAAGTTATTCTTAGTAAAGAAACTCAAAGGATCCACTCTTTTGAGAGGAAAATTCTTAATATTTATAAGAGAACGTGCCTTTTACTAAAAAAAGTACTTGGATTTGGTGGCAAAATTAGTACCATAATAACCAAAAGTAAATCCGCAATTTTAAGATCGACGTTGGACTTGCTGGATGCAACATATCACTTCAATCACCATATTATATTACTGAGAATTATTATACTATTTTTAATGTCGGGGGATGATAAGGATCTTCAAACTAGTTCTTGTCTTTCTTACTGTAGTGAAGGACTAACAAACGTATTAACCAACGATACATCTCTTGAAACTGGAGTAGAAGCAGTCAATATAATTCACGAGGTTTTATTTAATAGAAAAAGTAAAAAGAATTCCGTAAGTCTGTTCACTCTTTCGAAATGGGTTCTATTGCCCTTTACCAAATATACTCCTTGGCACAGAATTGAGGAATCAAAGAGTGAGTTTAGAAGGATTTTTGGCCCAAACACTAATACCATTAGCAAGGAACTCATTGATGAAATTCAAAAAACAAGTGCCACTAGAGTAAAGGTTGAGATACTTATTGAAAGAGAGGAACAAATCTTAAAGCATCTTTTCGCATTTTACTCAAAGGTTTTACTGTTAGATTTGGATGAACTTGAACACGTTTATCTAGGAATATCTCATTATAGTAACAGAATAAACCCAAAGATCAGATCTGAACTTATTGAACTTATCAAAAAGAAACTTTATAAGAGCGATACTCTAAAATGGAAAAGCTTCGTAGCAGTACTTAAATGTTGTTTTTCTTTACTTCAAAGAGGAAACCAACTTAATGAGCAACAGCTTGAAGACAATTCTTGGATTTTGAGATACCTTGTTTTAAGACTCGAAAAAGAACACATTAAAATGAAAAGCATTCTCAACTCTCCCAAAAATATTAATTCAAGTTATTTAAACGAAATGGGAATTGCTTTTCAAGATAAAGATTTACCTACCATTATTTTGAATACAAGTATATTTTCAAGCTCTAATTCGAGTTATCTTTACCGTCTTATATTTGTTATAACGCAAATTTCACTTTTATTATCCAAATCTGGCCAAGATGATTCAAGCTTCTTCCTGATTAAGCTTTGCGGTCAGTTAATTATCAAATACCCAAAACTCAAAGTTCTTTTAGATCCAGAAGGTATTTCATGCAATGATTTCCCTATTGATGCAAATTCCATATTATCTGCGTGGCAATACCAAGAAATTTCTCTATACTATATTTTGAATGAAATTATTGAATGCCATAAGTCTAGTTCAAAACTTAAGATGGCTTGTAATATGCTTCTTTCGGAGTCTGCTGATAATACAATTCAAAAAAATGCAGTAATTTCAATTAAAAAGCACTTTGGAAAAAACAGATTCAACTGTGATAATTTTGAGTCTTCAAAGAAAACGATTGAAGAACTCAAACCATTATATTATATTTTGAAATTAGTTAATATGTAAATCATCATTACCAACATGGTTATTATCTTTCATCTAATTCTTTTGTTAATTATTGATTTTTGTAGAAATGGCAATATATTGTCAATATCTTCCTCAATATCTAAACATAAATCAATTGGGTAGTCTTTTTCTATTCCATTTGATCTGTACAACCCATAACTTATCATTTCATAAAAATTTCTTGGGTCAACTTTTTCTCTATAAACACCCTAAAATGTCATTTTAAGTTAAATAGTTTTCATTAAATTAATAGCTTAAAAGGCCATTTATCAGATTTATTTCCCTAAAGTATTTTAAACTTACATCTTCATTTTTTACATTAACGTATATTTCTCCGTTAATTGTGTTATTTTCCATTGCATTTAAGATTTTGTTTTCTTGGCTAAGAGTCTTCGAATTTACCAGTTCACCTGTTCCTTGGCCTTTCTGGAAACGATCAACAGATTCTGCATAATTCTCAGTTAATTCCAAATTGTTGATTTCTTCTGTACACTTTATTTCGCTAGTTTCTTCTATAGGTTCCTCAATTATGGCTTGCTGCGCAGATTCATCTTCCATTGTTTTTTATTGCTGTTTTGAACAAACCCAAATAATAATAATAAAAACAAGATGAATGATTATGAGTTTAACCTGAAATAATCTGGGCTATAATCTTATAATATATAAAGGTTGCTTCAAAAAATCAAATTAGTTCGAGTACTTTTCAATATTAAAAACCTTCCAACTTTTAATAACCACGAATTCCCCTCAAGCTTTTTTTAATGAAATACATGTAATTATGTCCACAAAGATTTTGCATGCGTTTACTGTAGTTTAATGCCGGTATTTGTGTGCGCATTGAGGGGGGGGAGACTGAGGGGTTACGAGTCAATTCAATTTACACGTCATTTTATTTATGAGAATTGAAACAATAAATTCAGCAGAAGTAGGAAAAATATAAAATTTAGTATAAACAGCTTGATCTCTGATTAGAGAGAAAAGAAGATTAGAAAACTGTTTTTAAATGAGTGAATTTGAAGAAAGAGTGACGAGAATTCTGACTGAAAAATATGGTAAATTACAAAGTTTAGGGCCATTAATATATGGAACAGCTGGATTTAGAATGGATTATTATGAAAACCCATGTAGGGCAGAACAAGTGGCTATGATTTGTTCGTTGATCGCATGTTTAAGAAGTATTCTAGAGCAAAATTGGGTGGGAGTTATGATAACGGCATCCCACAATCCAATTCAAGATAATGGGGTAAAGATTGTGGATGTTACAGGGAGTATGCTAAACAAAGAGTTTGAGCAAATTTGCTTTAATGTGGTAAACCATGAGGACGGGAGCAGTTCAGTGAAGGTTTTAACCCATTATTTCAAGGAGAAGTTGGGGCTAAATAGTGATGAGCTAAATAATATAGAACTTTCAAAAGCAAAACTAATAGTAGGTTATGACACAAGACCATCTTCAAAGTGTATCCTTGAATCTATTGAAAGAGTGGCATCAGAATTTAAAATCTCCAAATTTTTAAATTTTGGGTTCACAACGACTCCACAACTACATTTTATGGTAGCATTTGCAAATGGGTTAATCATGGACAAAGTTCCAACTGAGCTTAGAAAAGATTTGGTTCTAGAAAATTTGATAGAAAAATTAGAAAACTGTAACAAGCTAAATAAGAGCGACATTGTCTCGTCACTTTTTGAGCTATACTTTGCTTATCATGAATATTACTTTAAACAATTAGTAGATTTAATTCAAAGTGATGATCACTCATTCATATTTGTTCAGAATAGCCATCGCTTTTTCAGAGCAAAACCGGATAATGTTGAGAATTACAAAATAAATGATAAAGGAGCCCTGGTTATAGATGTTGCAAATGGTGTAGGAAAATACCATGTTAACAAAATTTCCGAGATTCTATCTTATGCTGGTGTGAGTCTAAAAGTGATTAACAGAGATGAACCCGAAAAACTAAACGATGGCTGCGGAGCAGAACATATTCAAAAGAATATACTCCCTCCTGTTGGATTTTATTCTCACCAAGATTATGATTCCGAGAGTGTTGACTATGTAGCAGCCTTCGATGGAGATGCTGATAGATTAGTCTACTTTGCACCTGATCATTTTCATGATACTGATAAAAAATCAGGTATTTTTCTTATTGATGGAGATAGAATTTCTGCATGTTATGCCCTTGTGATCGTTACCTTATTAAATCAATCTATAAGAGGATTTAAGGACGAAACATACATAACTCCCACTTTGAGTATAGGAGTGGTTCAAACTGCATATGCTAATGGAGCTAGCACAAAGTATCTCAATAGCTTACTCAGCACATTAAATCCCAAATATTTCAGATTTTCTATGAACTGTGTTCCTACAGGAGTTAAACACCTCCACAGAAAAGCAGAAGAATATGACATTGCAATATACTTTGAAGCAAATGGCCATGGGACTGTAATTCACAAGCAGGAAAAATTAAAATCTTGGGTTGAGAAAATTTCAGTTATTGGAATAAATAATAATTCATACAAGTTACTGATTTATTTCTTGAATTTGTTTAATCCAGTAATTGGGGATGCAATCTCGGACATGCTTGCATTTGAAATTGCAAGAGAATTCGTCCAAGCTCGATTTGGTTGCAAATTTTCAATGTGCCTTTATGATGACTTAAAAGTCATACAAGATAAAGTTTATTTAAAGAGATGTGATCTAGAAACTCTAATCTGCGACAAAGAAACAGAGAAGTTTTTGGTTGAACCCAAGGCAATACAAAAAGGCATTGACAATTATATTTCAAATTTGAATGATAATTACTCCAGAGCTTTTATAAGACCATCCGGCACAGAGGAGGTCGCGAGAATATATGTAGAATCACCTACATTAAAGAAGGCTCAAGATATTATGAAATATATCAAAGATCTAATTAAGGAGTACTTTTCTAAAAAATGATATATATGTGTCATTTATAACTTAGAAATACCTATTTTCATACAAATATACATAAAGCTTTGACAAACAAGCATTTACTTATATTAGCATATAATTAATGATTAACTAAATATTAAATAAAACAAGTTTTTGGTAGCTTATTCCTCGATTTTTTTTTTCATTTGCCTTAATTTCGGTAGTAAAAGTAGAAATACAACAAATTATGTTTACTCTTGAGGCTCTTGTACACTGTTCTGTTGTTGCATCATTTGCATCATGTTTTGTTGGTTTAATGCAGCAGCCATAGATGCTTGCTGAGCCATGTGTTCTAAGGTTGCGACAGGATTTGGTAATGGCTCATTTGGATCATGTAAGTATTTCTGGAGAAGTTCTGGTTGATCATATAGACCAATTGGTACTGGCTTTTCAATGGTTCTCTTAACTGGAACTGGAATAGGAATGTCCTTATAGATTGCTTCAATCTTTGGACATAATATATCTTGAATGATTTGTAACTCCATTGGAACAGGAACTGCTCTATCTATCAAAATAGGGACTGGAATCGCCGAGTAAAACGCAATAGGAACTTCTACAGGTTTTGGAACTTGACGATATTGTGTAACAATGTCTAATTGTTTCTTTTCCACCGGGCTTATTGGCCTTGATGGATTTCGGCTTTTAGTAGTAACTTCTACTCTTTCAACCTCAATCAACTTTTCTTGAACAATAACCTGGGGAACCTCAACGACCTTCTCTACAACTTTATATTTTGGAACTTCAACTATTTTCTCTTTCACAACTGGCTTCACTACATGTACTTCCCTTTCTTGAATAACCTCTTTTGTTTCGTATCTAATCTTCTCCTGTACTACAGGAATATCTATAGCCGAATATTTCTCGTGGAAATGCAACTCTGGTACTTCGACTATGTTACTTTCAACTTTTTTTGTAGATTGGTATTCGTTCGATCCCAAATCTGAATCTCTATCTGTATTTCCTCCATTATTATTCTTTCCTGACATCTTTATTTTATATTATTGTTGATTCTTATTTTTTTTTACAAATATAATGATTACCAAATTTAATATAAAGCTGCAATTTCCCCCTAGTTGCTTCTCTTCACACACGATCTTTAATTCGAACCTTAAAACTTATTGTTTAACTTTTCTCCTATTTCAATAACCGCTAATATTTTTTGATTTTTTTAAACAGATTTATCACATCTATTGTTCTATTCAATACACTATATATATTAATTATACATCAATATATTACCTTGATTGTAATATATACGTACGCACATGCTATTACAGTTCTTCGCGTCTTGTCTAACCTCAACTATATTTTTATGTTAATTATTAATGTACATTGCAACTTATAGATCACTAATAGAAATGCAACTTTCTAAATTATGAATGATTTCGATTAAACAAATTTTTAGTATTTACACGAGAAACACATTTGCTGTTATTATGGCATTTCTTTCGTAGTTTATTTTATTCATGAGTAATAAATTGTTCTATTTTAAACTTTTAAAATAGCGGCATCCCACATGCAAGATTGTTTGCAGGGAAAATTACATGCATTTGAAAAAAAAAGTCTTTTTAAATAAACATTTTAAATTCAAGTTAGATTTTCAATATTAACAATGATATGTATTTTTGATTAATTTCTGCTCGTAGTTTAACAAACACATGGTTACGAAAAAAGAACAAATTACTTCTTTAACAAATAAAGGTTGGTGGATTTTTTCTTGTTCTGTGGGAGTTGTGCACAAATTTAACTATGTAAATTAGAAAAGATTTACAATTTACTTAAATTATAAATCTGACAGTTCTCAAATTCTTTTCTGTAGTAACCCTTAGTTAAAGCCGGGGATAGGAATTTCATAATAGGAAAAATAAGAAAAAGATAGGGAGGACAATGAAACTCATTATAACAATTTCAGAAATAACGAACAACTATCTAGAAGCAACAAACATTTATTGAGTTTAGAAGTTCTAAATTAGTTGTTTTCGAAATAATTTTAAAGATCTTATACAAGACATGGCGGTAAAGCGTTTATTATTTAATTGTGAGATAATTGGGATCAACAATTTAATAAAGTATGACGTAGAGTTTGTGTGCTATATGGAAATTCATTATGTCTGTGTCTAATACATGTATTAAAAAAATAATAGGAGAGAATAAGAGATATAAGAGGACAAGGGAATAATAGAATTAAGATGAGTAATGAGCGTTCAGATCAGACCTCTGGACGTGAGCACCATGCTCGCTTTGCTGAAGAAGAAGTTCATGAGCAGCGATATGTGGTTCCATCACTACAGATCCCAGAAGATAGCTCGACAAGTGGCGCAGCCGAGGCAGAAATACCTTTAGTTAAGTTGGTAGAAACAGTAGTACCAGATGTTGAAGTTAAGGAAGTAGTGAGAACAGTTCCACGTATAGTTCCTGAATTTAGAGAGAAGGTTGTGGAGGTTCCGGTAATTAAAACAGTGGAAAAAATCATTGAGGATCCTGTTGTAAGGTACAATGTGAAGTACGTTCCAAAAGAAGAAATTGTTGAAAAGGTTGTGACAAAGCCCGTTGTGGAGTATAAGACGGTTGAAAAGATTGTGGAAAAAGTAACATATGTTGAGGAACCAGAAAAACCTTTTATTAATGCTCCTGAATCACTCCCAATTTTCCCTCCAAACCCTGTTGAGATTGATGAGAATACTGTTGTTAATATTACAAGAGTAGCAGTGGGAGATGCTGTTCCATCTTTGATTGAACTCCCTGTGCCATATATGGTCCCAAAACCCTTTGTTGTTCCAGTACATGTTCCAGTTTTGGAATTCCGTGATCACTTTGTTCCTATTCCAGTAAGAAAGCGAGTAGTCCCGAAGTTTAAGATGACTGAGGAAGTATATGAGGTAGAATGTGTTAGAGAAGTTCCTTACTTTGTTTATGAAGACATTATTAAACCTGTACCAGTTGATGTTGAATTCGGGAAGAGAGAAAGAGAAATGGATGTTCATTTAATGAACCCTGCAGAATTATCACAGGCAGATTTCCATGCAATGTGGATGAGAGTTAATGCAGACTTGTTAGAAGAAAGAAGAATTTTGGTAGGTGAGATGGAAATAGATAGAATGATTACACCATATCGTGAGGCAATGGATGGAATAGATTCCAATCAGGAACCGAGTTTAGAACGCATGCAGAGCTTTGAGAGACAAATGAATCTGCAAAGACAATTATGGGATCCATTACCAATGTCTCCAGGAAATCCATTAATGATGACATACCTACAAAACCAATGGATTCTTACACCTACGATTCAAACTCAAGAAATGTATACTCAAGAATTCTTTATGTTGCAACAACAAGCTGTATATAATTTGGTAACTGGTGCTCCTCAACAAGTTAACTTGGCGCCACACCAGATCTCGCTATGTGGTTGTGAGGCTGCTGCTGGAGTTGTTGATATTGAGTCACTTCCTTCTGGAGCTCAGAACCTAATTAGAGGACTTGAATCTAAAGAGGTTGTGAATGTTGATACATTAGGTCCAATGGATCAGACACCTATTGTCACTTATCCAGTTCAACAATGTATTCCAATGGCAGTTTTAGGTGCTGCTCCACTCAGTATGCCAAAGGATATTGTTCCAATAAAGCCCGAGGCTATTGAAGCATCGCATCAGGATGGTTTCTCGATAACTTCGATGTGTTGTAATGCAAGTGAAAATCCAAAAGAAGAAACTAATTCCGAAAACTTGGACCAGTGAGATGTCACAATTATTTACCTCAATTATCATCATAATGTAAGTAATAAGATGTTTCTATTTACAAATTACTTTTGAGTTTCTTCGTTTATAATAAACTGATTACTTATTTCTGTTTATTTTAACATAAGCAGAGAGTAAAGTCTAGAAGGAACGGGAAATGAAAGCTGCGTTATGGCAAACAAGAGTTTAATATTCGCAAAATGAGAATATCCATATTTGTATTTTATGCATTAATGCAATAATATTAATCTCACTGTCACGCTACTATTATTACACTATTCTATTGTAATTATATTAAAAAAACTACAGTATTTTTACCATCTTATAAAAGGAAGTATTATATTATTTTTTCAACTTAAGAATGAAAAGTATAATGAAAGAATCAAAAAAGGATTTCTAATTTACGAGAAAGGCAATACTTAAGATATGAAGGAAATATATCAGAAAGAAATCAGAGAAAGAAAAGAGAGGATGGCCTTCTATGTATTACGGAACTACATAATACTACCCTTAATCTAAAGTTTAGGTTTTTCACTTATTTCTAGAATTCCACTAAGATCTATTTGCATATTTATCTTATTATTGATTTATTACGTTATTTTTACTACACTTTACTCTTGGAATCAGTTATTAACCGTAGTCTACAATTTTAAAATCGATTGCATTTTTTATTATGTAATATGCACAGAAGAAATAGAAAGCTGTTTTGATTGTGCCGCCAAATCGATTTGTCCCGAATAAAACAAATGAAACTATGTAAACCCCACAAAACCCAACATAGGAATTCATTTTAGTAAAATTGTTTAGAAAGGATGAATTTTGATCCTTTATTTTTATTTAAGATGCTTGGCTGTTGTAAAGTAAGTTAAGGGAAACTTCCAAAATGCAGGAAGTTAATTATTCAAGGACGGAGTATTAATGAGCAAAAATAAATACACTTTAGGATCCTCCTGTTGAAGTGGCGCAACCCTTATGGTGGGAAGAAATAAGAGTTGATAGGGATAATAAACCAAACTATCAGTAGTGAAAAACTTATAATATTTTAAGTTTTTAACTTAATAATTTGAAAAGCCTAACTTTAAACTAAACTCGAGAAAATGTTTGTCTTCTTGGTTGTCTCACTAAATTTACTCTATCATATTAACTTTAGTATTCATTTTTAACTTGTTCCCAAAATAATATACATAAATTTATCTGCATGCACATGCAAATAAAGTTATTTAAGTTTTATGGTATTTTGTAAGTGTGATTATAGTCATTTTGAATTGTCCTCAAGATGAGTAATGAATTTGAATACTAGGAAAAATAAATGAGCATCTTCATAAACAAACACAGAAATCATATATATCTGCAGATTTCCAGTAATAGATCTCAGTATAACAACTTATCATTTTAGATAATAACAATTAACTCGAAGAAAATGCATGCAAAGCGAAATCGACAATTGATAATAAAAATGAAATCGTCTTTTAAGGGAATTCTAATTTAGTTTTTTATGTAATGGCCTTTAAGTTGATGAAAAAAAAGAAATAGCAAGCCAACTTTTAATAATATGGGGCAATCAAATTCATAAGATTAAACATTCGAAAAAAAAAATGTCACAGCACCCAATTAAAGGAATAGTAGGAAGAAATACGAATTTATCTAAATTTATTATAATCTGTTTTAATAAAGTTTGGAAAGAAAAACAAACAATAAAAATATTTTTCTAAATTTTTACTTATCGCGAAATCCCATATAAACATCATATCGAGCAGTATTGGCGCCTTAGTTTCTCGACAAGAGACAAAACGTTAAAATCATTAATTGCAAGTAACGGTATAATTTTAGATTACAGATCATTAGAAAAGGGTAGAAAAAAATTAACAAGGAAATTGTAATGATAATTACTCTGCAAATAGATCGTTATATGCACAAATAATATTTGAAGCTTTAAGAGGTATTAGGTAATCAAGTATATAATTAAAGTTTTGTGATGCAAAGGTCATAAAGATCAAGGCCAAAGAGAACAAAAAAAAAAAAAGGTATCGAAAATACAACTCAAGGGCTTTTTCAGTTTATAAAGCTATTTGAGTAGATTTTTGGTACTTTGTTTCAGTGAGGAAGTTGTTTCCGAGCTTTTTCAAACGAAAGTACCAATAAAAAAGAAAGGTCACGAATGAAAGTAAAATGCACTGATAATTAGAAAGGCAATTAAGTAATATAGAAAGTGCGGAACAGTGCATATTAGAAATTAGTAGTCAGAATTTGGCTTTAAAAAATTGATCATTATATCTTCGATAGATTTTATTAACTATCCAATATAAATAGAATTCATCAAAATGTCATATAGCGCAAACTTAATATCCAAAGATACAATTCCTGAGACAAGTAATATCAAAATTTCTGATTTGGCAAAAGATCCAATGTTGGTCTATTCAGCTTCTGGTAAGCTAGTATCTCAAAATATTCCTGATAGCCCACCTACAATGTTTATTAGCGCAAATTCGTCTCCAGGATGCAATATAGTCAATGAAAGAGATGACTCATACTCAAATCTAAGTAACTTTTATTCGATATTTTCGAAAATTAGTGAGGAGATGAAGAATAAAGAGATGATTTCAAATAACAACTTGCCAAATGGGGGATCAATTTCCAATAATATTGGATTAGGAGTTGGATTTCCTATATATAACCCAACACCAGGTGCTCAACTACTTCCCCCGAGCTTAGTTAATAACTCTCAGGGTAATAACTCTAATAGTTTCAATTCGTTTAGTGTTGATGAAGGAAGCTTAAAATCCAAATTAGACCATTCAAATAGTCCATATCCTTATATTGGATCTCAGATAGAGTGGAATAACACAATGAATGCTTATTATCAGCAATTAGCATTATATAACCAAATGGCTATGGCAATGTATTCTCCAATTTTATCTGGTGGATATGGAATACCAGGTACAACAGCGGGGTGTTTTAATCCATTGTTTAGACAGATGTATCCCGGATGGCAAAACAATAATAGTACAATTACTGGGCCAGGGACAGGATCTGGATCTGGATCTGGATCTGGATCTGGATCTGGATCTGGGTCTGGGTCTGGAACTGGAGTCATAGTCACACCTTTTAATTTGTTTGAATTGCAAACTGGAGCATCGCAAGTTCCAAACATGGTGTCTTTGGCCTCTTTATCTCAATTTTCTTGCAATGGAGGGACGTCAAATACTAATTCGACCCCCACAACCAACGTAATTGGAAGTTCAGGAAATCACTTAGGCATGCAACCTGTTAATCTCACAGGAGGCGTAGCCAATAACAACATTTCAGTAAATAGTTCTCCAGTTCATTCTTCCCAATCAATTCCTTCTTCAATTCTTTCCCCTATTAACAGGTCTCAATCTTCAAATTCCAGGAATTCTTTGAATAATTATGATGCTGGTTTTGAAATCTCCAAGTCTTTAGGAGATTGGGTATCTAAAATCGGTATCAGACAAGAAAATAGAAAAGTTGATAAGGCTAGAAAGTCTATTAAATCAAATGTAGGTGGAAGAAGAAAAATTGATAAGAGTTCTGCAATTTGTATAGTTTGTGGAACAACTCAAACTTCACAGTGGAGATTTCTTAATTTGGGGGAATTATACAATAATAGTAATAAAGATGAGAATTCAAACTTAATGAAACAGGAATCTAATGATGCTTTAAATATTCATTCTGATCAGCTCTCATCTACTCCTGAAACAAATTCCCTTAGCACTGTTCCGCCTGTTACCTACATTGAAAAACAAATCTGCTGCAATGCATGCTATATGAAGTATGATAGAAACCGTCCAAGATATAGAAACGGGAAAAAGGTTCCTCCGCCTTTACCTCCGTACCTATATTCGCAGAATCAATATATTACCACTGCCAAAGCCGATGGAGTTGATAATCATTCTAAGTACAAGCAGGAGGTTTCGTACACACACTCTGAATGATAGAATAAGCTTTACAAATAATGATTCTATCCCCAATTAGGTAGAATTCTTATTCCTCAAAATTTATTATATTTAAAGTAGAAGTTAATATTATATTGTGTAACCGACTTTTTCTTTATTCTACTATTGTATCTATAAGTTCCTATTATATCGGCATAACTTGTAGCTAAGACAATTACCAAATCAATTTAAAAAAAATCAATAGGTGTAATAAACTTCTTGGCTATATAGCCAAAAAATCAACTAAAATCACATATTCTGTAAAAACCACACAATTGATCTAATAATTTTTCAATTTAACTATTTTGTTTGCATGTATTACTCCCCACATGAATTTCTGCCCATATCAATACAAAGAACACAATGCATGCATTTTAATGCAGTAAGATGAATAAATAAAAAATCCGGGATAATTAAGAGAATAAAAAAAAATTGGCTTGAAATGTTCAAGACAAATATCAAACAAATAATTAGACAAGTTTATCTAACTTTCACTATTATTAATTTCTTTTAAAAGTATTAAACTCGTGCTAGATAGAGCAAAGCAATTCCTTTCTTCCTTTTTGATAAAAATAGTATTAATTTTAACTCCGATCTAGCCTTAATGATTTAAAAATCAGATTTAATCAGGAAAAATCAAGAACTAAAGCAATCTATCTAATCGAGCTTCATATCCGACTCTTGTGAGACTTCTGAGGCTGTAGTTGCCCCCTGAGTACAGTTATTATCCCCTTCCATCTGGACATCACCATTATTTCCAGATTCTGGGCATTGTTGAGAATCCTCCATATTATTATCTTGAGAATTAGTTGGTTCAGTAACTTTTGGGACGGGGATCAAATTATCATTGCAGTATTTTTTGGTCTCATCACACATTTCCTTAAGAGAGTCTATTGAAACAATCAAGTTTTCAAACTTAGCTCTCTCTTCAAAATTCTTTCGGATAGCTTCGCTAAATTCCTGATATCTCTTTGCCAAACCTTCCATTACTTGTTGTTTGCTTTCTGAAGTAAATTCCATTTCTGCATTTGTACATATGTTGCGGAAATGCTCAAACATTGAATTCATATATGATCGAACTTCCTCTAATTGAACAGATTCTTGGTATCTCATCTCAATAGGGTTTCCATGAACTTTAAGCTCTTCCAGTTTCTTCTCAAAGATTTCTTTTGTGCTTTCGTAGTTATCATAGATCCAGTTCTCTGCCTGTACCAATAGTCCTAAGAAAGCTTCGATTGATTGTTTCTCTGCATACTGGTTCAAATTGCCGCCAGGAGAGATTTTTGAACGCATGTCAAACACATAGGATTCCAATTCATTCAATTTTTCACGTGTCAAATGGACCAATAAGTCTTCTGTACTCATACGTGCTTCTCCATCCTTAAACTTGGTTTTCGAGTCTTCATTCAAATATCCCGGCAATTCACCAATCTGTTTAAATTGAACATTTGTTCTCTTAATTCTAGTCTTCATTGTAGGTTGAGGAGCGGCTGGCTGTTCTTCAGGTTTGGAATCCGCAGACTGTGTAACATTGGAATCAAGGTCTTCTGGATTTACTGCAGCTGGAGTTGTGGCTGGCACGTTCTCCATGACTACTTCTTCCTTAATCTGCTCAACCTTTTCTAGACGTACGATACCATTCCTATCGAGACGAATGTAAAGCTTGACTTTTGAGTCCTGTTGAGAAGGAAGGTCTACAAAGTATCTTCCAAGATCAAGGTTATTTGAGTGGGGATTTGGGGCATATCTGAGTGCGATTTCAAATGGCTCAGTTTTAGAAAATGTAGAATTTTTTAAAACATTCAGGTCACTTCCGAGGGAGAAGAGAGTTGCTGATTTGAAATCTGAAGACCCTGGAGAGTTCTGCCAAAACAAAAGGACTTCGTAAGCAAACCTTTCCGTCATATTGAATTCTCGCACTTTAATAACTGGAGACAACATAGCAGCTTGGAGAGCACAACCTCTTGCAACAGTTTCGTCAGCATTCAAAGTCTTGCAAAGTTCCTTGTTGTTAAAAGCTGCTCCAATTGCGCGTTGAACCCATGGGATTCTACTACAACCACCAATAATCTCAATAGATGATATATCTTCAACTTTAATCCCAGCTTGTTTAATTGCACAATCTACCATACTAGGAATGTAGCTACTCATATTAGAGCAAAGCTCTTCAAATGTACTCCTTTCAATCATCATACTAATATCATTTTCGCCATCAACACATTCTGTTACGAAAGCTGCTTCCTGGTTAGCACTCAGAATCTTCTTGCATTTCGTTGCAGAATCCTCCAACTTTAGCCTGGCTTTTGGGTCCTTTAAAAGATCTGTCTTATATTTTTGGTTAAAGTCTCTGGCAGCAAACTCCATAATTGCATAATCCATTAAACGGCCACTAATTCTGTTCTCATAGATAGTAGAAAGAATGTCAAATTTTCCTTTTGTAAATCTAACAATGGAAACAAAAAAGTAACCCGCCCCACAGCTTATAAAAGCTACAATAACATTTTCGTTCTCTGCAAAATTATTCGATCTGAATATACCATAATCAAGAGCCACTGCGCTTTCTTCATTCATGAGTCTCAGACAATTGATTCCTGCAATATGGAGAGCATCCAGGACATTTTGCCTGGCGACGTTGTCATAGTATCCTGGGATACTAATAACTAAGTCTCTTACTGACTGGCCTGTACTCTTTTCAGTATTCTCTTTGAGACGCTTAAGAAAAGATGCATAGACACTAGTCAAAGAAACTACTTGCTGATTGCCTTTATATCTTACTTTGAACCCAATATTACCGTTTTCACATGTTGTGATCTCCGCCAATGAATACATCTTCTCTATCTCTGTTACGTTATTTGGGAGCATACCAAGTAAAGGTTTCATATACCTGCAAGTGTTCTTGTAGTTGGACTTCATTTTTGTCAGAGCTGGCTCACCAATTAAACGTTCTGTATCAGTATAACCAACTAATATCGGAGTTGTCCTTTCTGATAACTCATTTCTTACAATAGTAACAGCTCCTCTATTAATTGTTGCAACCACTGCATTTATAGTTCCTATGTCAAGGCCTATAACTGACATTTCTTGAAATTTAACGTTTCTGTGCTCTTTTCTTACTTTCTATTAAATTTGACTCACTAGTTAATTTTTAATGATTCCCCTTTTACCGCATTAATGAGACACAAATTCATTATTTGCCTATTTTTACCGGTACCTTTTGCTTGGTTTTTGGTTGCTTACCCCTCCATATTGCATGAAAAGGTTAAGTAATTATTGTATTCGTTATTTTTAGTTATTTTTTTTATCAAAAGTGGAGTTTAGTACTTTATTTAAACTTTTTTATTTATTATTCTACTAATTTCTATTGCAAATTCTACCTAATGCTTTTGTTATAACATCCCACTTTTTATTAAAACCAATAAATACGTGGCTGCGTTTCTATATCACTATCATCTATATAATTTTAATGAGCATTAAATATTGGCTAATTGTTAGGCTTTTATTTGTTCTTTTTGCCATTGGAATGGTTGCCTTCTTAAACTTTTTTAGTTAGAAATACCCCCCCTATTCAAATATAATCGGAGTTGGCGCTGTCAAGGCCGGCGGGAATCATGTTAATTGGCTAAATTTTTTGGTACTTACAGGAAATTGGGAACTCTGCTGTGTATTTACAGTTGATTTTGAAAACGGGGGAACAACCAAATACAATAAGAATTATAGTTTTCGAAGCTAAATATGTTCATTTTTAGCAAGGAAACAAGAGGTACGTGCGCTTCAAATATAATGCATGAGGAGTCTTAATTAATCTAGAAACTCCAACAGAGGTTTTGAAAAAAGAGTTAATTTTTAAAATACGCTTTTTAACTGGTAAGTATGCAATATCAATAACTAGAGTTAGTATTTATCGAAATTAAAACTACTTTCATGCTAATTGCAGTTGCTTGGGCAGGGTTTAAGATACTTCCATTTATAGTTAGAAGATTCAGTGACTAGAACCTTACATATAAATAATGATAAATTAGATACCTTTAGTTTAATAGAGTTATAAGATTTCTTAATGATATATTCTTGAAGTATTGATGGAATACTTCCAGACTGTTTACATTATAATGAAATAATAAATTCAAAATTGGACAAGAAAATAACGTTGGTTGTTTAAAAAAAAAATTTATATATTAGCTAATTATTGCTCTAATTCTTGTCGACATCAACCTTCTTAAATATTAATCAACTTCAATTGAATGATTCCTGAAAGAAAATGGATTCATTTAATTCATCATAGTTTTTCTCTCGTGGATATTATATGCCATAAGCTTTTCAATCAAGTCTGCATGAGTAAGAATCATTCTTCTACAACAATACCTTCTTAGTCCAAGCTTATCAAGCGCCTCCCTAAAATAATTACAGAAAGTGAAAGTTACAGTCAAGATACATTATTGAGCAAGCCCCTTATAAACATACCCTTCAGGAACATTATTCTGCAGCAAAACCAACCATGGTTGCCACAAATTACCAATAACTTTTCCGCATGTGAAGCATCTAACTGGAATGATCATATTTTAACTTTTTCCTAACAAGAGAAATAATTTCCACTTCCAGAGAAATAAATTATTGGAGTAATTATATACTTGAGAATGATTTTTGGACAAATACCAGCGCTAAATGGCGGCAATTCCGGTTTAATGAATTAGCAGTCAAAACTAACATTAAAGAGAAGGAACTTAAAAAAAAAGCTTCAACTTGTATTATTCTAGATTATAAACAATGGTTGGGATGAATGAGCCGTGTATAAGCTCGGAACCATATTTGAATAAGAAATTTTCCGAATTTATTTGCGAAGGAAAGGTCAAAATTCACAAAATGAATGATGACGTATTTTACAATCCTGCTCAGGTGTTTAATAGGGATCTTTCTCTAATTGCAATAAAGTCATTTTTAGCCTTAAGACGAAAGAATTTGAACGAAAAATACTTTAAAAGACTCAAGTTTGCCATTAAGAATGATGGTGATAAGAGTAATGAACAAAACAACAATACCTGTAGCAGCAATATAAATGGTAATGCTGACCTGATATCCGGAAAAAATGGCAGTTCTAGATTCCCAATTACAGTCTTAGAACCCCTTGGTGCATCTGGGCTCAGATCTATAAGGTATATTAAGGAGTTAGCAACTGAAATAGATCATGTAGTATGCGGCGATATTGATCCGGTAGCTGTTGAACGTATGCAACAAAACTTTGAATTAAATTCTATTCCTCCAGAAAAATACTCTTGTATCTGTGCAGATGCCAGAAAGCTCCTTTCTCTTTCAACACCAAGTCTAATAAGGCAAATTAAATCTCCAAACCAGCTTTCTGTTGAAAATATAATAAATTCTTTACTTGGAGGTGGGAAAAAAATCTCAAGCTCATCTGACCCAGTAAATTCTGGATTTACTATTGTTGATATTGACCCATATGGAACTTGCGCGCCTTTTATTGATGGAACAGTGCATGCATGTGAAGAAGAAGGGCTTGCATGCTTTACTGCTACTGATATGCCGGTATTATGTGGAAATGTCCCGGAAGTTACATTTTACAAATATGGAGGAAATGCATTGAAAAAAAGTTATGGACATGAGATGTCATTGAGACTATTATTAAATACAATAATTACTACCGCAGCAAAGTACCAAAAAAGTATAATTCCACTATTAAGTGTCAGCGTAGACTTCTATGTCCGAGTTTTCGTTAAGGTGAAAACAAGTGCAATCCGTTGTAAGGATATTTCTAGTACGACAGGATTCGTACTTCAATGCACGAATTGTCCTAGTTTTCACGTTATTAACTTTGGAGATAAAGTAACTAGTAATAAGAAAAGATTAAGAGAAACAAAGAAAAGTCAAAAAAGAAATAGATCTGAACAATTGACTGGTGATTTTGGCCATGAAGACGAAAAACCACATCTTAATACATCGGAAAACGAAGAGTCTAGAGAAAATAATTTTCAAGATAAAAAAGCTCAGAACTACAATAAATTTAAGTATAAGGCAGGCCAGCTCAATATAAATTTATATAAAGATAGTCTTGAAGATTTAAAATGTAAGGAATGCTCTTCTGGAAAATATTGTATAGGTGGCCCAATATATACAGGAAATCTTTGTGATGACGATTTTCTGGTAGAAATGTTAAATGAATGCAAAAAAATAGAAGAATTCTCTATAAATAATTGCAATCATTCTGATAATAATACTGAGGATATAAGTGCTGATCATGATATATTGGATGGAGTTACCATGAATAAGAAAATTAAGGGATTATTAACTGCAATAAGGGATGAACTTAAAGATTGTGTATTACATTATCATATTCCTTCTCTTTGTAACTTTCTTGGCATTGAGATGATCAGACCATTGCTATTTCACTCCGCACTAAGACATTTAGGATATAAATCTTCCCACTTTCATAGAGATCCTCTTTCCCTCAAAACTAATGCCCCAAATAAGGTTGTAATGGATATCTTGAGATCTTGGGCACTTTTAAATCCATCAAAAAATAAAAAAAATAATAGTTTTCTTGATGTTCAAGTAACTACCGAAGGTATTAAATTCGATATCCATCCAGATGTATTATTGGAATCTAAAGCAAGTTACGGCCCTAGATGGCTTCCTAACCCTGAAGCAAACTGGGGCCCAATTTCAAGGCCAAAAAATGCTGGCCAAAATTAATTATTGTGAATCCATTTTGTTCTTTTGGCAATTTAGCTTTATATAATTCTCATATAGGCATTAAGTTATCTTTAGTTCTATTCAAATTAATCCACTCTCTGATTCCATACCTATTTGCTAAATATGGTCTGACATCATTCAATAATTGTATTCTGTTTAAAAGAACAAGTAGTCTAAGCAGCTCGTTATCTTTAGTACATCCATACCAACTATCAACTGGAATTGCATTATCTAATTGTAATGTATTGCTTATCAGAGAATTATCTACTAAAACTGTTCTTTTTAGATCTACGCCTTGAATTATTCTCAAATCTTTCATGTAACCTTTATTATAAACGGTACAGTGTTCTCTAAACAGTTTATATTTAATAAGATCGTGGGTCGGATCAATTGAGTTTATTACTTGTTCTGCATACTCTCTCGTACTTGCAGTAAAAACACATATTTTTCCCAATTTTGAAGCATTTTTAAGAAAAAATTTAAGAAATGGCCGGTAATATACAAACCAAGGTGAAGAATATGCTGCAATGTTGACTAATAGGTCTGGCTTAATTCCTTTAAGCATTTCATTTGTACAATGAACCAAAGTCTCATCCATATCTAGTACTATAAATAAACCCGAACTGTATTCTTGTTCCTTAACAGTTTTTAACAAAGGAAGATGACTAATTTTAAATAAAGATTTCTCATCCTGCATATCATTAACTTTGAAGGGACTATTAATAGCTGATACTTCTCCATGCAGTAATTTCAAGGGAAATTTTGTACAGCATATGTATTCGATGGCCATTGACATTGACTGAGATAAAACTCTCGGCCTCCCACTTACTATATTTTCCATTGCCACATGAAATGTAAATCCAATGCTATTGTTTTTATAAGGTTTAGAAATCAAAAAGCAATAGTTCAAAAGGTTTTCGTCGTCTCTAAAAGATCCAGGTTTAATATCTAATTTAAGGTGCGTCATGATCTCTATAAAATCATCAAACCTCCTCAGTAGACTCATTTCCAACATATTTTCCTCGATATTTTTACTCTCTATAGTACTCTGCGAATTTTGAGAGTAATCCTCATCAGGAGAATCTGAACTTTTTTCCCCCAATTTACTATCTTCCTCTCTATCAGTAATATATCGTTCATTTACCTTTGACTTTAATGGTAATTCTCCTTGGGCTTCCTCGTTTGCAATTGTACGAAGCCTTTTCATCCTATATTTGAATGCAACCATTTAAGTTAAATCTCAGTTATTGGCAATAACACTGTATTATTTACTGCTTTGCTTATTTTTAAAATTTAAATCCTAAAATCTAAATCTTATTCCTTTTTTCTACCTATTTAACAACACAAACTGGTACCTTAACTTTATCTTATTATCATCTATCCAAATACCAGTATTATTTTAATACAGTTTAGCACAAATTTTAATAATCTTTTCACAAAAAAATCTAATAATAGTCAGTTTTGACGGCGAGGAAAACTACGAATTTTCTCCAGAAGTCCTAACGTTATTTATTTTTCCTCTATTAAAATGGCTGCCCACAAGTACTATATTAGCCAAATAATATAAAATTAGATTGATAAATTTAAGTTAAATAAATTATCTATATTAAGAAAATAGCAATATATAGCAAAATTAAGTTAATTTAGCTCTCGAAAAAAAACAAAATCTTAATTATGTTCATTTGTTCATTTTTGATCATCAAAAAATACAATCCTTTTTATTCAATGCTGCTATCAATATCTAAAAAACTATTAAACTCCTTTTTTAAAATTTCAGTACGCAGTATAAAACTTTCTAATAATAGATAAGACTCAAAAAATTAGTGGAAACTATTTCTCATTTTTTTTTTTTCTATCACTCATTTGTGTGTTCTTAAAAAAACAGTGTATTTCTAAGTCTTGGCGCCACATGCATTGGCGATACCGCGAAACATATAGACATGTACGTGCAATAGCGGAGTCATAAAAGACTATAAAATTTTTGTATTTACAAAAGAAAATCAGACTTAAACAGACAAGGAGGTTGCAATAAATCATATTTAAAAATAATATTGATTTTTATGTTTGAGGCTGTAAACGAATAAAATTAAATAATTTGACAAAGATCACAAATTTTGTTAATACTAAATGGACACATCCGAAATATTAAAAACAGCTAGCATATGAATTTGAAGCTAGTCCATTTTCTGCTTTTATTCTACAGTTTTGTGCTAGGATCTGATCTCAATGAGACTTTTCAGGAAGAAATAAAAAAGAGCTTGAAAAGACAGCAGATGGTTAGGAGACAGGTTGCGTTTGAGAGATCAAAGTTGATTCACGAAATTGATTTGGCAATCTGTAAAAGTGAGCAGTTTAATTTCATTAAATGTAAATATGATGATTCTGGCGTACTTAAGAGTTTTGGTGGAATGTTTGGAGTTGGGGTAGTTGCGACCTTATATCCGATGAATTCAAACTTTAGAATTTATAAGAATTGTACTTTAAACCCCGATTTAACCTACCAGTGTTACGAAAAGGACTTAATTAAAGATTCAGAGGCTATTAGTATCTTCATCAAACGAGAGAATAGTAAGCTCAGTACTCAATATAAGTATGCTTATTTAGATAAACTTCCTATAATTCTTCAGAACAGGAGTAGCTCTGAATTTAATATTGGTTTCTTAATGGAGAAGTTTATGACTACATATATATCTGGTAAAAAAGTCTCTAATAACTTTATCAGCCCAAATGTTTACACAGTTACAAGTAAATGGGGTGCTCCAATTCACGAGTTTGATCGCTACATATTCATGCAATATTTAGAGGGAGTAACTTTGAGCGAAGTTTTAAGAAGACTTAGGCAAAGTGAAATTTTCCACATGAAAAACAGTTTTAGAAAAGTTTTAAGGGCATATAGCAATTTAGTTGCAGCTAGAAATAGTAGATACAAAAACAGTGAAGCGATAAAGAGAAGAGAAATGTTATTAAGAATAAGTATAAATAATTCTGCAGGTGAAATTCTTGGGAGATTTAGGTACAGGCTTTCATTATTAGACCATACTCTGAATTTCCTACAGAGAGTTTGGGAGCAAAATATATATCACTGCGATTTGTGCCACCCAAATATTATGATTATGGAAGAGTATTTATCAGACCCCCTTGAAATTACAAAAATCATTAAAGATGGTCAAGGGTTTTTAATTGACGATGATGAATATATTAATATGATGGAAGTTAATAGTCTTCCTCTTGAAATTACTAAAAGACTCAATGAAAAGATGGAACAAACTATACAGAACAACAATGGCAATGCTCCCAGTTCCAAGTATGTGAATTCTGATAATCAACAACATCTGAGCATTGAGTATAATCCAAATAAACCAACTTCTTTTGATGATTCTTTTTGCGATCCTAAGTCATGCAAACACAATGTAAATTTTGATACCTCTATCAATACTTCTAATGATGGAATAAATAACGATTCTTCAAAGAATTCTGGCTCGGGGGCTGAACAGCCCACCCCAAAGAGTAAACAAGGCCTAAGAGTGATTCGCTTTAAGCTTGAAAATTTTCGTATAATAGACTTCTCTTTCACTTTAGACATGACCAAAGAAATTAATAGCCGAAAAGGGGTGGATAAGTATTTAATTGAAACTCCCTGCCGTATTTATAGACCAGATAGAAGAGAGGATATTATTGAATTAAGAAGGTTTGTGGATGAGACAGCTTATTATGCTTCAAAGAGCGAAACGAATGTTTTGGCTGATACATGGAGCACTGTAATAGAGGAATTGATCAATGAGAACAGTAGTATATCAGATCATGTCGATAATTTTCTGACATTTGACAAATCTGTTGCAACACAAGCAAAGCAATTTTTGACTGCAATTCAGGTCCTTCAAAGGTTCTTCAAAGAGCTGAGAAACAATATTTATGGTCCTGAATGGAGTGGTTGCTGGGATAATCTGAATGAATGGAAAAGATTAAAGCTTGTACATAAATATAATCAGATGGAAAGAGAGCATCTTAAACTGCAATCTTCCTGCACAATTAAAGATATGACTATTGCTATCCATAAAGCTAGAGAACAACTTCATCACCACGTTGCAAGATTTAAACAGGGACTTTTTGGTAGTACTCTGCTCGATGCAACCTCTACAATGGCTCAGTATTATTCCGTTTCTGTTGCCCCACAATATATTGAATCAAAATTGAAAGAAATGATTGACTTAGGTCTTTATAAATTAAGCTAATGGGCCCCCCCCCCTCCCACAACATCTATATTGTTTAATACTAAAATTCTAGTTCTTAATTATTTATCTTAAAAAAGTTAATATTTAAGATCAAAATATAAATGAATTACATGTTTTAGTCAATATAGCTTGAAATGTTTTTTAATTCATTAAATGTTTCCGTTTTTTTCAGCTTTTCTATTCAACAAGACAACTCCATTTTAAATAAATGATTTTTGATTTTCAGGAATCCTGATGTTTCGCATAAGATTCATGTTAAAACTATTAAGTATTGTCTATTAACCCAATTATTTCTCTTGAAGTACTTTTTGGAATGCTTAAGAACTTAATTATATCTTCTCTTTAAAAGTGTTAACATATTAGATTTTGAACAGCATTTATGCGACCCCAACACTTTATGTTAGTCAATACTAATCTAAAACTATACAAGCTACACAATTTCTGAACATGGGAGAGCTTAAGCTACATTAGATCTCTTTTAAGAAATGAATATATTAGTTTTCAAATAGAATTTATATTTATCGGGAATGCCTTGGGACAGTGATGGCAATAATGAATTTTTTACTAACTTCCGAAAATTTTCGGTCAAATGTTCTAATCTAAAGAGTTAATTAAAAAGGTTCCGAAAAAACGGCCCACTTGGATAAAATTGATTGTTGCACCCCCTCACCCAAATCAATTATTACCACCCTTACCCACATAAATATTTACTCACTATTGCATACCCACATTTTTAACCCCTCACCCCGTTTTTTCTATCAAATAATACCTAATTAAAACCAGAAATAAATATAAAGTTAACATGTTTAGGCGGGAGTAATGTGGAAACGTGGATAACAATTAATCAGTGTGGAAATATAGTAAAATAATAATAAAAAGTACAAGTGTGGAGTTTTGCCAATAAATTGAGGATAAAATAAAAGAGCGAAATTCACTTGCCTGCATTTTGTGTCGACAAGGTCCCTGAGAAAGCGAAGAAAATAAAACAAATAAAATATAACTGAAAATGGCTAGAACTAAGCAAACAGCACGTAAATCAACTGGTGGTAAGGCACCACGTAAGCAATTGGCATCAAAGGGTGCAAGAAAATCAGCACCAGTAACTGGTGGTGTAAAGAAGCCACGTAGATACAGACCAGGAACTGTAGCCCTTCGTGAAATTAGAAGATACCAAAGATCAACTGAGCTTTTGATCAGAAAGTTGCCATTCCAGAGATTAGTACGTGAAATTGCTCAAGATTTTAAGACTGATTTAAGGTTCCAATCATCGGCTGTAATGGCTTTACAGGAAGCTGCTGAGGCCTATCTCGTTGGTCTCTTCGAAGATACAAACTTGTGTGCTATTCATGCTCACCGCGTAACCATTATGCCAAAGGATGTTCAGTTAGCTCGTCGTATCCGTGGTGAAAGGTAAAAACTGTGCCCTGATGGCTGACTTAGTGGTGTTTGATATATTCGGAATCCAGTATCTTGATTTCCAGTATTACGAGCATTTGCTATTCGTGCAATTTTGATATTATCGAAGCTTTCCGGTTCGCGTCACCTAGCATGTTATAAATTGCTTGTGACATTCCCTAACTATAGTAGCGCATGCATTTTGCTGCTCTCCAGGCGGCACTAGCCGCCATAAATATTGTAAAAATAGAGTAGAAAGTTAGTAATTAAGAGATTTGTTTGAGCTATTTAGAGTTTGCAGTTATAGGCCCTAATTAAGGAGTCTTACTCGTATGGGTCGTGTGTCCCGTTGAATGAGTTTATGTAGAGATTCGTGATTGAGTCCTTCATTTCTTTAATGCTTTTGCTAACTGAGGAATTCGGGCAGTGGTTGATGTTGCTGTTAGCATTAATTTGGTTGAGCCGGTCAACTTCTGCTGTGCATTTAAGAGTTGAAATGAGTAGTTTGTCAAGCTCGTGAAGTATTTGAATTCTTCGTTCAGGTTCAAATTCTCTAATCTCTTTTTTAACATTAAAATCCTTGTCAAGCTTCGCAAATGGCCTTCCGCCTTGCCCAGAGAGAAGAATTTCCATACCGTCTATAATTTGGATGTTTTCTTTATTTAATTGCCTTGATTTCTCCAGTATTTGCATAATATCTTCTTTTGTTTGAACACTCAAACACGTTACATCATCATCAACATTATCATTTAATGTAAAATCTGGATCAGAAGATATTCTAAGAACTAGATCTTTTAGCTTATTTTCCAAATTTGAGTGATTTTGAATACTGCAGTTCGATTTCAAACCATTTCTCAACCCTTTAAATAATTCCTTGGCAGAAGAAATATCATTTTTTGATTCTAATATAAAAAATTTGCCGTCTTTTTTCTTCAATAGATCACATTCAATTGTTTCTGGAATGCTTGCTATTGTTATTTGATTCAATAATCTATCCATCTATACACCTTAAATTAATTTTACATTGAAAAGTAACTTATACAAAATCAATGGCGGGAACAAAGTTATTTTTCATGTAATTTTTTTAGTAAACAAAAGCGAATAAAAAATCTAACTAACATGAATAGAATATCAATATATTGGGCAATAGGATTAAATATATATACAGTAACCTAAGAATACTAATTCGAAATTTCAAATTCCTTTATTTGATTTCGCCATAATTAATATGTGAATTTGTGTATTTAATTACTTGAGAGATAAATTTGTACTGCCTTATCAAATTTATCTTCAATTTTATTACATATAGAATTTAGATCATCGCATGCCTTCAGGAGAACTTGTGTAGCCCCTACTTTATCATTTTTCTTCTTTGTATTATTTTTTCTATCTAAACTTGAGTTGGGTACTGTTTTTAAGTCCAGAAAACAGTTCTTATTGTCAACCTCAACATTCGATAAAGTTTCTATCCTTAAGTTCATGGTGGAAATAGATGGATGAGGAATTGCATAGCCTGCGAATGTTGTATTTGGATTCAACATTGCCAGGTGACGTAATGCATTACCTAAAAAAAATATTTAAGAAATTTGAAAGAAAGAGATAAATACTCATTTCAATATATCTAAGTTAACTTACCTAATGTATGATCTTCTTCGTGTATTTGGAATGTCAAATTTGGGCCTTCAAGATTGCTTAACATTTCATTTTTTGAAGCCAAGTTATTTGTAATGTTCCCATGTTCAATTTCATCCTTCATATTAACATCTTCCATTTTCTTGGCCGATTATATAGTCTAAGAACTTATCTAAATAAAATATAATTGGACAATCTTATTCTAGAAAAAGTAATATCTTAATGCTCTTATTCCCTTTTCACTTTGACTATTTATCCTTAATGTAAAAAAGATAGTACAGTTAGCGCCACTTTAATTTTTGAACAAACAATTTGCAATAAAGTGAATTCATCTTTGAATCAGATTAATTTCACACTGATTGCTTTTTTTCACGGTCTAAATTCTGATTATTTCAATATTTCCATTTTCCGCAGGTTTTAAATTTCATTTTTTATAACTTGTTCTTGTATAATGATCTTTATTGAATGCATACATAGGCGCTAGACATCTAAAGAAAAAAAATAGCCACAATAGATAATAAATTAGTAGTGAAATATGGGAACGGAGAAGGATGTTTTAGAGGAACCAGCAGAGTTTCTGGACAAAACACAAAACCTATTGATTAATATCTTGAATGATCTTAGGGAAACAGTTAACATTATTTCTAAAGTCGACCCAAAAAGACAAAGTGAGCTTGAAAGTCACATTATTAGGTAAGTTTGTTTATACACTTATTTCACAGTTAGTTTAATATATTATTCCTAAAGTTATTATAAAAATGTGAATGACCTTTCAAACGTTTTAAATGCAAAGATTAATACCATGTATGACGGTTTTGAGTTCCAAGTTAATTCTACTATTGAAAGACTAATGGTTGAAAACCTACAATCATTTGAATCCGAAACTGAAATCGATTCAAATAACAAAGAAGACCAAGGTTATAGTAATCTAACCTTGAAATAACTAATAATTGTTTGATTGAAAACAGTAAAATTTATAATAATATTGTTGTCAACAAAAATTACTAAATAATAAACCGAATTAGAAGTATTATTCAACAATATGTGAAGCTATATAGGTATTGTTAATTATCAATTAATTAATTTGGGCTCTTTAGAATCAAAATTACAGAATCCCCTCTCACAAATAATTTAGAAATAAATCTATCTTTGTTGATATATTTAGCAGATCCCTTTTTACCTGACTTTACAGACTCTGTCCATATTTCTCTAGCATCAGTAAGAAGTAAATTACAGTGCCTATCAAATGCTTTAACTCTTCCTAAAATCTTTCTATTGTTTCTACAATTAACAAGAATCTGGGTATTTGTTTTTACGCATTCTGTTAGTAGGCTTAGAGGTCCTTCACTGGGATTATCCTTTTTTATAGTTTGTGAATCAATGTTGGACTCTTCAGTCATTAATTACTAAACTAATAAATATTTCAATATTAATATTTTAGGCTGAAAATATGTTAATAGTTTAATAAACAGTAATTGTTTGTATAAATATTTCCTTAAAGTATTAATCAATTTGAATTCAATTACTCTAGCTACATTTAAAATGCAAACATAAATTCAAAGCATTCAGTGTTAACTCCAAATTTTTATCTCCCAATTAATATTAGCTTTCCCCTCATTAATTTGATTTCCTTCTTAATTTTTTATCCATTATATATTTATACCCATTAATCTCAATAAATCTGATCTTAATAATAATAAACTGCGAGACATATGCGTCTCTGCGCCAGTATCGAAGGATCGATTTTGACTGGTTTAGAAAAAAAAAGTATATTTTTTAATTAATGGATTCAGGTCTTTAAGAAATTAAAGATTTGGAAGGTATAATTTAAGGTGAAGAACTTGAATTTTTAAATATATTAAATTTGGCTATATTATTATTTATATTACACCTTTGACAAATTAATCAGATTTTGATGCAAACCTATTTTTTATTATAAAAACTACAATAGTAGAATTAAAATGAAAAATAAAACCACTGAGCTTTCGGAAAGTGATGCTACAAAAGCAGCAGAAAAGACTGACGAAAATCTGGAAAGTGTTTCGTTTGCTTCTCTAGGAGTTTGTAAAGAGCTTTGTATTGCGTGTGATTCCTTGGGCTGGAAGAACCCAACAGAAATACAGAAAAAGGTTATTCCAATAGCTCTTGAAGGTAGAGATATAATTGGGCTTGCAGAGACAGGGTCTGGTAAAACAGGAGCATTTATCATTCCAATATTACAAAGATTACTTGATGATCAAGTTCCAATGTATGCAGTTGTATTAGCTCCAACAAGAGAACTGTGCGTTCAGATTTCTGAACAATTTTCTGCATTTGGCTCCTTGATATCCTTAAAAATTGCAACATTAGTCGGAGGGCTTGATATGGTGACTCAATCTCTTTCATTAGCAAAAAAACCTCATATTATTGTCGCATCTCCTGGAAGATTAGTTGACCATCTGGAAAACACTAAAGGCTTTAATATTGGGGGCATAAAGTTCCTAGTTATGGATGAGGCTGACAGGTTATTATCAATGGACTTTGAAATTGCGTTGAATAAAATTGTCGAATCATCTCCAAGAAATAGAACTACTTATTTATTTTCAGCAACGATGACAACGAAAGTTGCCAAGCTCCAAAAGATTTCATTATCAAATCCAGTAAAAATTTGTGTAAACACAAAATATGATACCGCTGTCAATTTAATGCAATATTATATGTTTATCCCTTTTAAATATAAATGGAGCTATTTTATTGGATTGCTCCAGAATTTGGGTCAATATACAGGAATAATATTTTGCAATACATGTATTAATTGTAGAAGAGGAGATATGCTTGCTAAAGAACTTGGATTCAACAGCATTAGTTTGCATGGCAGAATGTCACAGTCTCAACGTTTGTCAGCATTGAATCTTTTTAAAGGTAAACAAAAAAGATTATTATTTACTACAGAAGTAGGAAGCAGAGGTTTAGACATTCCACACGTAGATTTCGTTATTAACTTTGATGTCCCAACATCGAGCAAAGATTATGTACATCGTGTTGGACGTACTGCAAGGGCAGGCAGAAGCGGTAGAGCTGTCTCTATTGTTACCCAATATGATGTTGAGACTTTCCAAAGGATTGAGTTCGCATTGAACAAGAAACTGGATGAGTACACTTCTCTACAAAAAGAAGAAGTTATGGCAATTCATGCAAAGGTAGTTGATTCTCTAAGGACTGTAGATGCAGAGCTCAATGAATCCAATGAAAAAACAGCACTGGTTGGACATAGAAAATTGAAAAATCGTAATAAAAAGAAATAATTATAAAGATTCTTATAAAGAATATATTCATTCACTATAGCGTATTATTCTGTCAATAAGTGTAAATGCAACTATTATTTATTTTAAATTTTTTTCAAGTTAACAAATTGCCTAAATGTTTTTTTTTTCAAACCTAACTTACCTGCTGATATTAGTGTGTATCTTCCCATAACTCTTGTTGAAGATGCCGATTTATACAGTGCTCCAGATAACGCCCCAGATATTAAAGAATTAAGAGAATCATCCTTTTTCCTTATAGCTTTCGTTGCTCTGTAAAATCCACAATAGAACAAAGCTAAATGAGTTGTAATTTTCAACTTTGTATTCATGTTATAAGGACTTACTAATGATAGATAACGGGTTCGCAACTTTTGCACTATTGGACGCACACTCATTAAGGATGGAGTTTATTTTAAGCTTTGGTGTGAGTGCAGGCTTCTTCATAGCATTTACAAGCCCATATGTAGATCCCAGAAAAAAACCTAATCAAGTTCTAATTACTTGTTCAAGTGAAAAACGAGGAAACACACCTGTTCCATAAGATAAACCCACACTATAAGTCACTTTTTCTCCCCAAAGCCTATCATAGGAGTTTAAGTACAAATCTTGTTTTCTTTTAAATCTAGTTGCCTCAAAATCAAATTTATCAAGCTTCAGATTATCATTAAGAAGTAAATTATTTGGTAAGTTGTGAGGCTTATCTTCTGCAGGTTCTCCCATGTTAATTTTTTTGTGGTTTTGGATGAGTTTCTTTATACCAGTTAGGTTATAGTATTTTTTGTTGAGAAAAATATTTAGGAAAAGAATAATGAATTAATAGCGGGGAAAATTTTTAAAATTTGACAAATCTTTAACTTGTTGATAATAGCTGGTGATTATTTAAAATGATCTGTTTACAGATTGTTGGAAAATCGGTGCTCACTAATATTTTAAGTAGTACTTAGCCCACAACAAGCCTCTGGGAATGATTCAGCTTCGGACATAAACCAATCACTAAAAAAGTTCAGATCCTGATAAGCTCGTTTAGTAATTTACGGGCTCATCTCAAAGACCGTTTTTCAGGAAACAAATAATAATAACAAGCTCTACAATTCATCTCCTAAATCTAAAAATCGTCAGAGCGGAGATAAAAACAAAGACTAGAGAAATGGGGAAATTTGGAATTTATCACTTAAAAGTGAAAATCATCTCTAATAATGATATCTATGAATTGTAAAGTTTAAAATTACGCCTTCATCTCAGCAGTCAATAAGTTAGTTGCTTGGTTTGATTCTGAGACAACCTTGGTACCTTTTTCTTCAACACCATCAGCACCAATATGGCTTTCCATGAGACGGGAAACATCAAATGATGGCTTCGATAATACCTTAACCTTACGAATAAATACATGTTGTAATGGGAAAATGTGTCTACATGCCTTCTCAATTTCTTTACCTATTGACTCAGGGATAAATTTCTTTACTAAGTCACGTAAAGTTGTACCTTCTGCCTCTGCTGTAATAATTTCTACCATCTTCTTTCTAATTTGTCTAATTTGAGAAGTCTGGGCATAGCAAGTTGATTTTACTTGGTCTGCCATTCTTCTTGTGAATGCGATACAGAACAATCTCAAAACATAACCATCAGAAGTTTTAACATTGCAATGAGCTTCGATGAGAGTCTGATATTTTCTAATTAAAGAGCAGAGTTTGTCTCTTGTCATATCCATACCATGGAATTCAGTAAGACAAGTCCTTCCTTGAATATCTTCGCATTGCAACTTGATCTTTCTAAATGCCTGATCTTCATCATTGTTCAAGTCAGCCAAGCTCACTTCATATACTCTGTGTCTAAGAGCATCGACTGCTAACTTTGTACCTTGATTTTTAGAAGCAATAGTGGTACCGAAGTTACGTACTTTAAAGGTGCTTGGAGCACGCAAGTCATAGAACTCTTTACGCGATAAGGGATCGATGATTTTCTTACGTCCTCCCTTTCTACCCTTGGAAATTCGTTTATTTTTACCAATTGCCATATTTGATGTTGATCGAAACTAATAAAAAAGGAAGCAGCAAACTCTTCTTTTCTTTTTTTTGTTTTTAATAATGTTCTTTTGCGCTTTGAGACGCCGTACCTTGACCTTTTTAACTATACTCATCCCAGGTGTTGCTAAAAGACGCAATTGTGGCGCCAAAATGCCGTCTCCTTTAATGTATTTTTTAATTGTGGGGTACATTGCTATGAATTAATTGTGATAATCCTAAAGCTCGCGATTTTATTCTTATTATTTTTTTTAATAAATTAAGAATAAATGGTTTCTGAGATATTAAGTAAATTTGTAAGGACATGTAATTTGATTATAATTAACATACCGCTCGAAAATATTTGTCAAATATGAAATTTTTGCCTTTTCAAAACTCCACTTTATTCAAACAGATTTAAAAGGAACTCTAATACTATTATTATTTAATTTATTTTTTTTTTTTGAAATATTAGAAAATCTAAAGGATCGTTTTTATTCTTATATTCACATAAACATCACTTTTACATATTAATGCAATACATCACTATAATTTTTTTTCCAAACTACTCTATTTATAGTTCTTTGAAAATTTTAGTATTTGTCCATATTTAATATATAGAAAGAAAACGATTTTTTTTTAGGTGGTAGAAGAAAAAATATTATCTTGTAATGTTCCCGCCTCCCACAAATACAAGTAAAAAACTGATATTCTATGAGGCATCTCGTTTAAAAAGAATGAAAATGGATATTAATGTAAATAAATAGAGATGAGAATAGTTGTGTACTCAGTGTATTTTTTAGATAATCATGTCGGCATCATTCTGCAGCAAATACGCAGATTCAGATAATAACATTGGACTTGAGGAGGGATGGACTCAAATTAAAAAAGAGGCTATTGAACCTCTGGAGATATTTTTACTAAATAGGACTCAGATTAATGAAAAGGCAAAGAATTTATTTACTGCGCAAGAGTACTCAAGAATTTATACTTTAATTTACAATATGTGCACCCAAAGCCCTAGAAACTGGAGTAGGCAGTTATTTACCAAGTATTCTGAAACTATCGAAAATTTCCTGAGAGAAAATGTTATGAAGACATTAAAAGCATCTAAAGGACCTAAATTACTGTTTGAGTTCCGGCTTGCATGGAGTAATCACTTGATCTATACTCACTGGATGGAGCGTTTTTTTGGATACTTGAATAAATATCATGTTAAGATTGCTGGGGAGGGGAGCCTAATGTTAAAAGGAATAACCATATTTTATGAAACTGTATATTTGGAACTTAAAGAAAGTATTTCATTCTCATTTATTAATTCCATTCAAGAGTATAGACTTGGAACTGAAGATATTGACAGTGAACTTTTGAAGGGGGTCGTAAATATATGTTTGGAAATGGGCGAGAAGAGCAAAATTCCAGAAATATATGAGAATAATATAGAAAAGGTTGTTATTAACCACTTAAGTTCACACTATGGGAGTCTTGCTTCCAAATGGGTTAGGCATGATAATTTATTGGAGTATTTATCTCGTGTAGATGGAATCATTAACTTTGAGAATAAGCTTTGTGAAATGTGTTTAATTGGTTCAACATGGAAAAAAATCAAGAAATCCTTAACTCAAATATTGTTAGCGGATGAAATGGAAGTTATACTTTCAAACTCGAACTCTATTAAGAATATGTTTGTAAATAATGAGTTTGAGCAACTAAAATTATTGTTTAGACTTTTTTCTACAACTCATCATGGAATACAAGCATTAAATATGCAATTTAAGAGCTACTTAACAGAATGTGGCCAATTGATAGTTAATAGGTTTTCAGAACCTATTCATTGGGCTGAAGATTCTGAGAATGAAAATGAAGAAAACTCGGAACTAAGTCAATCAATGCAAAATTTAACCACATGTTGGCCATGGATTTTTGGAGAGCCAATTACTGTTCCTTTTGTAAATATTACATGTGGAATTTTATTCGTACAAACAATTATTTCTCTTTACGATCATTCCAGATATTTGTTGGAAGACTGCTTTAACAACGATGTCGAAGTTCAAAAGACAATTAGAGAGTCTTTTGAGGCAATCGTTAACTTGGAAGTAGGTTGTCAGAACCAAGCAAAGCTTGTATGTTATTATTGCGATTTCTTGTTAAAAGATAGCTACTTTGAAGGCGATAAAGGTACTAATGATGGGCATTTAAACGACAAATTTGCCGTTTTAAGTAGCAAATTGGTAGATATTTTTTCGTATATCCACTTTCAAGACTATTTTCTTCAAATTTACAAATTTCTACTTGCAAAAAGGCTTCTTCAATATCACTTGTCTCTAGAAAAAAATGAACAACACATCATCTCGTTACTCAAGAATAAATGTGGTGCTGGCTTCACATCCAAATTAGAAGGGATGATTTTGGATATTCAAATGTCTCAGGACTTAAATATTAAATTTAAAGAATACCTTAGATATATCAAGAATGGGGAAATGGATGATTATGAGTTTGAAATAAAGGACAACCAAGTTTATGATTTGAATTTGCAAATTGTCAAAACTCAAACACAAGCTAAAATCGATTTTACTGTTAATGTCTTGACATGTTCAAATTGGCCCACGCTGGACTCTTCAGATATAAATCTGCCAGTCAATCTTAAAAACTGTATAAATAATTTTGAAAAGTTTTATTCCCTAGAAACCTCTCACAGAAAACTCTCTTGGATATATTGGTATGGACAATGCGTTTTGGATTATAGGCTGCCTACACCTGATGGAGCAATTAAATGCTTTGAGATATATTGCAATACGTATCAAGCATGCATTTTACTCCAGTTCAATAATCTTATTAGTTTATCTTTAATCGAGCTTCAGAATTTACTTAATACAGAAAAGTCGATTATATTGAAACACATAAAACCTCTATATTCTGATGTTAAAATTTTGAAAATTGTTAATGAAGTTCAGACTTCTTCTGATGACCTTTTGTTCGAGTTAAATTTGGAATTCGTCTCAAACGATAATATATCCCCTATAATGGTAAAATTGCCACATCAAACAGAAAAAACTCAAAAGAACCGTACTGAATATGATAAAAGCCACGCAATAGAAGCAGCAATCGTTAGAATTATGAAAGTTAAAGGAGAAATGACCAGAAATGATATTATTTCTCATGTTTCATCACAGTTTTGCGGCTATAAGCCTTCAGAGGGATTAATAATTGACAAAATCAAATATTTGATTGAGAGGGAATACCTTGAAAACCACCAAGATGACCCAGAAAAACTTTTATACTTGGCATAACTATGCATTCATAAAAAAATCAAGCAATAAATGGCATATGTTTATCTCTACACTTTATTGTGGTTTTAATTCATTAGTTTAATAATTCTGTTTATAGTATTGACACCCTAATTATTATATGTGAAGCAAATCTGTCAAAAGAAACAATTACTCAGGAAAATATTGACATACATCCGCATACGACTATATATATATTCTACTTAATTATAAATCCTACTTTTGTAGATTTAGTTGATCAATAGTGACTAAATAAATTCCCCAACAATTACACGTCCGTCGGAACCGGCTGAGGCAATAATGGGAAGGCTAGGGTGAAAGCTAATATCTATAGTAGCTCCTTTGTGTCCAACAAGCTTATTAATTAACTTCTTATGTTTGACCGACCAAATATATATCATTGTATCTGAAGATGCAGCGGCCAATAGATCGCCGTCAAAACTCCATCTTGCCCTATGCAAATTCATCTCGAAATTGTGTTTTGCGCCAATAAGAGTTCCTACTTTCCTATCTTGTAAATCTGAATGAGGTCTAATATCCCATATTACAACTTGGCTGTCCATAGAGTTTGATACCAGAGAAGAATTATCGGGGCTTATATCTAGCCCTGTAATTGTATCGTTTAGCGTAGAAAATGTGTTAGCAATAGATATCCTCATGTCAATCATATAAATATTATTGTCAATTCCTCCTGCAAAAATTCGACCCCATTCCCCCTCGCATGATACCGCTGTTATTGGGTACTTGTTTTCGTATTTATAAATGCATGCTCTATTTGGGTTTATTCTGGTGTCCCATATACATACCTGTCCATCGTCAGATCCTGAAATAACTAAAGTATTATTACATTTGCACGAATTTACTATTTTTGTGTGGCCCTTAAACTTCGAAATACACTCCATTGTCTCAATATCCCAGTAACGTACAGTTTTGTCTGCAGAACAAGAGGAAAATTGAAGTCCATGTTGCTTATTCAAGGAAACTTCTAATACGGCCTTATTGTGTCCCTGTATTGTTATCGCATTTTTACTACTCTCATAGTTTTGAAAAAGTAAAATTCGTGGATCATTTCCGCAAACCAAAATAGAATTTCCGTCGTTCGTAAAACATACGCCCAAACACTCCCCATTAATACCTGTAAGCTCGTATACTCTCGAAGAATTTGTTAGATCGGCATTGTTAAGTTCCATATATAAAATTTTGCTACACAAATAGTCAAAACCAAGTAAAAAAACCTTATAGTCTATTTAATCCTTCGGCTTCAAAGTTTTTTGTTTCTGTAATTTAATGTTAATTTCAAAAACTGGCGCCATGACTGGAACAATATAATGGCGGGGTTTTGCGACAATAATATATTAGTTGTGGTAAAAAGATATATTTGACAAAAATTGGCAGTATGGCGTTAAGAGTTGCATATGAAAGTTCCTCCGAAATAGGAGTTTTTGCTAATCTTACTAATAGATATTGTCTATTAGCTCATGGTTCCTCTGCAGCATTTACATCGGTCTTTGAAGCAGAATTGATGGACCATATTCCTATTATTAATACTCTTATAGGAGGTACAAGGCTAGTAGGAAGATGTACCGTTGGAAACCGCAACGGTCTTTTGGTCTCAAACATGGCAACTGATCAAGAGCTTCAACATTTAAGGAATAGTTTGCCAGATAATGTAAAAGTTCAGAGAATAGAGGAACGTTTAAGTGCTTTAGGAAACTGTATTGCATGCAACGACTACGTTGCTCTTATCCATACAGATATGGATAAGGAGTCTGAGGAGATCATTCAGGATGTACTTGGAGTAGAAGTGTTTAGGACCACAATAGCTGGTCATGTGTTGGTAGGTAGTTATGCAAAATTCACAAATCAAGGTGGGATTGTGCATACATTGGCATCTGAAGATGAAATGAATGAATTGTCGGCATTACTCCAAATCCCAATTACTTCTGGGACCGTTAATAGAGGAAGTGATGTTGTTAGTGCAGGTAGTGTAGTGAATGACTGGGCAGGTTTCGTAGGTATGGAGACCACTGCCGCAGAGATGGCAGTTATAGAAAGAATTTTCAAACTTGGAACCTATAGTAGTGTAAATAACCCAGACGAAGTGCGTGAGAGAGATATTAAGCTTAAGTCATCAATAATAGATACACTTGCGTGAATGCAAGATAATCTGTTCAATTCTTATCCTTATAGATTAGATTAATATCTTTATTTTGAGAACCTTTTCGGTTGTTTTCTTTCCCAAAAGATATTCCTTTTATTGTACATATAATGAGTATTGAAAATAGAGTCCATGCACAGACTAGTGCATTTAAAAATTCGTGCAGCCATGGGTATCTAATAGGTGGGGGAATAAAATACTGGCAGATCAGCATACATGAAAACAAAATTGACAAGATTAGCGGTGTTCTATTATATATCAATCCAGTGGTGCCATTAGGCCTTTCAATTTCATCATACAAAACATAAAATGAAATGATAATTGAGAATAATCCAAAAATTATTAAATACGAAACTGTTTTATCCAAAATCGAGAGCGTCACAAGCGAAAAAGATGAAATTATTATGAAATTCAAAGATATCCATGGGAAAACATCCATCAATAATAATGCTGGGGTAAGAGGCAAAATAATGCTTTTTTCATGTACTTGCCAAGAAAATAGAAAAAATGAAAGAGAAGATGCAAGCAATGCAACTTCAAACCTTTTTCTCGTAGGATTTCTTAATAAAGTCAGGCATGCCGGAATGAATCCTAAAAATGTGCTAGTTGTACAAATTTTAAGTGCAATATTTAAGTTATCTTCATTTATCATTGCCCACTTCTTTAAGTTGAAAATAAAGATATTTGCAAACCAGAAAGATGCGACGTGATTTTCCCAAGCTCCTCTCCAGATTGGTATAACTCTTTTTATTATTGGGGCAAGAAAATCCACTTTATATTTCATTAGTAAACTGTCCAATCTTGTATTATACAAAACATTCTTATAATGATCTGGATTCTTTATATTATCCAAAATAAATGGATACAAAATCGATATACTTACAAGTATTCCTGATAAGCCAAAATAAATCACCTTTTTAATTTTCATTAATAACCCTCCTGTGTTCAAAATAATCGAAATATAAGCGAATGCAAATGCAGGTATAAAATAAAGCATTGTCTGTTTAAAGAATACTGCACAGATAATTGAAAATATTGATAAAACGTGATAGCCACAGTAAAGGAAATTGATTGACCACACCACTAAGCCAATTGCAACGCAATTATATTGAAAATGGGAATGGTCTACGAAAATATAAGGTGCTGATATAAGAGTTACTAGTAAATATTTACTTGAATAGCTTTTATTACTAATAGGATTTAAAATTTTCCAGTAAAACACAAAGGCAGAAAAGAATATCAGAATATCGCTAACCAACACGGTACCTCTCATAAACCATTTGAGAGTCTCATTCTCTATCCCCTTTGATTTATCTAATTCAAAGAATTCACTAAACCCCAAGAAACCTGCAATTTTCCCACAAAGCATACTATGATATGCAGTTAATGGTGGATAGTCCAGCGGCCAATAACTCAAATTATTGTGCTGATTATCTACATACCACATATTAACTGGTAAGTTTGTGGTGATTTCAATCCAATGTCGTTGAGCTTCGAAGTCACCGAACTTTGGTGGATCTAATTGGCCAGAATATTCAGAAAATCCAATAAGCATCCTAAGAAGGATTCCTATTAATACTGCCAAAATGACCTTCAACATTACCAAAAACTAAAACACAAATATTATTAGAACTTTTTTGTTTATGTTCACTTCATTACATAAATATTGAGTTCAAATTATGGAATGAAAAAGAATTTCTATTTGTTCCTATTCACGAATTAACTTTCTAATTGAAAAATATACCTATTTTACACCCCTCATACCTTGACACAAACATACCGCCAATTCTTTTTTTTTTTTTACATGCAAAGACCAAAAAAAAGTGTGGTGAAAAATTAAATGATTAGGTAATAAAACATAGAATTACATATCCTAAAAGGCCATTTACACTCATTTTTGGGATTTGAGCTTGTGGCAATAAAGAAATCGTAATTTCTATTCATAAATTTAAAATTATTAAAATTTTGGCGGACAAACCATAAGCATGAAACTAATTAATAGTTCCGCGTTTCTGTCTAAAAACCCCCAAAAAATGCATTATTTTATGTAGTTGAAACAAAGGCCAATAATTAATTTTATTTGAATTGTTGGGAATACCGTTTCTCAAGATATGCACCTCTAAACGTAAAAATAGATGTAAGGATAAGCTCATCAATTAAAGCCAATTGTTAGAAGTTGAATGAGAAACAAATATTCAAAATGATTGTAAGCGATTCCAAAATTAATAATTCCCTTGGAGAAAAAAGTCCAAAGGTAGAAATAGAACTTGAGAGCTCTTCTTCTGAGATAAAAGGTGGCTTGAATCGTGATTTGGAACAAGGAATATTAAGTAATAAATGTGAACACTCAAATGATATTACAAAAAAATGCAGCAAAAGTGATAGCCCAAAGAAAAACAAAATATTTAGCAAAATTAAACTATCCAACAACAGTAACATCTTTCTAACGTTATATGCGATTGTAGGTTATTTTTTCACATCGATTGCAATTATATACTATAACCATTGGCTCTTTGATAAAGTAGCACCTTATCCTGTATTTGCAACGTGGGTTCAACAAATTGTGGGAGTATTCTGTTTTGGAATCTTATCGCTCTCCAGAAGAACTCCAAATATGTCAAAAGTGAATAAAAATTCTTCCGGAGAAGCTTCAAGAGATAATACAAATGCAAGAACAGAAAATGAAACAACGCAGGCGAATGTAGTAAGCACAAACTGCACTTCCAATGAAAACATATCTGCGAAAGAACTCGAAGCAGGTTCGAATGGAAGTATTCCTATCGAAATTTCGTTCCAAGAAAATTCCTTAATAGAAGAAACCTCACTACCAGAGAACTCTGCAACGAACGCCCCACAGAATATAGAAGTTGAAGAAAACGTGGGTGATGAGAAAAAGAAACAAAAAGAAAGCTGTCCACAATTCAGTGCTGAAATGAAGAAGTTACTGAAGATACTACCTATGTCAATATGTTTCGTTGGGCTTGTTGCGTTTGGAAACATTTGTTTAAAATATGTGCAAGTTTCAACTTATCAGCTCGCAAGATCAGGCTCATTAATTTTCACTGTTATTGTATCTTATTTCATGCTTGGCCAAAAACAAACTTGGCAATCTATTCTTGCATGTATAGTAGTTTGTGCTGGTTTCCTAATTGGCTCCCTAGACAGATCTACTCTTTCAGCGATGGGGATTATTACTGGGTTAGCATCATCATTTTGCCAAGTATTTTATAACGTTTTCATGAAAAAATGCATGAACTACTTCAATGGAGATGCTGTACAACTGATGAAATATAACCAATGCATTTCGACTATTCTGTTAATCCCGTGTATATTCCTTGCCCAAGAGATGAATTTGATTTTGAATTCTGCAGCATTTGATATAGATAAACCGGAATTCTTTAGACTTTGGGTTTTGTTAATATTATGTGGGCTTCTTTCAATGCTTTTAAATTACTTTACATTTCTGGTTGTAGGATATACTTCGCCTGTTACATTTAATGTGCTAGGCATGTTCAAGAGTTGTGCACAAACAGCAGGCGGGTTTATAATATTCCATGACCATGCAAGCGTTCACACTATTACAGGTATTTGTTTAACCCTAGCTGGATCAATATGGTACGGCTTCGCAAAGTCCTTAAATTGCAACTTTGGAAGTAAATCAAAAGTTCAGTCCGAGGTGAGTTCAGAAAATGGCATGGTTATTTTCAAGTCCGAATTTGAACAAAAGGTATCCATTCTTGCAAAAGAATTGTCAGAAGTTGAGGAGCTTTGTTACAGTTCAGATGTTAATCATGAGAACAAAAAATGTAACTATGAAGGTTTTGGAGATCTGGAACATATTAATTCTTATTCTGGGACGGAAATGATGATCATTTCTTCAAAAATCAGAAAATGTGAATGCCAAACAGACAAGGAGGGGTTAGAAATTAAATGTGATTGTCAAAATAGACAAAAAGAAGTTGACTCTGATACAAATAAAGAAAATGGCTCAGATGGAAAGATTACAGGATCCGTTTCTTTAAACAGTTGTATTTCAAATGGAAACAAAGAAAGCCAGTATACTGGAAATACATTAGCAGACAAAACTTTGGAACAAAAAGATTTAGAAAGATTGTTTGAAAAATTTGCAAACATTTCTAGGGAGGATTCCACTGATATAAGAAGCAGCATGTCTAAAATTTCTGTTTCAATGCCTGCTAGCATATATGCCTCGCCTTTGGCTGAAAGCAGGCAAATTTCAGCTGATAGAATTTCAAACAATAGGGGAGTCGAAACGTCAAATGACAATATATCTTTGGACGTTAGCATAATGGTTGAATCTGAAAGAGAAGCCACAGTCCAGAATGATGACCAGAGGTCATCTGGGCAAAACAATGAGGAAAGTGACGAGGAAAAATCAACAATAACAACTGGAACTAATAAGAATATACGAGCAGAAGTATAATTCAGCAAAAGTTTATATGTGAAATTCAGAAAATTTCAATGATACGGAGATTCTATTATGGCTCATCTATTTTCCTAGAAATAAATTTAGACTAACATTAAGAAATGTTAAAAAAATCGATGAATCACTTGTAAAATAATATTCACTAATAAACAAATAATAAATACCTAAATATTAGAATTCGCACGGAAATGTGTTTGTAAATATAAAAAATGTTTTAGTTTTCATTATAAAGTTCTATAAATCATATTTTTTATTATGCTTCGTTTCTCCATGTAGTCAAATTAAAGATGCCACCCGCCAATCTTCTCATCAAGAAATGCTTTTTTTATATATTTTGATGGTCTGGCGGGAAAAAACCACACAGAAATCGAAGGCCGAAGGGTTATTTTGCTTGAAAAAAAATATACAAATACTATTTTAGGAGTGAATTAAGAACAAAACTGGCGGAAATAAATAGTAGTTTAATCAAGGATGGGACAGGTACCTTTGATCGCTGCCAAGAGTACATTATTTATGTATTCTGGTATTCGTTCAATAGTTGTAGGCAACAAAGAAAAAGTGGTCCCACAAAGGCCACCAGATTTAGATATCATAGCATCTGGAGAGAGAGACCGAATTTCTGATGATTGGAGGTGGCTTGCTTTAAAATCTGAGAAACGCTTAAATAGCATGAGAAAAATGAATTCTTCGTCGGAGCAATTGAAACAAAAATTAGGGAGTACGTTTGATATAAATCAGTTTTCTTGTTTTGTTCCAAGAACTGTATTGGAGGCAATTGCTGATAAAAGAATTAGTTATGCAGATGAATTTGATGTAATCATTGAGAGTTTCAAAGGAGCTGTCATGTTTTGTGATGCATCAGGGTTTACTGCTCTAACAGCGGCTTTGGATAAGCAATTAAACGGTGCAGAGAGGTTGGGTGAATGTATTAATAATTTTTTTACTCCACTAATCCAGATTATTCATTATTGGGGAGGAGATATTATTAAATTTAGTGGAGATGCCATTTGTGTTGTTTGGCCAGTAGATGATGAGTCTATTAATTTAAATAACGGAGGGGTTGGCGTTATATCTGAAAGTTCAAGCAGTTCACCTCAAGTCAATGCCCCTCAAAGCAATACTCAATTAAACAAATTAACCAGAGACCTTAATAAATTTGTAAATAAGTCAAAAATCAATGATGATAATAGTCCGTCTACTGCAGAAAAAAAATGGAATCGAGAAGAGCAATTGGAACCAGAAGAACCTCCCTCACAAAGCAATACCAATACTGCTGAAACATATTCTGTTGATATGTTCCATGCATGCAGATTAGCATGCGAATGTTGTATGGATATACATAGGACCTTACACAACTTTCCTACCCCAATTCCAGGAAGACACCTAACTCTTCATATCGGCGTTGGATATGGTAGAACGACAATTTTACAGGTTGGAGGTGTAATGGATAGATGGGAATACGTCGTCGGTGGGCCTCCATTTGAAGAAATTGCAATTGCAGAACCGTTAGCAAAGAGTGGAGAAACTGTTATATCCCCTTCAGTATACTCCATTCTTGCAAAGCATGTAAGCGTTGAATCATGCGAAGGCAATCCAGATTTTAAAAAACTAAATAGTATACTCCTGCCGAGACCACCACCTCCTCCTCCTTTAGCTTCTATTCATATTCATGATGAAGATGTTGATTTGCTAAGAAGATATATTCCACCGCCGGTTTATAGATGTCTTTCAAGTGGTTACAATGTTTTCTTGAATGAGGTGAGGCGTTTAACTTGTATTTTTGTTTCAGTTAAGGGGTTAGATATCTCAACTCATTATGGTTCTAAAACCGCACATCAATTAATGCAATTAGTTCAAAAGGCAGCTTATACTATGGAAGGTAGTGTGAACAAGTTTCTGGTGGATGATAAAGGCGTATTATTGTTAATCATTTTTGGACTTCCGCCAGTATATCATTTGGACGACCCTTTAAGAGCAGTTTTTGCAGGTTTGAGAATACTGGATAGTATTAGATTTATGGGCTTAAGTTCTAGCATTGGAATAGGTACTGGTAGAGTTTGGATTGGAACAGTCGGATGTGAAATTCGTAAAGAGTACACTGCACTTGGTGATACAGTTAATTTATCGGCCAGATTAATGGGAAGAGCAGGTGAAAACGAAATATTATGTGACCTAAATACATATGAAGCATGTAATCATGCAATGCAATTCGTACAAAAGGAGTCATTTTACCCTAAGGGAAAAGATGTCTCTATAAGTACATTTTCTCCAACCGGTATTTTAACAAAAAACCGTCTACATGGCAATGCTTTTGGAAAGGCTGAAACAAGCGATTTGACAGATTCAAATCTACCAGATAATAAAGATCACTTGAATGCCAAGGATGGAGTTTCCGTTGATAACTTATTGTTAACGGAAAATTCAAATACTCAGAATACTGACATAAATCCCAATATTCCAAATCTTCAAAGTATCAGAACTTGGCGAAGCTGGAGGCCATTAAAGAAACTGAAAAAGTTTTTCAAACCCAGGTATAGTTATGGCCTCCCAGATATGAATGGTCCAAATTTCAGAGTTATCCCAGATTATACAATGGAAAACATGCCAGAAAACAGATTTTTAGGCCCTTTAATGCCTTGGGAATATTATGAACCTTGGGATCCAATTTTGCGTCCAACCTTAGACTTAGGAGGTGTAATGACAATTTATGGCAAGGAAAACTGCGGAATAGATGAAATTATTCAAAACATTGTATATCTTGGAGAAAGGTTAGAAAGGAAGGTTTTTTTGTGTAGTAACATGCCTGATACGCCCTTCATAAACATAGGAAACGTACCTCTATTGCCGTGGAAAACTCTTTGTACAGATATTGTAGAATCATGGCGTCTAACAAAATCTAGGGAAAAAAAAGGATTTTCAAATATAGATCGTGATAATTCAATTTATGGATTAGCCAAGGAACTTACTCATCCTTCTTTTCACTGGAGTCTTCATAAATTAAAGCCAGTATTACAAGGTTTGGTTCTCCCATCAGAACTTTCAGAAAACAAGGCTTTCTTTAAAATGGGAAAATATAAGAACAAAGAAAGCAAGAGAATGAAAAACATTTTTAGGAATCCCCTATTATTTGTACAGAATTTGAATGGCCAATCGGAATCATTGGATAAAGAATTAAATGACAGAGGATTCGAAAATGATGAGAATTTAAATAAAGAAACTTTACAAAATGAATTAGATGATACAACAAGCTCAGAAGAAGAGTTATCAGATGAAGACGATGAGAAAGGCTTGGGCCCAATTATTACATCTCTAGTTAATGGCTTTTCAATGTATGAAAATAGTATCATTTGTTTACATGTAAAAAGCGGAACATGTTTCTATGCTGGAATGGAACAGGAAAGTTGGAAAATCGCCAAGATGATTGCAAGAATTGCCATGATACGAAGAAAAAGGAAGGTTGAACATGACTTTAAAGAGTTAAAAAGATGGCGTAGAAAACATTCCAGAATATGCCTCTTTTGTAAAGGATTTAAGAGGCCAATTCAGCATATTTCCAAAGACACTTTGTATTTATATAAAACAACAAAGTGCACTCCTCCAACCTTTAAATCTTCTCCTCCTTTGCTATTTATTTTAATATGCAGTAGTAACACGGACTCGATTGAGGAACAAAAAGAAATTATTCAATGGGCAAAGGAATGCAATGCTTTTATTGAAGTTCCAAAATTAACGCTGAATGAAACTTCCAAATTTATTGGGCATCAATTAGGTGTTAATACTCAAGTTCCATTTCAACTCGTTGAATATGTTCACAGAGCTTCTGGAGGTATTCCTGAACATATAAAAAGAACTTTATTGCAACTTCTTTCACATAGAGCAATTTCTATCAGCACACAAGATGATCAACAAGTAGATGACCCTGAAAGAAAAGACTCGCTAATATTAGATTCTGATAAATCTATAAATAATCCAGATTATCTATCAAATAATATTATTAGCAGGAATGCAAGCATCTGCTCCAATACTGTTTCAGGTATCGACTCTTCCATAGGAAATCAATTTGATTTTGGAGCAATATCAAGCATTGTATCAGGATATAGTTTGAAGAATATTCAAGGCGAATTGGGATTCAACTCATCAGTATACTCTTCAAGTGATGAATCTTCTTCATCCGGTTCTTCTTCAAGCGATGACTCGAAAGGATGGTCCGATAGTTCAATAAAAAGGAAAATTAAAGTTCCTAGATTTAGGACTCCTGGACCACGCGAACTACTGAGCAGTGATGGAGTACCTATCGTTGGAAATAGGCAGGCGAATTGGTCTCCAAATAATGATTTGTCAGGGTCTAGACACAGATTGTCGTTTACAAAGTTAGATCAATCTTCATACCTATGTAAGAATTCCGAAGATAACAAAAGATACATAAAAGTCACTGGGCAACTAAGGAAAATACCTTTTGCGCCAGAGATTGTGGCAGACTGCATGTCTAAGTTAGAACTGCTTGAACCAGATGAACAAATGGCTGCCAAGATTGCTAGTGCATTTACATTTGCATTTACTGCTTCAGAGCTGCACGAAGTTTATCCACAAAAAAAATCCCCCCTTGAATTTCTAAAAATGATTAAGGCTATGGTAAATAAAGACGTTTTCGAAGTTTGTGACACCATAAACTTTGGAGTTGATAGATCTAGACGAGGATCAATAAATAGTGACCATACCTCAAAACATAATACTCTTTATGAAAATGATCAAGATAAAAATTTAAATGTATATGAAGATGAAGTTTACAAAGATATATCCACTTCAACCCCTGTTATGAAGGATATCTCTGATTACTTGTTAAATATGAATTTGCCAGACTTTTCTAAAAGTAATAAAGATTCTACAGATGCAGCTGACCCATATCCAATTGAAACCTCCGAAATAAAGAATGAAAGGAATGAAACAAATAATGATCAGCCAGTTAACATTAATATAATTATTACAGAAGACAATCAATCAGTAGCAGATGAACACGAATTTCCAAAGCTTCAGAATTGCGATATTTTGCCTTATTATATTGAGTACTACCGTTTCCAAAGCGTAGCTTTTCAAAGAGTTGTTTCAGAGTCTCTCCTTTCAGATGAAAGAAAAAGGCTCGCTAGAATTTCTAGAAAAACGCTTTCAAGAAGGCTTTCCAAGCTTAGTCCATCTGTTAGAAGTGCATCGCCTCAACTCCCTTCATCCCCTACAGATTCATCTAGCAACAAGTTTGCTGATAACAACGAAGCTAACAAAGTGTCAACAAGATACCTTTCAACGATACCTAATAATATTAGTGTTAATAACAGTATTCCAACTAATTTGGATGCATTACTTGAAGACGAGAAGTGACAAAGTTTATTATAAATTAAGCTTTAGCAATTAAAAGGTTGAATTATAATTAATATATTTTACTTTTAGTGAATTTCATATTGAACCTATTTAATTTAGTTTTAACCACTAATATTCCTAGCTTTCTTGAATGATTATACTTACTATATATACATATATATCAATTGTTCTAATATGCCATTATTATTTAGCATAGCAAAGTACAAAAATCAACGTAAATTAGCAATACATCTAGTTATTATTGAACATATGTACAGAAAAAAAATTCATCTAAATTTTTCGTAAGTACGAAAAATACAAATACAAATGAATTTAAAAATTACTTAAAATTAAAATCGATCAAATATCTTATTATTTTACCTAGAATAGAGAAACGGATATCTAAACTGGTTGATTTTGCTTTCATATAAAAGCTATTCTTATTTCCTATTTAATGAAATTTTGTTTCTGCTATTCAAAGTACTCAATCTTATGATCTAATTTAATAGTGATTATTTGCTGTCCTTGTATTTTTCCCATGATGCTTCTCGTGAACTTTGCTCTCACATCTTCCATGGTTGAAATGATATCCACTTGGGCAAGAAAGAGATATTTTTGTATGTTCGGTTTTAGCACATTGAGAGCCATCCGGGGTGAGAACCATTCCATGTGGGCATACTGGTAATGCAGGAGTTGCAGCGAGAGATACACACTTTCCATGCCCATCGCTTGTACCTGAAGGGCACATATAACTCGTCTTTGCAACAATTTCTTGAATACACTGTCCATTTTCAAGATTGTATCCATGGGGGCACTTCAATGAAAATGGCTTTCCTGTAGTTGCAGTACACAAACCACTTGGTGGAACTTCGCTTCCATCAGGACAGAAACCAATCATTGGAGCAGTCTCAAATGAAACGCATCTATGATTTTTTAAAATACCAGATGGGCAACTTTTTGATGGCGATTCAGAGATCATCTTAACACATTGACTTCCTTGCCTGGAAAAGCCGATTGGGCAATCCACAGATGCTGGTTTCATTTTTTCAGAAATACATTCCCCGTTTCCGCTTTCAATATAGCCATGAGGACATTGCATCATTGGTTGTTCTGTAATAATATTGAAGCACTTATTGTGGTGTCCATGCGGTGTAGAACCTGGTGGGCAAGAAACTTCTGGCTCTACGTTCGAAATGCTTACGCATTGTCCTGATTCGAGCTTAAATCCCTGCGGACATTCCTGGATAATTGGCCTCTCTTCCATACGAATACATCTGGTTCCAGTTGAATCTAATTCAAAATCGGATGGGCAAGTAGGAATAATTGGAACGTTTGTTACCACAATACATTTGTGACCTCTTGGGATGGAACCTGGTGGGCATTGCGAAAGAGAATCAACTTGTAGAAGTCTATTACAGACTCCGTCCTTAAGTTGGAAACCTTTCTCACATTTTAAGTTGGGTCTCACAATATCTACTATCACACAAATATCACCCCTAAGTTCATATCCTTGTTTACAAGAAAATATCACATCTACTGTTTCTGTTCTAGTACATTGAACCATCCTTCCATGTCTATCAACTGGCTCAAAACCAGGAGGACAACTTTCCAATGGTTCTGTCGAAATATCTCTGACACATTCTTGATGTTTCCTTTGGAAACCTGGTGGGCATCTGTAGTCAGCCGCAAATTCCTTCATAGAAATACACTCCTCTCCGGCCAATGCAAATCCATGTGGACAAATCCTCTCAGCCTGAACAGATTGTCTAGTAATGCAACGTCCGTTAATCAATTCAAACCCTGGTTCGCAAACCAGGACAGCTGAACTGTATTCCTTCCTCACACACTGCCCTTCTCTCAACTCATACTTCTTTGGGCAATCTACTGAACTTGGAACAAATAATGTTCTTGTACACTGTTTTCCACTAATGGAATATCCTTGTGGGCATTCAATAATTGGGGCAAGAACATCTGTGTTTGATTCGTAATAATTCACATTTGTTGGAATAACATGATGCCCATGCCCATGCAAGTGTTGCCCATGTTGTGCATTGACCTTGGAAACTGAAACCAAAGTTCCAAATGCAAACAAAAATGATCCCAAATATTTCATTATTATTTAGACTTTGTATTTTCAATCTTTAACTCTTTTACAGTTATTATTTTGAAATATTATTTTAACTTGAAAGTCTGAGACTAAATTATAATGTTTTCAGGATATATTTTTTTCAAGCATCGCTCCCGTTCGTACTCCTCCATAATATTTAATTAGATCTCAAAATAATGTAGAGATCGTAATAATTCGGTTTTTCTCGCAATCGAGACTACTCATTATTCTTTAGGATGGTGCATGTAACTAATTTGACGCCATTTCGTATAGGCGCTCACACTACTTAATTTAAATTTTAAGATAGTATTTATGAAAGTAAACAAAACTATGAGTAAAGAATTACGTAGCTATGACGGTTTTGTTCGAGGCTATAATGAAACAATGATTAATACTTCCGTAGATCGCAATTAGCACCAAAACCAAAAAAAAACCTCAAGATCTAAACCTTCGAATTTCGCAAGCTCACCTCGGAGCTTAAATTGGAAGTGATAAGCGTGAAAAATGCGAAACTAAGGATTCAGTGGCAAGGTTAAAAAAACTTTAGTCTGAAATTAACAACCGAAAAGAAAAGTATTATATCTATTATTTAAAAACAAGCTAATTCTATATCACCATGTTTTGTTTCAAAGTTTAATATAGAAGAATATTGTTGAAAAAACAGAATGAACCGTCTGAACTAATATTAATTCTTGCATTCATCACCTTTTGTAGGGAAGTAGGTCAAACCACATCTACCACAGCTTGTTCTATTAAAGTGTTGGGCCATAAAGACCCCTGCTCCGCAAGTTTCTGCTGGGCACTCACGACGTAGCTTAACTACCTTGTCTCCATCAACCTTGTAGTACTTGAGTACCGCCAACTTAACCTTCTTCTTTTTGTGTTTAATCTTCTTTGGTTTTGTGAAGTTCTTCTTCTTCTTTTTAGCACCTCCCAACACTGCTTCTGAAACATACAAAGTGGAATAGTCAGAAATACCTGCTTGTTCTAGGGTTTCAAATAGGTCCAATGTACCAAAACCGTAACTGATGCATTGGGAGTCAATTGGAATTCCAGACAACTCGCTTATCATATGTCTTAATTCCTCCACACTCATTGTTGGAGCAACCTCCAACGATCCGGTGTTGCCGAGACCATATCTAAAAAATATCTGCATCTTAAAAAATTACTCTTCAAACAAAAAACAGCAAGATAGAGTCAAGAAATATTTGTTCCCAAGGGCTATGAAACTCAGAATTATTGAGACAAATAATAATTAAAAATAATTAGTGGCGCCTTGTTTTTTTTTTTACTATTAGCTAATATTTTAAATATATTCACTACCAATTAATTACTATTTAATAGTCTATAATTTACTTATATTTTTATACAAAGAGACGTAAATATTAATTCACAGAAAATTATCTAATTAGTAATTTTAACCTACCGCACTCAGGCGGCAAACAACCCCTTTGTATATTGTTATATTCATTACCGTAGAAACTTACTTATACCTGCAATGAGAGCCAGTCTATTCAAACCGTCTTTGAAAAGTTTTAAAGCTATTGCCACTCTCGGTTTGCCATAGCAATTTTTGTATCATTTGTTGATTTTTGTTGAAGACGATTGACATAACTGGCTATTGTTCACTCTTTGCGCTCATGACCTTTTTGAAGATGACCTTGTAACTCTTTTCTTACTAGCCGTACCTGTTGATGCTTCTGTTGGTTTTGCATTTGCAACTTTTGAGCTATTCCTGGTAGTCCTTCTAGTTGGTTCTGTGTTATGACTAGTTTTCCTTGACTTCTTCTCCTTATCAGGTGTAACTTCAGAAGTTACCTTCCTACTTGGAGTTTTTTGTTTGGTGGATGACCTTGTGGCTCTTCTTGTCACAACAGCGTCCTTACTATTCGATGAAGCGAGGTTTTCTTTCGTTAATGATGCACTTCTTGTTGGTTGTTTGCGGATATTCTTCTTATGAGTTTGCTTTTTTGTTTCACCCCTAAAGCATATACTCAATATCCACAATCCGAAAAAAACGACCAGAAGTATACCAATAACATATTTTAGTAGCATGTCATTCACTTCCTTCATAATTAATATAATGCTACTTACAATTCTACCAAATATAAATGAATATATGCCTTGATTCAAACACACAATCTGCGATTTATCACGCAAAGCCAATTTCCTGACCTATTATCATATATTGATTTTTTTCAATTTCCGATCTATTTCTCCTTCCACATGTTTTTTAGAATACTTACATATGTGGAATACGCATAAAATAATATACCGCCTAAACCAGCATGTATTAAAGATAATCCTATAGCAATTAATAATTTTCAACTGCAAAAACAATAACTATCACACCTATTACTACAAGTAAAAAAATACAGAGATTAATATGAGCTTTTTACAAAAACCTGTTCATTTCAACATATTTTCATTTATTTACGTATTTATCCATTTATATATATATCTGTTTCTAAAGGAATATCTATGGAAACTTGTTAAACTTCAAATCGTTACTTATTTTGCTTTTTTCCGACTTATACTTAAAATAAACAAATAACTATCATATAGATTTCTCTCTAATTTATAAAGTTTATAGCTAGATGCGCCTTTTGCGACACGATATTGAGCGCCATATAATATCACTGTCATTAGCGTGGCTAACGGTCATAAGATTGTGTACCGAAGTGATGAATAATTTAATATTTGCTTAAAACGATAATAAATTTAGTAATCTTGATTTCCAATTGAACCAATGAAGATATTTATATTTAATTCATCTGGAATAAAAATTTTTAACATTTTATTTTTGTTATTATTAATTAATTATATTGTTCCTGAAGTAAATGGAAAGTCAGCATATACTGATATCATCGAAGATGATTATTCATATTTAGTCCGCTCAAAAATAAATAAAGTTGAGAGGCCTATTGATATACTTTTGCACCTTAGTCGGTCGAAAACTCCAAAATACACAGTAGTACTATATAATGTATATTATACCATAAAGGTTATAAAGAAGTTGAGTACAAGTATGTACGTTCATTTAGTACGACACTTAGATCACTATGATAGAGAATTTAGTGATAATGTTCAGTTCATCATTCCAAACTTTTATCCCAATGTTGGATCTATCATTTCATCTTTGGGTCGTAAAGCACGTGCCTCTTTGATTTCAGGTACCCTCCCAGAAGAAAAATATATCCAAACAGCTGTAGCATCTATATCATTCATTAATAACGCAATTAGAAGAGGTGTTATTCCTTCTCACCAAACTACTGCATTTTATGGAAATTGTGTTGGCGGATTAATAGCTTCTGCAACTTCCGTGGCTTTAAAAGAGTCTATTGCTGCTGTGGTATTAAATGGTTCTTCCTTATTTATGCCGGACCTTGTAAGACGCAGACTTGCTAGAAAAACTGCACTTAAGTACGTCAAATATCTTTTAATTCACTCCTATAATGATAATGATATTCCTTATATTCACGCTGAAAATACGAATAATGCATTGACTAGCTGGGGAGCGGATTCTACAATCTATAGTGTTGAAAATATTAGTCATTTAAATACAATGATTAAACACAAATATACCGGTTTAAGATTCATTGCCTCAGTAATATTAAAAAGACCGGAAATTTACAGGCCTCTTGATACGGAAAATCAGGAGCTAATTCAATTTACTAAAAGAAGAATGAACCCAGAAGATATTGAACCAATTGTCCCACCTAGGAACTCTACAATTTCTTCAGATGATAACGATGTATTTAAAAACAATACTATAAAATTTAGTCATTCAAATTTTATAATAAAAGATAAAGGGCATGCTCTAATTGTTGTAGATCAATCAGCTAAATAGTTTATTGTTACACTAATTGTTATAATCTATTTCATTCCTAACTCTTTGTATTTTGATTCTTATTAGCTTTTACTGCCGTTTAAATTAGGTTTTCATTTTTTTCAACATTTGCAAAGGCTCTTGAGCGGTTTGTTTTCCTTTAAAGCTGTTTCACTTACTGGGAGCGATATATTGCACTTGTAGTGTTTCTTTGAATAATATTGAAAGTTATGATAGTTCAAGGATATTATAGACAATTAATTCCAGGGGTTATGAGGAGTGTAGCAAAGGTTGCATTTTTTTCATCAATGACTTCCATTACCAAAAAAAGGCCAGTATACTTTGATTACCAGGCTACAACACCAGTTGATCCAAGAGTTTTAGATAAAATGATGCCTTTTTTCACAGAAAAATTTGGGAACTCACATTCTAGAACTCACGGATATGGGTGGGAGGCAGAAGATGCTGTTGAAAGTGCAAGGACTAACATAGCGAACCTTATTAAGTGCCAACCTAAAGAAATAATTTTCACTTCTGGGGCAACCGAATCTAATAATACAATAATTAGGGGAGTATGCGATGTCTATGGCGATATAAAAAGTAAAAAGAACCACATTATTACAACTCAAATTGAGCACAAATGTGTTCTTTCAACATTAAGAGAACTTGAACTAAAAGGTTTTAGGGTAACTTATCTTAAAGTCAATAATAAAGGCCTTATTTCTTTAGAGGAACTAGAAAAGTCTATAATTCCTGGTGAAACAATTCTGGTTTCTATTATGCATGTTAACAATGAAATTGGAGTAATTCAACCTATGAATTTAATAGGTGAGCTATGTAAAAAGCATAATGTCTTGTTCCATAGTGATGTGGCTCAAGGACTGGGAAAAATAAATATTGATGTTGATAAATGGAATGCAGACTTTCTATCTCTTTCTGCACATAAGGTGTATGGCCCAAAAGGAATAGGAGCATTTTATATTCGCAGCAAACCTAGAAGACGAATTAAGCCACTTATTTTTGGTGGTGGCCAAGAACGAGGAATGAGATCCGGCACAATACCAGTACCATTAGCTGTTGGTTTTGGTGAAGCATGTAAAATAGCCTCTTCTGAAATGAATTTAGATTCTATACATGTCAAGTCTCTATATGATAAACTTTACAAGGGAATTACTACTCAACTACCTGACGTAGAACTCAATGGTTGCAGTATAAACCGTATGTTCGGGAATCTTAACTTAAGTTTTGCTGGAGTCGAAGGAGAGTCACTAATGATGAAGCTATACTCTATGGCTTTGTCATCTGGAAGTGCATGTACATCTTCATCATTGGAGCCTTCATATGTTTTAAGAGCTATTGGAGTCGGGGAAGATGTCGCGCATACATCCATTCGCTTTGGGTTAGGAAGATTCACTAGGCATGAAGATGTAGATAAAGCTGTTAAAGAAATCGTCGAGTCGGTAACACTTTTAAGAAAGATGTCTCCTCTTTGGGATATAGATACAGGCACAAGAGTTAAAAATGAAGAGTCACTAAAATGGACATAAATAATATTTAGAATACACAAAAAAATTAAAATATAGATAGGATGCAAAATTTATTATTTAATTAATGATAGATTTATACTATAGTAACTTATTCGGAATGTTCTTTTTTTAATGAATCTTTAAAAATTTGACTAGTTCGAAAATATTCCTGCGTGATGGCGCCCATTGTTGGATACTAGTGCAAGACTACCCAATGATATAATATAATTTGAGGTAATGGGTATAGTTGTGTTATTACTCATTATATTTGAGCAGCTTTTCATGAGAACTTATGGCGGATTGAATTTGCCCGATGAGACTGTCCAAATTATTAATTCAGATTTTAACTATTTGAGAAATATAGGTTATTTACAGCCATTAAGACTAGGCTCATTTGGGCACTTATCTCGCTCAAAAACACCTAAATATACCGTTATTTTTATGCATGGATTTGTAGTGGATAGTAGCTCTCTATATCAGCTAACCTCTAAATTTTTTGTTAGAATGGTACGGCATTTGGATCATTACGACCAGGGATATAGTAATAATGTTCAATTAATTGCTCCAAATTGGCACAAAGAATTTATTCCCTTTACTGAGAGAATGCCAGATGTAACTCTTACTACGTTTAAAGCAGGAAGACCATCAGCAGATCAATATATCTTACAGGTAGTGAGTTTAATTGCCTTTATTAATAGTTTAGTAAGGCAAGGCATTATTTCTTCACTTGAAAATACAGGTATACACGGAAATTGCCTAGGAGGAATTATTGGTATCGCTGCATCTCTCGGAATGAAATCGAGTATTGGGGCAGTTGCGACATGCAACTCTGCTTTGTTACATCCGGACTTAATCAGAAGGAAGATACTGAGAAAGTCTGCCTTAAAAACTTCCTTTTTGTTGATTCAAGGTGATGAAGATAAGATAATTCATCATAAGTTTGCTTCTGTAACCGAATCTGTTCTTAAAGAATGGGGTGTTAAGAGCGTTCTACTTCACAGAACAAGAGGTGGGCACTTCCCTGTCATGGCAAAACATCTATATACAGGTTTCAGATTCATTGCATCTGTTCTTCTTAAAAGACCAGAAGTATTTCGTCTTGAAGACTCTTATGACACCGAACTAATTGCAAAAACAAAGAAAAGAGTGGACAACACTACAGAAATTGTTCCTATCATTCCCAATATAATTCCTAATGACAGCATTAAAAGCTTTAATAACACCATATGATTGTTATTTTGCTGGTAAATGTTTTGAATTTGGTATTTAAATATTTCAAATAAAAAGTTTTAAAAACTTCACTTTTTATGAATGATTTTTAACGATTGGAAAAAATATGAAACTTCTCTATTAAGAAGCACTTTCAAAATAATATTAGTAGATGTAAGTATTCATAGTATTGCTTTCTTATAACTAGATCAGTTGATTTTTTTTTTTTTTTGTTTCATTCTCAATTTATACACATCATTTTTCTGTTATTACACTTTTGGCTCAAGATTGTGCCGCCTGGTAATTACTTGTTGATTTTCTCTCCAAAATGTTGTCGAGGTTTTTGAAATTAGCGATTATTGCAATTTTTACCAGTCACTTCCCTCGAAACAGTTGCTTTGACTTAAATTCCTGTCAAAATAATGCTCAAAGAGTAGTTCCTGTTGAAGAAAATGAATCTAGAGCATTTTTATTAAGGGAAAGAGTTGGAAATCCAAATCCAGTCTTACCAAACCATTTCCCAAACGAAATTTTTTACTCTACAACGGACTATGTACTTAAAATTGGCGTTAAGTTGGCATTTTATGGAGATTACATTAGCTCTGATTTTAATTACATTAGTGTCAAGGAAAAATACGGGCCAAGGTTAATAAATATATGTGGTCACTTTGTTCACAAGAACGTGACTCCAAAGTATACGATTTTAGTTTCACTTGGTGGGTTGAGCTCTCATATGTGTTCACAAGAGTCTGTTAAATTTTTTAGAAAATTTGTCAACTATGTTTCAAGCATATATGGTCTGGAAATGGTAAATGAGTCTCAGTTTATTTTCCTAAATTGGTTTAATCTTGTTTATAATGATTCCAGCACCCTTGTATTCACCAATAAAATGATTAAATATTTTTTTAGAAATCCTAACAAAAAAGACGTTATTGTTCCGGCAGTAAGTTCAGCCGCTTTTATAAACAAATTGCTCCGTATAGGTGTGATTCCATCGTTATCTAATACTGGAGCATATGGATTATGTATAGGAGCGTTGAACATTGCAATTGCATCATTACTAATTAAGGAAGATATAAAGGTTGTTGTTCTTAACGCACCATCATTTTTTAAAAAAGATTATCTTGAAGGTGTAGTAAGTAATACATTAAAGAGAATTTTAACAACAAAGTACTTTCTACTTTGTGGAAAACGTGATCGATTATTTCATTACAAAAGACATGGTAAGGGATTGTCCAAGTTTCTACTCAACTACTCAGACTATGTTAGATATATAAAACTTGATGCAGATCATGAGGAACTCATTAATAACTATATTTATACAGGTATTCGAATAATCGCTACTGCTTTACTGAACAAAGAATATACAATTTCATATATTACTACTAAAGAGTATAGTAAAATTCCCAAGTCATTTTCTGAAACTCAATGGTTTAGATATGTTATGTATTCTCCCAAAAAAGATGAGCGTTTAATGTAATTTTCATAATACGCAATTAATTGTATGTGGCAAAATACAAAATGATCATGGCGCCATATATTGAGATATTGTTATTCACATACTTTTCTTCGATAAAGAAGACTCATAAAATGGATTTAAATGACATTACAGCAACTGTTAAAACTGCGTTCTGTAATACCCAAATTGCAGAGGCATTTGCTGCCGCTGTAGTAGCATCTTCTAAAGGGAAGGAAAATATTATTCAGGAGAGTTATGATTTAGAGATTCAGAAACTGTCAAATGAACTAAAGGCATTAAAAAGCTGTATAAACGATATGCAACAATCATTTTTAAATAAATTTGGTGCGGATTCGAATCCAATAGAAACTTATGAAATTAATGATAATGTTTCAGAAAAGAACGGTGGTATGAGTAAAGAATTTCAGAATAGGGAATGGGAAACTATGCAAAAATATATTTATGAACATTTCAAAAATCAAACAGAAATACAGACAAAAGTTAAGGAAATAGAAGATTATATTATTCGTGGAAAAGAGGATTTCTCGTTAAAGAAAAGTGAAATCAACTCTCTCGAAAAGAATCTAGAAGTTAGTACTGAACATATTACAACTCTAGCATATTTAATAGAGAATCAAAAGGACAGAATCGATGTATTAGAAGAAAAAATTGGTATATTAGAGGGAAAAATAAACTGCTTAGATGAAAAGTTCATTACAAATTTTAAAATATTAGAAAACGTGTCACAACTAACAGATCTAATTACGAATACCCTTCAAGCCCAATCAAAATCATGGGAGGATTTTTGTAAGACTTCTAAGAAATTAAGTAAGGACGCTGATTATCTAATAAAGAAGAATGCTGGTACTTTTGAGGAAAATAGCACCGTGGATGAACTTGCATTACTATTTAAGAAGTTTATTGACGAAATACAGCATATTCGACCAGTCAATTTTGTTCCGAAATTCTAAATTTCATTTTTTTATATAACCTAATTTGTGTTGCTGCCTCTTCCTGTACTTTTCCTCTAACATTCCTTTTGGAATACATGTATATAATATATGTGTGCAAATTTTTCCTTCCTTGTTTAGTTGAACTTGATTGTTAAGTAGAAATGCTTCTCTATTTATTCTTTCCCAATTTATAGGTGTTAAATTATCAGGAATCGACGAAATAATTCCTAACTTTTCGGGATTTGGACTTGGGACCGAATTTTCGGTGATTAACTGACTCATCGAAGACTAAATTGCAAAGATCAGAATTGATTTATAGCCAGTCCAATTATTGAAGATGGAGTTTAATGTCTTAAATAAAAATGAAATGATCTATCTTCGTTTTGTATCGATATTTTTATTTAAAAAAAAATGATAATAAAGTTGTCAGAATCTTAACTAGTAGTTCTGACAGCGAGTTTCTGTAAATACTTGCTAGTTAAACATTAAAAACTAAATCAATACTAATAACTTTTAACTTACCTCAATTATTTCTACAAACTATTACTTGCTTGTTCCATGCGTAAATAACAAACGATTAATTGGCGGGAATAAAGCTCAAATTAACAAATATATAAAAAGACTAAATCTTTAAAGTCAGCAAAAGATTTGGAATTCTAATACCAATATTTAGTTTCTACTCTCGGTATTCCGGTATCGTGATCTTCGCTAAATGATTATTTTTACACATTTTCTTTTAATATAACAAACAAAAATAAGACACCGCTCTAAAGTAACATTTATCCGCTCACTCCTTTTGGCATCGTCTTTTTAATTAATATAAACAATAAGTAAATTCAAAGAAATGTCTGAAAAGGAGATAGGCACTCGTGATCAACAACAGAATGTTGAACGCCGGAAAGATGGGGCGTACATTCCCCCACATCGAAGGCAACAAGGGTTAAGAGAAGATCCTAATACTAACTTGACAAACCTGTCAGGGAATCAAGGTAATTTTTACAATGGCCAAAGAAACAATTCCGGTAGGAACAATATTGATGGCAAACGTAATGATCAGGGTGGAAATTTAGGTTTCAGGAAACATAATAACTCCTTCAATGACTCAAGTATGAATGTGGACCGATTTAATGCGTTGGGTGAGAGGCAGTCGAACACCTCCAACTCCAAGTACCAATATAATGGAGCTCTAGGAGGTAATAGTGATCGATTTGGAAATCTGAACGAAAAACCTCAGGAAAGAGGTTACAACAAATACTACAACAGGAATCGTATTGGCGTTTCTGGTACAGGTTGGGACGTAAGAGATGGAAGATCACTTTATCGTGATGATGAAGACAAAATATTTTCAAAGTCAAAAGAACACAGAGCAGGAATCAATTTTGATGCATATGACAACATTCCAGTAGAAATGACTGGCTCGGATACAAATAAGATCAGGCCGATGCAAAGTTTCATGGAGCTTGAAGGAATACACGAAATATTGTTAGATAACATTAGAAGAGTTAAATACGAGAGGCCAACCCCAGTTCAGAAATTCTCTATACCCACTGTTTTACATGGGAGAGATTTGATGGCATGTGCCCAAACTGGATCCGGTAAAACGGCGGCGTTTCTATTTCCAATTGTAATGAAGATGCTTAACGACGGTCCACCTCCAACTCCCCAACAATCTTCTTTAAGAATAAAAAGAATGGCATACCCAGTTGCTCTGGTTCTATCTCCAACCCGTGAACTTGCCATACAAACTTATGAAGAATCTAGGAAATTCTGTTTTGGAACTGGCATTCGAACTAATGTACTATATGGTGGAAGTGAAGTTAGAAGCCAAATAATGGACTTGGACAGGGGTTCAGATATTATAGTAGCAACTCCAGGTAGGCTTAGAGATTTAATTGATAGAGGAAAGGTTAATCTCAAATTAATTAAATTTTTAATTCTGGATGAGGCTGATCGAATGCTTGATATGGGTTTTGCTCCTCAAATCAGGGAAATTGTAGAGGATTCGGATATGCCTCATAGTCTTGATGGTAGACAAACTGTTATGTTCAGTGCTACTTTTCCACGTGAAATACAACAACTTGCAAAGGACTTCCTGCATAACTACATCTTCTTGACCGTTGGAAGGGTTGGTGCAACCAGTGGTTCCATTGTTCAACGTGTTGTATATGCGGAGGAAGACCACAAACCTCGTTTGCTAGTTAAATTATTATTAGAACAGGGCGAAGGGTTAACTGTCGTTTTTGTAGAAATGAAGCGCAGGGCGGATCAGATTGAGGACTTCCTAATTGACCAAAATTTCCCTGCAGTATCAATTCATGGAGATAGATCACAGCAGGAGCGTGAGCATGCATTGAGACTTTTTAGAAGCGGTCAGAGACCGATTCTTGTGGCTACTGATGTTGCTGCTCGTGGGCTTGATATTCCAAATATTACTCATGTAATCAATTTGGATATGCCCTGCAACATAGATGATTATGTACACAGAATAGGAAGAACGGGTAGGGCAGGAAACACAGGTTTGGCTACTTCTTTTGTCAATGAGAGTAATAAACCTATATTAAGAGATTTGCTAGCAGCATTGGAAGAAAGTGGGCAGGATGCCCCCGAATGGTTTCAAGATATGGTCAAATCATGTACGGCTTCGTTCGGGAGATATGGTAGTAGATTTAACAAGGGCGGAGTATCTAATTCTCAAAGAGGAAGTAGAGGGTTGCATAGCTTTGGAAGTGTGGACATTAGAAGTAATCAGGGAGGTAGTAACTACAATTCCGTAAATTCAGGCTACAGTTATTCTGGAAATAACTCGAGCTCTGGAAATCAAGGTTCTAGCAATGAACAGTGGAGGAACAATAGAAAAGGTTTAGGTAACCACTCCTACAATGGGATATCTGGGAACGGGAATAATGCTTCTCACTCTAAAGTTTCCAACAGAGACTTTGATCATGATGATGCATGGTAAACAATAAATATTACCATTCTTGATATCGGTATTATCAATATGAATTACTATTATCTAATTAAATTTTTATAGTATTCTAAACGGTTAATATTGGCAATGTCTCTGACATCTTGCTTATGTATATTTTAAGTTATATATTTAGAGCTTTCCAACATGTCTTTCCGAATGAATTATTATCCTGATACCTTTCAAGTACAGATTCATGGGCATTGTTCAAGATATTCTGAATATTGGGGTCCTCGTAGTGAAGGATTGCATTTGTAAGATCTTCCACAAACTCTTGAACGTTTGATTCCAAGAACCCAACTTCACTTCCTTTGAATTTCGCCAGAATGTCTTTTTCTGGCCCACCCGACTTGTGTGCGAACGTTAATAAACCAGAACAAACAAATTCTGCGACGCAAATACCGAAATGTTCGTCTTCCATAGTATGGATTGCAAATCTTGATGTGTTCATAATATTTTGCAACTCACTGGAACTTGAATTAATTATTAGCTCCAGTTTATCTTCTAGTTTCTCATCTATTGCCATTTGCCTAAGAGATTTTAAGTATTCAATATATTTAGGATTTGTGTCTTGTGAAGTTCCACACATCTTAAATTTCAATTCCTTGTAAATTTTTTCAAATTTGACTTTCTCTTCTTTGCCTGCCATATCCTTAATTTCCCTTATTCTTTTTAGTATACCAGAGAATATTTTTATCTGTACAAAATGGTTTTTTTCCGCTCTAAACTGAGAAAGCGAAACAATTATATTTCTCCTTAACTTTGGATCTACCGGTTTATTTAATGAATAATAATTCATATTGATTGGTGGATAGCAGACACTCATTTCAACACTATTTCTTCCCCAAAGTTCACTAAGCATGCCAAATGTCCAATTTGAGTTTACAACAATCTTGTTCGCAAGGCCAATGCTAAATTTATAGACAAATGAGAATAGTTTTAAATAAAAGTATCTCAAAATATTTTTTCTCTTTTCATTTTCAATAATTTCCTTTCTTACTTGGGGATAATGAATGTATGTTGAAATATGTTTTGTTGTCGGGAGAATTCTTGCTGATATCAATGAGAAAGGGAATCCTGCAGTTTCTACAAAAACTTTCGGAAATGGCCAACTAAATAGTAAGCCTTCCAAAGAAACGATTACTGCTGCTATGTTAACACTCCAAAGCTTCAAAAAATCAAGTTTTAAAAGAAACCCTAATTTCAATTCAGCGATTGTAATCCTATCAATAAACTCTGGAGAATTTAAAGGAATCATAAAAATTTCTTCTACCTTCTTTACTATTTCCACCTTATTAAGTCCGCAACTCGAATATATGACTACTTTATTTTTCAAATTATCGTTTAGAACTTCATATATAATACTCCATAACACTTTCTCGCCCCCACCAAAATTACAACATTGAGGATGAAAAAAGCCAATTGTATTTTTTCTTTCTTCCTTCCAAGTTTTGACAAAATCGAAAAACATATCTAATTATAAAGACCTAAAATATTAAAATGCAAAACAGACATGCTATTTTTTTTGTTTTAAATTAGTATATTTCGTTCTAAGTTTAATAAAGATGTTTGGCAAGAGCGCTTGAAAAAAAATTTCAACCAAAAAGATATAGAAAATGATCAAAAGCGAGCATTTAGAATGGATTTATGTGTGAAAAGTGCAAATAGGTGCTTGTTGATTGTATTATAAGGTTTAAATTACATTAAACTGATACACTATACCTAAGACATGACGGGAGTGCAAAAACATGCTGATATCTAAATAAGTAATGAAATAGTATTGTAATCAAAAATCACTTGGCAAAAGATAAAGCGAATATTCTTACATATTTACAAACAATTATTATGCTTCAACGTAATACAGGATATTATATGGACTCCGATGCTGAAGTTGATCCTAGTTATTACGAAGCAATAATAGAAGCAACCCAGGATAAAATATTTAATAGGTAAGCGAACAAAAATATATTATATTGCTTAAACCAAATTAAAATTGACTTTTTTATATTTCATAATAAGTTATGAAGAAACGAGATTTATTTTTTATTTAGGGGATGATATCCTCCAAAGGCCAGTATTGATGCTGGTATCTTGTTTCCTTCCTCCCACAGTAGATGAACTTGATAAGGCCATGAGATATACAGTTTACTTTTCTAATGAATTTGTAAAAACGGAATTTGTTATCATTCAATGTTTGACTAGAACAAACATTTTAAATGATGGTAGCTCAAATTTCCTACAACAATTCTATTCTTTATTGCCTACTGAATATAAAAAAAATTTAAAAAAAGTGATAATGTTTCATTATGGTGTAAGTAATCGTGCATTATTGGCAATTACAAGCTCTTATATGTCTCCCAGATTTATGAGGAAACTCGAGTATGCAGATTCAATCAAAGAATTACACCGTTTTCTTCCTGATATTTCAGAAGAAGAGCTACTTAATAGACTGCCATTTATAGTTAAACACGATGATGCTGAGCTTCTAGGACTTGAGGCACCGACATTGTTAAACATGAATTTAATGGAAGAATGCATTTGTAATGGTTATAATGTTCGAGGATATGGTAAAATACCAGCAATTATTGTTGATATTATCCAGAAACTTTCTAAACCAGATATTGCCGTGATCCCAAATTTGTTTAGTTTGCAAACATCTGCCGATAAACTAAATTCAATAATTGGAGAAGTTAATAGCGGAGTTCCATTTAGGTCTGGTGATTCAGATCCATCTGCTCTAGTTTCTGTATTCAAATTATTATTAAATTCCATGGACGAGCCGTTACTGGGCTCAGAAGCATTCTATTCAATTGTAAAACAGTGTAAAAGCTCAGGTACCAACGAATTATCACACAATTTCTATATGAACTTTCTTAAAGAAACCATTTCAAAGTTGCCAGATAACTCAAAAATTGTCATAAAATTCATAGTCGACTTTTTATATTTTGTCTCAACGAAATCGAGTATTAACAATATGACAGCACACAGAATTGCTGAAATTCTATCTCCTGCATTTTTTAGACCCATCAATATGAAAAACATTACGATGTATCAATATATTCCCCCATGCATTGAATGTATTACAGTACTTATTTCAGACAGTAACGGTATTTTTAACAACATTTTACCTGAGATTAATCTATATGATGATCACCTACGTGAAATTAAAGAGAACCTAAGAAAGAAGCAACTCGAAGAGGCTGAAGAAGAAGAAAAAGAAAAAGAAGAAGATAAGGAAGAAAGAGCTGAAGAATTAGAAGAAGAAGAAGAAGAAGAAGAAGAAGAAGAAGAAGAAGAAGAAGAAGATGGAGATGGGAATGAAGAAGTCGAAGATGATAATGAAGGTGAAGAAAATGACTGATAGTACTTTCCACCTGTTTTAGTCGTTATTTTTTCTTGTTAATTATTTTGGTTTGATTACCTAGCTATTTACTTACAAAAATTAATATTTAAAAAACTGAGGAAAAACGTTCTCCCGGCGAGGATCGAACTCGCGACCTTCGGCTCATAAGACCGACGCTCTAACCGAGCTGAGCTACAGGAGAATTTCACAACGGGGAGGTTGCAAGTTGGAGTTATTTAAATATTGAAATGTAGTCCTAAAAACAATAGTTCAATCTGCATTAATTTTTTTTTTTTTTACAAACTTAACAGTTGTTTTTGATAACTCAGTTTTTCCTATTAATGCTGCACCTTAAAATAAATATTTTGTTCAAAGTTAGGATTAAATATTAAAAAGATAAAAATTTATTAGGTATGAATCATAAAAAGTCTATTGAATGCCAATAATTATTTTCTCCAACTAGCCTTTAATGTTTTACGAACATTCACTTGGTTGGCCTCCGTAGCATAGTGGCAATGCGTTCGCTTCGTAAGCGAAATATCCAGGGTTCAATCCCCTGCGTGGGCTGCTTTTTTCAAATTTTTTCACATTTAATTACAAATAAACTTGCATTTTTTTTTTTAGCTGGATAATTATTTTAATAAATTATGTTCATGGTAATCAAATAAAGATAAACTATAAGCTTGATAATGATTCACACTTCTAAATTACATTTATTATTAATGGAAAAAATATGCAACTATTACCTTTTCAAAAGTCTATACAAAACGACATTGATAATCATAAATCCTGTCTAATAATCCTAAGTAAAGGCCTTGGTGTTTTTAATGTAGTATATAACTATTTAAGTAAAATAGAAATAAATGCCGGGAATTCCATTTTTATTCTAAACCTTTCAATATCTGAAATAGATTGCTTCAGGTTATTTGTGCAGAGTATGGATCAAAGGAGTTATGATGGTGATATTGATCAATTTAAGAGTAATACCTCTCTTCTCTCTAATAAAATTGTGAATATTAATTCGGAAATGAATTTAAATAAAAGGAAGGTATTTTATAACAAGGGTGGGATATATATTATAACATCAAGAATCTTACTAACAGATCTATTGTCTGAAAGGCTCAACTTTTCAAATATAGATGGCATTATATTGATTAATGCAGAGAGTTTAAATGTTAGAAATTGGAACGACGCATTTATTTTACAACTATATAAAAGTAAGAATCCAAATGGATTTATAAAAGGAATATCGCAACGCCCAGAAATACTAAATCAAGGATACTTTGGGCCAGGCATTGCCATGAGATATTTAGGAACAACGGATTTATTCCTTTATCCAAGAAATAATGTTATTGTTGAAGATTCATTTAAACTTTCTCAGAAAATTAAAGTAATAGAAAAGTCAGTCAAGGCAAGTGAATATTTTTACACTATACAAAAATGTATTAAAGTATTGTTAGAAAAAGGACTCGATCAAATTTTAAAATTGGATCCGAACATTGAAGTAACTCTGTGTGACCTATTATATAGCTCCTCGAAGAAATTAAAAAATAAAATTGAGTTATTAACTCATGACTTGTGGTGTAAAATGACACCTAAACTTAGACAAATTACAAAAGATATTCTCTACATAAGAAATTTGCTTGAATTGCTATATTTATTAGATGCATCTGAATTCTTTGTTTGTTTGGAATATATTCAATCATCGAAACTTATTGATAAATCTTGGATGCTAACTAAAGAATTTGAAACTTTATATAAGGTGTCAAGATCCAGAATATTTAAAATTAATGAGAGGAATATTAATTATAGCAGTGGAACTGAAAGTCCTTTTAGTCTCTCTCTTGAAGTAAACCCAGTTCATATTCAATTGATTGATATAATTTTAAATATTGGGAAAGAACTCACTGAAAATGATATTTCGGCTTTAACACAAGAAAGTAACTTATGCGATAAATTATTAATCAAAGAAAACGAAGTTGATTTGGACTGTGATTTGAACTCTTCGGAGAAAAATATTGATTTAAAAATCGATGGCGAAATAATTGATGAGGAAATTGACAATGCCGAAAATGATCTCGACAAAATCGAATATTTACAAACTAGCGAAAAAAATATCGAAGTTTGTTCGAAAATATTAGAAAATAGCAACCTCGTATATCATCTTCCAGAATATAGAGTTCTTTTGATTGTTCCCGATGAGTTTTGCCTAACAATTACTGAAATTGAATTTCTGTTACTAAACGGCCCACAAAATTTTTCTGCTATGAAACTAATTGAAATTTTTCAAAACATTGAATTGAATTTAACGCCCAACTTTCCAAATATAATCTCAAAAATAATACCTTCTTTTGGTGTGACGATTAACTCAAACGAAAAATTTCATTGTTTTAATCAACTTAGACTTGTATTATCAAAACTGATACAAAATAGTAGTGGCACACAATATCCGTTCTCTTCAAAGGATACAACTATTAAATCTATCCCAAATTTGAACATATATAGGAATAAGGGTTTAGACGAAATAATCACAAATAATAGAATTAATCCAAAAATTATAATTACTCATCCGAGTGTTAATGTACAAGGTAAGTGCAATATTTATTTTTCTTCAAAAATCTAATCAATTTTAGGAAAATTCTGGAATATTCTTTCATTAAATTCGCCGCATTTAATCATCATGTTGGATCCGGATATTTCATTACTAAGAGAGATTGAATTATTTACTGCAATTTCAGAAAAAAAAACGGAATTGCCTCTTCAAGTAATTATGATTACAATTCAAAATTCAATTAGACACGTAAGTAAGAATATTTAAATCTTCACAAAACAAAACATTTTTATAGGAAAAGCTTCTTAATACAATAAAAAATGAAGAACTATCGTGGATAAGTCTTGAAAGGCATAAAAAAACTCTTGTTGTGCCATTAAGCGACATTACTGAAGGAGAAATATTAACAAAACTAAACTTTTCTTCAATATGTCAGGATAGGCCTGAAAATGAAAATATTGTTCAAAGAGTAATTGTTGATATAAGAGAGTTTAGATCATCTCTTCCGTATCAGCTTTTTTGCAAGGGTATCAAAATAATTCCTATGAGCTTAGAAATAGGAGATTATGTAATATCCCGTGATGTATGTATTGAACGGAAGTCACTACCAGACTTAATAAATTCTCTTAACAATGGGAGATTATTCACACAATTACAGTGGATTTCAAAGCACTACTCCGTTCCTGTAATATTAATTGAATTAAACAATTTAACAGAATTGTTAAATCATCAAGGAATCCAGCAAAGCTTTTCACCAATAAAATCAAACTCAAAAGACATTTATTTGAGATTAATTCTTTTAATGAGGCATTTCCCTAACATTAAATTTATTTGGAGCAGTAATTCGTCATTCTCCTCATTAATTATTCTCCATATAAAGAATAATAGAGAGCAACCAAATCTAAAAGATGCTAGTGCATTAAATACTGGAATAATAAATGTAAATTATAACGATGTCACAATTCAAGAATATAAAAAATCTACAAAAAAAGGAAAAAAAAGAAAAGTATCATCAGATTCTACTAAATCTAACTATTATGCAACTACATTTCTTAGGCACCTTCCTGGGATAAACGCCAAAAATATTAAAGTTCTTACCTTTAACTTTTGCTCGATTAAAGAAATCTTCAATGCTTCGTTGGAAAAGTTAATATATCACTTGGGGATCTCAAATGGAACATCTCTTTTCAGAGCATTGCATGAGAATTACTCAGAAAATACACGTTTGAAACAACTTTTAGTTGATTAAATCGCTTGAATTTTTATAAGTATTGTTTAATGATAGATTATTCGATTTTGAAAAACTACCACCAAAATTATTTGAATATAAACTCGAACGCCGTGCTCTACCCCTTAAACTTTTTTGATTTGGTGACTTCTCTGCACGTTTATTCTCTAGAAATTCAATCGCTACCTTAAGTGCAGCAGCAACTGTTCCATGTTCTTTTGGGTTAAAGGATCTGGTTGCTCTAGTACCTCCTGACGTAATGAACCAAACACGCCACGTTTTCCTTCTTACACACCAAGAAATTCCAGTGTGTCCAACAACCTTCCAAGACTGCCTTTCTGGATACCACTCCACCCCCCCGATTTCATCAAGCCTTCCTAGAGGAGCTCCCCCTGAAGCAATTAACATCGAAATCTCATTATTTTTATATTTGTAGTTATTATTCGTTTTAATCCTTGTTCCGTCCAACATTATATCCGACCTCTGACGCGAAAAGTGGAATCTTCTACGTATCTCTGAATTGCTTGTCTCCACAGAAGAAGAAATATCATCAGATGACGAATTTTCCAATTTACTTCTGCTTATTAATAAATTAGTGTCATTATTTCTGTTTGGAACCACCCAAACTCCATGTAAAGTAGATGTGTGAGAGACTGACGAGTTTTCAGATGATGTTCTTGCACAACTACTGTTAATTGGAAGTGTCTCATCTACATTTAATGTAGCTTGATTTATATTTGAATATTTGTTTTGATTACTTACTTGGGAATTTGCTAAATACTCCCTATTATTATTACTCGAATAGTTAGGAACCTCAAAATATTCGGATTCATTGAATATTTGAGCAGTGTTAAAATTTTCAAATAGTCTTTGAGATGAGTGGACAGCATCCTCTTCTACACCTGGAGCAACCCAAATATATTCATCTCCTATCGTTCTTGCAGGCAATGTAAGCTCGTGAAACTGATTTGTAGTGAAAACCGAATTTACTCCGTGGCTGTATATGTCTTCATAACCATCTAAGTCTTCAAAGTTATCTATGCATGAATTCCATTCAGAGTTATACATCGATTTTATTGACGAAACTTCTTCATTCAGTGGTTTACATAACGAATATTGGAAGCGCATACTATATTGCCCTACAGTACGGTTAATCCCACGGCCAATAATTACCCAGATCTTTTCTACATAAATCCAACAATAGAATTAACCGAACACAGTCTCAATCCAATAATTTTTTTATTGAAAGAAATCACTACAAATACACGGTAAAAATGGTATATAAATTCATGTCATTTAAACATGTATGCATAGGTATCAATCTGGGTACCTACAATAATAGATGAAGAATTACGACATTACGCCTTAGACTATACTGCAATTCTTATTTCTTCTGGATATAAAAATGCTAATTACCGAACATTTTTTTAAAAATCTCAATAAAAATATTCTAAGTCCTACAAATAAAAAAACTATATCTATCTATTTTGTCATTTACTAGTACATGATATAAAGTTAGAATAATATGGGCTTGTTTGTTCATCTATAATTTAATAAGCAAAGTGCATGTTTTTTTTTTTGTGTAGTAATTTGACATTAGCGCCGTCTTGTGAGCATTAATCGCGCACTGGCCTTTTTTTTTTTTTATTATACTGATTATTTAATGAAACTCTGTGAATTAAAACTACGGGAATAAATACGATGGGAGAGAAGGCCGATGAAATTAGCCATGACATGAATTGCCGTGATACTTTCGGCTCTCAACCAAATGAAGATTTAACTCCGTCTGCAAAAGAGAAAGGAAACGAGGTAGGTTTTCAAAATAATTTGTCCAATCTTTTTTATACATGATTATTAAGGAGTACAATAATAAGGAATATGAAAAAGCTATTGAAAATTGGCTGAGAGCATATAGGTCATGTTGCTACATTTTGTCCAAAAATGTTTATTCTGAAATGCCGGAAAAAGATAGAGAAATTAGGGTCATGAAAATGAAACTAGACTCTAATCTTTCTCTTGCATATTTAAAACTCCAAGACTATTCAAACACTTTACACTATGCCAATAAAGCTTTAGAGTATGAACCAAATAATTTAAAAGCTTTACACCACAAATCTCAGGCATTGTTTGAATTGAGCGAATACAAACAATGTATTGAATGCGCAGATATTGCCTTGAAAGTTGAACCCAACAATATTGTGTTCAAAAAAATTAGGCATAATGCTCTACTTAAGCAGAAACGGTACATTTCTAAAAGCAAAAAAATTGTAAGTTGCATTTTATTTATTTTGAAAAAAATGACTTCTGAAAAGAGCGAAGCACTTTTCAATAATTCAAAAAACAATAGGGAATTTGATGGGAGACCGAAAAAATATTTAATTAGAACATTAATTGAATATTTTAATTCATTTTTTAATACTAGAATAGGGAGATATTTTATTAACACCATTTCGAAAATATGTCCAACAAGAGCAGTAAATTATCTTAAAATAGGGAATTTTTAAAAATTTTATAAATATTTTAATAAAATATCTATTTATTAGGTAAATAATTTTGCTACAGATCAACAAAAATTTTTTCGTTAGATCTTGTTTAAACTTACAACTTCAGTTGTAGAACTGAAGATTTTATAATAAAAATTGAGTCAAAAAAGGTACGGGCTACGAGACTCGAACTCGTGATCTCTTGCGTGTAAGGCAAGCGTCATAACCACCTAGACCAAGCCCGCTGTCACAGGTTCTCGTAAAAGGAAGTAGAAATATTTGTTAAACCAAATAGAAAACGTTGGTATAACTAGCCATTTCTTGCACCAGTAGGATATAAACAGCTTTGAATATAATCTAGTATCACTTCAATATCTACCTCATTCTTTTCCAATAATTCATTCATTTTGTATTCATTTTTTATGATATTCATCAACTGTGAATACTTCATTGCCGTTGTAGTTCCAAGTAGCCTCAATATCTCTTCACTTGTATGAAAGTTTGAAAAAGAGGTCAATATAGTTTGAAATTCAATATCGATATTTTTTTTCCAGCTTTTATTAAAATGTTCAAGGACTTCATTAATATATTGCACATTAATTTCATTCAAACGAAATTTCGAATCGATAATTTTCTGTATGTTAGAATATGCTTTAATAAAACGATGTTCAATATATTTTTGTGTATATTCACAGAAAACATGTTGAAAATCATCTAGTAAAATTTCCTTTTTTCCTTGTAATACTGAGATTATTGCGTCTACATTATTAATGATAAATATGCAACCTTGTTCAAGTCCAATACTATATTCATTCTGCAAAAATTCATTTGATGAAACTAGCCAATTAATTATAGATGATTGAATTCTGCTAACTAATTTCCTGATTTTTTCATTATTTGGATCATCCAATAACTTAGTTATAACCATTAACAGCTCTGATATTCTGCGAGTAATTGGATTTAGACGTGATAATTTGTCTGAAACGCATGATTTGATAAAATCACGGTTTGAAAGAGAAGATAAAGAATAAATATGATTAATAGCTGAAGATTCTAACGAGCTGTAAACTGCTTTATTTTGCATTTTATAATATTCAAATAATACATTTGAATCTGCGATGGCATTTTCAAAGACGCTTAACTTTGACTTGGAAAGACATTTAAATCTTAAAATGATGTTATATAATATTGATAATCCAGTTGTATCACATGTTTTTAATATTGTAGTTTGAAACAATTCCATAACCTCTATTAAATGATTACTAAAAATTTTCTGTAGGACATCTTTTAAAGAATTATCAAATAGTTGTCTAGAATGTTCATATATCGATATAAATGCTTTATATATCATCTTCTGCGATTCGAAAAAAATTTCTTCTATTCTTAATATCTTTTTTGTAGTTGAAAAAAATGATTCATTCATAGGTTCGTTAATTAACAAATAAAAGTTGTTTAAAATTTGTTCTCTCTCAAAAAATGTTGATTGATACTTATCATAATCTTTAGAAGTAATTAAAACACCAATTTCATCTTTATTCTCACAAAGTTTCTTTGTCTCTTTAATAACTGTTGAAAATAATTTTGCTGCAAAACTAATGTATTTCTCACTAAAAAAACCAAGCTCGGTTGTATTTGAAATTAAAAACTTTATTATTTTACTCATTTTAATTAATTCAGAATATGTACTCGGTTTTGAATAATCTGTTTGTAGAATTATGAATACTGATTCATTGTTAGAAAATATAGAAGTTAATTTGTATCTGATTCTATTAATGGCGATATTAAACAATGACCTATATAATAAATTAAGTTCCCTCCCAACATTTGTTCTTTTAATATCTGTATTTTGTATCGAATTTATCTTGTCTAACAAGTATTTCAGAGAAATACAATAATTCTTATCAAGCTCGCCAATATTTATTTTATCTATTAGATCGGGGCCTATAACTGTTTTTTCGATAAAATTGTGAATTTTTTCGTGCAAAAACTTCATTCTCCTCAAGCTATTTTGTAATAACATAAATTTCTCCTTGATTGCTTCAACTTTAATAGAATAAATTGACATTTTACTTTCTAACAATAAAAATAAATCGTAAAGTAAATTAATAGAATAGTTAAATAATGAGTTGTTGTTGTCAAATTCAACAATTTCATTTTCAAATGTCATAACTGTATTATTGAATAGTTGATAATACTTTCCTTTACCATTGTGTTTGGCTAAAAATGTTAATGGATCTGAATCACAAGTTACTTTTGCGCATTTTAAATCATCTTTTGAATCATTATAGCTACTCAAAAACCAATCACTAGATAATTCTAATAAAGTATTTCCATAATTCATTGTTTAATAAATGTTGCAATATGCTTTGTCCATTTGCGCGAAAAGTAAAAATATTTTACCCCACACTCAAAATTAGGGAAGAAAAAATAAATTATTTTACAAAAAAAACGGCCAATTCATTTTGACAATGGCCGAGTATTGATTATTATCTAACACAATTAGAGTTTATTATACAGCCAATTAATGTTTTTCCTATATATTTAGTTCCTAATCATTTTGTTTTTAGATCATTCAAAAAATATTTGTTTGAGATGTCATGTCTTTCAAAGAGGTCAATTACGACTTTATTGAGATGATTTTTACCAAATAAAAAATAAACTTATAAATTTGTAGAAAAATTGTCAACATGAACGATCCAGAAGAATTTGATGGAGAATATGATGACTATATTGAAGGAAAGCTTACTGAACATTCAAATGAAAGTTATGAAGAAAAAAGCGATATGGAATATTGCTCACCAAGGTTTGGTGAATTCAATTTTTCTGAAGAAGATTCCAGCACTGAAACAGATAAAGAAGACCTAGTTACCAATGACGAAGATAATTTACAATTTTATTCTGATACAGAAGGATCGAATGAAGATTTTGATAAAGATGTAAAAGAACATTCAAAAATAATTACTGGCCAAATCAATGAAAATCAAATTAATCACAATATTCAAAAAACCAATACTTTAATTAGTGAATATTCTAAAATAAATTTATTGCAGAAAGAAACAACAAATAATGAGCATGGGCATAACGAAAAACATTTGAAAATAGATTCAGAATATATGCAGCCTGCTGTATTTGAAAACAATTTGAATGATCAAAAAAAAAACAAAGATCAGAAAAACTCAAATCGGGCCGATGAAACTCAGATTTCATATAAAGAATTAGAACTACAAGTTAAGTCTTTATTAGAAGCTTCCAATAAACACCAAGAAAAAGTTCATGCTGAATTGGATGGACTATTAATGGAGAATGAAAATTATAAAGAAGAGATTTCTCGTTTAAATATTATATTGAAAAATAATGAGTTACTATTATCCCAATACAAACTTAAATCTATGGCTCTTAGTGCCCAACTTCCTTTTCTAAAAAGTAATTCGTTTATGGAGCAAGATAAAGAAGAATTATATTTCTTAAGAAATAAAGTAAAAATTCTAGAGTCAAAGCTTAGAGAACATCAAAAGGAATTAGAAAATTCTGATACTTGTAAAGAAAAAATAATATTCCTTGAAAACGAATTAGAAAGGATCACAAAAGAATTTAATGAATTAGAAATATTCCAAACAGAACAACTTAGAATTGCAGATGGTGAGATCATCTCTCTTACTGAAGCAAATAACACTCTTTTTAAAGAAATGCATTTAGTAATGAAGGAGAATGAGGGGCTGAAGTTAACAAAATCTGTGATAAAGAGGATTGAAACTCATTATAAAAACATAAGTGATGATATTGTTTTGCCCAATATAGAAGAAGAATTAAATGAAAAAATAAAAGATTTTATCCAAAATAAGGACTCTATTGATGATAATGGAGTATCTTCTCTTGTATTTGAAACATGCCAAACAATTATTCCAAGACTTGCGTATGAAATTGCAGAAGAAATAGTTATTAACCTCGAAAATAATGAAAGACCAAATGAGCAATTGAAAAGGTCGTTTACCAAAAAAAATGCATCAATTCAAGTAGGTTTCCCTCTAATTAATGGCTCAACAATAGACCATTCGGAAATAGGTATTATCTCGTCCAGAAGCGAATTGATATCTTTAAGAAGTGAAAACAGCAAATTAAAAAAGGAAAATCAAAAGTTAAAACAAGATCTTTTTTTATTGAAGAGAATAAATCATCGAACAAAAGATCAAGCTAAGATAAACTGTTTTAACCGCACGAAGCCCAAACAAATTGAGCTAATAAATGATAATCAAGAAGAATTAGTCCTTAATGGTATCAAATGGTTAACATCAGTTGTTAATGAAATAGATGACCTTGAACAAAAATATAGCAGTATTAAAGCTTGTAAAAATAAACCTGAATCCAGACGTTCAAGTGCATACAATTCTACGGTTGCATCTTTTGAAGATATTAATCTTGATGTAAATGAACGCTCGAGTAAGGATGAAGTGAATCTTGATAAAGAATTGATTATGTTAAGAGAAAAGTTAGTAAATGAGGGAATCCTCGTTGGAGAATAGGTAATTAGCTGATTCTTTACTGGTATAATGTTTTTGGAAAAGGGTTTTTGGAAATTTCTCTATTTATTGGCGAGCATTCCTGAACCAGCCATCTTAAAAACTCGGGATCATCATCTACAAGTGGCTCTAAACTTTCAAGAGTTCTTGAATGATACCAATTTAGCCAATCTAACTCATCATCTGAAAGCATTGAAACATCAATCATCTCTTTTTGGATTGGTGCGAATGTAAGAGGTGAGAACTTAAGAAATTTATTCATTTTTTTGTACCCATTCTCGATTTCAGCCTCAACTATTTCAGCCAAGTTTTCTATTCTTATTCCATATTTCCCTTCTTCATAATAACCAGGTTCAATTGAAACAACAGCACCTACAGCTAAATTTTGATTGCAAATACCGTCCCTTCCAACTTTGTAACAGATAGACCAGGGCTCTTCGTGAACAGATAAAAATGAACCAACACCATGCCCCGTTCCATGTAAATAATCTAGTCCAGCCTCCCACAAACTTGCTCTTGCAAGAACGTCAATTGCGATAGCATTTGTTCCTACTGGAAATATTGATTTATGTAGGCGGATAAACCCTATTAATACTCGAGTGAATGTTTCGACTTGCTCAATTGTTGGCTTTTCTTCTCCATTCCCAAACAGAAATAAAGTTCTTGTTACATCTGTAGTACCAGTATAGTACTGGCCACCTGAATCACAAAGGTAAAGATCGGGTTTAATTATTGAAGAGTTATTTTCTTCAGGGCGATAATGAATAATTGCACCATTTTCCCCTATAGAAGAAATTGTATCAAAGCTCGGGTAAACAAATTTTGGTTGTTGTTTTCTAAATTCGAGTAATTTTTGGGAAAGATCCCACTCCGTTACTTTTCCACTAAATAGTGTACCATCTCTACCGGCCTTATAAAGATAATACAAAAATTTAGTCAATGCCAAACCATCATAAATATGGCAATCACGCATCCCTCTCAATTCAATTTCGTTCTTTACTGCACGTAACATAATTATAGGGGATTCTGACGTTATTAGTATTTTTGAAGAATTAAAGTAGTTAATTAAACATTTATAATAACTAGAGCTGTTATGATTTTCCTGAGGATTCAGTACTTTGAATAACGTGTCCATTATTGCTAAATTGCAATAATTCTCGGGCAACCATATTTTGCTTAATTTGCTATTTGGGTCTGAATTTAATTCACTAAATAAACGATAAAGTTCATCCATTACATTTTCAATTTGAATTATTGAAATATGGTTTTGGAATTCATTCTTTAATATTTCTTCGCAATTCTTTATACAGTTAATATCGGCAAAAACCTTAAGATTAAACAATATTTCCCCCCCGTCTATAGGATCCGTCCCATCAAGTATCTCAAGTATCACATATCCAAGGAACACAGGTGTGCAATGCACATCTGAACCTCTTAAATTGAGTAGCCAAGAAATCTGTGTAAGACTGCTGAGAAATAATAACTTTGCATTCTGCCTCTTCATTTCGAATAAAACTTTTTTAACCTTTGATTTAGATGTTTCTCCAGCATATTTGACTTCATGAATAAAAATTTCACTTTTATTTGGTTTGATTTCTTCTTGTGGCCGTATTATGTCGACTAAATTTAAATTTAAAAACTTTATTGTAAAATTTCTATCTTTATTTAAACCAGAGGATTCGATATAATTAGCTAAGGCCTTAAATGACATCCAAGAAGTCACCTCAATATCAATTCCTAACTCACCACAAAAATTCTCCTCTTTCAATATATCTACAATATCAAGATAAAATCCTCTTTTAAATAGATGAACTTGATACTCGGGAGTTGCGGTCTTCTTAGCTTCAACAATATATCTGCCATCAACAATTAAATGCGCACTAGATTTGGTAACAACACAAATTCCCTGAGACCCAAAAAAATCTGTCATAAATTCTCTTCGTTTATATTTATCTGGGGTATACTCCGACATATGAGGGTCACTCGAACTAACAATATATGCATCAACATCATGTTGGCTCATTACATTTCTGAGTTTCTCTAGCTTTTCCTGTTTTGAAATATTGGACACCATTTTTACGGCAATTTGCATCAACTGCAACGCCTCCATTACTAAAAAGCCCCTCATCTCTCATACTTTAATGCGGGAATAAATCTTTGTGTATTTGTACTTAAAATATTATAATTCAAAATTTTATCTAGAAATCATTCTATCCTAATTAAAAATTTTTGAAAGTCCATTAACTAGGCTTTCAACATTTAAACTATTAAAAATTTCAAAATGGTTCGTGTTAGATAAATACAACAGCTCTATATCGTTTATTTTATAAATATTTTGAGCATTTACAATTGCGTATGACCCATTCTTTTCAAATACATCGCCTATAATTGAAGAACGTGACAAAATAAAATATACCTTTTCATCAACTTCGAATTCAAATGTAGAGATTTTTATGCTCATTAAGAACGTAGCCCTTAATCTATCGATCAAGTTTTTCAACTCTTCGAACTCAAAAACTGATTCATTTTTTGTGTAGCTATTTATTTTGTTGTATGCACTTAAAATTGAATCAGAGTTATTCAGTATATCGATCATTGTTTCTGTGATCGAGTTAGATAATAAACTTGAACAGCTCACAAACTTCTTCAAAATTTGGAACGAAATTTCATCAATTTTCAAGTTATTGCTATCACTTATCTTAATTGGAACTAATGGATCAATCAACAAGAGTTTTAAATCATACTCCAAACTTTTTTCATTCTTTAGTCGTTTGAATATTTGCAATGCAAGACTGCTTGATATTGACCAACTTCCTATTATTACTTTTGAAGTTGCTGTGTGATTTAGAACAGAAATATTTTCTTTTATTGTCTCAAGAGTTATGTGGGTTAGTGAGCTTAAAACATTTTCGACTTTAGAATCTGGGAGAGTAACGAGAATGCACTTGCAATTGTATTTAGACTGTATCATATTACAAAATTCTTGGATATTCAATATAAATAATTTGTCGCATATAAATATCATGAAGTTAGTGAGTTCTATATTATTGATCGTCAAATCGTTATTTGTAAATTCAAAAATATATTCTTTTGTTGAAATTTTAGTTTCTTTTACTTTCTTATTAATAAAATCAATTGAATAAATCCAATCTTTCTCAAGTAGGTACTTGAAACAAGTATGTAGATAATTTGAATCACAAGATGTATGATTAATTTTCCCGGAATTGGAAATTAAATTATTTGTGTTTTTCATATCAAAATAAGGCATAATAGAATCTGCAGGTCTTTCTTTAACAAACATGTGTTGTAATGGAGTAAGTGGGTGATTTTTATCTTTTGATGTTTCATCCAACAGTTGTTCAACCCAATCTTCAAATTCTACCATTCTTAAATTTATACCCAATAAATCCAATGCTTTTTTTATATCATTCATATTTGCCCATCCTTCAGAGTCAAGATTAAAATCATTGTTAATTGATAAATTTGGATTATTTATTCCAAAACAACAAACTTGGCAACAGAAATCAACAGAAACTAAATGAAGTGCCATCTCTGTTATAGGTAAAGTCCCCATTTTAATACAACCTTTTACAAATGCATTTGGTAGATCCGAAATATTGGATGCCCCAGTTATACTATTTCCTCCTATTCTCCCAGGTCTATATATTGCTATAGGGAAGCCTCTTTTACGTGCTGATCTAAGAATTCTTTCTGCTGCCCATTTAGATTGTGAATATCCCAATAACAATGATTTGTGATGAATTCCTTCATTATCGTTTGTAATTACCGGGTCATCCTCGTAAAATATTCTTCTTCCATCATTCGAAAAGTAATTCCTCTTCATAAATTCAGTATTTTCTAAACCAGATAAATATGGTCCTACTGGAGGGTTCTCAATATGATCATAAAAAACTCCTAAAGTAGATATATGATGAATTGGAATAATGCAAGAATTACATTTTCCTTTTTTAGTACAATTTTTGCCACAATATTCGGGTGCAAAAGAAAGTTTCAACAATTCTACAATACTGAGTACATTAACGTTTTTGATATTTGAATAAGATGATGTAAAGTTTACGACAGCACCAATGTGAATAATTGAGTCGACCGAGTTTACTATCTCTTTATATTCAGTTTTAATTATCCCAAATGATGGGATTGAAGTGTCTCCCACAACAATTTCTATATTTTTTTCTATAATTAATTCTGCATCTTGAATTGAATATTTATAAAGCGCATCCAATAACTTTTCTTTACCATTATTTTTGTCAGAGCACCTCACCAAACACCATATCTTAATTTCTCTATTCAAATTTACGAGGTTTTCAATCATACAAGTACCCATAAATCCTGTTCCTCCAGTCAAAAATACTCCAGACAATTTGTTCTTTTCACCAGATGGTAATCTAACACCACGAATAATATCAGAAGAATTTGAATTTACAGTAATTGCCTCATCTAAATTAATATCCTCATTTATTTCTTGCCATCTTCTCGATTTCGAAGAAATAATTTCTTCAGTATTATATCCAAATAATTCCCTTCTGACTTCTCCTTCTAGATATAAAACGACTTCATCTAGAGTCGGGTTGTCAAGCATTAAAGATATTGGTAACTTTATCCCAAGATTCTTAAAAACCGAATTTCTAAATTCAACTGCCATTAAGGAATCGATTTCTGCTAGATCATAATTTTTTTCCTCCACACCAAATATTTCATATGCAACAATTAATAGAACATCTTCTATATGCTTCCGAATATCAATAATTCCTTCAAATTTATCTTTAATAATTTTTGAATCACTTTCGAGTTTTGCCGGACTCTTTAATAATTTACTATTAATTTCACTGAAAATAAATGGTACCTTGTTTTCAAAAATAGTCAAAAATTCATTCCAGTTAATATTTGCTATTGCGATTTCAGAGGGTAAAATATGGTCTCTATTTCCATCTTCAATTATATCAAAAATTGCCGATAAACATTTTAGTCCTTCTGAGTTATATATTGGTTTGATACCTGATAATGAATGATGTTGTGATAGTTCCGCTGCCATTCCCTGCTCTCCCCATGGCCCCCATTGTATACTAAGATCAAGAATACTAGATTCTTCAAATTTTCTTCTAAAATTAATCAGCGAATCTAGATATGAATTTGCTGAAGAATAGCTATATTGTCCAAAGCTTCCAAATAATGAAGAAATTGAGGAAAACCCAATAAAGAATTTTAACTTATATGGAAGCATGTTTTTTATTGCATTATGTAAATTGATTGCTCCAAAAACTTTGGGTCCAAAAACATTCTCCAAATTCTGTATTGAATGGTTTTTTATTAGTGAATCACTCAAAACTCCAGATGCATGAATTAATCCAACAATTTTAGAGTTTGATCTTATCGTTTGAGAGATAATATCTTTTAATATTGACAAAACTGAATCATAATCAGTAACATCACATTTCATGACTTTTATACTAGAATTGAGCATTGATATCCTCTTCCATATTGATTCGCATTGTTTGGAAGGTAACCCTGACCTAGAAAGCAATATAATGTTACTTATATTTCTGCATTTTATTAACCATTCCGTAATGATTAATCCAAGTGCGCCAGTACCTCCACTAATCAATACTAAATCATTGCTTAATTGATTATCTTTATTTAAAAATTCATTTTTCATTTGAATTGAATATTGGGGTTTTATGATCTTTGAACAAACCTGAATCTTTTCTCTAAAGATATTTATAAAAATATCTTCGGGAAGAGATTTATTTTTCGATAAGATATTGACCAAATTGAAAATAAATAAATTATTTATACAAAAGTCCTCAAATTTCTCAATTACCATGTAATTAATCATTTTTCTCAACTCGATTCTTGCAGTTTTACAAAGGCCTAATATGCCTCCTCCTTTATTATATGACTCTAAAGAAGCATCATTAAATTTGTTAATTTTAACAAACCATACTTTAGTATCAGAGGCACATTCTTTGCATAAAATTACTGCATAATTCATTAATTCAATTTCACTTAAATTGAAATTTTCAATTATAAAAATAATTTTTTCCCAACTTTTAAGCTTGATATTTTTAATTAGTTCATATTCTGATTTAATCATGGAATAAAGGCCTTGTTCACTTTCCAAATTATTTTCTAAACTTATAGATCCAACAAACAATGTTCCCCCATCTTTATTGTAATTTACTTCAACTTCGCTTGAAACCATTTCAATCTCGAATAATTTTTGAATTTCTGTATTCCAAATCAAATTATTTATATTGTTGAAGATTGAAAATTGCTCCATTTCATATTCAATACTACCATTGTCCTTTGAATTCAAGTCATTTATTGTATATTTAGTTGTGAAAAATAGTTTACCTAATTTATCTTTAATTATTGCTGAATCATTGTTAATCTCAAGAATTAAATATTTCTGAGAAATAGAAGAATTAAATAGCTCACCAATCACTGTTTCATAAAAATTAATATCAATGTTCAAATTCATTATTTTCTCAATATTATAAAGTTTTATAAATTCAAATAATAATTGCATTAGTAATGGATGAATGCTATAACCAGTAAATGACTTTGACAAAGATTTGTAATAGTCATCCGTACTGAGAATTAAACACACAGAGTTTCTTTGGGTATTTTCTATATAAGATATTTCGGATTTTAATTTAATGGCTAATTCCTCCATGTAACTCATGATTTTCTGGAATAATTTATTTTCTTTTATATCAAAAGAAAACAATTTTTCGATAGAATTAAATGAATTTTCAAAGTTAATATCTTGAAACTCTATGCTTTCATTTTCCCTAAATGATATTTTTGCATTTGACGTATAAATCAAATCATCTTGTAGTGAAATATTTATTTTAAAACCATTGATATCTTTTTTCTCAACTTCAAGCCAACAAAATTGATAATCCTGTACTTTATAAAAATTCAGATTTTCTATAATGATTTCACAATGATTGTATCTACCCGTTTTCATTAAGTTGAATATTTCATCCTTGAAAATTTCTCTAACTCCACCATTAACGAATTCAACCAATAGCCCCTCTGAATTATCAAAAATTTCAATTGAATTTTGAAAAACAATTTTTCTATTGGTTTCAAATTTAATTAAGGGATTTAGATTAATATTTATCCATGGAAAACGTCTCAATTTACTGAAAATATAATTTTTATTTATTTTTGAATTCGCAACAGTGTTATTTAAAAATGGGTTAATAGTATGATTAATTTGATCAGAAACTAAATTCAAATGTTCAAGCTCTGTAGAAGGCTTTCCAAGCATTGTGCAAAAAATCTTAATTTTTGTTCTGAGCTCTTTTGGGATGCATTGTATAGATAGTTTTGTTAGTATTGGTTGAGGTCCAATTTCCAGTATTATGTTACAATCCAATTCCTTTAATGCATGGTTTATTGCGTCGTAAAACAAAACAGGATGAACTATATGGTCAGACCAATAATTAGAATTCATCAATTCAGAATGACTTATTATTTTGCCTTTTAATGTTGAAACAAACTTGATTTCTGTTCTATTTTTATTCCTAAAAACGATCTTTTCTTCAATGAAATCTTTGTAATTATTCGCTATATTTTGCATTAATGACGAGTGGAATGCATTCTCAATATTTAGAAACTTTCCACTACCACCTATTTTTTGTAATATTGACTGTAATACGAACTTTCTTCCAGAAATTACAACACTATTCGGTCCATTAATTGCAGCTAATGATACAGTATTCTTATCAAATTCTTTAAGAACTTCCATAATACTGCTTGCAGATCTTCTCAAGGCGAGCATTCCTCCATCACTAATATTCGAATTCACTAATAGTTTTGATCTATGTATTATCATTTTTAATGCCTGGTCTAATTCAATTGCGCCTACAATAACTGCAGCAGAATATTCACCTAAGGAATGGCCAATTACTAAATCTGGACTTATTCCTCTGCTTTCTAATAATTTTGCTAGTGAATACTCAAGTGAAAAAATTGCAACCTGCGAATATTGGATATCATTTATATCACAAAAACCGGCATCTTTTGATCCAGCTTTTGTTTTTGGTGTTGATACACCTGGGTACAAAATGTCAATTAATGATTCTGGCAAATATTCATCAGCATATTTCGCGCAATATAACATTGATTTTCTAAATACAGGTTCATTGTCAAAAAGCTCTTGCCCCATGTTTTCAAATTGACTCCCTTGTCCAGTAAACATAAATACAATTCCTTTTGAAACTTGTTTGTCAACTTTATCAATTGCTAAATATTTTTGATTTCCTAAAAGATATTCTGATTTGTTTTTTTGAATGATTACATGAGCATTGGTTCCACCAAATCCAAACGATGAAACTCCTCCTAGACTAGCTGAAACTGTTAAATTTGTATTTGGAATGGTTACGTTAAAATTAGAGCTGTCGATTAATGGATTTAATGTTTTAAAATGAAGATTTTTTGGAATAATAGAATTATTTAGCATTAATATCATTTTTATTACTCCTGCAACTCCCGAAGCTCCCTCTAAATGCCCAATATTTGTTTTTAATGCTGTAATATAGATTGGATTCCTATTTCTAGAACCAAAAACATTTTTTATTGCTCCGAACTCAATAGGATCGCCCAATTGCGTTCCTGTTCCATGTGCTTCAATTATTGAAATTTCATTTATTTTTAATGATGAATCTTCAATAGCAGATTTGATTACTTTCTGTTGTGCAGGACCATTTGGAGCAGTCAAAGAAGCGCTTCTTCCATCTTGATTTACTGCAGAACCTTTAATAAAGCCATAAATATTAATATTAGATTCGTTATTTAAGGTTTTTTTATCGAAATCTCCATTCTTTCTTTCATCAACTCTACATAGTACCAATGAACAGCACCCTTCCCCTCTTACATATCCATCTGCATCTTTATCAAAAGCTTTACAACTTCCTGTTATTGATAACATCTTTGATTTTGAAAATACAATATATGCCTGTGGAGAAAGTAGTAAATTCACTCCAATTACAATAGAAATATCGCACTTTCCCCACCTAAGATTTTGTATAGCTATATCCAATGCAACAAGTGATGATGAACATGCAGTATCAACAGTCATGGAAGGTCCATTCAAGCCTAAGTTATAGGAAATTCTATTAGAAATAAGAGAAAGTGCGACGCCAGTTCCAGTAAAAGGAGAAATAAATTCTGACTCCGATATTTTATTCCCTTGCATTAATGCCCAATCACTATTTCCACAACCAACATAAACACCAGTTCGAGTTCCTCTTAATTTAAGCAAATTTAATTTTGCGTCTTCAATTGATTTTACTCCAAGCATAAGAGAAAGTCTCTGTTGAGGATCAATGGTTGCTGCTTCTGAAGGAGAAATTCCAAAATAATGCGCATCAAATTTATCAATGTCGTCGATAAATGAACCATAATTTGCATAATAATATGGACCAAAATTCTCTGGATTTAAACTATAATATTTTTTATGATCCCACCTAACCACTGGTATATTCGAAACACAATTAATACCGTTAGTTAATACCTCCCAAAATGAGTCAATATCCTCACTTGATCCGGGAAATTTGCAAGAAATACCAATTATAGCAATATCTAAAATTTTATTTTTTTTAATATTGTTAACTGTGGCATCGTATGGTTCGCCTTTAACTCTTACACCCTCTAATTCACTAATAATATAGTCTTTTACATTGATTATTGTTGGGTAATCAAACATTAATGTGGTTGGAAGCAATATTCCTGTATTCTTAGATAAAATATTTCTGAATTCAACTGCAGAAAGTGAATCAACCCCAAATTCATGGAGTGGTTTATCTAATACTTTTGGATCATCAATATCTATTGTGTCATCTGTAACAACCGTTTTTATAATTTCTTTTAGTAAATTGATTATATAATCTTCCATTTCAATTGTGGTCTTCTTTTCCAATATCTCCATAATTTTTGATTTATTGTATTTTTCCTTAATAATTTCTTTATTTGTTATATCTGACAACATACTAGAAGCTTTACTAGGAATATTTGAAATTAATTTCCCCCAATCAGCATCCACTACACAAATTACACTAGGAACAGATTTTCTCTTAGATTTTATAACAGTATTTAGTACTTTTACTGCAGTAAGTTTATCCACGCCAGTTATTCCCGTAGAATTAAACTTTAAACCTAAACTATTTGATGCCATTCCTTCTCCCATCCAAGGGCCCCATTGAATGCTGAAACTGTTCATTCCAAGGCTTGATCTGTAACCCATAAAAGAGTCTATGAAAGAGTTAGCTGCAGAATAATTGGCTTGTCCAACATTCCCTAATAAGCTTGCAATCGAAGAGTATGAAATTAAAAATTCCAATCCAATACAGAGATATTGAGTTGTGTAATGAATATTCCATAGACCCTGAACCTTAGGGCTATATACATATTCAAATGATTCTTTTGAGTGCTCAAATAATTTTCTATCATCTAATACACCTGCAGTGTGAATTATGCCAATAATTGGTCTATTTTCTGGATTATTAAATATAGCATTTAAAGTCGAAGTAGTAGAATAAATATTTGAAATATCACAGTTAATATATTTAACTCCAGGTAGATTTGAAACCCCTTTAATCGAATTTCTAGATAATACAATTATGTTTTTCAATCCATTGAAATAAAGCCATTTTGTTGTGAATTTTCCCAATGATCCACTTCCGCCTATTATTATTACTATTCCACTCTGAATACCTGAAGAATCGTTAAGAGTTTGATTTTTGATTATTACTTTACCAATATGATTTGCCTTTTGCATAAATCTAAATCCAGAAATACATCCAGATTGCTCAATTAAATTGCCGGAACCTTCTTTAGAGTTTTCCATTGGAAATTCTATTAAGGGAATAACAGATTCTTTGCATTCTTCAATTCTTATCTTAATATTATTTAAAACTGTTCCAAACCATGTGGGGTCGTTCATTATCATATCATCAAGAGCTATAATTTCATATCTAATTCCGGGTTTTAATAAAAACATATCATCCCTCGACATAATATTGATTTTCCCCAGTTCAATAAAGACACCGTTATCTGAAAGTAACTCCAAACTGTAATCAATATATTTCCCAGATAAACAATTTATCACAACATCCAATTTTTCTCCTCCAAGTAAACTTTTCATATCCATTTTGAATAATTCTGGATTTCTACTGGTTGAAATATTTCTCACTCCTAAGTGTCTTAAATATTTTTCTTTTTTATTATTTCCAACGGTTGCAAATACTATGGCACCAACAGAATTACAGTAATTTACTGCAACTAATCCAACTCCCCCCGAGGCTGCATGTATCAATACACGATCCCCTTTCTTTATATTGTAAACTTCTCTGAAGCAAATGTCAACAGTGGAGTAAATTGTTGGAATTGATGAAGCCAAAGAAAAGTCGCAATTCTTTGGCTTCAAACAACAAGTATCACCAATTGCAACTATAAATGTTCTTAAGCAACCAGGAACCATTGCAAATACTTCATCCCCAGGTTTTAAGTGTTTTATACCTTTTCCTACAGAAACTACTATTCCTGAACAGTCTGAACAAGGAGGTCCAGGGTCTCCTGGATATAAACCCATAACATTCAATACATCTCTGAAATTTAACCCTACAGAACATATTCTCAATAATACCTCATTTTCTTTCAAAGTTGGCTCATTTTTCATCAAAGAAAAATCGTCCAAATGATCAAAGAACTCGATTAAATCTAACTTTTTCTCTGAACTTATATATGGAACGTTCGACTGCACTTCTGTTAACAAATTGGTTAATGAACCTCTTTCAGTTAACTTAATATTAAAAGGCCCATTCATTGGAATTGAAATTTTTGATAAACGAGGAAATGATAGTTTTCCATTCCTAAATATATATTCTGACTCATTGGAATTTAAAATATATGAGAATATTTTAGACAAATTTTCCTCGTTTATATCTTTTGCTCTACAGTCTAAATCAAGCAAGTTAAGGGAGCACTTATTGATTTCATATCTAGCTGATCTCACAATCCCCCAAATGTCAGAACCAATAAATTTGTAATTATCGTTATTATGTGGAATTGTGCCTTCTGTGATGAAGAGAACAACTGATGAATGAGAAATTTTAGGGTTAGTTCTAAATAGTTTTTCAAGCCAAGTTATAACTTCAATACCGTAATTATATAATTTATTTTTGATTTCAGAGCTTATTACAAATGCAATATTTACTTCACCAGAATAATCAATTAACTCTTCTAAAATACTGTCTTTGTTACGATAATATCTAATTAAATTATTTATTTTACTTTCTTTCTGAATTTCATCATTTAAATATACCATCCATTTTTTATTTTCAATTTGATCTAAAGCGTTATTTATATTTTTCCAAGTTAATCCCCAGCAATTTTCAATATATTCTAAGTTATCTCGTCTTGAATTTTTAATCGTTTTTTTATTCATATCAACAGTACTTCTATACCTGATATTTTTAATATCAAATAATAGATCATTATTTACTGAGTATATTTTTATATCTGAAATGACTTCATTTTTGTTATTTGTGGGCATTATTTTGCAATGCACCCATGCTTCTAATATTGGTTCTTGGTTAGTATAATATTCAATTTCATATATTGAGAATGGAACCCAAATCGTTTTATCTAAATTGTTTTTTAGGTCACAAATACAAACAAAGCAGGATTGTAGTGCTCCGTCTAATAGAGCTGGATGAATTCCAAACCCCAACTCTGCTAAAGAAAGAATTGGCTCTTGGGAATTTAAATTATCTGATATTTTGATATTTTCATCGTTACTTAGTTTAATTTTTGTTAAAGATTCATTTCCTTCTTTCAACTTCCAAGCTTTTTTTATTGTCTTGAATTTCCTGCCATATTCAATTCCCAAATCCTTTAATTTGTCATAAATCAATGAAATATCCAGCTCTTTTTCTATTGAACTCTCTAAATTCTTTATTGAAAATCCTTCATTTATCATTTCTGCCCGAATTGTATCTCCCACATCAGATGATACATGAATTAACTCACTATTACTTTCATCAATCGTATCTGAAAACATTCTTATTCTATTCATTTGTAAATCAAAGTCGCAAAATAATCTATTTTCGCTATTTTCTTCTAATATTAATGGTTGCTCAAATAATATATTATTTAGATTTATCTTCAAAGTTCTTTTTGAAAACGATATTTGTTCGTTATTACAAATATATATATGTTTTGCAACAGCCAAAATCATTTCAATATATGCAGCAGCAGGCCAAACTACTTTATTACCAATTATGTGATCAGAAAACATTTTTTTAATTTCATAATTAATATTCAGTACAAATTTTACTGTACTGAACATTTTATGATTAATATTTCTGAATAATTTAATTCCATCTAATTCTGAATCTTTGCTATCAACCATTTCCATTATTTTTTCACTTATCAAAGGATGTTTAGTATCCGACCAAGAATAGTTTTTACGTCTTAAAAATAAATTTTTTGAATGAAATAGTTTATTTTCTTCTATTATATTATCAGAATTACACTCAATTATCACATGTGCATTTGTTCCCCCAAAACCAAAAGATGAAATACCTCCATAAATAATGTTTGAATCACTCATAATATTTACTGGTTCTTTATCCTTAGGTATTATTACATTAAAGTCACTCAATTCAATCAATGGATTTAATTTCTTAAGATTTGGAATTGGAACTGCCACTCTATAGTTAAGAACTAAAAGTAATTTAATTAAACCTGCAATACCTGCAGCACCTTCCAAATGTCCAATATTAGCCTTTATTGCACCTAAATATAGTGGAGAATATCTTAATAAACATATATTACTATCAAAAATATCATCTTCCAAATTAAAGACAGATTTTATGGCATTATATTCAATTGGATCACCCAATTTGGTTCCAGTTCCATGTGTTTCAATGTAAGTTATTTGTGAAGGATATAGATTTGCTTTTTCTATAGCATGCTTTATCACAAACTGCTGAGAAGGGCCATTTGGAGCAGTAATAGTAGCACTTTTTCCATCTTGATTAACAAATGTAGATTTAATTACCCCAAATATTTTTTCATTATTTTTCCTTGCCTCAGATAAATATGTTAACAATAATGAAATAGAACCTTCCCCTCTTCCATATCCATTTGCTTTTTCATCAAAAGTTCTACAAATACCATCAGAAGAAAGCATATTTGCAGCACAACACGCCAAAAATGGTTGAGGAGCTAGAAGAAGGTTTACTCCTCCTACTATAGCAAATTTAATGTTATTACTTTTAATTTTATCGCATGCTGAGTCCAAGGCAACAAGAGAAGATGAACAAGCAGAATCTATTGTAAAAGAAGGTCCCTGAAAACCGAATATATAAGAAATTCTGTTTGATATTATAGATGGAGATATGCCTGTACCTGTGTAAGGTCCGGGGGGGATTGATGCAGTATTAGTCAAAATTGTCCAATCATTTGAAGAACAACCAATAAAAACGCCTGTATACGAATTTAATAATGTTTTTAATTCAATTTTTGAACTTTTTATGGCTGATAATGTTGTTTCCATTATTATTCTTTGTTGAGGATCAATGTAATTCACTTCGCTCGAAGATATTTTAAATTCGGAATTATCAAAAAATTCGATTCCATCAATAAAACTTGCAGAATCAGTATACATTTTTCCAGTATTTGCCTGTTCAGAAAAAAATAACCCACTGTCCCATCTATTATAAGGTATTTTTCCCACGCTACATTTAGAGTTTGTTAACAAATCCCAAAGTTCACTCAAATTAGTAATATTTTTTGGTAAACGACAAGCTGCTCCTATAATAGCAATGTTACAATCCATGCAAATTTTGTTCATATTCATCTCTTCTTGATTTTTTTGTATTTTGCAGTTTGAAATAGATTTTTGATTAATATAAGTTGCAAGGCTGGATATTGTGGGATAATCAAATAATAAGGTATGTGGAAGAGGAACACCAAAATTATGGCATAAAGAGTTTCTAATTTCAATTGCCATTATGGAGTCAACACCAAATTCCATTAAAGATTGTTCGAAATTAAGATCAATCTCAAAACCGAGAATTTCGCTACAAATAGAGATAATTTTATTTGAAATAAAATCTATTCTATTTTCAATAGGTATTGAATTAAGAATAGTGTTTTTATCTTCAATTGTACTATTGGATGCTATTTCTTTGAGAATCCCATAATTAATTCCTGTTTCAACGATAAATTTATCCCAGTTTGCAGGCTGAATTGCCAAAATTGGAGGGAAATTTTTGGAATCAAAGATTATATTTTTGATAACTTCAAATGCCAAATCATTATATATTAGGGATAGACCAACATTTATTAAATTTTTATGTAGTAATTCATTCTCTGCTGCCATTCCTTGTTCAGCCCAAGCACCCCATTGTAAACTATTTCCCGGTAGACCTATTTTTCTTCTAAATTCAATAATAGAATCCAATACTGAATTTGCACCAGCATATGCAGATTGACCAATATTACCAATAAGCGAAGTTATAGAGGAAAATGCGATAAAATATTGACAATTCTTCTTTAAAGTTGTATTGTGTAAATTAATCATTCCTTTTATTTTAGGTAAATTTACATTAACAACAATATTATCAGTTAAATTATGAATATTTGAATCAATTAAAGAACCTGCAATATGCATTATGCCAATCTTTTTGTATATTTTACTATACTTTTCAATTATAGTTTCAATTTCTCTTTTGTTCGAAATATCACACTTTTCAATCATTATTGTTTTTTTTATCTTTTCACTTAATTGCTTCCATTTTTTTGATTTATTAATTGATACTTCTGGATTCCTACTTAATAGTAATATATTTTTCATTCCAATAACTTTTATTAGCCATTCTGCAAGAACTAACCCTATCCCACCTAAACCTCCGGTAATAATATGGCAAGTTTCCTGTTCAGTCTCCAATCCCTTTGAAATAGAATTTTTAAACTCATATTGTGCTAATCTAGGAACAAGTATTTTATTTTTTCGAATTAAAAACTCAAATTCTCCATTTTCATATAAATTATTAACACTTGATAGAATATCTATTATTTGACTCAATCTTTCGATATTTAAATCATTATTCTTCGAGTAAAATTGATTAATATCAATATCTATCAGTAAAATTCTTAGTCTGGAACTTAGCTCTATTCTTAATGATCTCAAAAATCCCCATACCCAAGCCATGTTCATATTAATTATATCATTTTCTCCCTCTAAAATGGTATTGTTAACTAAAATAAAAACATTAATTGGGTTATTTTTGTTACTTAAATTTACTATCTTTCTTAATATTTGAATAAAAATCATTTCCCAATTCTCAGATTTCGAAAAACAATTTTCATCTAATTCTTTTATTTGACAATTATCTAAAATCGGAATGCACATATCAATCATTATATTTCTTTTATCATTTAAATCCATTTTGTCATTTAAAAATTGTAAATAATTTACAATTCTACCATTAGTAATTAGTTCCGTTTTTAAAATTGTACTATTTTCTTTGAAATCAATACATAAAATATCTAATGATTTTTGCTCAGATATCAAATTATACTCTAATTCTCTCCAAATAGTGTTCCAAACTAGTCCAGTTGAGCTACTGATGATGTTTGTTTTGTTTTCAGTAAAAATTATGTCTAATTTTAAGAATAATTCAGTTAATTTAATACAATAATCATCAATTAACCATAGGTTAATATTAGCATTATTGCCTTCATTCAATCTACATACTAATTCCAATGTGTATCTTGAATTACAATATATTTTCTCAATATCAAAGATACTGGAGAAAGTAATGTTTGAAAGTTTCTCAATCCTTAGTTTTGATGCGTCTATTTTTTTACTCAATATTTCCATAGATGAATACATCATTAAAATAAAAATGACTGGATGAATACAAAGAGCAGATTCAACTCCTAATTCAGAGATAGGAAGTTTAAATCTAATATGTATCGATGATTCATAAACCTCAATAGAATTAATCAACTCTAAAATATTTCTCGAGATTTTTGTCCGTTTAAATTCATTATCTTTTGCTAACTCGATTTCTGGAATGTAAACTTGAATTTTACTTACAATATTTTTTTTGATTGAAAGTGATGAAAGTGGAAGTCCATTGAAAGCACACAACATAAATTGATCATTGTTATTAATTAATCTCAATTTTGAATATTTTTCAAACTTTCGCAACCTGTTTGCAGTTTCGTATATTCCTTCTATTGATTCAATTTTTAATTCCAAAATATAGTTATATTTTTCGTTGACTATACTTAATAGAGATTCAAACAATAAAGAAATGATAATGTAAGACTGTTGATGAATTATTCCACTTCCATAAGATAAATCACAATATTTATCTATGAATAATTTAGAAATTTCAATGTTATAACCTGAATCTAAATTTGAATCAATAAGTGGATGAATGTTATTATTTAATTGAAATCTTTCAATTTTTGAAACTTTATTAATCTTCCCAAAATTATTTATTAAATTACCAATAAAAAATAAATAATTATTTTCGTTATTTATTATTGTTTTTGATCTATTCCTTAATTGATTCTTTTGTTTATTATTAAATTTGAAAGGATTCATTATTATAACGTGAGCATCAAAAAATTTAATTTCTTCAAAATCGAAATGATAATTTTCTGTTTCATTAATAAAATAAATATTTAAGTTTGAATTTGTAGGATATAATGTATTATTACTACTAAAGTATTCTTTAAGAAGTTTTATTCCACTTTTAAATGTAATTTTGTTTTTGATAGTGTCAAATAATATTGAACCAAATTTATTTGTAATTAAAGCATCAACGATAATTTCGTAATTAATCAAAGTATAATATACTGAGTAATAAAATGCAAATAATAAAAGGCTCATTTCTTCAATTTTAAATAAATGTTCTCTATTTCCATTTATTATTTCGCAAAAATCTAGATTTGAAATCTCAAGGATTATATTTGTACAATATCTAAAGTAATATTCAAATACCAAATTATTAGTAATTAACTCACGAAGTTGAGTTATATAGCCAATATTTATTTTAGAATTATTCTCAAATTCTTCATTTAATATTGCAACTACAGTATTATTTACCATTGGTATTTTATTTTCATTCTTGACTTCCAATATTGCATGAGCATTTGTTCCTCCAAAACCAAATGATGAAACTCCACCAATTAAAGAGTTATTATTTGAAATAGAAAGTTTAGTTTGAGAGCTTGGGAAAACAATATTAGTATCCACAACATTAATGTACTTATTAAGATTTTTTAAATGTAAATTTGGTGGTGAGATTCCATTTCTTAATGAAAGTAACAATTTAATTAATCCTGCAATTCCTGCAGAAGCTTCCAAGTGTCCAATATTTGTTTTCAGTGCTCCAATTACCAATTTATTTGGCGATAATTGATAAACTGTTTTTATTCCATCTATTTCTATTGGATCGCCTAATTGTGTGCCGGTGCCGTGGGACTCTATCATTGATACTTCACAAGGCTGAACTGCTGAACTTAATAACGAATTAGAAATTACATCAGATTGAGATTTGCTACTAGGAGCAGTTAGAGAGGCAGTTCTTCCATCTTGATTAACAGCAGTTCCTCTTAAAATTCCTAAAACTTTTCCACTGGATTGACTTTCCACATATTTTTTCAATACAATTGTTGCAACACCTTCGCCTCTTCCAAATCCATCAGCAGATTCATCAAATGATTTACAAAGGCCGTCTTTACTTAACATATTTGCTCTAGAAAATACAGAAAACAAATTTGGGGTTGTTATTAATTGGGATCCAGATACTATTGCCATTTCACATATTCCAAGAGAAATATTTTTATATGCAGCATCAATTGCAACAAGAGATGAAGAACATGCAGTATCTATTGTTATTGAAGGTCCTTTGATGCCATAAAAATATGAAAGTCTATTTGAAGCGATAGAGCTTGCAGTACCGGTACCAATGTATGCGGAATTACATTCTCCCCTGTTTAATAAATGCAAAGACCAGTCAATATTACAAAACCCAACAAATACTCCTGTGTTAGTATTTTTTATTGTTTCAATAGAATTTCCTGAAGAAATTAAGGCTTTCATTGTTGAATTTAAAAGATGCCTCTGTTGAGGATCCATTGTCCGTGCTTCTATGTTAGATATTCCAAATAAGTTATTATCAAATAATTCAATTCCTAGAATTGTTGACATATTCTTTGTAACACTTCCATTCTCTATTTCACAGTTCCACCTATTATAAGGAATAATATTGACACCGCACTTTCCCAATATAAGTGATTTCCAGAAAGAATATAGGTTATCAATTCCAGTAGGAAGTGTGCAACTAGCACCGATTATTGCTATTTGAAATTTCTGTATTTTATCAGAATTAATCTTTAAATCGTTTTTGTTTATCTTAATTTCTTTCGATGAAAAATTCTCAATATATCCAATTAATTCATTAACCGTAGGATAATCAAACAATACAGAAATTGGTAACTTAATATCAAATTCTTTAGATAGAATATTTCTTAATTCAGTAACTTCAAGCGAATTAATACCGAGCTCACGAATTGGAGTCTCAAATAATTGTTTATAATCAATATATTTCTTAGAGTCCAGTTTAATTATATTAAATATTATTTTTTTAATTCTTTCCGCAGTTCTGCTATTATTGATACATCCATTTTCGTTATTGGAATTAACTAAATCATTATTCAAAAATCTATTAAAATTTTTCAATATATTGTTTCTGAAAATAGAAATGTTTATAGAATAAAAATTTTCATTATAGTCTATATTCTTTAATTCCATTATTACTTTAGATCCATTTTCTATAATTTTCTTTGCCAAATGTTTATATTCTTTTTTTTTATTATTCTGAGAAAATATGAAGAAAATTTCCTTGAAATTTCGTTGAAGCAAATTAATTAAATAATAAATTTCCCAGGCGTTTTTTACTGAGAAATAATCTCCATCAATTATTAATGTATTAAAATCATCACTTAAAAACCTGTTGATAATTGAATCATGGAAAATATTATATAATGATTTTAATTTATTGTCTTTAAGTAAATTAAATAATTGCTTGTTGAAAGAAAAAATACTTTCAGATAAATGAGATCTAATTGAATATACAATTTCACCCAAATAATTATTCTTTGTGCTATTACTGATTAATAATTGGCCAAGATCAGCTTCTTGAATTAAAATCGGAAAGCTAAAAATCATTTCTTTATTTAATCGATTTAAAATAAAGTCTTCATGCATAAACTTTTCGTTAAATATAGTATCAACGATGGAAATATTTTCATATGTAATATTTTTTTTTTCGACTTGATCCCTGCTAACTATATTCTTCCTATTTATTGATATTATCTTTCCATCAGTATTTATCATATTTATTAATTCTGAACTTAAAACATCATCAGTAATTATTAAATCTCCGTTTAAATCACCTGAAGACTTTTTAATATCAATATTAAATTTCATAATCATTTTTCTGACCCCAATAGACAATAAAAAGTTATACTCGTTTTTATCGTTTACGAATACAGTAAAGTTGGCCTTGAAATGTAATAAATAATTAATTAGACTTAAACAAATTCCATTCAACTTTGAAAATACTAAAATAAAATTTTTTCTTCTTAATTTTGAAATAACTTCAATTATTTTTTCAATTATAGGATTATGTAGTAATAATACTGCTGATTCTTCATGAGATAAAAACGATGGCTTTTTGAAAATTAGCTTTGAAGTTATGATAAATTGATTTAGTTTATTTTTTACAATTCCAATAATATTATCTCCAATTTTAAAATCAAAAACTTCGTTTCCATGTGATACCACGGTTCCAGAGATCCCAAATATTTTTTCTCCATAACATTCTGTAATAGAGAACGCTTTTACCATTATTTCAATATCTTTACTACCTGGAATTTTTTTTGAAACTGTATTTAATGACTCAAAAGATGAATTAAAGAATGAAAAATATTGCATTAAATTTATTTCTAATATACATCTCCATGATTTTTTTACAGTATAAGTATCATTGTTAAATTCTTCCTTTAAGTATTCCGAAAATATTCGAATGGGAACTTTATAGTTGTTAGATTTCAGATTTGACTGGCATAGTAATTCTATAATTTTATTATTAGAAAAACCCAAATTATTAATAAATGATGTTATTTGATTTATTCTATAATAATCTATATCAACAAATTCTGAAATGTAATTAATAATTTGATGGATCATATTGCTTGACGATTTGATTGAAAATTTCTCCAATTTAATTTCATCTATGCTTATACTATTTAATGGAATAACTAAATTATTTTTAAATTTTTCTAATTCATCAATATTTTGCTCAAATAGATCACAATCAAATTTGTAATCATTTTCCATAACACATTCAGAGACAAGCGACATTCTTTGAGAGAAAACGTCCAAAAATATCTCTGTTTCCTTAGTTAATCCATATTCAATAGACCACAATGATACAAAAAACTTGTTTTCACAATTTTCATAAGTTAATAGATAGATATCTTTTTCATCAAAATTATAGTGTTTAAACCCAGTTATTTTGACTCCAAACTCATTATTCTGTAATTTATTAGAAAGATAAATAAATTCTCTAAATATATTTTCAATACTTGGATTAAAATCATTTAACAGTAATGAATTGCAACTTTCAAAAATTCCTAAAGCATTTTTTGTATATACATTGATTAGTTTATTTGATTCATCTAATGGGAAATTTTTCCAGTTGAATGATTTTCTTTTATATTTATTAAATTTAGATTTTTGAATATGTGAAACAATTCCGAAATCACTTTTTTCTACCCCAACTATTACGTGAGAGTTTGTACCACCAAACCCAAATGATGAAACTGATCCAAATACAATTTCTCCTTCAAAAGGAATCGACTTATTTGTTTTTGGAATCAATAGTTTGTCAGAACCAAAATTAATATACGGATTTAATTTTTTCAAATGTAAATTTCCAATTATTATTGAATCGTGGAGACTTAAGACTACCTTAATTAATCCAATTATACCAGAAGCTGCAAAAGTGTGTGCAAAGTTTGATTTGCCACTGCTTACCATTAATTTTGATTTTCTTTCAATAGAACAATAGGCTTCATACAATGCACTCACTTCAATGGAATCTCCTATTAATGTACCTGTTCCATGGGCTTCAACAATTGTTACCATTGAAGGATGAATGTTTTCCATACTAGAAAGTGCTAAATTAATACATTTAATTTGTGAATTCTTGCTTGGAGATGTCAGTGTTGCAGATTTTCCATCTTGGTTTATGGATGTACCCGAAATAAAGCCAAAAATTTTTTTATTTTTCTTCTCACATTCATTCTGAGGTAAAATGACTATTGCAGCAACCCCTTCTCCAATCCCAAAACCATCCGCAGAATAATCAAAGGACTTACATCTTCCATCCTTAGATAACATCATTGATTTAGAAAAAACAATAAATGTTGTTTTATTTAATGTCATTTGTACTCCTGCCACAATTGCACCAATACATTGTTTTTTTTCTATATTCTGTATTGCGATATTAAGAGAAACAAGTGAAGATGAACATGCAGTATCTATTGTTAATGATGGCCCACTTAGGCCAAAAGAATAAGAAACTCTATTTGAAATTAGGGACGATGAAGATCCTGTACCTGAATATGCATTTATCGAGTCCAAATCAGATAATTTTTCCATCCAATCATTAGTGCAACTGCCAACAAAAACTCCTAGATTTAAATTGATCAATTCATTTAAATTTCTATAGCCAGAGATATGTAAAGCATCAAAACAAACTTCCAATATTAGTCTTTGTTGTGGATCCATTTCCATAACTTCATATTCATTTATCTTAAATAATTCATTATCAAATAAATGTGCATTTTCAATGAATGTTCCATGATTACAGTAGCTTTTCCCAACAATTGATTCATCAACATTTAAAGAATCTCCCCAATCAATTCTATTTATTGGTGCCTCTATTACAAAGTCTTTATTTTCTTTAAGTAAGTGCCAAAACAATCCTATTGAAGTATTTGCAATGGGAAGTTTGCTTGCCATACCAACAATACACATTCTAGAATTCTTGTCTGAATAATTATCAATTATTGAAGTTAATATTCTTGGATTTTTAAAGTATTCATTAAGATTTAACAAAGTATGTTTTTCTTTAATTTCGTTTTTTATTTCATCATCTAAATATATTTCCATATTTCCTTCAAATTGATAACTTAGGCTTAGTAAATAACTAACAATAGAATTAATGGAAGGATAATCATAGAGTAAAGAAGGTGTAATATCATAATTTAATTTTAAGGATAATTTATTTACAAGTTCAACAGCACTTAATGAAGAAATACCAATGGAAAATAATGAATCATCCAAATTATATTCCTTTTTATCCGGAATTAATGAATTTACTGATTTGATTACCATTTCTTCAATCCACTTTTTTCTATGAGATAAATTAATTGAAAAGTTATTATACTCTATATAATTGTCGAATTTTTTTTTCGTTACTTTTTCAATAAATTTAAAATAAAGGAGTTTTTTAGACAGTTCAATATTGTTTTTGGACAATTGGTTAATAACATTTTCATCAATATTAACAGGAACTATAGTACCATTTATTCTTTTATTAATAATTTCATCAAATATATTCGTGAGGATTGATATATTATTAATATAATTTCCAACTGAAAATAGTTGACTTCTATCACTATTCATATAATTAACAAAGTTATTATCCAGAATATAAGTTGAAGGTATTTTTAATAATTCACTTCTGTGGTATGTTAGATTTTCAAATAAAATTTCGGGAAACCCAAATTTCAATTTCGCATCAAATTTTCCAAGAATGCCTGAAATTATCACAAAAAATGTTAGATCATATCCTCTCTTAGATACTAAATTATGAATATTCCAAGGAATCAGTGAATAATTATCTATTTGTTTTTGGTTAATTTCTTCAGTCATTTTATTGAAATTTATATGAATATAGCCTGTCAGTTCTAAGTTTTGATATTCCTCTATGATCTTATTAAAACAACTTTCTAATGAAACTTTGTATGGTAAACAATTAAAAATTTTAACACTTTCACCAAATTCAGAAATTTCTTTAGGAAGGATTTTGTTATCAGTTTTGAGTAATGCAATTTTTTTGTATCCCAAAATAAATAGACTATTTATTATTGAAGTAATATTCCTCATTTCACCACTTACAAGTATTAGCCCGAAATTTTTATTAAAAATCATTTTTTGAACTTTGTTTGCCGAAGGAGCTAATAGCTCCAACTTTATTTCATCCGATTCTTCGTAATTAGAGCATGGAATGGCTTTGTTACATTCGTCAAAAACCTCATAATTTAATCCAATTTTGTATAAACAAACTTTATCTCTATTAAAAGAATCAAATAATTCCAAATCATCACCTATTTTAATTAAACAATCTGGCCTATATGAACTATCAAAATTCAATTTACAACCCAACGACAGAATTACTTCCGAAAATTTATAATCATAATTTCCAATCACTGTTATTTTTTTGGAAATATTTCCTGAGTTAAGTTTTATAATATTATATATTACGGTAAAACAAATTTCATAGATTTTTGCTAATTCCTTTTTACTACCGATTTCAATAACAATATTTTTAAACAAATTAAACGGAATTTTATCGAAAATACGTTTAATTTTTGGAATTTCAATGTTTTTAAGGCCAAAATAGTTATTTTCATATATTCCAATTTTTATATTATCAGTTCCAGAAATAACTAAATCACCTATTTGTATTTTATTCTCAATACTTTTAGAATTCTTTACAATTATGTACTGACCCAAAATATCTTTATTATTAGAATAAATAATTTTCCCAAATAATTTGGAGCTTTTATCTATTATATTTTCAACCATAATTATTTCCATCAACTCGTTTCTATTCTTTCGTAAATCAAAGACTTTACAATCAATTAATTTCAGGCAATTTAATGATAAAAAGTAAAGAGTCCCATTTCTATAACAACATTCATCAGTTTTTTGATCATTGATTATATCATTAATAAAAAGAACATTATCTATATCTGTCATAAATACCTTGCAGCAATTTTTCATTTTTTCTTTTATATCTTTGAACATTTTCCAAATTATCATAGAATTATTATTTATTTTATTACTCTTAAAAATGACTGCTTCCATTGTTATTATCCACCAGGTAATAAAATTAGATTGTTTTTTTTGAAAATGGTCATTTGAGATAATTATTTCTTCAATCAGCTCAATTTCACTCTTAGTTGTTTCAAATTTATTTTCAATCGGAAAAAATGTGTTAATGATTAAAATTTTTGAGGATGAAATTGAGTTAAGAAGAATTAAAAGATCTTCTGTATTTTCAACTAAATAAACATTTTCAGAGGAATTTTCTTTAATTAAATCAAATATTTTAGAACAACCGAATACAATTATTACATCGTAATCATTCTTCTTATTATTATTTTGTGATTCCCATTCTTCTTTTAATAACGCAAATCTTTCATTATTAAACGATATTAGGTTATTTCCGAAATTAACTTTTTCAAGCCTAACTTTTCTTATTTCAACGATAGGGAAATCAAATTGGTTTTCATGATAAATTAATATATCTCCCATTATATGATCCTCATCATGTTCTTTAAGAATAGAATGAACATAAATGTTACCTGAAAAATCAATAGTAGATATTTTAAGTAAATTAATTTTAGTAGGGAAATATGAATCAAAATTTTTATTTTGATTATTTTTCATTGCAGTTAATATAATTGTGTGAAGAGATGATTCAAGTATCATTGGATGAATGCTCATAAATCTGTCAATAGAATAGAATAACCCCATGTTAATTCCAGATGGTTCTAAGTCTACTTCCATATTAAAGTTAAGTTTTAATAATGAAAATGACTCCTTTTCTTCAAATACTATTTTCTTAATACATTTACTTGAACTAGCAACTGGGAAGGATTCTTCAATTATTGTCCCATAGATTTTTTCAAATGATAAAGATTTAGAATTTTCTAATTTGTGTATCGGAAATCTGGCTAATTCCTTTTTATTGATAACTTTATCTAAATTTAATTTTGCAGTCAAGTGTTTTATTGAATCAATTTGCAAGTTTTTAGAAATGTGACCTCCTTTGGTTGAAGTAATTGAAATATTTCTGTAAAAATCTAAAGTAAAAATTAGCGTAGGTCTATCTTTCTCATCTTTGTAAGTGCTAAATTCCCATGGAATGCCAAAATTAATTTCTTCAAGCTGGAAAGTGGGTAAAACGGATTCAATCGTTCCATATTCATTATCAATAACCCGAATTTGAGAATTAATGTCGTTAATGGCAGCAGAAATAATTTCAATCAAACCCATTTCTGGCATGGCAAATACACCATTTCTTTTATGCCCATGGAAAAATTTAGATATATTCTCCGTTAAAGGAGTTGCATAAATAAATTTTGTATCTTTAGAGAAATTTTTTGAATCAATTATTGGTGAAAAGATTCTTTTTAACAAAAATGGATGAGACATTTCATTCCATCTGAGATTATTACTGACTTTTAACAAATTATCCTGATTTGAAAATTTATTAGGGATTTTCAAATTAAATCTGTAACTTATATCTTCCAGAACTTCCTTTGGATTAACATTAGAATCCTTTTTCATCAAAGAATAGAACTGGGCATTATTTAATATTCCTTTCGAAGAAGCCTTTAATAATGGAGTTAGTAATGGAGTAGGGCCGATCTCTATAATATTTTCTACTTTGAAGCCATTTTTGACTATGAATTCTTCTAAATTTTCTATCATTGAACGAAAATTGACAGTCTTAAATAATTGACTCGACCAATATTCTAAATTTGATATTTCATCATTAACCTTTAAACCCAAAATTGACGAAAAAACTATGATCTTTTTATCCATAATATTAAGACTTTTATTTTTTATTTCTTCATATACATATTCACTTATTTCAGAAAACATTACTGAATGAAATGCGTGTGAAACGGGGAGTTTTTTGTATGATTGAGTGGAATCTAATAATTTTAATATTGACATTACTTGGTTTTCTTCACCACTAATAACGCAATTTTTGGGAGCATTTATCAATCCAATACCAACTTCTAGTTTTTGATATTGAGGAAGACTATTCTCAAATTGGTTTATTGCTTCTCTAATTTGATCTTCTGAGCGTCTTACTGCCACCATAATTCCGTTTTTTCCTAATTTAGATATGACAATACCTCTTAAATAAATTATCTCCAAAGCAAGTTCGATTGTCATTACTCCAGCTACAACAGCTACTAAGTATTCTCCTAATGAGTGACCAAAAATTATATCTGGTAAAATTCCAATACTTCTTAATACCATCATTTCAGCATATTCAATCGAAACTATTGAAAGCTGATTATAAATTTCAATATCAATATTAACCTTTTTTTTGGCATCTTCCTCAAACATGAATTTTTTTAATGAAATATTTAGAAACCTATCAAGTGAATCTGAACACTTATCAATTGATTTTCTAAAAATTTCATTAGAATTGTAATATTCGATACCCATATTATCATAATGTGATCCTTGTCCTGTAAACATAAATATCAACTTCTCATTTTTTATAATTAATGGATTTTTTTGTCTAACTCCTTCTACCAATATGTGACAGTTTGCACCACCAAATCCAAATGAAGAAACTCCGCCTACTAAATTTTTTTCATTTAATTTCCATGTTGAGTTTTTAGGAAAGATTATATTTAAATCTTCAATTTCAATATGTGGGTTAATGTTTCTAAAATTAAACAATGAGGGAACTGCTCCAAAGGATAAAACAACTAAAAGCCTGATAAATCCAATGATTCCTGCAGCACCTTCCAAATGCCCTATTTGGGACTTTATTGTACTTAAAATAAGTGGGGAGTCTATATTATTATCAATAATTTTGTACATATTTTTATATACCTCTTTAATTGCACCAAATTCAACTGCATCTCCAAGTAATGTTCCAGTACCATGGCATTCTATATACCCAGGGCGGACATTTAAATTTTTTTCTTGTCGTGCAATATTAAGTGCAGTGGAAAGAACCTTTTGTTGTGCAACTCCATTTGGGGCTGTTAATGAAATTGATCTTCCGCTATGATTTGTAGATGATCCCAAGATTCTTCCCCAATTTTGTTTAATATTAATACTATTGTTTGATAGTACAATAGCTCCACATCCTTCTCCTCTCACAAAACCATCTGCATCTTTATCAAAACTTTTACATTCGGAATTTTTAGATAACATTTTTGCCTTACTGAATACAATAAAGTTATTTGGAGACAAATTCAATTGAATTCCAAATGCAATAGCCATATTGCATTCATTCATTTTCAATGATTTTATTGCCAAATCTATTGCAATTAATGAAGAGGCACATGCTGCGTCAATCGTTATTGACGGGCCTTTTAGGCCAAAAACATAAGAAATTCTATTGGAAATGATTGATTTCGCATTTCCAGTACCTGAAAATGCATTACAAAAGTTTCTTTTAGATGATAATATTGCCCACTCATCATTACACATTCCTGCAAAGACGCCAACATTAGTATTCAATAAATCCTTGATGTCAATTTTTGCATCTGACAATGCAGAAAAACACGTATCCAAAGCAACTCTTTGATTAGGATCCATTTGAGTTGCTTCTTCTTTTGATATTTGATATTTTGAGTAGTCAAAAATATCAACAGTAGAAATAAATCCTCCTTTTCTTGTATAATAAGTTGAATTTTTGTCGTTGTAATCACCAAATAATTTATCTACGTCCCACCTTTCATATGGAATTTCCGAAATACAATTTTTCAGACTAGTCATGTTTTTCCAGAATTTAAGAACAGAACTTGCGTCTCCAGGCACTCTAACTCCAATACCAGATACAATAATATCATTTTTCTCCGAATTTGGATATATTTTTAAATTTGTATTATCGAATTCCTTAATATTATTGTTTCCAATGATTATCATTTCTATGTATTTAGAAAGTTCTGTAATTGTTGGATAATCAATCATAATAGTTGGAGGAAGATTAATGTCAAATTTTGATGTAAGAGTATTTCTTAACTCTATCGCAGATAGAGAATCAATTCCCAATTCTCTAAATGGCGATTCAGAATCAAAATGATTGATATCAGTTCCAATAGCATCTGAAATTGCTTCTTTAATACTTGAAAGAACGAAAGTATGTAATTGTTCGGAGTTCATAGTTGAAAAAGTATCTCTATTTCCTATTTCTTTCACTTCTGATTTAATTTCACTAAACATGTAAGTGAATGTGTTATTTTTTACAACTAAAGGATCTAATGGTTGGACAATAAATCTGTTAATTTCACTCAACATACATTTGGAAATTATTCCACCTAGTGAAATAAGACCTAAGGAATTTTTTATTGGAGTCAGACCGATAGTTTTTAGCACATTAAAATTCAAATTTTTTCTTGCCATGCCTTGTTCAGCCCAGGGTCCCCATTGAATACTGATTGATTTCATCCCAAGACTAGAACGTAGCTCTGATAAATAATCTATATTACTGTTAGCCGCAGAATAGTTGGTCTGACCATTATTTCCTAGAAGTGCTGATATAGATGAAAACATGATTAAAAGTGGAATATTATCTAGTAAAGAAATTGTAGTATAATGAATATTCCAAGCACCAATAGATTTAGGAAGAAATGTGCTTAGCAAAGTTGAATTTGTTTGTGATAATATACTGCCATCATTAAGCACGCCTGCAGCATGAATAATTCCCTTAATATTATATTTTGTTTTTATTTGATTAATAATATTAAATACTGAAATTAAATTGCAAATATCACATGTAATTATTTCTAAGTTTATTTGTTTCTGTTCATTCATAGTCAATAATTTTACGATTAATTCATTTTTAAAATCAATAGAACTCCTACCTACGAGTACGATATTCCTTGTTCCTTCTTCAACTAACCAATTTGCAACAACTAATCCAAGTGATCCCATCCCACCTGTGATAATATATGCATCTTTATCATTTGAACAAATTGCAGTGCTTGGATTTGACAATATAACTTTACCTATGTGGTTTGCATGTTGTAAATATCTAAATCCGTGAATTATTCCTGATTCATTTTGAATACTAAATATTTTTGTTGGAATTGGTTGAATTTTCTCTTCAATTATATCAGTTATTATCTCTTGTAATAAATTTTGAAACCAAAAAGGATCATTTTCGACCTTTTTGTCAAATTCAATTGGGTGATAATTAATGTCACTTCTAATCTCTTTAACTTGATTCCCATCTAATATTTCACGCTTTCCCAGTTCAATGAAAGTTCCATTAGATTTCAAAAACTTCATTGACAATGGAATAAATTTTCCAACCAGACTATTTATCACGATATCAACTCCTTCAATGTTCATTTCTCTCATAAAATACTTCATGTCTTGAGAAAATTTCACGTGGTCTCTACTGCTTGAAACATATTTGATTCCAATCGATTTGAGGTATTCAATCTTTTTAACATTTCCGACAGTAGCGATAACATTTGCTCCAATTCTGGAACACATTTGTATTGCAGCTAGTCCAACTCCACCAGAGGCAGCATGAATTAGAACGCAATTACCTTTCATTAATTTTGAATATTGATTTAAAGAAATTTTTACCGTTGAAAAAATAGTAGGAATTGATGCAGCTTCTTCAAATGTTAATGATTTTGGTTTTTTTGCAACTAGCATAGCATTTGTTGTATGATATGTTTCAATACAACCCTGAGAAAGACCAAATACATCGTCTCCAACTTGAACATTTTTCACTCCAGGCCCTACAGAAACTACCGTACCTGAAAAATCACTGCCTGGTTTACCAGGATCACCAGGATATAATCCCATAACATTTAACACATCTCTAAAATTCAAACCAATTGATCTTACCCTTATTTCAACTTCTCCTTCTTCAGGAACAACTCTAAATTTTTGTAAATTAGTTGAAATATTCGATATGGCTCCTCTATTAGTAAGTTTCAAAGCCAAACAATTGTTAAATTTATTTACTGGTTCTTTTATTTTAATAGTTTTAATTTTTATTTCATCGCCACATTCAAGTAACTGATATTCTTTTTCGAACCACCTTTTTTTCTCAATATTTGTATATATCAATTTTAGTATTTTAGAAAAACTTTGGTCAATTATTAGTTTTGAAACACTGTTCCAATCAATAATAATTAACTTTATTTTTCCTAATTGACTTAATTCATTACTTGCTGACCTCAAATATCCAAGTATGGATGATTGAAAATGGGATGATTGAGTGTATTCACCACATAGTAAATTTGCTCCAATTGTAACAAATATCATTGTTAATATAGTATTTGAATTAGCATTTTTGTAAATGTTCTGAAGGATTTTTTGTATTGTAATTAATTCCTTGTATGAGTTTTTTTCATTCGTATTTGTAATGTATACAGGTATATTACTCGAAGAAAAAACATTCTCTTCAATCATAGTTCCAATTTTATTGATGTCAAAATAATCAAAATGCCCAAATAAAAACTTGTCTACTTCTGAAGATGTAAAAAGAATCTTAATACTATTTAGTTCTTTCATATTATCAAATTTATATTCTAATTCTCTATAAACAGATAACCATGAATAATGATCTTTTATTGGAAGATAATTGAGGGTTTTTAATGGGGTCAACTCTCTGAAATGTAAGCCTTTTATTTGTAAAAACTTTATTAACTCATTTTTTTCCTCATGTTTAACGTAAATATTTATATCTACTTTTACTTCTTTATTACTTAATATTTGTTTGTTTTTAACACAAACAAACAATTTACTTATTGAACGAATAAATCTTAAATTTGTTGACGAACTATAAGGAACGATATATTTATTGTTTTTAAAAAGAGGGTTAAATATAATTTCTTGGATACTTATTGGAACAAATGGTTTTATTGTTTTATTTTGACAATTATCAATTAATAAAGCGAATAACTGAAAACAACCATCTAATAATGAAGGATGTAGAAAATATGAATCGATTTCTCGATTTGAAGAATCAATTTCAATTATACCAAATATTTCGTTTTCACTTTTATAGACTTTTTTAATAGATTTGTATTTGTCAAAATAATTTAAACCTATTTTATTCAACTCTGAATAAAATCTTTCAAGATCAAAACTTGAGCACTTATCAAAGTTTTCCATAGAATCATTACCGGAGTAACTTAAATCGCCATTAATTTTATTTATTTCTACTGAAGATGTTGAATGACAGATAATTTCACCAATATTGCCTTCAATTCCCGATGTTGAAATGGATATATTCAATGTGTTGGTGTTATTTTCAAGTGGGTAAATGTCACAAATTAATTTTCCATTACCATTCCATTCGAAATCGCTTGGAAAAATGAGTGGTTTAGTGATTTGTGTATTGCTGATATTTAATGAGTTTATTTTTTTAATTCCATTGCGAATCAAATAATTAATTATTCCACCGATTGACATTTCAATAAAAGCTGATCCAGGAAAGACAATTTTACCTTGTATTATGTGGCCAGATATTGATAAAAAGATTGTTTCACCGATGTTTCTTACATACCTAGTTGTATTTGAATTAGGAATTTTTATCTTTGTTACATCATTTATTTGGTCAATAATAAGACCCAATTCTGATGGTTGACATAAACTATTAGGTCCTGAAATTCTTGGTCCGATATAAGGGTGGGCTGGAGAAATCCATGGAAATTTTTTCTTTTTAAAATCTAATCTAGGTAAATTCCAGTTATGAACATCATCGCTGGCTTGCAAAATTACATGAGAATTAGTCCCACCAAACCCAAATGAAGATACTCCTGCAATTAACCTTTTTGAATTGATTTCTACTTCGTTAATAGGAAATTCCAGGTTCTTGTTAGAATTATTAAAGTTTAAACCAGAATTTAACTTATTTATTAAAATGTTTGGAGGAATTACTCTATTATTAACTACTAGTATTGCTTTCAATATTCCGGCAACTCCAGAAGCACCTTCTAAGTGTCCAATATTGGGTTTCAGAGTTCCTATATAAAGTTTATTGATCTTACTACCGAAAACATCTGATATTGCACCAAATTCTATTGGGTCTCCTAGAGGTGTTCCAGTTCCATGTGATTCAATATAAGATACATCTTTATTCGAAATACATGAATCTTCTATTGCTGTCATAATTACGCGTTTCTGGGAAGGTCCATTGGGAGCAGTTAAACTCGCACTTTTTCCATCCTGATTTACAGCTGTACCACAAATTTTCCCGTAAACTTTTTTTCCAACAGATTTTAATTCGTTTTCTATTATTAATGACACACATCCTTCTCCTCTCAGAAATCCATCAGATAAATCATCAAATGCTCTACATTTTCCAGTAGGGCTAAGCATATTTGCTTTTGAAAAAACAATGTAATATAGTGGAGATAATAGTAATTGCACACCTGCTACTATTGCAGTTTCTATATTACCAAAATTAATATCTTTTTTTGCAATATCTAATGCAACCAATGAAGATGAACATGCTGTATCAATTGTTATAGATGGGCCCTTGATACCGTAGATAAAAGATATTCTATTAGAAATGATTGATGCAGCTCCGCCTGTTGCTGTAAATGCCGTTGCACTCATATTTAGCTTTGTAGAAAGATAGTTCCAGTCTGTTCCACAACATCCTACAAACACCCCAATATTATAGTTGGAAATATTTTTTGGATTGTACCCTGAACTATGTAATGCATCGCTTGTAGTTTCTAAAATCACCCTTTGCTGCGGATCCATCGTAGAAGATTCGTAATTTGTAATATTGAAATAATCATTGTCAAAGAAATCGACATTTTCAATAAATGTACCATGCCTTGAATAAGTTAGATTTTTTGATAAGTAGTTGTTATTTCTATAGTCTTCTATATCTAGATAAAATTCATCAATATCAAATCTACTCAATGGAATTTCAGATGACCATGTTTGCATAGAAAGTAAGGTTTTTTCCCAAAACTCAGCAGGGGAATATGTATTCCCTGGTAGTCTGCAGCCAATTCCAGTGATCGATAATCTGAATTTTTGATTTTTATATGTATTATTTAGAGAGAAAATAGTTTGTTTTAATGATGGAATATTTTCAGAAACAACTAATCCAATGTTATCTGTATTTATTTTTGGCAAAAAAAGATTTGTTGATGTATTAGAAATATTTAAAATATAATCTGATAATGAGTTTACGGTCGGATAATCAAATAATGTGGTAATAGGTAAAATTATATTTAATTTACTAGATATTGAATTTCTTACTTCAACTGCAGAGAGAGAGTCAAGACCCAATTCAATTAATGGAGTATTAAGGTCAATTTTTTCAATTCCTGCAATATCATTTATTGTATTTATTACTATATTTGTAATATTCTCTTTGTCAATCGAAATTTTATTAGTTATTTCCAAAGCTTTGTAATTTTTAATTTGTTTATTCATCGGCTGATAAATACAAGAAGAATTATTTATAATTGCGAGTTTGATTGCAGCTTGTACAAAAGACCCATGATTAACACTAGAAATTTCTTCTGAGTTATAATTCCAAAAAGCAACTTGCCCAGGAAGACCGATATTACGCCTGTATCTACAAAATGTTTCTAGAATTATATTATTTTTGGTATCACACGAGCATAATAAGAAATATTGAATAGAGGAATTAGAAATGAATGAAATTGAGTGAAGTTCCCAAAGAATATCGGAAATTTCTTTACACTTTAAGTGATTTAAAGGCAAACATGTTATTCCAGAAATATTATAAATTCCATTTGTAATTAATATTTTTTTAACACTCCGAACAAAGTTTTCTTTTCCAATTTCGTATTTGTATTTGAATGGGTAATTTACCGTTATTTTATTCATAGATATATATACAAAATTTTTTGCCCCTGCTTCATTCAGTAATTTTGTGGCAGCAAATAAAGATATTTCATCTTCTTTATGAGATAAAATTATATGATAGTCGTTTTTAAACCCATCATCATCGATTTTATTTTGTTTTACAAATTCTGAATCCCAATAATTAGTTTCAAAACAGTAAAACTTAACTGTTTTACTTTCATCACAATTTATCAATTTGAATTCTTCAAAAACGTTCTCAATATTATTTTGAACTTCAAATTTGATCGGGACAATTACTTTTGATATATAGCTACAATATTGTTGTCTAATGATATTTGATGTTAGACCTTCACCAAATGGGTTGATTACGAAAAGCGATCCTCCTTTTTTGAGTATTGTTTTTATATTTTCCATCAATGAAATAAATGCAAGTTTGCCAAAAAAGGTTGAGTATATAATGGTAAGGTCAAATTGTTCGGCATTAAGATCAATAATGTTATTTACGTAATTTAATATATAATTACCTACCCTGTAACATTTTTCCTGATTTTTTTCATCAAAAATTGTCAAATAAACCAGTTTTCCAGATTTTAGTGATAAAATTTCATCTGTTATTATTTCAGGAAATATTGGAGAAATAATAAGAATACGTAATTCTTCAATATTTTCACAATCAATAGTGTATTTAATTATATTTAGAGGTATTGATTGACCGACCAAAAATAAGGGTTTTAAAATTTTCTTGTACTTGGAAATTATTTCGAATGGGCCAATAATATTTCCATGAATGATCATTTCATTAATGAACTTTGATTCAGAGTTTTCTTTATCAAATCTGAAACTTTTAGATTGTTTATCTAATAAATCAACTAATTCATTGCATTTATAATTTTCAAAAAGATCATGAGAAAATTTATTAAGATGATCTATATTTATTACCTTATAATTGAAAACCTCAAACATTAATGTTTGAGGAGGTGGTAATATTAATACAATTTTGCCAATATGAGAGGCCTTTTGCATGAATCTTAGTGCTTCGAGGGTACAGGATTCCATTTTAAAAACTTTAACAGGTAAAGTGGGATTTATATCATTTAAATGATTAGTTGTATACCTTGAAAGTAATGATTGGATATATTTAGGATTATCTACAACTAATTCATCGATTGCAAGTTTCAAGTAATTTATCTCTGGATAATCTAATTTTACTTGAGAGTAATCCAAAGTTCCTCTTTTGCCCAATTCAATAAATGTTCCTCCTTGACGTAATTTCTTAAATGATTCGTGAATGAATTCTCCAGAAAGACAATTGAGCACTACATCCAAACCTGCATTATTCCCATTTCTATATCTTTTTGATGCAGCATTTAAGAAGAAGCTAATTTCTTTCTTAAATATTTCGGGATTTCTTGAACTTGAAACGTAATGGACTCCCAATCCACCTAACCACTTTTTTTTTGATTTTGAAGAGCATGTCGCAAATACAATTGCACCTTTATTAAGGCAATACTGAACACCTGCAATACCCACACCACCTGTTGCAGCATGGATCAACACAAAGTCTCCTTTTTTTACCTTATATAAATCATTAAATGAAGCTTCTATTGTACAAAATATTACGGGTAGGGCAGCTGCCTCTTCAAATGCTAGGTATCTTGGTTTTTTACAAATTAAAGTAGATGATGTAACTAACTGAGATTTAAAACAACCTTTTGCAAACCCCCATACGTGGTCGCCTATATTGAAAGACTTTACGTTATTTCCAACACCCAGTACAATTCCAGAAAAGTCACTACCAGGTTCCCCTGGTTCTCCAGGATATAAGTTCATTATATTTAATACGTCTCTAAAATTCAATCCAACTGCCCTAACTTGTACCTTAACCTCGTTCTCTCTTAATTCTTTTAAATCACATTTTTCTAAGTAATTAAGTTTAAAATTTTTAAGTTCTCCTCTAGAAGGTAGTTCATATTTAAAGTGATCTATACCAATACAATTTCCAATTTTTATCGGAACAGCACAATAACCAATCAAAGTTGAATTTTTCTCGGTTTGCACTTGAACATTTCTTATAACTAAGTGATTAAAGGTAATATTTGGCATCTTATTTTTAATATTGTTTTTCCCCAAATAATTAATTCCAAATTTAATTTGGCTGTTTAATTCGTTAAAGGATTCAATGTCAATAATGGAAATAAGAATTTTATTTTCTAGAATGCATTTATTAAGAGAGTCCCAATATAAATTATCAAATGAAAAGCTATCAGTTCTGATCTTTTTGTCAATTGGTACTGTATTTTTTGTTATTATGTAGAAATTTGATTCAATATTTCTTTTTGTAATAGGGATTATTTCTTCTAATTCACAATCATAAAAAACAACATTTCCTTCTAAATTGTTAAGAATGTCATCAAATTTCATTATTCTGTTTCCTGTTCCTTCAAGAATCGAGCTGATTTTAGCAAATTCCTTATCAGATGTAATAATATCATATTTAAATGCATTGTCGTTATTTCCGAATAATTCGGAGGCTGCAACTGGTCTCCAATCTAATTTTAAACCAATAAAATTATTTCCTTGATTAATTTTTAATTCAGACTGATCAATATTTAGTTTAGGAACCAAATCTTCAATTATTTTTTGGCTAGGTCCTTCATTTTTAATAAAACTTATATTTACAATCTCAACTAAGTTTAAACCTTTTTCATTTGTTAAACAAATGTTGCAAACCATTAGTTTCTCTTGAATATTTGTAATTTTTACTAAGGAATAAAGTTCAGAGTAGGATATATCCGAATTTACTAGCATTTCTTGAATTCGAACAGGAATAAACTGGCCATTAAAATTACCTTTAACAATTAGAAATCCTCCCAATACTTGAAATGCTGAATCTAGTATCCACGGTGCAATATTAAAAGGACTAGAATCGTTTTTGTTTATTTTTATTTTTCCGAATCCAACTAAATCTCCTATTGAAACGTATTCCAATGAACGATATCTACCTTTGTAGTTGTAACCTGAATTATCTAACAAATCATATAATTCATTGTGAAAAATTGTTCTGACAGAGCATGATTTTTTAAATTCAACAAGTGAAAAAGAACTATCCAGAATTTCCATTTTGCTATCTGGCTCAAAATCTAAAATTATGTTTACCGTGCAATAACAATAAGTTCTGTTTCCTGAATAAATTGAAACTTTTCCATCATCAATATTTATGCTTGCATCTAATCCTTCGTTTTCCAAATTGTCTATTTTGAAAGCGGAAGTAATTTCTAGATTCTTTATTACGATGGGAGAAGTTTTGATTAAGTGTATATTTGACTCCCTACTCAATATCTCAAAATTACTCTTCTTAAACTCATTTATAATTTCATCTCTAGAGTTAGTTTTTTGAATAATATCAACAATTTGTTCACTACTAGAAATGTCTAATGCTGCAAACCTACAAATCGTCATAGCAAGTTCAATAAATCCTGATGCAGGAAATATATTTAATCCATTAATTATATGCTCCATAACATATTTTTTACATTTCAGTTTTGAAATAGAGTACGAGTAAATTTCATCTTTGTTGTTAATCGTTGAAATGAAAGGATGGAATCTTACTGTCCATGGGAAATAATTGCCTTCTTGTAAATCAGAGTGCTCTTCACTTTCGATATTCCAAATTAAGTCAAGATTTGCCCCTTCTTCAATAATAATGTGAGAATTAGTACCACCAAATCCAAAAGATGATACCCCGCATCGCAATACTTGTGTTTCTTCAATTCCTATTTCTGAAAAATATTTCCCTTCATTCATATTAGGAAAAATAATTACTTTATTATTTAGATTATCATTTAATAATTTTTTGATATGGGTATTGATATTTATTAAATTTCCAATCCCTGGAAAAAATCTTTTTGACATAACTAACAATATTTTTAGAATACCAGCTAACCCTGCTGCGCCTTCTAAATGACCAATATTGGATTTGACTGCACCTAATGCAATATTAGAATTTACTTGAGCCTTCATGTTTTGGTATTCATTATAAGTTTTAAAAATAGATAATAATGCACCTGCTTCGATGGGATCGCCCAATGGAGTACCTGTACCGTGACATTCAATATAATTAATTTCGGATGGATGAATTCTTGCGATTCCCAGACAATTCTTTATTACGGATACTTGTGATGACCCTTTTGGAGCAGTTAAAGTTGAAGTTTTTCCATCCTGGTTAACACATGTACCTAGAATCGTTGCCAGTTTTTTTTTTGCTATTGATGTATGTTGTATACATATAATTATGCATCCCTCACCCCTTACAAATCCATTTGCACTTTCATCAAAAGGTGAGCATTTACCCGTATCAGAAAGCATTTTTGCTTTGCATAATGTAACATAAATATTTGGGTTGATTATTGAGTTAACTCCTGCTACTAAAGCAGTATTGATTACATTATTTTGAAGGTGATGAAGTGCAACATCTATAGCAACTAAGCTTGAAGAGCACGCTGTGTCAATTGTAACTGATGGCCCTGTAAAATTATTATAGAATGATACTCTGTTTGCTAATATTGAAGGGGATGCTCCAGTTCCGGAGTAAACAGAAGGGCTCGTAGAATTAGAAATGATTTGGCCCCAATCATTTGAGCAACAACCTATATAGACACCAATTAAATTTTTGGTCGATGTTTCAATATTATTTAAAATTTTTTCAGTGCCTCTCAATACCAATCTTTGTTGTGGATCCATATGTTCAATCTCTATTGGAAGTATTTTGAATTTTTCAATATCGAAATATTCGGACCCAATCATATATGCTCCTACATCAGTATAGTAATTTTTTGTTTTTGAAATAACAGAAATCGATTTTTTTTCGTTAAAACAATATGTGTTCCATCTTTCATGTGGAACTGAAGAAAATACATTTCTATTATTCAACATTACTTCCCAAAGTTTTAGAAATGGGTTATTTGAATTAAACCCGGGTAAATGTGCATTTATTCCAGAAATAACATAATCACCAGTAGAAATTCCAGGAAGAGTAGTAATTTCATTTGGGGAACCCTTTTGATTTCCATTTGTAAGCAGGTCGATATGCTCTATTAAAAGTCTCAGAGTTGGGAAATCAAATATTAGAGTTGCAGGAAAATCTATATTAAATTCTCTTGAAAGTGCATTACAAATTTCTATAGCTTTAATTGATTCAATACCATATGAAAGAAGTGGGTCATCTAGCTCTGGAAAGTAGTTATTTCCTATGATTGTTTCAAATACATTTTTTACCCTTTCGTATATTGTCTCATGTACTTCACTTTCGCTATCGACTGAAAAATAGTCAGAGTCAATATTTGTTTCATCTTGGTTTTGTTTTTCATAAAGTTGTGTATTTTCTATGTAGCTATTAATAAAGTCGATTATAATGTTACTACCAAAATCACCATTAATAATCATTTCCTTAGTTTTCGATCTTTGAACCTTACCACTTGAAGTTTTCGGCATTTTCTTTTCTCTTATTAATATTATTCGATAAACTTCAATTCCAGAATATTTTAGGATATTCGTAGATATTTTATCAATAATATCTTTAGTTTGAACCTTTTCTTTTTTATTAATTAAACCCTTAATATAGGATTTAATTCCTGAAGTACTTGATGACTCAACAAATTCACTTCTTACTTCTGTTGCAATTGCAAGCTTCTCTTCACCATTAACATCAACTGAAAACGCTACACAACAACCAGGACGAATTACATGATGAGAGGTGTCGATGATCTCTTCTATATCCTGTGGATAGTAGTTTTTTCCTCTAATGATAATAACATCCTTTTGCCTTCCAACTATATATATTTGGTTGTCATTAATAAAACCCAAATCTCCTGTCCTTAAAAATTTGACATCTAAAAGGTTAGCATCGCACTTTTTTACTTCAGCAAAGAAAATTTCGTTAGTTAGATCATTTAAAAGCCAGTAACCTGCACCTTTGCTTTTTGAAGAAACCCAAATCTCGCCAACATGATTTTCTGGAAGAATTTTATTTTTTTCTGGGCAAACAATTATAATTTTATCGTTTACAGAATTTTTTTCTCCGCAGCAGACTAGGTTTCTCTTTTTGCAATCTTTATCATCGAATTCAATAATATTTGCATGTTTGCAGGAATTGCAATAACAAGAAATAAATCCATTATTAACTATTTCAACCTTATTTCCTGGAGTTATTGTATCGCTTTTCAATGTTAGTACTTTGGGAAATAGCTTGCTTTTTCTTTTGAATCCGGAAATAATAAGCGTATTTTCAGCCATTCCATATGCAGGAAGTATACTTGAGGAGCAAAAACCTACAGAAGAAAATTTTTTTACAAACCTAACAAGCGTTGAAACTCTAATAGGTTCAGAACCACTCAAGATACCACCATGTTTTAGACAACCCAATCCACCAAGATCACTTATTTCTTTTAATTCATGATCTGTTGTTTTCCTACATGTATAATCAAATGCAAAATTTGGTGCAGCAGTAGCTGCAATTCTGTACTTTGAGATAATTTTAAGCCATAAATGAGGTTTCTTAATAAATGAAAATGGCGAAATTAAAAAAGTTTCAGATCCGATTATTACCGTGCTAACAATAAACCCTACTAAACCCATATCATGATACATTGGAAGCCAAGAAAATCCTCTAATGTTATGCCCAAAACTATTAATAAATTTATTTTTGATTTCAACAATTTCCTTTAATATTATTCTAGCTTCATCATTCGTTTCGATCTCATTTTCAGTTAATTTTGTTTCTGCTGATTCGCATTTAGGCTCTACAGAAAAGTTAAAACATTTCATGCACAATAGCGAATTATAATATAGTGAACCATGAGTAACAATTACTCCTTTTGGATTGCCTGTTGATCCAGATGTAAATTGTATGAATGCACTCTCAGAGGGCAGACATTTTGGTTTTTGAAAATTGATAATTTCATTCTTTGTAATTTTTTGAAATGGAGTTGATTCATCATTTTTCGATATGTAAGAATCATTATCTGTTATTATTTCAAATTCATTATACTCTCTTAATATTTTATCCGTTGAATACCAACTAATTGCATTCCAAAGAGGTTCGTTAAAAAATTTAAATTTGAATAGCGAAATAACTCGATTGTACGATGAATTAGTAAGACAAGCATTGGCTTGGCTTGTATCAACAATCTTACGAAGCCTATCCACTTGAGATGGATTATTTGGATCTGCAGGATAAACGGGAATTGCAACAATCCCACTTGCCAGGCAACCATAAAAAGAATATATGAAATCGATCCCTGGAGTATAACAAAGAATGATTCTATCGCCTTTTTTTAAATGTAGTTCGTTTAACAAAAAGTGAGAGATAATTCTAATTGACCTCCAAAGATTTTTATAGGTAATTACTGACTCTTCATTCCCGTTTTCATTTAACCAAACAAATGCATTTTTCTCGGGTATCGTATTTGAGAATAACTCAATTTGGTTGATGATTGCATCATATTCAGGTTGATTACTATTCATCATGCAAAACTTAGCGATTTAGATTTATTTTCTTTTTGTTAATAAATATTATTCTCAAAAATGCAGTTACTTTTGCAAATGTGCCTTTTACTTGTAAGAATGACACACTTTGTGCGGTAACTCAATAACTCGAAGTTAAATTTCAATAAAACTAATAAATAATGATAATAATAATAATAATAATAATAATAATAATAATAATAATAATAATAATGATAATAATAATAATAGTAAATAATAATAGTAATAGTTATTATTTGAGATCTAAATTCTAATAATTGACTGTATAAGATTCAAAATAATAATATTATAATTCTAATAATGATGATTTTAAAATATTTAAAGACAAATTAATCGATTTTATTATAAATAATTATTTTGAGTAATTCTTTATAAATTTTAGTTAGTGGTTATTTGATATTTGCGTTTCTATTTATTCTAATTGAAATACATTAAAAAAAAGTGATCAAACAAAAATTATGTCCCGCGGAATATTCTTTAAATAATTTTCTTTAGAAAAATGAAATTATACACTTGTAAAATAAATTGCAAAGATACTACCGAGAATAGGCACACAAGTTCTACATTTAGTAACCAGCTAAAATGTTTGGCATTACTCTCAACCATTAAGCCCCTCATTCTATGGTGTACGACGAGCTCTATATTATCTTTGATTGGTGTTTCATTCTTATTTTTTAAGTTGGAGAATGGAATAATTACTACAATAATCGTATCAGTATTTTCAAATATAATCTGCCAGCTTGTTTTTCTCTCTTTGCTATTTAGCAGAGTTATGAGTGTAACAATAGAGAATTACTTAACAGCATCTTTTACACTATTTAATGATTTAATTATTACGATTCCAAGATATGTTCTTTGGGAATTAATTTTTACATCAAGATGGATATGGCTTTCATTACATTTTTTTTGTGCAACATATTCAATCTTTAGATTCTGGAATATTTGTACACTATTTTTGTTAGAGCTCCCTATTTTTTTATCCACGTTTTTTTTCGTTTCTGGTGGATTATCATTTGTTCGTTTTTTTGGAAAGAGCCAAAATATTTTCTTGTTGTCATCTCGAATATCATTAAAACCGATAATAATAAAATTAAATTTAAAGGAAAGTAATGTTCTACTGAAATTCTATGAATTAACTGATTATTTTACTTTTAATGGTGGTTCAGGAAATATCAAAAACTCACTTATTTTTACGATCTTGACTTTATTAATAACAATCCCTATATATTATTTTGGAATAAATACTCCCGGAATTTCGAATTTTTTTAACCTTATAAATAAGTTTTATTCATTTAGAATAAGCTTTAAATTGAGAAATGAAATAAATCCATTGATTGTTAAATTTTACATTTATTTAACTTCATTCTTCGTGGTCTCATTTTATTGGTATTGCATTGAGTTACAATCGGCAAATTTTAGAAATTTATCATTGATCAACGTGAATGGAGTGTTTTTAAAGCATGATAAAATATTAAATAATAACTATTTAAATGAAAACATAATTCCTAGTGACAACTTTATTCGGTTTATCACAAACCTCGAAAAGAAATTTATATTCATTGGACGCAACATAAAACTAGGACAAAAAGTCTGGATAAAAGTTTTTTATTCATTTTATTCAATATTTGCCATATTTACAATTCTTCCAGTACTATTTCTTTTTAATCTACATAAGATTGAGTCTTTGATAAATATTTTGATCAAAACGATTCCAATTAATTCCAATACAGCCTTTGAAGAATGGCTTGGCTACGAATACAGATTATTTTTTGTACTAGAAAAATTACAAAGACAGTTAGATAACATATTTTCAACAGTTCTTTTGCTTGATTCATCTATTCACACAAAGGTTGCTACTATAAATAATAGCGATTTTAGTTTAGTTGTTCATTCAACAATTGGTTTAGATAAACGGATCTCATTTTCTCAGATAGATATTGATGATTGGTTTTTGAATATTTGTTCATTAGATAATCAATTAGGAAAGAAAAGCCATATTCCAAAAAGCTTTAATGAATGGTGGTATAGTAACGTTTTGTTCTCAGACAGTTTAAATAATCCAAAAATTAAAAACAAGAAAAAAAATACTTTGTCGGGGTGGAATATTAGAGATTCAATCATGCATCACAGAAGTGAGATTTTTTGTATACTACTTGAAAAATTCAAAAACTACTGCAAAAAAACGGAACGGGTTTTAATGAATTTTACAGTAGAAAATGAACTTCTCAACTTGAAAGAGAGTGAAATTATTCCACAGCTAATTTTTCTCATGCAGGAGATGACACTTTATAGCATTGACCTATGCTATTTATATATTTATTGCTATCATAGATTTATTGCAAAGAATCTAATTATTAATGGGTTGAAAGGGGAATGGAACGCTCAAACGTTGAATCAATATATTAACTTATCTGCCGAGGTAAAAAATCGCATATATTTCGCATGCGAAGTCGGACTATTAAATTCTCCATACATACATCCAGTTTTTGAACAAGAAATTATTAGATTGTACAGGGGAATTGACGATTCATTGGAATTATTGTTACCTTTGTTATAGAATTTAAGTTAAAAACGAGTAATTTTTAAGATCAAGTATGGCGGTAAAATGACACTGCCGACATGACATAATAATAATCTAATGTCATTTGTGGACCAATGTATTTAAATTAAAATGGTTTTTCAAAAAGAAAATTCAGATACTAATGGTTGGGTTGCTGGCTGTGATCCACATACTATCTCATTTGGTAGTGCGTTATTTGAAATTACAGAAAAAGCGGCTAGGGTCAGGACATTATTAGAAAAAAAACGAAGGAATGAAGAGATTTGCAATTTAATTTCAGCATCAAGTGAATCTTCATTAATTAATAATATTAAGAAAGAGATAATTAAAGAAAATCATGTATCTTTTAGCAAAGTTGCCGACTTAATTGAGGCAAAATTACTGGACTTGGGTGAAAAGAATGAGAAATGCATGAGTATGAACATTAAAAAAAGCATAGAGGCCAGCAATGAAGCAATAAAAAAGAATTCAACAGAAATAATTGAGAAAGTGTCATCAAGTATCACTAATAACAATCATATCAACGATTTCAGTGACTCATTAGTTAACTTATTGCTTGAACATAGAAATAATATAAAAGATTCATTAGCAGAATTAATCAGTATTATTAACCAGAAGGAAAGTAGGATTTCACAAGAAGTCTGTAAATTTATTGTGGAACGTGATGAAAAAGAGAAATCGATTTATCTCTCTCAACTTAATATTATACAAAAACAATATGAACTTATTATTCGAGATTTAAGAAAGAGAAACATGTTTTTGGAGCGCGATATAGAATCTAAACAATTTTGTGAGAAGAAGTTGCATGAACAAATTAAGTCAATGGATAACGAGGCTAAAGAGGCGGTATTGTTACTAGAAGAAAAAGATTTCAAGATTAATTTTTTAAATTCACAAATTAATCAATTGAAAGATGAGAATCAGGAATTAAGGGATAAAAATATTAATCTACTCAACAAAAATCAAGAAATTACAGCGAATTATTCAAATAAATATTGCTTATTGAGAAATAAATATTTGTTTCTTGGAATTAGATTTTTGCATGCCACACTGGAAAATTTAATTTCTTCAAGGCGTAAGGAAGCATTCAATATTTTGAAAAACAATTCCGAATTCAATTCTTTCAATTCAAAAATGACTGAAAACTTATCAAAAACATTTAGGAACTCTGCTAAATATGATTCGAGCACTCAAATACCAATTAAGGTCAATGAAAGCAACTTGTTTAATCTTTTGGATGTTGAGAAACGCATCAAAGAACAGGAAAAGGAGCAAAGTTTAGTTAATGCACTGTTAAGTATGATTAGCGGACAGAACTACACACAGTTAGCATTATTTACAAAAATAATTAACCAGAAAAGAGTAGAGATTTTGACTAAAGTATTTTCAATACTTAAGATCTAGAAAAATACAAGTTTTTGAGGATTCTGATAGTTGATTATCGAAAATGAAATTAACACAAAAAAGGTGAAGCATGAATTGATAAATATAAAAACGAGTATTGGCAATAACTCAGTTAATATTGTTGAAAAGATTGCAGTTATCCAGAAGAATGCAAGCAAGTAGGGTGTAATTGAAAAATAAAATTGTTTTGTCATGTAAGTAGATGCAAGTTTCCATGAAGTGGGAACTACACCAAACCCAAATGATGCAAAAACGCAAATCAACGAAATGATGACAGGTTGATTCATTACACTTATGTTACTTGAGAAAAATAATAGTGAGCAGATTGGAATGTATGAAAATATAACTGAAATTAACCCTAAAATAAAGAGCCTTTTGCTTCCAATATATACTTCAAAAAAAACACCAGATAACGTGAAGTTAACTAAAAAGCAACCTGCCAGCACTATATACTTCGATGATACTTGGTCAATGATACCAAGATGCGACATTATTAGTTTGCTATTCATGATTAGTGGTATATATCCAGTAAATACTTCAGTACATATTATGATGGGAATGAAAATAAAGACATTACGCATTGATGACTTAGAAATAACTTTGAAAAGTTTAAAAATTGATATGCTTTCTCTTTCGCTTTCTTCTCTTAGTTGACTAATAATTCTTGTGGTGTCAAATACTCCATATATTTGTCTAGTAGTTTCTTCTGCAGAACGAATATCATTTAATTTTATATAGCGAGATGGAGTATCACCATTTAGTTTGATAATCCAGATTATGAAAAGGATCAATGAAAATATCATAGGAATGATGAATAAAATTCTAATATACAAAGTTGAGTATGAAGTATTTTTAATTTGAAACACAAAATCCGTTTTCTCGGGTTTTATTAAATTGTCTCGAATGACTACATTTATGAAATCACTATCAATAATGGTGTTTACAATTTTATCAGTCTTATTGGTATTGTTAACAGAGTTTCTCAAATTGATGATAAAACCAGTTATATATGCAGTTGTTATGGAGAATAAATAACTCAGTAAAATTCCATAACAAAACAATACGTTATGTAAAGTTGAAAATAAAGTTTGATTCTGTTTGTTGGTGAGTTCAAAAATATAAGATGGTACTAAGTTACATGAAAATCCCACTCCAACACCACATATAGCTCTTCCGATCGAAAAAATCACAATTTCCTTACTTAAGCAAAATATAGAACCAATTCCAAACAAAAAATATGCAGAGAGAATACCTTTTACCTTACCAAAGTACCTTTCCACAAAAATAGAAGTAATAGAGCCAATAGAAGCACCAAATAAAATTGAAGAATTGACAAAAACCATAGAAAAACTCCTAAAGTCTGTACAACCACCTGTAATTTGAGAGCCACGAATATGTAAACACTGGTCCATCCATGAAGAGGAAAAATACTTGGTCAAAACGACCCTTGGTATGTTGGCCACACCAAGCACATATCCGGACAACAGAGACAACACACCTGCAGCAAGGATTCGTTTTTGGCTATAACTAAAAAGGGAGAACTCCATAGATTAAGATACTAAATGTACGCAAACCCGCCAAATAGCGTATTAACCCTCCTAAATCTAGAGAATACAAAGTAAAAAGAGATTAGAAATCTCCTTCATAGTGCACTTCTTCGTCCTCACCATCAGCAATTTCAATTCCGACCTCTTCGTAGTCTTTTTCTAAGGCAGCTAAATCTTCTCTAGCTTCACTAAATTCACCTTCTTCCATACCCTCGCCGACATACCAATGCACAAACGCCCTCTTAGAGTACATTAAATCAAATTTATGATCCATTCTATTGAAAACTTCGGCGATTGCAGTTGAATTAGAAATCATGCAACACGCACGCATAACCTTAGCAAGATCTCCACCAGGCACAACAGTTGGCGGTTGATAATTAATTCCGCATTTGAATCCTGTTGGGCACCAATCAACGAATTGAATGGTTCTTTTGGTCTTAATTGTTGCAACTGCCGCATTCGTATCCTTTGGTACAACATCACCCCTATACATCAGACAACACGCCATATATTTACCATGTCTAGGGTCGCATTTCGCCATTTGATTCTGAGGCTCGAATACTGCGTTAGTTATCTCAGCAACACTAAGTTGCTCGTGAAAAGCCTTTTCAGCGGAAATAATTGGAGCATATGATGAAAGCATGAAGTGGATTCTTGGATAAGGAACTAGATTTGTTTGGAATTCAGTGATATCAACATTCAGTGCACCATCAAAGCGCAAAGATGCAGTCAAAGAAGAAATTACTTGTGCAATTAGTCGATTTAGGTTTGTATATGCAGGCTGCTCAATATTCAAATTTCGTCTGCAGATATCATAAATTGCTTCGTTGTCCAGCATGACCGCAACATCCGCATGTTCAAGGAGCGAGTGAGTGGAAAGAACGGCGTTGTACGGCTCTACCACTGCAGTGCTTAATTGCGGGGATGGCCATGTACAGAAGTTCAATTTGGATTTCTTACCATAATCAACGGAGAGTCTTTCGAGCAACAATGTTCCGAGTCCAGCTCCTGTTCCACCTCCCACTGCATTGAACATTAGAAAACCTTGTAATCCAGTGCAATTATCAGCAAGCTTACGAATTCTATCTAGACAGACTTCCAATATCTCTTTTCCAACTGTATAATGGCCTCTCGCAAAATTATTTGCTGCATCTTCTTTTCCATTAATGAGTTGCTCAGGGTGAAATAGTTGCCTATACGTCCCACTACGAATTTCATCAACAACAGTAGGCTCCAGGTCCACAAAAACTGCTCTGGGTACATGCTTTCCAGCACCAGTCTCACTAAAAAAAGTATTAAATGCATCATCGGAGATTCCCATATTTTGTTCAGACATAGGCATTGTTCCATCCGGATTTATTCCATGTTCTAGACAAAATAGTTCCCAACAAGCATTACCGATTTGTATTCCTGCTTGCCCAACATGTATCGAAATAACTTCGCGCATGATTAATAAATAACTTTAGTACAAAATATAGTATAATTAAGGGTATCCTGAGAAGAAACCAATGAGGAGGTCAAACTTCAGAGAACAAAGACGATTTGGATGGCAATTTTTTCACTGGCATGCTTAAGCGTTTTTATTTGTGGGGGCTGTCCACTCTAATTTGCGGGTTGAACCAAACGTGGGATAAGGCGGGAATTAATTCAAGTAACCGAAAAAAAGGAAAAAATGTTCAATAGAAAAGGTGATAAAGTTAATACATGGTTCAGTTTTATTTGGAGTCTAATAATTTACAGATTTTATTATATAATCGTATTTTAGAATATAAGTTATTGATTGAGCTTTTCTTTATTTTTGCTAGTTTGCCAAGCAACTCGGCCAAATTTTCTAAATATGCCTTGCAAAAATGATCAATAGAATACTCTAAGTAGTTTTTCGTGACTATCATCGAATTTTCTAGAGCGCTAGGTTGATTCCGTGGCATGGTTTCGTACTCAGTACTTTCAAGCACAAATCCACCCTTGACCATTTTTTTAATCATTGAATTACAGGCAACTAGGTTTCTTTTTCCATTAACAAACATAGAAATATTTGTTTGATTGGAGTTTCCTGTAAACTGAATAACGTCAATGAATGTAAATATAAAATCTAGAAACTCGGATTTTGGATGAATCAATACACTTGATGATATATTCATTGCAGGGTGCAAATAAAATTTGGATGATTTTGCGAGGTTTTCCTCAATTTTATTTTTGCTTTCAAAAAATTCATTAATTTTATGAGTAATAGATAAACCAAAATAATCACTTGATAGTAAAATAAGAAGCAGCTGCCAGGAAGATGTAACTGGATTTTTGATCCCTTGCCCAATTAATATTCTTTCCACAATACTTATTTGGCTAGCATTCAAATTTCTTGAGATATGCGTGTTTAATACATAGGTTTTTTTAAGTATGATTGAAAAAAAAATATAAATAATTAGCATATATTTAATTAATATCTTACTCATTTTATATTACTTTATTTTGATTTATTATTTCATTAATTAATTCGCGGATCTAAAAATAAACGTAAAAATATAAAACGCAAATGAACTATAAAAATAATTAAATTCTAGAAATTATGCACATGAAGGAGAGATATTTTATATGAGTTTTCCATTAATGCGATCAGTACTTTTACAAGTTCAGTTTTTCGTGATGTATTATCAATAATATTCCACAATTTTGCTGCTGAGAACATGTTTTGCACACATTTTCTTTCGTTACCCCAAGTTCTACAATATAATTCTAAATATTTTTTAATTCCATTTTTTGAGAATCCTTTTATGATCTCGCATTCAGAAGGTAGCTTAGTTTTAACTCTTTTCCATGTTATTTTCGAAAATAAATCATTACAGGTTACTTGTAGACCAATATAATATGATATTTCAGTAACACCGGGATACCCTAAAAATAGCAAGTCAAAAATTTCAAAATAAATACAATCCCCTGACAATTTAATTTGAAGGTCTTTTTTATTTGATTCATTATTTGGTTCTACAAAATATGTAGTGAAAACATATTCTAATAGTTGGTTTTTTTCAATCAATGTATTTGATCCAATAAAAGGTAGTGTCAAGTAAATTTTAAGTTTGGCATTTGTCTTTAATTCGCTAAATTTTGTATATATTCTAATTCCCGGAGGAAGTTTGAGCACTTCTTTACCATTTACTTCTATTATTGATGCACTTATTTCTAATATTTCCGGTGGTTTGTTTTTTCCATAAAGATAATTTTCAAGATACGAATTAAAATCATACGATAATTCCGGTCCTTTAGGTAGAGTTTCAATTATGCTGTTATTTGTTTTGTATAATTTGTTTATGAGTTCTAACGATTCTCGAATTATAATATAGGCCTCATTTGCCTTCGCTTTCATTTTTTTTTCTAGAACTTTGTCAGGGTGTGTAAATAATAACAATTTTTTTTTGACTGTTGGCATTTCATTTATTTTGAATTTTTTTGGGTCTATTCCTAACGTCCAAAAAGGATTATAATACTTGTTTTGTTGCTCACTATGTCTGTCTAGTACAAACTCAATTACCAATTTCTGAAAATTGGATTTTGCTGAATAAAAATGTTCAGTTCTGGTTTCCATGTTAATACCATCATTATCCTTAACGCCATATTGAGAATCCCATTTCATTCTTGCTTCTTTGAGTCTATTATATGATTTGAAAATCTTTTCAGAATCTGAAATATCTTCAATGGGAAGAAATAACCACTTAAGCAAAATATCGCATCTATTGATTGTTTCAGTATCAGATGCGTCAGAAGAGAGATTCAAAACTGATCTTAAGTCATTTTTGTCGATGTTAGAGTTAATTGTGTTAGAAATAGACTCCCTTTTGTTAATTCTCTGAATACACCACAAATTAACATGATCAAATATTTCGATATTATCACATAAATTCTTATTAGAGAGTAAGAGTCTTTTTACACTCAAAGATGAACTGTTGAAAAATGATGTTGTGTAATATGTATACTTAAGCCCAATTAAATCATAAAATGATTTTTCCATTATGATAGCGTCATCAGATATTATAGTTTCATTCGATATGTTTTTAAATGTCTGATTATATAGATTCTTGACATTTTCGAGTTTATTTAATAGGTAGAAGTAGAACAATTCATGATGATTTTCTAAAAAAAGTTCTTCAAAGTTTTCATTTTTCTTTTTCTTTGGGCCATTATTTTCTTGATCTTCCATAATATTATATAATCTCTTTTTATTTAATTGGTTTTTTTTTTTCTCATCACTTGTAAATTTTGAAATTTCTTCGTTTTTTTCACAAGAAAAATTAAGACAATAACTAGTATATTGTTGCTTAATTTCACTTTGTTGGGTAAACCTCCTGATTGTTTGATGATCAAGAAAAAGGCAGAGAATCATAAAACATGTTTTCCATGAAAATTCTTCTGTATTGTAATTTTCAAAAAACTCGTTAAGTTGGGACAATGGATGAATAACTTCTTCGTTGCTTAAGAATCTCGAAATAATGTGATACAACTTTTTTTCTTGATTTTGTAAGCTATTAAAAGTTTTAATATTTCTAAAGTGAGGACTCAAAATTTGGACACTAGAAGAATACCTATTTGAGTTTAAATGAGATTCTTTATTCATTCTCCTTAATTAAACCTAAATCATTGTTTCAAATTCTGTTAAATAAAAAAAAAAAATATTGCAATTACCCACAAAATACCGCATTTAATTAAATCGGAAAAAAGTTAAAGCAGAAAATTCGAACAACTGATTTTAATTAAACATTAAAATTTAGATCAAATGAATTAATTTGCAAAAAATTTATTCAGTCTGTATACTGATCTCAAATTTATGAAGCGAAACTAACAAATTCCCCATAAATATTCAAATTCATTGCAAATTTTTGAACAACAGAGTGCTGCAGATAGTGGGTATGAACTAATGCTAATTACTTCTTCTATGAAATCACAACTCTGTATTGGGTCGCCATATGCAACCGCACCAACAACGAATGTTACTGCACTCTTGCGTGCGTTGGAGTCTTGACCTGAATATATTTCATTTGCCAAAGCCCGAATACTCTTTTGGGTACCATTAACTGAAAGACCATATTTTTTTCCTCCAATAGGCAAAATTTTGTCAATGTCATTTTTGATTATTTTCATCAAAATAGTATTTCCATTAACCGCTAGGACTTTGCGCTTAACGAGTAAGTTTACCATTAACGACGAAAATTCCTTAAAGCTTCTTGGTACAGAAAGTTGTGGGTTTACCTCTATTAATACGTTACTCATGGTTCGAATATAAACTAATAATCTCCCACTTTTATTTAGAGGAGAATCTAGCAGTGAAAGTAAACATTGATGCAATATATCTGGCCTGATGTTTAAAACCATTTCTTCTTTCGAGAATATTTCGGAAAAATGAGATGAACAATATTCTTCGATTTTTTTTTTTGGATGGTCAATGCCATTAAGTAACTCGAGAGACTTATCTTTCTTTTCATATAATTCTAAGCATCTAAAAAAATTAAATACTTTACTAAAAACAATAGAGTAGATAACTTACGCTCGGTCTAGTAAAATAAATACCCTTTCTTCATTCTTCCATTCAGAAAGGTCTTTTGGAACATAAATTACATTTGAATTCATTTTATAACAAAAACTAAGGGCGCTTTTAACGGGTAAATATTTTTCTATTTTTTTCGTAATTAAATGGATTTGCTTACAAAGCGTAATAAAGTTAGAAAGCAGCCATCGACAAGTTCTAAGTTTACAAGTTTTAGGACAAGCATTATTCTAATAGATGCGTAAGTTTAAAATTTATTGTAACAATTTATTGACTTACTGGTAAAATAGTTCATTGTTTGTGAATAAGAAAGGTGGAAAAAAGGAACTTTTAACTGAAGAAAAAATACTCGAGGAAGATGTAAAATTAATTGCTAACAATGAAGTGCGGCCTGATATCATCCATAACTCACTATTAATGCTACTCGATAGTCCATTGTGTAAATCCGGCAGCCTTACAGATATTTTAATTTTAAATTCTGATGGTAAATTGATCAGAGTAAACCCAAAGTTCCGTGTTCCAAGATCTTTCAAAATATTTAGCAAAATTTTTTCTGAATTCTTATCGTCTCCAAATGGTGAACTGAGACTTCCTGATGGAGAAAACACGGTTCTTATCACTTTGCTTAATGACTCGATTGAGGATTATTTTTCAAATAGCGAAATAGTGATTGGACTCTCCAGAGAAGCAAAAAAGGTAAGCTTCAGAAAGTTTATTAAAGATGAGATTGCAAGAAAAATAGGTAATGGAGCAGAGAGTATTAGTTTTGTTATTGGGGCTTCAGCAATGAATAATAGCTGCGGCCAATTTATCTCGAAATTTACACATTACATATCATTATCCGACATTAGTATACCCTCGTACATTTGTTGCACAAAAATTTGTGGTGAAATGGAAGAATTACTAGGAATATATTAATTTTTGTTTTAGATCTAGATACTAGTTTATTCTTGAAACATTTTTGCGTGAATTTCATACATTTGGCATTCTTTTTCATAATAAAACAAAACAGGGACACACAAAGTAATAGTTGTTGTAATGCCCATCCATATTATTTCTCTACTTATATTCGCTCCGTTTTTAGTGATGATATTGATGTAGCTCTTTGAAATTGGTGAAATTGGGTTCACTTATTGGTTAGATTAAACTTACCTTGATTGATTTCATATTTTATTGGTTTAATTATTTTTCTTCTTTCAAATGTCTTTTTTGCGGCAGGGATTGGCATTTATGGATTTATTGCCATAAACATGAGATTATAAAAGACGATTTCACAATAGATAGTGGAATCTCGATAAATATTGCTTAAAAGCTGAATTATACCCAAGTCTAATCGCTCAGCATATTTTCTAGCTTTCTTATTTTGTTTAATTTATGTATTTCATACCAGCTAAGAGTATCAGAAATAATATCCGTAATTTCCTTTTCATTAAAATTGGGTAATTTTGTTGGCATTGGATTCTTTTGGCTCATTTCTTTCTCTTCAAATCTCTTTGACAAAAACCACAAATCCATTGAATTGTTGAACTTGGGAATTTCAATATTTACATTATATTCGAATATTTTGTAAATATTCTCCAGGCTCTTACTTTTGGGGCTTTTAATTTTAGGGTTTTTAATTTTGGGATTTTTAATATTAATATTAGGTTTAGTTTCATCCAAAGATTTTTCAATAAATCCAGTTTTTGAACGTATTTTGCAGACTTTATTATTTTCTGTGTTCTTTAGTTTTTCTTCTGAATTCCTGTGACCTTCTTCATTTTTGTGCTTCTCTTCAGCATCCTTAAGTTTTTCTTCTGAAGTTTTTTGTTTAGGAGGTCCACCTAAGATTGTATTTTTTGGTTTACCTTGCATAATATCTCTCGACTTAGAAGTCTTATTTTCAGTAACTTTTTTGTCCACAGCTTCTGTTTTAAAACAACAACATATTGAAAATTTTCTATTTCTTTTTTTCTTCTTTTCAAATCTTACATTTTTGATTTTTTTTTTTCCATTGTAATTTTTATTCTTATTTAATTTTTTTTTCCCACCCTTTAATAAAACTTCGGAATCGTTTTTGAGTTTTAATTCAGTTTGGTTTTTAAATGCTTTTGAATTTTCATTTTTAGTTAATAAAAAGGCGTTGGTATTTTTTGTTTCAATTGATAGTGGTATACAAATTTTTGTTTTTTCTACAGAAACTATACATTTATTATCGACGTTTTCGGAAAAATTAGATTTACATGAAAAATTACTTTCCGTATCTGAAATAATCATGTTCTTAGTATGAAATTCATCTTCTTTATTCGACTCTTGGTGTTCAACCGAACCATTTATTGAAGAGCCACATTTTGATAAATGGCTATTTGCTAAATTATTGTCTACGTTTTTTTTTTCTTTAACTAAATTTGAATCCATTGTGAAAATACTAATTTAGGAGAAAAATAATAAAAATTATCCGTTTTCCATTCAAATAAGCCGATTTTGTTTCAAAGATCAAGTTTTATTAAACAATGAAAGGATAAATTTTGATTCACACATGTTTCACACTTAAAAATGCAAAGATAAAGAAAGAAATTCATAATAAGTTTTGCAATTCAAAAATAATAATTATTAAAAATATTAAAAATAGAGTATGAATATGAATATGAAATATAAGCTTTTACTTTTAATTCTCTCCTTATATCATGTTTCTTTAAAAAACCCTTAATAAATTGAAAAAAAACCCTTTTGCCAAATGCGCCATTGTAGTGCCATATTTAATAAATAGTATTTTATTATGTTTAGAATCAAAAAACTCATTTTTTTGGCATTAATAATATATTTAAATGTAATAGCCAGTTATTGCAAAAGAAGTAAAAAAGCAGAATGCTCATTTGAAAAGAATTTAGAGGATAATGCCAATATTAGGTACTTTGAAGTTAGTGTTACTTCGAATACAGAACTTAATACAATAAAAAATATAAGAGAGCATGTTAGCCTCCTTGAAAAATATAATGATCAATCATATGAATTGGCTGGGAATTCAACCAATTTAAAAAACTCTAGCTCAAGTTTGATTGATGATGATATACTATTTTTAGAGTCCTTTATTTCATCTTTCTCTACACAATCCAACATTTCGGCACCATTTTCAACAAACGGTGTGACGATTGATTCGGTTCCCATACACGAGACCAATTGCAATTCTGATTTAATATTCGAAACAAACAATGAAGATATTAATATATCAATAAATAATCATTTGATTTCTAAACTAATTCCTGATTTCGATCAAATTAATAGAACGATTTCAGTTATACCCTGGAAAGTTATTGATAATATCGTTCTAAATTTGGTCCCTGAAATTCAAAAAATATCTTATGAATTTGCATTAATCTGTACTTCAATTAGTAACAACATCGAATTATTAAAATCCTTTTCAAATGGATCCGATATTAAGCATGTGCAATGGGAAGCATTACAAATGGCTTCTTTTGCAAGAGGTTATTCACGTTATATACTAGAGACAGTTTCATTGGCGATGTCATTAGTATTGATCGCTCCTGATTCTAAAGCAGAACCATCTGTTCTTTCTGATATTAACTTTTATTCAATAATTAAACATCCAAAAGAATTACTAAATAAATTAAGTGAACAGAAGGTTGAAGAGAAAAAAAACTATGAATGCATAGATTTTTTCGTGGATAAGGATATCAAAAATTCCTGTATTTTCTGCTTTTCTATTTTTTTAACTCTTTATTCTCGAATTCAGTGCCAATTTGTAGAAGTTGGAATTTCAAGAGAATCAATACTTGGTATTAGGTGGTTAGAAGAAATTCATTCACATATAAATCAATTAGATAAGTTTTTATTATCTGTATGGAATCATTTCGTCATTGAGAAATACCCCAATAGCTCTCATTATATTCCTCCAAAACCGACTATTTCATGGAAGGCATTTAAACTGAAACTATATGAAGAGTTCAGAATAGGGTTAAATTTCCAACAAAAAATAAAGCTAAATTCTGAATTGGATCTAAGTGATCATATCTTTTTAAATAGACGTTCTAAAAAAGATTCAGAAATTAATAATTATATTGAGCTAAAATATATGGATTCTATTTCGAATATACTAGAATTGAATCAAATTGAAATAGATGTAATTGAGGAAACTATAAAAGTATATAATAATATCATTGAGTTGATGAATTTCTCACAAAACGGAGTATTGCTTGGCTCTATAACAAAATTAAGTAACTCTTTAATGTCAATAGCAATAATATTAGGAACATATGGAGATAAACATTTGATTAATATAGCCCTACAAAGTTTAAAAGAGAACCACCGTGATATCCCCAGTGAAGAATGCAAGAGACTTCATCGAGAAGTGATAATTGATGAATACTTTGATCAAAGCACACTCACAAATATTTTTGTAAAATATATTTATTGTAAAAATGATCTAAGTTCACAAATAAATAGACAGATTTCACTTCATTTTAAGTACGAGCTAACAAAAAAGTTTTTGAAAAGAATATTAATTTCTACAAGGAATTCATTATTTGATAGGATAAGAGAAAGAGTTAGTGCATCCAAAGTGAATGCAGAAATTAACTTTAAAAGATCTTTTACCAGGTATTTATCACAGTTTCAAGTAATATTGGGTTTAGTGAAAATAATTAGAATTAAGATGGATGAAACCAATGCTAAACTAAACGAACTATTGCAATTAACTGACTATTATATTTTAAATCTTGAAAAGTTCAAAATAAAACTTACAAGTTTTATTTTCAATAATAGATACTTTTTTTTAGAGAAAGGCGTTATTGGAGAGCTAAATGATACATCGTATCCACTTACACCGATTACAATCTCTTTGGGGCCATACTTATTTGATATTGCTGGAAAAAATTTAAGGGCAACGATAAATAAGTTGCGTTCAAAGATATCATTACTGAATAAGTTGATTTCATTTTCGAGAAATATATTGATCAAAAGAAGATATAATATTAATGAAGGATTAAATTATCAAGAAAAAAACAAAATTTTATATTCAACTGCACTTAGAATTTACAATAACAGAGATGAATTAATTGTAATTAATACTTTCACCATGGTTTTGTATAAAACTTTAAAAAACCTAGGAAATTCATCACTTAAACCTGTTAAAAACGAATTTATAAGTGAAAACTATCGCTTTGATTTCGGGAAAGATGATAGATGCAATTTAAAGAGCGACATCTTATCTTTGAAAGAAACTGAATTAATAGGGTGTAAATTGTTTAACAAAATGGTTGAAATTATACAAATTGATGAGCTTTTTAGTCTATTGCAAAAACAATTTATCATTATTGACAATACTGAGAGAAAAATATACTATGAAATTAGTGTGTTATTTGACAAAATTTGGCCTCATCGCAACTTCATTAATAACATCTTATTTAAAAATCTCTCTTCAAAGCTTTACACTTTAAAAAGCTTATTAGAAAATATGTTGATTTTTAATGGAATTGCAAGAAATTCTTTAGTACCTTATATAAATGGCATGAACAACTTTGAATGCTTATATGACTTTTCACTAGGTAGTATAAGTAGCTTGGAAAATGCTATTAAAGAATTCCCATTCAATATCAGCTCGAAAGGGCCAAAGGCATTCTTTAAAAACATCACAAGTGCAATTAAAGGAATATTCATTAAAAGTGAAAGAACGAAAAACAGAGAGAAAAAGGCAATTGTGAAGGAAGTTACTAGGCTTAGTAAGATATTGTTCTCACTTGAGCCATATGTAATAAATATAGATATTTCTTTCAAATTAAATGTTGAAAAGCTGCGTTTTATAAAGATTGAATCTCAAGAAAGAATAAGAAAACTTTTCTATTTGTATATACACTGCATTTATTCAACCTTAAAAAGCACAATATTTGTCGGAAATCTTGAGAAGCGTTTTCCAATTGAGGTTAGAGAAGAGTGGAATGAATTTATCAAGCAATTAAATATAGTTCAAGCTTCACTTTTTGGGCAGTTGTATTTAATTTTGGTAAGTTAAGCTGAATTTACATGAATCCTAGTTATTTTTCTTTTCAATAGCCTATATTCATACATAATTTGGAGATAAGAAATGCTGCCAACTTAATAATAAAACAAATTACTTCAAATCAGGTAAGCTAGGGCTCTCCTTATTAAAAATTTAAACAAATCTTTTTAGGACGCATTATCAACTAAGCTTAGAAACTTTGTGGAAAAATGGAGCTGAATTAAAAAAAAATACGGAATACAACTTTTTACACTCAAGATTTAGCGGTTAATGTTTACGCATTATATATATATAAAAAAAAAAGAAAAAAATGTCCGACCAAAAAATTACAATCATAAATGGAGAGTTGTGCAGAGTAGCTAATACTAAGAGAAATGAAGTAAGCGATGAATCTTCACTACTTCCATACTCAATCAACACAAGAGTGGCCCGAGAAGAAAACAATTTTTTCAACATGACTTGTTTAAGTGTGTCCATATTATTTTGGATAGCTTTACTAACATGGATCTCACTTGGAGCATTGCTACTATTTTTTAAAAGTTCAATAATTGGATATTGTTTTCACTTGTTAACATTCCTTATATCTTTGTTGATGAGCGAATCTACAAAAACTTTAATAGCATACATGCTTTTAAAAAATAATTACGATGAATCATCTAGATTAAGAAATTATCTATCACTGAACCCAGGGATATTGATTTCTGCATTTGACCCTACATCATTTATTGTAATGGCATCTACATTCTTTTTATTAGGTATCCCTATGCTAAACATTAAGCAATTAATTAATTATGAGGCTTTAACACCTAATTGGAAGAAGTCTTTTGTTGCAATATCTGGCCCTTTATTTCACTTTATTTTCGGTCTAATACTTTCATCAATTCATATTATTGGATTTTTTTTGATTGATGACATGTTTCTTAAGGGATTAACTCAATTTTTAATATTAGGGATGAGATTACAGGCCTTTTTAACTGTGATAAATATAATTCCCTTGCCACCAGTGACAGACGGATATAAAGCAATATCTCCATATCTACCAGAAGGTATTACTCGTGATATTTCAAATGCGAAAAATACCTTTATATTCTTTGTTCTTTCTACAATACTGTTTATTTTTATTTCTCAATCTTCATTAGTGATTAATACGGTAGACTTCATAGTTAAAAAAGTATATTTGATGGATCACACCATATAGAGAAAGAGGATTTTTATCTAAAAATAAGGAATAGGTTTGAAAACTAATTTATAATCTAAAAATATATTTGATTTCTTTTACATTCATTTTTTCCCCCAGAGCATTAATTATCTAATTCGCTATTTATGTGAATTTTGTTGCGCCATAATTTTTGAAAACTTATGTTATATTGATTAATGGTGGCTCAAGGTAAACTTATACATTTTGAGGTTGAACCTGTTAAACACAGTGAGGAAATTGAAGAGAATTCTAATGTTAAGTTTGAGGACATTCCAGTTGAATGTACTTGCCCATTCTGTAAGGAAGATATCGTTACCCAAGTGGAACTTGAAAGTTCTTGGTTTACTTATTTTGCCTCAGTTGTCTTGTTTTTGGTAATTGGTTGGATAAGTTGCCCAATTTTACCCCTGATCTGGACTTTAATACAGGACTCAGTTCATACATGCCCAAGATGCTTAAACAAAATATTTAGAAACAGGCGTATTAAATGCCCTTCAATTAAATCTGAAATAATGACCCTTAAATGTGGAAGTTGTGCGGTGGTCTTAACAAGAAGATATGTAATTACTATTTTACTAATATTCTCAACAATAATTATTCTTACCACGCTTCGAACACTATTAAAAGTATATGGTTTACCTGATATTGAGCATGGGCCCCCTATTGATAACACATGGATGATGTTTATTGAGTCTTGCGGAGTTAAATCATATTTAGGAAATCCAATTCGTGCAGTTAGAGAGTTTGAGGATAATTACCAATATAAAACGGTTTCTTGGACAGGAAGGGTAATCAAAGTTCAAGAAGGGTTTTGGAAAAAACATTTCATTTATATAGGCATGAATCCGCCACAAATTGTAACTAATTCTGGCAATCCAATACCAGATCTTGGCCTTACATTCAATGAAGAATTATTATCTCAAATTTCCAAAATAAAACCTGGGGATCTTTTAGACTTTAATGCTACCTTGGTAGAATTTGGTAAACGTGGACACCCTCATTTTGGTCAAATGTGGAATTTTACAAAGTTGGATGATGAGCTTAATATGATGGATGTTCTCTTGCCAAAACAAAAGAGCTTACTGCTTATGATACCGCTTATTGAGATGATGAATCAACTGTCAGAACAACTCTCAAAACCTATAAATTCAGATGAACAAGATAGACAATCAAATACGCATGACAGTGTTTTAAATTCGAATATACAGGATGTTAGAGAGTTTGATGTAGGAAAAAGATTTCATGATGAAACATACAGACTACCAGAGTCAAGTTATAGTTCAATGGATGAGACAGAAAAAAGCATTGATAATTAATTTAAATGATTACTTAAGTTTCATTCTCCATTTTAATATTAAACTTTTGAATAAAGATTCTGTATTATTTCAAAAGTTTTAACAAGAAAACTCCATTAATAAAACCTTCAAATTTAAGAAAAACCTTATTAAATTCAAGTAATTAAGATATGATAATTACCTAAGTATTATATTATCAATCTAATTATTTAACATTAGAATACTTGGATTTTAGAAAGAAATTAAGTTCAAAGAAGTAATCAGGAATGGCAACCAAATTTTTATAACGAATTGAGTAGATAATTATTTATTTAATTACGATTATTCTTCTTAAATGAACGCGACATAGACAGTTTAATTTTCGAATTCATTTCCTTTGTTCGATTACCATAAGAAAAATGATTAGAAGCCTTATCTTTATGAACAACACTCTTTTCCATTTTATTTTCGTCTAGAATTCTCGTAGAAAATAGAGAAATATTCAAATGATTACAAATTGATTTAATAGTTATGGATGCAAAGTCTATAGTGTACATTGTATTCCATAAGGCGACAATTATTAATAGCACTATTTGAAATTCAAACGATTGACTGAACAGAATTCTACCAAATAAGAGAAATACTGAGGAGATATAAAAAGGGAGTGCTGGCCAGTGTACATATGGTAGTTCTTCGAGTGTAAATGATGAAACATTCATTCTCAAAGCAATAATTGAGCTGCTCGTCGTTAAAATGAACATGGTAGTCATTGGGAACTCAGTGTATGTATTTGAGCTTATGAATAGAAATTGAAACATTAAATGACACAATATACCGCAAATCTCCAAAGATGCAATTTTTTTTGACCTTGGGCTCTTGCATTCATTTAAGCCTGAAACGATATCATTTATTAGCGTGATTATACCTATAATTATAATGGATAAAATGATAATATCAATAGTTGAAATATTTAATAATAAGTGCTTAAACAAGATATTTAAACCACTAGTTGAAGAATAAACTGCAAAAAATATTACAATACACTGGCTCTCTGTGACACCCAAGTAATCTGAAGATGAACACCGAAAAATCTTACAGTGGCATTCTAACCAAATAAATGAAAACATTTTAAACTGTGCAATTGATAAAAAAACACAGAATTTATAACCCCATCCCATCCTGCAACAAGCACAAAAAATTGTTGAAAAAAAAATAGTTGTGTATGAATCAAGCCCATGATCAAGTAGTTGCCCTAAAGGCGAACTAATCTTTAGTCTTCTTGAATGTTTTCCATCAACCGCATCAAGAGTTTGATAAAGAAATAAAAGTAGGGAAATGATTATCGAGGTACCGAAAGGCATTGCGTTATCGAGTGTTGGGCAATACATCATCGTTAGTAGTATTGCAATCAAAGAACATATAAACCCAAGTACTGTCAATAAGTTTGGTGAAATATATTCAGGAATTTGCCTTTCAAATAATTCCCAAAAAGGATTCATTAAGGAATCCAAAAATGTAGACCCACCGCTTTTATAACTATACTCCTCGATATTTCTCAGCCCTTCCTCACTAATAAAGCTTCCAAACACGCCTACATGAGTTCTATTTTCACGTGAACTATTAGTCATTATAAAACTTAATCTCAATAATTGACCTTAAGCCTTTTGATTTACTTATCAGGAATGCTGAACAATTAATATTAATAATTAGCAAATTTATCTTTTAATAATTATTAAAAAGAATATCATATTGGGAACAGAAATATCCGATGGTTCAACTGAAAATACTCACTTGTCAATATACTGTAAATGAGGGGAAATTGGTGGGGGCAAGTTCTTATAATGAGCGCATTTATCTACAAAAAAAAAATAGTTTAGATTTACTGACAGGAAATGAAAGGAACATTAATCTTACTACTATATTTATTGAATTTTCTCAATGGAACTTTTGGAAAGTCGTATTATGATATTTTGGGAGTGAAAAGAGATGCCAGTGATACAGAAATTAAGAAAGCATATAGACAAAAAAGCCTAAAATACCATCCAGACAGAAATTCGTCTCCAGATGCATCGGAGAAATTTAAAGAGATTGCAACTGCGTATGAGGCTTTGTCCGATTCCGAAAAAAGAGATATATATGACAAGTATGGTGAAGATGGTTTAAAGCAGCATCTTGAAGGTTCTCAAGCTCATGATCCATTTGACCTTTTTTCAATGGGATTTGGGAATTTATTTGGAATGAATTCTGGGAGAGAAGGCGAAAGGTACAGGGTTCCAGACACTACATTCAAATTGTTTATGACTCTTGAGCAGCTTTATTTTGGAGATATAATCACAATTTCATACATCAGACCCGTTTTATGTATAAATGCGAATGATTGTTTGAAGAATAGGAATGATTGTGCAGGTGCGGGGACAAGACTATTTACTCAGCAAATGGGCCCTGGATTTATGGTTCAACACCAGGTTAACGATTCAACTTGTGTTGCAAGGAAAAAGGGATGGGAGAAAAATTGTAAGCAGTGCCCAAATGGGCCAACTGAACTAGAGACTGCAAAACTAACCGCATATATAGACGCAGGAATGTATTCTGGTGATACAATTAGATTTGAAGGCTCAGGGGAACAGAAACTCAATCAAGAGCCTGGCGATTTTATTGTTGTAATTTTTGAGGTGGAGAATGAATATTTTAAAAGAGTGGGGAATGATTTGCACACCACTATGGAAATCAGTCTTGCAGATGCTTTACTAGGGTTTAATCTTCCATTAAAGTACATTGATGGGAAAAACATAAATATTGAAAAAAGTGGCATAACTTCATATGGAGATGTACTTAAAGTCAGGAAGAAAGGAATGCCAATTCGAAACACAAACGAATACGGTGATCTGTATGTAACGTTAAAGTTCAAAATGCCACCAGAACTGAACGAAACGCAAAAACAGTTAATTAGAGAGGCAATTCTAGACGCTTAAATATAATTAATGAGCTCTATGGACGCTAAATATTGCTGAAATGGAAGCAGTGAAACAGCCAAATGAGCAAATTAATGTAAAAAGTATAAAGATAGGCCTAGATAAGTACTTTTCACAAACAAATACATGTTTGAATAGCTTCAGATACACTACAACCGGGAAAATTAGGCAGATTATAGTTTCGAATAACCCAGTTGCAACCTCTACAAGTAAAAGCAAATCCTGTAAATTAGTTGCCAAAAAAATTGAAAAAATTAGGAATAAAAATACAATAACCGCTCTAGCCTTCGTATCCACTGAAGTTTGTATTTCTGAAAATTTCTTCTCTTCATCGAGGTTAATCAAATCTTTGATCTTATCACTAACTAAAATATTAGACTTATTCTTACCATCTTCCAAAGAACTTAAAATGGAAGTATCGATCATATTCGGAATATCTGGGCTTATGCTCGCATTTTTCTCGGCAAAGTCTAGAGAATACCTGTGCCTCTCGATATTATCAAGTGTATTTGAAATAGAGGAGCGGCTATAAGTATTTGTAGATGAACATAAAGTTTCTATTGGTGAAAACTGATTGTACCCTGCAATTCCAATTTCATTTACGGGTTGATTAAATAGCTTATTATCAAAATCGTAATAATAGTTTCCTTTAAGTATTATTATAATATTTGACAACGACGATATTGCAGCATGCAGTGAAAGAGTACAAGCTACTAAGTTAGAAATACTCAAAAAAACTTTTGATAAAATGAGAAATGTACCTTCATTGTCATAATTAAGTGCTACGCTCTGTAATGTCGATTCTCCGAATGTTAAATATGAAAATACAGTAATCACCGAAAACAATATAAAACTCGAGATCGAAACTGTGCTAGAAAGAGCAAGTATCCTATTTGTTGTGGGGTTTAAAAGCTCATATGCAGTAGCGGGAGAATTTTCATGGTTAGAAAACGCAAAGCATGAAACAGTTAGCATCTTGATACATGATAATAATTTAATATCTGCATTCCACCAAACAACCTTTCCACGGTCTAATGATGCTCCAAAGTAAAAATAATATTGAACAACCGTTATTGCAAACAATAAACCTGCAATCAATGATAGCCAGCTAATATGCCTAGTCGTTTGAAGTTCCTTTTTGAGGGAAAATGGAAACATTACAGCCGCGCAAAATGCCATTAGTATTATTTGATTATACGAAATACCTGATGCTGTAAATTTAGTTGAAATAGGAGGGATAAGTTGTTCGATACACGAACACCAAATGATTAGAAAGCACGGCAATGTAATAGCCATAGCAAAAAATATTGGCAGATTAACAAAAAGTGCAATAACTTTAGTATTTACTGAGAGTCTCTCCTTCTCCTTATCATTATTTACCTGTCCTTTTATATCGGTTGAATCCTTATATAAAATAGCCTTTAAAAGAGTGTTTCCATAATTGTCTGCAGAAAGCAGAGCAGCTGATTTCATTAATACAAACTGAGTCATAAAAAGTACAAAACACGAGAAGAACATGATTAAAAGCCCAAGAATAATTCCAGTCTCTTTCATACACGAAGGAAGCAGCAAAACTGCTGAAGGTGAAATGGACGCCCATAAAACAACCACATTTTGAATTAAAGAACCTTTTTTTAAGTACTCATTCTCAAAAATAGATCTATTTGGTGACCTTTCTTGTTTCATCGAATAATACTACAAGCTCTTTATCTTATTATTGGTCAATATTGCAAGAGGCGCTACTAGACACTTAACTATGTGAACATACTAAGTTGCCGCCTGAATAATTGATTGTTTGCCTAGATGTGTTGAGTAAAAAAACGAATCGAAAATAAATCAATTTTCCTATACTGGGCTCTCGATTCATTGTGGATTACGTGCTTTCACTATTAGAACTTGAAGTTATCTATTTCTCTGCGAATTTCATTCACCAATTCAGATAGAGTTTCTGGTTTTACACCTACTTCTATGAGTTTAATTAAAATTAATAGGGAATCCTTATCTAGCCCTGTATTTAACAACCTTGATATGTCAACTAGTGTCTCCAATACTTCTTGGTTAATTTTTTGCCCACATAATTCCTTCATTATAAGGGGAAAAAAAGATTTATTAGTGTTTCTTAAAAAGAGTGAATAATATAATGGCGCAAGTAATTCGGAGAATTCCCTGAATCCCCACAGCTAAAGAAACAAAGATATTGTTCTAGTAAAATTTCAAAGTAGATGATTGGCTAGCAAATATAGCCATATCATACTGTAATGTATTATTTATACTACAGATACCTAGATATGATACAATAAATATAATACGATAGAAGGATAATATTATTAAATATCCATTGTACTATTAGATGTAAATTTAGGTTCTAACACTATAAACAAGATTCGCTATATATTCAATTCACAAATTGAATTTCTTGGATACAATATCTTCTTGAAAAATATTCCAAAGGATTACTGACTCACCTCCGAAGGCCACTAGAGCTTCTTCATCTGGACAACTTTTACATGTGAATAACTTCCCTCCCTTCAAAGATTTTTCAATAATGCATTCTTTCATATTAGATAAATCCCATACTTTTGAAACACCGTCTAAGTCACAACTAACTAACATATTAGAAATAGATGTACAACAAACAGATGTTATCGGCTTTGAATTAAAGTTTGCTAATATTGAGAATTTGCTCTTAGCACAATTTTCTGAAAGCATTCTAATGTCGTATCCAGAAATAAATCCATTTTCTGTTGAGATTATTAAAGTATTTCCATTATCATAAATATCCGCATTAGGTAGTACAATGGACTCTGGATCTCCATACTCTTTGTCATACTTTAGTAAAGCTTGATGATTTACAGTCCTAATATCAATGATTTGTATCGACCTACTATAGTCAGCAGAAATTAATATATTGTTCTCAGAATGATGCCACTCTAAACATTGAACTTTTCCGCTGCAATTAGAATAAGTGCTAATGCAAGAACCTTCATTTAAATCCCAAAGCTTAACTGTTTCATCGGCAGAGCCAGATGCCAATAACTTAGAATTTTTACTGTGAATTGCCAAGCTCATAACTGCATCAGAATGGCCCGTTTCACTTTGTAACATTAATATTGGATCAATTGAATCAATAAAATCTAAATTCCAAAGATTGATCTCACCATTAAATGACCCAACCGCAATAATATTGTTTTTATTATAAGCCCCTAAAGAAATCCATTCTGAACAAAGGGGATAATCTCCAATAATGATATCGTGGTGTACGTAAAAACTTCCATCTTCGATTGAATATAAATATACCTGCAAAGTAGCAACATCATCTTCAATTGCGGTCGTTGACAATAGTGAATCACTTTCTTTTATTTGAAGTGCATCATCTTCATCATAATCAATAATTTGATCTCGTTTCATATTCGGGTCCTTTCCAAACTTAGATAATCCTTTTTCCACTGTATGAAAAAAGTTTTCACCATAAAAAGAAAAGTCTTTTTTATTATTATCATCATTTCCTAGTGAATTCAATTTCGTGTCAATATTAGTCTTTGTTTGACTATTTATTTCATGTTCGATATTGTGGTTGACAAAGTATTGCTCAACATCCTCGTCATTCATACAATAGTGCGAATTTTTGACAGGGATTTCCTTTGCATAACCTCTTGGAACCCATGATAGGGAACTTACTGCATTACAGTCCATTAAAGAAAGATAATTAAACAGTGCCAGTTATATTATTTAAATAATCTCCCGCTTTGTCTCCAATTTGCGGTGTTAGCATGTTGGGTTGTAAAAAAAAAAAAAAGATAAAAATATAAACTTTATATTACTGATGTTGAGGAGAAACGCGCGACAAAGGAAGGAATATCTTTCTAGAAAAGGTTTAGAACAAATTGAAAAGAACAGTTTAGAAAGAAGTATTCGTTTCAAGGAGGCACTCGATGAAGGAAAACTAATCCCAACGGAATATAAGAGTATTTCTGATAAGATCGTGGCAAATATTGATCTCATTGACACATCAATTGACCCTAAGTCGATAATTGACGATGAATACTCATTATCTGGATTATATGAACCAAAAATACTAATTACAACATCTAGAAGTCCGAGCAACAGGCTTTTACAATTTGTTAAAGAACTTAATCTGATTGTACCAAACAGTTTTAGGATCAATAGAGGTGGCTATGTTCTGAAAGATTTTGGGGATTTGTGTAGATCAAATGGAGCTACAGATTTAATAGTTGTGCATGAACATAGAGGAGAGCCTGATGGTTTGATTATTTCTCATTTTCCTCATGGGCCAACCGCATATTTTACTTTAAATAACGTGGTACTAAGGCATGATCTCCCACTTAAACCATCAACTGTATCCCAAAGTAATCCCCATTTAATCTTTCAGAATTTCAATTCTATTCTTGGAGGGAGAGTATCTAATATTTTAAAATATTTATTCCCAAGATCAAAAAACACATCTCAAAGAGTAATTTCATTTATAAATATCAATGACAACATTATTTTTCGCCATTTTAATTGGGTCAAAGATATGGACAACAAATCAGAAGATTTACAACTTAATGAAATTGGGCCTAGATTTATTCTTAAATTATATAAAATAGAACTTGGAACACTAGAGATGAAAAATTTATCAACAGAGTGGGTACACAGACCTTTTTTTAACAAAAAAAAAACTTCATTGTGATATATATTTACTTTCTAATCATTTATTTCAATTTTTTCTCTATCCACATCATTCTTTCTTTTGCTGCAGTATTTCTTATTTTGTGAGCATAATCTAGTATTTTTTTTGAAGCTTCTGCTTCAAGAACCCAAGCACGGCTTATTTCTGTAACTTTATTTGAAAGCTCGTTATCAATTTCAAATTTTGATTTAATTCTTGAATTGATTATTTTAAGCAATTCCTTAGATGAAATCCCAATATTATCGAGCTCACTAGAAAGAGTCACCACTATTTCTGATATACTTTTCTCACCATTTCCTCTCAAAATCTCCTCTAACCCCTTAAGTTTATTTGAAAGATTCTTAAATCTTTCCGTTTGTGAAATAATATCAATATATGCCATCTCGCACTGTGCAGATAAGGATGCCTCAATCCGGCAAAAATCTCCACACTCAACTACTGGAGTGTCTAGGATTTTTCCAGAAAAAACGCTTTTATCGAAATTGAAATCGTCATTCTCGGTTTTTAATACGCTGTAATTACTCGGTGGTGCGGTTGTGGTTTGTATTTGATGTAATTCAATTTGGTTAGTGTTGCTTTCAGCGTCTGACAAATTAATTTCAGAATCAAGTTTATTTATACGTTTAATAAACTTTCTAACGTCTGTTTCATGATAATCTACAATTTTACCACTTCCCAATTCTTGAAGTGCCGACAACTCTTTTGAAAGAAGTTGTACAGAGTTTTCAAAATGTTTTTTGTTAGTCTCTGCAACTTCTTTTAATGAATTAATTTCATTATTAAGTGATATTTTTTCATATATAAGTTCTTGTATCATCTTCTTTTGATGAATCACTTCTTCAAGCAAGTTCTCATTCTCAATACTAATATTTTTTTTTGATTCTTCAATTGCATAAATATCGCGTTTAAATTCTTCATATAGCTGGTTTTTTAATAAATTAATTTTGTTTGAAGATTCACATTCAAAACGATCGATTGTCTCCTTTAACTCATTTTTTAATTTATTTATTTGTAAATCTTTCTGAACTAATTCATTTTTCAACTCATTATATTCCTTTAATACCTTCTCCAAGGATTCTTTTTTTTCTATTTCAATAATACATTTGTTGTTGAGTTCCTTATGAATTTCAAACCTTTCATTTTCAATCTTTGAGTAATTTACTTCAAGCTCCGTTATTTTTCTCCTTAAATCACCATTAAATAATCTCTCCTTTTCCAAATCACTTTTTATTTTTCCGCATTCCTTTTTTAATGAATCAATTTCAATATCTTTCTTTCTATTTAAATGAAATTGGCTTGAGAGAGCGTCATTTAACTCCTTATTCTCCCTATTCATCGACTTTACTTTTGAGTTAAAATTATCCAATTCATTTTTAGAATCTTTAAGTAATTGCTTCGTTTCATTTAGTTCAACATATGCTTGTCCAAGCCTACTCAATGAATTGTTAAATTCCAATGATTTTGTATTCAATTGATTTTTATATGATTGCAGCTCCAACTCTAACTGCGAAATCTTTGTTTTTGCGTTTTTTTCTTCCTCAACCCCAGATTCCATCTTTATCTTCCAGTTGTTGATTTCAGACAGTAAAGAAACATTTTTTTCTTCAAGATCACCTATTTTTTCTTTGTAATTTTCTAAAATTGATTGTAAAATACAGTTTTCACGAATTTTTTTATCTAAACACATTTTATTTTCTTTGTAATTTGTGTTCAATCTATTGTTTTCATCGGATAGTTGTGAAATGTTCCTGTGTAGTAACTCTTCTCTATCTCTGTTATCCTTCAATAAATCTTTTAAAAATATCAATTCATCATTTAATGATCTGTTTTCATTATTAACTAGATATTTTGAATCGTCAATCTTTTCAATTATACCCATATTCTTAAGCTGAGACATAAATTTATCAAATTCATTTGATTGATCTTTTGCTTTCTTTAGTTCAGATTTTGTTTTCTCATATTTGCTTTCCATTTCTTCTGCAAAAGTTTTCAGATTATTATTTTCTTTTTCTAAATTTTTTAAGCGAATATTCATCTCACTTTCAAGTAATTCCTTTTCTTGCAAAACGTTATTGTATTTTCCATTCAAATCTTTATTTTCGATATTTAGAATGTTAATTGAATCATTGATCTGAACTATAAGCAAATCTTTCTCTCTTAGATTGTTTTTGTACCTTAAATTAATATGGTTTAATGACTTTATTTCGTCAATTAATTTAGTTATAATAACTTTCTCTTCTTCAATATGATGAACAGTATCTGATTTAAGTTGTTGATATAGATTTCTAATAGATATGTGAACTTGTTCTGTTTGCTTCATTCTTTTCAAAATTCTAATTAAGTTGAATTTAAAATTTTGTTGCATAATTGAATGAGTATTGAGTATATTGCTTTGATAAGTTACCGTATTCATGGGCAGAATTGGTACCGAGCTAGATTGAGTTTTACTTTTCTGGTTACAATTAATAGATCCAATACTATTTATAGGGTATTCAAATTGGCCTGGAACGTCTATATTATGTTCATTTAAATAATTATTTGAAATTAAGTTGTTCTTTGATTTATCAAATTCAGTAGAAGTATAATCCACAATTCCAAACCCGTTTGGGATGAAACAAAATGGGTTAGATCTAGAATTTTGATTAAACACAACTTTTTTTAATACCTCTACATCTTTTTGCAAAGATTGCCCTTCTTTAACTGTCTGAGCCAATTCTTTAAGCAGTTCGTTTGTTGTTTTTGGGATTTGATTCAAAAATATTGAATCATTTTCGTTATTTAGTTTTCTATTTTTTTTCCTTGACTTGCTATTTGTATGTACGTTTTCATCAAATTCTGATTTTAAGTTTCGGTTAGGTGTTTCAGATAACTTTTTTTTGTCATTTGGTACCTCAGATTTAATTTCATGACTTAAGTTTAGTTTCGGATCACTTATATGCGATTTTAATATATAATCAAAAAATTCTTCATGCGCAGATTTGTACATGTGTTAATAATATTCATGTGCATTTATTTTTTGATACATGCACGTGGAGTCAAACCCCCACAAAATTCGGCGCGACAAAAGCGGCAATTATATGGCCATTATTGAGTTTAACTCGAATAATCGAATGTTTTTCTTTTAATTGAAAAATCAAGAAAATAATAACACGTTATGTTAAACAATAATCTAGCATAATTAGAATATGGTACGGAATTGCTACCTTAATTTTTACAGAATATGATGTGAATGTAATCTGTAGGGATTGCCTTTTATTTTTGTATTAGAACAAATCAAAAAGAAAAAAAAAAATCAATTTGCTATAAAATTATCAAATAAGGATTTAACTAAGAATTCCCCCTTATTAAATTTTAAATATACAAAATCTAACAAACTAAATATTTTCAAAGTATTCAGATCTAGTAATCCTATTTACATCTCTCTCAGCTAATAACTTTGCCCTTATTCTTCTTCTTTCGACAATTCTTCGGTATAGAGGTTTAGGTACAAGTTCATCAAATGCCATATTTAGGAATCCTGCACCAATTGCTAGAATATAAAGCCACCAATATATTGTATATGTTCCGAAAATTTGTTGTAAGCCAGGAGTAAATGTTACAATTAATGTGCTACTGGCACTTAAGCTACAAGCAAAGTGTAGCCACGGGTTATTAAACAAAGGTTTCGTGAACCAATCCCAAGTTCTGACTGTATATGCTCGTAACATCTCACAAAATACTGCAGCAATGAAAGATGCTGTCCTACCTCTTATTGTTCCGAAAGCAACCAAATCAATATATTCATCATTAATTGTCTTCTGTTGGGGGATGCACCAACCATGTTTCCCAGCTACACAAGAGATTCCCAATGTCTCCGCCTTCTCATATAAATTTTTGACATATGGAATTTCAGAAGGTGAAAGTGTTGAATTTATCTTTCCTTTAGCTACACCCAAGATTTGTTCCATACTATTAGTCAAAGGGTTATAAAAATCAATGTTTGTTACCCATCCAGTTTTTTCTAAGTCAATTAAATTTAATCTCCATTCATTAGTTTGACAAAAGTATCTATTGTTTGATTCATGGAGACAAAGCGATTCAATAGTATTTCTCTGAAAAACTCCTAAAGATGTATACATTGAAATTATCAGCACTGAAAGAACACAAATTGCTTCAAATATTGCGTGAGGAATGTTCCCAAATATCCACCAGTCTCTCGTCATTATTGGACTTTTTTTTGGCCTGGGAGGTACTTTCATCATATTTGGATCAGGGGGGTCAACACTGAGTGCAACTGCGGGTCCACCGTCTGACATTAAGTTTAAAAACAGTATCTGAAGAGCAGCTATTGGAATAGGAAGTTGTGCTGCAATTGCGATTGATAAGTAAATTATTTCTCCAATATTAGTCCCAAGTAAAAAAGCTACAAATTTCTGTACATTTGAATATATTTTTCTTCCTTCTTCAATAGCATTTACTATTGTTACGAAGTTGTCATCAAGCAAAACCATTTCAGAGGCACCTTTAGCAACTTCAGTACCACTTATCCCCATTGCAACTCCGATGTCGGCAGCTTTCAGTGCAGGTGCATCATTTACGCCATCCCCTGTCATTGCGACAACTTCTCCCTGCCTTTGAAGTGAACGAACAATTGCTATTTTATCTTCTGGTTGAGCTCTACAAAATACGCTTACTGATGAAACAATTTGATCGAACATTTCGTTTGGCAAATGTGGTCTAGAAGCGTCACCATTCTCATGTAATTGGTTACAAATAATAGATCCAGATATTGTATTCTGTGAGCCCACATTGTTTTCTCGATTACTATTAAATTCATTTTCATCTGATAGCAACCCAATTGACCTTGCAATTGCACACGCAGTTGGTTGTTGATCTCCTGTAATCATAATTACTCTTACACCTGCTTCACAACATTTAGTGATGGCTTTTTCAACTCCAGGTCTGGGTGGATCCAAAAATCCTATCAATCCTAAAAGAGTAAGCTCATTTTTGTCTAAAACATACTTTAATCTTTTATCACTACATTCTTCTGTAACTAAATCAAAAAAATCCTCACTAGTCAGTGGAAGGATTGCAATTCCAAGAACTCTCAAAGCCTCTCCACTCAAAATCTTATTCGTATTTTCTATTTCAAAAATTTCCTTTGCACTTATTTTTTCTGAATAGTCAATTTGGACTATTGACTCTTCATTTTTCCAGCTTGTATTAAGCATAAAGCCTACGTGTCTTACAATCTGGTCAGGGGCACCTTTCAATATTGCAACATGAGTGTAAATACCAGAATCAAGATTGTCAACTGTCTTTGAATGCCTCTGTGAACAGAAATTTGGAATTTTATTTTGATTATTAGCTTGCTTATTCGATTTTGAATCGTTTGAAAAAACTATGTCTCCAAATTTGTTGGGGGTAGCAAGAGAATGAACAGTCATCATCATTTTTCTAGAAGAAGTAAATGGTACTTCTGCAGAAGGGACTCTTAAATACTCCATTTCATCTTGAATAGCAAAAATTGTTCTGTTTTCTGTATTCTTCGCATCAGCTGTATAATTTTTTAGTTTATTGCTATCAGTAGAGGTGGAATTGAGTATACACTGCACCGGAGAGCTACCCGTAGTAACAACTTCAATACCAGCATTGTTCCCATTACTAATACTGCTAAAACTCTGAGCATTTAATTTGGAGTGAATTATATTACTGCTTTTCTCAGTATTGGTTTGCTTTGGTTCATTTTCTTGTTTTCTCGAATCAAAAATCTTGTTCTTTATTCCATATGATGCTTTAGCTGCAGCTACAACGATTGCTCCTTCACTCATATTTCCTCTGGTTTTCCAAGAATTGCTATCATTATCATATACTAAAGCAGTTCCATAGCTGTTTAAGTACCCTGCTAAAAGCGCACTTCTAACATATTTGGTTTGAGGAAGATGGCCGTTTATAGGATCTCCAAAGTCTTTACATACTGAATTGTAATTGATGAATTTAAATGGGATTTTGTCATTTGGGAATATTTCATTCTTAGTTTCAAAATTAGAATTTTCAGTCATCTCTATCGTTTTGTTTTTATTAAACGATATTAAGTTCATTATGTCTTCTTTAATATTTTGTGTGAGAGAAGATGACAGAAAAACGCCTCCATTTGGGTCACTACCTCTTGTAGGGTAAAATGAAAAGACGCAATAGTTATTTTCTTGAAGCTCTCCATAAGAATTCGATATTTCATTGCCTGTAGGAGACCCATTCAATAATTTGGTACTATTCCTAGAAAAGGTAGCTAATTTAACTGCTGTCATTTTTCCTTCGGTTAGTGTTCCAGTTTTATCGCTGCAAATAACTGAACAACATCCTAACGTCTCAACTGCAGGTAGTTTTCTAATATTTGCTTTTCTTCTACACATTTCGGAACAACCAATTGATAGACATATTGTAACTACCATAGGCAAACCTTCTGGTATAGATGAAACAGCGAACCCCACAGCAACAAGAATAATACCAAGTACAGGATTACTGTTTGGATGAGATGGATCTTTGTAATTTGTAAGTAAAGCTACAATTACTATGATTACCAATACAATTAATGACATAAATCCTATGAATCCACCAAGCCTATTTAGTCCGATTTGTAGTGGCGTACCACTGTTTGAACCACCACTGGCAAGTTTCAATTGCTGTGCAATTCTTCCTATTTGTGTGTTCATTCCAGTAAGTACAACTATTGCCTTTCCTGTTCCATTTGTAATTGCAGTTGAAGCAAAACAAATATTTGTGGGGAAAGGATTATTTAGATCAGAGTTAATCAAGTGCTTCGATACATCTTCTGATTCACCGGTAAGTAAAGCTTCATTACACTTAATTTCGGTAGCTTCAATTAACCTAACATCTGCAGGAACGCTATCACCAGTTCTCAACAAAACAATATCTCCTGGAATAAGATTATATGCAGGTATTATATTTATAATCCCGGACCTTATTACTGTGCATTTTGGGGAGGATAAATCTGCGAGTTTTGCTAGTGCATTAGATGCATTGTTTTCCATGTATGTTGCAAGGCTTGCGTTAATCAATACAATAAATAAAATCCCGACACCTTCGACCCATTCTTGAAATGCTAGTGAAACTATCCCTGCAACTAATAACAATGAAACAACAAGTGATGTGAATTGACTGAGAAAAATTTTCCAAATTGGTTCATGCTTTTCTTTTTGAAGTTTATTGGGACCATATTTTTTTTCCATAAGTTCAATTGCCTTTTCTTCATCAATCCCATCGATAAAATTTGTAGATAGCTCATTAATTAGCATATCAAATTCAATTTGACTCCAATAATGTATTGGTTTTTGTATTTCACCATCTTCTAAAGTTTGTTCTAATGCCTTTGAAACAAAGTCTGGATCTCTTTTTCTGGCCTCTTCAATTGTATCTGGTATCATTTGAGTTGACATAGTTAGTTTATTAATTACCATGTCTTGAACTGCTGTTTCATTATATTGTAAATCAGGTATACTTGAGATAACATCAGAGCTCAATTGTTTTCCAAAGTAATTGTTTTCGTTTGAATTAACATAATGGTTAAGCAAATTACGGCTAGCTAACAGATTGAGTCTATTTTGTAGGAATTTTTGGGGATTAGGCGAGCATGTATCCGGATTCGGTTCTTCATCAGCTACTTCTGCGTGTAATAAATGTCTTCCATTAGGTGTCATATCGACAAAAACACTTGCACTTGAAATGGGTGATACAATTCTTGAGGAGGGGGACGAATTGTTTCCTACACAATTGTATGTAGTAACATTTGGAGAATAAGAATTTACATCCTTTATTGGAGATTGAGAACTCATTTCCAGTAATTTTTCGTCTTTATTGAACATTGAATGAAATGTATTCGGTGACGACTTTGTAACAATAGAAGATTGAATAGTTCGGTTTTGTTTATTTGGCTCAAAAGAATCATTGCTTTCTATCATTAAATTTTCTAAGCAAAAATTTTAAGATATAAATCGAATATTTCTGAATAATTAAAGCGTGGTAAATTATAGATTGGTTATATCATGCTCGAATTCGAGGATTAGTATAATTTTTTTTCAAAAAAAAATTTTAACCTAGCGCTAGAAATATCAGCAGAACTAATTACAGGTTAAAGTTATTTATAGCCACTTAGAAGATCTACCCCTTGAAATTCTCGTTTCATTTCTGGGCCTTCCCCTATTACCAAGTCTAGCAGCCTCTCTGTGGGTCATATCATCTTTTGCAACACTTACGTTCTCATCACTAATTCTGATGAACTTGATGTTATTTCCACGAATATAACATTCAATCATTTTAAAAAAACTAGTCCCGTCTCTTGAACTGCAAATTACATTATGAAGTGCTAAGTTCATGAATCCATCTACACCAGTTAGTATTCCAGAATAAGTTTCGCCATTCTTTAGCTCTACCAACTAAATCAATTTAATATTTTAAGAAAATAGGAATCAACTTACTATTGGTTTGTGATGAGCTGCCTTAATTACAGATAAAGGTAACTAAAAATATTGCAAAATAATCTTATAATTTTTAAACAGGTTTAAACTTACCACCATAATAGAGAAAATAAATGAAGACAAAGAGACGCGGGGTTTAGAATCATTCAATTCCATGATTCTAAAAAAATTCTATTTTTAGCAAAAATTTTTCTAATAACATTTTTTGGACGATGATCAGAAATTATTGATGCAATTTCATTTTTAATCCCCAAAACAAAGTTTTTTTTTCCACAAATATATATTATTGAGTCATTTCTATCAACAATTTCCAAAAGTAAATTTTTATAATGAGAAATTATATCATTAACATGTTTCTCTTGCGACTTAGACAAAGCAAAAAACACTTCGGTTAATGCACCCATTGATTTAAGTTCTTCGAGCTCATCCTTGTAAATTATTTCATTTTCTGTTCTGCATCCATAAAATAAATATGCAGGATTTTTGGGTTTTTTATCTTTCATTAAGATATATTTTCGTTCATGCAGTAATGCTCTAATAGGCGCAATACCACTTCCATGTGAAAACATAAGTATTGGAGAAGTTATATCGTTGATATTGAGAGAGGATGACCTTATCGTTCCAAGAACTGGCAAATTTAAATCAAATTCGAAAAGAAAACTCGAACATAATCCTTTAATGTATTTCTTCACATTACTTTTATTGCCTCTATTTCTATTTACTTCATGTAATGACACTGGAACATAACCTTTAATACACGTGCTTATTGTTAGATCAATAGTTGATGGAGAACAAAGTGAAGAGGAAGAAATCGAATAACTCCTTAGATTTTGTCTAATTCCATTGAATTTAATGAAGCTTTCTATTGGTATTGGAACAAGACTTTTCATATACTTATCTATAAATAATGGAAAAGAAAATTTGTAGAGATCTTTAATTTCATTAAAAGAATCTTTGTTGGAAATGAACTCTCCTTCGTTCTTATTTAAATAAGGAGTGAACTGTAATATTACAGTATGCGTAGGCAAACTCATGAGATCAAAATAATATTTTAGTACATGCATTAGAGAACAATTGTTTGGGAATGGAACTTTGATGCTTTTTAAAATATCGTTTACAGGGGCAAAGTCAACTATAGTATTCTTCAAATCTTCAATACTCTGCATTCCCAATACTTTATTTGAGAAGAAAATAACAGTTTCATCATCGTTTGGTGGAAGTATATCAATTATATCAAATGTTTTGTAGTTTGTGCCATCAGGGAGTTTAAGCTGTAGATTGAAAATTTGTCTATCGACATCATCAATGGCTTTTGACTCACATAGCAATTTTCTATTAATGGGCCAAAATTCTAGTAACTTGAAATAATTCTCCGAAATATGACAATTTCCAGAAAGAGAATTGATCTGTGATGAGGCTTCGTTTGCGTTTCTCAATTTACAAATGAAGTTGTCTTTTTTTCTTGTTTCAATATTACTAAAGTAGAGTTCTGACTGCTCTTTGAAATCAGAAACTCCAAGCTTAGCTAAAAATGTTTTTTTCCACCATATTTTAAAATCCAGTTCATTACCATTAACCTCGTCTAACAATGCAATCTCACAGTATTTCTCCCCTCCGAGTAAAGAGATAAATTTATCAAGTTTATTAGCGGCTGAGTTAAATGAGTATTCGTAGATAGAACTTCCAAGACCAATAATAGTGTATTTGGTTCCTAAAAATATTTCATTTCCTGATCTAATCATTTTCGATAGATACCGGACATATTTCCTCGATGATGCTGGAAAACTTCCGTTTCCACATGTTGAAATCACGAAAATTAATACTGAATTTTTTTTATATGAACTAACATCGAAATCGAAAATTGAGTTGATCTCAAGGACATGGGAATCAATACCCAATTTATCAAGTAGACTCTTCAACAATTCAGAAATTTTTCTCGAATTTCCTGTTTCTGTGGAATAAAATATTGAGAAATTGATTGGAACATTATCTTCTATGTAATTAGCATTTTGTTTGGCTAGTCTTTTCAAAACGAGAAACAATCCCACAGAAATGTTAAATATTGAAAGACAGTTCAACAATTTGTTTTTTAAAAAAAAAAGCATTCTGTATTGAACTATTTGCGCGGCGGTAGAATTAGAGTAATTAAAAAAATAGAATATAATAAAGATAGACTAACAAAGAATTAATGAATTTAAGGTTTTAATGACAACCTATATTGATTTCTGACTATTATATAAACTGTTGATTGATAAGTATCGTCTCCACCACCTTTGTAGAATTATCGCAGCCTTTTCCCTAGTTTGCATTATTCCCCAAACCAAGACATTTAGCGTTTCATTCCAATTTGAACGCCACCTTCTGAATGCTCTTTGTAGTACTATTGATGATTTAGTCTCTATATCTGATTTTTTCGCCATTTCTTTCTAAATTCATAATCTTTCTATGCGGGGCAATCTCTTTAAAATATTCAGTGAATTGCGAGCAATTTATTTGGGAATCATCAATGTTGATTCTTATATAAATGTCTGCAAAATAACTTACTTTTCTAGTAATAATTTGCTTATTCAATACTAATAAATACAAATTTTAGACCTAGCAATGTAATTAGTGTAAATATTACCTTTTCCAGTATGTACGCCAATTAATAGGAACTTTCAATAGTTACAACTAAGAAAAAAAATAATATGATAAATACAGTTGTTGGAATGAAAAATGATCGATAATCAGCCACTTTAAGAATAATATCAAGTTTTTTCATTAATAAATTGCAAGTCAATATTATTGGCATCAGTATTTCCCCCTCTCCCTCCCCCCTCCTTCCCCCCTCTGTGGCTGGATGTTTATTTTGTTTGCTTTTTTTTTCTGAAAAAAAAACATAAAGTTAATATTCAGTTATTATGTATGAGGAATATTGAAATACTTGAAAATAATTGGATTAGTTATAGTACCGATGGCTACGTTAATTTTAAAAATGATTCTATATTGTTTAGATGCATAAAAAACGAAATTGAAAGTATTATAAATACGTTGATACATAATAACCATCATTTTTCTCAGATAAAATACTCTAAAGAAATAGTATACTCATTTGAACTCCCTATAGTTTACCAGTTTCAATTGTTATTGGAAAATATTTTTATTTCAAAAAAATTTATAATTGAAGAATGCAGTTTAGAACCATTCTTTGAAGTTATTCAATCTCCAGAATATGGAGGGCATGCAACCGCATCAGTTCTAAATGCTATAAATGTATTTATTTTAAATGGTGCAATTGTAATCGAAGGCTCAAAAAAGCCTTTTGTTATAAATAAAGTAATAGAAAATATTCTCAATTGTAAATTTGCTGCTTCACATTTGGAGACGGACGAAATTGCACTCCAAAAACTATCTGATCTGCTTGTAAATCTAATTGACTCACATTTTGGTGAATATATTTCATCCGAGAATTTGGTAAAAAGCCTTCTGAAGTGTTTTCAAATTTCGAGGCAGCCAAGATCGTCACTTTTACTTAGATCATTAGGTGAGCAAGCAATAAGAAGAATTGTTACTATTGTATTTTCGAGATCAAAGGAACTTCAAAAAAGTGAAAATTGCAATTACGATATTTCTCTGATTAGAATAATTCATTTTTTGTCAACATTGACTTTTTTTGGGCTTTCTAGTACAAATAAGAATGATATTAAGGTATTGAATTCGCCGATTGATGAATTAGATGATTATATATCAAAAATGATTAAGAAGACAATTCAAATGGGCGGAGTTGATAGTTCTACATATCAAGAAGTCAGGAAAATGGGGATTGAATTGTTGAATGCCGCAATTGAAAGTGGAGGAAGATTATTAAATAGTTACCCTGAGCTAGTAAACAAAATAAGTAATCATCTATGTGTGGAGATGTTGATTAACACAATAAAGGAGCCTTCTATGCTTCGAATTATATTGAAATGCATGCTGAGTATATTTACTAATTTTAGAAACCATGCAAAAACTCAATTAGAATTTTGTTTGACTGCAATTCAATTAAGATTAGCTAATAGTGGAGAAGACTGCATGGATCTCTTACCTATAAATATCCCAGCAATGCACATTTCATTAGAGCAAAGAGAATCAGCTCTTAATTCACTAACGGAAATATGTAAGGATCCTCAGTTAGTAGTTGAAATTTTTCAAAATTATGATTGCAATATTTATTGTGGAAATGTCTTAAAAACAATTATTAAAACATTTGTCAACCAGTTTAAAATTGAATGTAAGAATTCTTCGAAAAAAAGTTTCAACTCAAAAACTTTTACATTATTTCAACGTCTTGGGTTGAATGGAATATTATGTATTGTTGGTGGTATTATAAAATCTACTCAATTGCACGTTGATATTGAAAAAAACAAGGGTTCAAATAATGCCATAAAATTGGAAATGGATTTACTGAGACAAAAGAAACTTAAAAACGAAATATTTGATTGCTCCGAAAAATTTAACTCAAATCCTTCAAGTTTTTTAGATGTATTAAAAAGTTCTTTTTTGTTTGACTCAAATCCCAACCCAAAAAGTCTAGCAAAGTTTTTCAGATATTCTCAGAAAATTGATATGGTTACTCTTGGAGAATATTTATCGAAAAATAAAGAATGGAATAACCAAGTCAGAATTGCATATTTATCTACGTTCAAATTTAATAAGAAATCAATTGTTTCGGCATTACGTGAGGTGTTGGCAACATTTAAATTGCCGGGGGAATCACAGCAAATTGAAAGAATAATGGAAAGCTTTTCACATGAGTACTTTATACAGCAAGATCTTTTTGATGAATTAAGTCAACAGGAATCACTTGAAATTAATCAGGATAACTTACCAAGAATTATCTACGACTTCGAACCTGAAACAAATAAACAGAGAACAATATTACTTGACAGTAGTGATACAATATTCATTTTGAGCTATTCCATTATTATGCTAAATACCGATTTACATAATAGTCAAGTGAAAAACAAAATGAGTATAGATGACTTCATTAAAAATAATAAGGGAATTAATAATGGTAAAGACTTACCTAAAGAATTTTTAACTAATATTTTTGAAACGATAAAAAATAATGAGATTAAACTATCTGGACTTTCTAATATTACTAAACACAATAGATTTCACAATCAAATTGATTCAAGTGTATGGACTAACTGGATTTCAAAATTCTTTATAGAAAGGTACCCGATTTGTTTGGATTCAGTATTAGATCAATTTGAACTTGCTGGTAGCATTCATGAGGAGTTGCTGGAAACCATACTTGAAGCTGGGTCAATTAATTGCATTTTTACTGCATTTGAAAACTCGAATGATATTCAAACTTTGTTCAGATGTGTCTACGGGATTTTACAGGTAGCATACCTCTGCCATTTTTTTTCAAAAAGAAGGTACATTAATGAAATACTTAAACGCCTTTCGAAATATATTAACCTTGATTTATCTGCTAAATGCCAATTGGTTCTGCCTGTATTTATTCAGATTTCAGAATTAACATTGAATACATGGAAGATAGATTCGCCTTGGGAAACCATCCTTGAAGTTTTATTTTCATTAAATTCGATAAAAATTGTTCCACATAAATCATTTGAGTGTGAAGAGTTAACTGATAATCAAGGAAGGCCAATCTCAAATTATTCTAATGTACAATACCCTAAGCTCTGCTTTTTTCCCAGAGCTAAAACTTTCGGGATTTCACATGGTTTTGAACCTCTTTTCGAGATAGTTAATAAAATTAATGATTCACCAGAAAATTTAAAAGGAATAGAGTTAAACTCAACATTAATTTTGGATAAAAATTTACATATATTGCCACTAAAGCTTACAAAGCCCAATTCATCAAATAATAACCATTGGTTAAGTGACATTACAAATATTTTATTTAGGTCGATTGAAGAAGACGATGAAGAAAGCTCAAAATTTTCACATGAACCACCAAATATTGTCGATTCAATTATGCAAATAATAATCGAAGAAGATATAAAGAACACGAAAGAAAATTTGAATACTCCATCTGAAATAATTCTCTCTTGGGTTTTAAATGGCTCTTCTCCTTATCTATCACTTTCAATCTATGCAATTATACAGAATTTATTTGACTGGGAAAGCTGCATTTCAAATTTTAAAAATACGATACAAATAAACAACGGTTCATCTTCCTTAATTAATTCCAAACTACCTACAGTATCTGGAAATTCATGGGAAATGATTTTTCATTTAATTTCAGATTTCTTAAATTTATGCGATATATTAATAGCAAATTTAAAAAATATGAGTTACACAGACTTTTCTCCTTTAATTAATATCTTAAAATCTTGTGTGGAGAGTTTCCCTTTTTCAGATAAACAATGTTCTATCAATATTGAAGTAACAAGTGATTCATCAATTAATATTGATTCACAAACCCAATTCAATGTGAGAAATAATAAAATAACTGAAAAAGAAACATATTCTGATTGGAGCCCCTTGATTGTAGTTGATAAAAACAAAATTGTGAATTTTAGAAGGATATCTGATCCACTATGTTCCATAAGCATACTTATGTCTCTTTTATCACAGCAAATTAATAAAAAAACAGAAATTAAAATAATTTCAAATTCAGAAAAAACAATAGATCAGTACAATAAAGGATCTTTAGTAGCACTTGAAGTATTCAACTTTTTTTTGGAAAATTTGAGGAGATACTCTATTTTTGGTTCTGCAAATAGGGAATTGATAGACAATATGCAAGCTGACAGGAAAAATATCGAGACTTCAAATTATAATCATGATACTCCGCGTTCTCTTTCGAGATCAGAGTTTATGTTTGCAGAAAGAATAATCACTAATTCGCTTCTTATATTAGTTAATTTCTGTGAAAGTAAGGATTCTGAATTGGTGGCGCAAATCATTCTAATTCTTGAAGCTCTTCTCCAATTGCATCCGATAATTTTCAGCCTCCATTCTGAAAGAATAATTGCAGTTTTTCAAATAATCATGCGGCCAGAAAAAACAAATGAATCAGAATCCATCGAGCCCAATTCACAAAATTCCAGTTTATCTTCAACTTTCCCCACAGAACGCTGTGTATTGTTAATGCTTGGAATATTGCAAAGAATGGTTTATATACCTTCTGTTTCTGTTCTTGAGAACCGTTCAAAAATTTCACCAGAATTTTACCCAGGAAAACTTTCTGACCCTCAAATACTAATCTTGTCATCTCTAGAATGTCTAGGAATGTGGCTATATAACCCAAAATATTCTTCATTGTTATATAATAATACTTCACTAATTATTCAAACACTTGTTACATTCGCAATATTTACTCCAACATCTCTTAATGGAAATGTTATTTTTACACCAATAGATTGTGATGCAACCGCTGAATATAATTATGATGCAAATTTGCAGGCTATATCATTGATATTCTCCTTATATTCTTTATTTGCAAATTTTGAAAGCAAGATACTTATTTCTCAAGTTGTACATACTCTCTGTATCGCAGCATCTTTCGGCCCAAACATTGTAAGAAATCATACAATAAACCGTATCCAACAAACATTGGGCTCTCAACATTTGTCTAGTTCCTGGTTTGTTAGTGACCCTTGGATTTGGTTAGATTTAATTGAAAAAAGCTTCCTTCCATTAATTACATTTGATTTTGAATTCCCTTATTGCCTTGAAGCAAAACGAACAAACGACAATACATTAATTCTTTTGGCTCAACAATTTAAAAATAAAACAGCTAAATACGTTCTAGGGGAAGATACTGTTTATAAAAGACAGGTTCAATCTATAACAATTGTATCTAAGATTATTCTTGCTAGGATTGATCTATTGTTGGTTCCAATTTCCATCCCGTGTGATCATCGAGCAGGTAATAGATTCAGTTCCTTTTGCGATTGCGAAACCTCGGAAAATAAATTCTTACTATTGATTCCAGTACTCGTGAACTTGATCAATGTACTTGTTAAAAATTCAGCAGGTTCATCTTCCGTTTTTTTTTCAGAGACAATTAAAAACTTCTTACTTGTGGTTCTAAGTACGCATATTAATGCAACATACGATGAACTACTTTTGAACCCAATTTTATATTATAGAAAAATAAATGAAGATGAAATGGAGAGCAAGCTTTGCAAAATACTTAAAGAGTCTTTGACAACCGATATCTCGGGAATAATATCGAGCGTGATTGATAACTACATAAAAAAACCTATGCCTGAGGTTGCATCTGAGCTGTATTCCATATTGGAATCGCTAAAAAGAAGCGAAAATTATACTAGCCAAACAAAAAATCCTATTGAAAAATAATAAGTGGTTTGAGTAACCTTTTATTAATATTTAACTTATTCTATTAAATAACTTTATAAATTCTACTTTAAATTTCATAGATTTCTCTTGATTTATAGGTTATTCAAAGTGTCTAGATGAATTGAATAATTAACTACAAACTTTTAATGAATATATTTAATAAAAATTGAATTATAAAGTTCGGTGGGCGCTAACCTTAGTAGTTTTTCTTTTCTGATAAAGTAATATCATCATGACCATCGAACAAAGAGAAGTAATCATCAAAGATTTGGAAATTGAGAGTTTACCAGCAGATAGCATGCTTATCTGCGATTTTGAGACAAAAATAAAAAATGGTTTTGTAAAACGCGTTTATTCGTTACTTTCTATTAGTGTTTTAATTACATTTGGGATTGTTTTATTCTTTTCATTATATGATGATGCATCAAAATGGTTAATCAGGAATTATTGGGTTAGTGTGGTTTTCTCCCTTTGTTCATTCATTTTGATAATAATATTTTCTTGCTGCCCTTCAATCGCTAAGAATCATTATATTGGAGTAACGTTACTTCTATTACTTTCATTATTTTTTGGAATAAGCATTTCTGGAATTGCTGTATGTGTTAATAAATTTTCGGTTCTGCTCGCATGTGGAATTACCGTCTTAGTTTTTTTGGTTTTAACTATTTTTTCAATACAAGTTAAATTCGACTTCACAGGATGGGGGCCTTATTTACTAATCGGGGTTTTAATTATTCTAATTTACAGTATAATATTAATTTTTATTCCACGAAATAATATTGCTTATATAATATTGGGTGCTCTAGGAGTAATAATATTTTCATTTTACATAATTTATGACACTCAATTAATTATTGGAGGAAAACACAGAAAACATCAATTTTCCATAGACGAATACATTTTCGCAACTATTTCTCTATATTTGGATATTGTAAATGTTTTTACATATATATTGATGATCATAAATTCTATAGATAGATAAATTCATAAAATATTATCTCTAATTTTATTTCAAATAATTTTATAATTGAGGCATCCAACCTGCGTACATTTGTGACAAATTTCGTTTGCATTTTGCAGAACTGATCAATTCAAAAACTTGGCTTTCAACTGAAAGGCCAAGACCTCTTTCATGAAATGGCCTTCTTTGAGAACAGTTATTGGGCCCATGTAGAGTTGGAACAACTTTCTTGTTTTGTGAAAAACAATCTACCATTCCATTCAATTTTCTGTAAATTGTTCTTAGGTGTGAATGACCCTTAGCGACGGCTAAAAAAGAGATAGGATCAACACTTCCTCCTAAACTTGAGACTTGAGTTGCTTTTCCTGGTCTCATCCATTCAATGAGAGGATCATGTATGAATGCCTCTAGAAATGTCATAATTAATGATTTATTGAATGGGCTTCTAAATATACTCATTGCTGAAATGGAGGTTCCAGTAAATGTACCCTCAACACCACAACTACCCATTGCAATTACAACATTTGGCGTAAGCCTAAAAGGAACTATTTCAGGTATTTCAAGTAAAAATCCTTTACCAAACAGACAATCAAAATCAACATGAATAATGTCGCCAAATTGAGTATCAATTAAAATGTTTTCTGCATGTCTATCTCCCAATCCTACAATATATCCAAACATTGACCAAAGTGACGTACTTTTTGTGTATTTTTCCTTAGACTTCAGCCAAATGTAGCTGGATTTTGTACTAAACTTTTTGAAAAACCAATTGTGTAGTACTGGCGGATATTTAGGGAGGATTTCTTCAGAATATAACTTATAAAGTTTATCAGGCTGCATAGAATGTTGTCTTAAAATGTCTTGTGTCTCTAGTAATTGTCTATGAAATTTTGAGGCTCCTATAAGTTCTTTCCACTCGCTCATAACAATATTTCCGAGAGTTGTAACATTTGGAACCCATTCAATAATTCCTGCAACTTCAGATAGTGGGATCACAGAAAACGTTCTTAAAGATAATTCTTTTCCATGAATAGACATTCTTTGGTTTAATAATTGAGCAAGTTCCATAAGACGCATATCTTTACGCAAATCACCACGTTTTTCATTTTTCACTAAGTAATAATATGTCTCTCCATCAGAGCCAATCAGCCCAATTTTTTTAGGTTTTTGCTTACTAGGTAGGACAAAAATCGTATCTTCCATTCCAGAAATTGTAATAAAATTTGTTGGTATATTTGATCTTTGATTACTTTTGAAATAATAAGGTATAAACTGTTTATCAGAACTGGTATTTCTTTTACATAAAGGCAAGTAGTTTGAAAAAAGTATGCATTTAGTATGATTAATAGAAGAACGGTTAAGTCCTAATTGCATTTGTGTCGGAATGATCAATCCTTTTGATTTATTTAAATTTTTCATTGAGTGATAAAGAGATTGAAAGTCAGAACGCAAACTCATACACTTGTTAGAGACTCTATTAGATGATTTTTGATCTTTGGATTGCATTTGAATATTATTACCTGTACTAGAGTCCATAGCCAAAACAGTTAAATTATCAAATAGACGGATATACTCATCTATAATTAGTGAAAACTCCATTTCATTAATAAAAGTTTCGTTGTTATCATTAGTTATAGCTTTTGATATCTTTAGAATGGAAATTGCAGTGTTTTTTCTTTCAGAACTATTACTTTTTAGCATTGAGACAAAATTCCATGCTGCTTGGTGTGGAAGCTTTCGAATAATCTTTGCTATTAATGGTTGGATTATTATTGATCCAAGCCCAGGATGTTGGCATCTACTTAGCAGTTGAGGCAAAACTACGTACCAAAGAGAAGGAGGAAGACCCATGATTTCTTTCTTTAATCGATTAAATGTATCAGGTACTATCTTTACATTTTCATGTTTGCTTGAAGGTTGTGCAATTCCATGTTTCAAAATAATATTCGAGTAATTAAAAATTAAGAATAATACTCTAGAAAGAGAAGGATAGATAAACGAATTACCAAACTTTAGACAACTCAAATACATATTAATACATAAAAAAATAGTTTCATCGCATTGAAACATAGATCCAAGATTATAGCTATTTTTGCTTGAGCTTGAATTTGTAGAGAAATTATTTTCAGTTTCAGAATTGGAAATGATAAGATGGAAATAATTGTCTAAATAGTTTGCAAACTGGAAATATGTTTTTTCGCAATTTGATCGTAGCTCGAGAGTTTCTTGAAATGTATTAATTATATTTTCTGGTGAAACCATTGAAGATCTAATTGCCCAATCTAAATATACGAGATTAATCTCAGAAATGGTGATATCATCTAGTAAACTGCTTGATTTAGTATTTAAAATCATTTCATAGAAATGAACAGCAACCTTAATCTGATTTCTTCGAAATAATTTGAATAAATATGTAACCAACAAATTTTGATTTAAAGATATAATGTATTTATTGTTAAAATTCAATTCCCATTCCTTAAGTAATTCTTTTTCTATACTTGACCAATTTATTTTATTAAAATTTATGTTTCTGTCTAAAATTTTTTCGAAATATGAAATACTAATTAAATTGTCAATTTGTATGAGTCCAGGAACTTTTTCTATCTCATTAGAATTTAATGAATGTAAATCCATCAAGCCCAAATCAGCAATCCCAAAAGCGGAACTGCTTCTGTTAAAAAGTTGGAAATCTTGATCAAATGAACAGTTTTCTATTTCAATCATTTCAAATGAATTTAAGAAATTAATATAAGAATATGATGTATTTACATTTAAGATTGATATTTTACTCCTCTCTAATACAAGTAGTAAAAGAAAAGAAGACAATTCAAATCCTGCAACTTCTAAAGTAATTTTGGCTTGAGAAAGTAATGAATGCTTTTTGTTAAAGCTAATTTTAGCATTATCGACTCGAAAAACAAATAGCTCACTTATCTTAATCCATTCCGGCTTATAGGTTTGGTTTTCAACCAAAATATTTTGATTATTTAATATTTTTTTGTTTTTATTATCAAAAAAATAATAAACAAACTCAATATCCATTAGTATATGTAACTTTTCCAAGATAGTTCTTGATTTTGAATTCGAGTCATTCCATGAAATACTTAAAGGAGTTAACAAAAGATTTCTTGCTTTTTCTAGTGTATTATTAAAAGATTCATTAAATTTACGATTTTCTGAAGTAATATTTGATTTTGCACAGTGAAGATGTAGTAATAGTTTTCCACGGTAAACATTAAACTTTTGTATTATTGTATCAATGTTTGAAGGGATGAAAAGGTCCATGTAAATATTATTAATTGAATTTGACTGAATCTTTTGCTCCTCATTTTTATTATCAGAGATTATAGTATCTAGAAATTCCCAATTGCCTAATTGGTAGCAGGCTTCTAACGCTTCAGAAATAAACAAGTTACTATTCACATAATTTAGCTGATTAGAAAAACTTTTCTTCCTGAAATTTTGAGATAAATTTTCGAATTCAGCATTTAAATTATTCGATTTATTTGTATTTAATAATGAACTTAACACGACATGAGGAAGTCCTGCCTTAAGTAGGCACCTCAAATAGTTTCTAAAAATCAAATGATTTATTTCTGGATTATTAGAAATAATTCTTTCATATATTATTGCAGCATTGTAGTAGTCCTCTTTTAGCAGAAACTCTACCAATTGTTTATCAATTGTTCCTTGTACAAAAGTTGACATTTGTTCATATATAGTCATAATACCTAATAAGTTATCAGTATCTTTAATCCCTAGATAACATTGAAAAGGTAAATACAATATATGATTAATGGTTTTTTTCTTATCTTCATCAAATATATTTGGTAATTCAGAATATATTTCAAAACAGGTCCTATAAAATTTCAAAGGGTTTAGTGGATCAAAATCCAAATTGTTAAAGCCATTTGTTCCAAAATAATCTATTGCATTTCCAGAATATTTTGTTATTAATCCAAATTGTGTCATTAGTGAAGCTCTTAACTTGTTAAATTTCCTTTTTCTCTTTGAAAAATCTTCGTTAGTATGCTTGACTAATAAGAATCTTTCAAAAAGAAGCAATGCACGTGTATATGAGCCACATGACAATGCAGCTTGTATCAATATGCTAATTGGAAGATCTGTAATAAACTGTAAGTTTGCAATAATTTTTATTATTGGATAATTCGAAAGTGTGGATAGGAATTTTGTCCCATTTGCTAATTTTTTTTTACTTTCCAATGTTTTAATTTCTTCATTTTTACTATTTTCATCTTGTAGTTTAAATATATAATTCATTATTTCAATCTCGTAATATTGAGAGTCGGTTTGGCCATCTTTATCTGAAAATAAATTAATAGTGGTTTTAGAACTTTCCATTTTTGTTGCTTCTGCTAATAGTGATAATGTAACGCTACTTGGACTTGCTGTTTTCCCTTCCACAATTTTATCAATGCTATTTTTCCCAGTAACTGGATGACCCGGCTTGCTAGTTTCATTTAAATACAATTCTTGTAAAAATGGTTCTAGTAGCGATTCATTAAACCAAGGCAAAATTTTTGGTACTTTACATTGTATAATATCCTCGAAAATCTCCATTAGGTGTGTGATTACAATAAATATTGATTCGTATGTCACATGGTGAATAATAAAGGATGATGATTTGATTTTATTATTCTTTCGAGACTCCATCATTGAAAAATTATTTAACCTATTGCTCACGCCATATTCAAGCCCAGAAATGATTAAAGAACACAATTTTTCTTTTAAAGTCCTTATTATTGAATGATCACAAAATAAAAGTATGAATTCAATTGATAAAGGAAGTATAAAATTGAAAACAGAAGGAATTCCAAGTGAAACAACCCTACAGCCTTCGAATAAAATATTAATGTTTTTGATTGATTTTGGGAGCTTCTTCGTTTCTTCAATTTCTTTTACTTTATTGATTTCATGATTTATTAAATTTAGACACCAAAAATAAAATTCATAAACATTTTCTGTTCGCTCATCGCTTAAACATTTTAGTTGATCAAGCAAATGTTCATTGGTACCTTGGATAATTCTATATTCAGTTGATTTATATGGTTGTAATATATCTTTGACTTCTGAATGAAACATATCCCACACTTTTTCATTTTTTTCAATATCAGGTAGGTGGTCATGACAACCAATAAACTTAAGAGCTTCCTGAATTGCAAAAGCTGCTACATTCCAGTGCGAATATGCTAATAAATGATTTTGAATCAAGTCTACTGTTAAAATATCAAGATTTTTTACGAACATTGAAATATTTTTCGACTGAAACTCAATTAATTCCATTTTTTTATTATTATGGTTAAGATCATCTGCGTAATTGCAATAATTAATTGAGTTAAATTCTAAATAGCCATTAATATTGTAGTCAATTGCTCCAATGGTACCGATTATTACTGAGATCGAGTTCTTTAAATTTGCAGTACTCTTTTCTAAGTTATTAAATTTTTTTTGTGAACAAGCCTTGGGTAACAAGTGATTATATTTGAGTATTGAATCTACTATATTTATTCTAGATTTCAGTTTTCCATTTTCCTGACCTTTTGAATCAGTTTCTAAATTCGACTTCTGAAATGGAATCAACGAGTCATTACTTGTATTAGAAATAATCTTTAAACACTTGTTGTATAACAAATTTATTCGTTTATTTATTGAATATTTATCTTCGATATTTCCAAATAAAGCCCAATATGACTCAATTGGAGAAAATAATATTATATCTTTAATAGAACCCAACAATTTTTCGTATGTAATATATGGAACATGGGTTGAAAAAAACTTAATTGAAAAATCAATTCTTTCATTGAATAAGTGGAAAACAAGTTTGTAATATTCATATTCTACTTGACTTGAACACAAATGAGAAAAATGATCTCCATAGTAGCAATTAAGAATAATCTTTCTAATGGAATTCCCCTCAATACTTGTCAAAACTGGAATTAAAGAGAAATAGCTCTTATTAATATTCAATACTGATGATACAATAGAATTGAAAAATTTCTCTAAATGAATAAGAAAGAAAGATTTATTCAAAATAAATGGCTCAATAATAAGAATTAATTGTTCAATGATAGGGGATAACAATTGTAAAAAAACATTTTGATTAATATCTGTGTTTTCTTTAAAATCCTCAATTAATTGTAGAGTATAAATATTCCAGCATTGTATACAAGAGGGATGCATATTTGATTTATTTGTGACTTTTATTAAAAGTTCTAGTAGTCTTGTTGCGTATTCTTTAATAAATTTTCTTGAAAAGTATAATAAAAGTGAAAGTGATCTAAAAACTCGATACCAATACATTGATGCTTTATTTGAAGGTGGTGGCTCCGAAATAATAAAAGATATAGGAAAAAATATATATTGTAGTTGCGTATTGTTCCACGTTCCCGTAGATTCTCCTATTAAGAAACTTTTGTTATAAAATTCTAATAACCACATTAAATTTCTTCCGATGTAACTTCCTATTTTCTGTGATATCTCAATGTTTTGTTCAACTCCATTTAAAACTCTCTGCTTCTTTCGACTAGGTTGGCTTATTGAATCAAAACCAGATTCACAAATCAAAATATTAATTCTGTTCGATAACCAATCACATTGTTTAGCAAAAATATAGTCTTCATGGTAATTATATGTCAAGCTTTCCAAAGTTAAATTGTCAAGATATTTTCCAAAGATTGTATCTTTTTCTTTAGTAACCAAAAATTTTATTATATTTTCAGAACTTGTAACAATCCAAAAAAGAGATGCAATCGATGTATTTACCAATGCTTTTGGTAACTGAAAATCACTTGAAATTGTATTATTCAGTAAGCTGTTGTAAATGTTATTTTTAAGGAAACTAAAGCATGTTTCAATATCTAAATCTTCAATATTTATAGAATATATCAGAAAAAATGGTATTTGGATTATTAATTTGTCAAATGAAATTGAACTTGGAATATTTTTTTTTAAATACGAAAAAATTATATTTGAAGAATTAGTACAGCCAAAAAAAGATTTATAAAATAAATTAGGTAAAAGATAAGTGAAAGTGGGCCCAAGTAACGAAATCAACCAGTCGGGATGTTTATTTTTTGAATCAACAAAAGAAGATAATTTAATTGATGTTACTTTATTTACCCCAGGTGAGACTGAAATACTTGACAATGTGGTATTCTGCCTCATTAATACGGAGGAGATTGCAGATAATGACTTATATATTACCTTTGAATTATTATTGAAAGTATAGATTGATTCATCAATTATTTTTTTTTCGGGAATTATCCCTCTGGAGAACTCACTAAGGCTACTTCTACACCACATCAACTTCCAATTATGATCTAATCCAATTACCGCGAGCTTTAGAGCTGTTAAGGTTGAAGAGAAAAAGTGGCTAAATGACTCATCTGTAAATACAGTACTAATTAGCATAATAATATGAACTTTAATGTCCATGGAGGCAATACTCAATAAAATTTGGGAATTTTCGGTCGACTGGAAATCTGTAGTTTTATAGTTATGTAATTTGTTCAATCTATTACCAATACCAAGAGTCAAATAAAACTCGGTACTTTTTATTTTTTTTTTAGAAATGTAATTGATTAGTTCGTTAAGTTTAAAAACATCGCCAAAAAATCCGTGCCTAATCGGCTCTAATTTATCGGAGGTTGATTGAGTATCTTTTATTCCAGGCCCAAAAAAAATTGATAGTCTAAAAATGTCTTCTACATTTGTGAAAAAATAAGCTTCGGGGTCAATTAGTTCGCCAACAATATTAGATATCACTAGTGGTGTAGAAAAGAACAATTCACTGGAAAGTAAATTATTATTAAAGTTTGAGCAGGACAAGAGATTATTCCACAAGAATTTTCTTGATAAAATTAATAAATTGAGTTTTAATTGTGAATAATTTAAGTAATTACTTGAAAAAACACCGTTTTGCAAAAACATAGCCATATTAACCTCATAAAATGATTTATTTTGAGAAAAGCTGAATACGACCGATAATACAGCAAAAAAACTGTGTTCATGCATATCAAGAGAATATCCCTGAATATTCCTTATTGAATGGAACAGCATATCAATTGTATCCATTCTATATGTTTGTTTTTTGTTAAAATACAGCAAAATATCTATTGTAGAAAAGTAATTCTTTATTTCCGGAACGAAAACCGAATTATCAATATCAATTGAAGTGGGTATTATTTTCCAACAATTTTTACATATAAATAATTCTTTAGAAGGTATAAATCCATTTTTCTTCTTACAAAAAGGGCAAATTGGCAATGTAGGTAGAAAAGATAGCCACATATCTTTATGATCGTTATTTTCACAAAACAAATCGAAATAAGAAATAGAATTAAATGAGCTTCCAAAAGGAAAGCAATTCTCTTTGTTTAATTGTATATTATTAAAGAGTATCTGTAGTTCAGAGATGAGATCAAAATTTTCAAATTCTTTGTTTTTCAAAATAACAATTGCAAGTATTTTTATCAGTTTAATTTGAATGTTATGTGAAAATATGCATGAACTATTCAAATTATTAAGCTTCAACAAAATTTTAGTTACCAAGCTCTCATTTATTTCAAACGAATACATACAGTTGATCAAAATCAAATTTATTATGCAATTTGAAATAAGAAGAAAGAACATACTTTCTCCGTCCATTAGATCTATTAATGACTCTAATATTACTTCCAATCTTTCGTTGGATTTGGACAAAATACGAATGGAAAGCTCAGAAAGCAATATACACTGGTCAAATCCCCAGTCTGAAATCTTGTTCTCACTAGTTGACATTATTCTACAAAGGTGGTTCATAATATACTTTCCGAACTCAAAAGTACAACCAATATCATTTTCCAGCATAACTCGGATAAGCTCTATTGTAATAGATATAGAATAACATAATGGTAGTGGGTTTTTAATATTTTTTAAGAGATTAGAATTAAAATGATTGGAAAGGACCATTTGAATATGTGAAGTGATCAATAAAGGATCGTTACATTTTTTTGAATATACCTCGCTTATTCCATATATTGAAGCCTGTAATATATTGTTAGTCAATTCATCAAAATTTTTTTCATTAATAGGGAAAAAGTTTAATAACTTTAGTTTAATTAAAAGTGATAAAATTTTAATATTGATGTAAGAAATTTTGTTTGTGTGCTCGTTGTTGTAATTCAACGCATTCGCGACCCCAATTTCTATTATTTTTGCTGCATTTTCTGAAATATATGGCAATTTTTTTAATATTTCGAATATGAACTTTGAAGGGTATTCATCAAAAGAGTCATTTGAAGCCAATTTAAATTGATTGAACCAAAATCTTAAAATTAGTTCAATTTGAAAAACATAAGTATTTGGATTTTGAATATTATAATTTAAATCCTTTAAAAAACATGTTCTCAAAAACCCATTCAAATACCAAATAGTAAAATCTCCGAACAAACACAATGTGGAAGAATTATTTGCGAATTTGGAAATATAGCAGGGCAAAACATTTGTAAACTTATTTACATCTTCTTTATAAAGAAAAATAACTGTTTTATTTTTTATCAAATACAAAATGTTAGGGTTGCTCATTTTTTTTTCAAAACCAAATGTAATGGTTTTTAAAATATGTATTGCCATCCCAATAAATTCAAGTTTTTTTGTATTTATAGATGAATTTAATATCTTAAGCCAAACGCTGATAAATCGATCCCGGATAGATGAATCTTCATGAAAGGGATTTTGAGTTTCTAGAAGCTGTATTGTGATATGCCCCATCAGGTAAAGAAACCAATCGCTTTCTTTTGGTAAACTAATAAAAATTGGAGATTCAATTACGTTTAAACATCCTGAATTTAATTTGATGGCTTGAAGAAATGATGAGTAAATATCAATATTTTGAGAATTCTGAGTATCAATATCCGAAAACTTTCTATATTTCAGAAACGAGTTTAATTTATTTATATTTATTATGGTTTCGTTGGTGAATATCATAAATAATGATCTATTACCATTTGATAAAAGTTTCAAAATGGTTAAAAGTGATGAAACACAGCAATAAATCATTTCGTTGTCACTTGATTTCTGACAAATACTTTCAACCTGTTCATTCGTGTTTGAATTTGGGGTCGTTATATTTGAATAAGGCAGAAAAAAAAAATCTTTGGTAAAAATTTTACTTAGGAGTCTGTAAAAAAACTGTATAAGACCATTTGATGGGAAAACAAGGTGCCCGAAGTTACAGCACAAACCTTTTAAGGATGAGTTAATGCCTTTAATAGTTTTCAATCGTTTATTGGTGTTGCTTTCCCCAAAAATAAATTCTCGTATACTATCGAGTAAATATTTACGAAGAGTACCGATACATTCACTATGAGAGTCGATATATTCATCTAAATTTCTATTGATCTCTTCCACACTAATGAACGTATCAATTATGTCAATCAATTCATTATTATCCATACTAATCACAAATTTCACATATATTTATGTCTATATGTATTTATTTGTTTTTTAATATTTTTATCGACACACAAAAAAAAATCATTGGCGCGTCAGTTTCATTTAATGTAAAAAGTTGGAGTCAAAGTTGAAGTGGAAATGATAATACTTGGATACATCGATAGAGAGATCAAAAACAAAAGTAATTTCAAGAAATATGTAGAAATAGATAGTAAATTGGGTGGTAGCCCGGTAAGTTTTTGTTCAGTATGCATTAGAAAATCTAATTTTATGAAGGATTTTTTAACAGAGTGTAATTTTCAAGTAAATTGTACAAAATGCAACTTTCCATTAAAATTTACATTACAATTGTAAGTTAAATAATGAATTTAAGTTGATAATAATTTATTAAATATTTTTTTCAGAAATACTCCATATTCAACTACTAAGAGACGAGTTATATATTTGTTTTATTGTGATAATAATTATTGTAGCACTACTTGGAGAGTTCTGAGGTCCTCAATTAAATCAAATTCAGCTGAGATAACTGAAACTTTGCCATATGAAGAAGAGAATATTCTATCAGATGATTGGCTCCAATCTGCTGGTATAGAAGTGAATGAATTTGTAAATGACCAAAATATTCAAAATGGTTTGAAAAGTATTGAAAAATCAAATATAAATTGCAAATTTACTGAGAAAAGCTATTTAATTAATTGTATATCCGAAAAAAATATTGATAGTATTGATACAAAGACTAAAGTTCTACTTAATTCATACATATCAAATGATGACAATGATCCAATTGAGATTAAAAATAGTTTAGACTCCGACAATTCATCTGAAAAAAGTGACATTGAATATTTAGATCCATCAAGTGTTGACGAAAGCTTCTATGTATCTGATAAGGACAAATATTTACACAATTTTTCTTTGGAGATTTCAAAATTTCCAAAACAGATAATCAGATATTGTTTTGGTGGTACTCCTTTATATTCAGAATCTCCAAAAAAAATAATTATTCCAAGCTGTAAAGAATGTGGTTCAAACAAAGTTTTTGAGTTCCAAATCATTTCTACAGTAATATATGAGTGGGAAAACTTATTTGGAGAAAAAGACGTTTTCGTTAAATGCAATACAGATTGGTCAACAATAATTGTATATACATGTTCTAAAGACTGTAATGTGGAATTTTCGGAAGAATCAATCATTGTACAGCATTTCAAATAGAGTTTGGATACGTTGGATAAAGTATTTTAATATTAATTTCAAAGATAATCTTCATAAAACAAATAATGAATCATTTACTAGGCCAATTTCAAAGATAGTATTTAGGCATCTTAATATGATTAATGTATTACTGAGCCAAATTACATGAACTTGAGGCCTAAATTATAGTTAGTTTTTATTATTCATTAAAAGAAATAATTTTTTATGCAATTTCGTTTGAAATAAGTTTTATTAAACTTTTCCCATATTATTTCTAGCTTCTCATTAAGCGTCTAAATGCACTGAATCTCAATTTTTTTGGAATATTTATAATGCATTACTTCTTTGAGATAGGAGAAACCCTATTTGAGTTTAACTTAACGTCGCCAGACCAAAACGGAAGACGTGTAATTCTCGATCTATTTGTGTCAATTACAGTAAATGGTCCAATTAGTTCTCCGTTTATGTGTGTGAAATAGTCTGTACCAGAAATCGATACATTTTTTATTCTTATCCAATCTCCATATGATAATGGCTTTTTATTATTAATAAAATAGTCTTTTAATCCAAAGTTACAATTCTCAGAAACATAAACAACAAATACTTGGTCATAACTATGTTTAGTCAAATCACTCAAGTTGATTCTTTCACATTGCTTATGTTCTGTTACAATTAAGCACAAATTTTCTTTAGACATTTTTTTTGTTATTGGAAACATATTATTAGTTTCCAAATTTGTTTTCCTAAAAAACTCAGATAGAATACAAACATCGTGAATAAAAACAATAATGTCTCCAAATTGTCGGTTATGGTTTTCGGCTGAATTTAAAAGGTACTTAAGTGATTTAGTATAAGGAGAAATAGAAAAAAAAGGAAAATCATGAAATAATTCATAACACCATCTTTGCAATTTTAATAATCTTAATGAATCATCTTTAGTAAAAGTTGTCCTTTGCTGGCTTCCACCCACCTTAATAGCATTTTCTACCGTAAAATAACAATCTTGGCTATTAAATATCTCTTCATCAGATGAATACTTAGAATATATACTTTCAATATTTAAGTCATGAACCGACCAAATCCGTATTGAAGTATTTTTTAAATTGCATGGCAAATCAATGTATTTCTGCTTCGAAATTCTGGGCTCCACTCTATGGACTCTTATAATATCTCCAAAATTTATAATTGGAAGAGTATTTGCATCACCATCAGTAGCTATTTCCAAAGAAATAGTTGGGAAGTTTGGGTTTAAACGCGGTCTATTTTTATAATTATAAACACCTGAAAGTAGTTCATCAAGGTTTGAAATTGAATAGCTATCCATTGGAACTAATTCAATGACAGAAGGATCGATTAATGTTACATTCAAAAAAATCTGCGAAGTATGTGAACTACATCTTTTGACCGGATTATTTCCAACTTCAAGCACAACACCATAAAGATTTGTATTAACTTTAGGAATAATGTCAGACAATCGATCGATGTATGAATATTGAGTGGCTTGGGATGTGTTTTTGTAGTTATTTGATGTTTTTCTTTTTTTAAAAATGCCGTTGTATACTTGACTGTTTTTTTCCAAATCCAAACTGTCAGTAATACAGTTAAACTGATCAAGGCTTCCATTAAAATTCACGCAGTCAATAGAGGATGAATTTTGATTATATATAACACTTTCAACTGCTTCTAATTTTGCCCTATCGTTGTATATTCTTGCCCATGCAGGAAGATAAATATTACCCTTGCTACATAGTACAGCTGCATGAGTTAATACTGCAGGGATATGTTCAAAGCCACTCCTCCAAACAACCATGGAAGAATTTCTTTTCGAAACTGAAAACTCATAGGTGATACTGTTTTTATTTTTAGAAACATATCCACCAAAAATTTCAATAGTATCGCCTATATTAACAAATGAGCACGCAGTTGACCATTCATTATAAAGTGAAATATCAAAATAAATAATTTGGTTGTGATTATCTGACAAAGTTTTCGTTACAGATGATATTTTATAAAGTCTATTGCTATTTGTTAATTGGGCAATTATTTTTAAATACTCAGATTGACTAGATTTTAAATTCAAGTTAATATTTTCATTTTTGGGAACATTAAGCACATTTATTACTGAAACGAGGTAACCATTAGATGAGAAAACAGAACTTGAGGTCGTTCTATTTCTAGTTTTAGCTCCCTTGACCATGCATAAAATTATTTATTAAAATAAGAATAAAACGCGTTTACAAATAAAGAAAAAAAAAAAATGATTTACAAGCAAAAAAAATTAGCGCTTGTAATTTGTAATTGAAAATCTAGTTAAAAAAACCGAACTTTTTTAGTAATTTTTTTTGACCTTCTATTTCTCCTAAGAAGTTTTTGTAGTCTTCTGCCATATTGAGCATCGTTAACAGGCGGAATCTCGGTTAGACCTCTTCTATAAATATTGGAAACAATATCTTTAGAAAGTGACTTATTTTCTATGTGTAACTTTCTTAATGACCCATTACTTGATTGGATATCCACTTTGGATAATGTTCTAATTGGAATTTCCTTATAGGTATTCCTGCCTATTTTAATTTTTGATAATATTCCCAGCCTTTTCGCAGAATCTATCTGTTCCCTAAGAATTGATAAATAAATCTTTCTGCTTTCCAAATGGCAATCAAATCTATCGATGTCTTGAATTATTATATCTAAAAAAGTAAAATAAATTAAAGAAAATCGATGATTTAACTTACCTATATTTTGAATATCTTTATTTAATTTCTTAATTATTGTTTTTTCTTCTTTAAGAACTAATTCTTTTTTTCTTCGAATTTCCTTGTTAATTTCTGACCTTTTTTTCCTAATACCGTTATTTCTTCTTTGAGTATACGAAATATTATCTTCATCTTGAGTATCTTTAATTAATTCTAAATTATCAATAGAACCAAGCTTTAGAATTTTACCTTTCAGTAGAGAATTTACCAAGTAATATTTCTGTGTTTCGGTAAGATTTAAAACCTCACTAGGTTCATAGTAATTTGAAATAAATGAATTAACTAAAGAAGTAGAAAGGTTATTGCTATTTTTACTAAGAGTGCTTGCATTTAAAACAGAAAATGATTTGAATAAGACATCTTGCCTATCAGATTCGAGTGGATTTATTGATTGCCCAGAATGAGGTAATTGAATAGAAGGTCCTTTACTCTTTAAAAGTTTACTTGGATAATTCATACTACTTTTTATAATATCCAAATCAGGAATCGAGTCTCCCCAAATATCGAGTTCATCTTTATTAACGCTACAAATTTTTCTAAAGGAACGCTTCTGCAAACTGCTTTTAGCATTTTTCTTGTTCAAAGGCTCTTTATTATTAACTTTTTGAATAGTATGATTGAAGTTCTTTCCCTGATGATTCAAGTTGTTACATAAATCTAAAGGTATTTCATTATCGAAAGTAAATAATTTGCCAGAACTTAAAGTATCGTCAATATTCTTTCCAATTAGTTCTCTTTCGCAAACATCAATGTCATCTCCCAACGCAATTTTCTTGAATTTCTTTTTGGTTTGCACCATTATTATTAAGTAGAGAAGAATAAATAATATTGGCGCTTTTAGAGCAAAAACGGAGATTATCAAAAAAAAAAAAAATACCGACTTGTATTAGCAAATTTCACGTAAAGAAATTCTAAAACATTTGACTGATTACTCTAAGAGTATGCAAAATATTGTCGAATATATCATTAAGAATTTTTTTACACTTATTTAACACACATAAAGATACTTTTTAGATATTTTTTTATTTAAGTAAATTTTCATTCGTATTCAAACTATTTCGTCCATTTTTTGTCCTTTTCTTATTTTATGTAATATTTATCAAAAAATTATTTAATATTTGCGAGCAAACAGTTTGCGGGGAACGTGGCAGTCAAAAAAATTATTAACTTGAAATGTCCGTATCGCTCAAAAATAATGACGAATCCATATTTCAAGATAACCAAAGGAGGAACTTGAATGTTATGATAAAAATAATTAAGAATAAGATACTTAATAAATCAAACCAAATTATCGCTAGACGAAATAATGCAAACAATTATACATCTTCAATTAAAATTAATGAAATATCCTTATATGAAAATTCAGCAATAAAAGACGATAAGTACTCTCATCTAAGTGTTGTTCCAGTAAAAAATAGGTTTAAATCATTCTCAATGAAAAATGAATTTGAGAATAACGAAATTAGTCTAAAGGGCACGTCAAATCATACCAAACAAAAAAAAAACTTCTTTAAACGAAAAAAATCAGAAGAAATATCGAATATTCATGAAAAAAAACTAACATTTAAAGACTTACTTGAGCAGATAGAATCTGCTCGTAATATGGGTGAAGAGAGGATAAATCGAGCAAATAAATATTACAATAAACTAATGAGCTATGTAAAATATCATGCAATTGATGAAGTAGTAGAGTTTATTTTAAACTTTTTGAGTAGAGAAGAAATATCTTTACTAATTAATTATAACTTTGAGCATGTCTTTTTCAGCAATTCCCAAGAAACATGTTTGTTCGAAGTCTATCTTCAAACAAGATCTAAAATATCCAATAAAATTATTGATCAAGAAGATAATTTGTTTAAATTTGAAGAAATTTTGGATAAAAAATATTCTGAAAATGAAGAATCGGAAGAAAATTTTAGTGGGTATTTTATTGATGCATTCTCAAATTTAAAAGTGCAAGATGAAGATCTGGATGGATTTCTAAATTCCATTGGAACAAGCAATTTATTTATTGAATTTTCAATTGAATATTTGGTTTCCAGAACTTGTAATGTGTCACTTGAAATAAACAAAACGGTAGTTGACTGTATTAAAAAAGAAATAATAGATATAAATACTGGAATGTACAAAGGGGTGAATAGAGAATTATTTAATTAGTATAATTAATCTCAGTACTTGTTTCTAATACAATTTGAATTCTTTTGTAAATAATGTAATAGACCTGGATTTCTGATACTCAATAAATTTGAAATTTCCAAGAATCTCCCTTCCATTAACGCAACTTTACTTTTCATAAAGGAATATCTAAATGAAATCGAGTTCCTTATAACTTCTTCTGAAGCTTGCTGAAAATCAATAGAAAGTAATTCTAAAAATTTATATTCCATGATTTGAAGAAAAGTTAATTTTCCACTTCCATCAACTCTTAGACAAAATTTAACGAAACACCCCAATTGATCCTTAATGACATTATTTACTATTCTGCAAAATGTTTCTGTAAAATCGTTGTAGTCGCATACTAGATTTTGCACAATTTTCAATTCATTGAAATCAGAAGGCGAAAAATCGCGTGTATAAAAGAGAAAAAGGTCATTGTCGCATGTTATTTCGAATCTGATTATATCAGGATGTGACCTTGCTCCCTTTATCATTACTCTGAAATTAATGTTTTCTGTAGTTCCAATTTCTTCTGCATCATCTGAATCTATTAATCTGATTTCAACTGGGCAAGTTCTTCTAAATACTACGCTAAAACCGCCAGACAATATTGGGTCAGCTTTCTCTAAATCCGAATAATCAAAACTATCTAAAAATATCCTTTCCTGACAAATCTTCTTATCTTTATCGATCATCTTTAAATTAGAGCCTTATTTCTTAAATAATTATCAAATTCATAGTAACATGGTCTTTTTAAATTACTTTGTTAAAGGCTTAACAAATTTTGTTATATGAATTAATAAATAAATCCTGCTTTTTTCTTTTTTTTACAACAATTAAGTTTAAATCTGGTCTTTATTAATGAATTAAATAAAATTGAAAAAAATTTTTTTTTTCGAGCATGTTAATTTAGAAAAATTATGTATTTGCACGCCAATGCGAAAAAATTGTATGTATAGTTTAGCACACAAAGTGATTTCAATCATTTTCTAAAAAATGAATAAAAGCGAAATAAAAATTTTATGTACAGGGGGAACAGGCTATATTGGTAGCCATACAGTAATATCTCTTGTTGAAGAAGGTTATACTGTTCACATATTAGATAATCTTTCAAATTCAGATCCTGAGGTTATTAACAGAATCGAAAAGATTACCCAAGTTAAAGTCCCCTTTTTTGAAATTGACATAAGAGATAAAGAAAAGATGTTAAACTTGTTTTCCAAGGAGAGATACAATGCTGTAATTCACTTTGCAGGACTTAAGGCTGTTGGAGTTTCAGTTTCCAAACCATTAGAATACTATGAAAATAATGTTGTTGGAACAATCAGATTATTAGAGGTAATGAGAGAAGTTAATTGCAAAATATTAGTATTTTCTTCAAGTGCAACCGTTTATTTGCCAAAATCCACACCACTTCTGGAAACTGATCCATTAGGGGCATCAAACCCTTATGGACAAACAAAATATATGATAGAATTAATGATGAAAGATGTATACAATGCATCTGAAGGTACAAAATTTTCAATACTAAGATACTTCAACCCTGTTGGTTGCCACCAATCGTCCTTAATAGGTGAAGACCCAGAAGAGCCAAATAACTTACTTCCATATATACAACTTGTTTCTATTGGAAGAAAAGAAAAACTTTTTGTATTTGGAAATGATTGGCCAACCAGAGATGGAACAGGGATAAGAGATTATATTCATGTAACTGACCTAGCAAATGGGCATGTTAAAGCTTTAGAAAAATTATTGAATTTAAGTGATGCAGACAAAACCTTGGATATTTATAATCTAGGTTGTGGAACTGGGGTTTCTGTACTTGAAATGGTTAAAAATTTTGAAAACGCTAGCGGAAAACAAATCCCTTACGAAATAATAAATAGGCGTCCCGGAGATTTGGCAAGTGTAGTTGCCGATCCGTCAAAAGCGGAAAAAGAGTTAGGGTGGAAAGCAGAAAAAAGTATTTTCGATGCATGTAAATCTGCATATGATTGGCAATTTAACAATCCAAATGGATATTCAAAAAATTGACGAGCATTAATCATAGTTTGTTATTATCTAAATTATTGGTATTTTTAATTTTGATTAAACTGGAATTTTAACGCTATTTTAGTGCATTGTTAACATTTCTATTGTTTTTTTTTTGCAAAATTCCTCTGGCGCAAAACCTTTCTGATTACTTTGAAATGTCTCTTTTTTTTTATCTGTACTTAATTATTTTGAATATGAGAGTGAAGCCAAATGTTAGTCTCCACTTGGTCGCACATAGAGGTGCATCTTATTTTATTCCAGAAGAGTCTTTAGCTGCATATTCCCTAGCAGCGAGACATGGAGTGAATTATATTGAATGTGATATTGTATCAACTAAAGACGGAGTATTGATTTTGAGACATAGTCCAAACCTATCTGAGTCCACAAATATTGATGATTTTATCGAATTTAGTCACCTCAGGAAAACAGAAATTTTATATGATAGCAATAGTAATGATGCAATCACAGGTATATTTTCATGGGATTTAACCTACGAAGAGGTCAAAAAAATCAAGTGTACACATGAAAAGAAATATAAAAATAGGAGCCCAGACCTAAATGGAATATATGATATACTTACACTAGACGAGTTTCTAAAATTTAGTATTTCTGGGTTTGATGGTCATCGTCCAGGATTATATATTGAGATTAAATACCCCACAATGCATGAGAAAAAAGGTATTACCAACATCTCTGACAAGTTATTGGATACATTGGACAGATTTGGGCTTAACAAAAAAGCTAAACCTGTGTATATTCAGAGTTTTGAACCATCCAATTTAGAATATATACGAAGCAAGAGTGAACTTAATTTGGTACAACTTTTAACGAGGGATGACAAAAACAGTTTCGTATATGCAGTTAATGATGCAGAAGACGACGAGAAAATGAAATACGTAACTTGTGATATGGAGTACATTTCTAAGTTTGCAAATGTTGTATCTCCCTATAAAGAGGACTTGATTGAGTATACTAATACTACGGACAATTCTTTACCTACCTCAAGCCATTTTGTTTCCAAAGCCCACGAACTTGGTTTAATAGTTGTGCCTTATACATTTAGACCAGAATCAATATTGCCGTACTTCAAAAATATTTATGAAGAATACGACTATTTTATCAGAATACTAAAAACTGATGGCGTTTTTACTGATGATAGTCAAAGTATTATAAATTATATAAACCATACTGACACGCGACTTTATGAGTAAAGTCCCATTCAATCAAAATATATTTGGTAAATCTGTGAATTCTATTTTTTGATCCCTATGAATCCAATATTTGTGATTAAATTTCCAATTAAATCTTCCTGTTGAATCATCAAATTCTTTAAAGAACCATTTTGGGCAATAGTCGGCTTCCCCATTTAATCTTTTTTTTGCGCTTGCTCTTTGTTTCTCCTCGAGTCTTCTTTTCTCTTTAACAGCCCACTCAATATGCCCATTTTCATATGCTCTTTGGTCAGGTCTGTACCTAGAGTCTGTACATGGCATAGTCACTCCGGGCGTGTTAATGTCGTATTGTGGTGAAATTTCATTGAGTTCAAACGTCATTTCAGCAAATCCAAAGTATTTTTCGCTTTGGAAAGGTTTAGTTTCGGCGATCCATGCTATCTTACGACTTGAAGGAATGGATTCAATTTTGTCCCAAATAGATAATAAGTACAGGGAACTTGTAGGGATTGTATAAGAACATGTTTCAGCTGATTCTCCACAAAATTTATAATTTTCTTTTTGCTTATTTATCTTCTCTAAATCCAAATTTGATTTAATAGAAAAATTTTCCTTATAATCAAATTTACAAGATTCATACCAAATCTTACTGTCCCATTTCCCCCCAATTTTATAAATTGGGTTGCCATACTTGTCAAAAACGAATCCTTTAATATTGAACAAATCATTACTAAACCATCCGCCCTTCTGATATTCTATCAATGAAAATTCCGAAGTTTTTCGATTTATGATTGCGCTAATTCCCACAATTTCTATCCAAAGTTTACCAAATATCACATTATGAATGAGTAATTTTGGCCTATTGAATGTGTAATAGTCACCCTTCTCATTCAACACTATATTAACGTTTCCTAAAACAGTGAGCTCTAGACTTTGGCCCGTAAAACGAGATTTATTTCCAACTTGGCCCCAAGCAGAATACAAAGGATTAATGTTATGACCAATTTTCGGAACTTCATTATTAACGTTCATTGGATGGTGTTCAACATAAAATGCGGTAGTTGGTGGATGATGGCCTACTTGTTCTGCAATGAACCTAAAGCCACGATGAGAAAGTTCGAAAGTTTCGCCAAGTAACGGGTTAAATGGTTTAAATATCCTCCCAATTGACGATACATAAGGAGTAATAGAAAATATTGTTATTTCTCGAAGACGATCAATACTTGAGCTGTAAAGAGACGCGTTCTCTAATATTGACGAGTACCTGAAATCTTCTGCAAGCCTTTGTAATAATGATGTTGGCTCATTGAACTGAATTGGAATGGTTATGCGTGAAATATCCTTAGTTATAGATTCTTTAATGGACGCCCATAGATTGAAACGTGGTTTTTGTTGCATGAAAGGCAATGCCACACGATATTTGTACGGATTTTTTCTCCAAAAACAGCAAGAACAATCATTCCTAGCTGGAATTAAATGAGAAGTATTCAAAATTTGGTTGGACTCAACATCGTTTTCAAAATCAGAAAAAGCGTCGTGAAATATTTCCTCCGTAGATTCAAAGTTAAGGAAATCATTATTCTTTTTATTATTAATTTTTCCAAAATTTTCTTCTGCATTTATCAAACTGAATAGCGATGAATAAATATCACTTTCATGAAATTTTACTAAATTTATATTGCATGTTTTCTCGAAAACTGTATCAATTAATTTGTCAAAATACTTTGAAATTTTATTTTTACTAGACTTAACTTTCTTTTCAGAAAGTTCGTCTAAAACTAAATTTCTTGTTTTTATTAGTTCGTATAGTAAATTTGTTAGAAATGGAATGTTGGCATTATTTAGTGAATCCTTATATGAAACAGAGGAATTACTGGAATTTATTTGGTTAAAAAACAACTTTTTCTCAATTAATTTTGTGTTCATCGAGTAAATCAAAGAATTTATCCAAACAAGTTTTGATTCAAGTGAACAAGTCTTCAAATGTAAGTCATTATTTGAATCATTTGGGTACCTAAGTGAAATTCGGTTACATTTGCTTGAATATATATCAATATAACAAGATTTGTTTGGGATGTTAATTTTCCTGATTTTTGAACCTTTTATGTAACATAAAACTCCAGGGTATAATCTAAAATATCTTGGTTTCCAGGTGTTTACAACATTGGTCCATTTGTGTAGCCAGCCTTCAATTATTGGTTGCTCATGCTCGACTAAATACTCTTTATTTGTAATTTTGGATGCTTGAGAAACAATATTTTTATTTTCTTGAATGGATGTTTTTGAGTTAATTATTCTAGATAGATTAATAGTTGAACACGGTTGATTTTTCCTTCTAGAGGTTGAATTATTTGTTTTTCCAAACTCCTCAGATATACTAGATTGTATGCTCAAAAATTCAGGAACATTATTCATCATTTCCAAATCATAGGATGAATTTTCGAGTATATCATTTATTATTTTCGCCTTTTCATTAACTAGCATTATTTGGCATGTTAGTTAAGTATTATTTTATAAAAATTTTGCTTCAATCCCCCCAAATCTAAGTATTAAAACCGAGGTGAGGGGGCTGAATAATAAAATTTTTGAATAGTAAATACTCCATTAAAATAGAATAACTCTAGTAATTATCAATATTTATGGAAAGTCTGGGCATATATTTTCGAAATAATCAAACGCTCTTGGGAGCACCCAAAAAAACGCTCCCGGACGGAATCGAACCGTCGACCCTTCGGTTAACAGCCGAATGCTATAACCGACTAAGCCACGGAAGCTCACGTTTATCAGTCCAGTGTTCAGTGTCTAGAGAGTTTGAAATATTTTTTTCTAAGTAACATTCTTAAGTAAAGCTTTCTAGAAAATTTACTTATACCACAGTTTTTAATAAGTTTATACCTAATTTTTGGCTTATTGATAAAATTTTGATTTATAGGTTGCTCTTTCTTTTTTTCCTCGATTTTCTCATTTTTTGCTTCTTTAAATTTGGAATAGGGAATAACACAATTTCTTAAAAACTCAAAATTATTGCCGTTCCTCTGCATGCCACAACTTGATTTTAGCTTTGACAGCTCAAGAAAAATACATTTTTCAACTACAAGTTTAATCATGTTATTTTTTTCATTTACAAAAGTTTTATTTTCCATTTTTTTATTCATTCCATTTTTCCGTTTTTTAGAAATATGATTGAAAGTTAGCAAAGAAATATTTAAATAACGAATACTATCTGTTCTGTTTGAAAGTTGATAAATTTCGCTCTTTATTTCTGATCTTCTGTCCTTAGTTGGTATATTAATCCCAATTATATTACAATACTTAGAAATATTCTTTTGAAAAGGTTTGAAAAAAGGAACTGATAAAGATAAGTAACTGGTTGATACCCTAGTATTTAAAATAGATATTATACCATCCCCAAATTGAGGTAGCTGAGCGGTACATGACCCTGTGATTACATCCCAAATTCTTACCCCATCAGTTGCAGACGAAAAAAGTCTACCTTTGGAGTAAATACAAGTTTTAACAGACCCAGAGTGGCCAAGCAACTTGAAAACATTGTTAATATTTACCTTAGATATTTCATCATGATATATTTTATAAATTGTTCCATTTCCACCCCCAACGAAAAGTAATTTACCACATTCTGAGGATGTACATGAGTGTAACTGTGTCGAAAAATTTAAGCTTGCTTGTGGTTTTTCAGACTTAAATGTAAGAAAATTTAATGAAAAGTCTCCTCCAACTGAAATAATAGATTGATTTAAGAAATTACTAGACAAATTTAACGTGAAGAAATCATTTATTGAAGCTGAGTGAACATTCCATTTAATTATTGGTTTTGGAAAAACCGAAGAATTGTTACTTTCAAGCAATTCACTGACCAGAAATGCCTGTATATAACAATCGTCACTACAACTAACTAGTACTGAATTACTTTGTATCAACCTCATTTTATTAATTGGCTTGTAGTGAGGAAGCCAACAATTTAACAATTGCCCAGTAGTGACGACCCATATGTATATGGTTCCTGAAAGGCCACCAGCATAAACAACACCACCATCGTCTTGGAATTCACAGCATTTAATTATTTCAGGAAGTGAAACTCTATAAATAGGCTCACTTTTATTATTCCATATGTGTAAAATTGGTTTATTTGCTTGAAACCCAGCAAAATATCTTGTAGAATTACCTATATATGAAACACTAAACTTTGATGCATTACAGTCCTTGTATGCTTGAGATGCAATCCCAGTATTACTATCCAAGGAATACACTCCATTACAATTCGAAACAAGAGTAATTTTTTCCATTGAAACCTAATACTAAAAGTCAACAAATAACCAGACAACAGCGCGCAAATATAAGTGACAGAAAAAACATTTAAGCGATTCAAAGAAAAAATATTGTAGGATACTATCAGCCTCCAAAAATCAGCAATTCATTTCAGAGTTCCTATTGTATTCTTTTTAATATATGCACAAACATGGACGGTAACAACAATTAATGCTGATACTGTGGCATTGTGCAATGGAAACTATAACTTCAGAATGCGCAATATGTTTCATTGTACAGAATATTGTACTCAATTGAAACACGGATAAAGCGAATCATCATCAACAGAAATATATCTACTTACAAAAATAAATATATAAATAGTTGCATATTAATAAAAGAAAGCAACTTTATACGGACGAGCGTCTTTTGGGCGGTATAAGCCAAATATTAATGCCGCGATAAACGCTACCTGCCGTGCGGAATATTATTGCATGTTCAATTGTTCGCAATATAAAGATAATGTTTCGGCCATTGTTAGACTGTAATGGAGAAATTAGCATTAATAGACTGCTTGGTAGCCAGGATCTGTCAGAATATGTGATATCCGTGCGAACCTTTGAGGATGTGGTTAATAAATTGAATATAATCGTTAGCGACAGACTCATGCAATTGCTTCATCAAGTTGATGTGGATATTGCATTAGATACATGCAAGAACGGTTCCTATCTATATAAATACCCACGCTCTTATATCGGTGGCAAACATTTTTCAAGATATAACTTTGAAATAGACTTAGATTCTGGATGTATTAAATGGTATCAAAAAAAAAGAGCTTTAATTTGCTCTAGAAAAGTGGCATTTATTCAGACTTTATATCTGAATGATGTAAACCATATTCTTCCAGGTTCTGATAGTGACTTTTGGAGATCAAAAAAATATACAAGACAAGAAGATATCAATTCTAGTCTCGGGATTGAACTAGTTGTAGTAGGAAAAAGAAATAAAACACTAAGACTTTTGTGCACGAATCATGAGGAATGGAAGTTTTGGATGGTGGGGCTATTAGTGAGTCACGCTCTTGCTCAAAGAGAGAAGTTGGTTTCGAAGAGTAAAGGAACTAAAAAAATAGTTGACGCAAAACACTTTTATACGCACGATTACATTAGACGGCAATGGGAACTTTCAGATTTAGATAACTCCGGTTCAATAAGCTTTTGCGAGTTTATGCGTTTGACAAGAAGACTGCAAATGCCAGTGTCTAAGGATTACACTCATGCCCTTTTTTGTGAATATGACAGCGATAGTAATGGTGCGCTTGATTATAAAGAATTTAGAAATCTATTAACCCAGCTTTTAATACTCCCTGAACTACGTGATTTGTTTGATGAGTATAAGGACTCCGAAACAAACGTTATGAGTGCAAATAAATTTCGTAATTTCTTAATTGATGTTCAAGGTATGGATCCATCTAATTCATTGGAATCGTTAGTTAATGCTGTGCTGAATATGAAAGAACCATTTATTGAAAGAGGTGGTATCACTGAAATTGGATTTAACATTCTTATGTCTTCAGAGTTTAACTCTGCATTTGATCCATTAAAAAGAGATGTTTATCAATCAATGGATGAACCTATATCCCACTACTGGATAGCTTCAAGCCATAATACATATTTAACTGGTGACCAGCTAACTTCAAAATCTGAGATTGGCCAATATATAACCGTATTACTTCAGGGGTGTAGGTGCGTAGAGCTGGATGTTTGGAATGGCCCAGATGGATCACCAATTATTTACCACGGGTATACCTTAACTTCCAAAGTTTATTTTGAAGATGTAATTAGAGCATGCAAAGACTATGCTTTCCAAATATCTCCATATCCGATTATTTTATCACTCGAAATGCATGCGTCTGACAAGCAACGTGAAAAGGTTGCAGAAATAATATTGAATGTATTAGGTGATTCTCTTTATATACCTCCAAATGATGGGAATGATCGCCTTCCCACCCCAAATGAGCTAAAATATAAATTTCTTGTTAAAGCTAAAGTTCCGAAGGAAGATAGTGCTATTTTTAATTTTAGAACTCAAGTTATTGATGAAGAAGATGAAAATGATGATTTAAACCCGGATATATTGGAGACCGAAATTGAAATATCCAATAGTATTGGGGTTGAGAATGAGAAACAAATCTCGTCTCCAAGTCAAATTCCAATTAAGAAAAGGTTATATTCCAGTTTAATTTCTCTTCCAGGAAATGCGATACAACTTTCTAATTTTGAAAATCGTAGAAGAATGAGTATCGGCTCTCTTGTTGAAACAAAATTCCTTCGTTTTGCAAAAGATTCAAGTATGAGTCTTGCGAAGTTCCACCAAGATCACTTGTGTAGAGTTTACCCGTCAGGTAAACGTATTTCAAGCTCAAACTACAATCCTTTAATACCTTGGTCATACGGAGCTCAGATCGTCGCATTGAATTACCAAGCAGTCGGAACTGCTTTATTACTGAATGAAGGGAGATTCAGACAAAATGGTGGGTCAAAGAGTGGTTACGTTTTAAAACCAAAAATGTGCTTAAAAAAATGTTCTGATGGGCGAGTTTTTGACCCTATGAACCCATTGGAAACTTTAGAACTTTTCGATATTCCTCCTGTAAGAATATGTATTCAAATTTTATCAGCACACCAACTTCCTGATAACCTATCACAATTCTCACGTGGAATCGCAAGTCTCATATCCGGTAATAAACTTTCACCGTATATCAATATTTCTGTTTTTGGTGGGCCGAGCGAAGAATTTAAATCATATAGAACTCCCGTAGTCAATAATAATGGTTTCAATCCTAAATGGGAAAATCTGTCTCCATTTACGTTCAATGTTCTTTGTCCAGAAATTTCAATTATTAACTTTGAAGTTAAGTCTTCTGATTCAATACAATCTGAATTCATTGCAGCAGCTTCAATTCCTGTTTCATGTCTCAGACCTGGACTAAGATGGATACAACTATTCGATGCCAATTTTATTGATATTCAATGTTGTGGAATCCTTGCAAATATTTCTATAACAACGGAATTACCAAAAACATATATGCTATCGTCAATTTTAACCGGAAGTAATGGTAGTACATCCACAAGTCTACAGGAAACATTGCAGCAGTTTAGAGGAATTAAATTTTAAGATATCTATTTTCTTGATGAAAGAATTCTCAATTTCTCTCAAAGGCATTAAGTTAATAATTCATGTTATTTAATTGAAATTCAATAATCTACTGATATCAATATTTCGTATACATTTTATATATAATTTCAGTTAAAAATACTGAATTTTTACCAGAAATAATTTTTTGAATATTTTATATTGTGGGCTTATCTGATATACTATTGAATTCTGGATTTGACCCTCCGGTCACAATCATGTGATAAACAGTTATTCCAATTAAAGAAAGTACTAAACCTGCTGTAAAAAACCAAATTGAAGAAATTGTAACAAATGTCTGAGAAGTGTAAAATTTTTAGTTTTTTAAATTAATTTTCAACATACCGTCCACCAAAGTGCAGGAGCAGTGCTTTGACATACTAAAGAAGTATTTACCTAAGCAAATTATAAAATTATTATATTAAGTCTTTAACTTACCCAAACAGTCCCCATTGTGAACCAAAGAAAACTTGCCAAGAACATAATCGATTCACCTATTATGGCAAAACTTCTTTCATATAAGATATTTTTCTGTATTTAAGACAAACTTACTTTTGTCCAAATGTGGATTCTATGATAGCCATTAGCTTAGAGGCAGGATAGGACTGATTAGTCGTGAATGAAGAGTTATTTTATTTAGTATAATTTCTTACCAATAATATCGCACCAACAAGCCATGATTTCAATGGTGTGTCACAAACTTTTCCAAATGAAACTGCGAGCACTCCTGCATAAAGCAAATCTATTGTTATAAAAATAACCAAAGATAATCTTCTTAAGTCACTTTTATGCTTTCTGAAGTTGAATTGAGTTTCGGATGCCATAAATAACCATAAAAATCCAAAGAATAGTTTTAAATGTTTTAATACTAAAAAATTGATTAATAATTACATGTTGCATGTTTAAATTGCATGCTAATTTACACATGCTTTAATTGAAGTTATAACTATATTTATTCTACAATTTGACCGAAATTTTATAATTAAGACGATGTTTAATCTTGGCTTTATTTCTTTTTTCGAATATTTATTTATTTCTTATTTATTGTATAATTTCCATAAGATTTGATTGATTTCATAGCAATATTTTTCTTTAACTAGTTATTTGCGCGTATAATTTTAATTTCTTAGTAATAGGTCAATTTTATTTATATTTATTCGAATTATCAATGCCCAACTTCCAAACACCTATTAGGAACGTCGAATTAAAAGAAAGAAAGAGAATTAGCTATTCTTTAAGTAACAACAGAAAGCAGAATTTGCAAAAGTTAATCAATGAAAGGAGTAATCTTGAAAAAAATGAAGCAATTAACAAATTAGGTGGTGTTTTAAAGGCTACATCTATTGAAAGCCAAATAGTCTGCTTAGAAAGAGGTAAGTTATTTACGCTAATTTATTTATCGTGTACTATTAATATCATCAGATCAATTGGTTGATTTAATATTGGTTGCATGTGCCGATTATCCCGAGTTTTGTAAAAAAGTAAGTTAATTAATATAATAACGATTTCTATCAACAAAAAAAAGGTAAATAAAAAATATTTAGATTCACTGTCATCTATTAAAAATATTCATTAGCTCAATATTTCAACATATTACTAAAGTAATACATAAACTCTTCATAATATACATTTAAAAAAAAAATTCTACCAATGAAATATGATTTTAAGGATTCTATCGATTATTATGTCAAATTTAAAGTAATAGTTTATACTATTTAAGAAGGTTTACCATTAAATCATCGAATAAAAAAACCATTTATAGAATATTTGTGTTGAATAGAACCTAAGAAAGGTTAAAATATTTGTATTCAAATCCTCGTGCTAGTTACTAGTTAAATAAAAAATATTTTGATGAGAAAACATGATATCAATTTGTTGGGTTTAATAGTTTAAACACTACATGCTTTAATGTTAATTGGGTGTGATATCGTAGATTTTGGAAGTTTAGAAGAGAAACACATTGTTAAACATTGTTCATAGGAAATTAAGTGGAATTAATGAAATATTTCTTTCTGAAAATGCTGTTGCATTTATTAATTTCTGAGCTTTATACTTGGTTTTGGTTTTGTGATAATATAAAAAATAAATAGTGAATCTATTTTTTACTGTATTAAATCAACATTTGGTTCTATCGAGTTTTGATTTTTCTAAAATTGACGAATTATTCAAAAGGTATTTTTTGATGATAGAAATTAAAAGACCTTATCCATATATTTTATTTCTGTATTGTTCAGTTTAACATTAACAAGAATTTAAGTTTCAACAACCCAATTCAATTTAATAAAGATTCTCTTTTATTAATGAGTTATAAAAGCCCATATTGTTGTTATTGACTAGTTATTTAACGATGACAAATTTAATATTTTTAGGCTTAAATTTACATAACAACTCCAAAAATCGCTTGAATTAGCGTATTAAGAATGGAATTTTAAAAAATTATGGAAAAAAACATTTCAATAATAAAAGATTGTGATACTATATTAAATATTAATAATATTTAGACCATCCGAGAAGTATATTGGATTATCTAATTAAATCGGTTAAATATATCTATGATTATTTAAGTACAGCTGAAATGTTTCAAGAAATCGGAATTAATTACAAATAATTTTAAAATGGATTCAAATAATTCATTATAAAATACTATACACTATAAAAATCGAAATCTCGATCGCTTTTTTTTACGTGTATCTTCCATCCTTTTTCAAAATCTTTAGGCAGTATAACATATCTGTTTTTCCTAACGGCTTGCATACCTGCCTCCTGTGAAATCGCAGCTATGTCAGCTGCAGATATTTTTTCAGGTCTGGAGACATATTCTTCAAGATCAACTTCTTCACTCAAATTCATCTTTGCCGTAATCGTCTGGAATATTAGTCTCCTTTGTCTTCTATCGGGCAGTGGGAATTCTATTTTTCGATCAAGTCTCCCTGGTCTCAGTAGTGCAGGATCAAGCGTGTCTGCTCTGTTAGTTGCCATAATAACTTTTACATTTGTCGTTTGGTCGAACCCATCCATTTGGTTCAATAGCTCGAGCAATATACGTTGAACTTCCCTGTCTGCTCCAGTTTGGGCATCAAAACGTTTAGTTGCAATTGAATCAACTTCATCAATAAACACAATTGCTGGAGAGTTTTCTCTTGCTAATCGAAATACATCGCGCACCATTCTTGGGCCTTCTCCCAAATATTTCTGTACAAATTCAGATCCAACTACTCTAATAAACGTGGCTGTTGTATGATTGGCAACAGCCTTGGCCAACATCGTTTTGCCTGTGCCAGGAGGCCCGTATAAAAGCACTCCAGTTGGAGGATCAATACCTATTTGTTGATATAATTCTGGGCACACGAGAGGCAATTCAACAGCTTCTCGTACTTCCTGCTTTTGAATATCCATCCCTCCAATATCAGAATATGTTACATCAGGTTTTTCTTGCATTTGAAGCATTTGAATACTAGAATCTGCCTCTGGAGGAAGAATATCCACTATTGCATGACTATGCCTATGAAGTGCAACTGATGCAGGTGGCTTCAAGTCTTCTCTATTAATTGTACTAAGAACTCTTACATAGTAATTCGAGCCTGCTGTTGAAGAAACAATCCCATATTTAGAGTCAATCATTTCTAGAAACTGCCCAATAACGAGCGGAACTGATTGAATACGCTTGATCTCCTCTTTTGCACGTTGGAATTCGCGTTTCAAACCTTTCTGTTCATCTTTGATATAATCTTCCTGTATATTCAAAAACTCGAGCTCTTCCTCTAGTTCTTTGAGGGTTCCATACAAACATTTCTCACAATCTACATTGTCAAAAACAATTTTTTGAGACTCCATCAGAGAGCATGCCATTTTTTTACAATAATAACGAGTTGTTATGAAAAAAACATAAGAGAAAAAACAAACCGCTCGTAATGTGGGTTCAGCGGTTCCAAGGATTGAAGTAATTTGTGATTAAAGCAGAATTTCACTCAGGCCGCAATAGATATCATTCTAAACATTTTGTAAAATTTACAGTTAAATGCGCGAATTATGCTATTTTCCAGGTTTTATTAATTAGTGCTTATTACTAGACAAATAAAACCTAACTTATAATCTGAAAATTTTCATTAAAAAAAAAAGCATTTCGCTCAAATATTCCTCACTAAATACACAAAATTTGTCAAATTTGCTCATTAAGATTTTACAAAATTTTAACTCATAACTCAAACGAATATTACTCTTCAATATTAAATAGTTTAAATACGGTCTTTTTGTGTTTATTGTCTATTTTGGCAGAATGAGTATAATTAGCAACTTGATAAATCTGTTAGGATTCAGAGCCCGAAATTATTATTAAAGATTAAGGTCGGTGGAAGATGGTTTGCTTAGACAATACAATTTTATGTGTTTTTTATTGAGTTTGTGCTGTATTTCTATAATTCTGAAAAATTCCTTTCTTAACTTCATAGATAGTATTTTTAACCGTGAAGTATAACCACGATAATATCTCTGTATTATTGTTGCAGATCTTTGCTCCATAATGATCTCAAAATCTGTTCATTGTTACAACTGAAAGTGTGGTTATTACAAAAATTTGTGTTTTTGTCGGTAAATAAAATACTAAATAACTTCCTTGCAAATTTTTACATCGAGACTTGAAAGAAAATTGTTAATAAACAATTCTTCAATTTCTAATTCTTCAGTAACTGCTATTCTTAAATACCTTTTGATAGCCACGATCATATTTGCCAACCGTGTAAAAAGTGAATAGATAATGAAAAATACCCCATAATTGGTTAATATTGAACTAAGAGTATTTATACACTTACTTGTGACAATGTTTCCCGAACTTCTTGATATCAGTGTAATCTTGCTGCAATCTTCATTTCCTTTGGTATACCAGAAGTTTTGGTTTTGTATGTAAAAAACTAAATCGAAGGTATTTAGCTTACTTTTATACAAATCCTTATAACAACAGTTGCATAAAACCATATAACTTTTATCAAATTGAAAAAAATATCTAGCAAGAAATATCTCAGGAAGGCCGGGATATTTTACAGTAACTATGTCTTTACTTACAAAGTAAAGCATGTTTTGTATGTTTGCAGTATATGAGTTACTTTCAAGTTTTGAATTGAGTTCCATAATATTCTCTCCAATATTCTTTAATAAGCTTAGTAAAATGCCGGGAGAGACCCCAATAAACATGCGTGCTATTGAATTTGTTCGTGTGGAATTTAAAGAATATTGATTTTGGTTTTTTTTAATAAGAATTTCAATGAATGGAAAAATAGGATTTTCTTCATTTTCAACCTTAAACATCTTGTTATAATTCAATTCTATTCGACCACAGTTGCTCTTATGCTTCAAGTGTTTATATAAATTGATTATAGCTTTCGTCAGACGATCACATTTTGAAAAAAAAGTGCTATTACACGCTTTCTTTTTAATAACCCAGCATCTCCCCCCATCCCCACCAAAATTATAAGTCCCCCGGTAATTTGTTAAATTTTTAAATTTAATGAAAAAACACGGGAATTAGCTGCCTAGGATTCAAATATTACAAAACACATTTACAATCATTTTTTAAATAAACATATTCTATAAAACTGGAATTAAAATTGGCTAGGGAATATCTATTTGTTAAAAATTAAGGCGGGAACTAAATAGATTTAAAATCTATGTCGATTATGACATTGGATTTAATAAAATAAGAAAAAAAATGAATATTAGAATAATAATATTCCGAGTTCTGTTAATACTAAATGTTGTTTCATATACATATTCAGAAAGGAAAAAACAACTAATGTCCGATTCTGAAATCATTATTTCTATTGATGAAAATATTTCTCTTTTATTAAAATTTGCAAGACTGATTTCAATTAAAAAAAGTGAGCAAGCAAGAAAGAAATGTACGATCGCCTTGAAAAATTTAAAAACTTTGAATTCTGCAACAGAAAACGGAAATGTAAAGATCAATCCTTTAACAAACATCGCTCTAAATGGTTTGATTTGGCATTCAGATCCTTGTAACGATCCTAATCACATTGTTAAACATATTGAGTTATATAATCTTATTAAATTTAGCAACCTATTTAGTCAAATATCGAATCTTAAGCAAGATTTAAATAATAATAAACAAATCAATGTGAGCGTTTTGACTACTAAATCTTCTTTTCCTCAATATGAAAAAAGATTTAAAAACACTGTATTTAGAAGTCACATCATTTCAAAACCGTTTATTAAACATAAAACTTCAACTAAAGCGATATCACAAGAAATACAATCAAGAATGGACTCTTTAGCTGTAAATAAAAATGATAGCCATAATGCAGTCAATTCGACTCCGAATGCCACAAGTATCCTTGATGCATGCGAAACTACAACTTCTCACAGTCAAAACAATACTAATAATGTTGTTCAGTCGGGAAAAGAGAGTATAGCTAGGGAACTTCAGGAATTGGCAAGAATGAAATCCGTTTCTAGTAAATCAGCATCCGGGTTTTCTGAATCTCTCAGCAGAATTCTGTCGGAACGGGGTGCTTCATAAAACTGAATTTATTTAATTTATTATTTAGTACATGTACTGAATTATTCTACTGCCAATTTATTATTTTAAGAAATTTCTGAAATTAATTGGTTGGCGGCATATTGCTCAGTGTTTAAATCTATAATTGTAATTTTCATCAAATTTTTTATTCACATAAATATAAATGTAATGATCTTTCGCTTATTATTATTATTATCATTATTCTTAATCTTACTTACTACACATTTCATTCAGTGTGAAGATTTAGAACATTCCAAAAATGAATTATTTAGGACGGAATTCGTGAATAATAATGAATCTAAAAAATATAACTTGGTAAATACAAGTAGTTTATCAAATACTTGGAAAACTACTAAAGAAGCCATAGCTAATAATGTTAGTAAAATGTTTAGCTTCCAGATCTTAAATCTTGATCAAGTAATCTCTGCTAGAGAATTAATGGACTATGTAACTACTGGTATTAGTTGTGTGCCTAATTTAAGTTTGCAAAGACTAACATATGAAACAGTTTTTAATTCAGGTATTCAAAAGTTAGAAAGATCTCTTAACTTGAATTCTCACCATCTTTCAATAGGTGAAAGATTAATAATGCAAAGCAGTAAACAATCTTTTAGTCTAAGTAAGATAAAGAATAAAAACGACAAAGGTAATTTATCTCGTATTTTTGTAACACAACATCAAACTAACAATGACCTAAAATGTGCTTTAAAAGAGTCAATAACAAATGTTGAAAAAAAAATTGAAAAAGCTAGAGTAAATGAACCACGAAAAAGTCCCATGGAGGGTGAATTGAAGGATATAGAAATAATTAAAAGTAAGAGAAAGATCATGAGTGGAGATGATGTCCTGGAAAAAGTAATAAATGACGCTAGAAGACTGAAATTAACTGAAATGAGAAAATCAAATTTAAATTCAGTTGATCTGATCGTTCCTGTACCACCAAATCTAGATGAAAACACAAGCTTTAATAGCATTAATAATTTAGATATACCCAATGATCATGAAAATAATAGTGCCGATTCACAAAACTTATTTCGACATTTGTCTATCCCCGAATTATTTGAAGGCTCTAATGGAAGCGTTGAATCTAAAAAAAGAAATAGAAGATTACCACCAGGAGCAGAGAAAGAGTTAGAAGAATTTTTTGCTAGACAATCTAAAAATATTTCGGATGACATTCATTCTAAGGCAATTATTGAACGTAGGACTAAGCTTTCGAAAGTAAGTGAATGTAACGAATCAAGGAGCGGTAACCCCTATAGACCGTTGGAATGATTCAAAAATAAAATGCTATTTCTTGATGATAAAAACCACACAATCATCTTAAATCATCAAATCAATTGTAAAATATTGAATCGATTCAATATTATTTAATTGCAAATACATGAACTAGCAATTCTGATGACAACTAAAAACAACATTAGCTAAATAATAAAGGGATTACTATTAATGAATTTTAAAGAAACTAATTTCGTTTAACGTTCGATTTATTTAGAGATAAAAACTATTTTGGAATTCTTGATAAAACTATGTTTAAAGAACATTTAAGAGATTTGAGTCGAAATTTTTAAACTACTTGTATTTTTTAAAAATGCTTGTAGCTTGATTGTAAACCGGTTCATTGATTCCATAAACAATTTAATTTGTTTTATTTAATATTAAAATATTTGAATAATTATTACTCGAAGTTGAGTTTTCAGAAAAATTTGTTTCGTTTATTAAATTTTGAACAAAATAGAATGATTTGCCTCGACTAGTATTGTTGAGAATTCGTTCGTACGTTTTATTTTGAGATGCGTCCACTTCTTCAGGAAAAAACAATAATTTTTTTCTAATTTTTTTAGGCTTAGCTTCCTTAATGTTGGATTCGATCTCTTCATTAGATGCACTCTGTAGATGCTCATATCCTAAGTGTTTAATATAGCTATATTTCATTCCAGAATTTGAATTCTTTTCGGTTGAATAAAAAGATTTAAAGACCCTTAAAAGTGGATTAAAAAAACCAATAGAACTCATAATTATGTTTCCAATTGGGCTGAATGCATCTGCTGCTGCAAGAATTATGAAAAAAACAAGTATAGACATGCGCATTTTATAAGCATCATACTAATAAGAAATAATTTGGAAGGAAGTATTTTATGCACAAGTTAAATATCTTTCAAGAACAAATAAGTGGAGATAAATTCTTGTTATATTAGAAGTTGATTATTTTTGTCCAATATTATTCTTCTCTTTATTTTGAATAACTATCAAAAGAATTTTTATATTAATCTTAAACAAAAATTATATTCTGTCGAAGAAAGTTAATATGTTGAAATTCCTCTAAGACGAAATTTAGAGAAAAAGCCGTTGATAAAACACCAATTAAAATTTTTATTGTTAGTGATTTTGTTCCATTCACATTTTATCTAACAGAGAGTCAGTACAAAAATAATTGATTATCAAAACTTAATTAATTTTTTCAAATTAATTTTATGTTTTATTGGTTTTTTTTTTTCAAAACTTGACGCTTTAATTGTGCACTTTTTTTTCATTCTAATATGCTCGAATTTTATATTGTGAAAAATTGATGCTTATATATATTCTTGTTGATAGCTCACATAAAATGATTTAGTATTATCAAATTATATTAATGAAAAAGTGTTTTCAATTATTTCACTTATAAATTCACTAAATATCGATTAGTGTTATAAAACATAATTTATTATATTATTGGAGGAAAATTTATTGTAAAAAAAGTATGAAATATTTTATTATTTAATTAAACCCGTTTTAAATTACATAGTCCTAAGGTTCTATTTGGTCGAAAAAGATTCCAAAGAGAAATCTCTTGAAGTAATGGTTCTTATCTCACCACCAATTATTAGAGGATCTCTCATATCCGCCTTAAATCTTAGGTATTCTACAATTTCAAAAGTAAATAGTGCAAATACTAAAAACGAAAAAATTACAGCGAAGGTCAGAAATCCCCACATCACAGTGTTTAGTGTCGAAACAGAACAATTAATAACTGCATATTGTACGTTGTCGCCATCAACTTTAAGCTCAGAAGCATTAGTAATATTAAGCTGAAAATGTTTATTTGGAGTATTATAAACCAATGCAAAAGAATTAAAAACCGACAAAAAAGTTGCAGAATAACCAGTAATACATATTTGTTGACAAGAACTCAGATTATAAAGTGGAGTTAAACACTTTTGGAGTCCAAGAGGTTGAAACTCTTTTATTTTGTAGTCTTTTCCAAGTATTTGCACTGTGTCTTCATCGATTAATTTAGGTACATCAATGGGAGTATTTGTAATAATTGGATATTTTCCTTCGGGATCGGCCATATTTGTAATGTATTCATTGGGATTTGATGTGTTATAAATAGATGAAACTACTATGTTTTTGTCAAGTCGGTATACATCGATTAGAAATATTTCCGGATTTTGTAAATCTGAATAAATACCATTGATACAAGAAAAAATAAAGAGAAATAAAGAAAATCTAAGCCAAACAAAGTACATTCAAGTTTCAAATAATATTATTTCATTTTTCTTAATTGCGCAATATACACACAGCACAAATATTCACACAAAATGGGAAATAGTACTTTACTAAAAAAAATTATAAATATTAGGAAACAATCCTTCTTTAGTCCATTTAACAAAATAAATGCAACATTATCAATAGATCTATGAATTCTTATTTGTCTAATATAATGCAACATATTAGAGATAAATAATAGATTTATTTGCCAGAAAAATAATAATATATAGATCCCTCCACTTGTCACGACAGATTTTTTGGGTTTGCCAAAAAATTTGTCATCAGAAATTACAATTCTAAATTTTCTTTGTTTAAATTTTGAAGATGATTTTTTCAACTTTCTTTTTTTCTATTTTTATTTTAATTAACACAACTTATTGTTCAAATTTCAGAAGTTTTTCAGAGAAGAGCCAATTTCCAGAGTTAAACTTTGAAAGTTCTAATGAAACGAACAGTTTAATTACACTATCTGCAGAACAGCCAAACATCACTGATTCCTTCCCTGAGAGTCCATCAACCAGACAAATGGATGATATTTTAATGCAAGAAAAACCAGTATTGTTAAATACAATCCCTCATACAGTACTAAGTCACAATCTTTTCGTAAATTCTTCAGGCTTATTTACAAATATTACCGTTGTACTTACATCTACGGTTCCAATTGCAGTTGTTAGTTCAGAAAATGATTCAATTCACAGAATATTATCTGGTTCTGAGCCGAGTGAGTCTCTAGGAAATTTTAAAACAGATCTGGTAAAAATTAGCGATAAAATCTCAAAGAGCATGGAGGGACTTCCAACAGAGATATTGAATATTATTGAGAATACAGCAGATTACTTTAAAAAGTTGTCTTCGTTATTGGCGGGAGTGGTTAATTTGGAAGACAATTCCCTATCTAATTCTACGGTCTTGGTGAGTCATAACGATAAATAATGAACTATTAGTAATAATCAAACTTTAAAAAGCTAGTTGAATGAGATAAACTAATGTTTATTTTTTCCCAATTTACTTCTTTCCACTTAAGGATATTTTGACGCTACGCATGCGTAACTTATGTCGTGTCGTAATTACTTTGTGTGCCATCTTTTTATATCCCACTAGTGGATAGTACTTGAATATTAGTTATCAAAAATTTGGCATATCAGTCATTTATGTTAAACTTTTGCAATTTCCTTCAACGATGAGAGTTGTAAATTTATTTTTTTTAATATTTATATTTAAAACAAGCTTGGTATTTTCTAAGCATCGTAAACATGATTTTACAGGATTAAGAGGAAACCAGGCTCCTGGCAAACAAGAAATTAATAAATGTAAACTTCATTGTGAAGGAAATAATACTCTTGCTGAGAAGATTCATTGTAGTTTGAATGATCTTTTAGAGAACCAGACGAATATTAGTGGAATGATTTACTTTACAAGTGGAAATGAAAGTTCATACTCAATACTAGAAAATAGTTCAGAACCGTTACTCTTTGAAACTAGAGAAGATAGTTTGGAACTTGTTCGTGTAACGGAAAATGCCATTAATAACTCGATTCTCGGTTTGTTAGCAAATGGTTCTCTTGCTGAATTGAACTCAAAAGGAAACGACACAATAGGAAATTACTCAATTAGTTCACTGTTTCTAGATACAGAGGATAATTTCCTTGTTGAGTTTGATAAGTTCTCTAGTTTATATAACTTCGAAAGTACTGGTCAGAAAGAATTAGCTTCGAAAAATTTGACTGATTCATTAATTAGCGGAAATGAAACAATAGATAATAGTGATAAAATAGACGCAAATCAAGAATTAATTGACGAACTAATTAAAGAGGAATTTAATACAACAGTAGGGGTGCTTGAAGAAATTTCTGAGCGATTTCCAGATCTTAAGGATTTTACTAATATTGTTAAGGGAGAAAAAAATGTTAGTATTAGGGAATTACTTTATGTAACAAGTAGATTGATGAGAAGTCTAAACACAATTGATGAAAATATTAGTGATATTGATGATAGTAGTTTTGAGAGGCTAAAAGAGAGACTGTCTGATGATGAGATTGAAAAATTGAAGAATCAACAGGTAGTAGATAATTCTACAGTTGTAAAACAACCATGGTACACTCCATTGAAAAGTCTGGGGATAAATATAATTTCCGGGAAAAATACTATATTTTCTGCAATCATTTCAATTATAGAATCTGTTATTGGGCTTTCACCAGTTGGATCTATTGTTACCATAGTTGTGAGAGTAATTGCAGCAATAGTTACCATGATTCATGATATAATCCAAAGACGAAAAAGCAATTCCAATCTGATTAGGGTGTTAAGGTCTCTTGATGATTTTGATACATCAGAATTATCGAAAGCATCATTAGCAAGTAAACTTATTGAGAGAATATCAGTTAATGCGGACAATATTCTTGAGTCTCAATTTGTATTAAGAAGATTATACAAGGATTTGTCCGAACTTGCCTTTTTTGCGGAGAAAAATCTACGTGAATTTGATGAAAACGTAGTTAGAGATCAGTTAAATAAAGCAATATCTGGAAAACTTGCGAGCATGGTTTCTGGTAATTTTACAAACAACTTTCAAAGTATAAATCAAAACGGTTCTTTTAATAAGTACGGTTCCAGATTACTTTTAACTTCCAGTTCAATGATTGGATATAATTTCAACAAAGGATTTTCTGTTATTGCTGATGAAATAGAGGAATATTTAAATGATTCATATAACCTATCGTGGGAATCAAATGAATTCACAAGGACTCTAAATATTAGTAGTGAGGTATTAAGCAATTCTACTTTTATTAACAAGTCTAATTCTACCGAGATTGTTACAACTACAACTTCTACAACTCAGCCTACTAAGGTAAAGTGGTATGATGGATTAATACAGTTTTCAAAAAAAGTTACTGAGCTTAGCGGCGTAGTATCAATGCTTGATATGTTGCTTGAATTATTTACTGTTATATTTGGGAATTCACCACAGGCAGAATCTATATTGTCGGTTCTTAGACTAATCGTTTATCTGATAAAATCGGTATTCAACATCTTTAGTAACATTTCGTCCAATAGAAAGTTAATTAGTATTACAAGAGTGATCCCTGAGAAAATAGCAAATGATCCTAAGTTGTTACAGTTTACGACAAGGAAAATGAAAGAGAATCTAGACGCTACACAGCTAGAAAGGGATATAATTGACAGCCAAATAAAAGAAATAATTAAAATATCTGAGCCTGATGACTTTGAGCTTATTGGTCAGGAATTTGATAAGTATTTGACCTACAATGCTACAGAAAGTCTACTTAATGAGACCAGATTAAGGAAGAATACATCAGTTGAAGCAAAAATGCAGGCTGCAGGGTACCATCTCATGCATGAACGGATTTTGTCTGCGTCAGAGTCTACAGTAATGGCGACAGAGCTCAATTTCAAATCTTGGATGGAAAAAGTTGGTTCATTCTTCGATAACTCATATGAAAAAATTAAACAAGTCATAAAGGGTATATTTGCAAGTATTTTTAAGGGCAATAAAATTGTCTCATTTATTGATAAATTGATTGACCTTATTATTTCAGTAATCAGATCGATTTATCACGCTTTCAAAAATAAGAGTACACAGAGACTTCTTATTCAAGCAATTGAGGAGTGTGAGGAACAAGAATTACACGAAGTACTTCAAAAACAACTTGAGCGTACATTAAAAGAGGAAAACATTTCAATTATGAGATTACTTCACTAATTTCTAGAATAGATTTCTAATTTTTTTTTTTCACATTTCCGCCAAATTGGATATTAATGCAAATATTTGTTAACGTATTAGTATTATCCAGTCTAGACAGTAAACATTTTTTAAAAAATTAATTACTGTTTATAGTCGAATTTTGGCTCTTCCAACATGTGGTTAGGGTTTTTAATTTTTATTTTCGTCATAGACGCTGTATTTATTGAATCAAAGGTACTCTCTTCGTATGGTTGCTATTCATTATTTGGAAAACTACCGCGAATGCCCGCTCTTTCACGTTCAATAACTCCGATTAATGTTCATGATTACAATCAAGAGGATGTTAATATTGTTTGTATTTCTTTAATTAAAGGGGCTGAATTTAAAGGTAATCAACACGTTGGTTCAATTGTTGATTTGTCGAGTAATGCCCATGGTCTTAGTCTCATATTACCTAAACTAGAAATTTCGTCCGGGCTTTATGGATTGAGTTTAGAACCAATAATTATTTCATCATGTAAAAGCGCAAAGATTCTTTTAACTTCTCCACCAAATACTAAGCTGTTGCTTTTACAACCATTTATTATTTTTTCTTGTTTGGAAGTAGCCAAACAACAAGTTTCAACTTCACAAACTATAATTGAAGAATCAAAAAGCCTACTTAAAATTGACTATTCATCACTCGGATCAGGGATTCCATTTAGCAAAAGGCCATATGAATGCAGATTTGATTCCCCCACATTTGCAAAGGATGGATCATCAATTAATTACAAAAAGAAACAAGTTTATTGGACATGTTTTTCTAAGGTAGAAGAACTTTTAGTAATTAATTTATTTTCAGAAATGAGAACATTGGAAAAAATCCTCTTATCAATTGTTGATGATATGCATTCGCCTTCCAATAAGATTTCTGTGAAATCACCTTGTAATGGGACAATGCACGAGAATAAACAAGGAATTTTGGCTAGGAATCAAATATTTTTAAGAATTGAATGTGATGAAGAAAATCTGCCTAAACTTTTAAATAGTAGAGATTTAGTTCTTAGGCAAAGACAATTAAGAAAAAAATGAGATATAATATTTATAATATAATTTCAATTGATATATTTCTATGTTATTAATCAAAATATTCTTTTTATTTGAGTTGCTCTAAGTCAACATTCCCAAATTTCCAGTTTGGTGAATCTTGAATTTTTAACCAACTAAAGTCGGATACCTTGAAATTACTTTTTATTAAGAATTCGGATTCGTGTAATCCAATTTCCCGTAAGTGGTTTTCAAACATTTTATAGAAATTTAAACTATTTTTTATTCGAATGTCGAAAATAATATTTGAGCAGTTTTCTATTAGTGGTGGTGTACAACAAGATAAACGGATCTTAAGTCCATTTGAGTTGTGAATCCTTATTTGCCTACAGGTTAATACGATAGTGCAGTTTTTGCAATTTTTTACTGAAACGCTAGTTGATACTGGACCAAAATAAATAGTGCTGTCCTCAGTATTACTTATTTCTAATTGGTTTAAGCACGATAAAAATTTCAACTTTGAATTGCATACATTATCAACTTTGAACTCTCTAGAAATCTCGTCACCAGTATAATTAATTTCTTGATTATTAACGTATTTAATGTACTCAATTGCCATTTATTCAATTAAGTTAAAAAAAAAAAAGAAACCGCTAAAATTGTTTTTAATTTTCTTAGATGCTATTGCTCAATTTTAAAATAATTTTTGTTGTTTTCATCAATTTTGCCAGTTCTTCGTATGGAGAGCAGCAGCCATTGCGAAATGAATTTCTGGAATATTTTTCCATTGCCGCAGGTATAAACTCACTTGTTTTTTCTTTGTCTAATACGATTTATTCAATTAAAAGGTTTAATCAACTCAAAAAAAAAAAAAAGTGTTTTAATGAAGGAATAAGTAACTCCATCAACAGAACAAAAGAACTAAAATCGAGGAATCAAATAATTAACAATAATGTTAATGGTTTAATAAATATTGAAATACCATGTCTATCTAATGAAGAATTAAATAAAGATGAAAACAATATTACTCAATTAATTATCCAATCAGACAAATTGGCAGATATAGAGATGGTAAAAGACGAAAATATTTTCGTTGGGTCTAATATTACTGATTTTGAACAAAAAAAAATTGAAAATATCATTGAATACCTTAACTGCGAATTTTTGTGTTCAAACCATTCGAATACAGAAAATATAAACACTAACTTCCAAAACGTTCCATTTAATGACAGTACTAAAAGGAAATTTAGAGGGTTAGTTGTTGAGTAGTTAGTAACATCAAACTTAATTGCAACATAAAAATGACTAATATTATTAACCGAATACATATCATTGAACGAAGACTAATCATCACTTAATTGCCCCTAAATTTACTTAATAAAAGTAATTTATTTCTATTTTAGTTTTTTTATTTTTTTTTTTATGCAAGCGCATGACTCTTAAAGAGGGAAATAAGGATATATAACATCAAAAATGCAATAAGTTTTAATATTAAATTATTATTGAAGATCTTTATACAAATATATATGGAAATTATTTTAATTGCAATATATTTAGATTATGTTCAGATTTTTCAAGTATATACTTTTTGCTAATATATTCTTTATTTCTTTAAATGCAAATTGTTGTCATGTCGAAACTATTGGATCTAATACTAAAAATAGCTATTTATGGGAAACTGCAGATGAATATTTCAGAAAATACGAAAAAAAAATAATTAGTGCAAATAAATTTCTAATTCAACAAAAAATTAATAAATTAAAATCAAACAATGATACAAGTTTAATTAGTGATATAAATTTTGCTATAAGTTTAATCGATATCCTTGCTGAAAGTCTTAGCAATACCTCAGATAAATTCCTAGAAAATAATTCATATAATATAAATATTACAAGTTATTTTGAAAACCAATATTTCGATTTTTTAAGGGAAATAGACAATAATATCGAAGTTAATAACTTAATTTTCAACAACTCTAAGAATCAGCATAAAGAACGAATATTGCAATTTTTCCAAAGTAATGTAAATGACACAAAATTTCAAGCACAACAAAAATTTCCCCCTAATTCGAATTACAGTTCAGAAAATAATATTAAAAGTTACTCAAATCAAAATAACTATAATGGAAATAATAGGAATGGTCTCATAAACACTCAACAAAATACAATCAAGCACTCAAATCTTTTTGGGATCCTTAGTGTAACTAACCCTGCATTTAAAATGATTGTTTCTACAGTATTAATGTGTTTGGGCAGTACTCCATATGGTGCAATTGCTGTGTTAGTTGTTGTAACTGTATATACATTAATTGAAATAGTAATAAAATACTTCTACAACAGAACAAAAAATAAAAATATTTTAAATAGTATTAAGAGATCCTCAAACATGGACATAAATCCCAACATTTCAAGAAACATATACAATCCAATGAATAATTCAGTTCTTTTCACTGATCAAATTCCCAATAACAAATCATTCAGAAATTTAATGAAAAAAAATAACAAAATACCAAAAGGCTTAGAAGGTCTAATTTATAATTCAATACAGAACAATCACGAGAACAATCACCTAGAAAAAAAACTAGAATTTTTTGTAAAAAATCTGTTTGATTATATTGTAATAAACAAAGAATTAAAGATTAAGAAAATAGGATTTTCTGCTGAAAATATAACAAAAAATATATCTGGCAGATTTATGAACTCATTGTTAGATTTTTTTATTTACAATAATAAAACTAAGATTGAAAATAACCAAAATAATGTAACCTCGAGTAATTTAATTGATGAAGAACTATTCCACCATAATCACCAGCAAAATTTAAATGATGACTTAATACCTGATTGGTACAAAAACGTGTGTACTATTTATATTTCATTTAAAGAGAAAAATAGAATACTTATTGAGAGAGAAAGTGATAATTGGGTACCAATTAATAACTTATTGAAGCCTAATAATGAATATTTATTTGATTTGAATGATGGAATTGTTGAAATTGATAATATTTTAAATATTGAAACTGGATATAAAACCTCTTCATTTACCAATAGTTCAAATTATAATGAAAATTTTGATAGTAAAAACATGTCTATGGTGAAAAAAAATGAATACAATATATTAAGTGACCACAATAATTTTCTTGGCCATCACAACAATACTGAGAATAAATGGTATGATAGAATGATTAAGTATTCAATACAGAGTTATAGACAAAATGGGATCAGAGGAGTAATTACAATGATACTAGACATTTTTTCTGCAATTTTTAGTGCTACTCCAATTGGTTATTTACTAATTACTTTGATCAGATTGATTGCCTTTATGACAGATAAGTTACTTTTGTTATCCAGAAGCAGAAAGAATCAACACCAATTAACGAGGTTACTATTAGAAATACCTGAAATATTTAATGAAGACAAATTATCTATTACCTTAAAAGAAATTGGTTCTATTGAGACTGAGTGCAATAAACAAGAAAAAATGCTGATTAATCTTTATATAAGCTTTATTAGATTTTTACGAAATTTTAATCCAGGAATAAATCTGCCAACACTTAATAAAGAAATCACTAAATTTATCGAGATTGTCAAAAATAAAAATAATTTCATTAAGGAATATTTAAATAATTACAAAAATCCTAAATCCGAATATTTATCAGAATTAAGAAGCCTTTTATATTCAAAAAAATTTTCTGATACTAATTACTCTGAAGATTGGACATTGAATGAAAAAAGCGAAGAGGATTATGAAACAACTTTTAAAAAAACGAATGAAATAAAAAAGGACGTAAAAAACATTGAAATTACTTCAAAAGTAATAAAAGAAACAAAATATATTGGGAAAAGTAAGGATAATACTAACACTGCTAAAAACTCATTTCAAAATATGATTGGAGGACTAAAAAGTTTTCTTTTGAACTTATTCAAGAGTATATTTGGTGGAGCAGGAGAACTGTGGGAATATATTAAAGGATTACTTTCACGTATTATTGACTTCATCAAAACTCTATGGGACTTAGTAAGAGGTGAGAAAAAGAAAAGAATGTTAATTGAGTTATTAGAAGAACTACCCGATGAATCTGTAGTTCACTCGAACTTGTTTATGGATATTATCAATATTCTTAGGGAGGAATAATATAGAATATTATTACTCGAAACAACTTTAGAAAATGCTTAGCACTTAATGAGATTAAAGTTTACAATAATGTAATTTTTTAAATAAAATATAGTTTTTTTTTTGCTAAACAATAATAAAGTTTATGAAAATAATAAAAATGAATATTAAATAAAAAAATATTAGAGATTATTAAATATTATTACCTAAATAATTAGTTCACAAATCATAAATTTTTATATATATGAGATCATCATCCAAATAAATTTTATACTCAATTTGCTCAATTAACTAATAAAAGTGTTGAAATACCTTATGTGTGTATCTATTATTAAGTAATATCCAATTAACTGATCTTTTTTATTGTAAATTAATGTTTATAATAAATTAATGTATTATTAAATCCAGAGATACAAATTTCTGAATACCTTTTTCTTATTAATCAATAATAATAGTATAATAATATTGAAAAAAAAAACTATTTAAGTTGAATGTGTGAAGAATTTTCACACTTAAAAACAACCATATAAATTTTTAAAAAATGATTTTCAATTTTAAATTTAAAGAAATCGTAATGGTTTATAAACATAATCTATTAATTGTTTTTTTGATATTTTTTTTGTTTCACAAAACTATTTGGGCTTCAAATTCAACACTGCATTTCTATAATAACGAAGGAAATTTTGATCTTAATATAGATCATTTTCAAAGCTCTGAATTTCTAAATAACGATTTTGATCAACAAGTGACTTTGAATTATGACTGTAAATCTCTATTCGAATCAATTTACTTTGACAGAAATGCAGGAAAACTTATCAGCCTAATATATTACTTAGGAATCCTTGATAAATACCAAGAGTTATCTGAAACGAATGATTATTTACTAGAGTATATTAAGGAAGAAGGCCTCAATTATTCAAATAGGGAAAATCTAACATTGAATAAAAAATTAATTGTTTTTTTTGAAGGGAGGCGTATAACAGGAAATAAGATAAATTTAGGAGAGTGTAAAGTAAATAAAGATACAGGAATATCACTATTTAATATTGGTGAATCACTTTTACATTCTGCAGTTATTTCTGGAAGATTTAATGTTGTAATTTTATTATTGCTTACCGGAATTGATGTAAATATTAAATTAAGAAAAAACGAAGAAAGTGATTTACCTATTTTGGGCTCTATTGGTGGGTATATAGGAGATTTGGAGGGAATGACGGCTCTCCATTATGCTTCTCTTGTCCAAGATCTAGAATCAATTAAAATTTCTAAGTTGCTTTTGAAATTTGGTGCAAACCCTAATGAAAAGGATAAATATAGAAGAACTCCTCTACATACAGTTGGGCTATCCCGAAATTTACATCCAAAAAGAATGGCTTCCTTGCTTCTAGGGGCTGGTGCAAAAATTAATACGAAAGACTTCTCAAAATTTACTCCACTCCATGTTGCTGCATCACGAAACAATATTCCAATAGTCAACCTTTTGATTTCTTTTGACAGTAACAACATAAATCATAACTCAATAGAACATTCCGTTGATTATGATGGAAATACTCCTCTTCATATTGCTGCAATCTATAATTCTGGAGATATAATACCGTTATTAATTAGAAATAAAGAAGATTTACTAAAGGGAAATTATCGTGGATTGTCTCCGTTAGAACTTTCTGCATTCCCTATTGGTTTTAGAGCATTGGACACATCTGAAGTACCTCCAATGTCGTTCTCTGCAATCCAGTCTAGAATTAATTCCGAAATGTTACAGGGAGAATATATGGATAAACTGAATGAATCATATTATAATACAATTAAAGGTGGGTATTTACTAATACTTCAAAAAATTATATTTACAATGAGTTCAAATTTAAATAACACTTCTAGGCGAGCTTTAGATATTAATAAAGGCATTATTCTTGCAGAAAAAAAAGGAAATTCAAAAATATCAAAATATTTGAAATCATTTGGGTTCACAATCGTTTGTCCAAACCCCCCTGGCGTTGCAAATTCAAGTTACAAATTAAGCGATACAGTCATAGGAAATAATATTCGTGTGGGGGATACAGTTACATATGAATGCTATGATGATTTTGAGCTGGTTGGCTTTTCCACACTAACATGTAACCTAAGTGACGATAATGCATTTTATATCCCTGAAGTCCCTACTTGCGTGGCAGTTACTAAGAAGAACAAGGTGGTAGATGAAAATAAAAGTTATCCGCTTTATATTTTCATTTTAGTTGGTATTGCAATCATTATTCTACTGATCTCATCAATAGTACTGGCAAATTCATGGAATAAAAGACGGAAAAACAGGATTTATGAGCATCTATATAAAGAGATTTAACCTATAATAAAATACTAAACTTCTTCATTTTAGATTTATATTTTTTTGATAGCTATGCCGAAATAATTAATAAATTCTAACTTTCAACCAATTCTTTTAATAAATTCCATTTAATTTTTCCATGGCAGTCTAGTGGAGAGTCTGGGAAACCAGTAAATGGACCATTTTTGATGCAATTACCAAAATAATTTATTTCAGTTATTTTAGGATATTTATTGTTAAAAAACAGTGATTTAGTATGCGAATCAACCAATAATTCGTTAATGGTATATTGCATGCAACCAGCGAGCATCCATGCAAAAACCCTTGCTTCATCGACGTTTCGAATACGACTTAATTGGTCAAGAATAATCTCTTTATGAGGGTTGAGGTTTATAGGAACTGAAGTTTCGTAAGCTTCTCCAAAATATTTTAATCTCGCAAATCTACATTGAATATTTATCCAATTGATATCTTTTGTAGTGTTATTGCAATTTCTAATGTTATAATTCCAAAGCAACAAATAACACGGTTTAATAATTGTAAGATTAGAATCGGGGGTTCTTTTTTCTTTTATTAAGCATTTAATCCTCGGAATTAATAGTGGTATTTTCTCTTCTAATGGACTTAATTGCATGTTTTTGCTCCAGTAATTGAATAAATTGTAATTATTTTTCAAAAATATATCACAGTCACTTAATATATTAGGGAAAGTTTTTCCATTTTTAATAATTTTTGTGGTATTTATAAATGGACTTGAATTTATTTTCAGATCTCTAGAGTTTTTATTATTCTCAAAGTATTCATTTTTCATTTCATTATTAATATTAATATTTCGATACTCATTAGCAGATTCCATACTTACAAATCCACAAAAAATAGAATTTTGGATTGCATGATCAATGTTTTTTGTAAAAGCATCATGACCATAGAATTTTATATTATTCAATGTTAATTGTTCGTCAATTTCCGTTCCAATCTTCGGTTTGTAGTCATCAAAGTAATATATTGACTCTTTACATTTTTCTTCCATTAAAAAAAAGTTTTCTTTTTTACAATATTCAAATTCTTCTTTATTTAAATTTGAAACTAAAAGATATGTGGACTCCACAGTTAAAATATTTTTAATTGAAAAACAAGTGTTGAATAAATTACGGGGCATTCCATTTAAAAACCTCGAACTTTTTTTAAGCTGACCTCCCTTTTCAAAGTAACTAGGAGGAAGTAACCATGCAGTAATTGGGTGAAATCCGGGTAATAAGCATTTATTACATGACGGTGCTAAATTATGTATTGATGGTGATAAATATTTTGAATCATCAAATGATGTTGACAATTTTGTGTCCAGAGGAAATGGGAAATTTAATGTTTGACTTGCAAACTGGGGGGTATAAATCAAGTATCGTGGAAAAAATCGAACAATATTTGATTCTTTTCTTATATAATCAATTAAACAATAATTTGTTTGTTTCTCCAACAAATTAGACATTAAAAGTACGAATTCATTGTAAATAGGTAATAATGAATTCTGGTTAAAAAGTTGGGATACCTCCTTATATAATTGAAATGCATTAAATTGATTTTTTGAACTGCATGAAACATGCTTAATTAATTGAGTTTCATTTAATGGTAAATGCTTCGAATAACAATCCATTAAATCTGAAACTTTAGTGGAAGCTTTGCAATCTGGAAAAAACAACTTTTGTGATTCCGAGTTATTTTCCTCAAATTTTACATAGTATTGATTTAAGATACATTGGTCTTTTTTTTCATTAAATATTTTGTAAGTTTTTTTGATATATGAATGGGAAATATCAATAAAATTGCGATTTGTTTGGCAATTTTTTTCTGGAATGGCTTTAGTATTATTTACTTGAAAATCTTCACAACATGCCATCCCATTTTCTATGAAATGATTGATTTCAGTTTTTCTTATTTTATCATGTTTTAATACATTTATATTTGAACCATTTTTTGATATATTATAAATAGGTCTTTTTTTTCCATTATTAGAAATCAGATATAGTTTTTCCATTAATGTTTTTTCCTTTTTTTGTTAAAATCTAAGCTAACGAGAACTTATTTTTTTGCAAATTAGTTCGAAGTGAGATCTCGCCTTCAATTATTATACATAACACAAATTACTCTATATATTACAATACAATAATTAATTCATCTCGATACTTCTCTTCACCAATTATTATTACATCTTTTTACATGAGAAAATATCGAGATTCCGTTCGTAGCGCGCAATAGGGTTGTTTAGAGATCCTGTTATACTCGTAAACGAGAAGTAAAGGATAAAATCAACAAGTAAACAAGTGGAATGTTTACATAACAAGGTATAAATATTAAATGAAAATAACAATTTTTTAGTCGCCTTTATGCGTAAGTAAACGCCTAACTACTGAACGAAGTATTTAGAATAGGCAAATTAACGCCGATCATCAGTGAAAGTTCATTAATATGCAAATATACAAATTAATCCTGGACCTTTTCTGTTTGTAAACCTGCAAATGTAGCGACAGGAATATACTGTACGAGAGTGTACAACGAATCTTTAGAGTCTTCCGATTCACTGCGCTTTCTAGAAATTCTTACACGTACACGTGTAGGTAGGTTTCTAATACCCTTGCTGAAAATGAATTTGTTGAGTTTTGCATCAATTCTAACATCTTCGGTCTTCATGACCTTGCCTGCAAATTCGCGGATGCCCTTGATAGCTTTCGGTGCCCTCTTTTTGAAAGAAGTCTTGTGAACCATTTTACTTAAATTAATGGTATAGTCTCTAGTACATGGTAACATGGAACCTTTATTTCCTATATTCGGCGTTTATAAAATTAATCGAACAATTACAAACGAATAACAGAGTGTTATTTTGAACCAAAACTCACCTTGTGACATCTTAATAAACTTCGCAAACAAGCAGTATTATAAGAAAGATTCGTTGCTATTTATGTAACACTTTGGTAATTTCAAGAAACTTCGTAATTGCCGTTCCTTATATTAGACTTATTGATTATTGATTAACGAAGTTAAGCTGTGGCAAGACGAGACAATACAGAAGTAATTCTATGGCGGTAAAAAAATAATTATATTCAAATTAAAACTAAGATAAATTAATCTATACCACTTAATTGAATGCCTTTATATACATTGAGATTGTTCTTTATATGAGTAGTTAAGTTGTTAAGCAGAATTTTTGGACCTTGGGGTATTTCAGTACTTGAGAACTGAATTTGTTCACGGCAGAGAGCCACTAGCTTTGAAATAAAGTCGGTTGTAATGCTTGGATTCCCTTGTTCTAAATAGTACATATATTTCTCTAGAATATCTATGAATAACACTGAATTACCTGGGGTTACTTGAACCGCAGAATCTGCGATTTTTAGGCACTTCTGCATACATTCTAGAACCCTAGTTGGATCTCTGTTTATTTCGTTGTTCCAAAATAGGTGTGAACACATTAATATTGCTCTACACTGATCAGGCTTGCGTAACAACTTTGCGGAGTACTGCGCTAATTTGGCAGCTAGTAACTCGTAGTTATCTCTGCTTAAGCATCGGATCTGTCCGACTAGTGTTCCAATAATTGACATGAGTCCCTGGAATTGCCTTTTTGACTCCGCAAGTTCTTCCTCAAAACAAACCAGACTCTGAGTAAGAAACTCGTAGCAAATTGCTTCATATCCATCAGAGTCGTTAGCTTTATCAGCCATTATTGATCCCTGTAAAAATAAGTCAAGTGCTAGCTCTGGTGCACACGAAGCAAGGATTGTTGCAATTTTATGAATGAACTGTAATATCTTTTTGATCGACAATCCTGAGGGATCGTTATTTATCTTTTCTTTTATCAGAGCCGTTTCAATAAGCTTAATGGCGCAGTATCCTAGAGTTGGGAATGTATATTTAAATCTTGAGCTATCTACACGATTAAATAGGTCAAAAAGGATTCCATACATATTAAAAATTTGATTTGCATCTTCGTGTTTTATCTGATGAACTAACTTTGAAATTTTCATTTGTTGATCAATGAATTCACCGAGATCATTCTTAAATTCATTGGTTTCCTCCTCTGCTTGCGTATTTTTTTCATCTAACATGGGCAAAATGAAAGAACAAAATCTTTGTAATGCATCCGCATCATCAAAGGGAGTGTTGCTCTCCACAACTGTATTAATCATTGAAAGAGCAACTTTTTTTCCGGCTTGTTTATTGAGAAAATAAAGGAGGTTTGGAAAGTGGTTCATCTCTACCATTATTGATAACGGCATTGATTGAAATGGAAGAGAAAGTATTTCGACAATTGTATCAATACAACGGTTTTCCAGAAGTGATCCACAAGTTCCGTCAACTCTTACCCCAAGTGCATTCGTCAGTAATGTTACCGTTGATCCAAGAATTAAATCTACATAATTCGTATTATCAGGATACAAAGTTAGCGTAAACGCAAGGAATGCAGCATGGAGTTCTAGTAAACTCGATAAATCTCTTTCTAAATTACTGGCAATCTGCTTCTGAACATTTGGAGCTGGCCTTTCATGTAATTCAGCAAGGTTCTTTCTGAATAGTTCAAAAATATCAACATCATTTATTAAGCTCTTATCATTGCTTTGGCTTAAAAAGTTTGAAAGCCTGTTCATAAGATTAGTTAATATTGGTTTCAAATCAACTCCAGGTAATGTTTTCATACATGCAGACAATAAAAGTTCTAAAGTTTTAAGATGATTTTCATCCGAAAAAACTTGAATAATACAATCAAGTAAGTATTGCTGCGCAAGAACATCTTCACATGATAAGACTATGTTGAGCAGTTTAGGTAATATTTCCTGAATGTATAGTTGTTGGGTTAGTCCTTCTAAATGCGAAATGCGAACGAGGTTTGCACCTACAAGTATCCTAAGATCGTGCCTCTCTCGCTCTCTTTTTAATTTATCTTTTGGGGTACCATGATTTTGTAAACGTATCCATAATCTGGTAGATTCAAAAAAATTTGAATATAAGAAATCCCACGTATCCATTACAGTACCACCACCATTTTCTTCATAAATGCTACCTGTATCAGGTAAGACGTCTTTGCAAGTTTGAATTAAAAAGTATCTTAAAAACAATCCTCTCATTGGGTGTTGAACCCCCTTACAAAGCTCAGACATATCTTTAAGAATATCTTTGGCTGGAGCTTCAAGTGATCTGATGTAACACGCACCTGCAGTTATCAAAAGAAAAAGGCGTGGAACAATATTACCGGCGTGTTGTACAGAGTCGTAAAGATCACTCATTTTTCTTCCATGACGAGATTTATCATCAAAAAAATTAGATAAATCACGCATTTCTTGAAAAATTTGCATATAAAGCTCGTAGTAATGTTTGGGAGATAGGGAGGATGTACGCAGTTCGCATAACATATTTGATGCATGTCTGAGAGCATCTCTTAGTCCGTCTTGGTCAATTGCGCGTTTCATATAGTATGCCTGTTCCTTAACAACATTGCTCGCTTCTGCAAGAAGCGTATTTTGGCCATAATTCTCAACCTTATATATTCTGTCCATATTATTATTTGGAACAAGTTGGAAAACTATATTATTTTTCAACTTGCCCTAATAGTAGTTTCTTGAGTTTTATTAAATATAATATTGATATTAATGTAATTTTTCTTGTGGAATCTTGAGAAAACAATTGCCGCTATTGAGGGGGAATGATGCATGTGAAACAAGACATTTTAATAAAAAATTGTTAAGAAAATTGCAGTAGTTAAATAAGCATTTGCTGGCAAATCCAATCTGAAAAAATGTTTATTATTCAGCAATTTATAGCTTTTTGATAATTATCACGCTCAAAGTCGAAGTAGCAATTTTTGAATTTGTTTAAAATTTTTGCAATTAGCTAGATATTTTCATACCATCTATATTAAAGATAAAAAATGCCAATAATTGATGAATAAAAAACGTCAAATAAACAATATCTTAAATATAAAAAAAAAAATTTAAGCCAATAACAATATTAAAATGGTTCTATTTCATGGAGGCACACGTGGAAGCCGGGCGTAGCTCAGGGGTAGAGCGATTGACTGTAGACTTGGCAGACATCAATTGGTCCCGTGTTCGATTCACGGTGCCCGGATTTTTTTTCACAAATCTAGAAGTGAAACCGCGGAATTGGAAGTGACGCGGCAAAGAGCGAAGGTATGAGATATTTAAACAAAAAAATGCTTAGTGTTTTCCCTAAGATTGTTAATTATTGAGTCTAAGTTTATTTTGTCTATTCTGGATTCTGGAGACAAAGTTAAAAACATGTGAAACTCATGAGTAGTAATTATCATATGTTTGAACTTTTGTGTGTTTAATATGATCGTAATCGATGAGTCATTTTGTTTTCTTATCTGTGAATGCGCAATTTCAATTAAATTGTAGTACATTTGGAAGATTATGTTTAAGTCGTGAACTTCAGGATGTACCTCACTGGCAATGTAACTATTCTTCATAACCGATACAAATACAAAGTGAAATATTTCTGCTTCTAGATCACAGTTTTCATTCAATAGTTTGCTTAAATTTAATATGCTAATTTTATTCGACTCTAAAATTTCATAATATCCGGTTTCGACAAGTATTTTGTGACAATTCTTCGAGTGTAAAGAACATTTTTCAAAAACTTTAGTGTCCCCGCTTGATGATAACAAAATAAAGCAAGTATCTGAAACAGTGTTAGAGAACTCATTAATAAAAGGCCAATATTGAATGTAACAATATACATATGAAACTGTACTAATAGTTGGAAGGCATATAGGGATCCAAAATTCATTACTCGAAGTTTTTTTGTTTAGAAATATCGATGTAATATTTTTTAGTAAAGAGAAATCTGTAGATGGTAGATTTTTAATATACTTTGATCCAAACCAAGCAACTAATTTTTTAGACTCAAACAATAATCCACCCAATATCTCTTCAATTTTTATTCTGCCAATAATTTTATTTATTTCATTTCTGTATCTATATTCTAAAGGTTGAGATTCTATATATAATATTTTTGGTATTATGGGTGAAATTTTGTCACTATTTTTTACATGCCCAATTAATTTAACAACTTTTGAATTTTTATTGAAATTATAGAAGCAATATACAGAATCAAAATTTGTTTGTGCTGAATTTGCGCATTGGTTAATAATTTTAATATCACTATTACTTAGCATTTGCTGTATATCAAAATTTGGTCTAGAGTCAAGAGTTTTATGAATTGAACCAGTAAGCATCATAATAATCTGATAATAAACATGTTCTAAGAGTCCTTTTAAATAACGGATTGTATCGTTTGAAAATGGTGATATGCAACATAAGAGAATACCTTTTCTCTCTAATACCACAATTTTGTGTGATTTTGAACTCATCCATTTAAGATAATCTAATATTTGTATAGGCTCAGTGCCCTCACCACTGTAAATTTTTGTTGACATTACAAATGAAAGTTTGCTAAACACAGCTGTCAACGTACTTGAAAAAAGGCTAAATAAATCTTGTTCAATGAATCCATAGGAATATATGGGTTTTCCTGCAGAAGTAAAAATTAATAATTTACGAAATTTGTTACCATTATTCACACACATTATATAAATTTGATGAAGCAATTGTTCTTTGTTGGGAGCTTATTTAATAAAACAAAAATGTTGCCCTCAAATTAGCTATTTTGGCGCTTCTAATTTGTGCAAAAAATTGTTTCAAAATTGTAAGATTAAAGTAAAAATTTATGAAAAAAGAATAATATAATGATAGATGTGAGGTGCCGGAAACATGTAGATTTAAAAGCCATTTTGGATTTTTACAAATTGGAGCTGGAATCTCATAATAAATCTTATATTAATGAGGCATTGAGAAGATATAGTATTGTGAGCAAAGTTGTGGGGAAGGAATACACTGAATTGTATTTATTACCTCTTATATTAAAGGTATTGGAAATCGGAAGTTATGAAGTAAATCATATTGTCTCAGAAGAATTAGTCAATATTATTGATCTAAATACACATTACACTGAAGAAAGTAAAAAAACGATAAAAGATATTTGTAATAATCTTTTGTTTAATGAAGAGATGAGCATCCGAATGGAGAGTATAAAGTCTTTGGAAATAATTTTTTCAAGGCTCCAAGATGAAAGATTCATATTCTCTTTTATTGAAGAAATTTTGCTACCAATTATAAAAACTAAATTCAATTTTTCTGGTAATTATTATACCTCTTCAAGTTCATCATTGACAGATAAGCTTTCACTTTGTAATATAATACCATCACTAATATTGCCATATTGTAACAAGTTTGAAAAGAACAATTTACTACTACTATACCTTTCTTTGTGTGATGATGAAGTTCCTTCACTTAGAATTGGTGCATCGCAAAAGCTAGTGAAAATATTAAAAAATATTTTTCCTCTAAAATGTGGAATGACCAGAATTGAGTATCAAAAATTAAAACTTTCGGATCAAAACATTATTACGGAAAAACTTTTAAATTTGGTATTGGCATTATACAAGGATCAAACGTGTGATTTACTAAAGTCAGCATCAATTGGGATTGCGATTCAACTATACACAAATCCGATTTTTTATATCGAATTTATAAGTTGCGATGACCGAGATAGTCTGTTGTATTTTATATGTAGCATTTTTGAAAATAGAACCTATTTACAAAGACAAGCAGTAATAGAAGAGTTGATACCACTTTGCTTATCATTAAAAGGATATTATGAATTGAGCCAAGAAGATAATGAAAGCATTATATTTAATGGATATATCTTGAATGGTAATTCTAATATTCTTTCGAATATTAGATGTAATAATTATTCTGTTGATATCATTCAATTCATATTTGACAATTTAACAAAAGAAGTCGACATTGAAATTAGATTACTAACATTTAAATTTATTGAGAAGTTATTAAGAATGGGGATTGAAATATTCGAATCAAACAGAGATTCAATTTTAGGCCAATCAATAGAATACGAAAGAAAAACCGCAATTGACGATGTTGTTATTTCTGTAATAATGTATATAAATAAAAACATTTCAGACCTATTGATGATTGGAAGTGTTCCATTCAAATGTATATTTTGTATAATATTAGTTCAAATGATTATATATTCACAGCAGTTATTTGAATATGATATATCAAACCGCAAAATTAAGAATTCAAACAATAATCTGGAGCATTTAAAAATTAAGGACATGTTTATCCAGATTTTTATTTCACACTTCAATGACCCAAATATTAATGTTGTAAGTACCGCTATCGAAAACCTATATAAAATTATAAACTTGGTTAGTGAAGAACAACTAAGCGATTACATATTACCCAAAATTAAATCTATTTTGTTTGTTGAGATTGATCTGGCCGCGTATAATAACGAGCGTGCTGAAAAATCTACTGCATTACATAAATGGAGAATAATCAGGTGCATAATTAGACAGATTCCTCTCTGGATTAGATATAATCAACCTTGTTCCAGAATTTGCCCATTTTATAATTCTATTATTGTACGTTCGATTTTAGATACTACCTTTTCAGTAAGTATTTCCGCATTGCAAACAATAATGAGAATCATCTCAAAGCTTAATGATTTCAATGAATGTACTATTTGGATAAATGAGTTTATTATTCCATCTATTTTAATGCCATTTATTGAAGATGAAACTCATTCAATCAAATATACATTTGATATAGCAGGTTCTATTGATTACAATAATATCGATGACTTCAGCCTTAACAAGAATGTTGAAATATACGAATATAAGTTTAGGAGTTGTGATTATATGAATCGAATTTTCATTATGAACCTGATTTTTGCTATTTATCGTTCCCTATTTTACAAATGGGTATATATTAACTTTCAGGAATTTAAAGATCATTTAAATTCGGTTACTTCAAATATACCAAATTCTTTTAAAACTAACGAAACATATATTGAAGGGCAAAAAACCCCTCCATTTAGAGTTTTATCAAGTATATTGGATGGAGAAGAATTATTTATTAAACTTTCAGAACTGGTTGTGCCATTAATCATAAATTCTATAGATGATTCAATAAAAAATGTTTCGATTGCAACATTACAATTGGTAGTTCAAGTCATTAAAATATTTTCATTGGATTTGTATTTTTCATGTGACAAAGAAATGTTTGCCTGCTCTAGCTTTGGAGAAAGAGACGGATTTGGCGCAAACGACGATAGTGACGAACTTTTGAAAGAGCATTTGCTAAATCAATTTGAGTTAGACTCCGTATGGCACCTTAGAAATATAATGTCAAATAGTAAAATAGATCACAAAAGTGTTAATATTTTTTCTAATTGTATCTATCAAGAGTTCATTCCTGTATTTGAGAAAATTGGCGAGCTCGAAATTGATGGAAACGATACAGAGCTAACTTTTCCAATTATTTCGATAAAAGAATGGTATAATATTTTTAAAAAAGAACTAAGCAAACCCTAAAAAAAAACATTAAATTAGTTTCATATTGGCGGCTCTTATTGAGACGATCATTTTTTTTATTTTCAATAATTTTTGTTAAAATGAGCATTGAAATAATGAATCAATCACAAGCTGGTGATACACTTGATGGTCTGCACTATACAGATAATAGATACAAAATGATGGAGAACATCAAAAATACTGGTAGGCCATTTTACCCACATAAGTTTACAGTTTCTATGTCGCTTCCAGCTTATGCTTTGAAATACAGTAGTTTCGAAAATGGATATGTTGATAAGAGCACCACTCTTTCATTATCTGGAAGAGTTACGTCCATTCGAAGTTCAAGTTCCAAGTTAATATTTTATGATATTTTTTGTGAGGAACAAAAAGTACAAGTTATTGCGAATATTATGGAGCATGATATAAGTACTGGCGAATTCTCTGTTGCTCATTCTGAAATAAGAAGAGGCGATGTGGTTGGATTTACTGGGTTCCCAGGAAAATCGAAGAGAGGTGAGCTATCGTTATTCAGCAAAAGTGTTGTTTTGCTTTCTCCATGTTATCATATGTTGCCTACAGCAATTTCTGGTTTGAAAGATCAAGAAGTAAGATACAGGCAAAGATATCTTGATTTGATGTTGAATGAAGAGAGTAGAAAAGTTTTCAAATTGAGAAGCAGAACTATCAAATACATTAGGAATTTTTTTGACGAACTTGGGTTCTTAGAAGTTGAAACTCCTATTTTAAATATGATTTATGGAGGAGCATCGGCAAGACCATTTATTACATACCATAATGAGTTAGATACTCAACTTTATATGAGAATTGCTCCGGAGCTTTATTTGAAACAATTAATTGTCGGTGGGTTGGATAAAGTATATGAAATAGGGAAAAACTTTAGAAACGAAGGAATAGATTTAACACACAACCCTGAGTTCACGGCAATGGAATTCTATATGGCATATGCTGATTATTTTGATTTAATGGATCTGACTGAGAAGTTAATAAGTGGTCTGGTACTTGAAATTCATGGAAGTCTTAAAATTCCTTATCACCCAGATGGACCAGAGGGCGAATGCGTTGAAATAGACTTTACAACACCTTGGAAGAGGTTCTCGTTTGTTGAAGAAATCGAGTTAGGGCTAGGGGAAAAGCTGAAGAGACCACTAGATTCTCAGGAAAATATAGAATTTATGATAGAAATGTGTGAGAAACATAAAATTGAACTTCCTCATCCTAAAACCGCCGCTAAACTTCTTGACAAATTGGCTGGCCATTTCGTGGAAACCAAATGTATTAATCCTTCATTTATTATGGACCATCCTCAAACCATGTCTCCATTGGCGAAGTGGCATAGAGAAAAACCTGAAATGACTGAAAGATTTGAACTTTTTGTTTTAGGTAAGGAGCTATGTAATGCATATACTGAGTTGAATGAACCTTTACAACAAAGGAAATTCTTTGAGCAACAAGCAGAAGCAAAAGCATCAGGTGATGTGGAAGCTTGCCCAATTGATGAGACATTCTGCCTTGCATTAGAACATGGTCTACCACCTACGGGGGGATGGGGGCTTGGTATTGACAGATTAGTAATGTTCTTGGCAGACAAAAACAATATCAAAGAGGTTATTTTGTTCCCAGCAATGAGGAATGTCAAGCAACAAAACAATCAACAGAGCGGAAAGTAAGGAGTCTTTAACTAACAATGAAGATAAAAAGAGAATTTGAAAATTCTTAACAAATATAATTAGAGTTAGATTGTGGTGATTTCTTAAGGATTAGTACTAATGTAGAGTTAGATACCCAACCATGATAGAATAATAATGGTTATATTTGAGTTTCACTGCCCAATGCCCCTCTCTAATAATTTATTTATTGCTGCATTAATATCTCCACCAGATTCCTGTAATGCAGATAAGCTAGCGTCCGTGTCAATGAAACCCATGTCACGAAGTTGGCTTAGTTGTGTAGCGTACATTTGTGTTGTGGGTGCGGATGTATTACTATTGACGCCTCCATTCATACCATTGACCATTCCAGACAGCATTGATGCAATATTAGGGTCATTAAGTAGTCCATTTAACTGAAGATTATTAGGAACTCCATTAAGTGAAGAAAATGGATTAGAATTTGTGGTATTATTATTTGTATTATTAGAATTCAATACAGATTGAATCATTTGAGGATTGAGCATCATTCTCATCATTTCGGGGTTGTTCAACATTTGATCAAGCATTGGATTGTTTGCAGAAAGCTGAGCAAACATAGGATTTGACTGCAAAATACTTCTCACAAGCTGAGGGTTGTTTGCTAACTCATTAATAGATTGTTGAAAAATTGGTGAGTTCATTAGAGAATTGAGATCTGGAATATTTCCAAAATTTGCATTATTTGGGACTCCTCCAAATCCATTATAACTGTTTTGTGAAATATTTCTTAAGTTCTGAGTTTGAAATCCTAAATCGGAACCATTCAGCATATTCATCATTGCACTAATAGGGTCATTTGGATTATGATTAACTCCGTTATTTGTGCTATTCTGAGAGTTAGACGTTAAATCAAAATTTTGGTTGGCATTGTTGTTAATTGCATTGTTATTAGCTGAAGAAGAATTGTAATTAACAGCTTGGTCTAAGGTACCTTGAGATTTTTGACTTTCAGCTTGTACTCCTGATTTCACCAAATGCATAGTATGCCCACTTTCAACCCTCATATCATCAAGAGAATCATTGTCCTTGAGAATTCTGCCCTTATATATTAGCCGTTGCTGCGAACTTGGTATATTTGATGGTTCTGAAATTCTATCTTTCAGATCTTTGATAGTAAGGTTTCTAGGAACGCTGATATTAAATTGAGTGCCCCCTGATACTTTAAAAATTATAGAGATCTCATCAGTTGATACCATCTTTAGTGTATTTGTAGCAAGTTCTCTTTATAGTGATTGTCTGTAGTTTTTTGAGTTAAATAAAATATAGATAATTGAATTATAGTTATTTCAAAATTGAAGAGCGCCTATAATGCGACAAAACTATGTCTTGATTAAAAATTAAAGCCAAACAACTTAGGAATAATTTATTTACACAGAAAAAACACTGACGAATACATTGTGTAATGATTATTCGATTTGTGGTTTAATAAGCTGCTTTGAGTGTTAGTTATTTGTTTTCATGATTGTAGTACTATTAATCGGGGTTTTATAATGTATATTTAACATTTTCGTAACGTTAGCATTAATGACTGGATTTTTTTTATTTACAGATCTTATTATTAAAAAGTCCACAAATATGTTCTTTCTTGTGCTCTAAACCGATATTTTGTGATTGATTGGCAAAATAATAGTAAACGGATAAAATACTTCTTTCATTAAGTGTAAAACGCGTTCATAAGTGTACTAGGATGACAAAAATAACAGCAATAGTAACTTATTAACAACTTCAAGCTAGATGTATTCTTCTATTTTAGATATCTGCATTACAGAACATCGGAACTATATACAGATTTACACTAATTAAATTTCTAATATAGGGGTTGTACGCAATATTAAAAGCTATTTCTAACATAGATTTACTTTCCAGTTAAATTCGGCCAGCCCCTGGCATCATTCCTGGCATCCTTATACCAGTGTTTCCAATGCCAGGTGGACCCATGCCAGGTGGACCCATGCCAGGTGGACCCATACCAGGTGGACCCATACCAGGTGGACTCATACCAGGTGGACCCATACCAGGTGGACCCATGCTAGGGGGACCCATACCAGGTGGACCCATGCTAGGGGGACCCATACCAGGTGGGCCCATACCAGGTGGACTCATACCAGGAGGGCTCATACCAGGTGGACTCATACCAGAAGGACCCATACCTGATTGTCCCATCCACTCGTTATTTGCAGCCGCCTCTTTCATTAGCTCCGCTTGTCTAGCATCTGTTGCCGCTTTTGCTTCCAGATAATGAACCACAAGTACCCCAAATGCACAAACAATGAAGCATACAGATGAAAGGATTCCCAAGTATGCGCCATACCCAAGCGATGGGTATGGATACTGCTGTGTGCCTATTATTCCTTCAACAGCCTGGCTTGTTGTGTAACACCAATAGGCAATTCCAGATATAGAAAGTATTGAAGAAGTGCTCCAGGCAAACAATAAAAAGTTCCGACTTTTTCCAAAGACAAATAGCCACACTACTCCTACAATTCCTACTATGATAGAAATAACCAATGCTCCCAAACAAAGATAACCACCACTTGCAAACTTTACATAAGATGTGCACCTAGTCCTTAAAGCAGTTTGACAATCAGTAGAACATGTGCTCCCCCACAAACTCTGCTCAACTTGTGATATTGATACATATGAATCAATCCAACTGCACACAAATTGTTCTACTGTTGACCATGGTCTTGTAGAAGCGCCATTATTAAACTTGTAAATATACAATCCATATTCCGATGAACTTAGCTGCCAAGATTTCAATATGTTTTTTTGATAATATTGGTATGTAATTGCCGGCGTGACCCTCCATCCGTTTAAAATGATTGATACTATTTGAAGAACGATTGCAGTAAAGCCAACTGCAGCCAGTAACTTCCAACCTATTCCCAGTCCTGTTTCGCCTCCTTGATTTCTGGAAGATGCATTATGGGACATTTATTCTTGAAAGATTGAACGGTTTTATTTAAGTGAATTAGAGAATATTGAATTTTTTATTCATTAATTTTTTTTTAGAAATTACTTTAAATGAGTTTATTTTGGTCACGTCACAGTGTCTTTTATGCATGTTCTGCATTATTTCATATATTAATTGGAGAAATATAAAAGAATTCGACAATAAATGAACAATAATAAATATTTCAATAAATCAACTGTATTTGCAATTAAAATGATTATATTTGTATAAAATACAATTAATTGTTATGAAAAACTAGATTTTCAAAATATAGTTATTCAATAGAAACAAATTTTAATAAATTCTAAATAATAATTCCTTTAAAATAGGCTTAAATTAGCAAGATTTTAGTTTTATTTCTTAAATATGATGAATTATTATTGCATTCAAATCATTTTACATGAAAAATTTAAACGCATGTGAAGAGGGCGCCGTAGTTTTTTTTTTTCTAAATTGTTCACATAAAAATGAATAAAACAGTATTAAAGTTATTAAGAGCATTACTTATTTTATGTTCTTTGATTCTAGGGCTTCTTGCATCCTTAGCTTTTGTTTGGATAAGTGAGAACAACTCGGAGTATTCACATTATTATTTAGATGGAGTAAAATTCAACAATGAAGAGAAGAAATTAGCTTTTACAGACGCAGTGAATAAGGCATGCAGTTTCTCTGAAGCTTACAAAATAAACAAACAGGACGCGATGGAAAATCAGTCGTTTTCTAAGTTCTTTTCTGGGAGAGATCCAATGATTGACCCTATAGCCTATTGTGAGTCAATTACGAGTTTGAAAACCCCAAGTATTATTACAGAGTCTATCTTAATTGCCATCCAAATACTAATTTTTCTAATTTCCGCACTATCTAATACAAAAGTTATTCAAGGGGCACCCGATGCAGTCACACTAATTAAAAGGTAAGTAAAACCAAGTATAAGACGTTTTTTATTATAATTATTAATCAGATTGAACTATATCGCCATTTTTTATGGAGTATGCTCACTAATTAATCTAGTTTCAATATTTTACTATTCGAGTGTAGGAGGTGCTTTAATATCAGATACTGCTATAAGTTGGAAATTCTCTATAGGTTTTTATGCTGCATCATTTGTAGCTTTACTTCCGATAGGTATTTCATTAACATATTGGTATGAAGGCGTACTTTGGCACAACTTATTCGAGCAAGATAGGCTTCAGTGGGAAACTGATAGGAGCAATGTACAAAATTTGACAAATAATCAACAATACAACTATATTCAAGTTCCAACTGATTTCAATAGTGTAATGGGTGGGTTAAAATCACCTTCAGAAATGGCAAGAACAATTGAAAAAAATGTGGAGAAGAGACAATTGAGTGAGCAAATATAGTTAGGACATCCATAATAATCAAATATAATTATTTAATATTATAAGTTTTTCCCGTTCTTTATTATATTTATTGATGTAAGAAGATGACAATAAAGTGTTTTTAAATTTGAAGAACTTTTGTTGCATTTCAATATTAGGTCTGAAATAATCCCAATATCCCTATCTTCAAGAATATATACATCAGTATGGTTTTCAAATTTAATTAAGTGATAATAATTATTAGTAAAAATCAGTAGTTGATAATGAAGGATTTCATCAATATATTTTACAAAATCATCGTGTTTCGTCAACGGGATTAATTTACAAACATATAAAATGATTAAATTTCTTGAATTAATGGAGCTGCAATTTTTATTGTTTAGAGCAACAATATAGTTGAACATAAATGCTAAGCATGCCAAAATCACATTTTTATTTGTATTCTCTCTTAATGAAAGCTGAAAGTTTCTTCCTGCCAATTTAATTGTTGATTCATCAATCTTCGATATTATTTCCTGCATTTTATACAGCATTACTTCTCTATTTATGGAATTTTGGAACATATTACAAAAAAACCGAATACAAATTAGGAATAGAGAACCTCTGAACTCATTATTTTCGTTTATGAGTGGGTTAGTTAGATAATCGGAAGAAATTAAGTCAACAACCTTCAATACTAATGCAATTAACCACCACCCTTGATCAGTTTTCTTATGAACGTCACTGCTTTGAGGGTGAAGCGCAAGGATTCTCCATAAGTCAATAATTGGAATACTCAAAGAGTTATTTCCAATAAAATTTGACAGCCTCTTATAAATAACGTCCATTTCGATAGATTTTATTTTACATGATTTGAAAAAATGAGTCTCGCTACAAGTTTCACTTTTTAGCCTAAGAAACAAGTCATTTAAATGTTCAATTTCCATATTAAAAAGATAATTCGTATCATTTACACAGATTTGATAGCTGCTATTAAACTGATCAGAATAAATTTTTTGTTCTTTTGTAAATGAAGAAATTAAGCTATTAATATTGAACCTTTTAAATAATTTAAACTCAAAGCATGGTTCAAACAATTCATTAAATGTAGTAATAATGCTGTTATTAACAATAGGAATACTATTAATTATTGATTCAATAATTATTTTACAATATTTTCTGTTAATTCCTTCCCTTAAGCAAAACTTTTCAGCTGATTCAATTACACTGTCTCCAAAATTGAATGGTAATATGTTATGATTACAATCAAATTCTGTTTCAAGTTTAATAACTAGATCATACAGACCACTATCAAAGTATTTATCACCCAGATAATTAACTTTTCTGCTTTGATTATTGATGCCAGTTATTATTCCTAAAAAATTCCAGCAATTATTTGCCCATTCATATGCTTTTAGATCATTTGCATCTTTAAAAATCCGAATAGTACCGATTTTTTCTGCAGTAATTGAGCTCAATTTGTTTATTTCTGGAATTTCATTTAGTTGAATAGTACTCTCTTCTTGATTATTTTGCAAATCTTTGGAATCAACATATTTCGGACTTTGAATTGAATCTGGTTTTTTTGAAGATAGTAAGTTTTTTAATTTGAGATCTGTGGTACAAGTAATCCAAATCCTACAAATTCCGTCTTCCGACACGGTTAATATGGAGTCAATGCCATTCATTTCTGTTAAATTCCAGACAGTTGAACTCAAAACAATGTTCTGCAATAAACTGATTTCGAAATTATTTTTTAGTTGCCATATTGCAACATGACAATCATCAGATGCAGTAAAAAAACGTTCAGAGTAATAGTTTGAAAATTTTACATCAAAAATAAATGATTTGTGATGTCTTTTCGTATTCTTTAAAACCAGATTTTCGTTTCCTAATTCTAAGAAAAGCTGCCAAATTTTTATTGCGCAGTCATTTGAAACAGTTATAACAACTAGGGATTCTTTCTCAAAAATATTGTTAGAAATACCTATAGAGCGAATAATATCATCGTGGGAATTAGGGATAGTTTTTATTAACTTAACTTGTGGAATTTTCCATAATACTAGGGATTTATTTTGACTTCCAGTTAATAAAAAGAATTCTGTACTATTTGGTTGTGAAATAATTGAGATTGTGACTGCGTGTTGATGATTACTTAATACGTGTTTGCATTCGGAAGAATTTAAATCCCAAATTCTTGCAGTACCGTCCCAACTTCCAGAAATTAAAATATTCAATTCATTCAACTCTTTTATATTGCAGATCGCCGATTTGTGCCCTCTGTAAGTTGCGCATATTTTGCCATCTATAGCAGACAAACGGTAAATTATTTCATCAAGCCCACCCGAATAAAAATAGATTTGGTTAGATTCATCATTTTGTTGAGTTTTTGAGGGTTCTAATGCCAATACATATTTTTTGTGGTGTAATAGCTGATGTTCTTGCATCCAAGCATCGTTAATATAATTCCAAATAATTATTTGATTATCCAGTCCTCCAGTCACAATTCGATTGTCTTTTAGAACGCATACACATCGGGCACATCCTTCATGGCCTTTTAATTCTTTTGAAAGACTATAAAGCATTTTTATTTCAATTAATGCGATTATTTCTAATTGAGGTAAACTTCCCGCAACCAAGAATAAATATAATAAATGAAAAAAAAAAATGTTTTGTATCTCAACGCAAAGAAAAAACAATCAATCATAGTGAGTTCGATCTTTACACTTTCAATCTAACTAACAATAAATGTTTCTATTTAAGACAAAAATATTTTTTTTTTTACAAAAACCGATAATGGTTATCTACATACCAATTATTTAAATACTCAATATATTTATCAAAAAGTTTCACAAATAACACGCACTATTCATTCTTTAGATATGAAAGTTTTTTTTTGAAAAAGGTATAACAAAAAATTAATAGTTTCAAAAATCAAAATATACGCAGTTTTGTGAATAAATGTATTCAAAAAATTTGTTTTGTGTAGCTTCTCAACCTATTGTGTGTTAAAAGTTTTTTTGCGACAAGGCGTTAAGAGTGTAATATTAAATGTTACACAGTTAATAAACTTGAAGACAAAATCAATCGTTAGTAGTAAACTTAAATTAGCGAGAGATGCCAATATTAGAAGAATTTAATCAATTGAAGCTGGATCTAGAAGCTCTTTTTTCATCGAAGGAAATGATAGAGAAACAAATATATGAAAAGGCCACACAAATTTATAAATTGAATAGTGAATGCATTTCTCTTTCAAATGATGAGAAACATGGGGGAAAAAATTTTGAAGAATTGTGTTTAGAAATATCTAATTATGTTAGTGATATTCTGCAAGTTAGACTAAACAATGATGGCTTAATTGAACTTAAACAAGGTAAATTGAATAGTAGTAATATAGCTGAAACACAAGAAAACAAAGTAGTTCAATATCGAGTTTCGAATACAGAGGACAATCTATGTGAAAACAAAAAGTCATTGATACATGCAAATAGCTATGCATTTAAAAATATTTATAAACTCGATGATTTCATGAACACAACTAACTGGCTTTGGAACAAGGAACTGAAGTCCAAAATTGTTGAATTTGCTTCAAATAAAAATAATGTATTCCCGAGTATCGTAAAATCCCCACAGATTGGTGGGGATTTTTCGTCCACTACTCCTAGCCATAATAAAATGCAGTGTAATGGGCTGCCAAGGTTAGTGTGCAGAACAGTCAGAATCGAGGAAAATAATTTAAAACAAATAAAGTATATAAATCCACTGAAGAGTTACATAGAAAAAGCATTCAAACTTGAATCATAATGTTATGAGAATTGCTGTATTTATCGAGCGTAAATGTAATTAATGCAATTAACCCTTTTAAGTATATAGTTAATTGCATAACGCGATCACAGAAATGCGCAAAACTCAAAATACTAGATACTAGATTATTTTTAATGATCAATTTCATTATTTGAAAATGAATTTGATTGAAGGAATGATTGTGTCAACCCCATCGTCGATATCACAACAGCTAACTTCTAACGCAATACTATTTTTTGTAATATGTAGTTTTTTCTTAGTAATCTGTTCTATGAGTGAAACAACGGGAATACATTTTCTTTCCTGATGATTTGGCATGTATGCGTTGTAAAGACAAATGTTTCCAAACGAGATAATTTGGGTCTCAAGATTCATTTGATTTGTTAGAAAGTCGATTACATCTTGAATGGTGCCATTTCTTTGTTCAATAACCAGTTTATCCCATGCTGTAAATCCTTCTGGTCTTACCTTTAATGGGCCTTCTACTATCGGATCGAAATCCTTTGAAGTAGTTTTTGGAGCAGGTAAGGGCTCCGTAATTACAAATAATGGAAGAGAAAGATTAATAAATGAATTCTTGAAGAGCTCTATTTTGTAATCACTGGCTGAAGATACCTTTAGCGCTTCAAATGAAACAAGTCCAGTTACCATTGCCGTGGTTGTTGCCATGGCAGGTATTATACGCCCTGCAATCATCTTACATTTATGTCTATCACACTCTTTGATCGAGTAGTTTCTAGCTCTCAAGTTTGCACAAGAATTGATAAAATCTACGTGGAAATTTGAGTCATCATCTTTTTCAAATTCAATTGGTTGTACGAAATCTAAACATCTTTTAATTTGATTTTCCGTAACGGAAAGCAATTTATGCGTATATTCTTCAGCGATACTTGTATCCAATAATACCGGATTTGAACTGCCATTTTCATTGTTCGATGCACTTTCATCTTCATCAATTTTGATTAATGCAGTTTTAGCGTTGAACTCCGGAAGAATTGTTTCATTTGCAATTCTAAAAACAAGTGAAGAGTCAGATATTTCTGGCAATCTGACCATACTTGAATAAAGGTTTGAAGCTGAAAAGATAAAATCAAAATGCAATTTATCCTCTATGTTTAGTTTTATGGGCTTTGGACATCTTTTTGGCCCAGACCAAAAAGGAAATCCATCACTATTGACGTGATCAGGTGGAAAGTTGGCTAAAAGTTGTTTAATTTGACAATAAAAGTAGTCATGAAACAAGTATATCGCTCTCTGAATACAATCTTCATGTGTAGGAGTTTTTTCGGAGATCCAGTTAATTAGCTCAAATATTTTCTGAGATTTTTCGAGGATAACATGAGGATTTCCTCTTTGTCTTAGATTTTGTATATATTCAGACGGATTGTTAAGGAACGTAACGACTTCTTGAGGATCTGATGTAAAAACTCCCTGAAACGCATCACGAGCCCACTCAATTGTATGTTCTATTGCATGAGGGAAGTGTTTTAAAGTGCATAGAGGGATGCTCTCTTCCGCAGGATCACGATTATCAGAATAAGATTGGGTTTTGTGTGGGAGGTAAGTTTCACTATTAGCCTTAGTTCCCAATGTACCACTTTCTAATAGTGGTTTTTCGTACCACAAGCAACGATCATTGATATACATCCTTGAAGGAACATTATCAAGCGCATTGATAACAAAATCTGTTTTGTTCCAGAATAAATCATCGAAAATATCTTCAGTTTCTGTACCGACACGGGTTTGAAGTGAAACAATATTTATATCCTTATTTATTGTCCTTATAACTTGAGCAGCAATAGCACTCTTCGGCGATCCCACATGTTCTTGTCTAAATAGGAACTGGCGGTTCAGGTTCGAAACCTCAATATTATCCATATCCGTGATTGTGACAGTTCCATTTGGTCCACATCCAACACCTAATAGTGCCATACTTTTTAAGAATTCACAACCTAATGCACCTGCACCTACTATAAACACATTTTTTTCAGATAATTTATTCTGAAAGTTCCTACCAAATATAATTATTTGGTCGTCATACCTACTCCCTATTGGCATAAACTCTTCTTTTGTATGAACTTCATTTGAAACTAAATCTAATTGTTCAAATGCATCGAAGAAAAAGAACTGGCGTAATGGAGTATATTTTCCAACGAATTTAACAATTTCTTGAGCAGCAATTCCACCCAAAAAAGCAGCCATTGGAGATAAACAACATCTGGAATATTTACAAACCTTTTCAAGTACGTCCTTATCGATACTATCAACTGAAACAACAAATTCCTTTTTCTCATCATTTGAGTCCAGCTTTCTCTTCGAATTCTCATTCATATTCTCCGCAATGGTGTGACACTCATTAATGGCTTGCAGATCAGTATGTTCTGGGCGAGAACCTTTAATATCAGAGTATTTAAGCACCGAGTTGATAGAGAAGAACAGTTGTTCAGATCTGCCAAATTTATTTAGATCTGGAACGATCAAAATCCCCTGTTCATCACAAATAGGATATTCGAGTGCATCTTTTAAACTCCGGAAGCTATAATTCATGGGAACCTTTACCTGAGTAACTATTCCCTCTCTTTCATACTCTTTAAACATACTAGAATCTAATTTGACTGTAAATTGATGTTTCCCTGCTGAGATTATCTTGTGTGGACCCGTCCCATTTAGCTCTGTCATACCTTGTACTTCTCTAAACATTACATAGTCGCCTTCTTGAAATGGGAGAAGTTTCTCAGCTAAACATGTTATGGATGTTGTTTCTTTGCCCCTTGAAATTTTTGAAATAATAGCGCTTTTTGGTTCTTCACCATTTCCATCAAATACATTAAAAGAGTCTCCGAAATCGACAAAAATGGAGCCACAAAGCCCTAGACAATTTGCAGAAATAAACCCAATATTTGGAGTATGGCCCCTACAGACTTCATTGTATTTTATCTGTTGTGATAGTGGTACGTCTGCACAAACAATCAAGTCATGATTAAAAATCAGTTGGTTTGTAATTTGTCCATGAAATACGATAACTTGAACATATTCATTTAGAGATGCCAACTTGTTTAAGCATGCGTCCGACCGTCTGGTTCCTTTTTTTACGTCATCTTCCGTGATATAAAAGTTTGCGCCCATATCAGAAAAACTACATATCTCATCATCCACAAGGGTTACCGACTTTGGTCCTGCCAATATAATATTTTTTGCTATTTCAACGCCGAGCCCACGAAGCCCCACAATCAATACGCGTAGTTTTATTAGTTTTCCCATTGCCTCAAGACCTAATGTACCTATTTGGCGACTATATAGATTTGTATCAATTTCATCTCTCCTATTAGTACTCATCGTAAATTTTTCCACTTATGGGCATTAAAATTTATTAGTAATTTAATGATAATTCCGTTATCACTAAGTTGAGAAGATTGATTTGTAAAAAAAATGATAAATATTAACAAGCATTGTCCCCCCCTTCTCTTTCTAAGATTAATAGGCGCCTGCCTATTTTTATTGTTTATTGTTCAACCATTCACAAACAAATCAAGAAGTTAAGAACAAATCATATCTATAAAGCATTTTACGATATTAGTAGCTATGCTAATTGTTTGAAATTAAAAATAATATCGGGGTTAGTGTTCACAATTATTTTAATGACTCTTCTGAAATCCGTTCTCTAAACTTTCTGATTACACATCTGATTCTCTCAAGCGCTCTTTTATCATCACCCGAACAATTATCTGGCAAATATGGAGGTGATACAGTAATTCCCATTACCTGAATATTTTCATCATCCCATGAGCAGTTTGGGTGTGTTTTGTGAATGAAATCAAATGTAGCTTGGCCCATTGGAGTGACATTATTTCCCCAGAATTTAATGTTTGACTTCGCATTATTGACTAGCGCTTCTTCTCTTTTTTTAATAATATCAATATAGTTTTCTGGAAGATCTACGTCAATTTCCGAACACTTTCCTTCTAAATATGGCTTTACCTCACAGATAGACTCGCTGTTTATAATATCAAAAGTGCTAAATCCATTTCTGATATCTTTTTCTAAAAAAACATTTAAAAATTGTACATTGAAATATCTAAACTTACTTAAAACTATGAATTCATTGTTAGGAAAAATACAGCAGACTTGGCCATTAAGAATTTCACCCTTATTGGTACGTATTGAAACGGCATCTAGATATTGAATAACGGAAAAAATTAGATATTTTGTTATTCCGGTATCTTACCCAAAATTGATATTTGTTCTGACATTACTAAAAAAATTTTTACTAACAAACCAAATTTCCTTCCAAAATATTTATTTCTAAATGTTTAAATATGGATTAAAATGTAAGCAAGGTAAGGAAATGCTTTTTCTAACAATTTGCCACATATTAGAACATATTTTAATGGCCATTATTAATTAAAAAAAAAATTCATTTTCGGCGGCATAATGTACCGCCCTTTGTGGATACATTATATATTTATTTTACGCTTCATGTCGTTTATTGACAATCTTTATTTAAAGATGTAATTTTTGTGAGAAAAAAAATAGATTGGGCATGTGCATTGTAAATTTTAATTAAATATAATAAGATTAAATTAATGTAATTAAATTGCAAATTATATCTGTTGTTAGTCGATCATGTTTATTTTTAGAAATTTATTTGAGTGGTGTAAATTTGATTACGATAATTGTTTGTTAGTAGCCGGATCATCAGTGTCAAGAAACCCTACAAATAAAGAATCTACTATAAAAGACTTGTTCGGTAATCAGGTATATCTCGAATATGAAGATCATTTGGACAATTACCTATTGAAACAGGAGGCTAAAAAATTAACTGATTCCTCTTCTGTAATGAAATTTATAGATGAAGGAACAGAGGAAAGAAAAAAAGAGAAAGTCAGTAAGTTTATAGAATTAAGCAGAACTTTTGCGAATGAAATGATCAACGGAGTTAATATTGAACTTGTGCTTGGAGATGGGAAAGCTCATGTATTGCACCTATCACTTAATAAAGATCTTAATGCATTATATCTTCGAAGAAGTGGGAAAAAATTAATTCTTCCTCTGAACATTGTTAGCCTAATTGAGATTCCATCAGAAAAACTAATTTCGGAAGCACCTGAGCTTCAAAATGTAGATGATTGCGAACTTGAGCGCATTGTAGCTATTTCTACTGTTTCAGATGATTGGTATATTTTTATAATGAAAGATACTGAAATGAGAGATAGATTCTACCAACAAATGAGACTGTTGGTGGCATCCATTAAGATCTCGTTGGTTGGAAGTGACAGGTATTGGGGGAAGACATATAATGGGCCACTGATGGACTCTGTGCATATAGAGTCAGACGATGAAGCTGTATTTTTGTTTCAAGAAGAAGGGCATGAATTTGTTAATACTTAGTATATAGCCACAAAAATAGATCTATTTAAGAGTTTTGATTTATTTTTTAAAGGCGAGCTCTATTTGATTTCTGAATTAATTATTTTTTCGCAGAGGATTCTGGAGTAATCCCAAAGTTTTTCTGATACATCCATATCTAACGAAACAGGCGATGATATATCCAGTGCGCATTGAGAATAGTATCCTCCAGGAATTAGTTTTTCATCAGGGATTGCACAACAGTAAAGCGTAGTTTGAGCACCTGAGAACGGAGTTTTAGAAAATAACTTCATTAATGGGTAAAATAAAACAAATATAGTACTACCTTCCTTTATATATCTTCCTAAATCGGTATTCACACATCCTGGATGCAATGCTACGGCGAACAAACCAAACGAACCAAATCTTTTCTGCAATTCTCTTGTGAAGTATATATTGCATAGCTTACTAATACCATAGAATCTAGTTCTATCATAGTTTTTCCGATTAACATTCTCAAGCTCAGAAATATCGAATCCGAAAGGCGCAGCTAAGTGGGCGATGCTTGAAACATTTATTATTCTTGATTTAGATTTTTGAAGTAGAGGCATCAGATTCATTGTTAGGTAATAATGGCCGAGGTAATTTGTCATGAATTGCCTTTCAACTTGGTTTATTAGCTGGAATGGTGGTGCCATAACACCTGCATTATTAATCAAGATATCGATCTTGTCTACTATTGAAAAAATTTTCCTTGAACATAATTTAATACTTTGTAAAGATGACAACTCACATTCGATTGAATGAACTCTATTAAGTGGCAATCCATTAGAAAGAAGTTGACTTTTGGCACTTTCCATAGCCACAATATCGCGGCAGCACATAATTAATTCAGATACTCCCCATGATGCTAGTTGCTTGGCAGTTTCAAGTCCAATTCCTCTGGTGCAGCCAGTTATTACAACAGTCTTGCCCTTCATTAAGCTTTTATTTTTCAACATTCCTCCTGGTAAGCACTTTCCGAAAGAGATAAACCTGCAAATAGCAAGCAAACAAGAGAGATAAATTATAGTAATAATTCCACGTGCAATCAGAGTTGGATTGTTTATTTCTATCAACTCTGAGTGATAGAGAACTAAAGGTGCTATTATACCAATGGTAAAGGTGGACATCGAGATAAATGCTGGCTCAGAGAGCACAGAGCTCAGGAGAACGTACATCAAAATTCCTTTGGGTTTATCCATTACTAAAGATCAATTCAAAGATCACAAGTAAATACCTGCGCTTCCTCCCCCCTTTTATTTCACATAAGAAAAAAAAATTCAGTGAAAAACACACAGAACAAATTTGGTAGAATGTAAAACAACACCATCTTAAAATTCAATTACTCGGACCAAAATACGAACGAAAACTATTCAATGTCATTATTGTCTTTTTCTATTCAATAATCTCATTCAGTTCGCTGTTTTTTTTTATCTAAATAATTGTTGAGTTCCCGCCGTCTCTTTTAGGTGCCAAATTATTTAATTGGCTGTCTTAAATGGACGTCTCGTAGGCCAATATTTGGGAATTTATTTCTTTCCAAGCTGAAGGTTCATTTCTTTTAAATAACTTTTGCTTGTGGTTAAATCGATTGAACAGGCACAAGGCTCTGACAGTCTCCACAAGTATCAATAATTGTCGAATTGTTAAGTATTAAGTATGCCATCTCCAGAAAAAGCAGCAAAGAAGAAGCAGTACTTTGAACGCTTATCAGAATATGCTACATCTTACCCAAGAATTCTAGTAGCGAACGCGGACCATGTTGGTTCTAAGCAAATGGCAGATATCCGTTTAGCATTGAGAGGTAAAGCAGCAGTTTTAATGGGAAAAAATACCATGATAAGGACTGCCCTGAAGCAAATGCTTGGTTCTCACCCGGAATTGGAAAAGTTGATAGAGTTGGTTCGCTTGAATGTTGGCTTAATTTTCTGTATTGATGAACCATCCGAAGTAAGGAAAATTATAGAGGAGTATAGAGTGCCTGCACCAGCTCGTCAGGGTGTAATTGCACCATGTAATGTTGTTGTTCCGGCTGGAGCCACTGGATTGGACCCATCTCAAACTTCTTTTTTCCAGGCCCTTGGGATTGCTACAAAGATTGTAAAAGGTCAAGTTGAAATTCAGTCTGATGTTAATTTAATAGATGAGGGAAAGAAAGTTACAGCTTCACAGGCAGTTCTGTTACAGAAACTGAACATAAAACCATTCTCTTATGGGCTTAAAGTTAACAATATCTATGACCATGGCAGTGTCTACAGTTCATCTGTTCTTGATATTACATCAGAAGACTTAATTTCCAGAGTTTCTGAGGCTACCAAGTATGTCGCTGCATTCTCAAAAGAAACAGCTATACCAACTCAGCCTTCTGCACGCGACGGCGTTATTTCTGCATTTAGGAATTGTGTTGCTCTTGGTTTGGATGTCGAGTTCGATTTCCCGGAAATGCAGGCAATTAAAAACGCATTGGCAAACCCTTCTGCATTTGTCTCTGTCTCTACAGCTATTGAAAATACATCCACAGTTGGTGCATCTGCTCCAGTGGAGGAAGAAGAAGAAGAGGAAGGTGACTTGGGTTTTTCGTTATTCGATTGAACTAATTTAGAATTTATTAACTAATTTGTCAATCTGCATACTTTTGCTCTTAAAGATCTCTTCTTGCAAATGTTCCCTCTTGATTTCGTGAATAGGTTAGATATACGAAGTGAAATAATTAATGTTGAATTTCGGCTATAGAAATAATATTTGCTGAGATTCTGGTAATTTGATTCTTACATTGAGTGACAAAAGTACTGTTGAATTGTGTGCATATGCGTTATAAAATAATATCATATTTGCAGATATGAATCGAAATTATACAATTCCGATTGAATTGTTATTTGAGATTGTCACATTCACCGATTCCTTTGAAGATATTTTAAATATAGCAACTTCGGTAAGTAATACTTATAAATCACTAAGGAAATTTAACAATTTAAGAATAAACAATGGTTTGAGAAAATACTTGAATTTATGAAGACTAAAAGTTTTATTGATTTTCGTGAAAGTATGACAATAGACATAAATATAAATAAAGTAAGTAGTTTGACTAGAAGTATTAAAAATAATTTGCAAATATAGGATAATAACGATGATTTTGAGATGAGAAATGAATTTTATAAAAATATTTTAGGTATAGAGTTTCCAAAAGTAAAAATAATTACAATAAAATCAAAGGAGATAAGAAATGAAGAGCTTGATTATTTGTTGAAGAATTGCCAAAGCATAGAAGCACTTGAAATTTTTTCTCTATCAAATATTTTAACAAATAGCATTACAAAGCTTTGCTCAAAAATTATTGGATTAAAGCTTATTTCACTGTATCGTGGACTCTGTAAGTGTGATTATACCGAAAAAGAGAAAGAGGAGGAATTTAATTGCCCATGCATTAGTTATAAACGCAAATTAATCGTAAGGCGGCCAAAACTAAATATTGTCGATAGTGAATTGACGCAAAATGGCTCTATATTAAGGTATTTAGATTTCTATACACAGGAATTAAAGTGATTGTATAAAAAAAGGAATATTTTGCCAATTTATCAACATTCTCGTTTTTTATTTACAAGGTATTTCTTGTATAGTGATATTATATTGGAAACAATTGCCTCTTCAATTGGATCGGACGTTTTTTTTATTTCAGTCCTTGAATTCGGAGTAAAAATTATCACGTTATCTCTACGATCTTGCAACAAATTTGCACAAATTGCGTTAGCATCACACTTTTTCAGTAAAATATCTGATTTTTTAAACAAAGTTTCAAATTCAGTCTCAAGTTTGAATAAAACGAGAAAGCAATAAGGTAATTTGTCTCGAATATGTTGGGCGTATTTTGGAGTTGAATATAACTCCAATGTAATGCTAGGAGTTTTAGGTTCGTTTTCGAAGTCTAAGGATGCGTCTGAGCTAACTGAAATTTTGTTCTTTGGTAACAGATTCTCTGGAATATAAAAGTCCGAGACTGCAGCTGCCAAAAAAAATATAAAACTATCAGGAAATTCTGTGCAATGAGAGATAATATAGTCAATACCATTGAAATATTCATGAACGGACCCAAATTCCATGAAAAATATTCTATCTGAATAATTAATTAGATTTTTTGATGCTTCGATAACTTTTTTAAATTGTTCATTCCCTAAGAAATCGGAATTATCTTTATTTGAACTAATAAAATGATTTTTTATTGACACCAAGATGTCATATTTCGATGGGCAATCAACTGTAAACGGTAGGTGACTTCCTTTTCTATAGAAAAATACTACACTAAATCCTGATTTCAAAAAGTATTCGGCCGAATATGCACCTCTTGTACCTGTACTAAAGTTTTCGATATACCTTACTGTGTTTCTTTCTAAAGGAACATAGGTTCCACCACTTGTAATAATCACAATATTTCTATTATAAATCTTTATTTCTCTAGAGATAAATTCAGTTAAACTTAGATCGTTAAGCTGCAGTTTGTCCGTTCTCATAACTTCAATTATTGCTTTACTTTTGATGAATTTAATTTTTTTGATAAATGGAGTATTCGTTATATATTTTATAAATTGAATATATTTACCTTGATTCTTTAAATTTATAATTAAGTATTTTGCATTTATTATTGATGAGGGCCAAAACTTAATACTGCGCTTTTAGTATTTGAACTGGAATCATAATAAAAATATCAAGCTGAAGAAATTAAAAATACGTTGAATTTACTTATGTTTCTAAAAAATCAAGCATTTATAGATTAAAAATGTAAGATTTCTAAGTTTAAAGTATGTCATCAAATCAGGAACTTGATCAAATATGCTGTATTTCAACTTGGCATAAGGAAACAAACAACTTGGACTTGTATAATGAGGATTTAAACGAATCAAAAATTGTATTCCCTTGGAATACTGGAACTAGGGTTCCTATTAGTAGTGTAAACTGTTCAAGTCAAATATTTGATTGTAATGAAACAATAAATAGTGGGCCAATTGGAAGACGAAAACTGAAAATTTTCTTAGAGGCAAGTATTCAATCTAATCAAATGTACAACCTCAATATGTCAAGCATTTCTCGAATCCTTTCAGACTGGAGAAGGGAAAATGAAATTAAAGACAATTTTGTCATGGAGCTTGTGGATTTTACTAAGTTATGTGGAATTAAAAAAAATAAAACATATAAGGATTTATTTGAGCTACTCTCTAAAATATTTATTTCCAAGTTAAAAAACAAAAAAATTCTGGATGATTCAACATATACAAAATTTGACAATTTAGCCTTAAAGTGCGTTAAAATGATTAATATTCCCCATTTGGTTGAATCGGTAATCACACTTTTAACCAAATTTAATCGATTGTCCGATAAAGTTATCAAAGAAATTACGACACCGGATCTTTATTTATTTCCGAGATTTCTTTCTTTTTATAAATTAGCTCCAATTAAGTTGCGTCAGCAAATGTGGCTAAGAAGGCCAAGATGGTTTGTATATGAGATTATTCCTTTTATTATGCTTTTTACAAAAATTTTCTCAAGTGTAGATTGTTACTCAATTCTAAATACTTCAAATTCTAATGGCCTCAACGATCAAAAATTTTCTTTTGATGCTATTAAAGACCTGCTAAGATCTATTCAAATAGATTCAAAAAACAGTTGTGATTCGGATTTTAAAACCGAAATTGATAGCTTTATTTTTGAATGCATTGAGAAAAATAAATGCTGCGATTTGCATGATAGAAAATTCTCTCAACAATCTAATTCAATTGATTCCATATATACTTTTGTTTCCAGAATTCAATCTCTTTATATATCATGCGTTGAACTTGAACACGAAAACATTGAACGTCTTGGAGAATCTTGCAAATGCCTAGCATTTAATTTTATGGACTCTAGAGATTTCTATAAAAGCTTTATTCAACTTCAGAAAAATGAATTATTACTACCCAAAAATTCTTTAAGCGCATCGATCAGAACAAATATTTGCTCCACCGGTTGCAATCTATCTACTATTTCGAAAATTGAAAATGCATCAAATCACTCATTGCTAAACACTAGCACACCATCATTTAATGGAAGATCAATAAACACTAATTTAGGTAATAATGATGCGGCAATTAATTCCTCTTGCTGTAATATGACTATTTGTGGGAATATACTAAGACTAGGTAGAATCGTTGCATATATTTCTTATTGTATTGGTAACTACAAAGAGCTATACGTTTATTTTATTAATACGTTAAGACAGCTTTATATTGATTCTCTTTCTCATCACTTTGGTTTTCAAGTTACACAAATTGAACCAATTACAAATATTAATCAAACTCCTGTTACCTCTAACAATATTAATCATTCGGATGGCAAAACATTCTCTTTAAATTCTAATATTGGTATTCCACTACAACCTAATGTGATTTTTCAAAATAATAAAATTAGCAAAAACTCAGAAAATTTATTTTCAAATATTTGTGTATCAGAAAAAGATTCTAGCAATATAGACGAAGAGTTCTATCAAAAAAATACTCATTTAAACTTTGAATCTAAACATGAAAATCATATTTTCACATCTGGCGATAAAAAACAAAAAAATTGTAATCTAAGTGAACAAAAGTTAAACCACTTTTCGGGAGAATCTTACTTATCATCATTAAGAATTTTTGTTGCATTGAGAATATTTCACTTCAATAGCAAGAATAACAGGAGTGAAGAAGAAGAAAAAAAATCAATAGAGAATGAAAAATCTGGTGTTGAATTGAATTTAGAAAAATTTAATCAAGCTGAACTATCAAACTTTGAGGTATTAAACCCACTGGCAATATCTGAATGCGACGCAGTTGCTTGGCCCTGTATACACATAGTTGGAAATATATTGAGGGATGGGTTTTCTTCAAATAAAAGCCAAGAGTCGTTGGTAAATATTTCTTCAACATTGATAATTAAGTCAAAAAATGACCTATCTGACATATCTTTTATATTCTCAGAACCTCACTTTCTATTTATTTGTTCAGAATTTATTCTTGAAACATCAATTTTAACTATGTTTCATTCCTCAATGGATGCAATGTTAGTTCTAAACCCTCAAAGAAGGAAAATCCCGATTGCTCTTATATCACTAGGGTTAAATTCTCCTTATTTATCATTTAAGAACAAAGATTCACTTCTTAGAAATTCTGGATTCCTGACAAATTCCATAAATACGGGATATATTACAGGCCCAACCTCTATGAGTAATATCAATAACCAATTAACCGGGAGTTCTGTATCACAAACAGTTTCTCCATTTAAAAAGGCAACTTCGAATGAATTAGGTTCTCAAAATAACAGTTTATCCACTATTTCAAGAAAAAGATTTAGAAAAAATAATGATTTGGTTTCTTCACAGAACAACATCAATAATAATCACATTAACTTTGCGATTAGGTTCGATACTTTACTCAATTTATTAATAACATTCAATTTTAATAATGCTCAGAATAAGAAAGGCTCTAAAACAATCGATTCAAACGATGATTCATATTCTTCAAATTATACAAAAACAATGGGTTTGAAAAATAAAACAAAAATGGATACACCTTTCCATCCAACAACTCATTGTCATACATCATCAGCAATCCTTAGTAATATACTTAAGCTCCATAGCACAGTTTTTTCTACGTTCCTCCCTTTAATTGATAGATATCTAGAGCTTTCAATTTCATCTCAAAAATCTAACTTTACTCTTCAAAATGGTGAGTGCGAAAAAAAAAAATCTACAAGAAATGAATTGTTGAAATCAATAAGAAACGAATTAATTGATTATATTAATTCAATTTCCGCGTTAAGATACCAAAGCTATTCTGATATATTAACCTTAAAATTTGTTAGAATTATTTCAACTTCTTTGTTTTTTACAGGAATTAAACCAATCATTAAACAAGAAGGTTTTCCCCTTAATCCACTTCTGCATTATAGCATTAATGGGCTATCATATTACCATTCGCATCATGCACAAGCTAAGAAAGACATAACTATCTGCTCACTAAATAACCAAATTATAGCCCCTTCACTTCCTTCATGTATTAATTTATCGATAAGATTATTAGAGACATCTTTTTCTTCTGATTGGATTAATCAAATATTTCTAAAATCAATTTTTGGACTTTTGTACACATATCCACGGATATATAATAGATTTGACAATCAAAATATAAAATGTGGAAATGAACCCACAGAGATGGTTAGTTATATAAACAACAAGAGTTCTTTGTTTGCATCTATTCCCAATGATATTATTCATGGTTTATTATTAAGAGTGGTTTTGCCAAGCATTAAAGACCCATCGGTTTCAAGCACAGAAATAAATACTATACATGAAATTATTAATGATATTGAAGTGTGCTCGATAGTTGATACAAAAACAAAAAAAATTTTTATTGAAAGGTTCTGGTTTTGTAGTCCCTTTCATTTTAGTTTAAATATTTTGCAAGACGGTGAAGATTATAACAGGCCAACAAATACTCAAAAAGTACAAATTAAAGATCTATTTCAACTCATTCAAAATAAAATCAGCACAAAAGAGCATAATTTTTATTTAAATTTAGAAGTTCCATACAAAACAATGTTTTGGGAATATCATTTCATACACTCTAATGATGATTATTTATTATTCCAAAGGTGGTCCCTATACTTTATTAATATTTGCAGAAGTCACGATAGAGATAATCAATATTACAATAAAATGTTATCAATAAGTAGATCAATTCAAAAAATAATGAAAGCAAAATAAATGTCAAATATATATCATCTTAAGAGGAATTAATTAATAGACCTTTATTAGTGACTAGTATCAAATTACTAAGTAGGTATTGCTCCACCTTTCGAAATGTAAAGAACTAGTTGATCATCAACTCTCATTTGAAGTGGGCTATATCTATCATGTTGAAGCCCTTTTCTCTTCAATGCAGAAATAATAGAATATTCTCTCGGTACAACAGATATGTCAACTCCAAAGTGTTCTTTAGAATTAGCTAAATCTCCTGAACTTATAGCTTTATACGTAATTTTACATGTAATTATATCGGTCCCTGCATATTCCAGTGATATTACTTTAAATTGTGGTAGTAGATTCGGAATATCAAAACATTCAGTAATCTCTCCATCTTCACTAGTATAGAATCTCCAATCCGTTCCAGAAGTATATATATCTTCGATTTCACACTTTTCAGGAGTAATCGTTTCAAATTGTATTGGCAGGAAACGAATTGATTCGATATCAACAATTCCAAATGAATTACTAAAATTTATTGCGATTTCAATACGATCCCCAACATTAACATTTGACTTAGTTGTTGTTTGAGCAACAATAAATTCCTCACAATGGCATCTAGACAAATCCTTGTGTGCCCATTGTATTCTTTTAGTACCAATTTTATTTGTCACAAATTTATAGCAAGAAATAAATGGAGTGTCCGCGATTTGAGAACAAGAGTTAGGATTATTAATTAATGGTTGTATTATTGGGCCAACCAAATTTTTTTGAGGCAATAGTCCCTCCTTTTTTAAGACATCTTTTATTTGAGAATTACTTTTATATTTGAAGCTGTAAGAAAGGCAAGTAGTTTTATTTATGCAACTTTTCAATACTTTGGCATATAAAACTCTATCTATCCGTACACTACCCCCAACAGTTAGAACGGGTTGTATAGTAATAGTTGAATGTTCTAAATCAAGATATTTTCCATAAGTTTCTTTAAATTGATCATCAATTGATATACAGTATTTTTCATTTATGAATTCCGATATCGTAAGTAGCCAGTGTGGACAAACTAGGAAACAAGAAAGTAACGTCTCATCCAAAATATATGGCAAAAATAAATCAATAATTCCAGGACTTAAAAACGGCTTGTGGTTATTTTTATTTCCAAATATGATAAATTTTTTACTTGTTACACAAATACTTTTTGGAACATTCGATGTATTATTTCCAAAAATCGAAGCTGAATTTTGTGTGAAATTCGAATCAATATCAGACTTCGAAATTTCAGAACTTTCAATTGATTCTTTTTTTTCGAACTCAAAGGAAATTTCACGATTAAAGTTTCCTTGCGCTTCTTTACTTTTTTCAATCTTCAAACTTTGAACACTAGTTTCAATGATGTTCACTTCACGCTGAGCTCTATTTTCCATAAGGTCCAGCGTTTCAAAAATATAATTGGGTTCGTATAAAATATCTTGATCACCTTGATTCAAATCTATTTCTTTTTTCTCCACCTTAGAAAAGAAGTAAATAATGCCATTAGTCTTTAGTATCCTTTCTGAGATTTTACAAATTATATTAGATATAGAGTTTTCAATTTTATAGTTAGTTATACATTGTAAAGAATTTGTTCTAGATGATAAACCACTTTTTAAGTCCAAATTAGAATGCGATCTTTTCAGTGGCGATATCGAATTTGAATTATTTGTCAATAATACTAGTTGTTCTTCATTATCAAAAGTCAATGTGTTACCCATATCTCAGATATTTTCATTACTATTATTATTATCATCGAATAAATTTCACAAGGAGTTGGGGAATTTATTATCCTTGCATTCTTAAAATTTCATAATTAAAAGCAAAATAGCAATATCCGAGAGCGGTAAGTGTGGGGTAAAATGAAAATATTTTCATATTTATACTCAAACAAAATTAATATTTTGGTGAAAAAAAATAATAGAAAAGTAAGTTTTTTGTACACTAATTACTTCTATGGGTAATATTCGGTTACAGTATTTTTTAAATATCGATTAAGCTTTAATAGAAAATTCAATAACTCAAACTAAATTTTGAAAGTGGCCAATTTCTAAGCTTCCAAATTATTTTTCTTATACCGCTAAAATTGCAATTAATATTATTTGCACTATACAACCGTTGCGAAAAATTTAAAATTACGAATACGGCGATTATAATTAAGTGTTAAAAAGAATGAACATAAAAGACCCAAATGAGTTTAATTTTAGACAGAAGGGAAACAATAATGCCAATGAAATGGACTCTAAAGAATTAAATCAGAAAGTGGAGAGCCAGAAAAGAATCGTTGAGGAGCAGAGAAGAGGCGCATTAAGAGCAATATTAGAAAATAATGCGATAGAAAGATTAAATAGAATCGCATTAGTTAAACCTGAAAAGGTTGTTCAAATTGAAGACTATATATTACGCACTGCACGAAATCAAGGGTTTTCTCCTTATAGAAAAATGCAAGAGAAAGAGCTTGTAGATATGATTTCAATAATGAATGAAATTACGGAGAAAAATAACTCAAAAATAAAGATTTATAGGAAAGGAGTTTTCGATGATGAAGATGAAGAATTTTATTCCTGATAGTTAAGTGCCCTACTTACTTAAGAAGTTAGATAACCACAAGAAAAAGTAACTCTGAATTGATCTATTATTTCTTCTTTTGGGAATTTGAAATACCGTTGAATAGTGCAACTGCTTCTCTTTGTTTACTCAAAAAGTTTTCACAATTTTTTTCCGATTGAATTTTTATATTTTTTGGGTCGTTAGCCAACTTGGATACCAGCTCTTTTCCTTTAGTTTGTATTTTTTCGTGCTTTCCAAAGCCTTCCGGACCCCATTTTTTTGCATTATATCCCTTATTGAATAATTCAGTATTAATTTGATCAACTTGAAGACCCAAATTCAAGTTTCTTACCGTTTTTGTTACATTTAAATCATGAGATTTTTTGATATTTGTTTCAGTAAATGAATCAATTGAATTTTGAGTTTTGCAATCACTAATGATTCCAATGTTATTGTTCTGAGTGATTTCATACCTCAAATTAGTCTCGATATCTGGAAAAACTTCAATAAGGTCAATTTCTTTTATAGCTTCTATTTCAACATTTTTTAATGCTCGATTCAAATTTATGTCTTCTACTGGTAAGTAAGGATTAATACTATTTTTTTTATTAGTGTATTTTTCTGAAAGCTTATATTCAGTAACAAGTTTATCAAGAAATGAAAGTTTTCTGTCTACATAAATTTCTTCACAAGAAGCATCAAATGGTAAGATGTAACTCAATAATTCGAAATATTCATTTCCCAGATAGTTAGTTAATTCACAATTTATTCTATTGCTTAATTGAATTATCGAAGTGAACTCTTTAATTCTTTGATTAATTATATTGGTTGGAATAGACACAGAATCTTTAAAAATTTGATTATAAATCTCATTCATTTTTTCCAGATAGAAAATGTATTCTTTATTCCGTTCATTTTCAATACTGAGATAATTTTCTGAGTTGTTAAATTTTTTGGAGGACATAATTGTATATGAATAACATTTTAATAATGCTGAAATAATCATTGAAATAGTTTCTGGCTTTGTATTAATTCTCATAAAAGTTGCAATATCCGCAAATGATCTCTTAGATTGCGCATTGTTACTTTGGCAAACATTCATATTTATTTTCAACTTTTTAAAAATGTCGTAAAGAAGAATTGTAACTTCATACAAGGTCTTTAAAGTAATAATTTCGGAACCATCATTTGCTGTACATGACCCATACTCACCTAATATCCAAATTCCCAAGTTATACAATATTTCTGGCAATTTATCCGCTTTTTCTTTTAGTAACTCTAAAAACAGATTTGAGGTATGAACCCTAAATTCTTGATCAGAATCATCATTTCCAGTTGGGCCTTCTGCAATTATCTGTGCAATATTATTAACTTTATCTTTTCCAACAAATTCTCCAGATAATTCTAATATTTTAACCATTGTATTTAAGTACCAATTATAACTTGGAGCAAATTTTTCGCTTAGTAGGAGTATATTTTTTACAAGTTCTTCACAAAAATGACAGTCAGTTGCAATCTTCAAATTATTTATGAGCTTAGATATTACAACTTGGATATTTTGGGGATTTGACATATTGCATAATAGTTCAAGTGTGCATCTACGAATAGTTTCATCTTTATCTTCAAGACAGTCTACTACAATAATTTGGTGTGGAATTGCATAAGATGGATCAATTATAGCGATTTTTGAAAGACATTTTATACCTATATATTTAAGGTAATTTAGGTCAGAATTCAAAAATCTAGAAATGATTTCCTCAACCTGTCCTAGCAATTCATTGTTTGGATGGATTGAACTAATCGCTCCGACACAAGAATCAAGAATTGCGTATGAGATATTAGCCGTATTGTTTGTGTTTCTATTATTTATATTTATAGGATAAATCATTGATTTCCCATTATAGGATGGCATAGATATCGAGTATTCAACTTTCTTGATTGTACTATACAATATTTCGTATATCTGATTGGTTTTTTTTTCAAAAGAGGCAATTTTCGAGAGTGTTTGTAGAATATTTATTTGAGTCCAGGGTGCAGAAACAAAATAATAGTCGTATTCCTTGGAAATATTGTTTTCTAAAATTTGCTTCATTATTAGTGTCAAATGAGGTATCAGTGGAATGCATAACTTTGGATTAAATGAACTGATTTTATCGACCAAATACAAAACCGAATTCTTAACAGAAATGTCTGAATCGCTTAAGCCCCTCATCAAAATGTCGGTGTTCTCTTCAAATATAGTTGGTTTTATTTCCAATACGCATAGCAAAGTTAAATATGCTTTTCGTCTGATTCCAGCTATCTGATGAGATAATAACATCAATATTGAATTTTCTATTGAAGAAAATATTTCATAATTTAATAAATAAGGTAAACATGATAGTGCTGATGCTACATCAAGCTGATTTCTACTTGTAAGATCTCTTTGTAGTGTATTAACTAGCAGAACTAAAAGTTCATGTTTTCTATTTAAAAATATGGAACAAGCCAGGTATCCAATTCTTTTCACGAAAGCGTTTTTGTCATTTGTCATCTTTATTGCATGAATGTATGCAAAGGAAGCATCATGCCCCAGCATTTCAATATATATCGCTCTTATCATATATTCACGTAGCTTATTAGATGACAATGAATTTTGGATTAGCTTTATCTTTAAAATAGACAATTCATTAATTATAATATTATCTTCTTCATGCTTAGAGCGACACTCTCCTATTGATTTAACGAGGTCAAACAACTGACGAGATGAAAAAGAATCAACATATTGCATTTTAACTGTTTTATGAACTTCATAAATGCCTTTCTATCAATTTATGATCAAGTCTGAAAGGGATGTTCTAATAGACTGCAAATCAAACTTTACTTAAAAGATATTTGTGTTTATTACTGAGCCAAAAATTGCAATATAACAGATTAATAATAAATATCTTAAAATTTATTTTTAATAATTTGTTTTTAAAACAATATTCACTCATTTAATGCACAAAAAAAATAATATAAATTTCTATGTGGCGCTATAAAACCCCACAAACATGTGAATAAAGCACTAAAAAAAATTGAAATTATAAATCATTAATAAAATTAAAATGAAAATTTATCTGAAAAAGGTTTAACGAGTATCTTGAATGATTTTAATATTACTTTAGTACTGATTTAAGCAAATTAGAGATTACTCTGGTTTATCCTAACAAATAATACGTATGTAATTATCAGTGCCAAATTTTTACCTGCTTTTGGGGTTTGAAGATAATTATATCATGTATATTGAGGAAATTATTCTTGATGGGTTTAAGTCCTATCAAAAAAGGACAGTAATAGGTAAGTTTAACCCAAGATTTAATGCAATAACAGGTCTAAATGGGAGTGGAAAATCAAATATCTTGGATTCAATTTGCTTTGTGCTTGGAATAACAAATTTATCGCAAATACGTATTAACAAACTTGAGGAACTTGTTTATAAATCTGGTCAAGCAGGAATTAGCAAAGCTTCTGTTTCTATTATTTTTAATAATGATGACAAATCAAACTCTTCACCCCTCTATAAGGATTTAGATAAGATTACGATTACAAGACAAATTGCTACCGGAGGAAGGAATAGATATTTGTTAAATGGGAGCATTGTGAAACCTATTGAAATAACAAATTTTTTTCATTCGGTTCAATTAAATGTGAATAACTCTCACTTTTTAATAATGCAAGGTAGAATTACTAAAGTTATTAATATGAAACCTAAAGAACTATTATCAATGGTGGAGGAAGCCGCTGGCACAAGGATGTATGAAACGAAGAAACAACAAAGTCTAAAGCTTATAGAAAAAAAGGATAGCAAATTAGAAGAAATTAATCGAATGTTAGAAGAAGATATAATACCAAAACTCGAACGGCTTAAAAAAGAGAGATCAGATTATCTAAAATTGAACAGTATTAATGAAGAAATCGAGTTAATTGAACGACTATGCATTTTGCATAATTACAATAACTTATCTTTGGAGGTATCTGAGGTAGAAGAAAGACTCAAAAGTTCCGAATTTATATTCAATGAAATTGAAAGGACTATATCTACTAGCAAAGAAGAAATCATCGTTTTAAAAAAATTAGTCGAGGATGAAGAAAATAAATTGTCATCTGAGTGGTCAATCCCACTAAAAAATTGCAAAGAAAGAATATCAAATGTGGAATCCAAAGTTAGATTAACTCAGGTTCAGCTTAATGATTTGAAAATAGATTTGAACGATGAAGAAAATGCACTTACTGATCAAATTAATCAAAAGAAGATAATTGAAGATAAAACAAATCCCCACGCTATAAATTTTAGTCCAGAAGTGTCAATAGAGAAATCTGAAGAGTTTTTTAAAGTAGAGAAACAAATTAACGATTTAAAAGAAAAGTTGGAAATAAACAAGAAATCCCTTCAAGGAATTAGGGCAGGATGTGACATTAATTTGAATAACTCCGAACAAAAATCATTAAGACAATCGCTTTATGATACTGAAAAAGAACTGGCCAAAATTTCTGTTCAAGAAAAGAAGGTCAAGATGAAAATTGGAGAAATTGAAAAGAAAGTCAAAACCTTGGATGGTCAGCTTAAGAAGAGTTCATATGCTTCAAATAAACGCAAATCGATGACTCCTAAAGAAGAATATACACACCTAAGCGATCAGATAAAAAAATTAGAAGGTGATATTATTCATTTAAGAGAAGATGCGGAGTTATGTGAAAAATATAATCTTGAAAAAAGAAAAATAAAAATAGATAACGACTCTTTAGAAATTCAACTACAACCGATTGAGATGTTTGTCCGCACTAGGCAATGTATTTACAATTTTGGAGACCTAAATGAGTTGGCAATACAGGCTCATATAAATGAAGTGGATACTCTATTGGACTATTCAAAAGCCCAAAAGACAAAGGTTAAAGGATCTGTATTTGAGTTGATAGATTATTTGGATTACAAATATTCAACAGCATTGGAAATGACCGCAGGAGGAAGGTTGTATAATCTGGTAGTTGAAAATCATGAAGTTGGGAAAAAACTTTTGAATAGTGGACTAATTAAAAAAAGGATTACAATAATACCATTAAATAAAATTTCAGATCCTTCTATTCCAGAAAAAAAATTAGATTATGCCAGAAGTTCGGCCCAATGTAACGGTGAAGATGATTTTCGTGTGGTAAATGCCATGAATATTTTAAAATTTGATAAAGAACTGGAGCCAGCTATTAAATTTTGTTTTGGGCACACTCTTATTTGTGAAGATGAAAATATTGCTAAAATGATAACGTTCGATCCTAAAATATCTACAAGAACAGTGACATTAAATGGCGATATTTATGATCCTAATGGGACTTTATCTGGTGGATCCGTTGCAAACAGTCAAAGAAGTATTTTATCAGCATATAAGCAGTACAATGAGCTTAGGCTAAAAATACTACAAAATAACAGGAGAATAGAGGAAATAAATAAAATTCTGGCAGATTTGGGTGAAGCTGCAGATTCATATAGACATTCTCAAATACAATTGGACATAAATAAGCATCAACTTAAATTATTGGAAGAACGTATAATCAGATTGGAAGAAGATTCAGTTGAATCGAAGATTGAAAAATATTTAAATGAAATAAAAGCATTGAAGAGTGAACACGAAGATTTACTTAACAAAGAAAAATATTTGAAAGAAAACAAATTAAGGCTTGAAAATGAGATTAAAGTGTTCGAGGATACGAAGGAATCTAGAGAAAAACATTTGGAAGCTGAAATAAATAATCTAAAAAAGGAAATTAGAGATTTGTCGGCTACATATAAAAATTTGGATAAAATTACTTCTTATACTAGGATTGAGCAAAAGGCATTGAAGACAGAATTAGACCAAATATTAAATTCAATTATCGGAAAAACCAATAATATTAGCGAAATAAAGCGAAAAATCGAGGAACAAAACACAATTTTGAAAAATCTTCAATTTGAGCTCAATGAAAGTAAATCTTCCTTAATAAAACTACAACAAGAAATTGAGTCTAGCAATGATATAATAAAAGAAAATAAATCAGAAATAAAGAAAATTGAAAAATTAATTTCCAAGAAGCAAATTGAAAATTCAAAAATTAAACATGAAATCAAAACTTTGAAAACTGATTTGTCACAAAAAAACAAATTAAAAGACTCGATGGCAAGAAGATTTGATTGGTTACTAGATAAAAATTTTACTAATAAGATTGATTTAGAAGCACATCCATATAAATATTGTGTAGAAAAGTTGGAAGAACTTCAGAATGAGCAGAATTCGCTCTCTAAAAATGTGAATAGGAGAATATTGAACTTGTATGAAAGGGTTAATGCAGAATGCAACGAATTAATCAACAAAAGAGATATCGTAATTAAGGATAAAGATAAAATTGAAGATGTAATCGGCGATTTAGATCAGAAAAAGAAGCAGGCTTTGGAAAATACTTGGAAAACAGTGAACTCAACATTCAAATCGATATTTAGCACATTGTTACCAAATTCAAGCGCAGAACTTGTCCCTTATATCAACCCTGAAACTAATGTTGAAAGTTTTCATGAAGGACTTGAATTTAAAGTTGGATTTGGCGGAGTCTGGAAAAAATCTTTGAGTGAACTTAGTGGTGGGCAGAGATCATTACTAGCACTATCATTGATTTTATCTATGCTTAGATTCAAACCTGCACCAGTATATATTTTAGATGAGATTGACTCTGCGCTTGATCTCGCACATACACAAAATATTGGAAAAATGATCAAAAACCATTTTCCGAATTCGCAATTTATAATTGTTTCACTTAAAGAAGGAATGTTTAATAAGGCAAATGTATTGTTTAAGACCGAGCTAATTCACGGTGTCTCAACTGTAAGTAAAATTGAAAACTACTCAAGCGAAAATGAGCACGATGAGGAATCAGAAAATTGCAACGAAATAGTTAATTATAACAAGATTCGTAAAAAAATTAAGTGATTCAGAGATGATTTATCGCTCACTGCACTATTTTAATCTTTTATTCAATTTTCGAGATAAAATTAAGCCGCTTAAAATCAATCAATTTTTTTAATCAATGCATGCATTGAACTATGGTGCTGAGCGAAATAAAATAGAGGTAAATTAGATTAAAAATCGATTAAAATAATTAATAATTATTATTTATTTCGTTAAGTTTTTATTCTTTAGTATCGATTGAATATGAACCTTTCTATTTTTTTAATTATTACTTTCATAGTTGTAAAGGGGAATATAATCACGTTACCCTTATATGGAAATGTATACAAATATGGTTATTACTTTATTAAAATTAGCGTGGGATTGCCACTTAGACAGCAGCAGACACTTATTGTAGATACAGGAAGTTCTCTAACTGGATTTGCATGTGTAGATTGTATTAACTGTGGAACCCATGAAAATGAACCATTCAATATCAATTTGTCGACGACTAGTAATATTATTGAATGCAAAAAAGATAGTATTTTAATAAATGAAAAAGATATCAAAAATAAAGATAATTATGTTAGAACCAATAAGAATTACCAAAATTACATCCAGAATTTTTTGGAAAATAAATGTATTTACGATATTAAATATTCAGAAGGAAGCCATATATTTGGATACTTTTTTGAAGATTTTGTCGAATTTGAAAACGGATTATCATCTAAATTAGGAATTAAAAGAAAATTTGATGAAAAATTTGTTTTTGGCTGCAATATAATTGAAGATAGCCTTTTCAAGCATCAAAAAGCGTCTGGTATATTAGGGCTTGCTAACTATAGTAACATTGGAGGAATGAATCAAATAATTAACTTTATTTTTCAAAGCAATGAAGTAAGAGGAATTTATCCTGAGAAAATTATTTCAATTTTTTTTGAGGCAAATGGAGGAAAGTTAACTTTTGGATCTACTTATTTTGATCAAATTAATATTTGGGATAAACAATTCGAAATTTATAATGTAACAAGGTGTGTTGATGATGAAAGATACTGTGCTTATATAAGTAAAATTGAAGTAGATTCAGTTATCCGTAAAGAATATACTGCAACAAAGGGAAATACGTTTAAGGCTATTTTCGATACAGGAACTACAATTTCAATTTTCCCAGCTAAATTATTCAAAAATATTACAAGAAGTTTATTTAATACAGTTTCCAGATACTATCCAAAAATTTCTGGATATGATGAAAAAGACGGTCTTATATGTTGGAAAATACTGAATGAAATTTCAATTGATATATTTCCCGATATTAAAGTTATGTTTAAAAATAATCACAATCAGTTTACAGAGCAATTCGTAATCAACTGGTCTCCAAAGTCATATTTGTACTTAAATAAAATTTTAGAAAGCAATAGCAAAGTTTATTGTTTAGGAATAGCAAGTAATAACTTGTTAAATTTAAAAACACGAGATTTGAATAATGGTGGGGAAAATCCTTCAAATATTAATGAAATAGTTCTTGGTGCTACTTTTTTTATTTACAAGGAAATCACTTTTTTCTTAAGTGAAAATAAAATTATGATAAGAGATAACTATTCAAATATAAACAATAAAAATAATATTGTACCGAGTATGAATTTTTTCCGGAACAAAAATATCGGCTTAAATTCAAATGAAGGTCGAAATTATGATGAAAGAAAAATAATTAATATTCACAAAAGATATAAAAATAGCAATATATTCACCAGAAGAGTAATCAAAAGATATAAGGCTCTAAGATACAAAAATGAATTTTGGGGAGTTTTAATTTCTTTATCTCTAATAACAATTGTTTTACTTTCAACTTTTACAATTTACCAGAAGCTCTTGAGGAAATTTAAGTTATTCGAAGAAAATAGTTTTAATCTCAGGCAATATGTTAGTTTACAGTATTAAAACCATTATATATCCTGATTTACATTTAAAAGTCTTGAAGCACAGTTATCAATTATTTTGCCAAATTGCATTACAATTGAAATATTACTTGAACAATTCGACAAAAACTCCGTATTAAAAAAAGAATATCTAGTTTGAAATCGAAGATTAAAATATTTAAGTATTTAATTATTTTTTTTAGTGCCGATTTATCTCTAATTTACATTGATGCTCAACTTTATTATTTTTAGAGTTATTAGTAAACTTGGCCCCACTAAATAGGCGCGGCAATTTAATGCATTAAAAATTTTATGAACAGTTCCTGAATGAAAAAAAATAATTAAATTGACTTTCATAAATTTCCTCATTATTTAATTGAAATCTTAAAAAATGCCATACTGTCAATTTAATGATGATGCAAATTCTAAAAATCATATAATTTCAAAAGATGACTTAATTATCGATTCAGAAAATAACTCTTCAAATTTGGATAATAGGATCATTTTTAATAAAACAACTAGAATGGTTTTCTTTTCTAGTATCATATTTTCATCATTTCTAATACTTAGGCACCGAAAAATTCTATTAAGGTCATATGAAGAGCAGAAAATGTCAATGTTTAGTGAGACTGCATTTTATTTCTCTTTTTATGAAGATATCGTGAATTCTTCTGACAATATATATAATATAATTAAAAAAATGATATTTGATGACAGAACTGAATATCCTGACGTAATTAACTCGCTTTCAAGGTTTAATATTTACCAAGAAGTAATATTGGGCTTTTTATATAAATTTTTAGTGGCATTTAATTATAAGTTAAAATTCTTAATCAATGTTATTTATTCTTTCATAAATGGAGAGAATTTCTTAAAAAACGTGCTATACAATAATGATTCAAGTAATAAGTGTATTTTTTTGTCTACTCCATATAATTTTTACTTTTTCTGTGTAAATTTAATACTTGGATTCGGAATGGGTATATTATGTGGAACGAGTACATATCTCACGGGTGGGTCATATATAAGTGGGTTAACTTGTATGGGATTTTTGTTTGGAAATTTTAGATTGAGGTTGCTATCAAGAATTTCAAGTTTGCCTTTAAGAGAAAATTTCGCTCTTCCATTTATTTGGATTAACAACATGATATTAATTTCAATTATTAAATATACTAACAATAAAGATTCAAAAAAAAAATGGGCCTTGCTTTATTTTACATCAGTGATACTCTTAGAGTTCTGGCAATTTTCTGTGTTTGTAATTTCTACGCAGCTATTATCAGTTTATATTCTATTCTTACTTGGATACGAATTTTCAAGACTTAAATTAGTTCTAAAAAAATTAATTTTTGTTAATTTAATTGCCACTTTAACTTCATATTTATTGCATTTTTTTAACTATTATATTTTATTAACACCACTACCTCAAATTGGAATTTCAATTCTACTTTCCATTCAAATATGTAAAGTTTTTTCTGCCAAAATAAAAGAACCAAAATTCTCGTTGTTTTATTCGTTCAGTTTGGGTATTATTTCCTTAATTGTATTTTTCATTCTTAAATTTATTCTGAATCCAATTTCAGATCACGATACACACGTCTTTGACATGCTTAAAACTGCAGTTTTCGGGGAAAAATATGCCAATTTTGACACAATGATTTATAAAATGGGGAGTTCCGAATTTTCTTTTATTACTAAAGAACAGCTTGAAATGATTAAAAAATCTGGAGTTTTATTTATTTTTTTACCAGGTACTTTTTCAATTTTATTTTCAATACTAGTAGATACAATAAACATTAAAATATTCAAATATCGTCCAAACTATACTAATGTTAATAATTCATCTTTTTCATATCAGCTTGAAGACCATTCTCAAATATCCGATAATGTATCAGATTCTCCATCCAATTTTTCAATTAGCTCTACATCTACATCTTATTCACCTAAATCAACTCTTACCTCGAATCAAGATTGGAGTAGTTGTTTTGAACACAGTTTACAAGATGAATATCTGATGTACACTAGAAAAAATCAAACTAGCAGTTACGAAAAAAAAAACATTTCAATTTTTCAAAAACTGGGAAATCCAAATAATGAGAATCAAGATACTGCAATATCTTTTTTCGCCATTCAAACTATCTTTTATTGTTTATTAGCAATTATTATTTCAAGATTGAGAGTATTGGCCTTACCATATATTGTCGTCATTTCTAGCTTGTCTGCATCAAGGTATTACTTGCAATTTATATTAAATTATTACAAGAATTTATTATTAAATATATTCCAAATTAAATATTATAAAGATAAGGCAACTAATTCAATTAAAAAACATAATAATAGAGCAGTTAGTTTTGTTCTTCTGGCAATTTCTATCTCTATTCTATTTTTTTCGATTTTAAAGTTTCCGTTTAGTGAAATAAAGTCAGGATTCATTCCCGAAAATAATGCATCATCTTCAAAATCTAGATTGATAGGTTGGATTAATTCCAACTTACCAGATTACACACCAATACTTTCAGATATGGTAGTAGGTGCAACACTACGATTAACAACAAAGGCGAAAATAATTACTCACCCTCAATATGAACATATAAAAATTCGAAAAAGAACTCAATTTATGTATTCAATATCAGCCTGTATTTCTATTAAAGAGCTATATGAAACTATGGAACGGGAATATAAAACTGAATATTTGTTACTGAGCATTTATAGATGCGCCTTTCCTAAGGGCGATAAGAATGCTATCACAATGGTTCATGTAACCAACTTCCTTGACAATATAAATCACCGTTGTAATAATCAAGAAGTTATCTTTCAAAGGACGTGCTGGAGAATTCAGTTAGATAATCAATCTAGATATTTTGATCTTGTTTATAGAAATGCACATTATTCACTATATAAAAGGAAGAGTTTACAAGATTTAAAACTCTTTCAAGCAAACATTTTTGTAGAAGATAAATCAAATGATTTCTCCAAATTTTCATTTAAAAGAAAATTATTGGATTGGAATGAATCATGGAAACCGTGGATAATGAATCACTGTATGATAAATGATGTTTTTTGTCCACAAAATATAGTTGATTATGCAAGAATAATCATTGATATTTATAATATTATTGATGTTTCCAAATTATTATATGAAAAGGCCATTTCAATATTTCCGAGAAACAGTTACGTGATGTTTAATTATGCAGAATTTCTTGATTACGATATTGGGGATGATCCAAAACGTATCTTTGAAAGATACAATATGTCTATTGATCTTTATAAACAAGAAACTTCCAAAGATTATAATTCTGGTATTATTAAAGGGAATTTAAGTAACCTAATTAATGCTAACCAAAGCTTTAGTCTAAAGATGATATTAGGATTCATATTATTTTCAGAACAAATAAATGGAAGAACGGAATTTGTCATAAATAAATCACTGGAATTGATTTTTGAAAATGAACTAATTAAATTAATTTCATCAAATTTTGAGTTCATGAGTCTTTTTGAGATTATAGAACATTTGAACAGTAATAAGATAGTGAATGTCGATTTTGATATGTGTTTTGTAAGCCTCGCATATAATACTTGCATGATTTCTTCATATCTCAAAACAATTGAAATAGAAAGCCGTAAATTAGAAATCATGCAAAAAATATATCCTTCCTGGTTAATAAAGACGGTTTACAACAAGTTGTGGATATTTTCTAAATTGCTTGATCCTAACAACGCGTGTATAATTAAATATTGGAGCCTATTCCACAATAACGAAAAGAACAACATCGACTTTATTTATAGTTTTTTCTTAGAATGATGCGCAGATTAAAAAGACTATCACTATCTTATTATTTCCTCAATATCTTGAATAACAAATAATACGGTATCAAATTGACAAGTATTCTGATTGCTTATTTCCGAAATAATTAATTTAATGTGAGTGATATATTTTTTGATAATATTTGGTTCTTCAACCAAGTATTTAACAATGTCTCTTAAATACTTTGCTCCGTTGTTATATTTAAGCAATACAAGTTTTATTAGATTTAATACTATTAAAACCATTTTATCAGATTGACTTGATTCAAGATCTATGTTCTTGAATTTAGTCAGAAATGTTGAAGAAAATATGATCAGTTTATTTAAATCCTTCATATGCGTCGAAAAATTACTATCTTGATTACATACTTCTTCCCATAGTATCTCACGAAGAATATTAAAAATTCCAATAATTACTTTAGCGGAGTGTATTACATTTTTGGAAAACAATTTTTGTTGAAACTCCATAGAATTAAAATAAAGACTAAAGAGTACTGAATACGGATAACACTCATTTAATGAACTAGTAAATTTCTCAAATAAGCTTGAATATAAATTTACACTCGTTCTTAAGTTAGAACTCATATTTAAACAGTTATTTACTGGCGTTGCTTCTGATCTATTTCTGTTAAATGAAAACATAATGTGCTTAATCAAAATATTTTGATGCCAATTTAAACCGTAGATTGTGCTGAATGAACCAGGAACAATTTCCCTACACTTTCTAAAGTTATTAATGTTATTATCTAGTAGAAAATATGCCTTTTCTTGTAGCCTATCAAATATTAAAGTGTAATACATGCCTATTAACTCAATACTTTTTGAGATATTTTTTGGTAGAAAAGCATTAAAATATGAAAGTAAAATGTCTTGATTTCCTAAAATTGTACAGTCTATTTCATATCCAAGTTTTTTGTTGTCACTATAGTTAAGAAATGTTATAATAGTTCTGTAAATAATATTCAATTTTGTTGAGAGTGAAGTCATATTTTTTGGGTATATATAATTCACTGCGATTGGATATCTAGTCTCCAATATCACAAATAGTGCATAGGAATAACATGAAAGGGTTAATGGCGTTACATCCAAATCTCCTGATTGTGTCTCAACATCATGAACGCAAATTGGAATATTATTGAGAGTATCAATAATGGCATATGGAGATACATAACTAATACTGTAGCATAGCCTGTAAATAATTTCTACCCATATATTATTATTATTGTTATTATTATCACAATTATTAAAGTTCTGAATTTCTGAACTGAATAAATCAGATAAAATAACATTTAAAATAGAATTTGGTGAACTAGTGACCAAAACACTTGAAAATAACTTAATATTTTGATCAAAATTCTTTTTCTTAGAACAAACCCCAGAATTGTTTAATATTTCAACATCATGCAAATCAATTATTATTAAGTTTTCTAAAACTTTCATTAAAAATGAATAAATTGTATGTTGAGTAACATTTATATTTACTTCAGATAATTCTGAATTAAAAATTCCAATCTCTTGATTTTTGTATTCAGCATCACATTTGCTTTCTGACAAACAGTCAAATAGAAGTTTGATAATTTTATTAACTAAATATTGTAAAAAATACATTTTTGCAATCGTACAATATCTATATATTTCGGTTTTTTTCGAGGAACAATTACATGAGTAAAGTGAATTACATTCAATGTCATAAACAAATTTTCTGAGTGCCAAAGAACATACAGTGGTAGTAAATTGTGCTTTATTTCTTTTCATCCTGGAAATACAAATAAGAGAATAATATAATCCCAAATATCTATAAAACCTCGGTAGATGTCTCTTTACTTCTGTACATGATTCTGGATTGATTTTTTCATTCATTGAAATGCTCTCTTTGTTTTTTTGTGAAGATACTTCAGCTTTATCTGAAAGTATTGGTAAACTAATACTACCTAAAATCACTTCAATGAAAGTTACATAGCCTTCTTTAGGAGAACACTTTAAAGCTACTTCCATTGAAAGGTCGCACAGTAATTTCCAGAACTCGTATTCAAGTTCATAGCCATTCATATTTTCAAATGGATTATCAATATTACAATAACAACTAGGAGGAAAATTAATATATTTCGAACTTCTATCATAAATAATTGAAAGAATATCAACGGAAACATAATCCAAATGAGGGTTAATTTGTTCATTCAATCTGAAATATGATAGCATATGATAGCATAGTCGAGTTAATTTATTAATTATTTTATAATTTTCTTTTTCTGAATCCAACCAATCCAGTATTTCAATGTAAATTGGGGACAAATCGTCCAATTTCTTCTTTTTGATTAAGTAACTCTGAAGTAGTTCTGGAAACTGCATAATAATATATGAGGTATTTATTAACAGAATAAAAATAGAAACAATTTTTTGTTAATTTCAAGTCATTAAAAGAAAGTAATTAATTGGCGCATTGTTTGTCAAATGTTGCTTAATTGTTCAAATCTGTAAAAGAATATAGTTTAATTGAGCAGATAATTTATATTAATAAGCATGAATAAATATTTATGTTAATAAACCAAGATCATTTTCTCTTTCACTTCAAAATAATTATTAGTTAAAAAGTTGTTAATTTTTTTTAATTTGAAAAGATGTGATTTATAACTTAGCAGATAAAATCTGAAGATGGGAATATCTTAAGGTTCAGGAATTTCGCTAAATCGTGCTTAGTGGCACTATTTAGTACTTTTCAATTTTTTAATATATTTTTCTTACAAAAATCATTTACCCGCACTTAGTTGAAACAAAAATTACCTCGGCTCTAAAATTAAGAAAATAAATGGAACACACATTTGAGGAGAATATTCTTGGATTTGAACACAAAGAAGTTATATTGGGCATTGATGAGGCTGGAAGAGGCCCTGTATTGGGGCCTATGGTATATGCATGCCTATTTTACCCTAAAGAGAATGAGGATTTGTTAAAAAAAATTAATGTTGATGGTTAGTTATTAGATACTTTTTTTTTGTTCACACAATTCTTAAATTGCCTAAATAAGATTCCAAAAGACTATCATCTCAAAACAGGGATAAAATTTATGATAAAATAAAAAACTTGAAAGATAAATTTGGTTGGAGAATTCATATAATGTCACCAGAATATTTAAGTTGTGAAATGCATAGGAAGTAAGTTTTTTAAAATCAATACACATTTTTAATCATAATTTATAAAGAAAAAAAAACAATTTGAATGAGATATCTCATTTGGCAGCCATTAGTAAGTTTATACAAATTAATTATTATATCTTCATGCTGTTAGATTTAATAAAGTACGTAATTAATAATAAAGTTAATGTCAAGGAAATCTACATTGATACAGTTGGACCACCCGATTCCTATAGAAATAAATTGATTAATATTTTTCCGGGTATTAATATTACTGTAAAGCCAAAGGCCGATTCACTATTTCCTTCTGTAAGTGGTGCATCTATTTTGGCAAAGGTTAAAAGAGACGATATCCTTTCGAATTGGTGGGGGCAAACGTCTATTGAATGTTGCGATTTTAATGGTAATAAAATTAGTAATTATGAACAGGGCAGTGGATATCCAGGCGATCCAAAAACAAGGGAATTCCTCAGGCGTATCTTCGATCCCATATTTGGATTCCCAAATATTGTCCGCTTTTCTTGGTCAACAGCAAGTGAAATAATAGAAAAAAGTGGGTATTCAGTTACATGGGGGGAGAATGAATTAAATAATAGCCAGCAGAAAATAGAGTTTAATAGGCCTCAAAAAAATTGTAAGTTGTTTATTTTCTGATTAAATACTTTAAAGAAATTGTGCAAATTAATAAATATCTCTATAGTCATTTCAGGTGGCTCAAAATTTCTGTTAAGCCGGAAATTAATTAGGAGAAAGATAATTTTCAATGAATAATTGTGTAAATATAAATATTTTAGAACTATCAAATCATTTAGTACAAAGTTTTTATAAAATTTCCTATAATTATCATCGAATTGATTTGATTATCGTTTGAACGATTTGCTAATGCGGGAACATTTATTTTTATCTGCAGTGGTTCATAATTGTGTTAAATCATTAAAAAAGCAAATATAATAAGTTCAAAAAAAAAAAAAATCAGTGAAAAAACATAGCACACATCAATTTCATTGTTTTTTTGTTTTGTAATATAAATTCACATCGATTTATTGAAGCAATTTTCAAGGTTGCTATTTAATTTAGTATTGCAGTGTAGATCAATTACTTGAATTAATCGAAATAATATTATGGCCAGAAAAAGTAAAAGATTGCAATCATTACTGCCTGAAAACAATGAATTACTACAAACCAGATTAGATATTGGCTATGGAATTAGATCAAATGTCTTGATTAATAATTTGTCTAATCTGGAAGAAAATATCAAAAAAGTTGATGGTGTAAGAACCCGTTCAATGACTAGATCGAATATTAACAAAAAAAATACGGACTTTCAAGTTGGAAATGCAGATTTAAATGAGGTTTTTAAGACTACGGAGGTTGATATTGCTTCTCCCACAAAAAAATCAAAGACTAAACAAAAAAATTCCAGGAACCTTAAATTTAATAAAACCAAACAAAAGAATCAAGATGTAAAATATAATGAACATAATGATATAAAAAACAATGACGATAGTTCTTCTCTTGACTGCAAAAAAAAAATTATTTTAATAAATGATACGGATGATGCATTCGAATCTGGAAATTGTGGAACAGAAAGAATTCAATTTAACGATATATCTCGGTTAGATAGTTTATTGCCACCTACTGCCCCTGAGTCTCAAGATAATTCTCCAATTAGAGGAAACAGCAATAATGAATTTATTGTTGGGGAAGAGTCCATTTTTACTGATGTTAACGAACTTCAATCAGAAAATAGGCTTGAGAATCTTTTATCTCAAGACCAAAATACGAATTTATCAATTTATGAACATCTTTTTAAGCCCGAAAATAAAGCAAATTTAGATAGATTGAAGAAAATCAAGTTATCAGAAAAATACGAATATTTGATCGACATTTTCCAAGGTTTAGAAATAGTTTTGAGGTTACTTGAAAGAAGACAAAAACCATTTTTTTACCATACTTTTATCAGAGAACAGGTGGAAAATATCACCAAGAAAACATTTTCTCTTGAAAATTTGCTTCGAATTGTTTGGATATCTCCTCAATTAATATCTATTAAGTGGTGTAAAACAAACAAACTCAATATTAATGTACTGGATTCCCCAAATAACAAATTAAATGAATATTATGGCCAATATGAATTAGAAATAATTTTGAACAATGGAATTAATAATCCACTAAATAGGCTTTCTCATTCGAATATAAATGAAAGAGTAGATATTTTTAGACTGATATTAATTGATTTTACCATTTTTCAACAAGAAATTTATTTAAAACAAATAATAACGAAAGATATTCAAGCAAATTCCGATATATTAGAGCTGAAAGGTTGGTCATCTTTTTTCAATATCGAAAACTGCGTCGAAATCCCAAAGGCAAAATTACCTCAAAAAAAAAATAGCAATAGCAATTTACATAACAGTATTAAAAAAAGTGGGCAAAGAATAAATAACTTAAGTTTGACCCCAAACACAAGGAGCTTATATAATTTAAAAGTAATAAGTAGTCTATCAAATTTAGAAGAACAGATCGAACATGAAAAAAATAATAGAAGATCACTTTCTGCAGATAATATAAAGAAAGACGAGAGTAATGGTGTACTAGTAACCCCGTTAAGAAGTAAAAAATCTATTTTTGAAACAAATTTAATTGATGGAAATAAAGATAAAGATAAATTGATTACTGATCCTCATCCTTCAAACAATATAAACATATCATCGACACCTAATAGAAGCTTTAGGTCATCATACATGCTTTCTCGTTCTATTTCCCCTAAGATAACTTCAAGCAATGCAAGAATACCTTTATGCAACACAAAATTTTCCAAATCAGTCACAATTCTTTCAAAAAATAAAAGCTTGTTGACACCTTCTCAAAAAGATCTTCTTGAGAGCGTTAAAAGAAGAGAAAAAATAAAGGAAATTAGTAACATGATAAATGTGGAGGATGAGGGGTTTAACGAAAAACTAGATCAAGTAAAAAATGAAATATGGACAATACAACAATTATCTTTTGTTTTTCTAGGAACCAAGAAGTTAATTCCTACAACTCAGCTTCCCTTATTGGCAAAAAGATTAACAACGTCCGCACGGAATTCTCCGGAGGTTAGCAAGGTACAGGATTCCATCATTAGACTGTCCACTAAATGGCCAGAATATATTAAATTGGGTAATTCAACCGTAGATAAAGGGGTTAAACTAGTTAAACTTCATATTAACGATGATAATTTATCCGATATAATTAAGGAATTGAACAAAGAAAAGGAATCAATATTTAAGCAAAGAGAAGAATTTAGGTTGGAGACAATTTCTAAATACAAATAATATATAGCTATTTCTTGCAGGTATTTTAGCAATTAGGAAATTAAGCTAGTTTTTTTATGATCAAATTTTTAAATTTCAAAAACTTATATACCAAGTGATGAATGAACAGCAATTCGAACCATTTTAGGTTTAGAATGTGATTGTAGAACTTTCAATTTTGCTTTAATAACTTCTATGCGTTTTGAATTAATTTCTGACTTATTATACAGATCCCTATATAATGTATAAATATATGTAGCAATTGGATCTTTAGAATGGAAGTTTTTTAAAAAGCGTCTTGATTCATTTACTGGAGGAATGAACTGAGCCATATTGGGGTTACTCTGATAAGATGATAAAGTGTCTTCAAAAAATGAAAGCTTATTTTGAACATCTTTACAGTTTCTGGAAATGCATTCCATCATTTCTCCAATGTCATTGTAAGGTATTCTTGCTCTTGTGCTTAAAGCACCTCTTGCTGCTAAATCCTTCAAATCAAACCCAAGAAGATTCTCAGGTAAGTCCCCTTCTATATTAATTTGATCAAAAGCAGCTTTATTTGATTTATCACTTTTTGAAGTTGGCCCTCTGCTTGTTTTGTTTGATTTGCAATTAGCTGCTCTTATAATACCTTTACCAGGTATCTCCGCAAGCCCATGAAAGTCCATCATCTCCGAATCTTCCATCTTACATTTTTCTGAAATAGGGTTACCATTTACATCTCTATATGAAAATATAGAATTTGGAACAGGCGACCAAGGGTCAGGGATATCATCAAGAAGCGGAGCATTCTTAATTTTATGGAAAACACCAAATCCATTATTATCTTTGCTAACCTGGATATCTCTATTATTAATGAATCTTCTATTTGATTCATAATTCCCATGTATTGTGTCTTGAGTTCTTAAAGAATCAATTTTAGATGATAAGTCTTGCTCAGAAGGAATAAAAAGGGTTCCGTAATAATCAAGTAAACCACTTTTCAAATCAGTAATTGTGGTTCCAATATCTGTAATTACATCTAAATGAGGCCATCTCTCTTCTATTGGAGAGTTATTTGGAAGAGGGGCTTTTGAATTTTCTTGGAATTTTCTTATTTGTGATGGTGTGAGCCTGCTTGTATTAACATCTGTGTTAACATTAGAATTTACAATAGTAGATATTGATTGTTGTATACCCTTAATGTTATCACCAATAGGTGATTCACCTGTCTTATTTGTCTCTCCTAGTTTGATTTCTTCTTTTTTTTCTGTTTTGTTACTATCCATTTTTTTTGCTTTTTGTTTAAGTCAATACTAACACTCAGAACAGTTGGCGCCAACATGTGCAGGGTGCATGTGCATTTGAATATCAGTATCGAAATATTCTGTGGGGCTTATGCTACAAATAAAACAATTTGAAAAATTAGATAATTATTTTAACAACTTTAAGCATAAAATTAAACGATGGTCTGAAATAATTAATGTATTACTGCATATTAATAATTTAATGTTTTCGGTTGAAGAACACCTTTGGGCGCCTTCAAAAACTATTTTTTTAAATTATTTCTATTTTTTATAAAATATTAAATTAATTTTTTTTTCTATTTTAATATAAATATAATGATTGGATCTATTGAGTTTTGGAACAAGGAGGCGAAAGCCCCTTTATTGAAACGAAATGCGGGTATGTTTTCCAATAAATTAAAGGAAATGGCTCCACATTTGAAAAGGGCAGAAAGTTGGCTAGATATTGCTCTAAATCCAAACAATGAGATAAAACAAATGAACGAAAGTAACAACGAAATTAACTGCGATAATGAATACTTAATTAAACTTGATCAGAATATAAAAATTAATCTTGTTGACCATACGGATAATCCAGAAATTGATCGAATTTTCAAATTAGATGCAGAGAGAACTTTCTCGGACGAAGAAAATAGAACTAAGATGATTAGTGTTTTGAGTACAATCTATCAGGAAATTAAGGATTATCACCAAGGATTGGGGTTTGTTGTTGCATTTTTTTTATTGCAGCTAACACCTGAAGATACAGTTCGTTTAGCATTGTCATTAAATAGATATTATTTACCTGGTTATTTTAAAACTGCACCATTCAATTATGTTAGAGATGCTAAGGTTTTTGAAAAGCTGTTAGCGAAAAGATACCCTGATGCAGCGAAGAAAATTGAGGATTCAGCATGCGCAGAAGCGTTTTGCTCCAAGTGGTTTGTTGGATTAAATGTGCATGTACTACCATTTCCATCACTATGCAAATTTTTCGAAATATTGTTCGAAAAGGGAAATTTATTTTTATTTCAATTTGGCTTATCTATTGTTGATGTATGCAGAGAGGATATTTTGAATGCGAAAGATGCCTCTCAAGTTCTTGCCATTTTACGGTTAGATGAGAAAGTTTATCATGATTTGTTGGAGCATAAAAATTTCTTAGGTAAAGAAGAGGAAAAACCAGGAAGTTTTTTCCTATATTTAGTGGACAATGCCCTTGATATACAAATTACTCAAGATGAAATTAATGATTTGAGAGGAGTTGTACTCGAAGAAATGAGACAACAAGAGGAAAAGAGAAAGCAAATTGAGTCACAGATGGATTTCGATGACGACGAAATCGTTTTTTCTGATGAAGATTAGTTCATTATATTCTCATTTATTTTTATAGTTATCTTTTGAATCCCCTCTAACTATTTCTAAGATAAATTACACTACCTTCTGATAATCTATTTGATCAGTAATCATAGCTTTCGTACCCCCAATCACTAGTATTATTACCGTTGTTATATTGGTTATTCGCACTATTTCTACCATCATTAACATAAAACTCGTCATGATAGGTATTTTGGCCCTGGAAATCATTATATTGCTTAAGAGATTGAAGCTTATTTAGAACCTTGCCCCAAAACTCATTCTCAATATTCGAAGACTGAGACTGCCTTAATATAAATTCTTGGATAGTGTTATTGAATATATTTACTTTTTCTGAGAAAAAGTGAGGCATTTCGTGTATAATCAATACTACTCTGCCCGCGGAAAGAAGTGTTTTAAGTGCAGATTGGTCTTCTCTGTATCTATCTAGCTTAGAAAGATTAGTATCCGAAGTAAATGACCCTTCGCGAGTCTTCGAAGAAAATAACGAAAAACCACTTACAAGACCTTTTGCTGCTGAACTCACTACACTTGTTATTGAACTGTTACTTACGTTTGAATTTGAAAATGAATTAGACTTTAAGTCATTTACATTGACTTCATCAGAATATTGTGTAAATGAGTTATTTGTATTTAATAAGCACTGCATTTTCTCCAGAGTTTGTACTGCTTCGAGCATACACTCTGTATCGTTCATTTCTCTAGCTATGATGCTATAAAGCATGTCATAGTGTTTTTGTGTAGAATTAGAATTAATATTGTACAAATTTTGAAAAATAGAAGATAGGTCAAGTCTTGATTCATTATTTGTATTATTCAGCGAAATATTGTGAAATAGTGATGGGATCTCTTTGAATGAAATATGAGCACGATTATATGAAGATGTAATTGTATTTAAGTGCTCACTTAATTGTTCAAGCTGAATAAAATGATTCTCTAAACGATTTGAAAATTCAGAAATAGGGCTAATATCTACTGTTGGAACTGAAAAGCGATTAGAAGGTTTTCCTGGCCTGCTATTTGGATTATCTGTAGACAAAACGTTATCAAAACTACTAAAGTATTGCGTAACAATGTCGAAGAGAGGACGGTTTGCCTCCTCTTTTTTCAAAGTTTCCATGCCACTTTCACTTCTATTTAGCCATGTTCTAACCAAACTAGAGGAAATGAGGTACCCTCTATTAAACACTCTTCTTAAAAATTCTTCCAAATAGCGTCTTCTAAATTCAATAAAATCTTTTTCGAATCTACCAACTTTTTTCTTTTTTGGAATTGGAGGAATAAATACACCTGGAAACTGAATTACCAAAGTAGATCTTAACCACTCAAAATCGCTGTACCTCTTTCTAGTAGAAAAATTGTGGCCATCTGGAGTAATCCCGGAAACTAGATAAACTGTGTACTTTCCCAATCCAATAGATTTATTTTCAGGGTCAGTTACATTCACTTGATAATTATATCTTTTCGGTTCCATTCCCCAATCAGATATAATAAAATTGTTAATTTGATCTTGATCACCAACATTTTCCGTATTTTCAGTTTTAATGCTATCAGGCGACATTTTTAAATCTCATATGTAAGGGAATGCGTTAATATTAAATGAAACTTATTTGTCTAAAACTTAATTAATTGCTAATTATAATAATGGAGGTGTCTTTTTCTAAAAGTGAGTATTCTTTATTATTTTTAATTGTGCTAATTTTCAATTATGTACTTTAAAATCCGACCAAAAAATGTTGATACCCCTCAATGTGCAGGCGCCAATGTGAATTTTGTTGAAATTATTTTTAATAAATATAAAAATTAACTAAAATAAATTGTATTTATAGAGTTTATTATGTAGAGCAATTACTCAACAGATTTTTAGATGGGCTTGAAATAATTAGTACCTTCATTTCAAAGTTAATAATCTGATTGAGATAGCTTCTTAAAAAACAAATTGCATAAAAATCTATTTAAAAATTTATTTTTTTTATAAATAAAACTAGTTTACAAATATAAAGCATGCAAAAAGAGATATACCGCCTAAAATGCATGCATTGGCATACTTAAGTCTTATAGGGCAAATATTTTGGAATTCGAATTATTACTAGATTGTATAATTAAATATTTCCAATATCAAATATCTATTATTAAGTGGGTCCAACAATAAATGGTTTACTAGATATTTCATTATTTTTAGTTGGCTGTCGATAGAATAAAGAAAAAATAAAGAATCACTATATAATTGAAGTTTTTCGCATAAAATACACTAAAAACTACAGATATTAGTGTTAGAAGAAGGTTATAAAGCATATAATGATCATTATAAATAAAAGGCTAAATTCATATAAAACGCTTCAAATTATAGGGAAGTCTATAATACTTTTTTTTTATGTAACATTCGTGAAGTCTGACTTACCTATACATGTTACAACGTCAGACGTTATTGGAAGATGGAAATTTCAATATTCTAAACCTGCTGACAATTGGATTTATGGCTGTGGATCAAGTGTTCCAAATAAAAATACCCAAAATTTACAGCCAAGCTTGGCGGATTATAATAAATGGCTTACTGAAAAAACAAAAGGTGAATTGGAAGAATTAGATTTGATATTAACTGATCTGCTATTTTCGGAAAATGACGATAATGATCTTGATAGCTCATTATTTCCAGGAAGAGATGATTGGGCATTTTTGGCAGTTAAAGATCCCGAAAATGGAAAAATTGTTGGAAGGTGGACAATGGTCTATGATGAAGGGTTTGAGATAACTACAAAACATATGACAATTTTTGGAATAATGAAATACAACTTATTAAACAATGGAAATTGCAATGCAAGAGATGGTGATAACGAAACATCAAAGGGTGAAACATTATGTTACGAAACAGATTCGTCGCAAATTCAACTTGGATGGTATTATATAAAAGGTTCTAAAAAAAGAGGCTGTGTCAGTGGTAAAAAAAATGAAATTTATGATGAAAATTCACTTGGAACTTTAAGAAATAGGGTTGAAATTCCAATAAAGAAATCTTTTGAGTCAAGTATAAGAAATTTATCTAACTTGTTACAGGAATTTGCGCATAAGCATAATAGTAAAGATTCAGAAAACTGGAGAGCAAGAAACAGTTTTAGCCTAACAGACGTGGCTTTTTCGCACCACTCATATTATATGAATGCAGTAAACTTCAGGAAAATACATCCATTTAGAATCACAAACTCGCAACACTCGTCTTTCATTGAAATGTCTAAAGGTGGAATAAGAAACATTGGTGATTACGATAATATTGTAGAGCCGATTTTTGCATGCAACGTGATCCGGAGAAAAACCGATGATGAGATAAAACTCCCCTCTTCGTTTTCTACAGGAGATCCCTTTTCCGATGATGAATTTAGTGATCTTCCATTTAACCAAGGAAACTGTGGTTCATGTTATGCAGTTTCTTCTGTTTATATTTTGGCAAAGAGAGCAGAGCTACAGTTAAAAAAATTAACGAATGGAGCTTCTAAAGACGAAAAAATATCACTTTCTTCACAATCAGTCCTTTCATGTTCTCCTTTTAATCAAGGATGCGAAGGTGGTTATCCATTTTTGGTTGGGAGGCAAGCTGAGGAAATAGGGATATCCTCAGAAAAGTGTATGGGATATTATGCAGATTCAAATCAGGAATGCAACTTTTCGCCATTTATCACACCAGAAACTGAAGATCGATTATATTGCGAACAGGATGAAAGAATGTATGCAAAGGAATATGGCTATGTAGGCGGTTGCTATGGTTGCTGCGACGAAGATAAGATGAAAAAAGAAATATTCAAAAACGGTCCAATAGCAGTAGCAATGCACATAGATACATCACTATTGGTATATGATAATGGAATATATGACTCCATTCCAGATGACCATACAAAATATTGTGACTTGCCAAATAGGCAATTAAATGGGTGGGAATATACTAATCATGCTATTTCTGTTGTAGGGTGGGGCGAAGAAAATGGCATTCCATATTGGATTATTCGAAACTCATGGGGAGCAAACTGGGGAAAGAAAGGCTACGCAAAAATTCGAAGAGGAAAAAATATTGGTGGAATTGAAAATCAAGCAGTATTTATCGATCCAGATTTTTCCAGAGGAATGGGCCTCTCTCTTCTGAATAAATACCTAAATAATACATCATATAGCAAAGATTTACCTGAAATAAAAAATAGTTCTCAAGGATCAGACGAGCTTCATGTCGAAATTGAAAATGGCGAGATTGATGAATAAAATTATTTTCGTTATTGCTACTAAATATTAAATAATTTAATACATTTTTCTTTCGTTTTTCTATTTGTAAATTTACTTTACATGTGACAAAATAGATATGCGGGCATGATTTTTAAGTGGGTAGATTCATTTTAGTATTTATTGAAATACAAAAGAATCGAATTAAATTCACAAAAATCAACATTTTGTATAGTTTCTTTGATACCTACTTTAATTTATTCTAATTTCCACTTGATGTTTGAATCAATTCATGTTGGGAATAAAACCGGAAGGGGAGTTACGAAAATGTCAATTTCACCTCAAATAAACGAAAGTATTAGGGAGATAGTACTATTAACACAAGAAATAACCAATATTTATGAACATTTGAGCGATGAAAAGAGTTTTTTATCCCATATCAAAAACGAGATTTCTGAGCTGGAAAGTTATATTAAATCTACGTATGATAAGTTGCAGATACTAATTAATGGTTAGTTTAACACAAATTCATTCAGATGCATTTATTTATCTGTCTTGTATAGATATTAAATCAATAGAAGGCAGCTATTTAAAAGAACTTGAAACTGGAGAAAATATATGTCGTAACAACAGTACTGAAATATACAATTTTTCAGAAGATAATAAGCACAATGCCTTGATATCATTAAAATGCGAGGAGATTGAGAGAGAATTATCGAATATTCATAATAGATATGCATTATTATTAGATAAAAAAAGAAATCTTCTAAAATCAATGAGAGATTCAGAAGATGTATTACATGCTAAAAAAAAAATGTATCAAAGTATTTCTATGATATCATGGTCATTGATTTCCGAATCGTTTATACAAGGGCATTTCATCCCAGTTAATTCCCCAACAAAAACTGAAACTTTCCAACTTCAAATAAACGAAAATAGTAAGTTATAACATTATAAAAAAAATAAATTTAAGTACAAATTTTAGACAAAGTTAGGAACGCTGAATATTTGTGGGCAGAAATAGAAAAATTCTAATACTTAGTATTAATACACTACTAGATATTAGATTTAAGAAATTCCAGGAAAATCAATACAATGTTCAATTGATTCCTTTGGGTAAAAAAATTCTAGAAAGAACCAAATAAAATAGTCGAATGCTGCGACTAGAGCAAATACCTTTCCTATTATATTTCCTGTATTATATATACGTAATATTCTTTCTTTTATTCCAATAATATCGACTCGGTTAGAATTTTGATAAACAGAAACTGTTCTTTTTGCAATGTCGTGCCAAGAATACATTGCTGAGATTTTCTTGTGTGAGGAATAAGGATCAAACTTTCCTTCTCTAATAATATTTACTGCAATCTTAAGTTCGTTTACCATATTTGAAATGGAAGGGTTTGACAACCTGAGGAATTCTTGTGGAAGAATCTCAGGAATACCTCCTACATTTGAGGAAACAACTAATAGTCCACACGACGCTGCTTCAATAATACTTATTCCAAAAGCTTCCGTTAGAGAAGTATTCAAAAAAATATGCCCTCTTTGTAAAACTCGGCAAACTTGGGTATAAGGAACAGAGCCAAGAAGTTCAACTCTATTTGAAAGATTGTACTTTATACACATTTCATGTAGTAAATGCTTTTTTGGGCCATCTCCTCCCACAATAAACTTTACATTCGGATCGTTGTTGCATATTCTCGGAATTATTTCAACAAGTAAATCAACACCCTTTCTATAAGTCATTCTACAAATTGAAATAACAATAACTTCATTATTAATTGGTGATTTATAATTTGGACTAGGCAAAAAATCATTGCTATCTATTGCATTTGGTATTACGGTAACATTTTTTGGAGAAATTAATGATCTATATATCAAGTTTTTCTTATTCGTATGAGAAACGCAAATCACATTGTCAATACATGACAAATTTACTCTGAAAAAATTATTTACATGAATCGAATCATAATTTGAAAGACCAAATAACGAATGATCGGTAAATACCACCCTGTAGCCCATTGTAGTTGCATGAAATAGACATTCCAGTGCTAACATTGAAACAGACTGATGTCCATGAACAATATCTATTTTTTCTCTGATAAGAATCTGCCTGAATAATGGGAATAGAGTAAATAAAGATGGATAAACAACATTGTCGTAGATACTCTTGTGAGGTAAATAATAAACTTTTAGACCAATACCCATATATCTAACGCCATAACGATCGTTCCTACTGTGAGTAACAACTATAACTTTATATCCACGCATCATCAAACATTGAGATAATTCATAAATATGCATTTCAACCCCACCAAGACCGGGATAAAAGAAATCAGACACCATACAAATATTTGGCAGATCGTTATCTTCAGAATAAGAGGTTTTGTTAGAATTCATTTTTTTTGAAAATTTCCAAAATTTTTTTAAAGTTATATATATGCATATGAATATATGAATTGATTTAAATTTATTTCTCAATTTAAGACTTTACTGTTATATTGAAAATAATACAGTAGTTTCCGTCTAAAAAAACATTAATTAATAATGAAGCGTAAAAATCAAAAAAACTGCCTTACAAGCATTGAAATGAAGATTTTCCTTTATATATTTTTGGCTCCATTTGTCAATTTCCCCCACAAAGAGGGTAACAGAAATATTAGGAAATTTAAAAAAAAAAAAAAAAACAAAGAATTAAAAAAAATAATTTACTTGTTTTTATTTCAGCATAAAAAAGCTGTTTTACAAGTTCATTGGGGTATTATTCATCTTAATGCCTAATAATTAGATATTAATAAGGGAGTTAAAAGTATAAAATGATTAAATTGAGAAAAGTCGTTTAGAAAACTTACCAGATAACTTATTTAATCTTCTCTTTCCTTTTTTGTCTAATTTAATGTTCTTTTTTACCTTTTTAATACTCATACACACATTTTTTGGCTCATTAATTGCATCATCAGTCTTACATTTGATATTTTGTCTTTTTATAGTCTTTAATTCAATCTTTTTTCCATTATTTTTCTCAGTTTCTTTCAGCCATTCAATGTATCTTTTTTTCCTATTTTTATTATTTTTTTTTGCCATATTGTTTTCTTGATGAACTCTATTAGAAAAATCCAAGTAGAGATAGGTAGTACAGGTATACAAAAATCGGCCAAATTGCCTTTAATTACTCAAATTTAATATAAAGTCTAGATCTAATTAATTTAAAATGGACAGTAATCCCAAAGTAGAAAAAAAATGACAATATTTTATAAAATTAAAAAAAAAGAATGTGCCGCCTTAAAACATTTAACTGAAGGTTATGTGCCAACAAGAATTCCTGTATTGAAACTACAAACAAAAAATGTATTGTTTATACATTTAGATTCGTTGAAATAAAAAACACACACATTAAAAATTAACTTCGCTCAAGAAGTGCTTACTCACACACAAATTTGGATATAATGGCTAATCGGTCAAATTTAACAAGCATGCTCTTCCCGTCTTTTTGGGGCGGGCAATAAACTCACAGGCGGTAAAAAAGGTGCATAACAAGTACATTCTATATAAGCATGAAATGACAGGTTATTTGATCAAAAGGCACAATACAAACTAGAGAAAACCTAAGAAAATAATCCTTAAAATTCAGATCAAAATATATGGTTTTATTGCTGTTATATTGGTTCTTAGAAGAATTTAATCGATTACATCTGTAAAAAAAAATCATTAATAATTTTGCAACAAGCTGCACCTCAATAAAGCAGGAGTGAACGATTATTTCAATTTGTAATTAAGGCTTAATTATGTCGTCATATTATGAGAGTAACACTGGTACGAAGTTGAGGCCAGTAGTTGATTTTGGTGATGATAGATGGGTGACTTTATCAACTGCAGAATACAAGAAAACTTTAATAAGAAAGGGAGAACAGAATATTGAATCAGATTATGAAGAAGAAGATGGCTATGAGTATCATGAGGAGGATTTGGAAGATGAAGAGGAAGAAGAGGAGGAGGAAGAAGAGGAGGAGGAAGAAGAGGAGGAGGAAGAAGAGGAGGAGGAAGAGGAAGAAGAGGAAGAAGTGGAAGAGGAAGAAGGGACAGATGAGGAAGAGTCATTTCATCAAGAATTTAATGATGGCAGTGAAGGATACTATAGGGGGACAAAAAGCAATAATGATGTTTCTATTTATCCGGAAATGATTAGGTATCATTTCAAAGAGGCATTTAGTATTAATGAGGGAGTTGAAGCCAGAGAGTTTGGATTTAATGAGGATGATGCAGAATTAGAAGAATTGGTTGTTGAAGAAGAAGGAGAAATTACAACCGATGGTCATAATATTGATGAAGCAGAGGTCGTTCCTGATGAATTAACTCAGCCATGGGATTTGGAAAGTATTCGTGAAAACGTTGAAGTAAAATATACTGAAAGCAAAGGGAGATGTTTATATGCACGCAAATGCTTTAATCCTGGTGACATTATATTTGCAGAAAGCCCACTACTTGTAGTCACCCCGGAACTAGCACCAGAACTATCCGAATTTTTGGAAGATATGAATTCAAAAGAAACTTTTACTCTTCCTCCATTATGGCATGTTGCGGCATTGTGTACATTAACAATGCTTGAAGATGAAGATAAAGCTATCTGTTTAGATAAATGGGTCCCAGATCCTGCCGCTGAGCCAAGTTATGACGTTAAAAAAATTATAGAAAATACTGGGATAGATGTTGACCCTCATTTATACGAAAGAACCTTGAATGCTTGGAGGTTTAATTCATTCAACCACACATCAAATAATGGGATAGTTTTGTATAATGTAATTAGCATGATGGCTCATAACTGTGGAGCAAGTTGCTGCTGGCATTATGGTGTAGATAATACATTTGTGTTAAGAGCCAAGACACGTTTGGAAGTTGGAGATGAAATCACAATATCCTACATTTCTGATGATGATTTGTTTAAGTGTTCAAAAACTAGAAGAGAATTGCTTAGTAATTGGCTATTTTACTGCCGATGTGAGAGGTGCAGTAATCCAACAGATCTTTCAAGAGGACTGAAATGTGCCTCTTGTGGTGTTGGAAGTATGTTTTTTAAAGAAGATGAAAATGGTGTGACAAAATCAAGTAAGTGTTCTGTCTGCAGATCTCAACCTGATAGGGAGATCATTGATAGTTATACTGACCTTGAATCACAATACATTGCCAGATTAGAAGAAACACACAAGAGCGATGTTGAAGACGTAGAAGCAGTATATCAAGAAGCCCAAAAAGTGTTTACTCAGCATTGGATTATGTATGAGTTAGATACTATGCTTTTTGAAGCATACAAAGAGTCTCAGCAATTTTCATTCGCTCTTTCCTGTCTATATAATAGACTGAACTTTGTAAGAAATGTCCTCCCAGATTGTACGTACACATTAGCATGGATCACCGAAGAACTTGGAGATATTCTTAGTATATTACAAGATGAACGTCATGAAGGTAAATCTAAGACTAACCAAGAAGTATCTGCGATACAAAGATACTACTACGACACATGGTGTTATCTGAGTATTTTAACAGGCCCAAACCATCATTTCACAATTGCTGCAAAAAATAAGTACGAAGCCATTACTGACTGATTATGCACAGAAAAGTAATTATGTGCAACTTTAGAGTAGTGACGATTTATCGTAAATTTGATAATAAATATAATCTATTTAGATCATGTTTAAGATTTGTATGTTTGAATCTATTATTATATAATCATTTTAATCAAAAATAGTTTTATCTACTCTTACTAATAAAAAAAAGTATTTTTGGCTGTTTTTGGAACTAAACCTAAATGAATTGTTTTATTTTCTATTATATCAAATATAAAAATTCTCGTTTAGATTTGAAATGATCCTATTATAGAGGGAATATGGCGGTAAGTTCCATGGTTACCTAAATTGCTTAAAAACAACTTTCCTACAAAACTATTTTTTACTGGTAAATATAATACTGTGGGGTAGATTTTTAAGTTTGGGATGAATGAGAATGCTTTAGATAAATCTAAAACACCATGTTGTATTTTGGAGGAAGATCTCGAAAATGAAATCATAAGAAAGAATGGATTTCAAAAGCCATTTGTCGCCTTACAAATCCTAATTTGGATTTTGTTTGGCACAAATATTTTGGTATATTTTGCATTTATTATTCCCTCATTACCATTATTGTTTGCTATTGTTATCGGGATTATTTGTGCAATTCTTTGCTCAGTTGTTTTTGCGTTAGGATGGAAAGTAACAGCTATTGATCCTGGTTATTCTGAAGAAGACTCTATATTTAACTCATCGAATTTTAACTGCAGTGAATGCAAGATTTGTCATTCATTTTTTGAGGAAAATAGTAAACATTGCAAACTTTGTAATAAATGTATACCACGCTATGACCATCATTGTAAATGGTTAAATACCTGTATTGGAGAAAAAAACTATCGATATTTCTTTTTGCTGCTGTTTTTTGTAACTTTGTTGCTCATTATGATTATTACAGTAACCATATCTTCAATATTAATGGAAACTGTAAATAATAACACCTACATTTACTGGAATTTAAGGCTTTATTTCTGGTCGCCAATAACGTTTTATACAATAGGGGTATTAATATTGGCTATTGATATTCCGTTGTTAATTTTGAATGCGCACCTTTTCGTATTACACTGTTATTTAGTTTTCAGAGGAGTTACGACTTACGAATATCTTACGAAGATTGTTATAGATGAAGACGAGAATAGTAATAATAAATCACGAATTTGTTGTTATAACACAGATAACTTTTGCCGACAAATTGTATCGTCCGTAGATTGGATAGTTGCAGACCGGAAAAAAATAGCTGCAAAAAAGAAAAAGATAAAAGAAGAAAAAGAAAAGATGAACAAAAAAAAATCCAATGATAATGGTGATGTCGCAAATTCCATGGATTTGGAATTATCAAATATTAGGCAATTAGATTACGAAGAGCAATCAATTTCTCCAGCAAAAGGATCTTTCCTGACAAACTAATATAAAATTGTACTGGAATTTTATGAAAATATTAAAATCCTATATGATTATTGATTATTTGGTCTATTATTTTGGGCAGATAAACCTCAAGACATAATTAGCTGCATTCATATATTCGTTCGTTAAGTATTTCTTTGTTGTACAGTTTTTTTTAATGTAGGGATACTTTAATGTTCTTTTAATCGCATTAATATTTCTATATATATAATCTTCTATTAAAACCTCTCTATTCAAATGCTCATTAATGTAATCTTTCTCAATACTTTCCCTTCTTGCTCCTAAACATTCTTTCGCAATGATTAGTGCTGAAATTGCTTGACACAAAGGAGAATATTTTAATATTTCAATATCATATAAGCATATCTCTAATAAATAACAGCTAATAAAATATTCCAATACTTTATTTATTCCTTTACTACTTTTCATATTCAATACATTTATTATTAGTGATGAACTATTCTCTAATTTAGATATATTTTCAACTTTTTGCAAGTTAAAACCTTTAAAACTTTCACTATTATATTTATCTAAATAAACGTTATTGTAATCTTTATTTTCCAGATCTTTTTCCAAATAATTTATGTTTTCTATTCCAATAATATCTTTTAAATAGCTTTCCATTATAATTCCCATTAAAAATTGTAGTAGGAAGAGCGATGAAATAGGATTCAATTTAAATGTAAGCTGATTTAATACATATTTCTCCATATTCAATATTTTAATAGGATTTATTGACAGTTTTCTAATAATTTCTTTAAAATTAAAATTCACCACTCTTTCAATTTTTGTTGCAATATAAAAACATGTAAACCCCAAATATCTTAGTTTTTCCAATGTTTTGCTTCCTTTTATCCGATCTTTACTAATAATATTATCCATGAAGTGTACCGCAAGAAAAAGGACTTCTTCATTAAGATGGCATTTCCATATTATTTCTGATATTTCACCAATGATTTCTCTCCTGAAATCTATTAATGTTTTACCTGATTCAATTTGTTTTTTGTAGCACTCTCTAAAATATGCGTATACTTTTTTCATATTATATTCGTTTTGTTTGGAAAGAATTCTATTTGTAACAATCTGTTCAATATTGGGTTTTGGTTTTGAATCCGAATTAGATTCTTGATACTCACTTTTTTCCAAGTTATTTTTAAATTCAAAAATTTGAGATGAAAATACTGTGTTATTAATGCCAATATAATTATTTTCTTTTCCAGTTATTTTTACAAGCTTATTGTTTTTTTTAACATCACATTTAGTGATATTACATTCATTTTCTTTACTTTCATCTGAATTACTTTCTAAATATTTTGAAATCTGACGAAAAAAATTTTTAAATACGTCATTTTCTTTTAGTTTTTTAAACAATATCGTCATTTCTGTTATTTAATGATCTATTTTTGGATATTCAATTGAAGGATATACATATTTAAATCAGTTCTGATCAGTGGTACAGAAATTCTAATAAAATATTTTCAAAAGTAAAAAATACATGCATGCAGGATAAAAATAATTATTTACCGTAAATTTTATTTACAAAAAATATAGAAACATGAATAAAATTAATATTTACCTTAATAAATTTTCTTCATATTCTTGAATCCCATTTAAAGATATCTAAGAGTGGAAATTATTGTAATTTTATAAATTTAAAAATGAATTACCTTAAAATATGCAATTTCACCAAAACTGTTAGTAACAGAAATTTTATTTAAAATTTCACTTCCAAGTGTCAGATCTCTCTCACGTTTCAAAATTAGCCTTTCACATATCAGCGAGTTCCAAGATAAACCCAAAGAAGGCTCTAAATATTTTTCTTCTATAGAATTGGTTGGTTGTTTTTCTTTTTTTTTTTTTTGATCATTATCAATATATTTTTTTGTCATATGATTTGTCACAATTATTGAAAGAGAATATTCTTTGGACATGTTTTCTAAAATCTTTGCAATTTTCTGCTGCATTTTTAATCTATATGGCTGGTTATCTACAAAATAAAATATTCAAAATTATGTTTATTTAATACTTACTCATATTACAAATACGGATAAGCATGCTTATTGAGTCTATTATTATTATACCAATATTATTATTCTTTAATATCTAACAAAAATGATCAATATTTCCGATATTTTGCCTTCAAACGTACACTAGGCATTATAAATAAAACATTAAGTAATTCTTCCAAGTCAAAAATTCTTATATACTTGACATTTTCAATCAAGTTTTTATTGGTTATATTTCCGAATTTATTTTTTTCATGAATGTAACTTAATGTGTTTTTTGAGATTTCTCTTAGCCTATTTTTACTGAAGCCACCCTCTGTGTCTTTATGAAATAAGCTGATTGATAATGAATAAGAATCCACTTACCTATATATATTGCATTCAGGCCTGGCCCACCAATACTTTTTGGAATTTGAATATTTAATGCTAATAGTTTACAGAGTAAAGTTTTTCCGCTTCCTGGGACACCACATAATTCAACAATTCCTTTACCGATAATAATTCCTCCACCTTATGTAAAAATAAAGGAAAATCAACCGAAAAAATACTTGATTTCAAACATACAAAGCATTTTATCAAGAGCCCTACAAAGAGTTTTGATTCGGTTTGTAGATGCTGTTTCACGATGCAATAGCTCTAATGCAGAAATTCCCTTAATCATTTCATATAAATAAATTACATTATCTCATCAAGAATAATATTTGATTTCTAAAAAATTTACACACAATAAACAGACAAATAATTTTTAAAAATTTTCGTATTTTTTACTAATGATATTTATTTATTATGGGTATTAATAATGCAATAATAATAATTGGCGCAAAAACAAAGGCGGCTTTGTTTTTTTTTTAGTTGAAATTAAGTGTATTCAGTTATAAAAGTTTTTGGTTGAATGCAAATTGTTAATATCAATATTGGGAATATAATTTCTTCTTGAATTATAGAGCTGGCATTTCGAACATTCCTTGATATTTTTTGGTGGTTAAAGTTTTTTTAACCGTATTTACATATGATTTAAAATTTGAGTTCTGTATATTTTACCTTAGGATGGATGGCTTTAGTCCAGGTAAGTTGATAAGTTATTGAAAATATGCGGCTTTAATTTATTCATTTAAATTTAGAAAAACTTGTTCGAATAAGGTATGCTGAAGTTTTAAGAAATTTAAGAGGCCCCGCAGGCTCGGGAAAAATGATTCAGAATTTGACTTTACTTGCAGAGGATCAGCGACAATATGCCCATATTATTGCAAGTGTTATTTTAGAAGAGATTCCAAGATCTGATATTCCAAGGAAGTATGTTCTTTTGTGTTTGGTGGATTCTATAGTTCGAAAATGCCGATCAGGATCTATCTTTTTTCCATACTTTTTGCCTTACATCGCTCCATATTTTGCAGAAGCTTACACAACTAAAACATCGCCTCAAATCTTACGTTCCTTGGAAAAGCTTTTGAAAGTCTGGAGCGATTCATTTCCTCGAGATATTGTTCAAAAACTTATTTCCACAACCAATAATGTGAGATCAAAATTAAATGAACCTCCAATTGAGATAGAAATTAATAACACAAGTTCCACAGCTTCTAAACTTAACAATTCTAACTTGAAGGGTGGTAACAACTCAAATTCTAGTTCCAATGCGAGCATTAATGGAGCTAATACAAATTCAATTGAGACCTCACGTACAGGGATGGAAACTGCTAGAGTTAATGAAATGTATTTGAATATTTCAAAAGCAATTATTCAGAAGTGTAATATCTCTGATGGTGGCAATGCTCTGCTAAACAAGTTAATTTCAGATCCTATAGTTCATAAAATAGCACATTTAAATACTTATGGAAAAATACAGGAGTCTCAAAAGTTGATGGACACTTTAGTAATGAGTATCGAACCAAATAATTTTGAGCATAAACATATCAACTCAATTGGTGATCAACTTCCAACTAACAAGAGACAAAAACAGGAGGTTTCTATCAACAAAACAAATAGAAGTTCTGAGATTAATTCAATTAATCAAAACCATTTTAATCATTCAAGTTCTCAATCTGTAAAATTAATGGGTATTCCTTCTTCTGTACAGCAACATATGTCTCCCCCTCCTCCACAAATTTCTTCTAGTCAATCTGTTAAATTATCAACAACTTCTAATCCTACAGTATCTCCATCAGTTTCAGCAGCTGCAGCTGCAGCTGCAGCTGCTGCAGCGGCGGCAGTAGTTCAATCGAAAGCACAAATTCAACATCAAAAACATGCATCCAGTATTTTATCTACACAACCAATTATTTCCCAGTCTCAGTCAAAAATGAATATTCCTCAATCTAGCACAGCTCCACAACAGTTGTCACCAGCGGTATCATCTTCCATACCTTCTACATCAGTATTAAGTACATCAGGGACTGGCAGTAATATTAAAAAAACATTTTCACCAAGATTTTTAGAAAACAGTACATCATCAATTTTGTTTTCTGTTTGGAACCAATTATTTCGAGGTAATACAAGAATAGAATCTGATAATCTAAAGAAAATCAATTCGTCAGTTATTGATGGCAAAGGCGATCAAAATATTTTTTTGGAAGGCCTTCAAATAAAGGAAATAAGTGATTTACTACTTTTATTTAAAAAACTTCAGGAAAATGTTGATGCTTCGATTCAGTTTAAGAGATCTGTTTGGTTGAAATCTCATTTTATTAAGAAGAGAATGATCGATAACATCAATGATTTTAATTTGCAGGCAAATGTTTCAATGTATTATTCAGAAAGACCAAACCAATGCCATACATGTGGCTATAGATTTATTGACTGTAAGAAGAAGGAATCCCATATTCAAATCCATCTAACCAAAAATCTTATATTTAGACAAAAAAAGCAGACTTCTAATTTTCAATTACTCTGGCCTTCTCTTCAGGATTGGATTTACAATTCCGACAAAGGTGCCTTAGGAGAGACTTCGACAGAGGTTTCAGGTGAAAGTAAGGATCTTATTGCAGATAATGACAAAGTAGGAAACCTCATTGGTGAAAAGGGAAATGATTTTACTAATGAAGGCTCTCAAAGCAGTGATAAAAATGTTAGCTTCAATGATCTTTTTAATTCTCTGTTCAAAACTAAATCGGGGAGGTCTTTGGTTTCTGGAAGTGGCAGAGAACATTTAGGATTTAATGAGAAATCTATTGAAACGAACTGTATTAATTCTAATTCTGGCTCAGAAGATCAAGTTTCATCTTCAATTGGAACTTGCAAAAACATCTTATTGACTCAATACATAAATTATTTAAAGAATGTTCCTAATTTTGATTTTGAAACTATATTGAATAAGCTTGTAACAATTACTAACGATACAAACAGTGACATCTATGGAAATCTAGTTAGAGATGTAGACGACATTTGTAATAGTTTATCCTCACTTTGGAATGAAATGACACAAAGCGTAATTTCTACTTATACTCCAGTTGACCATTTGCATATGGTTTGTGATATATGCCATGAGTCTTTAAATGTTAAGTGGTGTTCAATTAATAAGTCGTGGATTTCGACCGATGCAATCGCCCTCACACAAGGCTGCATTAATGATACATTTGGGAATCAAGATAGAAGAAGTTCCTGTCAAAATCTCATCTTAGCTGTAATCGATACAATTCATGAAACAAATGTTTCTAAATTAAATACTATCAAGGAAAAAATTAATAATAAAATGTTACGTTTTATTCAGTGGAAATTTCCTACTAGAGTATCTAATAATTCGAGCCAAGTAATTAAATTCAGACCTTTTGTTGGAAATTGCTCATCTATTGGGTCAGGAAATAGCTCCATTCAGAATCTAGTTGGAGATAAGTTTGTTACTGCTCACAAGTCGTGCTTTATACACTACTTTATTTATAACGACATTAATAATCGAATTTCAAACGTGTTCAAAGCAAAAACAAGGAAATATACATACTCAATTCCAAATTTCCACGACATTAACTTAGGTAGCATTGATATTAAAACAATTCGAAAAAAAAATGAAAATAATAAAAGGTTTTCATTTATATAGTTGTCTATTTTATAAACCAATAATAGGTGCGCGCCGATAGTTTTATAGCAAACTATTTTTTTTCTAAGACTATTAAAAATGATAGATGATACTAAATCTTTGCCTTTTGTAAAAACACTGAGATCAGGTATGCTTAAGAATGTGTTTTATTAATAATTTTCACTATCCTATTAGCAACCAAAGCGACTCTACTTTCGGAGTTAATTTTGATAGGAGGAATGATAACAGGATTTTCAGCTGCAATTTTCCAAGTTAAGCCATTGCTTCTTTTGTCAGCTATTTTGATATTTTCAAGTATAATTACTTCAAACAATAGCGACATACAAAGGACCATTACACTTATGGGGTTCTTAACCATGGGATTCATGTCAATCTACCTTATGCCTAATAACGTATTGTTCGATAAAAGAGACGCACCCAAAAACAATTCTACAAATACCGACATTTAAAATTAATATTATTAATCTCTAAGAACTAATTGGACAATTCCATCAACATAAGAGCAAAATATAGTTAAAAATATTAATGGTGTATTTAATGGTAGTACAGTCCCATGAAAGATCACATCGTGCGAATCTAAGGCCACATTAGTTTCGGACACAAAATAATTCAGAATATCCTTAATATCAATTAACCTATTGTTAATATCTTTCTTAAATGATCTTAAAAATGATTCATTATTAATGTGAATTTTTACTGGAATATTCCTATTTTTTTCATTATTTAATTTCACAAATACTGTAAAAACTTACTTTGTATTTATATATATTTCGTTAGTTGACCCAAATAATCGATTAATTGTGGTTTCATATTCACATGTTGTTCTGGATAGAGAAAATATAGAATTAAATAATTCGTCATAATCCTTCTTATTCAACATCTGAAATTTTCTACAATCTCCAAACATTACTGTTTGTGATAACTTGATGTTATTTGTAATGATCTTAATCAAATCATTATTAAATACAGAGTTTTTTTCAGAAAAAATAGCAACTTTCTGATTATTACTATTACTATTCTTGTTTTGAAATACCAATTTAATGCTGAACAAAATACCACCGTTGTTTTTACAATACTTGTCGAACAATAATCCTATAGGATACTGACTTATAAGAAATAATAGTTAACAATAGATTTTTAATAAATTACCTATTTATAATTGAACCACCATATTCAAACCATGAACAAGTGTTTTCAATTAAATTAAGGAATTCACTATCAATAGAAGTGTAGTAGTCCTGAATTGCGTCGGTTAAGGATAATAAATAGCCTATTCGGGGAATAATGAAATACAATTTCGGGGCGCATGCCAGCCTAGAACACCCACTTCCCTCTTTAAAATCAATTGCTATTGAAATAAGTATCAAGCCAGAATGTATTATCTTGTGTGTTAAGCCATGTAATTTATTTTCTAATATTTTCAACATTAATGATAAAAGTATTCAAATATAAACACGTGCCGCCGGCGCTCAAACCAATTACCCACATTTATAGGAAAATGTGTATTAACTAGATGGACAGACGACAAAGCCAAATAATTTGCAAAGAATAAATAATAAATTTACTACATGTGCAAATTTTTTAATTGAAAAAGTTGAATATTAAATATAATTTTTTTATTTATAAAGAATAATACTTATTTTGAATATTTTAGGTGTTTATATCAGTTGTTATACATGCATGAAAGTGGTTTTTGTCTGGAAAAAATATATTTATTCGAAATTAATAAATAGATATATCAAGTAATACTACGTAAATTTGTTTAGAACTGGTAATTAACCGTTATTACTATTGTAGTCGTTATTTTAACGACTTCAATAGTAATTATTATTGAATTCTATTTATAATGGCTCGTTCTAAAACTTCAAGCAAGCGAATTGCTAAATATCCGTCAAAAGTAAGTGGAGTTATTCTATAATTACAAGTTAAATTGTTTATTCAAAAAAATCTTCAGACTCCTATTCTTCACCAATCACCGAATAATAGAGCAGTTAGTAACAGCCCCCTTAGCCCAAGGAAGTATAGAAGAAGACCAGGTAAGCTTTGTAAAATGTTGTTTTTACTTCAAATTATATTTATTTAGGAACGGTTGCCTTGAGAGAAATTAGAAAGTATCAGGCCTCCACTGACTTACTCATTGCTAAACTACCTTTTGCTCGTGTTGTTAGAGAAGTTACACTGAAATTTGTTCCCCATGGCGAAATGTGGAGGTGGAACGCTGAAGCATTGCATGCTATTCAATGCGCAGCAGAGGCATTTCTGCAAGGACTGTTTGAAGATGCATATTTGTGCACTTTGCATTCCAAAAGAGTTACTTTGCTTCCGAGAGATATAAGATTAGCTAGACAGTTAAGGGGTAGATATGGGGACTTTATTTAATAAATACTTTCAAAAGAAAAGCTCCTAATTTATTAATTATAGTGTTAATTACAATTTAACATATATTGCAGGTATATAGTGATCCTAGGTCAATTTAATTCATTTTGTTCACATTTGAATTTATTTTTTAATTTTCACAGATAAAGTTCTTTAGGTTTATAGGAATGCTTTAATACAATTTTTAATATATTTTACAAAAAACTTCTGCTGTTAGCGCTGCGTGGATGGCCGAGTTGGTCTAAGGCGTTAGACTCAAGATCTAATGAGCGTATGCTCTCATGGGTTCGAATCCCATTCTACGCACTTTTTCGTGTATATATTATTGCCCCGCAATATAAAATTTATTTTTTGATATTTTAATTATATTTTTCTGTTTAATTCGTTGATAAATGAATTTTTATTGATATGAATTAGATTTGATTTTATATTCAATTACTTATTTTCCAAAATTGCTAAAAGATCTAATAAAAAAACATGAATTATACCCGCCTCGGTATTCTTTATAGAGAATTGCTAATGACAGTAAATAATTGATGTTTCCTTGAACATTAATAAATTATTATCAAAAAGAACAAATTTAATGCCAGACACAATATTTACACATGAGTAGTTTAATTAAAAGGATATTTACTGGATTTTCTATGAATAGTGGTAATTCTCCGCAAATTAGTAAAAGTTATCATGGTAAGTTAGACGAGCTCAAATGTAACGAATAAATAATTTAATAATATTACTCAGGTTCTTTATATAAGTGTATTGGAAAGACATATCAACTTGTACTTCAATCCTGCTCTATGAATATTGAAGATGACATCATTATGAGCGGTGTTAATCCAGATGACAATCAAAAAGAAAAGTATATATTCAATTTTAAGAATATTCATTACTTTCATAGTGATAAACGTGGGGAATTTATAATTATTATGAAGTCGGGACAAGATTTAATAAAATTTGTTTTTGAATTTGAAAATATGGACCTGCATGTACTTTCATTTTTATCATACAATATAACAATATCTCTTCGTTCTCTTTGTAGTATAAAAACTCAAATTCCAATAGAGTTATATGAGCATAATGACATGGTAACTAGAAAAAAAAGAGATTCAATTTTGGGTTTCAATGCTGAAGAGTGGAAACCATTAAGCCTAAACGCTGTTTGCGAGCTTTTATCAAGTAAGGATTTCAAAGACACAATTTTCTCCATTAAAGATTTATCAGGAAAGGGCGAAGTGTTGTTTGCCAGTATAATTGGTGATAACATCCTTTTTTTACCCAAATTAAGCGAGAGAGTGATTGAATTTTATGGGTCTAATCAGGATGAAGTAAGAAAAAGATATAGAATTCATTTCAAAAAACAATTACGAGAGAATAAAAGTGGCAATGACAGCAAAGATTTCTATAGTTCTGAGGAGGAAATTGATGAATTTATTGGTAAGCTTTTAGAATATATTGATCAAATAAATCCGGAGGAAAAAAGACCAAGAAAAAGTATTTCTGAAATCATTAAGAATGAAGTTTCAGATTATGGGGTAAGCTATAAAATGGATTTGGATGATAGCTATGACCCTATTAAAGATGAGATAATGTGGGAATATGGTGACGATGAAGGTGAAAATACTGATTTAAGTGATGAAGCGGATAATGAAAGTTATTCGACTCCTAGAAGAACTAAAAAAAATGATCTTTATTTGAATCATAAATATATGCTAATAGGGCATGAAAATACTTTCATTGGTAGAGCAAATAGACGTAATGGGAAATCTGAGATTGCCGTATTTAAAAATACAGAATCAGAAGGAAGTAATTATAATCTTAGCGGAACTCCAGCAAGAAATGTTTCTGTGATTAAAGATGTTGAATTTGAAAATCAAAACGTACTTCCTGTGGGAGGTCAACTACACAATTGTGAAACTCAAATGTTATTTTTATCAGAAACGGATCCTAATTACGTTTATCAAATGGATTTGACAAACGAAAAAATTTTAAGGCGTTGGGATGCAGACGGACTTCCAATTTCTTGTCTAGGGTTATCAAATAAAGATTCTCAATCTACTCCAGTTCCAACATTTTTGGGCTTAAGCAATAATGCAATATTTCTAATGGATAGTAGGGTTAAAGAGTGTTCTAATAGATTTACTTCAAAACTATATAGATCTAATGTTCTTTTTAATAGCATGGCAACTGACAAAGATGGGCACATACTAATTGGTAACGACTTGGGCGAGCTTAGGTTATATGATGGTACAATGAACAAAGATGGAGAATTTAAAAAGGCAAAGACGTTATTGAATTCATTTGGATCGCCGATTATATCCGTAGATGTGACTAGAAATGGCAATTGGATTCTCGCTACTACAAAAAATTGTATTCACCTATATCCAGTAACTGAACAAGAAGAAAGCTCTGAATATGAAGGCAGAAATGGGTTTGTTTCTAGTCTTAAGAATAAGCCTCCTTCTAGGAAATTGCGTTTAAAACCAGAAGACTTGTTTCACTACAAAATTACTGAAGTGAACTTTACGCCTGCTAGGTTCGACCAATACCAGAAATCGGAAGGAATTGTTGGAGAAACTAAAATTGTCACAAGTGTAGAAAATTTTGTTATAGTTTGGGATTTTGAGGCTGTAAAAAGAGGTAATCTATATTCTTACTCAATCAAAGAGGTTGAGAGTAGAGTCGAGGACTGCTCAACATTCTACAATAATAGCGATTCAGTCGTACTAGCTTATAAAGACGATCTTACAATTCACAAACTTAACAGAAAAAATAAGAGAAATGTTTACTCAAGGTAATCTACTAAATCATAGATTATTAGATTATATATTACTTGATTTTTTATAAAAAGTAATTATCTAGTTTAATTATTTTAATCTTCACAATTTACTTCTATCTAATTTAGAGTGGTCTCTACTAGATGCTAATACTGACTCGATAGATTCCATAAATTGAAACCAAACTGAAAGATCATTATGACGGTTTGTCCTGTTTATTCTTACAACATCAACATTCCATTTTCGGATATTTTCAGGAATTGGTTCTGAATCATATGTAACGTGGTACCCTTTAACCATAGTGAATATATCTTGAATCGTCTTGAATGGGAAAGATTGTAGTTGCCATTCCGCCCCTGTAAGAAATACTGCAATTAGTGAATACCAATCCCTTTTTCTAAAGTTGAGGGTAGATTCAAGGATTCGAAATGTAACCTTTTGTACAGTAGTTCCTGAACCAAAACTTAATGTAACGGTCTGTTCATTACCAACGAAATTTCTCTTAGCTATATTTGGATCTACAAATTCTTTATCTCGTAGGAACTGAATGATATTATTCAGTGTTATCGGGCTCCTAGAGGATGGGGGTACTAATATTATTGGGTTTAGATTATTTGAATTTAGATATGCTAACAATGTTGATCTATGTTGAGAACTTATTGGTTTTGGTACATTTCTTGTTTTAGATATATTTGAAGCGTTTGTAGATGAATCTAGACTTCTTTTTCCAAAATTCATAGAATCTAACTTTCTGGTATCTTTTAACTTTGCATGATCTGCATTATCTTGAATATAAGCACTAGCATTAGTAGATCTCTTTTTACTTTCATTTTTTGTTGGTTCGTTCATAAATGTTAGTAAAGTATTGATTCTAGTGTACATGTCAATTCCTTGACAAATGTAGTCAATATTTATTGGATATATCTGCGAAATTAAATTGACTTTTCTTTTGCCAAACACAATTTCATCATTATTTTTCAATTGGATAGAATTTAAAACTTCTAAATTTATAGTATCTTCACCGGCTTTCTCACTGATTGATTCGATATCTGTTTTAAGCTTGTATTCAACCCATGGATAATCTAAATTTATAATTTTCTTTTTTACATCTATTATTCTACAAGGTTGTAAAGAGAACTCTGTATTTATGCATTCAAATTTAGACAAATCTTCAATGGAGTATGTAGAAGGAATTCCAGAATCCTTTGTTTTCGTAATGAACTCATCAAAAAATTCCAAAATATTCTTCTTTTCCAAAATATTTATAAATTTTAGTCCATTTTCTTGAGCAAGTTTCATTGTATATTTTTTGTTTTTAGAAGCCGTGATAAATAAATATAAATCATTTAAATTTAATGACTCTCCTCTTCTATTTCTGCATCTAGTGGGAGTGTTTACATTCAATGCACAGTTGTAAAACTTAAAACAAAATTCTTCATCTAATTCAATTATTTCATCTATTTTCCCTCTTGTAACAGCATCTTTCAACAAAATTAAGGGATCAACAAATGCTTGTAACTGATCATCTTCGCTCATCATAAAATATAAGGTGAATTTTAATTAATCAATTTTATTTAATTAATGATTATGGAGTTAAAGTTGGTCATAAATTTACCAAATACTTTCAATTAATATACTTGTTTTTAAAAAATTAATGGCTTGTTTATTTCTTGAATGGACAATATTTATCTAATCAGAAAAAAATATTACTGCTAAAACGATCAAAACAACTGAAATTTCCTCTTATAATATGACTTTCTATATTTGATACTAGGATCTCAAACTAGAAGTAAATTATCTCTTAAACAAAAAAAATTTAAACAAATCGAAATTACCGCCTGAATATTTAATTTTTAGGTAAAAACAAGTTAAAAATAGGACAAAAATGCTTAAAGTGAAAAATTGGCACAATAATCGTAGTTGGAAAAATATTGGACAATCATCTTTAATATTTCATATTTATCTCTTAATTTATCACTGCCTAAACGGACTAAATATCCTAATGCGCAAATTAAACTTGAAAATATTATCTTCTAATCATTTTGATTGCAAAATTTAAAAAGTCCTCTTTCTCTTGCTTCGAATTAAATTTCAACGGTATACAATTTCCTGTATCTCTTAGATGTAATGCAATAATTAAAGTTTGATCTTTAAAAATAGGTGCCCTTGTATTCACCATTTTAAGTTCATTCTTAGTTGTGAAAATTTCCTTAATGTTACTCCAGGGAACAGCTTTTACTTTATCATCGCAAATGAATGAGAGATCGTCTTCATTATCTGAGAAACTAACTTTACAATTTATTGCTGATCCATCTTTAAGAATTATTTCAGCTTGAATTCCTGTCGATGCTTTATGGCGTATAATCTTTGATGAGATATCTTTATTAAATTTAATTTCTTCCTCCTCATATTTAATAGCTTTGGTATTTTCAATAGTTTCTTTATCGGAACCAGAGTGATGATCAATATTATTATTGGTTTGATTATTGTTATTTCTTTGAGTATGAGTGTTTTTATCATCATTTTCATTTCCCTTTTCTTTTTCTAAACTTATTTTATTTATTTCACTTTTTTTAAGGCTTATCTCTTCTTTTGTGTATTTTGGCCCATTAGCTATTTTCTTCTTAAGTGGCTTGTTTTTCTGATCATTGGTATTTAATAATTCACTTTTTAAAGGTGGTATTTTTCCTAATTTTGAAGGATTCTGATGCTTTGTAATAGAGGATTTATTAATTATTTTTGAATCCAATGATTTGTTTTGTTTTTCACACTTTTCATCACTTTTATTAATGGAATTATTGTTATTTACATTATTGGTTGCCTTATCATCTATGGGGTTGGAATTAATATTGGAATCAGAGTGAATTGTAGAGCAATCTTTATTAATATCTTTTGTTTCTATTGGTTTCTTATTTTTGTTTTTTGCCTTTTCTTTTTCATCTACTTCTTTCTCAACTAAACTGTGAGATCTACTGATATTTGATTTTGTTTTTCCTCTTACTTTTTTACCTTTAGTTTCAACTGTGTTAATATTTTCGTCTGAACTCGAAAAGGTAAAATTGGAATTTGCAGCATATGGTTCATCAGAAAAATGTTTTTTTGAACCATAAGAACTCAGAGATCCCACAGACTTAGCACTGTTTTGGTGTTGTAATATACTTTCATCATATCCCTCCCAATTTCCATCAATTTTTTTACCATACTTATCAGCCCTATAAACAATCATTTCATCTTCATATATTAAGTGACAGCAAATACAGCTTCCAATTTCTCTTCCACTCCATTCTCTAACAATTTCCCTGTCTACAATATTTCTAGCAGTTCCTCTGATTTTTTCAAGTTTCTTTTTTTTGAGATTTCCTTCTTCATCTATGTATTCTTCTTCTAAATCGCTTGGGGCAGGGCACAAGATAAAAATATATTCATCATTTTTTTGATTTTTCTTTAATGTACAACATGAACTAAAAAATTCTGAAATAATTTCAAGCATTCTTATTCGATTAGAATTATTTTAATTCAAAATATTGTTATATTTTTTTTTTTGTATTTTCCCCTACACAATTAATTATAATCAATCTGGATAATTTATTGAATGTAAAAAACTTCATAAACAAGTATTTATGGATCTCAAATTTATTTCTCATTAAGATCTTTTGAAGTAGACTTTTTAAAGACCATGCATTAATAATTCTTACGCAACTTGTCAGTCTTGATCAACTATTTCATATTAAAAAAATATTGCATGTAATCAGCCGCCTTCTCAAAGATGACGCAGACGTAGAAATGAATAGCGCCTGGTAACTGTCAAATTATTAATTAATTTTTTGTACAAGTCCCATTATAGATTTAAACTGGATAAGAATTGTTTAAATTCTTGGGATTTGTTTGAACAAATTATATCATACTTTATAAACAAGGGACTTAAGTAGGAGTTTAAATTGTTGGTTTTCGGATTTGATTATTTTGTAAATAAAGAACTGTTTGAAACAATATGTATGTAATTTCCAAACTGAACTTAAACAAGAAAGATCTATAATTATTGCGAGTAGAAGTCATTTTTAAGTTGAAAATATTTAATTTTATTGAAACTATACTTTGAGTTTTTACACGACATATATGTCTTGCGAAAAATATTTGAAAAATGAAGGGTAATTCTAAAAATGAAAATGAGCTTCTTATGAGGTTATCAAAGACTCTAACTAGTGTGAGTCCTGCAAGTCGTAAAAAGGGTTTAGATATTATAACTAGATATATATCAAAACACAATAATTCAATGACACGTTTACAAATGCTGAAAATATGGAAGGGACTTTATTACAGTATGTGGCTTTCAGATAAAGTTTTGATTCAAAGAGAAATTGCAGTTAATATTTCACAATTACAGAGAATGTTTGAGGTAAAAGAGTGTTTTTTCTTATTTATTGAAGAGTTCTATTTAATGATGAGATTTAGATGGGATGGTATGGATCATTATAGAATGGATAAATTTACGTTTTTACAAAGAACAATGCTTGCTGAATCACTCGATATACTCAGTAAAAAAAACTTTGACCCTGAATTTACAAAAGGTCTATTTAATATCTATCGTAGCTGTTTGTTTGATGATAATATAGGAAATGAGAAATTGATAGGTAAAAAAAGAAAGTTTTTTATGATTGATGACAAAGTAAATGATGCAAATGAAGTTAATTCAACAAATGAATCATACACAGGCAGGTCTACGGGCATTGGGATATCTTTGATTTTTTGTAAACAATTCCCACAAGAGCTTGTTTATTTATTATATGAACAATATAAACTTATAAATAAGAATTCATCCAACTCGAATTTATTTAATAAATCTATTTCTTCGTTTTTAAATGAATATGCTGAGTTCATTACTAATATTATCAAATCATGCACCGTTAACTCAACTTTGTCAGAAAATATTTATAGTCAGTTGATTCTGAAATTATTTGATTTTGATCTACTTTTTGATCAAGTCATATGCGATATTGAGAATTTAAACATTGATCAGGAAGAAAGGAATTTAATTTCCTGTTTTTTATCGGATAATATGGTTAATCTTATGTCAATATTACAGTCTAATCTTTCTGTTCTTTCCAAATCTAATGACAGCTCAATTACTCAAAGTAAAAGAAATAATATATACTCAACTTTGGAAAAGATAGGTACTTTTTTAAAGAATAATACAATATCTTCAAACAAACTACCAAAGGTTTCGAAAAACAAAAAGAAAATTTTATCAAAGAAACTGGAGAATGTCAATTATGAAGGCAATTATGAAGAAGATAAAGAGAAGAGAGTAAGATTTGACATGTCAAAAAATGTTCGTATGCTCCTTCCTGATTCTATATCTACATCGAGAGCTCTTGTGAAGATTTTTGATAAGAAAAATGATGTGAAGGGAAATAATGAACTAAATTGTATTTTATTTAGGTCTTCACCAGATTCTGACCTTCAAAATACTGATCAAACTACACCTTCTGAAACTGACTCTTATAACCTAGGATCTCTCAAAAACATCGAGATAATCTCTGCTGAAAAGGCATTATCAAAGCCTTCTGAGTCAAGTAGTTCCCCTTCGAAAAGCATTTTAAAAAGAAGGGGAGTTAGTACTTGATGTATCTAGCATGCATATTTCATTATTTTTATTGCCGCGCAAACCTAGAAAATTACGAATTGAATTATGTGGCTTAGTACACAATTTTTAACTACATATATATTATTATATATTTAACTGTACTATATTGTTTCTCGGAACAGTTTGTATTTCTTATATTTTGCCTCATGAGTTTTAAATTGATTGTAAAGATTATTTACAGTGCATAAATTTTTAACGAATGCCAAAGGAAGATTTGGAAAAAAGTTTTCAGGATGAGGAATGTACGGAAGAAACACTTATATTCGATTCTGAAAAAAGATTTGTTAGCTGCGTAAAGGAACACCAAGAAATGGTTGATGATGTTGATAAAAATACAGCAAAATTCTTGTGTGAAAATAAAACAATTGATACTGAAGATATTCAAGAGGTTCAGTGTAAGAATTCAGACAAGTCAACCAGTTCACTCACATTTGATTATAGGAGAAAACTAATTGAAATAGAAGAGTGGAGATTTTTGTGCTACGATTTTGAGAAATTTGATTTAGAAAAAGATCATTTAAAGATATTGAGTAAATTGAGAAAAGGAATCCCACCTCAATTTAGAGGATTTTTTTGGATGAAATTAGCAGAAGTAGAAAGTATTAAGAATGAAAATAGTGAGAATCTATATTATCAATTAACCGAAATAAAAAATGCTCCATGCTGTGGCGATATATATAGAGATATAAGTAGAACATTTCCAAGACATTGTTTATTTCGTGACAGAAATAATCATGGACAAAACTCTTTGTTTTCAGTTTTAAGAGCTTATAGTTTATACAATCCTGATGTTGGATATTGCCAAGGAATGGGATTTATTGTTGGTGTTTTACTTATGTATATGTCGGAAGAAGATTCATTTTATATGTTGATTTCGATTTTAGATAAATATAAGTTTTCTGGCTTGTATCTTCCAGGATTACCTTTATTGAACACACATTTAGAGAAATTAAAAAAGATATTTAAAAAAAGAATTCCGAATTTATATAATCACTTCAGAAACGAAAATGTGGATGAAACTATGTATGCTTCACAATGGTTTATGACTATTTTTGCTTACAGTTTTAATTTAGATGCAGTTGCAAGAATTTGGGATTTGTTCTTCCTTGAAGGCATAAATTTAATTTTCAAAATTTCGATAGCAATTTTAAAAATCTTAAAGAATTCACTTTTCAATCAGTCATTTGAAAATATTTTACATACTTTAAAAACAGCTCCTTATACGATTAATATTAATGAACTTATTCAATGTGCCTTGAGCATCAAGTTAAATTATAAAGAATAGACTGTTTCTTATTTCAATATTTCTCATAAAAAATTATACTTATTGTTTAGTTTTAGAGCACAAAAAATAAAGATCGTAGGTTCAAAAAAAACAATTATAGAATTCTAGCAATAGTGATCTTAATCAAGTTTTAGATAACTGTTTATCGCATTGGCATCCCACCAGGCATTCCAGGCATCATTCCAGGCATTCCTCCAGGCATTCCTCCAGGCATTCCTCCAGGCATCATTCCTGGCATACCGCCAGGCATTCCAGGCATTCCAGGCATTCCAGGCATTCCAGGCATACCAGGCATTCCTGGCATTCCTGGCATTCCTGGCATTCCTGGCATACCTCCTGGCATCATTCCTGGCGCTCCTCCTTGCATATTATAGTTTGCATTGGGATCTTGGCCTTGTCTGTTAGATCTGGATTTAGAAATAAAGAATATAATCAGTCCAATAAGAACAACAGCTCCTACACCGATACCGATCCATACATACATATTGTTTGTAACTGATGTATCTGAAGTGTCACTTGTACTAGATTCGCTCTTCAAAATCGGGTTTGCAGCAGCCTGAGAATTCCTATTAATAATTTCAATCCAGTTCTCAACTTGATCAATAGTTATTTCCGTTTCTGTTGTAGAGGCAGTGTTACAATCGCATGTTGGATCAAAATCGTCGCACATAGTATTGCATGATTCAAATTGTAAGTTTGAAAATAGACTTGAATGAAGATTCAACTTTTGAAGATTTCCAGAATAAGTAACCGAAAACGATTCAAGTCTTGAATTCCCAATTGATCGTGTTTCTAAACCAGCAGCATCCCTATTTAAACAGACAAAAGATTAAGATATTTGAAAATATTAAATACAAACTTACTTAATTAACAAATATACCAACATGGCAAATATTTTCTTCATCATCTTTATAAACGATTAATCACAAAATAATTATTATTTCAAAAAAGGGAATATTTTTAAATGAGTCAATTTAATTTAAAATTGATCAAATTTTAGCTTTTTTGATCAATTACTTGTTTTGTTTATTTGATTACTTCAACCAGAAAAGAATTCCTATATATTATATCTTGAATTGTTTCCAAGCAAAATTTGAAGGGCCCAAGTATAACTAAAGAATTCCTATTCAATTTCAAACAACTTTTTTTTATTTAGAGAAAATTCTCATTTTACGTATTTTTTACTATGCACATGTAAAGGCGGTTTAATTCGCATGCAATAAAAAAGTATAAATAGACAAGAAAAATTATTGCATTATTAACAAATCTATCTGAAGGAAATAACTATTTAAATTAGGGGTTTTTTTCTATGCCTGCTTTTGCTTAGTTGATACTTCCTCGAGCTTATCAACAAGCTCAGAAATGGATAGGTTATTTAAATTTTCGAATAATTTTTCAGATGATTCCAAATGAATATTGGATTCGATGACCTCAAAATTAGAATAATTTTCGTTCATTTCACTTTTTGAAAAATTAGATTCAGGTATTCTTTCTTCATTTGGATTTTTATTTTTTATTTGCTTGTCTTTAATATATTCTTTCTCTTTTTGACGCAACTGGCACCATTTATCGACACATTCTTTGTTAGGAACAATTGAATATCTAGGAAAATAATCATCGATCATATGATAACCAAGAAAGTTAGAATTTTCTCCAAATTTCAAAAAATATTTCAAAATATTATTGACTAAAATTCCGGCAATAACACTAGTTGTAGTAGATAATGATGCAGCGCAAGTTCTGGACGATGACCTATTAGAATTTTTATCATCTACAGAATTAATCATAAAAGAGGTAATTTTATCTTCACCAAAATCACTTTCAAAATTAATAAGAGGGGGTGCACAGCAATAACATGCAGTGATCCCTGGGATAACGAATTGAATATGGCCAGAAATTGCGTTCTCAGAGATACCAGACTCAAACCATGCTATATCAAACTCATTGCAGACTTGGCTGATTGTACTTCTTGCAGAATAGTTATCTACGCAAGAAACTAATAAGTCAATATTTTTTGTTCTGAAGATATTATAAAAAATTGAATAATCTTGTACAATGTTTATATTATATTTTTGAATATTAATTTTAGGGTTTATTAACTTTATAGTATCGGCGCATGCATCAGTTTTAAACATACCGATATGGCTCATATTATAAAACATTCTGTTCATATTAGATAACTCAACAATGTCAAAATCAATTATGATCAATTTCTCTATTCCAGATCTAATCAGCATCTCTACAACAATAGATCCGACTCCGCCTATACCTATAACTAAAATGGTCTTTTTCATAATCAGAGAATAATCATCCACTACTCCCATATTTTCTAGTGCAGTGAGACGACTATATCTTTCATCGTCAATATTTTCATTTGTATTGTTTTTGGTCATTTTTATTCATTACTTCCATTGAAAAAGATGAATATAATTAGTGTTACCGCCCATTTGTATTACTTAAACTTTCTTTTAATGAAATAAAAAAAATAATAACTGGCTAAAGAATATTAGTTTTTATATAAGTTAATTTTAAGTTAATGGTCATAAGATATGATGGAAGGTCTAATTTGGAGTGTGGTGCAATATTGGCTAATGTAGGTATCTTCAACAGCTTAAATGGCTCTGCAGAATTTTCTATTGGCCTTTCTAAAGTTATAGCAACTGTTTGGAGACCAGAAGAAGCATCTAGCAATAAATGTAAATCATACCTGGAAGTGATTTTAAGACCTAGAATCGGCCAGGCCCAGGAATCGTATAAACTGGTTGAATATCATATTTTGAAACTATTTGAAAAGGTAATAGATTTTAAATCTTTTGCAAGGTGTGTTATTTCTATAGCACTGCAAATTGTATCGGAGGATGGCCCAATTCTGCCAGTTTGCATTAATGCAGCAGTTCTTGCTCTTATTGATTCAGGGATCCCCATGGAATTTTTCCCTCTAGCTGTTTCAATAGCTGAATCTTGTCACTTCTATGGTGAAAAAGGCACTTCTCACCTAATGCTAGACCCAACACAATCAGAATTTGAACAATGTATTAGTTGTTCTACAATAGTTATAAATACAACAGAGAAGAACATTTTCTCCTGTATTACTAATAAAGGCACCGGTATTTCTCAAAACGAATTAATAGATGAAATTCACCCAATTATACTATCAATTGCAACATCGAACAGTCTAATCAAACACTTATCAGAAACATTGCTAGAAAACATAAAGTCTAAGGTAGTAAAGCCGTATAACAACAATCTTTTCTAAGGTAACTTTAAAGAATCTGTCTTTGAAAACAAAATTAATTCTAGTAGCCTAGTTTTAAATTTTATTCTCTAAATTTTGTTTAATGTCATTTACTCAAAGATATAGTCAGACAATACAACATTGTATGACTGGATTTCCTCTGGTTTGAACCAGAGGGAAATTTCTCTCTTTGCAGATTCAGCCGAATCGGACCCATGGATCAGGTTTCTACCAGCTTGTTGGCAGAAATCTGCTCTAATTGTACCTGGAGCAGCTTCTCCTGGACGAGTTGAACCCATCATTTTACGAGCCTGGGCAATAACATCAACACCCTCGAATACCATACAGAGAACTGGGCCAGTCATCTTTTCAATTAAACCAGGAAGGAATGGTTTTCCTTTATGCTCAGCATAGTGTTCTTCCAATATTGCTGGGGTAGCAGTAGTTAACTTCATTGCTGCAATTCGGTATCCACGCTTCTCAAATCGAGAAATGATTTCTCCAACAACTTTACGTTGGATGCCATCTGGCTTAATCATCAAATATGTTTGTTCAACTTGCATATTTTTAATCACTGGTGTTTTTAAAACACGTGGGAAACTAAAACTCTGTTTATAGATACTAATTTTGTCTTATTCGTGAAAACCACTAGGGCTTTTTATAAAGAAAATTTCGACAATAAAATAAATAAAGTAATATACGTAATTTTCCCACTATTTACAAAAATTTGTAAATTACATATGCTCGCCTATTTAATCATAATAAAATTTTCTAATTTTTTTAGTTATAATTTGGGCAGATTAAGTTTCAATTTATTTGTTACCTAAATGAATTTTGCATATATAATACTCAGTACCCCTTATGAGACAAAATGTTGGCGCCAAAGTCAAAAATTTTTGGCGCTTAAATTGGTTAAAGTATATTAGTAAAGAATTACTTAAAAAAAAATAATCAATGATTTTAATATAGAACGATAACACTTAGCACACAGATATTAGAGATGCGAATAAGTTATTTGATATAGTTGCAGATTTACTACGATTTTTGAAATTTTTTCGTAATTTATCTCCCCCTTTTGTTTTAACCAACAAGTAAAATTGGTAATATTAAGTATTAAGGCTATACTGATTGAAAATAAGGCTAAAAATTTAATTAACGATCTATTTAACAGTCTTTCTATTTAAATTAATTTGCTTAGAATTTACAATGAGAAGAGGGTTCTCTGATTATTTAATTCAAAATAACTTAATCTCTACTTTAAATGAAGAACTTCCCGAAGTTGACTTGCAATTATTAAAAAAGAGAAATGTTATTGTTGAAAAAAAACTTGACAAAATTAGGAAGGCAAAGAGATCAAACTGGGATTCAACGCACGAAAAAATGCTGACTTGGTCTTTGTCGGGATTTAGTGTACTATTATATGGATTTGGTTCAAAGATCAATTTCCTGGACGAGTTTGTAAAAAAAAAAATAAATGGAAATTACGTTGCTCTAACTATAAGGGGCTATTTCAAAAATGTTAAATTTAAGAGCTGCTTATTTGAACTATTAAAAGTAATGGAAAACACAGGAGATTTGATTAATGATGGTATTAAATCTTACATTAATAATTCAAATAGTAGTGAATGCAGTATTGATTCTATTATTACAAAAATTCAACTCTTATATAACAATTCTAGTGCATGTTTCGAGAACATTTTCTTAATAATACACAATATAGACAGCCTATCAATTAGACCATATTTACCTGCAATCTCACAACTATCACAACTTCCATTTATAAGTGTAATAGTTTCAGTTGATAATATCAGATGGCCTCTTCTCTGGAATAACTCAATGAGATGTAAAATGAATTTTCTTTATTTGAAAGTATCTACATTTGAAGAATATAATATAGAACTCGATCACTTGTATGAGAGCCAACTTCCACCGTGGCTAGGAATACTTTCTGACGATTCTAATGGACAGTGCAAATTAGAACAGCTAAATTCAATACTAAATTGTCTAACACCTAGCCACATTCAAGTGACAAATGCAATTGCCAACTTGCAACTCAAGTATGGGTATGCTGCTGAAGATCAACTTTTCAAAAGTCTGAAGTCCTCAATGATAGTTACGACAAAAAGCTCTCTTTCGCAGCTTTTAATCGAATTATTTACTCATGACGTGCTAACAAAGCAATCTTTAAATAGTAAAGAAAACAAGGATGGTGATATTGTATATAGGTTAAAGCTTTCCAATGAACTTATTCAAGAATACCTTAATAATCTTCTCTAGACAGTTGAATATATTTTTGGATTCATATTGAATACTATTAAATGTTTGATTCAAAATGATCCGATTTTCTCTAACTATTTTATTAGGGTATTGGATAAAAATATTTTTATCTGTATTAATATAATATTGCTTTCTATTATGAAACTACATAGTAATTGGTATTCTTTATCTAATTATATGAATATATAGTAATACTAAACATTATTTTTCAATTATCAGCAATAATGAGGTATGAGATTTATAGTAATTCGCTAGATTAATATTATCTTATAAATACACCTTTAGGTTACAATTTCTTCTTACTTTGTAAAAATTCACTAATAACTTTTCCTCAAATTAATTGTAATTGGTACTCATTTAACTTATGATGTATTAATGGCGCACGTCTTGTCTAGAACCAAATGAAAAACAAATGATAGAAAATACTTATGGTATTAGGAATGTTGAAATAAACAAAAAGTACACAAAAATTGCAATCTAAAGTAACGATTACTAACAAAAAATAGAAATAACGATTAATAATTTATAAGTGTTAGATGTTGAATTTTTAACACATTCGAATGATATTAAAGCGTAGTGATTAATAAATTATGCTAATGACTACCCGGAATTAAATTTATTGAAACTTTAATATAGAAGGTATATTAAAAAAGGTGTGAACTTTGAGAATATACTTAATATTATTTTTGAAGGTCGGATGATTGCAAACTATTAAAATATTACTCTTGAATTTTACAAGCATGAATAAGATTGTAACTAATATTATTGATAGTAATGATGGATTTGAAATAAAATCTAATAGAGCCAGATCAGAAGAAAGAACCTCAGAAGGAATTGGAATGGCAAATCAACACATCAATGATGTTTTAGATGAAAAGAATTCCAGATCAAGTCACAAAAAAAACAAAGAATCTACCTCTGATATTAAGGGTTGTGGAGATCTAGAAGGTAGGCCTCTGGAGAAAGAATTCATTATTAATAAAAATTCTGGTAATTGTTCTGGTAACAAGAATGGTGTAGAACTTTATAGATGCGATTTGGTTTACGTGTCATCAAGGAAAAAAGTTCCGATAACTCCAGTTGAGAGTTGTGAATTACAACCTATTGTAATTTTGAAAGATAAAATGGGTAAACTTTGGGACGATGATGATGAGAACCCAGATAATCCTGTAATAAATGGCTCTGCGAATATTTACTACCGTTGGAGTCGAGGGCCATCTCGTGCAGTATGTACATTTCATCCAAGCCAAATTGCAATGTTACAATGTGCTACAACACTGAGATGCTTCTGCGGAGTGAACTGCTATAAACAGGGGTTTGCTCAATTGAGACGTTTTTATGAAGTTAGAGGAATGAGTCCTATATCTCCACACCCAAATAGCCACACATATGGTGTTCCTTGCAGACCATTTCAATTTAATGATCCAGACAACTCCCTGAGAGACAGAGATGATTCTCATATTTCACTTCTTTTAAAGACAGGATTAGTTCACAAGTCGAAAGATGAAGAAGATTGGATTCCAGTTGGTGATCAGAGAAATTATTTACCAGTTTCAGAAGATGTTGGGCATCAATTGAAGTTGGAAGTATTTCTAGTATTTAATTCAGGATTAGATTCAAATTCTGAAGTTTTTGAAAAATTTCTATCTGAAGCCAGAAAATCTTCAGAAACATATTCGCAAATTACTACAGCTTGCTGTGTTCCAAATCTTCCTCAAGCTCCTCCAAGATGCATTTTAACTGTACCCAATAATCAAATAAATGGGATCGGTGTTAATCATAGTACAGGCACAGTTATTGGTCATTCTAGGTTTAAAGTTTTTTCTTGGAATATTCTTGCAGAAATATATGCCAGCCAAGAAGCATTTCCTCATTGTGACGCGTACATGCTTTCATGGTCATATCGTAAAACTAGAATAATTGTTGAAATTCTGAGTCACCAACCCGATATTGTCTGTCTCCAAGAAGTTCAAACTGAGCATTTTGATGACTTTTTTAAACCTGTGCTACAACAATACGGTTATGAGGGTGTTTATAAACAAAAAACTACAGAGATTTTTACGTCCGGTAGCGGAAGAAGAAAGGATGGGAAGTACACTATGGATGGATGTGCTACATTCTACAAAACCAATAAATTTATTGCTAAAGAAAATTATTCGTTAGAGTTTTCTGCTCTTATTAAAGAAGCTACACATAGAACACTCCCAGCTGAAGTTAAAAATAATCCTGCTGCGATTAAAAGACTGCTTAAAGATAATGTTGCGGTTGTTATTCTTCTTGAATATCACCAAAATAACGTAATTAGCTCCGATTCAAATCATTCTATTCATAATCAGTTATCAGGAAATACATCAGGAGTTAATAATAGAGGAATTGTTGGGATGAATGGTTCAACTAATTTAGTAGTAAATGGTGTTCAAAATCAGTCTGGAGTGCTTATTTCATCTTCAAATAATCAAATTCAATCTGAATCTTCAAAAAAATCCATGAATTCCTCTGCGCCCCTACAAGTTATTATTGCCAATACACACATAGTAGCAAATCCAGAAGCAAATGATGTTAAAATCTGGCAGGCACAAACTCTGGTATCAGTATTAGAAGAATATCTGCATGATTGTTACAGGAGACAGCCAGTCTTACCTGGACTTATTATTTGTGGTGATTTCAACAGCACTCCTGATAGTGCTTTATATCGTCTTTTAGCAACGGGAACTTGTGAGAAAACACACAAAGATCTTGCTATGGACCGTTATGGGCTCCTTTCGGATCTACAACTTGGACACTCAATGAGATTACGTAGTGCATATTCTATGGCAAAAGCTATAGTTGAGGGCCATAATCCCAACATGCTCGCATCATCTACCGAATCTCTTGAACCAGTTTTCACAAATTATACGCCAAACTATCTTGGTTGTCTAGATTACGTGTTTTACACCGATGAAAGACTGAGACTTGGGGGAGTTCTTGAACTTTTAGATGAAGAAGCACTTATTCGTGAAGCTGCTGCTTTGCAACTTCCCGACTGGTCTCTGCCAAATCCACAAAGGCCATCTGACCACCTTCCATTATTAACGGAATTTGAATGGAATATTTAATAATTTAAATCTAATTAATTCTTATTTTACTGATTTAGTTCTTAATAGTAATAGAAAATATAATCTATCGATTTTACTTCTAACTTGTATTATACCATTTTCCAGTTTAATTTCTTAATAGGTCAATTCCAATTGGCGCTAAATACATGCAGATTTTTGGTCATTCTTTTACCGAGCTTTGCTAAATAATGCTAAAAAAAATAATGCATGTTAATTGAATGCAGGCAATGATGGCCAATAAACATATTTGCATTATAATTTTGTTGCTCTTTAAAAATCCATTGTAATTACTATACCAAAACAAAAAAAGAATGAGTGGTAAGGAACAACAGTAAAGCAACTATTTCTCATTTTGTTTGTTTGATTTTGTCATTGTAAATTCTTCATATATTGAAAATCAACCAAAATTAATGGATTCATGATTTAACAAAATTCAACTTAAATAATAAAATATAAAGATTACTAGATCAATTAATAAAAATATTTTAACATTGGTCTATAAAAATGCCATCATTAAAAGAAAAAAAAATAGAAAATTTACCTGAAAATAAATACAAAAGTAACCTTGGAACTAATAAGAGTTTCTTGGAAAATTCCAATGAAAGAATGAGTTTAGAAATAACTTTTCTTGTTTCAAGTATCATTATTTGCATTGTGGTTTCCTTAATCAGCATTGTAACACAGGGTAAAAATCAAATAAGGGTAAACTGTAGCGATCCAACTCACATTGTAGTAATGACGCATGGGTGGGCAGGAACTCCAGCAAATATGGATGTTCTTGCAGAAAGAATTTTAAATAAATATAGTATTTTGATAAATAATGAATGGTCTAAAAATCAACAAATTAAAAAATCAGAATGTATATTAATTTACAAAGTTCATTCTAATTGGGGATACTTCAGAAGCATTTTCATAACATCCGATGGTATTGAAAATGGAGCTTTGAGAATGTCAAAAGAAATACAAGAAGTAATTATAAAAACACCTTCTTTGGAAAAGATATCCTTCATTGGTCATAGTCTTGGAGGTCTTTATAATAGGGCAGTACTTCCTTTATTAAGTGATTCTTCTCTAGGTAAACAAAAAAATCAATCGGGAAATAATAAAGGTTTAATAGGTGGTCTCAAACCAATGAATTTTATATCTATTGGCACTCCACATAAAGGCGTACTCAGCGATAATTGCACTTTTTTCGGGTTTGAAGTTCTTAAAATGTTATTTCCATGGAGATGGATTTCAAGGTTACCAACTATTTCACAATTACTAATGATGGACAAAAATGGCCCATTAATAGCTGATATGATGAATAATATGAATATGATTAACCCTCTTTCTTGGTTTAAACACAGGCATACTGTTGGATCAATAAAAGGTGATTTATTAGTACCACCAACCTCGGCATCCCTTCTACCTTTTTGCATAGATAATGAGGGCTTTTCACTATTATCATTCAATAACTATGAATTCAGTAGAAGGTATCAAACAGATAATATTTATAAATTTAATAACTTTAAACAAAATTACCAATTTAGTTCAAAAATTATTAAAAATTACTTAAATTTCGTTCCAAATAATAAAGTAAAAGATGGTGAGGAGAATTTAATTGAATGGATAACAGTAATTGATTCTGGAAACGAGAAAACTTATGAAAATAAAAATGAATTGTACTATAGAAATATGAAAAATAGAAGAAAATTGATTAATTTAGTTAAAGAAAAATACCAAAATAAATTTCTCAATCAAAAAACGTTGGATGATGTAATTAATAAAAACACAAATGGTAATTTAGACAAACTTGTATGGATGAAAACCTCAGTATTGTTTAAGAATAAAATACATAGGTTTTTCTCACATCAGCTAATGATGTTTTGTTTTGAGAATTGGGGTTATTTCCTTTTAGGAAATAATTTCCAATTATTAGACCATATCATAGAAAACATGAGATTCTGAAACTAAATTAAATTATTTCATTTAGATTGTTTTATATTTTCAATTAAATAAATTAAATCATTATTATTATCACAAATAGTATTGTAAAAATTAATAAAAGGTATGAAAGTAACTTTAATTCTTTCCAAGCTATTATCGAAGTAGTATTATATAGTAATTAAATAATTTGATAACTTACTTGAAATTCCTATACTCTTCATCATCTTATCGAAAACAAAATTCAATTTTATATCTGATAAAAATTGCTAGTGAACAATAAAAATAATAAATATATAACTTACTTTCGTTTTCTAATTCATATTCCATTCCTTCTATTAAATTATTTTGCTCATTCAATTCCTGTGAAATTATTAATGCTGCGTTGTGAAGCTTTTTAGTATTCTGATTGATATATTCTAAATTCTCATCTTTATTTGAAATTCTAATATTATAAAATTCATTTTCCATATTAGAATTACTTATTGATGTATGGCTATTCAATAGAAAGTCTCTATTTATTTTTCGTTGATTTTGTATTTCTTTTTCTTTTGCACGGTTATATATTAGCCTTGCTTGTTCCTTGCAATTTATCATAATTTCATATTTAGCTCTCAATTTTCTTTCCCTATTATTTATCTCATCTTTATTTATTTCAAGAAATCTTTCTGGGTTTTTTTTTACATTATTCACTATATTATCCAATACTTTATACATCTCGTCAAAGTTCTTAATTTCCATATTGATGTTTTCATATAAGCAGTTAAATTCAGTATTTTTATTGTAGTTGGAGATATTATCCGTCTTTTCCTTATATTCTTTGCATTTCTGAATTAGATTTTCTGAAATATTTTCAAGCTCACTAAAAATAAGAATCAATTAATAATACATGCAAATTAAAATGTTAAGTGAAAAAATGAATAAATTTTCTTACCTGAAAGCTTTATAGTATGGATCTTTTCCGTACATTAATCAAAAGAAATTTAACAAGTAAATCTTCATTTAAAAGTATTTTTTTTTTAAGTTATTTTTAATTTCTATACGCAGTAAAATCATCCCCCAATTTCTTGATTATTATTTCTCAGATTTTCAAAAGAATTCAAAAGACAAAAAAAATTAGAAGAAAAAAATAAGAAAATAAGAAATAATTAATAATTTAAGATTCTAATGTAGCACCAACTGCCATTGAAAATTGACATGAAAAAAACACTATCCCCAAATGGCTGGTACATTTTACTCACCACAAAATTAACAGCGATTTTCCGCCAGCTTGGGGGAAAAAAATTTAAGGGTTAACATTACAAAATATAACTTTTATTCGGTCTTACTGAACACCAAAAATGCATTGTAATCTTTGCCAAGCTAAACAAAAAAATAATCCTCTCCAATCAAAAATTCATTCAATTCAACGTTATCACTTTGAGAGGGGGTGAGGACTCAAAAATGTTGGAATTGCATTGGATTTTGTTTAAAAAATAAATACAAAAAAAAAAATAATTTAGTTTTATAAAAAATTCTTTTTAAAAATTTTCGAATTTTTTTTTCATAAAGTAAAATATTACTTTCTTAAGTTTCAACGTAAATAAATCGTTTTGTTGGCTTCGTCCGTATCATTTCTACATTACAATTAACACACAAAATTTGATTTATCTTACGTTAAAAATACTGCGTTTTGAAATTTCATAATATCTTCTTTAGCTGTTTATAAAGTTGTTAGTCACAATTTATTCATCTGAAAACTGATTCAGGCAAGACAAAGTGTTTTCAGACGATATGATTACAATATACCAAAGTATTATATTAGAGTGAAATTCAATGTTTATCTTGAATTAAATCATTAGTTAAATCGATCACTACTCCCAGTAAATTTTTTCATTGAAGAATTAAAATCAGAATTCATGAATTCCTTGTTGAAGTTATCCGAAACATTTTTTAGCCTCAAATTCTTGACAATATTTATTGCATTTTCGATTCTATCAATTGAAACTGTATACTTATTGATGAGATCCATTTCACCCTTAAGCATATCTTTTCTGAATTGAATTCTAATATTTGGAACATTTGACCTCGAAATATCATTGATTTCGCAAGGTTCAAAATCATTTAAAAAATTATATAATGATTTATTTAAATGATTATAATTTTTGATGCCTAACCAACTTGCTTTATATTTTGGAGAAAACCCAGATTGTAAGACTGAATTTCTTGCAATCTCACAAAGGTCAATATTGTTCAGTTTCCAGATATGAGAAGCAATCGAATACTCTTCAAGAAGAGATTCATCCGTGAAGTGAAAAATTAGAGGATCATCGGTTGATAATGATACATTCAATCCAACATTAAAAAATTTTGGAAATGGATTTTTCATTAACTCTAAAAATAATGCATTGTTAGAAACAGGGGAGACAGCTATACCAATCTGTTTTAAATAATATAGGTATTGTAGTACCGGGGTTTTTTTAAGTAATATTCCATGGTTAATGGAGTCGGCCAATAAGTACATTGTAGCCAAATGCGAGATTTTCCCAGCTTCTCCACAGTGAGGTCTGAATTTCAACGGATTTAAACCTCTAGAGTATAAAAGTTGATTAAGTACTCGAATATTACTATAAAGATAGAACCCCCAATAAGAGTATGGTGGATTATCATCTGATTTCCAATATTCCGGATAACAAAAGTTTGGGCTATTCATTGAATATTTACTTAATTGGCTTTCATCATCTACAGTATCCCAGCCAACAATATTTGAAAGTAGAATAAAAATAAATGGATTCTCTTTTGGATTGATCAAAGCTTCTATTAATGGAGAGAAAATATTTTCTAGTAGTTCGCTGAATGATTTAACATATCCATCTTTATAAAATACGTTATAAAGTCTAGGAATTTGAATTATCCATCTTACATGTTTACAATACAAGCCATTATAATAAAACCATTCTGACAAAGTCTTCCATTCATTCTTATCTTTGCCATAAACACTGATTCTCCATTCTACATATTGATAATGTGTGTTTTTTAAATCTTGAATTACTTCTTTAGTAATATCAGCAAGATATTTCCCTTTAATTGAATTGTTATATTTCAAGAATATATCTCTCATCAAATTAGATCCAAATGGATTATATTTCTCGTTGAATCTGTCGAATCTCTGAAAACAGTTCCTAATTGCATCCATATTTAAATGATCTATGGAATTATTTCGATAATCACAACCAAAAACATTACTAAATACCTGCCCTAATGTGCTTGGAACATTTTCACGATTATAAAATACGACTCGGTCTTTGTCTGAATTATAGCACTTCCTAATAAACTTAAGGAGGTGTTGCTGGCTCATACAAGCTGAATGGTGAACATGTGTATCGACCTTGTAAACATTATAAAAACCTGTCCTAATGTTTTTCTTAGACAATTCGTTTTCTAATTTTCCATTAAAAAGAGAATATAGCTGATAACTTTGTAGCAAAAATTTTAATCTATAATATGTAAAACTTTTAACTATTGGACTATGAACCAGACTCATTATTCTCCTCAAACATCTTATGAATTCGTGTACAGATTTACTTTCAGTTTCATACAATGGGAAGCTTTTCTTTATGTTCAAGCATTTTCCAGAACTTACGTTAAAACCATCTAACTCATAACTCAAGTTTAGATCCATTGTCTCTGTTTTCTTAATTTTTTTGAATGTAATAGGGTTATAAATCAAATTTTTATTAGAGTACCATTTGATATTGTAAATACCATTAATCATTTCATATTTCACATCTATCTTCCCTGGAAGAGTTTCTAAAATAGATTCGATATCCAATACAGGGTTACCGTCCTGTAGATGCCCATAGTTATGGATTATTAAATGATCATGTTCAATCATAGGTAGCTCATAATTCCATTCGTCTCTCATCTTTAGTACTTCATCAATTAGTCCAATTGCAATGTTCATTTCCTTATCATAAGATTTAGCAAAAACTATTTCCGAGTTTGGAATCAATTTTACATATTCAGTCTCAAGCTCGTCGTTCAGTATCCATCTATTAAATTCGTCCAAAGTACTATTTGAAGGGCTCTTTTTCAAATTATAGTCAGCATTAGAATACCGGCTTGAAGTGCTTTCAGTAAAATTTAAATCTTCAATTTGAGTTTTATCTGGATTAGAAATGTAATCAATCGAATTGTCATCCAAGTCTACAGAATCATGTTCTATTGAATCGGAATCATTAATCTTCTCGATTTTACTATCCGAGGAAGATTTGAAAAGTAAGAATTCATCTAAAGGGCACACAGCTTCTTTACTTTCCCTTGAATTAATTGGATCTTCGGTTAAGGTTTGTTCCATCTCAGATTTTTTATAAGTTGCAGTCTGCATAGAACAAACATTAATGTTATTTTTGGTCATTTCTTCATTCATAATTAAAGTTGAACTACAAAGTATTCTTAAAATTCATTCTAACACTTGTTGAAACGGTTAAAATGTTTTAGGGTGATTCAATATATATAATTCAGACGGCCTCAACTTGAATTCAAAACTAAATGGAAACTAATTTAATTTCAAAAAGTCAAAAAAAATATATGCGCTGTCTTTATGTTTGGCGCCAAAATGTTTGCCAAAGTTGGTAAAAAGTTTTTTTATATTACTTATTTCCCAGCTAAACATTTCATACTAAGCACATATATTCGTAAATTAGTCAATTTTAGTTCTATTTTTCAATTTTCAATAAACTTTATTTATTTGTCTTCAATCTCACTATATATATATATATATATATTTTTTTTTTTTATAGCCATGTAGAGAAAAATCATGGTTCTATTAGTGTAAAAGAATCAATATAGTCATATGGAGATACCATTTTGATGTATTGGTCATGAAGAGTGGGTGGATCGTCTAACTGCACTATATTTGTATAGGGGTCACTGATTGAAATTAGTGGCTCTGTGATTTTGTAATCTTCGAAAAAGTTCATGTAGTCTGTTACATTTGAAGTGCATAGACTTTCTTGACAAACAAGGTTTTCTGTACTACATGTTTCCTCATCCAAAATGACGGTTTGTCCGTCAGTCGAATCATTCTGTAGATTATTAACATTCGAACTGTGAAGATTGAGTACTTCATCTATATTCATTAAATTCAACATAGAATCCTTATTTAAGAACACTTGATCATGATACATTTTGAAGGGCTTGAACTCAATATTCTGTGAATATTCATGTTCATGAGCTTCAAATCCCTTGTTTAGAGATGAATTCTCATTCAATGTTTTTAATCTATTTGATTCTCCCGAGTAAACGTAATCCGTATTAAAGTTATTGATATAACTTTCATCAATTTTCATCTGAACTTGGTTTTCAAAAACATCAATATTTTCATTATTATTGCAACTATTTTCAACAACGTAAGAAGTATTCGCACATTCTTCTTCTGAACTTTTTAAATTCGAAGTTTCAGACAAGAATTTAACGTTATTCTGTTCAAGATTGGCTTCACAATAATTTTCTAACCCTACTAAAGCTGCATTGCTTTGAGAAAAACTAGTTGATTGGGTAAGATACGTTGATACTGCTTCTCTATAGGCATTTGTCACTTTTTCAGGAGAAACTTTGGAGTCTATGCTCTTTACCCAGTAATTTATCGGCTTTAATGATGAGTCCATTCTACTTTTTTCTTCAAAATTATCCATTTTGCCTTGAATACTCGTATATGATGAATTTTTCTCTGTAATCCCACTACTTTCACCAAAACCACTATATTTACACTGCTCAGTTTGCGACTGAAAAATACAAGCATGTTTTAATGCTTTCTTCACACCACCATAAATCGTAGGATTAAATGATTTAGTATTCATCTGATTTATAGCTCCCAAACGTTTATAAGAAACAATAAATACTCTTCTACTAGGAACCCAGATAATTCTTTTTGGTAGAGGTTTAAGCCGATTTGCCTGTTCATTTAAACTTAATACGCTATCTGCATCACTATCTTGACAAAAATGATTGTTATTTTCAATTTTTACGAATGTTAAATGTGCATTATTATTGTTAATATAGTTACTGATTTTTTGGGAAGATCTTTTCCCGTTAATCCCAGATTTTGAATTTATTGAAAGATTATTTGGTGATGAAATATTTTCCATATTATATTTATTTATATGCTCCACAAAATTATTAGAATGGTTTTTCTGAGTCATCGATTTCTGTTTTTTTATCCACTTTATTGCCAGGTTAAATGCTTCTAACACGCCTCTAGATCTAACTGAAAACCATGCTCTTCTTTTATTATATGTAATACTGAAACCTAACCTTTTTACACAAAATTTTATAAATGAAGAATAAGGAGGAACGAGTAGAATTTCAACTTGCTGGGAAATTACGCCTATATCATCTGATACAGCTGTAAGTATTTGCTTGTTCGTATTGTTGATATGATCTAAACTTTTAATCTCACTGCATCTATCAATGATTTCATGAATATTAACCAAATCATTATTTTTTGGGCTATCAGAGAAATTATTCGCATTTTTTCTGGAAATATCTCGAGCTTCTATTTCAAATAATTCATTTTCGTATTCTTTATTCTTTAAATCTTCGATTTCTTTTTGTCTCTTTTTCTTATTTCCATTTAAATTTGATTGATAATCTATATTCGTATCAGTTCTGTTTGAGTTATAATTGCACGCTGAAGGGTTTAATTCTTTATGTTTCGAGTTGTTAACACCTTTGTACTTAATTGAACAAATTGTTATGTAGTTTTTGAACAGTTCAAATGAATCATTTTCATTAGTAACTCTTACTCCAATGTATTCTTGTTCCTGTGCTAAGTGGTCATTAATACTAGCTTCCAATGGAAAATTAGTTCCCATCTCTTGCTTGTATATTCTGTTATTTTTTTGAATGTTGTACCTCCAAGACAAAGTCTCCAAATTCCACTGAATACCTTCTGGATATGGCAGTAATAATTGTCTATGTTGTTCTATTAGCATAGGTATTGGAATTCTTAAGTATTTATATTCTCCAATAAATTTTTCATTCATCCATTTTTCAAAGAAGTAGTAGAGCAGAACAGATTGGGAAATATAACACTTTCTTGTTAAATCTCCAAAATTGTGGCTTATATCGTCTCTCACAAGTTGGAACTCGCTGATTATCATTTCATTAATGTTTTTTGAAATATAATTTTTCACAAGTAATATTTCTATTGGTAAATTGCAATTTTGATCATTCTCATTTTCATTTTGTATACTTTCAATTGAAACCCCTTTTTTTGGTTTAAAACTAATTTTGTGAACAGAATTAAGATTATAAAGTTCTCTATCACAGCTGGTACTTTTCCAACGATCAAAGTAGTGGATTTGATTTTCTGTCAAATTAAGGGTATTTTCTTTTTCTCCTAGAACAAAAACCAAAGCATTTTTAAAGATTCTTGTTGAAAATCTGAATTCACCGTAGTAAAAACTACCAGGAGTGACACTAGTGTTGTTATGACTCCTATTGCAAAGATTGCAGTAATATTCATTGGTACAATTTAGAGAATAGGGAACAGAAATAATATGATTACTATTGTTGCTATTATCATATTCATCATTCATTCCTGATTTATTCTTTGTAACTGCAGTACTTACGGAAGAAACTGACACAGCTGTTGCTTCACAACTTTTTGGCGATTCTTTACAATTAAATCTCTCCAATTTTTGTTCAAGCCTACGACTTCTACTCCTTAATTTCATGACCTCATCCCCTATAGTAGGAATCAATAGATCCATATTGTTATTAACAGACAATACTAGCTCGTCTCCTGGATAGATACATACATTTGGATTTGAAGTAACATATAATCTACCATCAATAACCTCTAGATGGCAGTTACTTTCATCGCTTTCTTTCCACGTTTTTTGAATAAATCCAAGAATACCAGTAATATTTCTTGTATCTATAACAACTCCATTATATTTCCAAATCCAATTTAGAGAACTATTTAATTCAGTATATTCATATTCCTTACTCTTGAAAGCCAAACTATCTAAACTCAATAATTCTCCATAAATTTCACCTATTATTATTCTTTCATTATTTCCATTTATGGCTTTATTTCCAATATACCTGACACCATATCTCAAATAATCCTCATCTCCTATTTTTCCATGCTCTTCGTAAAGTCCTAAATAAGGAATTCCCAGTTCATTTGGAGACCAAATAATACTTCTTCCAGTTAATTTTTTTATTTCATCTCCTGATTTTTGTTCTATTATCATTTTTCTTTTTTTTAGAAATAATATTCAATGTTTTAATTTATTTTTTTTTTCATAAGTTGTTTACACACAATTGAATTTCATTTAATTGAACAGTCTTAATTAATCTTGATTAATGTTATATTTTAGTCATCAATTATTCCTCCACTATTTTTATTTATTTCCACCACTTTTTTCCATTAATAATTATTTATTTAACTGACTACTGAAGTTGTCAGCCTATGATTTTTTATTTCTGTGGGTACCATCCACAATAATTAATTAAACGTCACCACGATACATAATAATATTGTATAATTATTTATACTTATTTTTGTATTAAGGTATAAATATATAATTTTTTCAAAGTTTTCATAATTATTTTTTAAAATTAATATATGTTTATATTTTTCCCACAATTTTTATTGCATGCATGCATTATTTTTAATTGTGGGGGACTCTAATCCCACATCAAAACTAAATATTGAAAAAAGAAAAAAACGAGAATTTTCTTATTAAAAATTCATACAGAAATAATTTAATCTCTAAAATAAGAAGTAATTTCAAAGCTTTGAAGATAAAATTAAGCGACAAAATTATTATCATTGAAACATTTATAAGTGATAAATAAAATAGATATTTATGAAAGATTGGCCAATATTAAATATATACTGAAATTTTATTTACATTTGTAAATAAATAATATAAATTAAACTTAATTTTATTATTAAATTGTTATATTAGTCAATCATCGCTTTAATGAATCAATTAAGTAAAGAAATAAAACTATGTGGTGTATATGAATGTAATTATACAAACACAGGTGGAGAAATTATTCATATTTCACCGACTAATAATTATTATTCAGATTTAAATATTAATGAAGAAGTTACAAAAGTTTTACTTCCATATTATATTGATGTGAATTTTGATGGAATTAATCAATTTGAAAGTCAATATCACATAGTATTAAGGTTTAATAATACATCAGATAACATTATGGTAAGATTAAATAGGATGTATATAGTGCACGAGGGTATTCCTGTTCAAGTTCACAATCTAAATTGTTATTTACTCGGCAAAACAACCAAAATTAGTAATGATATGAAGCTAAGTCTATTGGGATCTTCTTCAATAAAAAACAAATCACAGTATTTCAAGTCAATCAGAGTAGTTATTAAAATTGACAATTTGGGGAATGAAGAAATAAATACAGGATTTAGCAATAAAAATTCGATTAGAATTCTGCTAGATTATTTCGTAGATTTCCATGGTTTAATTGCAAGTATTAACGTAATTCAAAGTGATATAAAGAATATTAATTTTATAAGGAACTCACCTATTGAAGAATCTGAAGAAACATTTTCAGAAACTTGTAGTGAAGATCATTCGTTTGCTCCAATATTAATGCCTACAATGGGGCACAGATAAAGACAAATTTAAAAGAAAATAAACAATAAGTTATTTTAAATATATATAAAAATTACTTTTGTAGATTCAGATTAATAATATTTATTAGTTTTGTAAAACAACAACTTTTGCTGACATAATTGGTGTTTCAACAAAATTATTTGTACTAGTTTTTAAATCAGCTTTATTATTATGCGTAATTTTATTATTCTTTTTCATATTTCCCGAGAAAGTAGTTTTAATGTTCTCAATACTAGTCTTTTTGTTTACGTCATTATCATATATTGATGACTTTATATTCTCAGATTCACTGTCTGATTTTAACGAGACTTCGTCATCTATCAAGGTTTGATTTGCATTATGAGACTTATTATCTAAATGGGAATCTGAAGTATTGGATTTTACATCAAAGCTTCCCCCAATAATTCTTATTTTAGATTTATATAACTTAGTATTCTCGTATTCATAAATTCTTTCATCTTTAATATTCATAACTTCAGTATTAAAATATAAAATCCACTTGGAATATAAATAAAAAATCTTTAAAGTACCAATTATATCTTGAAATTTTAAAATTACAATTGATAAAATGGAGAGAATTAAACCAGTAAGGTTATTATTAAGCCAATTTGACCAACTGCTTTTTAGAGATGTACTTAGAAGAGTTTGGAATCCTTGAACAGACATCAAACCTGTTAACCCAAAAGTTTCTACATTGTTAGTTTTACACCTCTGATAAATTCCAAGCATTGAAACTACCGAAAATAAAATAATAGCAATTTCCTTTATGCCAATATCAAAAATGGATTCAAAAATTGACCCAAATAAACTTAAGTTAGAAACATTCCCACTTGTCAAAGTTAATTTTGAGAGTTTCATATAAAATATAGCTTTAATTCCGATGCAAACAGGTAATACTATCAAAATTTGTCCCAAAGTCATAAAAAGGTGAATATATACGTTACATAGTTTCCTTTTTAGATCATCAATCGGGCTAATTCTGGTGAAGTTAATGTTGTATTTTGGGTTAGATTCTATTTTATCTGCCATTAATTCCCTCAAAATTCGATTGCAAATTAGATGAAAAATGACATCATGCAAGCAAGGAAGTATTAATGTTGGAATAAGTCCACAAAATAAAAAGCTAAGGGTTGTTTTCTTAAAGTAAATTGTCATTCCTTTAATTGGTGTAACTGAAAAAAGAGAAATGAAGCTCAGGAAAATAATCAATAAATTTTGATAAGAGATTTTATTATCAGCAATCATTCTTGATCTTTGAAATAGTTTCTCTGTTTCTAAATTAATATTTTCAGTTATTTTGTTGCTTTCAAATGCTGAGGAATTTGAAATATTAATTGAAACATCTGGTTGATTATTATCGCAAACGTTTAATTTAGTATAGATCATTTTGTCTTTGCAGGCTTTTGTAAAGTAGTATTGTTTATTTATTTTATATGTAAATATGAAGAATATTAAGAGAGAAATTAAAGGAGCAAAAGGCTGGGATAAGGAAATTATTTGAATTGGAAAAAACTTATCAACCAAAGGTTGTGATATCGTTAAAATACTGGAAATGAACATCCAAATAATTAGTGATACCTTCGACTTTCTGGAAAGATTAATAAAAAGATTACTCACATTATTTATAGAGGAATCTAATGAACTAACATCTCTTGTTGATCTTTTGGTTGCCAAAACATTAATTCTTCCTTTTAAATAATGTATTTCAAATAGTAAAAATATTAGTAATCCATTCCCAAATAGCGATCTTAAAATTATAAAATCAACCATGCTCTTTCTAAAATTACTCATCATAGCTTTGTGAATTAGAGACAATACAACTCCTCCTAAAAATACAAATTGGTTTTCTATAATAGGTAATAGTACTTTTCTTGGGTGCGGTGGTAGTTCATCAAGTAATTTTTGTCTTTTCACAAAAAAAGAATTTCCATTGATTAGTCCATTATTGAGTAATTTTCTGTCATTCTTTCTCTCTTCAATCGCTGCTCTCCTGTTATTTACCGAAAAAACCTTTCTTGATTCTAGCTGAATTTTTTCCAATACTACTGGTCTATTTGGTTCATTGGAATTCATTTTTTAATTTAATACCAGTATAAAAAGGAGTAAAATTGTGAATTTCACTACTTTAAATTTTCTAATATGATAAAAATAATTGAATAATCAAATTTCTTTTTTTTTCACACATTGAAGAATTTAATCCATTAAATAGTGATCGCCTATGCACACCAAATTATTTAAATTTTTTTTTTTAACCAAAACAATAAAAAAAAAGAAAATAGTTTTATTATTAAAATCCTTTTAATCTGCATTCTTAGTTATTGAAATATCAACCCCTATTGAGATATGATCTGAGGGATATTGAGGAGATGGAAGGGTATTAATAGGAATTAACATTGATTCATTAACATAAGGTAAATAATTGTTCAAAAAAATGACATACTTATCAGAAAAACCTGCTTCTTCCACTAAATAAATATAATCTAGTTGACCAGAAAATCCTTCAACCTTGTTTGTAAAAGGATAGTATAATTTGTTATTAAACCCTTTAGAGTCAGAATTTTCAATTCTTTCTTTTTCTTTAACACGAATTTTAATGTTTTTATACTTTCTGTCCAAATAAATATCCAGTAAATCAATACATTTGTGATTGGTTTGAAAATCGAAACCCAGATTATTTAACTCAGAATTATTAATTAAACCTTCTTTGTCATTATTTCCATTACTCTCATATTCAATATTGTTATCTAAACCTCTCTTCTTTTTATATTTAAAAAGCGCAGAATGACCCCATTCAGATGAATTTGAAGTAATAATACCTTCAGTAAAAAGTGTTCTAGCATCTGAAATTGCAAGTGTATTGAAGTCACCTAATATAAAAGAGAAAATGTCCCTAGATGGAAAGTCTGTTCTCAATCTTTTTAGGTACTTTTCAATTAAGTCCATGAGCAGCTTTGCTTGAAGAATTCTTATGTGTCCTCCTAAAGGATGGTAGTAGAAATGTGTATTAGCAAACAAATAAATCACTTTCGTAATTTTATGTTCCAACACAGTAATTTGAAATATTGTTGTAATTTTATCTAGTAAACACTCTGTAAAGTTTGGCCATTTTATATTAATTTCTTTATTAATCTCTGGATAGTCTTGAACCAGTATTTTTTTGAAAAGTAGTGTCTCAGATTCTAATATATTAAATAACTCTTGTTTATAAAATGTTGAGATATTGGCATATTCAGTGTGGAAAACTCCTGAGTATCCCTTAAATTTCATTAATATATGAATAAATGACTCATATAAACACGATTGAACTTCCTGAAGACCAATTACATCTGCTTCTAAATCAATAAGTTCTCTAGCCAATAAACTTCTTCTATAATATGAATTTAATGCATATTTAGGGCATTTTGTATACATTTCATTTAGAGCCATGTCTGTTTGGGCACAAATTTCTGATAAAATATTGAAAGTTACTATTTTTAATCTATTTACATTCAGTTCAGGACTTAATTTCAAGTCATTTTTAAAACTATTTATTCTTTCTTCTCTCCAACTTGGTTCCAATGGCTTATTAATATGATTAAACCTGTATATTGTATCAAATAATTGGGAAATTTCTGAATTTAGAATTATCCTGAATATTATCGAATAGTTTTCAATGTTTTCAATTACTCTGTCAATTTCTTCTTTATTTGCAAATATTAAATTCAAGTCACAAATATAATTTTGATCAATTTCAAGTAAGTTTTCTGGAAGATTCGATAATATATCATGATTTGTTTTTGTTTCACTTGCATTATATTGTAAATACCACCTATATGAAAAATGGCTTAAATCACCTTTTATAAATGTTATATTTGGTACTATTGGAAATCCCAATCTAATTTCGTTTTTTAAAACCACAGATTGAACCAAAGGTACGTTCTTCTTAAGTAAATAGTAAAATTCTTTGCATTTTTCATTATTTGCCACTATATTAACTTGAACAATATCCAGATTCTCATTATTAATAATATCTTCTAGCGTTGTATTTTGAATATCATTCAAATTCTTATCATATATTTTTACATTAATTTCTATTTTAAAGTTTTCGTTAAATCTTAATTTGATAAAATTTTCGATATGTTTTTTCAGATTCAAAGAAAGCCTTTTGATAAATATAGTCACATTCTCAGTTGGAGCCCTATTCATTGTTATTGATATCTTTTTGAAACAATTCCCATTTTTTACTTCGTTCTTAGCAATTTGTGAGAAGAAATCTTCAATTTCTTCATTTAATCGTATTAAACATTTAATGATAACCAGATTTTCAGAATCACATTTTGTGAAAATAATAACTCCATTGTTTGTATCATTTAATTTTATTTTCATTTTTTTATCATTAGTTTATGTTTCCCACAAAAAAAAATTATCAATATTTTCCGCCCATATATATTATTTCAAAGGTAAATTATACAAATAATATTATTTAACAAATATCTTTAAGATTTTGTTCCTACCAAAAGATCCTTCCAATTTTTTTAGAACACTATTCTTGGTTTTTAAACTCAATATTTGATGATTAGTAATTTATTCTAAAATGAGACTTATAATAGCGAATATTTTTTAATACATAACACATTTATTAATTTATTTTGGCAAAATATTTCCCACAATATAAATATCTTCTATATTATTATATTTATCATTAATTCACAGTTAAATTAATGTTTTAGCTTCTAGAACCTATAATAATGTTGTCAAACACGAAAAACAAAAAAGAGAAACTGTAGTTGATAATTTATTAAACTAATTATTGAATGAAGAGAATGTTTCAAAAAAACTTTTAAAATTAAAAGATATCAAATCATCTAACTATAAACTATATGTAATAGTTATACGGTGAAACATGAATTATACAAAAATTTTAAGAATAAAATTACAAGTTTACTTGAATAATCTTATTTTACTTTAAAATATAATTAATTGCGCCAGTTTTAGCGGCATTTTAATAGATACATATATTTGTAAAATTTGACATTAATATGAATTATTATTAAATTACTTAAAATACACTGTATATTTTGAGTAGTGTTTCCTACTTTTTATATGTATTTATAGAGGTGGTATCACCGATTTAAGTATGAATGAGAGCTTATTGTATTTTCCAGATGAAGAATTGGAGGAAGAGGAGGTAAATGAACAATCTAAATCCGAGTCTATCTATAATAGTAAATTTTCGGATATAAAGGGGCTTAATAAGAAATTAATTTCTCAGTTAAGCGCTTTGGGATATGAAAAAATGACCAAGGTTCAGGAAATAGTTATTCCAAAGATACTTAATGGAGGTGATATATTATTTAGAGCTCCAACAGGAACAGGTAAGACCCTTTCGTTTTTGGTACCAACAATACAGAGAAGTTTATTGAATGAAATAGAGAAAACAACTATCAGTAGAAGTGATGGTACAGTTATACTAATTTTGACGCCAACAAGAGAGCTTTGTATACAGACTGTTGAGACTGCAAGATTGATTGTTCAAAAAATGCCTTGGTGTGTAACTGGATGTATATGCGGAGGTGAGAAGAGAAAAAGTGAAAAAGCAAGATTAAGAAAAGGAATTACAATTTTAGGAGGAACTCCAGGTAGAATTCTGGATCATATTGACTCAACAAACTGTTTTAAGGTCACTAATTTAAGAACTTTAATAGTAGATGAAGCTGATAGATTATTAGAAGAAGGTTTTGGAGCATCTTATAAAAAGATCTACCAATTCATCATGAATAAAGATGCAAACTCTAATGTCTGCGGATTGTATAATGAAGATGATGATGAGGAATTATCTATGTTATTAAATGTTAAAGTTAATAAAGAGAAAAGATTTGACAAAATTAACAAACAAATTATTTTGGTCTCTGCAACATTATCAAAACCTGTAGAAGATTTAGCAAGATATTCTCTTAAGAATAATCCAGAATGGCTTATATTGGATCAATACAAAGAAATTGGTCACAAAAAAAGTGATGGAGAATTAGAAATAGTTCAAGATGCTTTAGAAGGAAGTCAGAATATTCCGAGTAAAGGATTATTTTCAGTTCCAATTAATCTCCGTCAAGAATACGTGGTTGTTCAAGATAAGTTCAGGATACCTGCTCTTATTTCTTTATTACTTTCACGCACAGGGAATGGAAAAAGAACTGTGTTATTTGTTTCAAGTACTCAAGTTGTTGAGTTTTATTTTGCATTGCTGCAAAGTATGAGATGGCCATCAAAGTTGCTAATAAGAGGGGGGCCTGATGTTAAGAATTCAATAAAATTGTTAGAGAATTTTAAAAAAGAGATTGATAATAAAGATTTGCGTAATGAAACAGAAAATGGCAAAATTCATAATAAATTTAAGATGAATAAGAAGAAAAGATTTAATGACTATGATAATGAATCTGATAGCGATTTAGATAGTGAGATTATGATTTCTGATTCTGATTCTGAATTTGAATCAAGAAGGAAAGATAAGAAAAGATCTGATAATAATAATTTTTTGAAGGGCCATAAGAAATGGTTCACTAACAATTCGCAGTTAATTGAGAAATTTGAAAGTATGTTTGATAATTATATATTCAAAAATTCTATTTTTGACGATGAAGTAGAAGATAAAGAGTCTTCTAATATAATTGGTGAGAATAAACATTTTCATATTAGTGATGAGATGGTTTCTAATAATGAGAACATAACACAACCACCGATTTTTATGCTTCATGGGCATATGAATAAAGATGACCGTCTTGGACAATTAAGTTCTTTTGAAAAAAGTAAGAAAGGAGGAGTTATTATCACCTCTGATGTAGCCAGCCGAGGACTTAACTTTCCAAAGATAGATACAGTTATACAATTCGATCCACCTCAATCAATTGAAGAATATGTACATAGAATGGGAAGAACTGCTCGTATGGGAGATAAAGGAACAGGAATAATTTTTCTTAGACCCTCTGAAGAGGGATATTTGGAAACATTAAAGAGTTATGATATTACAGGTAAAAATGGAATTATAAAATTAAGCGATACTACAATTTGGGAAGGTTTGATATCAAATAACAGTAATTCTGGTAAGATAGATGATATTTCTGGTTTCTTTTATTCTATTATTAATAAAATTATTACATTGGATCCAAATGATTCTCATAATGAATTATTAAATAAGGCCAGAAGAGCTTACATTGCTTATGTAAGGTCATATATGAGCTATGATCGTGAATTTTCAAAAATTTTTTCCATTAAAAAACTTCATCTTGGGCATGTAGCATCTTCTTTCGGAATTAATGAACAACCAAATAAAATCATTGGGCATATTAAATATTTAGATGGTATTATAAGCCATAAGGATAAAATGAATATAAATAGCAAGATGAATTCAAACAAAAAAAACAAAATCGGTATAATTGAAAATTCCAAAAGAACGGTTAGGGTAATTAATAAACCAATAAATAAAGTTAATAAAGGTACATCTATTAGAAAAAAAAATGAAAATAAATCAAATTTCAAGGATTTTAACTTAAAATCTGATTCAAGCAAATCAGAAATCATTGATAAGGCACTACAACTTATGAAAAGTAAAAGCGAAATTCATGTTGAACGATAAGCTGTTAGTTTTCCTATTTTCTTCCAGTATTATCTTAATAACTTAATATATATTTAATCCTTTAAATATTGCATTTTCCTCACATACTTTTTACATTTTCCTGTTTTATATATATTGAATTTATTATTTAAACTAGAAATATCGAAAAAACAATGAGATAAAAATCGAAGTAATTAATATCAATTTTCTGAGTCTGTTTTTCTATTAATCCAATTATCTTATGTTCAATAAATTGTGTATGATGATTAGCTTTCATCTACACTTTTCATGAACAATAATCAATATGCAACTCCATATACAACTACAACACAATGCAAGTTTTTGTTATCCCAACGATGGGTAACACTTCCATCATTTGCCTGGTCCCAGTAACATGTTGTGAATAAATGGAATCCTGCAGGGCTTCTCTGTAAAACGATAACACTCACAATATACTTAAATTTTTCACTCAATTTACGTAAATTCTCTAAACATTGACTTGTAATCGAATCCACCCATGTCGTAACTTCGGATGCATTATATTCAGTTGATTGGTCCAGAACAGAATTGATTGATGTAATAATACAATCTTGGACGCCATCTTTTATTGAAGAAAATGAAGATATTGACATTTGCCCATTAGAGAGAGAATTTGGATCAAAATCGTGTTCTGCTGTACCATCTGTAGGCACTTCAGCCGATTTAATTACAGAACTTGAAGGGTTATTCCCTGAACTCGACATTTTAATTAGAGTAATAATCAATAAACTTAATTATTAATAAACTTTTCTGGTTTTCAATATATATAATTATGTATATATTTATATACAATTTCCCTTTGCTAACCTGATATTTAACTTGATTTAGTTAAATGTGCTAAAGCCCACATTATGAATATACGAGACTAGATGGCGCCACCTTATCCCGCCTAATGTGTGCTAAATTTGAGATTCTAATGTATTTATTATAATAAAGCGAAGTAAATAGAAAAGAAAAATACAAAAACGGGGGGTTCAAATAATAAAAGATGTTTTAAATAAATAATTTAACATACATTGTTTGATGGAATGGCTGAAGATGATGCAGTTGAATTTGTAGTTATTGTATATTTATCATCACAAAATCCAATCTTACCACCCTCAACTTTTAAAGAACTTCTACTTGTGATATTATCTAATCTCTTGATAATTTCATTGTATTTTTTGTCGTCACTCAAAATGATCGTATCTTTTTTATTGTTTTCAATATTTTCATTATTTATACTGTCATTGTTTGAGGTGTTTGTATCAATGGCTGATTTATTCTCAATGTCTCTATCAAAGTTATCAAAAGATTTAATTGATTGACTCTTTAGAATCTCAACCTCTTTTTTGTGAGCTGCAACAAATTCATTAATTATCATTTTTTTTTCTTCTTGGAACTGTAATTCTTTTCTTTGTAATTCTAATTCTAAATTATCGATAATGTTTTTATAATTCTCTTTTAATTCATTGATTTTATCTTCATACTCTATTTGCATATTTAACAATTCCCTATCTTTATTACTTTCCATATCAATCAATATATGCTCAAATTTTATCTTGAAGGCTTGAATTGAATTATCTTTTTCTTTATTATTATCATTAATAATTTGTTTATATTTCTGTTGTACTAACCTTAATTCTAAAGAATGATCTGATTTCATAATATCAATTTTTCTTTTATTCTCCTGTAACAACTCATTTAATTGTCTATCATGCTGTTCACTTATCTTTTTCTTTTCTTCGATAAAATAATCATTCATTTTATCGATATCTTCTTTGTGGCTTGTTATCATTAATTTTATTTCCATATCATGATTTTTTTGTCTTTCTAGTAATCTTTCAATATATTCATTTCTAGTACGGTCATAAAGGCCATTATATTCCTGTGTTATTTTCATTATTCCTTCCCTATAATTTTGAGCATCTTGAAATCTCCCAGTTCTCAACATACTTATTTCATTAATTGAGTCTATTTTTGATAAAGTTTGATTATTTTCATTTGAAATAAGATTAGTGAGAATATGATCATTTACACTATTGTTATTATCTATACTGCCATTTACCAAATTAATCTGTTCGTCAGAACCAACTATTACATCAATAAATTTTTTTTCAATAGTATTGTCACTATTTATGGTCATTTCCAATATTTTTTCAATCGATAGGTTGCCCAATTTCTTACTATCTTTATTCGAAGAATTAAATTTTAATGATTTAATTAAGTGTGATAATTTGATGTTATCTTGCTTTAATATAAAATTGTTGTTTGTTATTTTTTTATTATTCTTCTTTTCTTTGAGAAATAATTCAGACAAATTGTGAAAATAATAAAAAAATGATCGGATTAATTTAATTGATTCAATATTTAATTTCAAATTATATTCATAATTTATTATTAATTCTTTATTTGAATTATATAAATAATTTGTTATTTTGTTATATTCTAAAATCCATTTCTTATAATAATCCAGTGGAAATAGGATCTTTTTATTATTCAATATTGCAAATATACCCTTTAGGCGATCAATAAATAAAAGAATATCTTGTATTGTTGCATTTTGATCATTGTTTTTTGAATCAATATTAATTGTTTCGGTTAGAATTTCTAATTCTAACAAAGAAATTCTATCTATTTTCTTCAATAAGCAATTCTCATTTTTTTTCCTATTTTCGGATGAATTTCTACTTGTAGATCTTGCTGAATCCATTTCTTTTACCAATTCAATTTCAATTTTTTTTAATTCACTCAGTTCATTTCTTGCAATCTTTTTTGATCTAATTTTTTGTTGCAGACTCTCATTGTCGCTATCATTTTTATTATGTTTTAGTAATCTTTTTGGTGTTGTGTGGCAGCTTTTAATACTTATTTCTTCATAATTTTCCTGTTTATTTGAACTAAAACAACTGTTACTAGTTTCTGAATAGCTGCTAGACTCTTGATCTTTGTTCATTATTCTTTCATAATATTCTTCATTCTCAAAGTTCATTTCTGAAAGGTCTTTTTTCTTTATAGATCTTCTAATTAAACATATTTAGTTAATTTGCAAGAAAAAAGTTTTTGCGTTAACCTAAGGAATAAAAACAATACATCAAGTATTCATTAAATTGTGTTATTTAGTTATTTACTCTTTGCAATATTAATTTTATTATACTTTTTTTATGCTGTTATTGTTGCATTTGTTTATTTATTTTTAAAGGCCACATAAAATAAAGATGCGCCAAATGTGGATGTCAAGTCTCCAATGGACCTTTTTAGTTATTGCATGCAATAATTAAATAAATACAATTATTAAAAAAATGGTTTAATAATTATAAGTAACCGTTAAATACAATTTAGCCAATTTTTAGGTATTGGCCAACCTAATTATTTATTTATGCTGTTTATAATCAAAATAATCTAAATTTTCACTTTCTCTAATAAAGTTTCCATTTTAAAATTCTTTAAAAAAATATATTTACTAATAATTTATATTTATAATTTAACAATTAGCTAAAATTAGCTATATTTCTAGTATAATACCTACAGATTTAAGATTAAAAAGATTTTTATTTACCGGTACCAAAAAAAATTATTATTTTTCAAAATAAATTTGCATGTAGCATGTAACAATGTGGAAATTTACGTGTATTTAAAATGAAAAATATTAAAAAAATTATCTGTGAGTTTTATTTAATTCAATAAAATTCTAGTCTCTAAAAAAAAAATTATTAAGGAAAATGGTTGTTGAAGAAATTGAACCAATACTAATTCAACAACCTGATGGTAGTTCGAAAATAGGTAAGTTAAAGTAGAATTAATAACCAACAATAGATAATAATAAAGCAATTAATTTTATTAAATATATTGTTAAATAAAGGATTGCCACATAAATTGGATAAATTATTGTCTTTCAAAATTCAGCATAATCCATTTGGAGAAATGTGGGATGTTCATTCAATTACTATTGAACAGTTAAAATACATTTATACAAAACATGAAATTTATTTTTATTTGTTTTTCTCTATTAGCTTATTATTTGAAATGGCAGTTATTCCTGCAATGGTGAAAATTATTTATAGTATATTTAAATATAAAATGGTAAGTAATGTGAATTATTGTAATTACAATATATAAATATTGAATTAACTTCTTAGATTTTTAATTACTCTACTTTGTTAGCAGGAATAGTAATTAATACTATTTTTACAATAATATTGCTAACTTTAACAATAAAGAATTTGTTTACAAGATCTTCAAAAGTAAGTTGTAAAAGATAAATACAAATCATCAAAAAGTTTCAAATCTTATTGCTGGATTTGTCTATTCCTTAAAATTTTTTAGAATTGGAAAAATTTTACATTTATTACATTAATTTGGGTTGCATGGCAATTAATTACACCTACAATACAAGGAAGATATGTATTGATTGTGGTTTCAACACGAGTGATTTCAGCAATTGTCGCAAAATTTCTATCGAACATATTAGAAAAAGCGTCCTTACCAACATAACAAGCTATTGGAAACATTTTTTATTAATTCTGAATTTAAATTAACTAATTACATAACATACAATATTTAGTTAAATTTTGGGTGTGTTGGGGGGGCAGAAAATGCATTAAATTATACAGAGAATGATTTTTTTATGGCAAAAATATTTAAAAAAAACACCAAAAAACCAGAATTAATATTTGGAAAATTAGATGCTATCTGAACTGCTTAAAAATCAAATAGACTTTGATAATGTAGTAGTGAATACATTTTTTCTTAATGAAGAAATTAATCAAGGATTATTTCAAGCTTTTATGCTTGAATATAATAAAAACATATTAATTTTGCGATTTAATGATATTGCTTCAGACACAGATAAATCTGATTGGCTATTGAAGTATTGTGAAAATCTTTCTGAAAAAATTAATTCATTACAAACTGTCAATATGAATAAATTACAAGAACAATCAACCAATTCAGATTTTATTCGAGCAAAAAGTATATTATTAATATTAGACCGAGATTTTCATAAGTCACTTGGAAAAGACTCTGGTAAATTATCTACTTATAAGTTTTTAAACAATATACTAATAAAATATTCCGATAGATTATCATTATCTGTTGGGTCAACGGGGGGGGAAATATCTTTATTTGAAATAATACTTAGAATACACGAATTATATAAATATGGCGAAATCAAGTATTTAATAATAAACCAATTTGAAAAACTAATGGACATCGATGAGCATTTATCAAATGAAACTAAGTCTATAATTTATTCTTACATTTTTTCACTTTTTACTAATATTAATATAGGAAACAAAAATAGTCAAGAATTGAAGATTCTGATAATAGATTAAATATTATAATTATCAAAATTTTCAATTTTTTAATATGATTCAAATCTATTATTATTAGTTACTATTATTATTACTATACTATTTTCAAATTTTAATAAATTCAATATGTATATTATTTTTATTTTGCAAATATTCTTTGGTGTGTTTTAACACACAGTGTGCCTGGGGGTGTTAAAAAAAAATAGTATATTGGTGCACTACTAAATTTAAATAATAAGCATAATATGGATTAAAAAAAAGCATAAAGAATTTATTATAATAATTAATGTTATTTTAAGGAAAAATTAAGATAGTACTGGGAAGTTTAAATTTAAGGTAAAGAAATATTTAAATTTAGTTTTAATTAAAATGGAAAATGTTTCCAAAAAACACGATGATAAAGTTATTAAAAAAAAGATGAGTTGTGAGATATTAAGTACAAGGTTCCGAGCTTTTTTGTCATATTTTCTTCCAATGGTATATGGAATATCATTATTTAGCGTTGCTTGGCTAAAAGTATCTTCACCTATATTTATTGCAGTGTGTTTAGCATTTGGATCAATTGATGTAATTACATCAATAGTTGGTATGATTGGAGTTCTTTGCCCATCCGGACTTGCAATAAGATCAACTATTCCTCTTTTAGCAATGGAGAATTTAGTTACATTCTTGATTTCAATTGGATTGTTGGTTGAAAGCATAATTTACAAGGAAAACACAAAAGATTACTTGATATTGGATTTTAGTGTTGGCTTAACTATATCATTTGTATTAATGATTAGTACTATTTTAAGTGTGATATGTATTTGGAAAATATCTGATTATTTAAACGAAATTGAGGCAACAAGCATTTTTGAAGAGCTATCTGGTAAAAAAGTAAGATCATCTAAATATATGAATTCTATAAATAAAATCTCTAGCAATTTAGATAATAAACCTCTTTTATCGAAACTTAATTCAAAGAATAGTGAAGTTAAAAATCAAGATATTTCTAATAATAATAAAAGTGCTAATGATCCCAACAATAATTTAGCCATTGTTATTAAAGAATAAAAAATTAGGATTATATTTATTGAAGATTTATTTTTAAAAAATTTTTAAAATGAAGAATACTTTAAAAGAATATAAATTTAGTAGATAATTTTAGTATTTCCTAAATTATTATAATTTTTAATATTTTTATTATTTAAATAAAAGTTCTATCAATTTCTTTAATAAAAGTTTAATTAACTCATTAAAGTCAGAAATTTGATATTTAATAAGTAAAATTGGATTTTTTTTTTCATCCAGTCAATCATAATTTTAACCTATTTAATCAATGGTTACTTTAATGCTTTATAGTATATTTATATCTATCCCATGGGCATTTAGAATCTACCAGTTTGTATTCACAATTAAAACATAATTGATGTCCACATGGTTGAAGTGTAATAATATCATTATAATCATAACTTTCATAACATATAGGACATGTGAATAATTGAGATTGAAGGTTATTTACATTATTCTCTTTTGAGATCTGAGAACAATGTGTATTTTCACATGAAGATGACGATTTGAAAGGTTTTGAAAGTGTTGAATTAGAAAGTGATAAAAATTTGTTTTCCATATTATTTGTTTGAATGGAGTTAACTACAAATTTAATAAATGAGCATTTTTGTTGAATAACAGATTTGTTAGATTCAATATCAAAAGATGATATATTATTAAAATTAAAATGTTGATGATCATTGTTAACAGTTGAGTATATAAGATTTTTAATTTGATTTTCAATAAATACTTTGTCTTCATGTTTAATAAGAGGAAAAAGATTTTCAGAATGATGATAGCTGAGAGAATTTGAAATATTTGAATTTTTCTTTGAACGTTTATTATCTCTAAAGAATGGAATTGAGATTTTTGGGGCTTGAGAATTACTAGATAAAAGTATCGTATGTTTTTGATCATTCATTAAATAGTCTGCTGGATATTCTTTGGATATCTTTAGTTGATTTTGTTGGACATTATAATGGTCATTTTCTTTAATATTGGATTTCTTGATAGTTAATTGTTTATATTTAGATAAGTTTTCATACCAAAAGTTTGCCTTTTCCTCTGTGTTAAAAGAAAACTGGAGAAAAATTGTTTCATTTTCAAGTTGAAAATCAGACTTAATGAAGACAAAGAATTCTTCATCCTGAATAACTTTTAAATTAATATCGATAATATATCGTAGTAAAAAAGAATATTTAGAGGTTTCTTGGTCTTTTTGTTGATTATTAACAAAAAACTCAAGTAGTTTTCCTTCCCATGTCAATGTAAAAACATCAGGATCTTCAATTTTTTCTAAAATTAATGTACCAGTTCCTATTAAATCATTTGAAAAACCAAAATTTACGTTTTTTTCTTCACAAATCACTGTAGTATTGGTTCTCTCAAAGTTTACTTTGTAAATAACTAAGCTAGTTTCAATTTTTGACTTTAAAGTTACTTCACTTTCAACTGTCTTTTGAATGTTTGAATTATTTTTTACAACTTCAATTGAATTTATATCAATGAGATCTTCATACAAACTAATTCCAAAAGTATTTTCATCATTATCATTCATCAAATCATTCAAATCTGCTCCTAAATCAGCAATATTTTCCAAATTGAATTCATTTTCTTCAATGTTGGTATTTTCATTTCGAACCTCATTTAGATCATTAAAATTTACATTAATATCTTCATATTGTATTGGGCTTTCCAAAAAACTTATCATTTTACTCTAAAAAAATGTTTCTTTTTATATTGTTTTATAATAATATCATTACATTATAACTTTAATATTCTGAAAGTGCAGTTCCATTAATTAAGACAGCGACCAGACCTTATTAGATATATTTTAATATTTTTAATAAAGAAAAAGTTGGAATTAATAGTTCGAAATGATTAATATATGATGTAGAATCCATTAAGGAACACAATAAAGAATTAAAAAACGAAACTATTCTCTTCTAAGAATATTCATATATAAAATATATTATTCCATTGTGAATATTTATGTGGATTTTTTTTAAAAATATTTAATACTAGTTAATTACGTGGCAGCGCCTACTGCATGCAAAATCAAGAACAGGAAATTAATAAAAAAAATTAGGTTATTTTTGCAAATAAAAAAAGTTTCTTGTTTAGTTTTAGTGAAAAAGAGTTCATTTCTAGACAATAAAATATTATTACGATTACGATGATAATTGTGATGATTATTACTACTATTATTAATATATATTTACAATTTTTAAGGTTTAATAAATATAAATATAAATATAAATATAAATATATATATATATATATATATATATATATATGTATTATGCAAAGTAAAATAGTACTTGAATTATTAAAATTTTTGCAATAATTTGTTTAAATAAAAAATTTGTGGGGTAACTCAGATATTACATTTGGCGGTAAATTCAGCGGTACCTTCGTGATATTTTTATTTTGTGTTTATTCGAAAATAAAAAGGAAAAAAAGCAAATATATGTTTATGTATAAAAACTCATACATATCGGTTTATATTTGTACAGAGTAAATAACTAATATTTATTTTTAGTAGGCTACACAAGGGTTTGTGACAGTTATTGTGAGAAATTTGGTTAAAAATAGTCATTATTCAAACCAATTTTTATTTCTGTATAATTTACAAATAGTGACTTCTTGAAAGTAATATAAATATTAATATTATTAACTGAAATTTTAAAGGTTTGAAAGAGGATATAATGGAGAACTTAGAACAAGAAATTTTAGATACATCAAGCTCTAATAATACCAATAACAAAGAAGAAATTGAAGGAAATACAGAAAATATAATAACTGTAATTCCAAGATCAATAGTTGATGGTAGCAAGCTTATTTTACGTTTAAAAAAAGATGAAAAATTGAGTTACGAGTCTCCAACACGTATTTTATTCTCAAATAAACAATTGAAGTTAGAACGCTCAATTTGGTGGCTTACTGATGTAATCTTAACTGAGGCGACTTTAATTGTTTTGGACTCTTGTTCCTCTGGGATGAAATTTTTTCCGGTACCAATGAAAAAATTTGGTACATTATATTCAAGAGAGGGAGTTGGACATGTAATTACGGGTGATATTATTAGAAGCAGAGTATGCAGTAGAAGTATTCCATATAGAAATTGCAATAAATTTGAATATGCACCAAGAAATATTGGTAATTTGAGATCTGTAAATTTTTCAGATGGTGAAGAAAATGAGGATATTGATATTGTTTATCTCAGAGGTGATGATAGTATTATCAGGTATTCTTTACAACCAAATGAACAAATTGAACTTGGTGCAGGTACAGTAATTGCTTGGACGTCTGGAGTTTCATTCAATTTTAAATCCTTTTGTTGTATGAAATTTGTTACTTCTATTGTTGGTGATCCATCCCATGTATCCACAGTCTGGATTGCTAATAGCGGATCTAAGATGCTCTATCAACATGGTTGAATACTTTATTAACATTGAAATAAATACGCTTTAATAATTTATATTAAAAACTCTTTTCTAATGGAAAATTTGTGCTATGTAATATTTATTGATAGTATCATTTTTCTATGTTTTTAGATCTCACAAATTTAAAACAATATTGAAAATATTTCTTTTTATTTATACTTATATGCATGCATTATTTATAATCGATATTTTCAATTATTAGCGCCAATTCTAAAATTCTTTTTCCAAAGAATTTTAGAATTGCAAATAATGTATTAAATAAATTTGAGTACAATTAGCTTTAAAATTATAATAGAATGTCTAAAAAGCTCAAGAATAGTACTCAAAAGTTAATTGTAAAGAGTGAAATTCTCAATAATGAGGATTCTGAAAAGTCTAATTTAGCTGCAAATAACCACATTGAAAATAAAGTCTCAACATACAAAGAGATACTAATGAACGAAAATTCTTCAGGGAATGATAAAAGTGGTAATGATGTTTTTAAGTTAATTAATCATCAAGAAAATTGTCTCAAACATTTAGAAGAAGAAAATAATAGTGTTAGTAATTTTAGTAGTAGTAATGAAGAACATATTGATGATTTAAAGGATTATGATCAAAACGGGATTAAAATGGATAATAATATTATATCATCTTTGGAGTTTATTTGGTCTGAAATCAGAAGCGAAAATGCACTTGAAAAAAAAGATATTGATTATTTTGAAATTGATGAACATAACTTAAATGATCGAATACCTAAAAATATTTTAAATGAAGTTTATCAAGTACCTAAAAAATTAGAGTGCCTCCTTAACTTCTCAATGCTGCTTTGTTTTGATACAATTCTATATGATTTAACATTTTTACCAATTAATTCAATTATAGCCTTATTGAAATTCGTTTTATTGTTATTATTTAACATTATTAATATATTTATTTTTCTTATTACAGGAAATTCAAATTATTTTCAGAATACCTCAATAATTCAAAGGACTTGGAATTATAATAATTCTGAAGAAAATATTGGTAGTAATTATTCTATTGATTCAAATTCCTGGAATCTTATTCAAAAAAGTGGTAATAGAGAACACAATAAAACAGGTGATTTTAATCATGAATTAATCGAGAATTCTAGTGTTGAATATATATTCGACGATAAACAAGTTAAAAGTAAAAGTTTGATTAATATTCCAGATTATGAAAATAAATTAAGATTTAGACTCAATTTCAAAAGTAAAGATGACGGATTTCTTGGAAAAAATAACAACTTTTTACCACAAATTAAAAACCATATTCATTCATTTAGAATGAATGACCAAAGATCATCTTTAGAAGAATCTGAATTACAATCTATTACAGCTTCTGATATATTCTATGATGAAATTAATAATGGCCTTATCTACAATAAAAAAAAAGAAGATTTTAAACCATTTTTAAGTATAGATATTGGCAATTATTTTAAATTTACTGCTATAGAGTTAACTGATTTATCGAGATTCTTGGTTTTAATATTGTCTATTTGTATTTTTAGCAGGGTTGATATTTCATTTTTTTACCATTATATTAGAGGACAAGGATTACTAAAACTATATTTTATTTTTAATATGCTGGAAATATTCGAAAAATTATTTAGATCTTTTGGAAGAGACTTAATTGATACATATTTGGAATCAAATATTAAGTTCTTTACATATATTGGATTTGTAAACGGGAATTATCAACAAGAAAAAAATCAATTAGGCTTTTTAAATTTACTCATTAATTCATTTTCAAAGTACTTTATGGTAATAATTTACTTATTAATTCACTGTACTATTCATATGATAAGGGGATTAGCTTTAAATATCTCACTGAACTCATCAGAATATACAATGTTTCTCATTGTAATAAATAATAACTTTGCAGAAATTAAATCAACAGTTTTTAAAACCTATCATTCAATCTCTTTATTTACCGTTTCCTGTTCGGATACTATTGAAAGATTCCAGCTTTTATATGATGGATGTATTTTATTTATTAGAATGTATTCAAATGCAAGGCTCTATACAGATTCAATTTTTTCTTCAGTAATTACATGGGTTGTATCTGTTTATTTAGTAGAAATCATTGTTGATTGGTTTAAACACTCTTTTCTTGTTAAATTTAATAAGATTAATTCAAATTGTTATTGCAGCTACTTAGATACTTTGATAGGAGATATATTACTTTCAAGAGGTTCTGATCAAGCATTTCAATATTTAATGATCGACTATAACAAGAAAAATTTAGAAGAAAATAATTCTTTTGAGAAATTGATTAATAAAAATACATTGAATAGTAGTAAATTCAATAATCAATTTAACAACACATCTTCTATCGGTAACTTAACCAGACAAAGCACATACTCTTTTTTAAGAGGGAATACTATAGGATTAGAACCAGATGTTTCTTTACTTCAAAATAAGGATGAAGCTAAAATAAAAAAAATAAAAAATGAAAATTCTCACAGAATTGAATCCAAAATTTCTAATAAAGATCCCGTATTTATATCAAAGAAATTGAGAGGTATTTATGCATTTCCTTACATAGTTTCGAGAAGAATAGGTTTTATATCATTACCACTTACTATATTATTAATGTGCGTCTTAATGTTTTCAAGATTACATTCAGCTCTATGTATTAATCATATTATTATTATTTGGTTAATACTATTTATTCTTAAATATCTGACTTCATTCATAATAGTTTCAATCTCACAAAATAATATAGATCGTCTAAAGAACTGGAATTTTGACTTTAACAAAATTAATGCATTATAAATCAATCAAATTCTGAATTAATAAATATCTAATATCATTCTTGTAAATTGTTAGCTTATTAATAAAGCTATGATCTGTTTTTAATATAAAAAAGTTACCAATAAATGGATTTGAATTAAAATGAGGAACTATTATTTTACTAATGTTGAATAAAAATGGTATCTTACATGGTAAATACTCTGAGAATGAGTATATTAATGGCCTTTCTTGTTTAGGAATTGAATATATCAATTTTTGAAATTTTAAATTTAATTTTCTTAATTTTTCAATGTTAAATTTAGAAGAAAGTTCAATTAAATATGATGGAACTTTTTTTTTAAAAAATTTAATTATATTAGAATGCAAGTTCGTTCCAAAATGAGGAGTCCCAAAAAATATTATTCCTTTAATACTTTTAACTGTTTCTGGATGATTTGCAATGATTAGTTTTAATAATATTCCTCCCATTGAATGACATATTATTATATTATTTTTTTCACTATGATTTTTTATATCTTTTGGTAAAATATTTGCTTTTAATAATTTTTTATAAATTTCTTCAGAAATACTTTTTAAAGTTACTGATTGATTTTGATTAAATATTTGATGTGAATAATCTATTGCAAACATCTTAATATTTTTATTTTCAGTTAATAATATTCTTGGCCATATTAAATAGTTATGTTTTTCCAGTTTTGAGATAATATTAGAGTTTCTATCAGAATTTAATTTAAAATTTAAGTTATATTCCTTATATTCTGGGATATTATTACTTTGGAAGTTATTATCAAGAATTGTCGGAGTTTTACTTTCTTTTGAAATATCAATGTTCCAGGATTTATAAGCACTTCCAAGAAACCCATGAATGAAAATTAAATTGATATTTTTTCTATGAGAAGAATTAACCAAAGTTTTTACATTATTTTTATTATTAAAATAATCACTAATTTTATTAAGTAGAAAATCTGGATTTTCTTCTTTAAAGTTCAAACTAAAAGGAATAATACCTTGATTTAACAGCTGTATGGAATGAATATTAGTATTTTCTTTTACTTTAGGATTTGAAATATAAGATGCATTGTGTATTAATCTTAATATTTCAAAGTATATATTTGATTTTGGAATAGAAAACTTTAATTCAATTTGATTTGATTCATCATTTATAAAGCGTTTTTTTATTTCATTCATGATTAATTTTGAAAATTCAGATATTTCATTAATATTTTCCAATAAATTACTATTAAATGCTGATAATAAATATTTATTTAAAAATTGTATTCCTTCATTAATTAATACCCAGTCACATGAATTTTTTGATAAATTATCCATTAAAATACTTTGAGTAATTTTGGGTAAACTATAAGAATTAACTATTTTAATAAAGTTTGATTCTTCACGCTCGTACTCACAATATTGATCAAATTTGGAGTTAATCATAGAAATGAATTTCAATGTGTTTACTTTACTTGGTTCAAAGTTGGACCTAAATAATTTCTTTTCATCATTTATAACTTTTTTTTCTTCAAGTATTCTCAAAGTTTTAGTGAAATGTAGCATTATATATTTCTGTAAATAATTAATACTCAAATTCTTATCTTTTTGAAGTTGAATTACTTGGTTGAGCAAATTAATATTAATATGATTAAAATCAAAATGATTTTCTTTCCAAGTGTCAATATTACTTAATATTTGATTTTGTATTTTATCAAGAATCAATTCAATAGTGTTATTTATCATATTTGATTTGATTAAGTATTTTTTTAATAGTAATTCCAAATTTGTAATATCTAATTTGTTGGTTAATCTTTCGAGGTCATTTTTTAAGAGTTTATTTCCATTAATTTGGTTTTCTTGAAAAAAGTATTTGTTTATTGCAGAAATGAATTCTTCATATAAAATGTTTTCTTTATTTTGAATGATGTAATCATCAATTCTTTTTATTATGTTTGAAATAATTAATGTCTTTATTAAATTATTAGGATTATATTCAATTATTTTATTATAAAGCTTCAATATATGCAACTTCAACTTATGAGACTGTATAGATTCATCAGATAAATGTAATATAATTAATTCAATTAAAAACTTAATTTGATTAAAAAAAACAGTATTTTTGGCATTTTCCAACAATTCAGTAAATTGATTTAATAATGTTGAAATTTCTTGATCTTTAAACTCATTGTTTTCCAATTTGTTCGCTAATAGATATCCATAAATTAAAATAAGGTACAGTAAATTTTTTTGTAAACTTTCCACCTTTTTTCCGTTTTTGAATTGAAAATTTTCTATAAAATTTGAACTTTTGAGCCTTATAAATTCTTTTGACCATAACTTGAACATATTTTCTGAAATTAATGCAACTTTTACAACTTTACAAAAAACATTACTTAATTCATTATCGTGGAAATTCAAAATTTCAGTCATTTTAACAAATAAAAACTTTGTTAAATCTTCGAAACTTGAAGATTTAATATCATTAAATAATATATTTTCGAAATATCTAATAGTTGGGCATTCAATTATAATCAAATCAAAGTAATCCAATATTTTATCTTCTTGAATATTAATATTAAAATTGGAATTTTTAATAAAATTTCCAAATATTTTATTTAAAATGAACTTAAACCTATTTTTAATTTGTAAGGCCTTTTCTATATATTCCATTTTTTCTAGATAGTTTCTCCTTTCATTTTCTTGAACTAATATATTTAAAAATTCTTGTGTATTAATTTTTCCTTTAGGATTCATTCCAATCGCTTTCCAAATATATTTGGCTAGTTCTATATTTTGAAAATCGATACATTTTTCAAAAAAATGAAAATTATCTAATGTTTTTATCTTGTAGAAAGTAGCTCTATTAGTATCTTTATCATTATTTAATATTGATCTGTTAAATTTGTATTTGTATTGGTATAAAGAATTTGAATTTCTCTTATTCTCAAGAATTTTAACTAATCCAGTATTATTTTTGAAATCCAAGCTTGTAACATTTTCATCTTTAACTATTGTTTTTCGTTTGTTTTCTGGTAGAAATATTTTTTGAATTATATTTATTCCACATATTTTGTTTATTTCACCATTAAAAAATTGCATTCAGTATTTTCATAATAAAATTATCATTCATATTTGAAAAATCATTTAATCTATATTTTCAAATTATTATATTTATTTTATTTAAAAAGCGCATGAAAACCGGTATTATATTTTCATTAAAATTTGTTTGCCACAAAAAAAAAATTTATAAATTTTGATTATGTAAAAATTATTGTCCATATAAATTAAATGTATAATTAGACCTATACCGGTAATTTAAGTTAATTTTTTTTTGATTAAATTGAAATAAATATTTCTAAAAATTTAAATATTTTGCATTTGAAAAAATATTTACCATTACTTTAAACTATAAATTATTTATTTAATAATGAAATGAAAAATAAACAAAAACATAAAAATTCTTTAAAAAACAGCGAGGATAATGAATCAATAAAAATTGAACCAAATATCAAGATTCCAGTAAAATGGCCATATTTACTAAATATTGTATTTAGTAAAGATATTTCAAGGTCCAACATCTTGGAACTACGTGTTTCTGAGACCACTTTAAATCAAATGACAATTGCAAATGGAACACTCTGTGTATTAAGGTATTTCGAAAAATCTCTATGTGTGACAATTAGATCGTTGGAGCCAAATGTTAAATTTGGAGATAACCAGGGACTAATAGGAGAATTAGTTATTAATAATTTAAATATAATAGATGAAAATATTGGCCAATTAGAAATAATACCTTTTAGAAGTTTTGCAAAAGATATGAATATTAATACTGAAATGAATAAGCACTGTATATTAAAATTTTTTGGAATTCTTGACATAAATAGTTCTACAAATAATAGTATGAAGAATTTGTTAAAATCTCCTCCAGAATATATTAATGATAACAAGAGTATTCAACAAATGATCATTTCAAGGTCTAGAGGAACTTGTGTATTTCAAGGTAATATTATTCCAATCCAAATTGCTTCAATGGTTTATTATTTTAATGTATTTGAATTTGATAAAAACCAGGAATTTTTAGAAAACTATTCAAAAATTGTGAAAATAGGTAACCAAACAAAAATTGAATTGGTTTTTGAAAATAAATTAGTTGATATTAAACAGATGAATAAAAATGAGGAAAATATAATAAAAAATGATATTAATTCTTCAATTAAAGGCCAAAGAAAATACGGAATGGATAAGATAGGAGGAATGAAACAATTAAAAGATGAAATTAATAAGTGCATTATTAATCCTTTGAAATTTTCAAAAATTTATTCTTCTTTTGGAATTAAACCCTCAAAAGGAATATTATTATATGGACCACCAGGGACAGGAAAAACCTTGATTGCTCGCTCTATTGCGGAAGAAATTGAGCTAATTGAAACTTTTGAACAAGAAGAATCTGGTTTAGAATTGTCTGTTGATTTTATTGTTATAGATGGAAGTAATATAAGTAATAGTACAGGTGATGAAGATAATCATTTCTTTAAATGTATTCAAAAAGTAAAGGATAATTCAAAAAAAGAAAAAATCATATACAGCATATTATTTATTGATGAAATTGATATGATTTGTGGTAATAGAGATAGTTTTTCAGGAATAAATGATCAAAACAAAAAATATCTAACAGCAATTTTGTCTTTACTTGACGGATTTGATGATAATAATAGGGTAATATTAATTGCAACAACAAACAAACCTAATGAAATAGATCCTGCATTAAGAAGAGCCGGAAGAATTGATCGTGAAATAGCTGTTGAAGTACCAAATAGCCTAGAAAGAAGAGAAATTATTGAGCTTATTCTAAGCGAAATTCCAAATAGTCTAAATGACTCTGAAATAGATTCTCTTGTTAATGAAACACAAGCGTTTGTTGGCGCAGATTTAAAGATGCTAATTAACGAATCTATAAATACATTTTTAGAAAGAACTACTAAGCTTGAACTTATTGACAATGGTAAAAGTCTGCTTCTTTCATTTGAAGATATTCACAATAGTGTTAAAAATATTAAGCCCTCTGCACTTAGAGAGCTTGCTATTGAAATCCCTAAAACTCATTGGAGCGATATAGGAGGATATGAAGAAGTCAAGGAACAACTTAAAGAGTGTGTTGAATGGCCATTAATCCACTCTGATCTTTTTGAATATATGAAAATAAAGCCTCCAAGTGGAGTTTTACTCTATGGCCCACCTGGATGTTCAAAAACATTAATGGCAAAAGCTGTTGCTACTGAAAGTAAGATGAACTTTATTAGTGTAAAGGGTCCTGAACTTTTTTCAAAATGGGTAGGAGAATCTGAAAAGTCTATACGTGAAATCTTTAGAAAAGCTAGACAAAACTCTCCTTGCATAATTTTTTTTGATGAAATTGATGCAATTGGTGTAAATAGAGAAAGTACATCAAACACTTCTGATGTTAGTACAAGAGTTCTTTCACAAATGTTGAATGAAATGGATGGAATCACTACAAATAAACAAGTTATTGTAATTGGGGCAACTAATAGACCTGATTTATTAGATTCTGCATTACTCAGACCTGGAAGACTTGATCGAATTATTTATATTGGACTTCCAAATTCTAAGGCAAGAAAGAAAATTCTTAATATTTATTTAAAATCAACAAATTATATTCAAAATAATAATAAAAATAATAATAAACCTGCTTTTGAAAGAAATTTAATTTCTGAAAATTTAGATAATTCTAAAATCATAAATAATAAAACTAAAGATAGTGATATTACTGAGTTATGTAGTAATATAAATAACATGGAAATTTTTGATAATTATGATGAAATGATTGATTTACTAGTAAATCTAACAAATGGTTATAGTGGTGCTGAACTTGCTTTATTATGCAGAGAAACTATGATGCAGGTTATTAGAAGAACTATTACAAATAACTTTGATTCTATCAAAGACTCAATTAGTAACCATATTATGTTTACTTGGGAAGATATATTGTTTGCTTTAGATAAAGTAAAGCCTCGAATCCCTAATTCATTAATAGAATTTTATGAAAATTACAACAAAAAAAACAATATAATATAATTATTTAATGTATTAAGTTATTCATGAAATAAATAATCTAGTTGGATATGTATAATATTCTGTATCATTTTCACTTTCATCTTGAATATATAAATCTGATGAGAAATAACTATCAAATGAACTTTCATTTTTGTTCAAGAATATATCATCTTGTTTATATTGATTCGAAGAGAAATCCAAATTATTATTATATTTGGAAAAGTTATTCATTGACTTTATATTTTCTTGAAATGTAGTATTTTCAATTGATTCAGCTTCTGTTAAGTTTTTAATATTATAATTCATGTTACATTTTACATTAAAATTTATATTTTGTTCAATATTATCAACAATATTCACTATACCAAATTCTTCTTGAGAAATTCTTTTTCTTTTTACAGGTTGATTAAGTGGAAACATTGATTTTGGAGTAATTGGAGAAGATTCATTTATAAAGTTTATACTTTTTGTTGGTGATAATAATAATGTATTTATTTGATTTTTACTATTAATATAAGAAGCACTTGTGTTTTCTTGTGTAATTTCTGAATACTTTGGTGAATGTATGTTAATGTTTCCATCTATATTTGAATTAGTAAAGTCATATATAGCATTATTTGTATATTTTGGTGAATTTGTATAAGTAATTTGTTGATTATTTATTGAACTATTACTTTGGATGAAATATTTGCTGCATTCATTATTTTCAGGTTTCTGATTAACAATTTGTGATGTATTAGAGTAATTATATTCTAAACTTTGATCGTTTTCAGAAGATTGATAATTTTCACTAAAGCTGAGTGATGAAGTATTTGATTTATAGATATTACCAAACGATTTAATATTTCTAGATTGTTTTAATCCTCTCCAAATATTTAAATAATTGATTAATGTGCCTGTATAATCTCCAAACCCAAATGAAGATAAAGCATTAATGATGTCTTCACCATTTAATACACGTCGCTTATTGCTAGTACAAATCTCTCCTGCTTGTGATGATATACAACCAATGAAATCTTTAGAAATTTGTTGCATCAGCATTTTTGATTCTCTAGATATTTTAGCCGAACCAGGTATAGATAATTTCATCATTCTCCCTATATTGTTGATAGGTAAAGACAAATCTGAGCCATCAGAATCTGGTATAAATTCAGAATCTTCATAGTTATCAACAATAATTTCTGATTCATTACTTAATTTTCCAATATTGCTTACATAATTACAATTTGCTTTGTTTATGAATGGTACATTTACTTGAAATGTCAGCTCATTGTTCATTTTACCAAACTATAAACATACAAATATGTAATAAAACTGTTTAATTAAGAATTGTATGTAGTTATTTGTTTGATCCCAAACGATTGAACTTTTAAATTTTCAAATTATTTTCAATGATTATTGATGCTGCTAATTTTGTAGTCAAAAACCCTCTTTGAGCGGCCAAGAAATAGTTATTATAAAATATAATTAAAAAATTTTTCTCAAAAAAAAAAAAGATTACAATATTTTTATTAAGCAAAATATATGTAAATAATATTTGAAAAATAATGATTTAAAACTAATTAAGTTGGCAAATTAATTGTTTTTAATTTGATTAATTGTTATAATTATGCTTAAATTGAAGTATATCAAGAAAAAAAAACATTAATTTCTTCTTTCTCTTTAAGTCAATATTTAATTATTGAATATTAAGTAAAAATTAGATGAATTAATACAATGAAAAAATGATTTTTTGATTATTTCATTTTAATATTACACGTAATTCAAAAATGCATGTTAAAAAAATAACATTTTAAAATAAAGATATAGAAGAAAAATAAATTCAAATGTATTAGCTTTAATAGTTTAAATATATATTCATAGAATTATTTATAAAATTATTCACAATACTTTAGAAATAATAATACTTAATTATTTGGTGTATTTTCAGCACCAAAAATTAAGTGATTTGTCTTATCGTTTGCTAAGTTTGGATTAGACTTAACATTTCTTGAGCTTTCGTCCTTGAATAATGAAAATATTTCAGAATTAGTATCAATTTGATTTGAGTTTATATGATTTTGAAGAATTTTTGCAAAATATTGTTTTAGAAAATCAAATTCTTGAATATGGAATGTAATTAAGTTCAAATTTTCGATAATTTTGCTAATACATCTACTTTTTGAACCCAATTTTAGTGACTCAAATGCAATAACATATAATTCAATGGCTTTTGAATCATTAAGTAAAGAAATTCTGAAAAAAAACTTAGGAATCAGGCTTGAACAAATATTATCTTTATTATTAATATAATGAAGCAAATATTGTGTTTGGTGAATAATAGTTTGTGTTTTTCCTTTATCAGTATAGTTATAAGAATATTCCAATGCTAATTGATTTATTAACAATGGAATAATGTTAATAGCAAGTTGATTATTTAAATCCTTGAAAAATTCTTGAAAGAATGAATTTGCAAGACTAGAAAGTTCAGAGTTAAATTCTGATTTGTTACTAATACATTTGAGGTAACTCAGCAATAATATTTCTTTTGGTTTAATGAAACCTATATTTAATAAATAATTAATAATTAACATAATATTATATTTCAAAGAGTTAATTTCTGTTTCATTTGAATTATCATCCAAATTTAAAAGTGAATATTGTTTTTCCATCCATGGATCTATAATATTTGGATACCTTGTTAATAAATCGTTGGTACAAAGTATTATGTTTAACATAATGTTGTCCATTTGAATTTTATTAATAAAATTAAATGAAGATGGATTATAAAGAAATGAAAATATTAGTTGAATATTTGGCATTTCAAATAAGTTAGATAATTTTGAATTTATATTTAAGTTTTGGTTGGAATTTTCATTCATCATTTTTTCATTAATATTTAATAACTTGGTTGTTAAAGAAGTTAACTTACATAATGAAACTATTGCACAATTTCTGGAATAATCCAGTTGCCACTGAAGGTCACTTGCACTATCTGTAATGTTATTATAATCAACAATTAAACTTGGATCTCTTGATAATAAATTAATTATTGGTACAATAAAATAAAAAATACTGTCATTAGAAAGGAGTTGATTTTCTAATATAATCTGAATATATTCAAAATATTCCTCTTCTAAATTGATTATTCCACATTCACTATTCTTCTCTTGAAATAATTTGGCCTTTTCAGAAGAGCTCTTTTGAACAATTGAATACAAGTACTTCCATTTATTATATAAATTTTCTACAAAATTACCATATTTTAATACAATATGACTCAATAAATTGATTATCTGAGATAATTCAATAATACTTACTTCTTTTGATTTCCTAAGCCTTTTGTGGAAATGAGCAAATAATTTATTAATAAAAAAATCAATATATAAAACTTTAGAATTGTTTTCTTTAGTATTCAAAAATTTAATATTTGATGGATTTGCAATTAAATTAAATACTGAGTTAATAATATTTATCAAAAGTGAATTATTTATTAATTTATAATCAAAATTGGAGAGAATTGTTATATAAGTTGATAAAATTTCATTTGTATAAACTTGGTTATTTATTTTAATTAAATTTAAACATTTAACTGAATATTCAAAAATAATATAATTTTTATTGGATGCAGAATTCATAAATAATTGATAAAGTATTTCAAAATTTGAATTTTTTTTGTTTTCAATTTCAAAAATACAGTTGTTATTCAAAGATTCAACCTTTATAATTACCAAAAGCAATTCAAGTAATGATACTAAGTTATTTTCAGCTTCATCATTTAAATTTGTTAAATTACTTCCAACTAGAGAAATTTCATTTAGGGTGTAGCTTTTTAACAAAGTTAAATCAAAATTTTGGGTATACTTTTTAGATATTTGTGTGTTTTTTGAAGTTAAATGTTCCAATAACTTTGAAAAGTTCATCATGTCATCATCATTAAATAATTCAATTATTTTAAGAAGATTCTTTATTGTTGATTGATTTATTACAATTTTTTCATTAAATTGAAGCTTCAAGTTTTGATCATCATCATTGTCTAATTCATTTTGAAAATAATTTTCTTGATTATCAGAATTTGAAAAATTGGAAAGATTATTAAACATTATAATGAAAAATCCATGTACAACAGAATTTAAAATATTAACATTATTAACTCTCCAAATACACTTTAATACATTTGAAAGGAGTGATTGACCTTTTTTAATATTTAGAGATACAGTTTCACAAATAAAAAGAATAGATGAAGAAGCATCTGAATTAATTTTTGAATGAATTCCATTAATACAGACTTTTTCCAGAATATCTTCCACAATTATAGAAACTTCTTTTGCATCAACTAATAATACTTTCATTAATTCATATTCAGATTCTTTTTTCTTTATAAAATTTGGATCAATTAACTCTTGAGGTTTTGTTTCTACATCATTAATATTTGAATTAATAATTGTATTGTTTAAATCATCAATACTATTTTTGTTTAAATGATTTAATTCAAGATTAATATTATTTAATAAATTGGAAATATGTTCATAATTTAATGGTAAATGATAATAATTTTCTGTAACTTTTCTAACCATTGTTCTTAATAAGTTTAATGATGAAGATCTAACATATGAAGATTCATCCAAAGTTCTCATATTTATTTCTTTAAATATAGTTATAAAAAAACTATACGGAATTATATCATTAATGAATAATCTTTGTATTGATTGGATAGATCTAGTTCGACAATTATAGTGTTTATCATAAATTCTTTCAAGTAATAAGTCAATAGATTCAATAATTTGTGATCTTTTTTCTAATGTAAAATCAGTGGATTTATTATAATTATTATCAATATTTTGACTTGAACTAGATAGGCAATATGGATCAATTTGATTTTTATTTTTCACTTGAATAAGTGAATTTGCAGTACTTGAAATAAAACATGATCTAAGTTTATAAGAAATCATGACTTTGAGAATTCTTCTGATTAATGAAATATTTTTCAAAATAATATTTGGGTTATTAATTGAAATAGATTCAACATATGAACTAATATAAACAATAATATTATTATCCTCACCAATATCTTCAATTTTATCCATTTTAATCCAGTAAAATCCAAGATTTTCGAGAATATAAACAAACAGACTATTAGAAAATTCTTCACTAATTAGCATTGTACTCGCTGATATAAAACTTGGAAAATCTTTAAATATGACATTATTCCGATTATTGGGGTTATTTATATGGTTTATATTTGATATTAAATCAATAGAACCATGAATAAAACAATTTGAAATAATTTCAAATAAACAACTTTTTAAATCATGATATTCTTCCTTTTCTTCATATTTCTCAATAAAATTAATGGATCTTAATATATTTATTATTAAATTTTGGGACAAATTTTCCCATTTGATTATATTAATTTTGCATAACTTATTAAATGTTTCAATTTCAAAATTAGTGACTAATTTTTTGACCAAATTAATTATTCTTAGAGATAATATTAATGACCACTCAGAAAGTCCAACTGTGGAAAAATTGACATTTAAATAATGTTTGGAAAAATTAATCAAATATTTTACTAATAAGAATGAAATTTCAAGAACTGATGAATCCTGAATAAATTTATTACTTTGAATACTTTCATCATTCAAATTAACTTCAAAATCTGTATTTTGTAATTGATCATGAAAAGAATCACTATTATCTAATTCTGTTTCAGTTTCATTAGAAGAATCACTATTATCAATTTCATAATTATACTTTGGGTTTTTTCTTCTCTTTGATTTTGAATTTTTCTTATTATTTGTATGAAATTTATTTTCAAATAGTTTTATATTTTGGTTAATTAAATCTTCGAGAATATCAAATTCTTGTAAGACAATATTTGTTATGCAAAAAATTATCATATTAAATAAATTATTGATTTGAGATTTCTCCGTATTATTAATTAAGGATTGTTTTAAAATTTCAATATATCTTAAAATCAAACTCAGGAATATTTTTTTTTCATGAATATGAATAATTTTTGACCATAAATATGATAGAGATAGCATGTAATATAAACCTAGTGGAATTTCAATTTCAGAATAATCATTGGCCTTTTCAACATTTAAGTCAAATTTAAAAACTCCTAATAAATCATCTTGTAAATAATTAATTATTGAATTAAATGTGATTCCATCATCATTTAAATCTAAAGAAAAATCTTCATTTTTAATGCATAAAACTGCCTCATCATCTTTGTATATTATATTAATATTGTTTAAAAACTTTAATAAATTGGAATCTTTTTTTGGTATAATAAATTGGTAAAATTTATTATTGTTAGTCATTACTTCTGTCTTTAAAATAAACAATATACAGAAAGCAATGGAATGAGTTTATAAGATATTTGATTAAAAGTAATAATATTAACAATTACAATTATTAATATTATTACTAATTTGTGAGTTGAGTTACATGTAATTTTTTTTAAAATTTTAGTGGCAAAATAAATATTGACTGAATTACCCGCCTTACGTTTTGGCGGCTTATACATAAATTATAAGTACCAGTATTCTTTAAAGTTTATCAATAGAAAGAGGAAGTCAAAGAATGTATATAAGTAAAATAATATTAAAAACTTAGTAGACTATATTAATGTAAGTTTAAAAATATGAAAATAAATAGAGAGATAATAAATTAAAAATATGATCAAAAATTAATTATAGTAATTAATCAATTTTCAAAAATTGTCAGGAAAAGACTAGGTTAATGAATTAATTCAAAATAGTCTTTTTTCTGTTTGAATAAAAGACAATAACCTATACTTTGGAAATAAAATAGAATAATATATTTGCATTTTGGGAAAAAAGGAGTTATTAAACATATTAGTAGAAATTAACAGGTTTTAAAAATTGTAAAAATAAAAAAAATTTGAAAAGAAAAAATAATAAAATGAGTTCAACAAGCTTAGGACATAGATTCAAGGTAAGTTTGAAAATTTAAACGTTGAATTTTGTATGAATCTTATTAACATTTTTATTTAATTACTAGGATATTACTATTATTCCTAATAGTAAAGATCTAATAGATATTGTACTATCCAAGACCCAAAGGAAGACTCCAACTCAAGTACATCCACAGTTTCAAATTAGTAGAATAAGGTCATTTTATATGAGAAAAGTGAAATTTTGCCAGCAAATTATTCATGATAGATTAACCATGATACTAACTCAGTTTCCAAGATTGGATGAAATACATCCATTTTATTCAGATCTATGTAATGTATTGTATGATAGAGATCATTATAAGCTTGCATTGGGCCATATTTCAGGTTCGAAGAATATTGTTGATTCTTTAGCAAAGGATTATGTAAGATTGTTGAAATATGCAGATAGTCCATATAAATGCAAAATGCTAAAAAGAGCTGCATTGGGTAGAATGTGTACTTGCTTAAAGAAGCTACAAGCACCATTGGAATACTTGGAGGAAGTAAGACAACATATTGGACGTCTTCCAAGTATTAATCCAACTACAAGAACACTAATAGTATGTGGTTATCCAAATGTTGGTAAGAGTAGCTTTATTAATTGTGTTTCTCACGCTAATGTTGAAGTTGAGCCATATGCATTTACTACTAAATCGTTATATGTCGGCCATTTTGACTATAATTATGCTAGATGGCAAGTAATTGACACACCAGGTATTTTGGATCGTCCATTGGATGAGAGAAATACTATAGAAATGACGGCTATCACAGCTCTGGCACACATTCACTCATGTATTTTATATTTCGTTGATATTTCAGAAGAGTGTGGTTATAGTATTGAGAAACAAACTCAACTTTTTCATTCTATCAAGACCTTATTTAGAAATAAACAAGTTTTTATTATATTAAATAAGATTGATTCTCGTTCAGTAGATGATTTATCACCGGAAGAAAAGAAAATGATTGAGGAGCTTAAAACAGGGCTTGAAGGTGAATCTAATGAAAATGGAGGAAAAGTTGAAGTAGTTGATATTTTGACAATGTCAACAATGAAAAAGATTGGAGTAGAAGAAGCAAAAAATAGAGCATGTAATGAACTTCTTCAAAAAAGAATAGAAATTAAGGTGAAAACCAAAAGAGTGGATGCAATTTCAAGAAGGCTTCATATAGCAGAAACACCATTAAATAAAGACAGGCCACCTTGTATACCTGATTCAGTAATACAAGAAAGATCTCAAGAAATCAAATCAAGAACAAAATCGGGACCATTAGAAAAGGAGCTTGAAGAAGAAATGGGTGGTGCTGGTGTATATCAAATGGATTGGAATAGGAAATATGTTCTTAAGGATGATAATTGGAAATATGATTTGGTCCCAGAGATTATGGATGGCAAAAATATTATTGACTTTATTGACCCAGAAATTGAAGAAAAATTGAGGGAGCTCGAAAAAGAAGAGGAAATATTATTGATGAATGATCCATCGCAAGAATTTGATGAGAAATTATGGGAACAAACTCAAACAGCTCTTAAGAATATACATGATAAGATTAATCTTAAGAGGAGAGAAAATATGGATAATAAGGCAAGAAACGCACCTACATTACCTAGAGGAAGAGCTAGACAAGCTTCTGCTGGTGAATTAACAAAGTTAACTAATCAACTTGATGAATTAGGTTACGATATATCAAAAATATATGAAAGAGGCAGAAGCCTTGCAAGGAAAGAGGAAAATAAGAGAGAAAGAGGAAGGTCTTTAACAAGAAAAGCAGTTAATGATGGTTCTGATCAAATTTCCTTATTAAGAGCTAAAAGATCAAGAAGTCTTGCAGGCAATGAAGACATCGAAATGTCTGTTAACAATGAAAACTCATCTAAGGAGTTGTTTAAAAGAAAAAGACTGGCAAGGGGTCACAGCCCTGCTCCTAATCGTATTGATGCTTCACTTAAACCTGGAAAACAACAAGAAAAGGCTGAAAAATTGCGCAGAAAATCCCAAGCTAAGCTTGGAAAACTCGCTAGAAGAGGAGAGGCCGATCGTAGTGTTCCGACAAAAATGCCAATGCATTTATTTTCAGGAAAACGTGGTATGGGTAAAACCGACCGTAGATAGTTTAGTAGTACATTTTGGGAAAAAAAGTAGATATTATAGTTTGATTAATAATTACTATACTTTTACTAAAGGATAAATTGTTAAAATTTATTTCTATTTTAATCTGTTTAAATTCATGTTATTTTTAAAATATATATTTTTTATTTTAATCATTCCTTTAGAATTAAATCTATATAAAAAAATAAGCCAAAAAAGCCCGCCACCCCACAAGTTACCTACGTGTGAAAGCATGTTTATATTATAAATTTTTTGACAAGCAAATAACAAAAAAATTAACAAAAAAAAAAGCAAAATAAAAAGAAGATCATAGAAGGAATAAATATTTAAATAAAAGAATATAAAAATATTTTAAAAAAAAACGAAACTATTTATTCTTAGTAACTTGAAGCTGACAATATTAAAAAAAGTACTTTTATGTGGAACAAAGAAAAGCGCAGTAAATATTAACAAAATTATTTAAACAAATTATATATATTATATGTAATATATATATAATATATAGTACTATAGTAGAGATATTCCAAAAAAAGACCTGTTATATCATGGAAAATTATAATGAAATAGGTCAAGAAAACAAAGTATGGATATATTCCAGAGCAAATCCATATACAATAGAGTTATCAAATAAATTGGCTGAAAAAAAAGCAAAAGCCTTTTTTAAAGATTCAAATAAATTTGAATTCGAAATAGAAAATGAAGAAAATAACTTGGATGCATTTATCTTAGGAAATGTAATTTCTTATAATTCTCAACAAGGAATATACGAATGTGAATATATTGGTGAATTCCGGTATGAAATAGAAAATAATAAAAACCATTTTTATGTAGACAAAGAATTTATATATAAGGCAGATAATGGATTTGGCTATAAAGATAATTCACAGTTGAAGAATTTAAATATTGGTAATGTAATAAAGAATATTCAAGTTTGTTATGATATGTTAAAAGGTAGTAATGATATAATAGAGAACAATCAAAAAGAATCAATGAAATTGAATGGTATTAGAAGTACCAATGATTTACCAAAGTATCCAATGTACACTTTTGCAGGAGGAATACTGATTGCAGTGAATCCATACAAGGAATACAATATTTATAATGATGAAATAGCACAGGAATTCATAGGTAAAAATATAATAAATATGGAGCCACATCCATTTGCAATAGCAGAATGGACATACAGAAGAATGCTAAAGGATAATAGATCACAATCAATAATAATTTCAGGAGAAAGTGGAGCAGGAAAGACAGAAACTTCAAAACATGTATTGAAATATCTGAGTTATGTAAGCAATAGGCAGAGGATGAGGAATGGTACCAATATGAATAATAAATTTGGAGGATTGTTTTTATCAACGATCGAAAACTGTCTACTTTCTTCAAATCCATTATTGGAAGTATTTGGGAATTCAAGAACAATTAGAAATTGTAATTCATCACGATTTGGAAAGTATATGAAACTTGGTTTTGATGATGATGGAAGAATAGTTAATGCATCCATAAATACTTATTTGTTAGCAAAGTCAAGAGTAGTACATCTTCCGAATAACGAAAGAAATTATCACATTTTCTACCATATTTTGAATGAAATAAACGAAAAGCAGAAGAGTAAATGGGGTTTAAAATCTGAAACTTCTCCTCTAGAATTTAATTACTTGAAGACTGTGGATTTAAAAGGAGCCAGACAGAAAATTGATACAGACTCAATAAGAAGTGAAAATTTGAAAGAAATTGTCAAATCTGTTCCATATAATATGAAGATAATAAATGATTGCTTTCAATCTATTGGAGTTTCTGAGGAAAGTAGAGATTTGATATATGATATGGTATATTCAATTCTATTGTTAGGAAACATTGATTTTAATCCAGTTGAAAATAGAGATGAAGAAGAATGTGAGCTGACTCAAGAATCAGTATCAATAATAGACCAAATAGTACAAATATGGAATTACAATTATAATGCTGATTCAGATTTTACTATGATAAGTAATCAAGAATTAATTGAGTTATTGACTACTAAAAGTATAGTCAAGATCAAGAAAAGGTTATCATATTCTGAGGCGATATATACTAGGGATAGTATTTCTAGATATCTTTATGAATGGATTTTTAATTTAATTGTAGAACTGATAAATATAGCACTAAAACAAAATATATTTGATAACAATGAAAATTCAGCAAAATACTCCGATCATAATAATTCAATAGGTATATTGGATATTTTTGGATTTGAGGATTTGGAACCAAATTATGTGAATAGCTTTGAACAATTACTGATAAATTACTGTAATGAGAGATTACATAGCTTTTTTTTGGAGCAATTACTATATAGAGATACAGTACTATACAAGACAGAGGGAATAAATAATAGCATTTCAACAACCCCGTCAGCAAATGTAATTGATTTGTTATTTCATCAGTCATTTGTATGCACAGTAATGAGTGGTGTAAATCCAAAATATCTCAGTAATACAGAAATAGATGAAAATGATCCGAGAAATAATGGTAATACCAATAATTGCGCTTCTCACGCATTTTATGAAAAGTTCCAGTATAATAATTCAATATTGAGTTTACTTCCATATAATATTATATCAATTTTAGATGAAACAGGAAAGATACCAATGAAAGGAAATAGAGATCATGCATTTTGTAATAAGGTTCATTTACTAAATAAATTACAAAACAATTCAAATGTCAGAATGAGTGTGAATAGGGGATCAATATGCAATTCAAAGGATGAAATGAATACATCTGGTATAATGAACCAGTTAAATTATTTGTCTGAATCTATTGGAAAGGTAATTCAGATTCAAAAACTCAATCTTGAGAAGACTTTTACGATAAATCATTTTGCAGGTCCCGTGAAATATACAAGTAATGAGTTTATATCAAAAAATACAGATTTCTTATCAACAAATATTGAGAAAATAATACATACAAGAATAAACACGATTCAGGAAATAAATAAGTTTAAGTATAATTTATTGAGTAAAGTGGATAATGATGAAAAAAATAAACAATTAAAAGAAGAAGATGGTAGTATTAGTCAAGATAATACATTAATTAACGATGAGAGTCCACAATCAGAAACAAGTTTGGTTAGAAAGAGTATTTTATCATTAAATGGAGTATCAAATTTTGTTGAGAAGAATAGTTTACAATTAAATACATTGACGAATTTAATCAATTCAAATGCAAACCAGGTACCAACTCCAATGAATACTAATAAGAATAAGAGTGTTTCAAGCATGTTTGTAAGACAAGTTCAAAATATGTTAGTAAATGAATTATATCCAACTCAAAGCCATTTTATAAGATGTATAAAGCCAAATAATCAGCAGATTTCATTAAAATTTAATAGTTTAAAGGTTTATAAACAGCTTCAAATTGGTGGAATTCTTCAAATTCTTAATATTATGATTTATGGTTATCCTTGTAGAATTCCTTATAGTCAGATTTATAATTATTTTAAACAAATCATTGTAATTAATACTGAAGTGGACGATTCTTGCTCATCAATGACTGACCCAAATTTAATTAATAATGATATATTATCCAAGGCAAAATTACTATTAAGAGATGAAAGACTTTTTGTTTCCTTATTATTGGAATATATGGGTTATAGGGATAAAATCGACTATCAACTTGGATTAACTCGAGTATTTTTTAAATTTAATGTTTTAGATAAAGTTGAACAATTTATCCAGAAATGTGATCAAGAAAATTCTATTGATTGGAAAATTGAGTGCATTAATTCTTTATATAAACATTGGTTAAGGAAAAAATGTAAGAATTACTTGATAATGATAAGATGTTCAATTAAATTTTTTTCATTGTATAAGTATATTAAAAGAAAAAATGCGTCTAGAAAGATTTACAAGGCATTAAGTAATTATGTATGTATTATGAAAGAAAGGAAGAAGATTGAAAGAGAAAGAATTGAAAGAGA